AAGAAAGTATTAATATGAATAAGGGATTGCTCTCCATTGTAATCATTGGATGTTAATATGTGAATGGTTTTTCCTCAATTAAGATCATTGTGAAGATTGGCTTTGTTGAGTGTTTTTCAAATGTGTTGTACATGACACATTCTTCCTTGATTGCATTGCGAAAGTGTAATTTTATTCATTCTCAAGAACCCTTGAAAGTCTACAATGTTTGGTAGTGTGAGCCATACTCTTGTATTAATACAAACCGACTTGATCTCTGATAAGGAAACTCGCTTGATTTTTGGTTAACCTTGCTTTTTCATCAAACAAGGAAATTTATCAAAAGCTATGTATTTGTTACTAGACACCCAAGTTGATCAATAGAACCCATACGAGGAAGTGATTACAGTAATATCGCTAAGGCCAAAGTTATTGATCCTTCTTTTCATGAACATAAAATGTTTTGTAACACTCTTGCTATATCTTAAGAAGAATGCAATGTGATAGTATCTGGCACAAGCTCCAACATACTCGTGTGACACTGATGTGTTAAAAAGGGCCTCAAAGGGCAAATCCACTTGACAAAACTCTTCGTCTACATTCCCAATCCAGAATGTGTTATTATTACCTCTGTGTGGAAGGTAATGTTACTCAATAAGTAAAATATGAATGCCAATTTAACAACCTACCTTAAATGAATTCCTCGTTTTCCGATCATACCCAGCAACTGCTCACACATTTGAATATTGGTTGCGTCCTTGTAATTTTCTAAATTTTTGAAAAGAGATTCCTCTAGAAATCCATATCTTGATTCTCCCAATTTTTGAATCTCTCCGTTATTAGAAATGAGTAAACAACAATCAGACCCACAGCAAGCGCTTGTCATTAATGGATGATTCAATGCTATTTGTTGAATACCATTTCTTGTGAAAGATTGGCCGAGCTGTTCTCTCGAGTTAGATCCTGAGCCGTAGACAGTTCCATCCTTAAGTACTGCAACAAAGTGAAATGCACCAGCTCTAACCTCTTGAACAGGTGATTTAAATGTGTGAAAAATATTACTTGCCACATGTCTCGAATGAACGAGGTACGAGTTGTGACTTCTATTTGCGGCATAATTGAAATCAAATTGTGTGAAATTGTTACCTTAAGGTGGAAACCACCGTACTTACCCTCCATCTGTAACCCAATCTTGACCTGCCAACCTTAACTCGGTACCATTTGTGACAATGATTGAAAAAGAAAAACAACATGCAATGTGAGTTCTGTTTTGATGCATTCATTTTGTGGTAATAGGATTGCGTTATTTATGAGGGAAATTCCATTCGAAAAATCATGGTTTGAAAAAAGATCAAGACGAGTGAAATTCACTTACATTTTGTCGCCCTGCTTCTTTCCATAATTAATGAAATATGGTGTTGCATTGTGTTTGTGTGAGCTTGATCCATTGACATGAAATTGGCCATAATCATTGCTACCAATTCCATAGAGGTCATCATCCCTGGTGGCCAAAATTGTGTAATATGCTCCGCTTGCGATCAATTTCACTGGTGTACCTTTGAGAGAGTTTAAATATAAAACTTTGGCCGTCTCAAAAGTGTTCAGTGAAGAATCGGTGAATCCCAAGTGATGGCAAGGTCTGTTAATTCCCATTGAATAAAGAGAACCATCTGATAAAAGGATCATGATGAAATCGGAGCCAATCGAGACTTGATCGACATGAGAAGTCATTGCTGAAGTCAATACGTCTACATCTTCTTTGCGATAATTTACACAATCACTCGGAATATTGATTTTTGTAAAATTGGGATACAATGAGTTAGTGTTTATCGAACATGGTGATGAAGGAGAGTAGGAAGTCAATGAAAAGCTCTCTTGTCCCGATGCTTGATTTGTGTTTTTGGGCAGTATGGAGGACTTGGTAAGATGTCTTCCTAGAATATACACGTTAGCTTCGGACATGCAGTTAGAGGTGTCGAAGGAATGTTTGCAATTGTTTTAAACTCAATAAATCAGTTGTTGAAGAAAGAAAATGAAAGACAAGCAATGAAGGTTGCCTTTTCGGGCAACTTGTTTGTAAAGCATCATGATAAGTGAGCACATTGGTGAGTACACGCATGTTAAAACACGATAGTGATTGCTCTATTCGATTGATGGACTTTGAATGTCTTGAACCAAATTTCTTTTCTTCACCACAGTGTATCTACTGTTGTAAACTTGTAAAGTTGGTTGACTAGAAAAACTAAAATTTTTGTTGAAAAAAAATACGTCAAAATCAAAATGGTTTGTATCTCTCGCTCATCTTCGCTAGTCTCATTATTGACTTCTGTTTCATCAATGAAATTCTTATTACTTTCAAATATAACAGGCCACAACAAAGAAGAAATGCAGAAAATTGAGAGGACACGTTACTCATGGTCACGGTCGTGTTGGTAAGCACAGAAAACACCCTGGTGGTCGTGGTATGGCTGGTGGTCAACACCATCACAGAATCTGGGTTGATAGATTCCACCCTGGTTACTTTGGTAAGATTGGTATCAGAAGATTCCACATGAACAAGAATCACTTCTTGACCACAAGTGTCAATCTCGATGAATTGTGGAAGATTGCAGGTGAACAAGTATACAACCAAGCTAAGGAAGGTAAATTCGGAACCAAGGCTGTCGTCATTGATGCACACAAGGCTGGTTTCGACAAGGTTCTTGGAAGAGGTGATTTGCCAAAGATCCCAATCGTTGTCAGAGCAAGACTTTTCTCCAAGAGTGCCGAAGAGAAGATAAAGGCTGTTGGTGGTGTATGTGAACTCACTGCTTAAATAAATTTACAAAAATAATAATTTAAATAATTTTGGTTTATTGAGCTTTTACATCAGAAGGCAATCTTTCCGACCAATGCTTGTGTGTTTGTTCAATGATGTGTGTGGCGTATGAACGGTCCAAAAAAGAATCCTGGAATGCAAAATGGTTTTCAGGTTTCCCATCCGTAGTTTTGTACATCCTGAACCAGTCAATAATGTCACGGAGCTTTCCCTTTGGAATGTCGTAAATGTCTTGGGAGAAATGTGAAGCCTGTTCTTCTTCTGGTGTAACAACTTTTGCTAACACTTTCCAATCCATTTCTCCTTCATCAATCATTCCTAAAATTCCAAATATTTTCACTGTATAGACCTCTCCCATTTCTAGTGCATAGTCACTCACTTCTACAATATCTATGGGGTCCCCATCACCTTTGACTGCAATTGTTGGCTGATAAATTCCGTCTTTAACACCACCGAATGGCACATGGATTATCTTGTGTGGATCTTCCCAAGTTTGAGGAAGCATTCCATAATTGAAAGGTATTCCTCCTTTGTCTACTCGGTATGTAAATTCTCTAAGTTTTCCCTTCTTTTCGTCTTGTATGATTGGGTTGTGCTCTTCTTTGGTGTTTACTTCCATCTTTTTAAGTGTTCCGAGAGGAATTTCATTCAAATAATGATATAGATTTAACTTTTCAGAGGCTCTTAGTGGGATATTATGCCATGGAGAAATCAAACATTGTTGAGATTTATACTTAATTTTAAATCCTCTAGCTCCGAGAGTGCCTTCAATAATTTTTGTTATGCCAAGTTTGCCAAGCTGTGAAGTCATTTTTTTGATCTGAAACCATCGTCGCTGGTTTTGCCAAACAATTGGTTATGGAAGCTATTCTGGGTACACAATGCAGAGTGTTTTTATGTTTTTTGTACGCGTATTCTAAAACTTGTCACTCCTTTAAGAAACAGTATCATGCTTTATTCTATTGTATAAATACAATCAACATGTTTTACGCCACTCCATTATTGCCAGACCTTGCATTTTCGTATTCTATTAAAATTGATCCTGCGTTTTGTTTCAACACTTGCATGTACGAGTCATCAAGAGAAGCATGCCTCAGGAAATTTCGCATTCTAGTCTCTGATCGAAAGAATTCAGTTCCACTCTCTGTTGGATTTTGATTCCAATAAACAATGAGACTTGTTTTAACTTGAGATGTAAATTTTCTTTGTCTCTTGATCGTTGTTTCTTGCTTAATAGGAAGATTCATTAGCTGGATAGGTTCTGAATTTGAATTCGAGTTACTTGTTGGTTTTAATTCATGTCCTGTTGTTTCTGGTTGATGACTCATAGATGGTTGTTGTGGTTGTGTTGGTGACAAACTCTCTATTTCCGAAGGAATTAACGAGTTCGTTGAAGAAGGGTTAGGGTTCACAGGTTCTGGCTTTGGAATGGAAAATGTTGGACCTGTATTCATTCCCTCAGTCTTTAGATTCTGCTTATTTGGTGTTTCATTAAAGAGCAATGATAAATCGGTATTGAGAAGGAAAAATCTACGAATGCAATTATTTCTTCCACTCTCAATAATCTTGTCGAGACATCGGAGCGTATTCAAATGATAGGCAACTCGTAAGCAAGTCATGAGATCGTAATAGGCATTGGGAGGATTCATTCGAATCTTATTAGTTGCATGTGTGGCCAAGTTTTTCAAATATTGGAAGGCTTTCACAATGGTGTTCACATCCTCGGAAATGTGCATCTTGTTGAAATGATCGACCAAGTGTGGAATTGTAGAGAATGCTGACTCTTCAATATATTGATCAATCTCTTTCAATACGCATTGAAGGGATTGCTTTAGTTGTTGATCTCCAATGCAAGCGAGTTGGGCGAGAAGCTGCTTCAATGGCAATCGTTGTTGTGGAGCTTGCGTAGGGGTTATGGTTGTTGTTGGTAATACCACCACAGAATTGGAATGAGAAGTACTTGTCGTAGCCGCCAGTGTGGGTGCAGAGCTGGTGGAAGTGTTGAGCACTTGTTGTTGTTGTTGTTTCATCATGATGGTCTTTTGCTGGATAGCTTCGGAGATGGGTGCATTCAGAGGCCTCATCACGCTGGTATCACCCGTCCTGTTTTCTGGGTTTTTCATGGGATTGGTGTTATGATGGTTATTCAAATTGGATGTGCGTGCTCTTGAATTCTTAATGATCGGTTTTTGTGTTTTGTTCTCTTGTTTCATCACCATTTCTTGTTTAATCTTTACGCTGTTCGTTGATGCTGTGGTTGAGCGTTTGGAAAGATGTCGCTCGCGTTCAGTGCCACTTGAGACATGTCGGAGAGGTTTTTCATTGGATGATGATGACGGTATTGAAGAGGAGGATGAAGCTTGAGCAGGCGTTCGCGAGCCAACGTTAGTAACTCGAGTGGGATTTTTGACGAGGGTCATTTGCCTCTATTATTTTTGAAGGTTTGCCAAAAATGATGACGTTGGCAAATCTGAATTCTTGTTACTGAGCTTTTCTGGATGTTGCGAACTGGGGTCATCATATAATGAGAAGAATTAATTGTTAAAGGATGACAAAGAATTTATGATTAAGTGAAATTGAGAAATTTATTCTGGTTGCTTATGGTAATTGACTCTCCTTTGGTGATACCTTTTTCAACTTCTTGTAAACCTTGTAATAAATGACATTTCCAACAATGAAGCCAAGAGTCAACAAAAAGAGAGCAAAGTTGACCACACCGTAGAATAAGAATGGTCCGCTTGGTTTCCAATCATCGTAGAGAACTCCTCCAACCTTGGTGGCTAACAGAATACCTGCAGCACCAAACAAAGTGAATATACCACTCACACTTCCTCTGACTTTGTTTGGAGATTCAGCAGTTACCAATACTTGGCTGCAAACAATAACACCAATCTCACCAATACCGATCAAAGCAATTGGCAAGTACACAAATCCGCCTGTCACATCTGAGAGCAATGATAACATTGTGTATCCAACGCCAGATATTATTGAGACTACTGCCATAGTAATTAATCTTGACATCTTTCTGATGAAAGTATCTGTGGTTTGTTCAGTGGTGTCTTGCTTCTTTCTTCTAAATCTCAAATCAGCAAAAACTCCTACAAACGGTGCAGCTACAAGGGCAAAAGTTTGACAAATACCAGAAATTGTACCTCCTCTTGCAATAGCGTCTGCCTTTGAGGAGTCATGATCATTAATCATTTGTTGGGACACCCATAATGTAATAAATGTAGTGATCAATGTTGCATCACCTCTTGCAACAAAACTGGATGCATAAGCTAAAATGAGAGATGGTCTTTTTGCAGGAGCTTTAAACAAGCCTTGAATCAAAACATCCCTAATTCTTTTTAAATATCTAACAAATACATTATCTGATGGCTCATCAGAATCAGACTCTTCGTCTGAGCTACTCTCAATTCCGTCAATATTTTTTGTCTTTTTCTTGGCAAAATAGTTTTCACAGATAGGGAAAATCTTTCCTTTGTAAAAGATCATCAGGGCACACATTGCAACCACACAGAATAAGGACATGACAATAAATGAAATAAACCCAGCTTGGCCAGAAGGAATTGATGGGTTTGCAGATTGAATCCATTGTGGTATTTTCAAATAAACCAAAGCAGATAAAACAGCTCCTAGACCAGAACAAAGTCCAAGAAGACCAGAGGCTTTTCCTCTGTCCTTATTTTTCACGTAGTCTCCCAAAATGGCAGTAAGCATACTACTGGTACTTGCTGCACCTATGGCAAAAATTATTCTGTATAAAATTAATTGACCTGGAGTCAAGGCAAATGTGTACAAGAAGAGGCCAAGTGCCATCAACAAAAATCCAACCATGTACACAAATTTTCTTCCTTTCAAAAGGTCTGTCAGAATTCCCCAAAACATTCCAAAAACAATGATGCAAATTTCATTGTAGAAAGAAAGATCGCCTGTTCGTACAGAGAAAATGATGAGTGCTCATCATCGTTCACAATAACTGGTACATACCTGCTAATTTGCCCTGATCTTGCCTTCTTACGTGGCCTCTTAAATAAGCCTCAAAGACGTAACTTGCCATTGCATTTATGAAAACGAAAATACCAATGAGGACAATGGTTAAAGCGTAGTAGCATGTTATGTTCACCCAAGTGACGCCTTTTTTGAGCTCAATAATGCCCAAATACCTGTCTGTTCTAATAAAGCCACATAAAACCTTTGGACCTTTCTTGGCAGAGGCCATGTTCGAATCTGATGATGAATTCTTTGACTCTGTTGATACAGTATTTGGTTCCTTGATATCATTGCTTGCGTGGTTGATTGCTTCCTGCGTCTGAGAAGAGGGTTTGAATTCCTGTTGTTGATACGCAAATTCGGATGAAGAATTTTCAAGACGTTCTTGAGACTCCATTGTGAGTGATGAATTATTAATTTTATGGTTTTTTGGTGTAGTAACGGAGCAAAATTGGAAGGAATGTGGAGTGAGCACTGGATGATTATTAGCTCGCAAGGATTTTCAAGTGTTGGTATGATCGTAAAGCAACAAGCCTATTCAAGAGAACTGTTGCGTGTCCGAGCGAGAGAGACTTGTCGAATGATTTTTTGATGTGGTTGTGGGATTCGACCAAAAAAGCCAAAAATGCGAGTGCTCTGGGTCTTCAGTCAATTTCAAGCGCTGTTTCGTCGAGTAACGAGTCCGAGAAGTAACGAGGTAAAAAAAGGTGAATAGGATAAATTCATGGGAAGTAATGGGTGAATGTTCAAGAATGGATAATTTCAAGAAATGAATCCTTGATGATTGTATTCCATTTCAAGAAAGCAATAACAGGATTGTAGACTGCTCTATGTAAGCAAAGGTTTATTCACCCATGTCCTTACGAGCTCCTTCAGCCTGTTCTCGCTCTGCCAAATCAAAGGACCTTCCGTCAAGTTTTTTGAGTGTTGGTAATCTCCTCAACACCTCAATTCTCCAGTTTTCTCCGTTATCTTTTGAATTCTTTTCTAAAGGGTTTCCTTGAAGCAACAAATCTTCAAGCTCTGGAAGCTCCTTAAGTCGGTCCACCTCCGACCATGAGCTAATTTTGTTATTTCCACAATATAATACTTTTAGTTTCTTCAATTTCTCAATCCCTGCCAAAGACGTCAAATTGTTGTATGAGAGCCATAATTGTTCCAGCGTTGGGGCCACAGCCTCCAAGTTTTCTAATCTCTTGATTTGATTTCTTGAAAGTGACAGTATTTCTAAGGAAACTAGTCCTTGCAGACCTCCTATTCTGTCTATACAATTTGTTGACAGTGCAAGTCTTTTACAATTTTTCATTTGGGCCACAGTTGTGTCCATCTTTTCAATCGGAGGCACCCACCCATATAACATTATTTGTTCAGCCTCTCCCACTTTTTGCCCGGTCTTTTCCTCCCACGCTTTTACTGCATCTCTCAAGAAGAACACCTATTTTCGGTGGAGAGTTATTAACAACGATAAATATTAAACATTCCGATCCACAATATAAATTCCGATCAATTTCCAATATGTCTTTACTCATCACATACCATCTTTTATATACAAAATTAAACGACAATCCTCAGTTTTGTTGATAATTACGGAATGACACTCCAAAGTTCAATTTACGAAATGTTTCCAATTTTTTTAAATTTTTTTCGATAATACAACCCGCCTGTAAACGTAAAGGGCGCCAAAAGCTTGTGACATGCTGGTTGTGGAGTTCTTAGTCCACCAGATCCCTGTTACTCCAAAACAATACATATTTTTTGAGGTGACATTATGGCAATGCATCTTTCGAGTTAAATTGTCGCATTAATAAATGTTCCTCAAAAGGTATGAATGATGAGAAGATATGAGGTGTTAGCGTTATCTGAGACTCAACGGTACAACACTTGAAGAAAATACCTCGACAGATCCTCAATTTTTAAAACACATTCCCCTTTCACCATGACAAAGCTTTTGAAATCCGCTTTTGTTTTTGTTGTGACAGTGTATGCCTTCTCAGTATTCACAAACGCAGAACTTTATTCAGGTGATAAGAAGGATGCATTAGACACAAAAGATACCAGCACAGCTCCAATTGTAAACACATGGTGGGCAAATCCAAATGCATTCTTTGTGAATCAATTTCCGTTTGGAACGAACATACCAGCCAGTTTTTGGAAGACGAACATTTGGAATGGCAATAATGGTGTGTTTTGGAACGCACAACTCAACCCTTTCAACAATGCCTTGTTCTTTCAAAACGGCCTCAATCAAGCCATGATGTTTCCTGGTCTGCAAAATGGCAACTTGTTATTTGGAGCTTTTGGAAACAACGGCTTTGCATTCCCTGCTTGGAATGGTGCCATCTTGGGTGTCAATAACGCCTTTCCAGGTGTAGTGCCACCATTTGGTGCTGTACCAGCGATTCAAGCCAAGAATGCAGTTCACTTCCCAGTCACTGAAGGATATGATATTGAGTACAACTTCCCTGGTGGAAAGGCCAAACAATTCTTTGCCCAATCCAAGATTGAAAGCAAAGTGTTTTGAGACCATGACTCACAATAAACAAACGACAATAATAATTTGTTAATTTTATTGTTGTGAATGATGGGTTTACTTGGTCTTTGTGAAACCGATGAGAGAAGCATTTTCTCTGAAGCATTGTCTGCAGAGTCCGAGACCATACTTGCGGATCAAACCCTTTCTGTTACCGCAAACCTTGCATCTTCTAGCACCCTTTGCGTTGTTCTTTGGGTGAGAGAACCAGATATTTTCGTAGCCCATGTTGTCTTTGTTTCACTGATGAGGTACTTGTTCAAGCCATCAAAAATCAAACAAAAAATGACACTAACCTTGGTGTGATTGTGGCGTATTTTTTTCAAACGAAAATTTTAATCAATGCTGGTCAACTAAAGATAAAAGTTTACAATGCAAGGGACTTGCTCACAGAGCACACTTGGTCTGTCTCAACTCTTTCAAAGTCTCAACTATTTTCTTATCCAGACTGTTCGATTGATGGATAAGGGGCAACAATGAAACATTTGATGAGTTCATTGCACTTTCCGAGTGGTTATTGACAAGGATGTTGTGCCAAGATTTTTCGAGTTGCTCGAATTCTGCAAGCAATCGAGAAGCTGATGTTTGAATGTTTTGCATGGCTTTGATTGTTTCAATAATTTCCTCTTTTGGAGTAACTCTTGGATATGAAGCAAGAGTAAAGTCAATTTTTTGCCGTACCAATAGATAGTGCTTTAGCTTTTCCAAAAAGGATGTTCTGGAAGCAAGAAGGCTTCCAAATTGATTGCTCTGGAGAATCACTTCAAACCCTTGCCCTCCAAGACAAGTTGAAATCTTGAGCTTTACATCCTCTCCATTTGGAGTTCTTAATAATGATGGCGTCGAAAAGTTGTTGGAGGACAGTTTGGCATCTCTACGATCAACAAGTGATACCCAATCATCTTGGCTCAGGCTAGATATTTCTTCAAGAGGTATTCTCAACATATTTTCCCAGTTCATTGTATATCTTTCCTCAAGGGGATTCACCTTCAGCTTGAAAGTGTGCGAAATTGTACTTGTCAGCAGTGGATTTAAGTGGTCCAAATAAGGAATGCTTTTGTAATGTTTTCGAAATAGATGACGGATACGCTTTGAAGGGTTCATTGTGTTGGATAATGGAGCAGAAATAAATCTCAGAGAGTTCGAGTGTTCTAAATGAATATCAAGTAAATCCATCATATTAAATTTTTGGTCTTTAAGAACTAGTGAAAAATGGCCTTCTGTTTGATTGAACGAGAGTATAACGCTGATGTTAAATGACGAATAGCCGCTTTGAGGCGAGAGTAGAATAGTTCTCGTCCATGTGCTCCGACTTTCTAAATGATTGATAGGAAAAGAGTAACACTCTAACTTGTGGTTGCTCCATTCGACCATTACAATAACTACAAGTTGAGAAATTGAGATCATTGAAAACTACTTACTTGTCCACTGATTGGTCAATACGAAATCTGTTCCATTATTCACAGTACATTCCATTACAGTTTGCATGTCTTCTTTCCGTGTAAAGCATTTGATGTTGCTTGCAAGTTTCTTTCCTTGTTCCTTCCATTCATGGAGAAGATGCATAGCAGTATTAAGTGTGTAAATTTCTCTGTTTAAGTGGTCTTGTTCTCTTTTGGCTCCATCTAATTTACTAAAACTCTCGTCCACTTGTTGTATCATTTCCCGAACTCCATTTTGTAATCGATTCGAAGCAACAGAGTGACACAACCAATCGTCTATAGCAGTATGTGATGGTATTATGATATGATCCACATTTCCAGATTTTGTAAATATAGTACATGCGCCTTTAGCTCTCATGTTCCTTTTCTTTTCGTCAAGAGAAGTGAGCTTTAGTTGTGAAAAAGATAATTCCGTGTTAGGGAATGAAAGAACGTTGAAAGGTTGATACTTCCTAGCTTTGAGCTCATGTAAAATTGCAATATTTGATTCTGATGGTATTTCTCTAACTTCCACAGAATCAAATAATTTAATGGTTGTAGACGTCTTTGTCAATGCATCATTCGATGGTATCTTATTGTAAATTGTGAATGAAAATAGAGAGCCGATGTCATTGGAAACAATCAATTGGTTTTTGACTACAATTGAAGAAGCTATTTTGAGGTTAATAAAACAGGACCGTTTGATAATTTGTTCTCCGTCATGGTATAACAATACTATGTGTCCCTCATGGCTATTTTGAAGGTTAGAATAGTCAATGGCGTTACGGTCTACATACCTAACACAAATAATTGAGTTGCACTTTTCATTGCTAGTGTTAGTGCCAGATATTGATAGTGGTATTATATTTTGTACAGAATTTCTTACAGTTAAAATTGTTCTATAACAGCTCATTTCTGAAAATCTCTCAATAATATTCTTATTTGAAGGAAAGCAAAAAACTCTTCCATTTTCACAACCAACCAAACAAATACAGGATGTCATTAAAATAAATTCGCTTCCAAAGAGTGCTTGAAAAAACTCTTCAGTAAGAATGTAACTATTTTGGTCCGAGAGTTGAGATATTTTGCTGGTGTTGGATGAGTAATAAAGACAATTCACTCTTGAATGAAATGTTGAGGGCGCTTTACAAAGAGGGGCAAGTACTAACTCATCTGTTTCCTCGTCTTGAAACAATTTGTAAATCTGCATTTTGGATAGCAATAAAATGTGTTTGCCTCCTCTCTTTGCATCTTCACTAAAAAGATTTTGTATTGCTTCTGGCTCAATAGATTGAATTTGATAAATAGACTCTGGAAGCTGTTGCAACACGTCAGTGTCAGATATGTCCTTAATAATAATTCCTTCACTGGATATAAAGTAATCTCTCCATTCAGATTGAAAGTTTTTTGCATCACTCGAATCTACTCTTGAGAAAATGGAAGAGGTTTGTTTCGGTGTAGATTGAGTGGATTTTCTTTGAGCGTTTTTTCTCTTTTTCTCTTTCTTTAAAATTTCAAATAAATAGATATTATCATCGGAACAACTTAATATAATTGATATCTTGTTCTTCTTTCTTTGATACATATGGTAACATAGGATTTTCACATCGTTTGAAGAAAATCTTATTATTTGTTTTAATTCGTAATTCACAAGAATATGTATCAGCTTGTCTGATAGATGTAAAGCTGTAATAATTTTTTCTGAATTTAGATCATCTTCATTGATGATGACGATTGATTGCATCCGATTGGTATTGCTCCCAAAACTGAATTTTTGATCCTCTAAATTCGTCGCTGTGCCGTTCCATAACATCAACTCTCGCTTCACCCTTCTTTCCGTAAGACATTTTGATTTTGAATCATATTTGTTTTGCCTGTGTGATGACGGAAGTGAGGTAGACAACGAGGATGTCAAATCTAGGCTCATTTTTTTCTGTGCGAAAGAAAAGTCTTCTTGTGTTTATTGGAAGGACTCTTTCATGTATTAATGATGGTAATTGGGGTATGTTACTTTTGGTCTCGCAAGAGCAAACAAGTCGGAGTCCATTCGCAGTGGATTTTCAACAAACAAAAAAAAATGAAAAAACTGCTCTGTTCCTCTCGGTCTATTGCAACAAACAGCTTCGGAAATATTTGTGCAAAAAAAAGTTTCTTGGCATTGATCACAGCAAATTCCCATACATTACACAACAATGATCATCAAAATATAAGAAGCTTTTCATGTTGCATAATTCCAATGAAAAAAAAAAGTAATAGCGGAGCAATAGTTAAATCAAAGAAAAAGAGGATAGGACAAAGCTTTTTTGTGGATGGAGATGATGACTTTGTCATGTTTGAAGCTTCATCACATTACGACGGAGATATTGGAGATGAAAGTGCATTCTTTCATCCCATGATGGGAATGGCTCCAGATTTATTTGACCAAGCATTCCAATACGATAAAGAGCACCAAAATCATGATAGCGTTGCGATCAATTGGCATGAGGAAAAGGATCATCATGAATTGGTTATTACATGTCCTGGGCTTACGAAAAAGAGTGCAAAGGCAACATTTGACAAATCTGATAACAGTATTGTGATAAAAGGAAAGCTAAAGCCTATTGCAAGCCACATTGAAAGCATAACTTTTCATAGAAGAGTTTCACTACCAGATAATGTTAACTTTAACGAAAAACCATATATTACTGACATTAATGTTGAAAGGTCGGAATACTGCGATCATGAAGGAATTTGTGTAATTATTGCAAAAACTGGATGTGAGCCAGCTCGTTCTCACTCGAATACTCCTGAGAATACGAATTCTGTGGACGCTTCTGAAGTAGATGACGAAACAAATGACATGTTTGAAAGCTCACAACACTTCTCTGACGAATCTGAAGAAATGCCACAATCTCATGCCAAGCCAAAACCAAAGAAAAAGCCTAAAAAGTCATCCAAACCATCGAAAAATACGTTTGATGAAGATTTTATTATTGACGCCCAATTTATTGAGAAATGTGCATAATTTACATGAGCATCATTAAATTGGGTTCATGCATGACCATATGTTAATTATTCTTTTTTCGCATCAAAGAATACACAATGACCAGAACGCACTTGGCAAGTCCAATTAGCATAAAGCCGTGTGAAAAACCAAAATAGATCATTCTCAACATTTTTGCTCCCATGGATCCAGAGCCATCGTTTTTTCCTCCAAAGGAACTGGTTGAACCCCATGTTCTTAATTCTAATTCATGAATGTTGATATTAGGTGATTCTTTCACCAGCGACAGGAATGAAAGAGCTTTATAACAGAAGGCCAAAAGGGCCAGGATAGCTCCAATTTCAAAAATGATAAATCCACCATGAAAAATTCCTTTGCTCACGCCTCTTCCTGAAATCATGAAGGAAATGAAGAGCATGACCAATAAGGTAAGAGGAATGAACACTCCAATGGAAAAGAAGTGGCCATGAATGAGCGTTCCTTGTTGATAGGCATACTCTCCCACTCGGAAATACGGTACACTTAACTTGGTACTCTCTCGGAACACAAAACCTGAGCACATGGCACAAATGATCATCACAGACATGAAGATCAAGATATGTTTGGCAATACTAAAGTAATATTTAGGGAACATGATGTTGAGAGAAATAAGCTCCTTTTGGGAAGAGTTTTTTGGTTGATTTTGTGGTGGGGAAGTATGTATAAAGGCTTTATCTTCTTTCATATCAATTTCTTCCTCATCATCACTATTTCCGTTGAGAAGCACCTCAGAATGATGATTCACTTGATTCCGAGAAAGTGGATGGCTAGTAGGCAGTTCGTATGAGCCTGTCGAGGGTACAGAATTGTTGTGGAGGTCCTCCAACTCGGTAATGGGTGGCGTTGTCTCCGTTGAAAAGAGGACTCTGGAAGAGGGTGGTGCAGTCATTTCATTCATTTGTTTTTAATTGATTTCGCCGAGATGTTGGCATGTCAACCCATATAAGGACATATTTTGGTGCAACAGTGCGTTATCGATCTTCTTCGTAGAAAGGGTTCTTGTGCAGAGACGACGTTTGGTTTTCTGATGGTGTTGTTCTTAAAGAAGCCGATCTTGTACAAAACCACAACTTGAGCCGGTTGTGGAGAGTTTATTATGGAATATGCCTTGTAACCCTTATTATTGCTTCAGAGTCAGCATTATGATGACGACTGTTTGATTGGTTGAGTTTTCAAGGTTTGTTGAACCCTTAATATTTCATAAAGTCATACTGTCTATTTGTCAATTGACAGTTGATGAAACAAGTTGTTCGTCAGTTCGATCGCAGTGAACTCTTTCTTCTGACTCAACCCAAGTTCGAAATAAAACACCGCAAAGTCATTTACCACATCAAAAAATTGCAATTATAATTGACAACAACAGTCATGCTTGACCGTTCAACAGCTAACCAACAACCATCATCAACTCTGGGAGGTTCAATGGAAACCAAAAGATCTCTGACACGAGAACAATCCATCGAGTTCAACGGCATTGATATTCTACGAATACCTCTCTGCTCGATAAAAACATTCTATCATGACCCTACGAGTAGTAGCATCACAACCCAACAACACTATTCATCGAAGAATACATGCAATAACACAACTACGACGAATACCACTGAAGAAACGAATGAACGAACACAACAACAACCACACGAACCATACAAACAACAAGAACAACAACAACCATTCGCACCAAGGATGACAGAAACAACAACAACACCTACGTTGGAGATCCCTCGAACTTGTCCAACGACGGTTATGGACCCAGCTCAAGCGAACCGTTGTTTCAACCAAATACAAAATTTTTCATTCTCCATGCAACCACAACTTTACTCTGTGAATACACCCGTTGCAACCGATGAGGAACAATGCTTGGATCACCAACCCATTCTCCACTCCAATGCATCCGTTTCTACAACAACAACAACCACTTTTTCAATTCCTTCTCTCTTTCGATCACAAATTTTCGCATCCAATCAATGCAGACGAGTGGCAACCGTAGGTCTCTTTCTCTTTCACATCCTTCTGCAGATGGTATTGAATTTGCTGTGTGCAGGACAAGCCTTTTTATTTGAGAATTTTTCACTCGTGGCTGTGCTTGTCTATGTACCAAAGATTGTTATTGGAACCATGATTGTGATTGCCATCCAGAGAAAGCAAGTAAGATTACTCCACTTCTTGTTGGGTGCCTTGCTGTTGGATTTGATTTATGTTTCCATGTTTTTGGTGATTGTCTACTCGGGGACTTTGCAATTGGGAGGACAAGGAAAGAGATTTTCAGAAACTTTTGAAATGCAAGATCATTATGAGCCTCGTCATTTACAAGCTGCACCATTCTCGCTTATTGCACCTCTCAATTTATTCCATGAAAGGACGGGAGTGTTTTTGGAAGAGGTGAAACCAAAGCCACCTCCTCAAAACAATAACCCTCCCAAGAAACAACAATCTGAAACGAAAAGCTTTAGAATGGAATATTGTATTTCCATTCAATTTGTAGAGCTTGCAGTTATATTCTTGACATTGTTTTGGACCTACAGTCTGGGCTCATCTTCGTAGCACGTCATGGTCAATAAACTAAGCAACAGTTTCTAAGCAAGTAACATGTTTCAGTTAAAACATTACGAGGAAAACAATTTGTTACATAATATAAATGCACGATCACATTTTTAATTCTTCAATAATGCTTTCACCACAGATTCCACTTTAAGAGTTCTCAAATCTGTATACGTTTGGCCTACACCCACAAAAACAATTGGATGACCTGTCTTGTGAACCATGGATACAGCTGCACCAACTTTTTCATCAATGGTATCAAATTTCGTGAGTACAATACCATCAATCAAGTCCTTTGTTTGTTTGGTTGAAGTTTCATTTTGAGCCAAAATCTTGAGCGAAGAGTTGAATTTTTGTAATTGATCAATACCGTCATTACCAACTAGAGCTTCACCAACAAAGAGAACTAGATCTGGTTGATTGACTTGAATGAGCTCAATCAAAGATTTCATCAAAGGTTCATTATCTTGCATTCTTCCAGCAGTATCTACCAAAACAATATCATACTTGTTCTTCTTTGCATGAGCAATAGCTTCTTTAGCGAGACTGGCTGCATTCTTTCCATAACCCTTTTGGAACACAGGTACACCCAAACAACGAGCGTGAACTTGCAATTGCTCTACAGCCCCAGATCTAAATGTGTCGCACGCAGCGATCAAGCAAGAAAATTCTTTTTGTAAAAGCCAGTAGCAAATCTTTGACAAAGTTGTGCTCTTACCAACTCCGTTCACTCCACAAAATACAATGACATAGGGTCTTCCTTGTTCTCTGGCTGTTGATGCTTCCTTGAGAATGTTAATTGTTCTGGTTGGTGTAAGGATTCTAGTAAGGGTTTCTGCTAACACCTTTGTGACTTCTGATTTTACAGAAGAAAATGTTCCCAATTTTTTACCTACTAAACCTTCCAATACTGAGTCACAAATACTGACAGCAATTTCTTGAGCAACATTTTTCTTCATCAATGATTGTTTAAATTCTTCCATTACCGGATCAAGATCCTCTTTTGTGAGAGTTCTACCGTTTGTCAAGGTGGAGAAGAATGATGTGAAAATATTTCCTTTCTTTGGTGCTGTTTCTTCTTCTTCTTCTTCCTCAGAACTCTCTGATTCCAAACCTGCATCGATATCTGTTTGTTGATTTGGATTTGGTAAATATTTGTCTTTGTGTCGTTGAAGCTCATCATCTTCATTTTCAGCTTTTCTTGAAAAGTCAATTTTTCCTTCCTTCTTCTTGTTGTAAGTTGTGTCAAATGTATCCCATGTGGTTGCTTCCTTCTTGGTTTTTGTTTTTGTGACTACTGGAGTGGTATCTTCTGGAGAATCTGTTTTCTTTGAAGACTTTTTTGGTCCGTTCTTTACCTTACTTAATCGCTTCTTCATTTTCTCAATATTAGCTAACACAGTCTCATTCATGCCACCGTTGGATGTCCTTTGACTCGAGCCAGACTTGATCTCTTCTTCCTCGTCGCTTTCATCAGATTCCGAAGCTGGAGTGACGGGTTTAGCAGATGATTTATCTTTCTTCTTCTTTTCGTATTTGTTTGTTGGTGTTTTTGGTGAATTGGAAGCATTTTGTAACAATTCTTCTCCCTGTTTGATTTGTTTTTCAATAAATGTTGTCTTTTTGTCAGATTCGTCGTCATCCTCTTTCTTTTCCTTCTTTTTATATTGCTTAATGAGAAGTCCTTCTTTTTGTAATTGTTTTTCTTCTCTTGATCGCTCTTCAAGAGTATCAACAATCTTGGTATATTCTTTATCAAAATTAAATTCGACATTACTCAGTGATGGCATTCCTTTTCCGATTCCTTTAGCGTCTTGCAAAGTCTTTTTGAACGTGGAAACAAACTTTTGTTTCACTGTTTCTAAAAGAGTGTCGATAAAAGTAACTTGAATAGAAATTGAATGAATGGCAACAAAGATTAGTTCAAATTCATTTTCTTGAACCCAAGTCAACAAGTATTCGTTGTGATACGTGAATTTCTTTTCTGAAAGACGATCTTCCAACAAAATGGAACGAATCAACTCGTTGATCGGATTTCCACTCAACTGAAATCCAGTATGGCTCCACAGAACCAGCCCTCCTTTCGTAAGAACTGTAAAATTATCAATCATGATGTTATTCAAAACCTAAATAAATTGCTCGGATAATAACGGTGTTGAAATGATGAGGAATGAGTGATTGAGAAATCAAAATACTCTATTAAAGTAATGCGTTTTTTTTTTGATAAAGAATTTGGATCCAAACAATGGATGTTAAGAAGCGAACGTGGCAAGAGAAGGTTGAAGTGATGTCATCACGCATGAACGATTATTTAATTTTTGAGATAATGGGGAATTTCCGAAGGATCCGAGTGGAGCTGAAAACGTCTTCATCTTTGCAACGACTCTCGACTTGGTAACTTTTGTACAGCATCAACATCTTCTCTCGAAACACTCAAGCTTGAAATGCGTCTTCACTCCATTGCCTTCGAACAACTCGTTCATCAACACTCGATAAATAATTTCGTTCAATATTAATATTTATTCTTGATGATAAAAAATGACCATCAAACCTTTGAATCTTCACGCACACTTGAAGCCAGTCTCTTGGCTCAAATTCAGCAGAGAAGGAGACTTGTTATTTGTTTCCTCGAAAGACCAATCAGTCTCCGTGTGGTATACAAGCAATGGACAATTACTTGGTACTTTTAAAATTAGCGGTGCCGTGAATTGTATTGATGTAAATGCTTCAACAACAAGATTGTTGTGTGCTTCGGCCGATATGAAAGTTACATTGTGGGACATTCAGACTGGAACCATGTTATTGTCTGTGGAATTCCAAACTCCTGTAAGAGTTGTTCAATTCAGTGATGGTGATAAACAATTCTTGTGTGTTACCGATGCTTCATTCAAACAAACACCATCTGTTCAAATCTTTAGATTACCAGAAGAAGGTACCGAATCAAAGGCTGGAAAATTAATTCCATCAGCCAAGATTGAACAAAAGGAGAAAATTACATCAGCAGCATGGGGTCCTTTAAATAAGACTATTATTTGTGGATTTGAGGATGGAACAATTAGAATGTTTGATGCAACAAACGGTAAACTGATCGGACAAACAAAGGAGCACACCGGTCCTGTAGTAAGATTGGCGTTTTCAAAGGATAAAATGTTGTTCATATCTGCCTCTCAAGATAAGACTGCAAAACTTTTTGAAACTCAAACTCTTGAACTTTTAAAGGTTTACAAACATACAGATCCTGTCAATACTGCTGCTATTTCTCCAATCAAACGCCATGTCATTTTGGGAGGTGGTACTGCAGCTCAAGATGTCACAACCACTGCAAAGAAACAAACATACTTTGACACTCACTTTTTCCATATGGTGTTCGAAGAAGAATTAGGTACAGTAAGAGGCCATTTCGGTCCAATTCACTTTTTGGCCTTTTCACCTGATGGCAAAACCTTTGCATCTGGAGGAGAGGACGGTTTTGTGAGGTTATATAACTTGGACAGACAATATTTGACCATGGATGACTCTCCAGAGGCCAACTTGGATGAAGAGTAAGATTGATGTGAAAATCTCCACTTAATTTTTCAAAATAAATTAATTTTATGCAACCTTATTTCAAACATTATTGCTTGTTCCATAAGTGATTCAAATCTTTCCACTCATCGATCACTCGACCTCTACACCCTTCGAAGAGCATCCTTAAGATTTGGATCGCTCTCAACTAGACGTTTGAATCTTCTGGCCATGTTAGAGATTTCTTCAACCGTAAAATCTTGCGAGCGTTTAGAGAGAGCTGCTTGCACAGCTTCCATGTTTTTAGATCCACCCTCAACGGCACCAGCAGCAATATAAGCAGATTGTTTGGGTGTGAAATGCATTCCCAGATTTGTGGAAAGTTGTTTTCTCTTGCTACTGAAAATAATCCTACAAAATTGTTCTAGGTCTTCGAATTGTACAAGTGAAGTGTCAATGAGAGGTGTTGTTCTTGGAATTAAACGCATGACGCTTGCATCGACATCTGGAGCAGGTACGAAACTCTTTGCTTTCACAACGAACATGTGTTCAACATCACACACACTCTGTGAAGAGACGCTGATGCGACCAAATTCCTTTGTGGAAGGTTTAGCACCCATTCTCATTCCTACTTCCTTCTGAAACATTAAAATCATTGGTATTCTCCTTCCGAAAGCAAACGCTCCTGTACAATTTGCACAATCTCTTAACCAGTTAATTAATAAAGGTGTAGCAATTCCGAAAGGTAAATTTCCGATAAATACAGTATTTGCAATTTCTTCATGATTTACACTCTTTTCTTCAGGTTCTAAAAAGTGATCCATTAATTTGTATTGGTCTACTTTTAATATATCTCCTTGTACAATATGCATTTTGTTATCCTCTACTGATTGTTGAAGATTTTGTAAAGCAGGCATAAATCGATCATCTTTTTCCACCACAATTAATCGTTTCGGATTTGCTTGTAAAATGGATCGGGTTAAACTTCCAGGACCAGGTCCAATTTCCACAACGGTTTTTTTTGAAATATCACCACACGCTTTTACTATTTTATCTGTAACATGCAAATTGAGAAGAAAATTTTGGGAGAGTTGTTTGCTGGCTTGGAGGCCGTAGAGTTTTAAAATTTCTCGGAGTGAAGGAAGTGGAGGAAGGTGAGAAACTAGCTGTTTCGACGTCATTTTTTTTATTGAGGAAAATTCGTATGTGGATCTCACCATTCCAACCTTTTCTCCTTTTCCTGTTACCATCCGACCATGACAACTACTATTCGCCTTCTTTCACTCTCTCCTTTTCTTTTTGGTCAGCAAAATGTTACACGTTCTAAAAATTTACTCGAGACGGGACTCGAACCCACGACCCCAGGATTAGAAGTCCTGTGCTCTATCCAACTGAGCTACACGAGCTTACAATAACTTAAAACACTTTGGATTATTATTCGTTTGTGTCGAGTTAGCGTCCTGCATTAATAGGTTTCAATCAAATACAACCAAAACACAAGGTGAAATGGTAGAACAAATCCCAAAGTGATCAACATCTCTGGATGAGATGAGTCACTTAAGACTGTTATAATTAATTAAAAAAAATGCTGTCGAGACCTTTCCCTGCTCTTGCCCACACCATCCCACTTCTGAAGCAAACACAAACATTTAAATCAAGCATTCATCATGGCTTATTGTCCATCATTGCACCACCTTCATCGGCTATTTACAGAACCATTCATCGGCACATAAATCCTGCCATCATTATGATCGAGCTTTCAAATAATAATTTATTTTCATCCTCATCGGATTCCAATCACTCATTCAAAAGTTATCATTCATCCCTTCACATGAGATCAACACAACAAGAGGAAAATGAGGATGAGGATGTATATCTTGATCGTGTTGCTGCTGAACTTGATATTCAATGGACTTCTTATTTCAAAGCTAGATCTCTAACTAGAAAACCTGGTGATAGGCTCCGAAGAGGTAAACAGCTACTTACTGCAGCTCCTGAAGATCTCGGAATTGAAAAAATGGTAACACCAATTAATTATGAAATTCCTGATCATTTTACTCATTATCGATTGATTCGTATTTCGGATGGTTCCATGGTTGGTGAAAAAGTACCAAGAGCCGAAGCCGAAGCAATTGCTTCAAATGAGTCGTTGGATTTAATTCTCGTAGTAGACACTGTGGATCCTCCTATTGTAAAATTGGGCGATTATGTTGTCTATTTAAAGCGTGGCATCATCAAAGATAAACTCGGTGAGTTAAAAGAATTAGAAAAACAATTGGAAGAAAAGAAAGTTAAGGAAATTAGATTTTCAGGAGCTATTGAGGAGCATGATTTGGACGTCAAGATGAAGAAGACTGTCAAATTTTTGCTTTCAGGAAAGAAAGTCAGAATTCTTTGCTTCCGTGTTGAAAAAGAAGAAGAAGCTTTCCAATTATTGAAAGATTTCATGAGCAAAGTTCGGTCAAAACTTGCTGATGAACTACCTGGCATGGATGTGAAAAAGATTCTCGAAGAGGAAAAACCATTTAAACAGAAAAACGAATTTTTATTCAATGTCAAGATTAAGGACGATGCTTTTGCAAAAATTAAGAAGTTGGTTGCTTCAACCAAGAAGGAAGAGTAATTATGTAACAGCTTGTAAAAAACCTTTGTACAATTTAAATGTAGATAGGAAAGATTGAGGGTTTGTTGTCAATAAAAATTAACACAACTGATCATTTGGGCAAGCAATTTCTACTTTAATTGATAAGAAATGACATACTCTGGATAAACAACATCCTTGTCATAGAAAATATATTCTCTATATTCTACTGCACTGTCTGGAACATCTTTTCTCGAAAGAGCAATGACAGAATCCTTATTTATAGGAGGCTCCTTTGCATATCTCATAGCGACCTTTGTAAAATAAGGATCACCTATCAATGCCCGACATAAAAATAATTTCTTTTCACACACCTTACATGAGGTACTTTCGTGTTGTTGACATTTCGAGTACTGATTCGATTTTGAGCTCAAGTCGGCCAAATAAATACCCAATCCAAACATGCCATCAAATTTTGATTTTCTGGGATCAAAACCCTACTCAACAATGGTGTCCACTACAGCCTCAGGACAGCCATGAAATAAATACAATTCTAATTGCTTCTTCTCATGTGCATATTCTTGAGATTTCAAAAAATATTTCACATAGAGCTTGGCATTTTGAATTCTTGTAATGGAACGAATGAGATATTGTGAAAACTCTCCTCCAACATTTCCTTTGTGTTTTTGAATCGTAGTATCCATCAAAGATTTCACAAACTTGTATTCATTACTAGTTGGTTTTAACTTCACAAGTGTTGTAGACAAGTCATTCATCGATTCCCAATTTTGTGGAATTGGAATATGTAAATGCAACACGGATTCTGTATGAAAGTCGTTATACGGAGTGGGTGTTGAAAAAAGTACATTCTTTGTAAAATCATTCGTATTCAATTCCTTATTCAATTTCGTAATTTCATCATGATCCATCTCCACTGGTATGTGATTACTTCCTTTAAAAGTGAGCAAAGACTTTGAAATGGCTTTACTTTCACGAGTGGCCAATTTAAGAAGAGCCTTTTCCAGTCGATCAGAGAGCAGTTCATGAATTTGAGTCGCCATCACTTCAAAATCATAGGAAGAATTCTGCTCTGAAAAGAATTCCTGTTCCTGTTCACAAAATACTTGACGAACAGTTTTAAAATATAAATCCAAATGTGAGTTAAGAGACCACTCCGTATTGATGGCCAGTACATATAATGGCAAATGAGAGGTTATTTCGGGAGTGGCAATAAAAAGTTCAGGAGCTGCTTCAACACTCATGGTGTAATTAGAGTTCAATAATTTCGTGTTTGTGTCATTTGGGGTGGCCAACGCTTTTTGAAGTTGAAACAACACACAAAGTGGATGACATTCTTGAGAGTTATTGGTTGGAAGAGTTGAAATGACCGCTTGATCTGCTTTGGCTTGTACTCGAATTTCGAAAAGTAAAAATTTAAAGTTGATTTTTGACAGGTCTGTGGATTCTCTCAGTTTTTCAGAAAGAGATCGAGGAGAGAGGTTGCTGAGAGGGACGGGATCACGTAATGCATGGAAATCAATCAAGGTGTTGGTGGTAGGCTTTGATGATGAGCGAGGCCGTTGTATCATTTTTTTTGAGAATTCTATTTTCAAACTTGAGAAGTGTCATGGTGATAAGTGAAGAAATGACACCTAAACTCAGTTTCAATGTTTGTTTCTTGAAAATGTTCTTCTCTTTAACTCACAATAAATAGAAGAACCACTTGTCACAAAGTACTTGATTCCAACAATAAAAATATTTCCACACAACTTTCATGGCCGTCGCGATCACCAACAAACATTTTTCCATTCTCTACCAATTGTTCACATTCATTCAACTTGTACTCTCTCTCACCTGTAACACCCTCACCATCCAGTATTTAGCCACACTCATCAAAAGTTCCAACTCAACTTCGGAACAACACATTTGGGCCATTCTCTTCATGAATCTTCTCGTCATGCTAGAGATGATTCTTGTGGCATGTTGGGGTCTTTCTCTATGGCGTGGAACCATTTCCTTCCATTCAAATTTCAGTTCCCATTCCGAGAAGAAATTAAAAACTTGTTCCATACTGGGTCTTGTTGCTCATTCCTTGCAAACACTTTTCGGAATTATAATATCGTATATTGCAAGTTGCAGTTTATTGTATGGAAATTTATGGCAACAAGGATCCGAGTGGTATTCCAAGATGCAAGCACTTCCACTCGTTGTGGCACTTGGTCATGAAGCATTTTCTGTGATGTGTTGGGGTGTATCGATTTGGAATGTAATATTTGTCTGGAGAGAGTGCAAACGAAATGAACATGTGACCACAATGACGATTGGTGATGAGGAGATGAGTCCACCACATGTTCGATTGGAAGAGGAGGAGGAAGAACATTGATAGCATTGCTTGGAATGATTTTAGATGATTTTGTGACATGATGCATCATTCATAATGAACTCCTTTTATCATGAACTTGAAAATCATCAGCACGTTCTTACAATGTATTTCTCATGCAATAGAAGACCACAAAGTTCAGAAATAAAAAATGCTTAAACCAACAACCGACAACAGGCTTAATGTCATACTGGACCGATTTCTTCTTGGAACATCAGTGATAGTCATGGGAGGATTTGTGTGCCTACTTGTCGCACTAATTTCATCATCGGAACCTGTTCTTTCAATATTTATTCGATCCCTGATGTCCAGTTTGCTGGCGCATATTAAATATTATGTGGCAATTAATATTCCGTATTTAATTTTTGAAATTTTGAGTAATTTATTTATTTCAGGATGGTTTAAAAAGACTGAAAAGTTTTTCTTGCATTTGAATCCATTGATTTTATATTCATTTGTTATTTCTTTCATTTGCTCGATCGGAATTATTCCTATTAGATTGTTGATTAAAATTTAAATTGTATTTTTACACGAAACGAACATGAATTCCATCATGTTTTACACCCTTATTGTTCTGAATAAATTCTCTCTTCCTTAACGCAGGCTTCTAAAATTGATCACAAAGAACAAGCATAGTTCTCAAAGAATGCACATTCCTGAGCAAGCAACACCGAATTGTCTCTCCGTCTGTCCCGTTGAATCAAGTGTGCATGGTAAGCAAGTCGACAATTAAGGCAATAGAGTTGATTTGAAGTTTTACAATTTATTAACTTTGTTGTGCATCCAAGGTTAATTTAGAAGCACTTTCTGTGGACAATACCTGGACCGGCATCCTCATATTCTTCCTTGGTGATCCACATTTGTTGGAAGGTGGACAATGAAGCCAAGATGGAACCACCAATCCAGACAGAGTATTTTCTTTCTGGTGGAGCAACAACCTTAATCTTCATGGAAGCAGGAGCCATGTTGGTCAACTCCTTGGTCATTCTCTCAGCAATACCTTCGAACATGGTAGTACCACCAGACAAGACAACGTTTCCGTACAAGTCCTTTCTGATATCAATATCACACTTTCCGATTGAGTTGAATGTAGTTTCATGAACACCAGCAGCTTCCATACCAATGAAGTTTGGTTGGAACAACACTTCTGGACATCTGAATCGTTCGTTACCAACAGTAATCACGTTACCATCTGGCAATTCATAGGACTTTTCAACTGAGGAGGATTCAGCAGCAACCTTCATTTCTTGTTCAAAGTCCAAAGCAATGTAACAGAGCTTTTCCTTGATATCTCTGACAATTTCTCTCTCAGCAGTGGTGTTGAATGAGTAACCACGTTCCATGAGAATCTTCATCAAGTAATCAGTCAAATCTCTACCAGCCAAATCCAATCTCAAAATAGCGTGTGGCAAAGCATAACCTTCATAAATTGGAACAGTGTGTGAGACACCATCACCAGAGTCCAAGACAATACCAGTAGTACGACCAGAAGCATACAAGGACAAGACAGCTTGAATAGCAACATACATGGCTGGGACGGAGAAGGTCTCGAACATGATTTGAGTCATCTTCTCTCTGTTTGCCTTTGGATTCAATGGAGCTTCAGTCAACAAGACTGGATGTTCCTCTGGAGCAACTCTCAATTCATTGTAGAAGGTGTGATGCCAGATCTTTTCCATATCGTCCCAGTTAGTGACAATACCGTGTTCAATTGGATACTTCAAAGTCAAAATACCTCTCTTGGATTGAGCTTCATCACCAACGTAGGCATCCTTGTTACCCATACCAACCATGATGGACTTTTGCTTTGGTCTACCAATAATAGATGGGAAAACAGCTCTTGGTGCATCATCACCAGCGAAACCGGCCTTACACATACCAGATCCGTTATCGACAACGAGTGCTTGAACGTCTTCAGACATTTTGTGTTTGTTGTGTTGGGAATAGAAGTTGAGGTTTTTTTGTTTATGTGAAAAATTTGATGGCAATCAAGAGACTTAAAAAAATTTATGTCCTTGTTGCTCTGACGTGTTGTTGGATCTTCAACAAACCAATGATTTTTTTGACAGATTGTAAACTTGACAATGATTGATGATGTCCAAACCATAAATGAAAGTTGCTTTCCCAAACACATTTTTCACTTGATGAAAGGTGTGGTTAATGGATGAATGATGCCATCCTTCAAATTTTCATGAATTATTTACTGTAGATATGACTTGAGAGACATGATCAACTAAGGTGGATGATTACTTGTCTTTTCACATCATCAAGAAAACGACAGAAGGGCAAATCACTCATAAATTTTTAAAATTAATGATGTTTTAATGAAAATCATATTTGCAGCCTAGAGAAGTGAATCAATATTTACAAGGGTCAAAATTAGGAATTGGTTGGAATGAACAATCTTTACTTTCGGAAAGTCTTATTTCTCATTTCCAAAGTATTGTGAGAAGGTCGTGAAGAGAAATAATTAATCACTTCTGATTTATCATGATCATCTCCATATTGATTCATGACTTTATAATTGAATTGTTTTCGTTGTCTTGTTCCTCCGATGATATTATCCATTGAAATTTCGGAAGAGTAATTGGAATATCCCTTATTGCTTCTTGTGCAGACCAAACGATTCCTCATCATCCACTGATAAAATTCCAACAAAAACTGAATGGGTCCGATCCAAACCCATTGATATTACTAAACGATTGCCTAATTTTGATATTGATCCACGCAATGTTGTGAGTGGAACCCGAAGAAGAAATAATGTGGATTATCATGTCTCTAATTTAACTGGAATGCAAGTCTCAGTGAAACGATCATCGAAAAATACTTTGGAAAAGAGAGCTAATTCATCGTCACCCTCGAAAATTACAAAATCAAGAAAGATGAAAAAGTGAATAAATAAATAATAATAATCTAGAAAATACATGTGACCATTCAAAGGTATTCTTCTCAAAGGATGTGGTGCCTTCAATATGTATCAACTTTTATGATACGAGTTAGGCAAAAGAAAAAAACAAAATGAATGACATGAAACAAGCATGGTGTGGAAGTTTGGAGATGGCAAAGTTCGCAATCTAATGACTCCTCATGTTCCAAAACATAGCTGACTTCTTCTTCTCACAATTTTAAAGGAGGAAGTTTCGGAAAGAAACAGCTTGCATGAATCGAGGCTATTATTCTCGAATATTATCCAAATATTCCATTCTTTCAACACCCTTCTCTGTGTTAAATTTATGAAAATAATTTGAGAGAATTTGTGATGCAAATTGCTTTTCATTCATTCTCTGTTCCAATCGTTGAGAAATGCTTTCGCTTCCGAAGCTTGCGAGCTTGAAGGGAAATTAACCTTGAGTTTGGAGCTGTGAAACATGTTGTGCAAGAAATGTGTTTTGAAACTCGCATAAAACTTTCTCAAATTGCCAAACGAGATGCCATTTACAACCAGGTATTACCACCCCCAAAAATAGAAAAACCAGTGAAGTTAAATTTCAAGATACATAAACAGAATATAAAGCAAAGTGGCGCAGGGGGAGCGCGGTGGGCTCATAACCCACAGGTCCTAGGATCGAAACCTAGCTTTGCTATCTTCTTTTGCTTTTCCACTGTTTTAGGTCGGACAACTTGGAATAGGCTGTTTTTATCAAGCAAGGTTTTTTTTACAGTTACACAACAAGAAATGGTGGCAGGATTAGATGTCATTTTTAGCAAACACCTCAACACATGTTTCTAAAGATCAAAAACCACTTGCTTATTCTCAACAACCTTGGCAATATCTCGAAGGATTAACACTGTTATTTTGTATTCAAGATAAATGAATGGCTACGGCCATATCACGATGAATGCACCTCATCCCGTCCGATTTGAGAAGTTAAGCATCGTCGAGCTGCATCAGTACTGAGGTTGGAGACAACTTGGGAACCTGCAGTGCTGTAGCCTTTTTGGTCTTAACGCGTTGGTGCAAATTTTCCTGGCGGCGGATAAAATAGTTTTTAATTTTGCAGAGAGTACTCTCCCAATTCTCCTCTTCAATTATTGTACGATTGTGATCCAGTTTGTTGAAAACATCGGCTTTGAAACGTGTAATCAATGTGAGTAGTGTGATTGTTATGAACGTAGTAACCTTGATCAAAAAAATGTCTCTTTGTGGTCTTGTCACTCGGACGCTAATTTCTATTGTGGCAGTAGTCGTTCTCTATTATCAATTGAATTCAATGAGAAATGTTGTTCATGTGAACGATGTCTTTAAAAATCCAACTTCGGAAAATACACACAATTATCAAATATTTCCAAGAAAATTAATTAAAAGTAATGACATTATGATGGATGTGGTTGTGTTGGAAAAGTCAACAACAACAACACGTGCAAATACTTCAGACAGCAACACTAAAAATCCACTCGTTCTGTTCTTACATGGATTTCCACAAACAGCTACAACCTCCTGGTACTTCCAACTCTTATATTTCATGAACAATGATTATAAATTTGGAGGTCAATCCTATACAGTCATGGCTCCTGATCTTCGTGGATATAATGGTACAGAGAAACCAGATGTCAATAATTTGGCAAATTACGATATTGGTGAATTTGTTCATGATGTCAAAGGTCTCATTGATGGTTATTATGGAAACAATGAAGCTCACAATAGAAAAGCTGTCGTCGTAGCTCATGATTGGGGTGCAGTAATTGCTTGGGCACTTGCTTCTACGTATCCACAAGTGGTTGAAAAGTTAATTATTCTCAATGTACCTCATCCTAGTACTCTCACAAAAACGATAACCACATTGCCTGTGAATAGAATTTTTGCACAATTGAGAAAGAGTTGGTACATCTTCTTTATGCAATTAGGATTCTCCATTCCAGAAGAGTATTTTTCAAGAGAAGGATTTAAGAAATTGTCATTTGCTTTTGCTTCTCTGGCAAAACAAAATATTCTCTCGATTGAGGATTATCATTACATTGTCAGTGCTTGGTCCCAACCAAACTGTTTACAAGGAATGATTGCATATTATAGAGGTTTTCTTACAGGAAAGGTTTCAAATTATTTGAAAATGAAATTGTTTGGAATGAAAGATCAAAGAAGATATCCAATGGTAGGCAATACTATGGATGGTCCTCTCGAAAATCAAACTGTGAAAGTACCAACATTGATCTTGTGGGGAAAGGATGATATTGCACTTATTGAAGAAACTGCTGATTTATCATTCAAGTACTTTGTAGACGAGAGTGTCAAGTCCAAATCAAAATTACAAAAATTCGATGCAGGTCACTTTGTCATGTTGGAGATTCCAAACAAAATTAATGAGGAAATTGAGAAATTTATTAGTAACCGTGATTAATGAATTTTCAAATTTTAATGATTAATTACATGTTGACATCAACACCTATCCTCTTCTTTTTCGACAACAACATGTAATTGCCAATTACTTTAATGCAAGCTGGACATTCACTCTTGCTTGCACAACACTATAACTGACACAACATTCATTATTTCATCAGTCCGAAAATGAAAAAAGCAAGTGACTGGACCCTCAACTGTCATTATTCGTGCATGATAGAATGCGCGAACTTGCGTGATAGGCAAGGTCACCATAAAAAATTGAAATGATTATTCCACGTTGGAAGTTACCAAAGGTTGCTGGCTCCACATGCAAACAGACCCGTTCATCTTCCACATCATCCTCATCACACAGATACGTATGGACACATTCTTCAATCATATCTTTCCTTGCTGTGGTCATCATGTTTAGTCTTTTGTGTGTCCAACAAGTCGATAACACCTCCTCTTCATCTTCCTCTTGTACAATATTCTCAGCAGTACATGCTTCAACCATTAAATCTTTCCAACCTCCGCAATATACAGTGTCCACAGTTATTAGAGGACACGGAATGGATGGTTACAATGCTTTGACAGCTGGTGTCGGTTTAGTGAGCTCTGTGCTCACACTCAATTATCAAGGCAATTATCATGCGGTATTCACAGACAGCACCACAGGTCGAGTTCGAAGACTTAATCTTGGACTCGCAACTCCTCAGATCTCAACCGTAGCAGGAACAGGTTTAGGTGTTTTGAAAGGCGAACTTGCTCCACTTGTATCTCCACGGCCTGGATACAGATCTAACGACACATGGTTGCAATCACCAAAAGGAGCATCTTATGACTCGAAAACTGATGTAATGGTTGTGGTTGATTCATCTCTTCATAAAGTCTTTCAGGTGAATATCACGACAGGTGTCTTGACGACTTTGGTAGGAACTGGTAATACAACTTTTAATGATAACAATTTTATTGGAAATGAAGTGAATCTCAATGCTCCACTCTCAGTAGCACTTTCAAAAACAAGAAATGAAATGTTCATTGCAGGTAAGTTTCATTTCAACCTCACTTTCAAGAGCATGATGCATTTGTTGACCAAATGAATATGGATACAGATACTGGAAATCACAGAATATTGAAATACATGTTCAGTACTGGAGAAACCACAACTGTGGGTGGAAATGGTACTGCAGGTTTCGCAGGAGATGGCAACAATATGGTGTTTGCTCTTTTCAATTCTCCATCATTCATATTACCAACCTCATCAGGTGTTACGTTCGTCTCAGACACGAAGAATCATCGAGTGAGAAGAATTACTGCCAGTGGAACCATTACAACCATTGCAGGAAGTGCTCAACGTGGCTATTGTAAGTATTCATACTGATTATTGTTGTTTTCATAGTTCTGGATAATATTCTTCTTGTAACATTCCATGTGAAGGTGGTGATGGAGGATTGGCAACATTCGCTTGCTTGAACACCCCTCTTGGACTTGGTCTCTCCCCTGATGGATCTGCTTTAATGATCGCTGACTCGTTGAATCATGTCATTCGACAAGTGAATCTGACCTCTGGAGTGATTACAACTGTGGCTGGAAATTCCACTCAAGGATTTTGTGGTGACGAAGGAAATGCCTTAAAAGCCTGTTTCAACACACCCTCAGGAGTGGATTATGCAGGAAACGACCTGATCATTGCCGATCAAAACAACAAACGTCTTCGTAAAGTCTCCTACATGACTGGACAGCCAATCCTTTCCACTGTTGCAGGTTGGGGAAGTGAAATTCCTTCTGCACAAGTCGAAACTCCAAGTTGGTCCTCAAATTTGTTATATCCTGTGAGTGTGAGTGCAAGCAATGATGCGCTCGTGGTTGCAGAATATTATGCGAATCGTATTCGAAAAGTTTCAAAATCCAATGGAATGGTCTCTTCGATTGCAGGTACGCTCGGCGAAGCTGGTTTCAGTGGTGAGGATAGTGATGCTAAACTTGCTTTACTCAATCATCCTTCGAGTGTAGCCGTAACCATGGATGGATCTGTACTGGTGGCAGATACCAACAACACTCGTGTGAGAATGATTGATTCTAATGGAATGATCAAAACTGTGGTTGGAAATGTGACTTCTGACGGAGATGGTGCTTCTGCCATTCGTGCCTATTTATCCCTTCCCTTAAAAGTGGTTTACCATGCCGCAACTGATGAACTGTATCTGACAGATTCCATGCATCATCGAATTCGAAAAATCGATTCCACTGGCATGATTCAAACAGTAGCTGGAACTGGTGTTCAGGGATATAATGGAGACCAACTCAATGCAACATCGACACAACTCGTTGTTCCATTTTCGATAGCTTTAACTCCTGAACGAGAAATATACATTGCTGATACAGGAAATTTTCGAATTCGAAAAGTATTTTTGAATGGAACTACAAGCATCATTGCAGGAGGAGGAGTCAGCACCTCTGAAGGTGCTAAAGCAACTTCAACCTTTATTTCAGTAGTGTATGACATTGCATATGACAGCAAGACTCAAACTTTGTATTATACGGATGGCAATAAGCATGGTGTCAGAAAGATTGATCAAAATGGACTTGTATGGACAGTAGCTGGTAAGTGTTAAATGGTCTATTGTCATGTTGACAAATAACATGAATGACGAATCATTTGTGAAATATACAGGAAACGGTCAAATTGGAAATTCTGGTGATGGAGGAAGTGCCTTATTGGCTTCTTTCAATAACCCACTTTCTATTGCATTGTCCAATTCTGGTGAGTTGTATATCGTAGGTATGTACATGTTATTTTCATGCATCCTGACACTTTTCTAGACGGAGGTGCACGAGTCGTGCGAAAAGTTCTCACCAACGGCACTGTTGTAAGAGTGGCTGGCGGTGGCTCTCAAGCGGTTGGTCGTAATCCAGTCCTTGCCCTTAATGCCTCTCTTGACAACCCTACCCGCATCCTTCTCGCATCGAACGGTGAATTTTACATTGGCGATCAATGCAATGTCAAGAAAGTGGATACCAATGGATACATTTCCATCGTGGTAGGTACCTCTTCAGACTGTGTGTACAATGGAGATGGACCAGTATCGGAAAGAACTCTTTCGAGTGTGAATGGACTTTCCTTTTCTCGGTCTGAGGATGAACTCTTTCTTTCGGATGGAGCTGATGGCCGTATTCGAAAAATTTCAAATGGATCGATGAGTACAGTGGCTGGAGGAATTGGAGATACAGGTCTCGCTGTGAATGCCAAGACTTCTCCGTTGCATGTGTTTGCTTCATCGAAGGATCGTTCGTTTTATATTACAGATGTATTGGAATCATCAGTTCGAAAAGTTTCCGTGGATGGCACGATTGTAACCGTTCCTGGAACCAGTCAAGTCTTTCTACTTCCCAATGCTTCAACCAAAGGAGAATCTCGTTTGTATCCTACTCAGACATTTGTGAATGAGGTCACTGGAGATTTGTACATGACCTTTAAATATCGACATGTCATTAAGAAAGTGACACGTTCTGGAGTGTCCTCGATTATTGCTGGACAGTTGGACACTCCTGGATCGGAAGGTGATGGATCTCTAGCCATTCGTGCGCTCCTTAATCAACCCACTGCGATCATTGTCTCTCCAAAGGGAAATATCTATTTTTCAGATGCTGCAAATCATCGAGTAAGAAAAATTGACACGAATGGAATCATTACTACCGTTGCAGGTGTATCCATGAGTGGAGGATTCAACGGTGATGGGTTACTGGGATTGCAATCTCTCTTGGACACCCCGAATGGTCTCTTTTTATCTCAAGAGAGTGGTGAATTATTAGTATGTGACTCCAACAATCATCGTGTTCGTAAATTGAGTCCTTTCTGTTCATCGCCATACACGTGGAGCCCATCTTTTGAGAGTTGTCTACAATGTCAAGATGGATGGATTGGTATCGATTGTAACATTCCTTTTTGTCCTACCTCTGTTCAACAATCCAATACAACTAATTCACCATTAGGATGTACCAATGATTACCAAGTCATTTCAGAAGTCAAGACAGAAGTGGTCCAAAATTTAACCTTAATTAATTCCAAGAATGTGACTTTTACCAATTTCACCTCTGTGAAAGTTTCCTTACCTCCAACCATGTTGAAAGAATTAGTGTCGTTAGGTCTTAATGAAACTTCCCAAGTGACCTTATTGACCTCTCTCTATGAACCATCCAAGAATGAGAGTACCAAAAACAGTAATTCTGTGGAAGCACCAGTCGTGAGTGCAGTTCTTACTGTGTCCTTGTATGACTCTCGTGGACAAACCATTCCTATTCGAAATTTGGAAAATCCCATCTTGTTGCATTTTGAAGATATTCGTTTCATACTTCAAGAAAGGAATTCACTCAATGTGAGTTGTGTGTATTTTGATGATTCATCAAATTCTTGGAAAAACGATGGAGTGGAATCTGTACTGAATTCAGTGGTGCAACAAGAAAACAATGTCACTCTCTCCATAACTTGTAAAACCTATCACCTGACTTCTTTTGCAGTCATTGATAAGAACTTTAAGAAGGCAACCACTCAGACCGAGGAACCCAAGTTTAGTCTCTCCCAAGAAGCATTGATTGGAATTATTGTGGGATCCGTTGGAGGATGTTTGGTACTGTCAGCAGTTTGTTTAATTGTCGTCGTGGTGATTGCTCTGTACATGCGTACTCGAAATCGAAAATAGAAACGTGATCTGCTCAAGAGGTTAAATTTTAAATATTCGAAAAAGAAATTATTTTCATTAACATTAAAAATGAAATTACTCACTTTGAACATGTGGCTCATCAATTCACTCTCCTTCAAAAAATCTCCTCCACCATTTAAGAAGGAACGAACGGAAGGATTTCTAAAACATTTAGCGAATGGTTTTGATGAATTTGAAAATTGTATTTCAGAAGAGGAAATCTTGATCCAATCTTCAAATGATTCCGAGAGTTGTGATGATCATGCCATTTCAACAGACATAGAATCATCGTTTGTACTTGTTGAACGGAAAATTCCGAAAGAAAAGCAACAAAAATCAGACAAGACAAAGGCTCACAAAATGTTTGATGTGGTTGTCTTGCAAGAGGTTTTTAGATATGGAAATACTTTTTTTGAGTTGTTTGAAAATACATTTCATGAAATGATTGTAAAGAAGGGAACCAATGAATTGAATTATCATGTCGCTTTGTCAGATCCTCCATATCCTTTATGTCAAGACTCTGGACTGCTAATTTTGAGCAAATATCCCATCGTATGTTCCAAAAATTACGTTTTTCAAAACACCAGTTGGAACGATTATGTGACAGGTAAAGGAGTTCTGTATGCCAAAATCCACAGTCCACACGAGGGTGTTATTCATCTTTTTACGCTTCATATGGATGCTCATGACGAAAATATTCGACGAAGCCAAGTGGATGAATTGATAGCATTTATTAGAGATTGCACATATATTTCATACGCAAAAAGAAAGCATACCAGTTCACATCAACAGAATTTGACAAAACACAATATAGTATTAGCTGGAGATTTTAATATTGACAGTTTAGTGGATTTAGAAATTTATGAATATTTGATGAACGAGCTCAATTCAAAAATTTGTAAAAACTACATTCAAGATTGTGAATTCAAAGATATTTTCGGGAGTGATCTTACAAAGCATCCAAAAACTCACAGGAATATGTGTTTGGATCACATCATTTACACTGTGCCCACTAGTTCCAATGATTTGATTTTCAATCCATTTGCTTCTCGAGGGCGCAAAAAGTCTTCAAGAGAGCCAAACACAGTGGAATCAACACAAACTTATCATATTGTAGATTGGAATTGCGATATTGGGAATGATGAAAAGTATCCCATATCTGACCACTTTGGAATTGCTACTGACCTCAAATTGTGAATTTTAACAGATCATCCATGATAGGGTCGGTTGACGAACATGAATACATTGTGCCACTGTTGAATTCAATACATTGCGGAGAATGTACCACTCTCCTCATCACGCTATTTTCAATTAATTAATTTATTGTTCATACATGAATCCAATGTAATACGTGGTGTGTATACATGTGATGCGTCCATCATCATCACTTGCTATATTTAAAGAACTCCCTTGTACTTCATATCAGATCCCTTAATATGGCTTACCAACCATTGCTTGATGAATTGAATTTCACCATCTCCAACACTCTTCAAACCCAAAGCATCTTGAACAAACTTATCATGAGTCTCCTTGTGAGAAGCAGAATCAGAGAAATTCACCTTGGCAAACAAGTCCTCCTCTGCCTTGAAATGAACAACAACATAATCCAACAATTCCTTCAATGCAGAAGCACTGGATCGATTGGCATCCAAAGCATTGATGAGAGCAAAGAGCTTCTTGTGTTGGTCATTCAATTCATTGTTACCCACGCAGAAAGTAGAGTCCCATTGGAATGGTGATGGAATAGTAGTGGCCATTGTTATTGTTGTGAAGTGTTATTGCTGTGGATGTCGTCACAGAAGTGTTTTAGTTTTTTGTTGTGTGTGTTTCACATGGCAGTGACAATTGGCGTATTTGAAGGTATTCAGAACGGGGTGGGACTACTTTTTCGGCAAAGTTTTAAAAATCTCCTTTTTTGATGAAATATTGGACGCATAGGCAAATCAAACGACTTGTTGTAATAAATCCAGTTGACTGCCGTCCACGTTTACAATTCGGAGTTTTTCTATCGAGTCGTGTTCAGGTGTGTGGCGTGACTGTAAACAAGTTCGGATCACGACAATGTGTTTATGGCGAATTGTACATTGGCGTTTTTGTAAGCCTCAATCCAAGACATCTGTTAGTATTAGTAGTACAGGGTTGTTAAATAATTTATTGATTTGTAAGAAAAAAAGATAAAAGATTGGCAAATGGATCAACTTAATTTTGTTCAAAACTAGATAAACTAATCATTAGAGGGAATAACAAGCGTCAGTTCTCTTAATGTCTAGAGGAGGAAGTAGAGGAACAGGATACATGGAATGTCCACAATGGGAATGTAAATTGCATGGACTGTTGTTTGAGTTTGGAAGCAGACAATGATGAAGATGATCTTGATCTTTTACAAATTCCTTTTCCCTTACTTGAAGCAGCAACAGTGGAAGCATCTTTCCGCTGGATAGCTTTTTTTGTAGTAGTTGGCGATGAAATAAAGGTTGAGCTTGGAATTGGACTGATCTCTGCGAATTGAGAAGGGTGGCTTGTTTCACTTGGATTAGGGGCTTCAGGATGTGATACAACATGAACACCACAATAAGAAGACTTTGAACCACACAGCCCTTCATTGAGGGCTGATGAATGATCAAAACAGGAATCCATTAGCGATGGTTGATGTATTGTCAAGTCATGATTCCTTGTTGGTACAAACGAACCATGTTGGACTTGAAAATCTACTTTGAGTTCTGGATCCATATTTCTGAAACACTTGTCGTTGTTGGGTTCGATGTCATGGCTACTATTGCCCCAAGTTGGTAATGGTAGATTAGTTTTTGGTTGGGGAGTGCATTGATGCGCATCCGTTATGAGACAATGATCGCCGTCTTCATAGATCACGTTGTTGAGATTGAACATTGTACAGAGAGAGGAGGCATTCGAGGTGGTTGGAGAGTATGGTTGTGTGGAGGTTGTTGTTGTGAACCGTTGATTGAACAAGCCATGGCGGAATGATCCTGAATTCATGATCATGGCGTTTTCAACAAGTAACTTTTCGTAGGACATACAAAAATCTTCATGATCAAGTTTGAGCATGAGCGTGCCTGATGTAGTTGTTGTCATCTTTGTGGTCTTCCCCAATGTTTTGAAATTGCAATTGAATCAAGTAGAGTAGCAGAATAGTATGGAGCGATGAAGGTATGTGTCGTTGTTGATGCTGCTCTCGAATCAAGTTGATGAAGCTATTTGTCGTTATTGGTTTTTTATTTGAGATTTTAATGATTTCCATGAACCTCGGTTGATGGATGCTGGTCCTGCTGCCATTTTCCTCCTTCACACAAATTCAGGCAAATCCATTCGAAAATGGTATTCTTGCTCGAAAGTAGTATTTTATTTTGCAATTTAAAGCATCATGAAAGAGAGTCGGAGAGGCTAGAAAGGATAAAAGATACAAGGTTGGATGATTGTGATGTGCAGTCAAAAACCCGAACACTAAAAGGAAAACTGTGTGTTGTATGCGCTGGATCCTTGATATCTGTCATGCAAAATCTATTTGGAAAGTTCGCAAGTGTGGACGCAAATTGAGACATTGAAGAGTAGATCTTGAATTTGGTAAAATGTTATTTGTTTAGAATTAATATTGAATGAACATGGCAACCTATTGGCAGATTTATAGTGTTGAGCGAAGTATTTGCTGTGTTTCAATGTGTTGACAATGGATTCCATTGTGGCACACCTTCCAAATATTGAACATTTAATATTGCATTTTCAATTCCATGAAGATCTTGTTTCCATTGCTCTGGTTCATTCCTTGCTGAGGTTATTGCAAAATGAACAATATTGGCAATATTATTACACTGCAAATCTAACAAATGTCAATCCAACAACAATGGATGCAATAACGTTTGCAGCAATCAATAACAGTGACACACTATTGATAATGACCTCAAACATTAAACTTAACATTTTCATTGAATCAATCCTCATGGTTCCCAAAATTATGTTCACTTACACATAAACCTGAAGAAATAAGTAGTAGATCGTTCCTCCCAACATCAAAGTAAGGAAAGGCAAACTCAAAAATATAGGAGTATAGTTTTCGGTAAAATTGCCCAATGAATCTTCCATGAAAATAAATCGGGACCAATGTCCGTGTATGCAACACTTACTCAATCGGAGGTTGGCGAATGTGATAATGGAATAACAAATCCATCCAATAAATTCCAAAGCTAAAGCGTATGAAGGGTACAACAACATCGACCCTTTCGCGATCAGAGTTATGAACGACACAATCACTACAAAATAAGACCACACCGTGTTCGTCAATACAACAAGTTGAAAGGGCAAAGAGGTTAACATTTTTTTGTTGGTTTCGACGCCATGGCGCCAATTGTTTACTACAAAATTTTGTTTGGATAACCAACCGAGAATGGTCAAAGAAGGACGAACAAAATTCACATTTGAGAAGTTTTAAAATTTTTATAAATTAACTGTGGATAGTAGTACTTTAGAGAAGCTTTCGAAGCTTTTCTTTCAAAGATTCATCCACAGAATTATGTTCCAAATAAGAAAGCAATCCTTCAAGAACGGCATCAGCATTTCCAGAGCACAAAGTAGCAACATCTTGCTTGACCTTTTCACGTCTGATTTTAGCAATGCATTGCTGAACAGTGTGGCTGTTAGTTTCAACCCAAGAAAGGAAATCCTTGTCATTATTCCACAATTGTTCATTGTTGATGACTTGTTCTCTCAAGATTTGTCTCTTGACACTGATCTTGTTTTCAGTGACACAATCGCTCAATTGGTTCAACAATGAGAATTCAAGAAGCTTTCTTCTTAATCTCCAATAAAAGTAGGATCTAGAGTTCTTCCATGATACAACTTCGGTGATAACACCCTTAGCCTTCATTCTTCCTGGAGTGTCATGTAGATCAGCAAAGCATTCAGCAACTTGAGTATAGATTGGAAGTAATCGTTCAACTCTCTTTTCCATCTTCAATTTAATTTGGTCTTTTTCTTGAAGAGAAATTTCAGAGCTACCCAACTCTCTGCTGAGTCTAATGTATTCTTCATCCAAACGTTGAATAGTAGCAACAATTTCTTGTTTTCTGTACTTGATTTCCACAATACCTGATGCTTCCAAAATACCACCCTTTGACTTTTCATCAGCAAACATTTCCATAACTTCATTGTTGATCATTGGATCTACTACGACCCATGCACCTCCTCTCAATTCTCCGTGTGGAGGAATATAAACAAACACTGGTTGTTTGTATTGAGTTAAAGCATCGACAATGTAGGAACCAAACTTGAGAATTTCATCAAACATGTCTCTTTGCCCTCCAGAAAAACCTCTCCAGTTGGCAAATATCATGAGTGGCAATTGTTCTCCCTTATTGAAGTCATTGATGGCTTGAGCAGTCTTGAATGCAGAGTCTGGATACCAAACTTGTCCAGATTTTTGAACCACACGTTCTCGTGAGTTACTGTCGGCTGGATCTGCTGGAATCACTTGTTCGTAAGTCTTTGTATCAACAGCAATAACACCCATAGGAATACCTCCAAGTCTGGCACGAGCAACGATGATATTCTTAGCCCATCCTCCGAGGGTTTCAAAGAACGAGTCCTTGTCAAAGAATCCACTCAAATATGATTTTTCATCATTATTTTCTAGATATTTACCAACCAACATTTCTCTAAAGTCATAGTGAGATCCTTCAAGTGGAACAAAGCCAATTTCACGTTCTGGATCATCTAAATTCTTCAACACTGGGAGAGGAGATCCAATGGTTTTAGGTACATATTGCAACCATTTCATAGCTTGTTGAATGGCACGATAGTCATCCGCTGCAACCAAGTGAGATACACCGTTTGGATACATGATTTGAATACCTCCCAATTGCAAGTTGCTTGTGTAAACTTCTCTAGATAAAACTTTGTTCAAGGCACCAGCACCAGTAAGCAAGATTGGAGCTCTTCTGTTCTGAATGATTCTTTGACCGAGTCTGTTCACATAGGCACCAATACCAACACTTCTTGCAGCAATATAGTTCATTGTGAAAATTTCTTCGTAGGCACGAGAGGTTTCACCAGCAATCATACCTGATCCTCTCAAGTTTTCAACACCAATACCATTTTCTTTTCCAATAATGTCAATAATCTTCCATCTCTTTTCATCGTTAACTTCAATCAATGTTGCGTTCACAGAGTGAGTTTTTTGAAGCTTCTCATAATCAAATTCGGTGAGGTAAAGATATTTGAACCCCTTAGTGCAGTCATTTGGATCAGTCCATTCAACTTTGAAGAGTTCTCTGACCTCATCCGCCAAACCAATTCTAGCACCAGAGTTGGCAGCAATATAGAATCTTGGGATCCTCAAGTTTCTTGCCATCTCGCTTGCCAATTGGAATACTTCATCTTCAATGACACCGAATGATCCCGATTGGAACGTAATATCGTTTGCAATGAGGATCATATCTCTGCCATCTCTGCATTCTGGTGTGTACATGGTAAGTTTCCAAACAACCATACCACAAGTGTTTTTACCAATAGCATCCTTGTTTGGATTTTCCACAAGCTTACGAGTCTCATTGTTCAAGATATACTCAACCTTTTGTAAGAGTACAGAGGGAATTGGCTCTTGCGTTAACTCATTGTATTCCTTCCACATGCCATGAATTGCTCTCTCGAACAAGTATGGGAAGTCATAAACATATGATGTTTCATTGTTGTGAGCAATAACTCTCTTTTGGTCCACTGTTTGAAGAATTGGATGTGGAATATTTACATCAAGTCCTTCTAATGGCTTCTTTTCTCCTACAACAGTCTTATAAACAGTTCTACCTGTATTTTGATCCTTCTCTTCACGATAAATATCTAGTGTGAGATTATAAGCTGTATCGTCACGAGCAATAAATCTGAATGTTTGAGGTTGAGATGTCTTTGAGAATTTAGCAGTAAATCGTACTTCCACTTCACTAACTCTCAATTTCCACAATCTCTTACCATAAACCTTTTGGAATCTTTCAATAATTTCACCGACCATGTCAGCTTTAACAACAACTTCTGGTAAAAAGTTGACGAAAATATGATTTGCATAGCTGGCAGCATAGTTCTTATCAGCCATTGCAATTTCCAATGCATTGATTGATGCAACAACATATCTTTCAAGTTCTGAAATTTGTAATTCTTCAGGATTCTCCTCAGTGAAAATATCACCTTGTAAAACAAGAGTACGAACAAAGAATCTCTTGTTCAAATAATCATATCTATTCAAACCAAGTTCCTTCTTCTTTTGACCATAGAAAACGTGCACAGATGGGTCTCTACAAGGATAAGGGTTGACGTCATAGTTTGAAAGTTTCTTGAGGAAAAGTTGGAACGCAAGAGTTGGCTCAATGTGTCTGTACATTGGATCTTCGTTGTAGTTAATTCTTTGCCTGAATGTAAAATAGAATGGTAATCTTCCTTGAATTTCTACAACCACTGTTACTCTCTTGATTTCATTATATTCAAGTTGCTTGCTATGTTTCTTCATGATAGTTGTAAGAGCTGAAACGAGTTCTGTATCATTTGGAGTAATTGTTTGATTCCACTTTAGCAACACTTTCAAAACGTTGGTATGGTCTGCATCATCATTATTCTCGAAAATCTTCAACACTTCAGGAAGATAATTATCGACATCATGGAGGGAGTCGAAAATGCTCATAACTCCAAAGCCAAGGTTATCTTCAGTTTCAGAAAGTGTGTTCAAGGAATCCATAGAAATGGATCCAACAATACCATCAGACTTTAAGGATCCAGAGTTAGTTGATTTCTCAGTATTCATAAAGTTGAATTCTACAGTCTTGTATTTTCCGTGGGATGCAGACTTCACGATATTGATATCAAACGTACAGTATGCTTTTCTAATGTAAACTTCTGCAGCCAAATCAGCAATTTTTTCATTTGGATCAGAGAAGAACTCGAGAAGGATATCAAAGCTGTAGTTAGACTTAACAATCAACTCTTTCAAGCAAGCTAACTTTTGTTGTTGGTCAGTTGCTTCAAGGCCATCTTTAAGGTATCCTTCCATTTCATCCTTCATTCTCTTCTTAGAAGGCAATCTGCTTGTTGTTAAGATGTGCTTAGCTGCAACTGCAACATCGCTGTATTCAGGAGCAACAAATGCTGCAAGTTCATCGAGAGTTGGAGTAAACTCTTTAACCATGTCGAGATCTTCAATAACTTCCAAAAGAGAACGAATGACTTTGTTCTTACTTCTAAGTCTGCAGTGTGAAAGTCCAATTTGATATGTCTTGGTGAGATTGTCGCTGTGCTTTTCTCTTAAATCGAACCATACAGCTTCCTTTCTCTTTCCTCCTTTAGTATCAAAACCTTTTTCAGTTTCCAAATAAGTTTCCAAAAGCTTTGAAAGAACGTTATAAGCATGTTGTTTGTATCCAGAGTTGAAAAGGTCAAAAATTTCATAAACTGGTTTGGCAGCCTGCAAAAATTCGTCCTTCTTTCCTCCTTCAAGTCCATTCTCAAAATTCTTGAAGAGAGTAACCAGTTCCTTGATTAAATCTTCGTTGTAGACATCATGTGTGTGATCATCGTTGTCTTGACAACAATATTCATCATATTGCTCCTTTCTCTTGAGCAAGACGTTGTTAACATCCTTAATCAAGGAAATTGGCAAAAATTTTCTTAAAACTGAAATCTTCTCAATCAGTACGTGAATGAGAACATTTCTATCTCCAAGTTTTTTCAAAGAAGTAACAGCCTGACTCAACTTGTCATTGAAAATAAATGATGGATAATCGTAACCTGCTAACAGATTCTCAATTACTTCCAATGCAGAAGTTACAACTCTATTTGGTGGTACTCTAGCAGTGGTACTAGAAGAGCTAGATGGTGGGAATTGTCCTTCAAATGGAAGTGATCGCTTAACTTGGGACTTGTCATCGAGGTCAATCATGGCAATGATGTCTCCTTGATTTACTCCTGTACCATCTACCAAGCAGTGATTGACTTTACCAGGCAATGGAGCATACACAGTAACAATCATTTTCATAACTTCCAATTCTGCGACTGGTGTATTTGGCTTGACATGAGCACCATTTTCAACAAGATATCTTATAAATTTACCACTCAATGTTGATCTTAATTGAGAAGGATCAAATTCCTTGGTGAACATGCAAACCTTTCCGTCAACCAAAACTCTGAGGCCAGATGGCTCCTCAGTTGCATAAGAAACATGGCTTTCGTTGTCAATGATAATTAACAAACCACTGTCTCTTAATTCTGAAAATTCTGCTTCTCTGGTTGAGCCATTCAAAGCCAAAGTGTACTTATTAGGACCGCTCCTAACTCCATCAACTTGATATTTAACGTTTTCATAAATCAGCTCAATAGAATAATGAACATCTACACAATCAAATGATGGAACTTGGCCTCTCTCTACTGCCAAAATCCAATTCTTTGCTCTTTCAGATACCATTCTGTGAAGTGTGTGCAAAGCGCCACAAGTGACAACCAAAAACGTATCTGGTTTTTCCAGTTTAATTTTACGTGCAATAAGTCCATCAAGCCAAGCTGTAGTGTATCTATTGTCAATGTAATCATCAAATTTTAGGAGTGATTGTAAATATTCGGCAGTGGTTCTAATCTCTCCTCTAATAGCAAGTTCAGAGAGTGCCAACAACATAGATTTTCTTGCCTCTTCTCTAGTGGATCCATGAGTGAAAATATGACCAAACTGGGAATCGGAAAATGCATGAACAGCGCCTTGAGAACGAATTGAAAAATATCCCCATACATTAGGTGCTGTTCTAAAGTTTAATTCAACCACGCCACCACAAGTTGGTTGGAATCCGCTTTCTGGATTTTCAGCAGTAATACGACAAGCAATAGTGTGTCCGACTGGTGGTCGTCTCTTACTGGCGTCATTCACATCAATGTTAACGGATGGAGAATATAATTCCTCCAATTGAACTCCAAAGAATCTTCTGATGTCTGCCATGTTGTATAAAGGAATACCCATAGCAATTTGAAGCTGAATTGAAGGAATATTTGTGAGAGTAATCCATTCAGTGACTGGATGCTCAACTTGCAATCTAGGATTCAACTCTAAAAAGTAGACTTGTTGAGTAGTTGGCTCATACAAGTATTCCACTGTACCAGCGCCGCTATAGTTTACACTTTTTGCAAGTGTGACAGCAGCAGCCTCCATAGTATCAACAACGTGTTTTGGAGCAATTGTTACTGGACCTTCTTCGATAATCTTTTGATGTCTTCTTTGGACAGAACAATCTCTCGAGTAGAGGGCAATTGCATTTCCGTGTTTGTCTGCTACTACTTGAACTTCCAAGTGTCGAGATTCACTCGAAAGTTTCATGAGGAAAATAGGAGAACCTGGAACCTCAATTTTGACTTGTTGAAATCCTAACTTCAATTCGGTATCATTAGTAACTTTTCTAATACCTTTACCACCACCTCCTTCCGATGCTTTAATCATGATTGGATAACCAATCTTATGAGCACATTCGAGTGCTTCGTTCTCTGAAGTGATGCAACACTCCAAATAGATATCTTCAGGAATTGGCAAACCATCTTTAGCGATGTCATAGGAAACATGACTTCCAGACCAAGGAATGCAAGGAACTCCAGCAGCTTGAGCCAAAATTGTGGAAGAAATCTTGTCTCCGAGAGCTTCCATTGGCAATGCGTCAGGACCAATGAAAGAGATTTTTCGTTTAGTTTGAGAAAGAGAGAAAGGTAATTCTGGATTTTCACTCGCGTGACCCCAGCCAGGCCAAACAGCATCACACATGTATTGTTCGGCAATGTCTACAATTAATTTGACATTGCTGTAATTGTTGAAATTGGATTCACCAGGAACTTTCACCAACTCGTCAGCTAATCTGACATACTCTGCATTGGCCTGAATGTCTTCAGGAGTTGCCATTACTACAAATTTAATGTCATCGGCTCTGCCAAAAACTTCGTTGCACCACTTTCTCATTGAACGAATTCCTTTAACAGCTGCAATACCGTTGTTGGCTATCAGGATCTTCTTAATTGGTTTATTTCCTCCCATCACCCGAACGTATTCTTCAATGTTGGCAAAGAATCCACGATTGGACTGTGTATCCACAACTGGACTTTGAGCAGACATGATGATGAAAAAGTGTTGTTATTGCTGATTGATGATATCGGGTATTGATAATTGATGAAATAATAAGAGCCAATGAATGATTCCGCTACGTTGTTGTTCAAAATTGTTCTCTAAAGCAAGGATGATGATGCCGTACAGGACGAATAGCCAAATCACCAAAGGAGAAATGATTTGTTCGGGATGAGAGCCTGTGAGGTTAAATTTTTTTGAGTAAAAGTTTTTATGAAAATCGCTGTTGGAAGCTTCTGTGAAAACGGGACCAATGAAGATGAACGTTGAAAAATGTCCATTTGTTAAACATCGGACAAGAATGTAGATCGTGGGCAGAGGAGAGAAATGAGAGAAGATGTGAAGGGAGTTTCCAGTTACTCTTCATCAGTGATAGACTTGGTGTTAGATGATCATAACACAGTGCAGTTCAATGATGATATGATCGGCCCCTTTCGAAGTGAAATTTCAAAGTAGCGTCCTCAGACACCACCACACAAATTATAGACAAATATCTAGTTTGAACCGAAGAGTCCTTTTAGGTGGATGGCATAATAGAAGGTCAAAGAGAAATTCCCAGCTTTTCGAACATTTAAATTGGTGACAGCTTGAAGATTCAAAGGCAAAGAATGATCACAGACGAGGCCTCAATTTGATGATATTGGCATTATCCAATAATGTGATCTCATATTTTTGTTAATTATTCCGAATTTGTTTGTGGTGAATACACTCCATCCTTAACAAAAGTATAAGATGCCTCTATCATCAGGATTGGTTTTTGCAACTCCAAAACAATATGATTGCTCAAACGACTCCAAGCAGAAATATAAATATTGAAGGAGAACGAGCCATTATGAGTTTTCTGGATCGAAATTTATGATCATCTGTGTGAAAGGAGGTCAATTGACTTTCTCAATTTTTAGATTTATATCCAAATGCTCCTAATGTTTTCAGAATCATTTGAACGTATTGAATACTTGGTACACAAACACCACAGATTTGGTCTTGATATGCAGTGGAAGATTTGTCTGTGTATCGATGTTTTGATTCACGAATACCTAACCAACCTGAAGGATCAACCTTATGTTTTTCACAAATCTTGATTATTTGTTCCGCAGAAACGCTTTCAACTTGGTTTAAAATAATATCCCAGGGAGTAATTCCAATACTTGTCAAAGCTTGAAAGACAAGTAGATCAGAGCAAAGTGGAAGGCCATACAATTTTGCCCAATACATTTGATCTGCTGCAGTCAGTCTCATTGATTTGATTAGAAGGGGAGGCTTGGTATCTAAGGAACGGGATAGGGCTCTAATGAATCTTAGACTGTTGCAATAAGCGCCCACAACAACATTCCATCCTGTGGAGTTGACTGATGACGATCCAGATCTAGGAACTTTCATATTTGATTGAACACAGTCTTTAACACCTTTCTCCCATTGAGCCTTCATGAATTTTGCCAATGGAATCTGATAGGAAATCACTTGTGTTAACACGTGTTGAGCCTCTTCCTTGTTCAAGTTACACATGACATCTTCCAAAGGATGAATTGAAGCGATCAGATCCCATTGAGTGTCTCCTGCTCTACTTTTGCAAATGTTTAGAATATAGGACAAGAATGGATCTAACGAACCTTGCATTTGGCTCCTTAATGTAAATTGCTTTCTTACTGAAAATAAACTCACTGCAACACAAGAAAAAATCAACGAAGGAATATCAATGCCCTTGAGAATGGACTCGACACTGTTTTCGTTGAAATAATAGTGATGAGTTTTGAAATTCAAAGTCATCATTCCACTCTTATCGACTCGAGCCGCTTGTCCAGTAACGAAAGGATCAAAACAAGTTTCCAATCTTCCTCTCAACTTGCCAACAATTGCCAAACACTTGTTATACTTGCGAAAGTGCCATAAACTCTTATGTAGCTTGTTCTTTCTCTCTTCATGGCTTAGAAGATTGAAATACACGGCCGTTTTGGTTGGTGGAGAATTCTTTCGATTTCTCAAAATGTATTTAAGAACACACTGCTCTCCAACACCACATAGGTTTTCTAAAGTGTCCAATAAATTATAATACTCTGAAATGGTGTTCATATTTTCAATGCTAATGGGTTGCAAGTCAGCATCTGACAAAATCTTATTGACCACTAGGAAATTAATTTTAGGAAGAGCAATCAAGGGTTTGAATCGATCGGGCATACAAGATCCCCTTAATGATGGTTTTACATCTGAATTATTTTTCCTATTAATGTAATTCTCAATCTTGTCAGTCTCACCATGAGTATACCAAACGATGGCCTTCTTTAATCTTTGAATCAGAGTCAATCGAGCAGAAATAAGAGGAATCCATTCATTCTCGTCACGATTCATAATGTCCTTCTCTCTATTTTCTAATGATTGTTCGATAAACTCCAGCCAATGATACAGCAAGAACGCTGCTTGTTGAGGCAAATATCTTCCATGAATCAGAATGTAGGGAATTCTTTTGAAATGTTCTGGTGAAGCTTGCAAAAGCTTTCTCTTCATTATTTTAGGTGTTTCAGAATCAACAAATGTTGCCAATTGTTTGATGTTCCTCTTCACAATTCTATTGTAGAGTTCTTTCAATTCTTGTGGCTTCTCTGAGAGGGAAAAATATGCAGAAATAAAATCACTCATATTTTCACAATCCAATCTTTCATTGGCCATGTTGTAAAATACTTCTGCGTGAAAACGAGAAGGAAAGCCACGATACTGTGCATAAAGAATATTGTTGGTCAATTTAACATTTTGGTATTTGGGAATGAGCTCTTTCAAAATTGAAGATCCGCTGGAAATGGTTAGAAAATCTCTCCAAAATTCAGAAATTTGTTGAATGGACAATGTTTGGTTCGCAGTGCTTGGATTGACATCAGTAATGGCGGAGGCTGTAAACATTTTTTTTTAGGCCGAAACAAGATCTCTTGATTTTTGAAATTGCACAGTAGCTATCCCTCTTTCATGTACCCTCCAATCAACGTGTTATGAGTTAGATCACTTTTAAATTCCGGCAATTTCGCGTCACAAAACAGCAACTTCACTATCAAGACTCCCAAGTTCATACTTTTTACAAAAAACAAATGCCAAAGCGACAATTATTAGATTCTGCCACTCAACAGGAGCAATTGCATACCAAACGTATCAAAGACCACACTCCATCCGTTCGAAACTCCATGCTTCCCATTCCCTCCGATAGTATAGAATGGTTTGAAGAAATGCATAACTCTCCTCTCTCTTTATCGCAAAAGAAGGACTCTTCACCAGATCATCTCATCCCACCCGAAGTTTTTCAAAATCATATCTTTCGTTTTCTGGCTGGTGATGATCGTACTCTAAGAAATTGTAGTCTAGTTTCCAAGTCATTCTTTGTGTGGTCGACTTCAGACCCGGTGTATGATGTTTGTATGCAACGAGAATTTCCCTTCTACACACGTCGACTCAAACAAATCAACCAGTACACTAATTTGTATTTGAAATTCAATAGGAGAACAAAGGCTTCCTTCAATATCAATGAATTGTTTTGGGCTCTTATTGAAAAGGCAAATAGAGATGCCAACAGTCTTGAGAGAATGATCGTTGATGATGGTTATTTGGATTTCATTCACAAACTCGAAAATGAATTTGAAAATGTGAAAAATACTCTCTATGAAGCTTCTGTTAAGGAGGATTTGACATGTTTCGAAGATGATGGAGGCTTATATGCCATGTGTCTGGTTATTTCACAAGGCAAGCAAGCTTGGGAGGAAATGTGTCAAGATCCCTCAAAAGGAGAAGACTTGCCAGGAGACGAATCGTTCTTGTATCCGTTCAGCAGTTATACCTACGGTTTGGGTGAAGATGGAGATGAAGAACCTCCTTTTGATTTACTGGCACAAGGATATGATGCTTTTAAAGAGCAATCGAGATAAACCACCCTGGGTTAAATTTCGTCATATCTGAAACCAGCGTCTTCTAGGTTTTTAATTTTTCAGGACTTGCTCGTTGTAAAATTCAAAAATGCCCACTTCATAAAAAATGTTCAGAGCATCAACTCTCATCGCCAAACCACTTTGCAACAACACCTCCTTCGCCAAGCAAGGATCATCATTCCTTCTCTTCTCCCAACAACCACAATACAGAAATTATGCTGCTCAAACACCAACTGAGAAGGGATCCATTGCTGTTTTATTGAGTGGATGCGGTTATCTTGATGGTACCGAAATTACCGAAGCCGTCAGTGTGATGATTCAATTGTCAAAGAAGGGATACAAGATTGCTTTCTTTGCTCCTGATATTAATCAAGAAGAAACTTATGACCATCTTACAAAGACTTTGGACAAGAACGAAGTGAGAAATATCCGTTCTGAAGCTTCCAGAATTACCAGACAAAGTGTTCTCAAATTGGAACAATATAGACCACAATCTTTCGAAGCTCTCATCGTTCCAGGTGGTTTCGGTGTTGCTAAAAACTTGAGCAATTATTCTGAAAACCCAGCTAATTTTAAGATTAATCCTGAAGTTGAGAAGGCTATTGTTTCAACTTATGAAGCCAAGATTCCAATCGGAATGTGTTGTATTGCTCCAATTTTGGCTGCCAAGCTCATTCCAAAGTGTTCAATTACTTTGGGTGACTCTGATCCAGCCACCACCGAAAATGCCAGAGCTCTTGGTGCTACTTGCTTGACCAAAGGAACAAGCCAAGTTGTTGTTGACAAGGATAACAAGTTGGTAACCACTCCTGCATATATGGGCAAGAACCCAACTCCTTACGAAGTTTTTGATGGTATTGCATCGATGGTTGACTCTGTCATTGAGTTGACAGGCTCAAAGAGCGAAGAAGAAGGAGAAATCGATTTTGGTGTGTTAGAAGAAATTGCTGCCAAGAAGGTTGGTAAAGAACAATTCCTCAAGATGAAAGAACAAATGTACGGAAAGAAACCAGCTTCCAAGTAAACATTCACAAAGCTCAAGGGATTTTTGTATTTATTGAAAAACAAGAATGTTTTGACACGCTTTGTATCCCGAAAGAATTGGCGCTTTCAAATACAAAAAAATGTCACGACACGAAGACCTCGATCGCCTACCAAACGGAAGAATTACGAACGATTACTTGAGAAAGTTATGTAAAAGCAAAGGAGGGTACATGACGGAAAAGCTAAACGAAAAGCTTTACCTTCAGCATAAAGGGGTAACAAAAATCGAGAATTTAGATAAGTTTACCGGAGTGAAAGTCTTGTGGTTGGAATCGAACGCTGTGAACAAAATTGAAGGGTTGGAGTCTTTGAAAGAGTTATCCTGTCTCTACATTCACCAAAATTGTATTGAACACATTGAAGGGATTTTCCATTGCCAAAGTCTTCATACCTTGAACATTTCCGAAAACTTTATTAGCCACATTCCTGAGGAATTGGGAAAATGCTGTACCAATCTTCAAACTCTGGATTTGAACAGCAATCAATTGAGAACTTTGGATTCTATCAAAGCGTTGAAATATTGTACAAAGCTATCTATTTTGGACCTTAGTAAGAACAAGTTGTTTGAATCAATCCCCGAAAACATGACTCAAGAGCAACTAATTGAAGAATTTCTTGCAACATTGAGATCACTCTCAGAATTAAAATTGCTTCGGCTTGAGGGAAACCCGCTTGTTAGAATGATTCCCAATTATCGAAAGGAAATTATAGCACAGTTTCCATCTTTAAACTATTTGGACAATATGCCAATTTTCGAGGATGAACGAAGAACAGTAAATGCTTGGAAGCGAGGTGGAGTGGAAGAAGAGAGAGAGGAAAGAAAAAAAATTGCTCAAGAGAAGAAAGATAAAGAGAGGAAAAACTTTGAGGCCTTTGAGAAATTAGTTGAAAACGCAAGGAGAGAAGCACAAAACAATCACAAAACTGATGAAAAAGAAAATGACACCAACCAAGATGACGAAATGGTTGAACTCAAGACTCCAGACGCAGCTGCTCTCATGACTTTGAAAACCAATCAGGATCAAGAGCAACCAACCAAAACAGAGGAGATACCAGTGGACGATGTTGCACGTAGTGACGAAGAAAGTTTATTTGACATTGAATAATGGAGAATGTAAAAATTGTAAATAACACGCTTCTATTTATTCTTTAAGCGATTTTAAAGTTCGTTCAAGCTTCAACAACTCTGCTTTCTCCGTTTTCTAAGAAACGCCAAAGGTTAGAAATGCTCCAATGCTACTTCATCTACTTACAATTTGTTTTGTAATGGCGTAATGTTGCATATCTGATATACCTCTTGCAGATAAGCTTTCCGTTAATGTTTGAATTCGCTGCTTTTGATCCTCAACTCTTTGTGCAAGTTCTCTTGTGTTAGGGTTCAGCTTTGAGGTTTCTTGTTTGGAAGAGGCAGTGATTTTAGGAGTAATTTGTGACGCTTCACTCGAGGAAGATACGTTTTCATCAACGCTTGTTTCTGATGATCTTTGAACCTTGTTGGACTCCTTTCTCACTGCTGATAATCTGTTTGACGAAATTTTCACATTACTGACGGATTGAGAAACGGTTGGCATCTTTTTTACAGAAGGTTTTTTAGCAACGGAAGACCTGTTGTCGTACGGCGTGTAACTGATGAATGGCTCGACGTGTTCATATTTCTCCACCTCAGGATTCAAGTTGTACATTTTCTCTATAAACTCGTTTTTTCTGATCTCAAATTCAGACTGAATTTCTTCCATGTGCCTTCTAAATTTCTCATAATAGGCCTTAATATTGACATTAGACGACTTTGGTTTTTTCGTCACAGGGCCTTTGTTTGCTTCGTCACTTAAAATGGAGTAGATATTATCTTTAAAAGCTAGGAGAAAGGTTCTTAGATTTTCTTCTGTGCTGTCCTTATCAAACTCCTCAAATGCATTAACTATATCTTCTAATATATTGATATTGCTACGTGAAGAACTTTCTTGGAGTAGAGGTTGTATTTGATTCGTGTACTCTTTGTATTTTTGATCAATTTCCTTCAACAATTCGCTCATATATGAGGTGTAAAAATTGCTAGTTTTTGTAGCAATATTCAGTTCCTCCTGCTTCAACTGTAAATCAATCTCAAAAAGAGATTTTTGTGCGTGAAATGCTCTCACTAAATTCTTCACACTGTCCTCAATATCTTTGGAGGTTTTAGAGTTTCCAATTCGTGGCAGTTTTGACATTACTTCTGCTGTGCTAAGAGACATTGGGTTGTAAAATTGCTTATATGATGAGCTTATCTCTTCATTGGATGCTTTATCTTTCTTTGGAAGTACTAATGATAGTTCAACCATTTCATTCAATATTTTTGAAATATTACTAATAGTGATGTTAGACAATAATACAAAATTAGGGTCCTTAGTAGTGTCCTTAGTGTTAGTTAGATGAGTTCTCATTCTATACAAGTTTCTATATACATGTACGAGATCATTCTCCAGCTCCAAAACATTGGTTACATCAAGATACGGAATATCGTCATTCTTAGAATAATTGCAAACGTTTTGAATTGTATCTTGATGGTCCGATCCAAAGTATTTGCTCTCAATGTAATATTTCTGATGCTCTGCTTGCTTTGTCATGATGTTGTAGTTTCTGATCTTTTCTTGTAACATCTTTCCCCATTTTCGTAGCTGAGCTCTATCCATAGGTGATGAATCATTGTCATCACCTACAATCTCCGAAACAAAATTATCAATATCTGTTATTGATTCCGATTTGATATTGTTACATTTTGTGAGCAGTTGAACTTGTCTTTCCAACTGTACAATTTTTGCTTTGTAGTTTTTGATGATTCGGGCATCGTTGTCTTCACTATCAAGCATTAATTCCTTGTTTAAATGTTTTAAATCCTCAATTTCCCTTCTCAACAACTCATTCTCTTCTAACAATTTCTGATGGGTATGGTAGGGTCCACTTGTCGTATAATTCAAAATGCTAACTACAAACCCTTCGTTCAACCTCGTCGAAAGTATTCCCCCCGCCAAAACTCATTTTTTTGTTTTTTAAATTAGAGTTCCAACGACTTGCAGATTTATCCAATTAGTTCCAAGACGTCGTCATAATTAGAGAGTGATTTTCCTCCTGCACCGTGCCAGCCAAATGAATCTTTCCAAGAAACTCCATGCTGTGCACAGGAAGCTCAGTTGACCAGCCTACAAAAAAATAGAGTGTATGGAGAGAAGCGAGACAAACAATCTTGTTCAACAAACAAATTCGTCAGCAGACTCTTCTCGTTGTGATTGCATTATTTTAGAATCATCATCAACATATCTTACATCCGAAGAAAATATGTTATCATCTTCTCCGAGTAGTGGAAGAAAAAAGCATGAGCCAATAATCCCGAAACCATTGTTCTACGTGAGCCTTGCTGTAACAATTCTTGGTGCTCTGGTTATCGTATTCAGATCATACAATATCTCTAGAGAATTTGTTCAATATGGAAATATTTTCTTCCCTTTGAGACTAAGAGAAGGGTGGTTTATGGGCATGTTACAGGTTTGTAGTCCGTTCCGATTTCAATTATTAATTTTTAATTTTGAAAAATTCCGAATATCGAAATTGTTATCATTGTATCATTGAATAGGATTTGACAGATCCACAATGGAGCAGCTTTCGTCAATTCATACCAATGCTTTTAATAGGAGCAGTGATTTTTGTGTCCATTTCTAGAGTGATCAGACACATTGTATTTCCAACTGTAAGTGTGTTTTGAACAATACAATGTCACACACATTACAACAATTTAACGTTAGAATTTTAAACCATTATTAATTTATAATGTAATATTTTCTGCTGGATTTACATACTTTCTGTATGGAAATTGTACAATTTTTCTGATAGCAGTTTCTCTTTTTAATTATGGAATTGGGAAAATATTCAAGAAAAGCAAACTCAATGATTTATTTTCTTGGCTTTTTAATTTATCGATTTTATTCACAAGCAAATACTATGATGGATATAGGTTTTACAATTTCTACTTACCATCCTACTTGGAAGATAATAGAGGAGTTCTTAGTTGGGAAACTTATTTTAATATCATGTTTTGTAGACTTATTAGTTACAATATGGACTATGCTGAGCAGCTTAGAAAAGTAGTTTCAGACAATATCTCTATTAAGAAAGATGAAGAAAAGTGGTCTGAATATCGTCAACGACAAGAATCAACATTGAACATTGAAACAGATTTTAATTTATTACACTATTTTGCCTATCTTTTCTATGTGCCATTATTTGTGGGAGGTCCAGTATGCAGCTACACAGCATTTATATCCTATGTTAAATATTCAACACAAAAAGAGCTTTCGTATAAGCAATTAATATGGCACACCATCCGATTGATATCCTACATTGTATTGCTGGAAATTTATCTTCATGTATTTTATACTGTTGGATTTAACGACAAGGGCCTGTGGAAATCTAACGCATGGGCTGGACCTCAAGCCAGTCTCTCTCCATTTGATGTAGGATGTGTTGGTATATCTACTCTTACGTTTATGTATATGAAATTCTTAATCATTTGGAGACTTTTTAGATTATGGTCACTTTGGGATGGAATTAATCCTCCAGAAAATATGAACAGATGTGTGAACAATAATTATTTAGTATCAGATTTTTGGAGATCATGGCATAGATCTTTGTACTTGTGGATTTTAAAGTATCTTTACATTCCACTTGGAGGAAGCAAATCCAAAGTTTGGAGCGTATGGATTATTTTCACATTTATTGCATTGTGGCACGATTTATGGTGGCGATGGTTAGCATGGTAAGTTTTTGCAAAATTTTCATTGACTCAATTCTGAACTGTTTACGCTCGTGTTGAATAGGGCTTGGATTAATTGCTGCTTGATCATTTTGGAGGCCGTCATCATGTTCTTTGTGCTTCCAAAAATCAAATGGTTAGAAAGTTTGAGAACAAATAACAAGTACATGTTTGCAGTTCTGTGTGGATTTGGAGGAGCGGTGAGCATTATTACCTTAGTCATTGCCAATCTCGCAATCATGCATGGATTTACCGACACTCCTCTCTTCATTCACCAATTGTTCTGGCAATCTGGAGGATTTGTTTTCTTGTCCATTACTCTTTTCTTTTTGACATTTGTTGTCATGGTAATGATTCATGTTAGAGATGTTGAAAAGGTAAAAGGAGAGGTATTTCTAAGGTGATGAGCCACTGTGACACGAGGTTGGTTTGCATGAGACCTTGTCAATGCCAAATGTTGTGCTTTGGCTGTCATCCGTCATCATTATCGCAAATTTCATTATTAAAAAAATATTCAAATTACGAAGAACACAATGCCAGGTAAACTTGCAGGATTACTCAGTCAATGGGAAAATAAATCACAAGAAGCAAACAACTCATCGGTGCCTGTTAAAAAGCCAGTCTCCACAACCACCACATCAACCTCTGTGAAAAAGGAAGAACCAAAAACCACAGCACCACCCACACAAGAACCACAGAAGGTTGCCACTCCCCCATCTGCCACTTCGTCAACAAGTGTTCCTCCACCAAAGAAATCAGATATTTCAACAACACAACCCACAACAACAGCTTCTGCAGTACCACCTCCCTCTGACAAATCAGCTCCAAAGACACAAACATCATCACAGGAACCACAGAAGGTTGCCACTCCTCCTACTGCAACTAGCACCACACCATCTGTAGCACTGAAATCTTCTGGTGCTTCCAAATTGTCTACCGAGGATGTGTTGGATCCCGAATATTTGAAAAAGTTGGAAGCGTTTGTTGTTGCTATTGAGAAGCAAGTTGATCGATTGGAAACATTGGCTAAAAAGTAAAAATTTCAAGTGGATGACAGTGAGTACGTTGTCAGCACAACAACATTTTAAATTTGTAGTATAAATCTCAGAATTCATTAATGCAGCAACATCTAGCTTTGAGCAGCTGTTCAGTGTTCTTCCAGCCATACCCCGCCAAAACAAACTATTGGCCGAGAGAGTTGTAAACTTTACAGTCCGTTTTTCCTTAAACCGCCAACTCTCTGTTGCCAGCCTTAGCAAAAAAAAAAACAACTACAACAACATCTCTATATCAACAACCATGAGAGAAATCGTACACATCCAAGCAGGCCAATGCGGTAATCAAATCGGTGCTAAATTCTGGGAAGTCATCTCTGATGAACATGGCGTTGATCCAACTGGTGCATACAGTGGTGATTCCGACTTACAATTGGAAAGAATCAATGTTTACTACAATGAAGCCACCGGTGGAAGATATGTTCCTCGTGCCATTTTGATGGACTTGGAGCCTGGTACTATGGACTCTGTTAGAGCTGGTCCATACGGTCAAATCTTTAGACCAGACAACTTTGTCTTTGGTCAAACTGGAGCAGGTAACAACTGGGCTAAGGGTCACTACACTGAAGGAGCTGAATTGATTGATTCAGTTTTGGACGTTGTGAGAAAGGAAGCTGAAAGTTGCGATTGTTTGCAAGGCTTCCAAATTGCTCACTCATTGGGTGGTGGTACTGGTTCAGGAATGGGTACTTTGTTGATTTCCAAGATTAGAGAAGAATATCCAGACAGAATGATGATGACCTTCTCTGTTTTCCCATCACCAAAGGTTTCTGATACTGTCGTTGAACCATACAATGCTACTCTCTCAGTTCACCAACTTGTTGAAAACGCTGATGAGGTTATGTGTATCGACAATGAGGCTTTGTACGATATTTGCTTTAGAACTTTGAAGCTCACAACACCCACATTTGGTGATTTGAACCATTTGGTCTCAATTGTCATGTCTGGAGTTACATGCTGCTTGCGTTTCCCAGGTCAGTTGAACTCTGACTTGAGAAAGTTGGCTGTTAACTTGATTCCATTCCCACGTCTTCACTTCTTCTTGATCGGATTTGCTCCATTGACCTCAAGAGGATCTCAACAATACAGAGCTTTGACTGTTCCAGAATTGACTCAACAAATGTTCGATGCTAAGAACATGATGGCTGCTTCTGATCCAAGACACGGTAGATATTTGACTGCTTCTGCCATGTTCAGAGGTAGAATGAGTACTAAGGAGGTTGATGAACAAATGCTCAACGTTCAAAATAAGAACAGCTCTTACTTTGTTGAGTGGATTCCAAACAACATCAAGTCCTCTGTTTGTGACATTCCACCAAGAGGTTTGAAGATGGCTGCCACTTTCATTGGTAACTCTACTGCCATTCAAGAAATGTTCAAGAGAGTTTCTGAACAATTCACTGCCATGTTCAGAAGAAAGGCTTTCTTGCACTGGTACACTGGTGAAGGAATGGATGAAATGGAATTCACTGAAGCTGAATCCAACATGAATGACTTGGTCTCTGAATACCAACAATACCAAGATGCTACCGCTGAAGAAGATGGAGAATTTGATGAAAATGCTGAAGGTGAGGCAAACGCTGAAGAACAACCAGCTGACTATTAATTTGATGGTAATAAACTGGTTTTGTTGGATGCATTGAATCTCTGTTAATGCTTGAATTCAATTCAAAATTTGAATTTATTGTACAATCGTGAGGGCGGTCTTTTCTCTATACAGAGAAACGGCAAAATACCATTCAATCTTAATATCAATGCTATCATCGAAGCATGTACCTAAATCGGAGATGGCATCATCTAGAATCATTTTAACGTTCAAACATCTCTTGTCAAAATTGAAATTTACCACCACAGTAGCCTTATCTCTTAGCAGCTTGTTTTTCGTGAACTTTTTCCACTGATCACTGTGGCCGACTTGGCCAGAAACAAAATTGAGGCCGTAAGAGTTGGACAGCTTTTTACTGCCTAAAATTCCACTTCTGGTTGAAATTTTGTGGTCATAGTCTTTTGAAATTATTCCAATAACAATTTCATTGTCTATATTCACCTTATCAATTTTGAATTGAATTTCGTTATTTAGTGGTGTGATCTTTTGTTCACAGCTGAGAGAATGAGAGATTATTATTCAGTGGGATTATGAAAAGTATTGATGTGTGATTGTTAACATGAAACAAATACTTGATAAAACGTAATAACTTACCGAATCGTGTAGTAATCGGATCCAAACATCTTATTTTGTAGTAATGTCACTGTCTTTTGATTGTTGGTCACACCAAAGTAGTTGTGCTTGACACTGGTGTCAAATTTAAAGCTTTGCTTTTGTTGCTTTAACACCAATTGGTAATATTCATCGACATTCACATTCTCCTTTGGATCATGATGAGAGGGCTTGGTAATTTGCACTTCAGTCTTTGATTTTTGATGCTTAAACATGCCAACCATCAAATTAGATTTTGATGAATTCTTTCGTGTGAGAGGTGATGAAGTAGGACTAGATGCACCATTTCTTGTTGGTTGAGATGTAGTAGTAGTTTCTTCAGTCAGATCTGAACTGACAGTCGAATAGTACAATTTCAAACTCATTCTCTTCTTTTGATTCACAGCAGCTAACGTTCCTTTCCTTGGTATACGAGCAGAAGAACCTCCTCCACTGCTGACACCATTCATGTTTCGATCCATTCCATCTCCTCCAGCATCAACCATTCCTCCATTCGGATCTGAACTGGTCAAATGCATGCGTGAAGAGATGAGAAGTGGATTCAATAATTGATTCATGGTTGATTTCATTCGTTCATGGAATTGAATTTGATGATTCATGGAATCGAATTGTTGTTGTCGTTGTTTCATATCTGTGAATATTCTAAATTTTTTAAATCGTAACAACCATGGAGAATAGAGAATTTCAAACACACTTTGTGGTCTCTTGCTCGTGTCATTGGTTAAAAGATTCATCACAAGTGACACAATTCTTCGATCACTGCAATTCTCTTCAAGAATGGAATTTGTTTTTTCTTCATCGATAGAACCCATTGTTAAATTTGGACAATCTTTTTGAACAATGAGTTTGAAAAGTAAATAACCTGCATTCCAAATATTTTCCATCTTGCCTAATTCCATGTCATGTGTCAATTCGACCACTTGTTTTTGATTCAATATTGACAATAAATAACTTTCAACATTCAAATAAATTCCAACATGTTTTTGTAATTCACTGGATACATTTCCTCGAATGAACATGTCATTTTCTAATAATTGTCTGGTCATGGCCTTATTTGGAAAGACTTTGTTTTTAGAGTGAAACATCATTAACACTTCTAATAATTGATTAAATATGAAAAGTGCACCATCGGGTGTGATAGTTTCAAGAGAGTTGGTTGTTGTTGAAGAAGTAGTTGAGGATGGAATAGAATTCTGAGAAAGTAATTCTGTTAATTTGATACTCGATGGTATATATTCCATTGTGTAGAGTAGACCAGTAATTTTCAAAGAATTTGATTCCAATGTTGAATTTCTTGTGCTCGTGTCAATCACCAAATACAAGTCATAGAGTTGAGCGATATTGACATGATAGGAAAGTGAAAGTAACTCAACGAACTAGTGTGATGAGTCAACAACATTTAAAACATTGGAACATTAAAAAAGAACAATTATTGACAATAAAACATTCGACAATCAATAAAACATTTTCAATAAAAAACTTTCACATACCTTCTTTTTCAATTCTCCTTCATTATTCAACACAGATTGACTCAATGATTCAGAATTTTCACCAAAATGAATATATCTCGCAACACAATATTCAATATTATCTTCATCTTCAGTGTCAGATGTCAAATCTTCATCTTCTTCTATCAAGTCATCATCTAAATCTTCCAAAGTTTCTTCATTTCTCTTTAAAACCATATCTTCAAAATCAGAAAATGAAGTACTTGTATTCAAATGAGATTCAGAGACAGGAGATTGAATAGGTGACATGGAATAATTGTTTATCAAATGAGGAGGAGTCATTGGTGTTGTTGTTGAAGTGGTGTGAAGCGGTTGAGAATGATGATGTTGTGAAGGAGTCGATGACATGACACTCGGTTTGAAAATCATCATGGCATCCTGTTGACAAGTGGCATGAAGCGTATATTCATAGATGGAGAGACGAGAACTATGATCCCTCAATTTATCATCAAAATTCTGATCCACCCATTGCGAGGATAACTTTTTTCGATATTCAATATTAAATGATTTATATGGAATTAATTTTGAATTTAATTTTGATGAAGGTGATGACAACCAATGAATAGCATCTCCATGAGAATGTTGCGGAGAATGAACAGGTGTCGTGACAGAATTCACTGTTGTTGTTGTATGAGAAGATGCGAGGACGAGTGTGGAATAATGATAGGATTCGTGTTTGGGTGTAGAATCCAAAGTAGTGCTTGTGGAATTGATGACATTTGAAGGAGATGGCGAAGGAGAGAAATAGGCAAAGTGGAGTCGATAGGAATGAGGAAGGAACAGTTGTTGTGAAGAGTCACTTGATGTTGTTGTTGGGGTTTGCTTTTCAGTCATTTTTTTGTGACAGTTGACAGCAATTGAAAACAAGTGTGAATTTGGCAATTTTACGTAGTGTTTAATGAAATCATGCACACTGTCTTTTGTGTGATGTATTCTTCAATTCTTCATGAACGCATGGCAAATGTTTCCATGAGAGCCGTTCCCGAAGTGACATTTTGGAATGTTCCGTTGTTGCTGATTGTGATTCATCATCATTCAATATTATCTTTCTACGATAGTGACCTTAATATCATCATACTCAAAAGTTGTATATACTATTGCAGAGAGTCAGTCTGATAGATTTTATTTCACTATTTACAAGAAATCTAAAAGTGAATGATGATGATCCATTGTTTTAAAAGGATTCATTAATGTCCCTCTTTACCTCCTCCTCCACGTAATCTCAACACGAGATGAATGGTTGAGTCTTTTTGCAAGTTATAATCAGAAACACTTCTTCCATCTTCCAATTGCTTTCCTGCATAGAAAGAGTTCTTCCATCTTCCAGTTGTTTTCCAGCATAGATTAAACGTTGTTGATCTGCTGGAATTCCTTCCTTATCTGTGATTTTGCTCTTCACATTTTCAATCGAGTCGTTGGACTCGACTTCCAATGTGATGGTTCTACCAGTGAGTGTCTTGACGAATAATTGCATGTTTTTTTCGTTGTTAATGTGATGCAGGGTGAAGGACAGAGAGAATAGTTTTATAGTATGAATTTTTCACATGCATGAACCTTTGTTTAAAAATACCACTTGGTTCATAATATGAAAAGAACATGAACCAGTTCATCTGGGACAAGTGGTTGTTAAAAGAGTGGCCTCTATCGTTGTTTACTGTTACATGTCAAGATGTTGACAGAGTTGGAAGGGTGGATATCTTAATGTGATATATTTTCAGCCCAAAGTTGAAAATGTCAAAAATTTGAAACGCATCACCAGAACCTCAGACTTTTGAAAATGATGACCCAGTAACCTCAATTGCTGGTGTTCTAACCTTAGCTGACCAGGTCAAAATCAATCAATTTAGTGATCTCTTACAAGGACTTACATGAGATCGGGAGTCTTTATAATGTTGGGTTTTGTGGCTTCTCAACTGCTTCAAATGTTTTGCGGTTTTTGGATATTTTGCGACCTGTTTTTACCTCAACTCATGATGAAAACCCATTCAATGAAAACAGTAAGCGAGTTAAAGGACAATGTATAATGCATGAATGAGTTATAGTATACTAAGGTTCATTCCATTGTCAATAGGTTGGGCTCTTGAGAAAATTCTTCCTTTCTTTCCTCATACATTTGGTCGTTTTGATGATGGCCTTCGAATAATGCTGTATCTTTCAATCACAATGAAAACGCCACTCATTGAATACCATCTTTAGTTCTAGACTATTTCGATCTCGAAGAATCTATTTTTTGAACATATTTTAACTCGTTGAGACGTCGCAAACCTTTTCCTGCATATGTCTCTGAAAGCGTTCCAAGATTTCATTCCTATCTCATCTCACCCCCATTGAACATTCTAAGCGCTTCATTCAAATAGTCAACGACTCCTTAAAAGCCTCATCAATGAAATCGTTGATTTACATACTAATGCTCAAATTGATTGTACACTTTTTAAAGGGTCAACCAGGATAAGGAATTATTCCTTGGATTCAGTGTTGAGGACAAATGGGTGATGAACGAAGCTGATATTTTACTATTTAAACCACCATCAAAGTTCTGAGTCATGACACTCTCAAAAAAAAAGAACATTTCACACTCCAAAAGATATTGTCAATGACCAAAGAAATCTTCAGTTGTACTGCTTGTTCTGACTTGTATGACCCTGATTCTCCATCGAATGCCATCGATTATGCTCAACTAGCCACATTTGTCTTTCCCAGAGACAAGGACGAGTCACACACTCACTCCAACGATCATGCAGTTTTGGAATCCGAAGAAGACGTAATCACCCATCAAGATTTATTTATTGAGCAGGAAGAGGAAATCTCTACTTACTTGGAATTAGATTTTTCATCAGAAGATGAAGACAACAACTCTCATCAACAAGAAGAACTCTGCGTTTCTCAAGACTCTCCTATCGATGAATGTGTTCGAATTCCAAACGATTCGAACATGTGTTTGACGTATCCAAACTCTCTCACTCTTTTTTTGACACTTTTTTTGATTGGGCTCCAAAGGATGAGTAATGATACCCTCCTCACTCTGTTGACAGCAATATTGTTCGTGGTCATTCTCTCAATTTCTGAACACCAATCGAGGACGAATATCTCCCTTTCAAAAGCAAACGTCAACTTGTTGATTCTTAAAAGAGAACAAACTTTGCAAAGTTAAACTCTCATTTCGACTGCAACGTAGAATTGAAATCACACTACGTTCTTACTGGACTGTTTTGATTTGATTCCAGAGTGAAAGCATTTAATGTACAGCTGCAACAAATTTGAAGATGATCTATGCAGCCAATCATACCTAAAGTGTTCAATAAAATAAAACATTACTTTTATTGTCTTGCTTGACTGATCCTTAGAATTTGTTCAATGAGCGGTATGTGTCAAGCTCAACAATTGGTTGTCGCTTTTCAATGAGTCTCTAAGACACTTGTTCGTGTTCTGGGTTCATTTTATGTCAAACGTTTCCAATAGGATTAAAGCATTTTCAACCAAGCCGTTGTTACCTCCTTTAAGTTTTTATATTATTTTCAATTTGGTATTATCTGGCATTGCGGCAAAGTCATCTTGGTCCTGTACACTGATAGTATCTCCGTTTTCTTCATAAAACATGTTTGAAAACGTTCCATAAAACTGCAACGCTTTGCTTTCAAGAGCACTGAACTCTGATACACGAGTTTTCTTGTAAGCGATTGGTGTTGAATGGGAAGGAATGAGCACCGTTTTCTCTTTTTTTCGATTTGAGAATTCCCAACATACAACGTCTCTGATCTTTCCAACGTTGGTTGTGACGCAGTGAAGGTCTTGAGTTTTAGACATGAGGGTTTGCTTACTTGTGATGTAAAGCTTAATACCCGTTCAGAAGCGAAAAGAATCTTTCTGCTTGATCTTTTACACGTCATTCTAAACTCTTTAGAGGAATTTGAATGGTCTTCCTTCAAAACAGTTCCCTCTGCTAACCAAGAAAATAAAAGCAATCTTAAGAATTTTTTTAAACACAAACGATCCCTCGAGAAGCATTCTATTCGTAAGACGTTTTCAAATTTCGGATCTTGGATTCGTTGAACTGACCCGTACACACGACCCACCATTATGGCCAAAGATCTTACAAAGCTCTTTTCCCCTCTGTTTCTTGGTACGTTGGAAATATCGAAACACATGTTCACAGGAAGCTTTTCAAGCATTTCATGGTATGTAACCTGCTTTGTTTGCTGTGTATCATCATCGCCTGTCGACGAACGGGGTCCATTATTTTTGCTGTAAAATTCTGGCGCGATTTTCTTTCAATGTTTGGATGTTGTTGAAAAAGTTACTGGACAGTATTTTGCATTTTGGCACTGTCTTCTTCATAACTCCACAACAATCAATAAAAGAATTGTTGTATGTAGAGTCTGAATATTGGGTTGTTTGGTCAATTGCTTTGCACAGTCGGGGTGTATTAAAAGATTGCTATACTTTTCAATTCAATACGGAAGTGTTCACAACAAACGTTTTGAAGATTCCATTTCGGAGGTAATCTTTCACCGTTGCTCAAATCATGCCAAAAACCAAACTTAAGGACCTGTCCAAGTAACCGTTTGGCATTCATTCTAAAAAATGTCTTCCTTTTCCTTGTTAGATGAACTCAACGAAGAAGAAATAATTCATCATCAAGCGAAACAAAAACATGGATCAAAAAAAAAGTCAAAAAAACATTCTCTGTACCGGGAAGAGTTTTCATGGATTGCGAATGACGAGGTGATTTGGTTTCATGTATTGACCTTTTTGGATTTTAAATATTTATTTCAGAGTTGCACTCGAATTGACAAGATGAGATGTGACATGATTTATGCCAAGTCCATAGGTCATCTTGTATTGATGAGTGAATTTAAAACCATGTTGAATGGAGAGGAGGAACAAGACACCCGAGTATGGTTTCAGAAATTTATGCCTTTTGAACCTTTAAATGATTTGTTGAATAGAGTGGACCCTCTATGTCAATTTAAGGAAATTAGGGATTTTGTGACAAGACATTTGAATGAACAGACCGCCAGTGAACAAGAGGCCCCCATTTCTCAACACTTACAATTGAAACTGCATGGTACTGATCATTATGAATTTCGAGTTTTTGTAAAATTATTTCACAAGCTATGGAAACGAAGAAATCGAATTCGTAATTTTAACATGAAAATTCGAATGAGATATCCACAACACAAAATTCCATCTTGTTGGGGTGATGAAGATACATATCGAAAAAGTTTTCACATTCCAAATCAAGCTAAACATGATGAAGATCGACGAGTGGATCAATATCAATCTCATATCAAGGATCTTGACCTCAATTCGAGAAGGCAGTATCATTGTGATCATTTTGAGAATGTCATTCGAATGGCAGATGCTCACATCATGATTTCACAATGTAAGGCATGTGGAGTCTCAATGGAAATTTCTCAATGCACTCCCGAAATTCTAAATAAAAAACGTTATTAAACACACAATGACATGGGTATATATTCCTGAACAATCTTATTTCCCTCAATTTAAAAGTTTGGCAAATGTGTTTTTCAAATCTCTCATCTCTTCTTCACTCACTTCATGTGAATGAAATCGATAAATCTTTCTCTGTGTAATGAGTTTTCCACCTTCTTCTAACCAATCAAAGCTTTGTTTTGCAAAATTTTGATAATTCACAACATCATCTTCATCTCCATGGAAAATATAAAGTGGTGTTGAAATATTCTCTTGTGAAATACAATCTTTTGAACTTTCATATTGAGATCTCAATAAAACATATCCACTAGCAGACACTATTCCCGCAAGTGGATATTTACATTGAGAGCCAACAAGGACTGACATGGCACCTCCTTGTGAAAATCCACCTAATACAATTCTGTTTGAGGGAATTTGAGGAATTTGTAATTGGTGTAAAATGGAAGAAGGTGGAGAGGACATGATTGTATGAATCAAATCATCAATCAGTTTTTTAGAGGCATTATATCCTTCAATATCTTCTTGACGCTTCATGAGTTGTCGATCGAGAGAGTGAATATCATACCAACCAGGCATGGTCATTCCTCCATTAATTGTTATGGGACGATGTGGTGCATTGGGTAAAATACCAATCGCATGATTTGGAAGAATATATTGCAACATTTGTGCAAATCCATCATAGGTATCTCCGAGTCCGTGCAGCCAAATAACGACACTGTTTATGGAGGATGTATCAGTATTATTAGTGGGTGTGAGAATGGCACATTGCATTCCACATAAATTCGAATGGTGAATTTTATGATAATTCTTCATGGTGTTGTTGGTATGATGATCCTTGTTAACAAGCAATCGGAAAAATGATGATGATCGGGTTAAGGAATTACAAGCAGACAGCAACAGCCGTTTCTTGTTCACCATGCTGTTCAATATTTTTTTTTATTGAACTTTTCTTCATCACAACTCCTCCACCACGTGCTTGACAACATTTCGTATTTGTGTTTGAGAGATGGGTTTCAAACAAACAAGATTCATTCCAGCTTGTTTGCAAATGTGCTCTCCGTCGCTATCTCCTGTGGCTCCAATTAACACACAAGGTTTAGCCTTGTGTTCTGACTCGAATTGTCTAATTTTTTGTGAACATTCCAATCCACTCATCACGTCCATATGAACATCGAGAATAATTGCGTCATATTTGGTTGGAGTGTTAAAGTTTTGAATAAATTCATCATATGCTTCTTTACCGTTCACAGCTCCTTTGGTACGTATTACTAGCTTGCAAGGACAATTCTTGATTTCTGATATTTGATTTTCCATATCTGAATTTCCTGATAGTCCTCCTAAAATTTTAATCATGACATTTCTGTTAATATTGTTGTCGTCAGCAACAAGGACATTCAAAGTAACAAATTTTTCTTCTTCAGGTGTTGACTTGTCTTGAGAGAAGCTAGAACGAGCAATAGATATTGTATCTAATGAAGAGCTCCTTGAATCTTGAGATGGATTTACACCTGAAGAAGTAATAACAGTAGGGTCCATAGATAATTTTCGATGGTTGGTATTTGCGTCTTGCTTTGGAGGAAATTGGTACGTCTCTATAAGTTTTCTTTCGTTATGGGCGATTGTTGAGGGCTTAATGGCCAATAATTGTTGAATCATATATTGGAATGAGAATAAGGTGATAGGCTTTCTAAGTGTCAAGTCAAATAAGCCTTTGGTGTTTGATTTCCTTTCAAAGTTAGAAGGATCTTTTCTAATGAAGCTCAGGAATCTCTTTGGCTCGAATTTATCAAACCATACCACTACTTTTGTTGATAAGCTAAATCCACCTAAAGCTAATTTTGAGTTATGATTTTCAACAATACGTCTCAGTTTGTAGACAGTAGAATAAATTCTTTCAATTTCTGAAGGGCTGTAAATCACTGAGCTATTTCTTCTACCAGTGCTGGAAGAGGAACCTACACGAATGCTATTGGTGTTTTGGGCTGAGTTGAAAAGAGCATTTTCGTTCTTTGGGAGGTTGTCAGGAAGGAAACAAGAATCGTCTAGAATGATGAAAGAAATTGGTTTTTGAACGCTCCATTCATGAATGTTCGATGAAGAATTATGAAGGAATTTCTCTGTTACATTTTCTAGAGATTCTGCGTTCATAAACATGGTGTCTACATCATTCTCCATTGATACCACCTGGTCATCAAATGTTTCCCTCAGATAATTTGTCAAAATGTTTCTAATTTTTGGCTCTTTGTAAACTACAAGACAAGTAGATGAAGGATAATTGGAATTAAGCTTTTCTTTGACTTCCATGAGCTTGGCTTCTTCTGTAAGAGGTAAACGTTTTTCAGCTCGTTCGACAATCTTATCATGATCTTCTCCTCTTGACCCCTTCTGGAATGTTACAGTGAACCAAAAGTTGCTTCCAGATTCACCGTTGCTATAACAGCCAATGTCTCCATTCATGAGATTTGTGAGGTTTTTACAAATGCTCAAACCAAGTCCGCTGCCTTCATATTCCTTATCTTTTTTCAGTCGGGAAAAAACTTTAAACAAATCTTTCTGTTTTTCCTTTGGGATACCAATGCCTGTATCACAAACCACAACAAATACCTTAACAGTGTTATCTGTTTCGTCTTGAACGTCCACTGAAACTGTCACAGATCCAGAATGAGTAAACTTGATTGCATTACCCATTAAATTTGTTAAAATTTGTTGGAACTTGTGAACGTCTCCTTTAACAACAATTGGTACCCTGTGTTTCGATCCTCGTTTGATATCGATTTCCAGTCCCACATCAATGCCTTTCTTAAATGCGGTAACACTGTTGATAGAAATAATTTCTTCGATTGAGTACACTAAATCAAAATTAGAAAGGTCCAATTCCACAGTTCCTGATTCCAATTTGGAAGATGAAAGAACATCTTGAATAATATTGCTCAAAATATGACAACTAGAAAGAATCATATTCATCCATTCAAGTCCTTCATGGAAATCAACTGTCTGTTGACTCATAAAATCTTCATGCATCTTTTGAGCAATTAGATATATAGAATTCAATGGGTTCTTTAAATCGTGAGAAATCATACTGAAGAATGTTGTTCTACTCTGAAGCTCTATCTGAGCCTGTCTGGCCTTTTCATTCATCAAGCGCACTTGATCGTTAAGTTCATTGTTTCTTACAATGAAAACATCGACCTTTTTAGAGCTTAAGAAATCAACTTTGTGAGTAACCTCAACCCCAAATCTATCTCCAAGTTTCGTTCTTGCTTTACATAGCGTCCATTCGTCTGTTGCTATTACCGGAGGTCCTACTAATAGATCAAGTATATTCTTGTTGGCATGAACAATTTCATCGTGTTCATACCCAAACATTCTTTCAAAAGCGAGATTGACGTAAATAATTTTCTTTTTCCGTCTACTTTGTATTATAATTGCTTCATTTGTGATATTAAGCATATTGGAAAGTCTTGTTTCTACTTCTTTTATCTGAGATCTAAATGCCTGATGCATGTTGTTTAAAATTAAAATAGCAACGATATAGGGTATTGAAATAAACAAAATATCACAAAAGTAATCTCCGTAATTTAGCTTTAGACCTTGCATAATACCTCCTAGCCATCCGAATTGAATGAACGCCAGTATATAACCTATTATCGCTACTATCAATGTTTTAGTACTAGACAGCCCAATGGCTGCAAATATTGTTGGAAATATAATTAGTCTCAAGTTAGTGGCTAGAATTAGATGGTGATAAGGGACGAAATCATTTTGTTGGAAAATTAATAATGAAAGGATGGAATTTGTGTCAATGGAGGAAGAAGCAAGGTTAATTAGAACATAAGGAACAGAGAACAGGTAGGCAAGGAAAACATAGAGGTAGACATGGGGGAAAGGAGAGCGGAAGAGAATGAAGCCAATGAGTGAAAACGTGGCATCTAATATGTAGAGAAGTGAAAGGGTTTTGAAACGGATGAGTTGTTGGATGATCACTGCGATTTTGTGGTAAGGTGGGTTTGTGTCAAGCGGATAAATCAAATTTGGAAATCAATATTTCCATGTTAGAACAATACGAAGCATGTTGTTGGGATTAGCAAGTGTGTGATAGGTCATGTAAAAGTTGATCAAATGGTGGTTGATGGTTCATAGCATGTAATTGAATAATAAAAGATTTTGTTAGAACATACAACAAAATGAAATAATAAATTTGAAATACGTACTGGATATTGAAAAGAAGAGATGAAAGACAAAGTAAACAGAATAGTATGCGATGGACAGCCGTTCATATGGATCCTTAATGCTGTTGTGTGCTCGCAAACCTGGAAAGTTTACAAATCGATATCCCAGCAGGAAGGAAGAAGATTTAGTGTATATAAGAGAAAGAAATCGTCGTACGCGTGATGAATGTTTGAGCGCAACCGAGTTGCTTCCATCATCATCTTCTTCATGTGCCGCTTCTACAATATTACCTGGAAAAGCTGTTGATGAAGGAGGTACATTAATTACTGTTTGTTGTTGATTTGCTGTTGTGTTTTGAATTGTTGTTTGCTCTTGCTGATTGTTACGATTTGTATGATTCATTGATGAATGTGTGGTTGTGTTTTGATTATGTATTTGAGTGTCTCTACTAGTAGGTTCTCGTTCGTGTTGTATTTCCACGGCTGTTGTGATTGCCGAAGGGTTATGTATCGAGTTAGTATGTGATGACGATAATTCTTCTCTCTTACTTTGTGATGATGATGTTATTGTTGGATTTGGCGTAACAGGTGGAGTAGACATATCCTTCAACTCAAACAAGGGTTGCTTTCCGCTTAGATTGGTGCCTTCTACGTTCGAAGAGAAGGTTGCACCCGGCATCTGATATGAAGAATATTCTTCGTGTCGTTTTGACCTTCTTTGAGCGCACAAGTTGTTTTGGATTATTTTTTGCGTTTGGTGTTTGCCCAACATGAGCCATCGTACAACAGCGTCACATTTTAAGAAAACTTGCCACGCCATTCTTGGACACTGCCAGCAAACAGAACGAAATGTATTCACCCAAGCATGTATGATGCTATAGTTTCAACTTTAATATGCTATGGGTAAAGGGGCAAAGGAGTTGTTTATCGCATAGGAAAATGGCTCACGCGTTTAAATTTGAGATAGCGTGCTATTAAAACACCATGAATGGAACTCTTATTTTCTCAAATTGTTTGCGGGGTTACGAGAAATATAATATAATTAGCTAAAAAATCTGTAATTGACAGCAGATGAGGAATTAAATCGACGAAATTGTTGAATCTCTTATTTTAGGGCTCTATCTTTCCATTTAGATGGTTTCAAAACTAATGGTCGGTTTCCTAAATATTTTCCATTCAAATTTTCTAAAGCATGCACATAATCGTTACAGTCTAAAAAGCTGATAAATCCATAACCCTTGGTTCGGTTTGTTCTTTTATCCCTTATTACCATTGCCTTTGAAAAACTAGGGTAGTGTGAAAAGAATTTTTCTAACATTTGATCTGTCACTTCATTACCCAAATTATTAGCGTAAATCCTGAAGTCATTTTCCTCAAATTCTTCCAAGTTCGGATCTTCCCAAACGTCAGACTTTCCACTAGCAGTATACACAGTCCGTAACTTTTTCTTCTTTTTCTTATTTGCTTGCTCGTTTTGTTGCAATTGTGATTGCTCATAATCTTTTAGTTGTTGTTGATATTCCTGTTGTAATTGTGACGTTTGCTTTTGCTTTTGGTAATCTTGTAGGTAAATTTGTTGTTCCAATGTAGGTTCGTTTGATGTATTGCTATTGACATTTGTTTGTGGGCCTGCTGATATCACGGTGGAGCTTACTGTAGCTGGTTTGTTGATAATTTTTGTGGATGATTTTGTTTGCCCAATTTTCGGAGGTGGTGAACCTCCTCCAATTACTGAAGATGCTTGTTTTACAACTTGTGTGGCTACATGTTGGGCAGTAGTGCTTAACCCTCCGCTTTGCATTGAATGAGGCTTTTGAATTTTTGGCAAGGTTGATTTCACGGGTTCTCCTGTGGAGGAGATGGTTGAAGGCTTTTGAATTTTCGCTTGGCTTGGTAATGTCAGCGATGAGGACGAAACCGGTGTTTGTTGTGGAGTGCCATGATCTAACGAGCTGGCAGGTGTAGGGATGGCTGCGCTTGTTTTACTTAATTTTTGGGAAATGTTTTGTTGGAGTTTTGCCAATCGGGATTGTAGATCGTTGAGAGAGGATGCTGATGTTGATTTGATGGCAGGAGGTTGAGACGTAGACATTTTTTTAATTGTTGTTAGCTTTCTTGAACGTGAAGAATGAACTCGCATTACAATATTATTACACTTTTTAATTTTGTCATGCATCATGTCCCAATTAATTGTCTGCTTTTCATAACCAATGTCATCACAGCAACTATACTGAGGGACTTCAAAAATTTAGAAGAAACAAAAATGCCAAAACAAAACGCATCTGAAAAGAAGAACGAGGACTCTGTCATCATGGATGAAAATTATGAAACGAGCAGTGATGAAAGTAGCAGTGAAAGCGAAGATGAAATGGTTTCTGTGAAAATGACAAACAGGATGATCGCTTTGGAATATAGATTAGAGGGACACTCCGAAGTTCCACTCTATTTGTTTTATAAACAACACAATGGAGCCATTCCGAATAACAAAAACGATGAGAATGATAAAAATCACAAAAACGAGAGGACAAAGGGTCATGTTTTATTTTGCACAAATCCATCTCCCTTTTTGAATGAAGAAGGCTTGTCAGAATTGTTTGCTTCCAATTTTGATTCACAAATTGGGCAATGTGTGATGAGTCACTTAGAAGAAAAGCATGATCATGTTGAGAATTGGTTAGAATTTCAAAACCCATTCTCAATGTATCGAGACCATCCTAGAATTAAAAGTGGAACAGCACACATACTTTTGAATAAGGCTTCAGCTGTGCAAAAAGCTTTAGAAAAGCCAATAATTTCGGCAAAGGTTCAAGCAAGACCTGAGCCAAAACGTGGATTGGATAAATATTTAGAAGAATATCAAACAATACAATTTCCATCTGAAAAATCTGAAAGAGATGAAGCCAAGAAGGAATTGAATCAATACATGAAGGAATTTGACATCAAAGAAAAACAAAGAATGCAGGTCATTAACGTTTTGAGAAACAAAGCCGATGACAAAGGTTGGACAAAGGTATTTCATAGAGGAAATTCTGGACCTATTCATGCATCCGAACTAAAGCCAAAGAAGAAGATCAAAAAGGTTCCTCAAAAGATGAAACACAGACTCGATTTGCCATTCTACAAGTTCCAAAAAGTTGAAAAGAAAAAGAAAGCTTTTGAGGATTTGCGAGAGCAATTCGAGCGAGATCAAGCCCTCATTGAAAGAATGAAAAGAGAGAAGAAGTTTGAATCTGTAAGCAAAGCCAATGACTCCAATATTTAAATAAACCCTAGGGTTTCAAAACCCCCAGCGAACTGCCAACAAGGAATTTCAAATTAGAACCACCTTCTTCCTGCTGTGACTGTTGAAGGCAAATAGAAGACGCCCATCAAAAATAGGACAGCGGTTTCGAAATTATTACGCAAAAAAATTCATAACATTTGAACAAACACAAAGACTTGAAGACTTGCAACTATACTGAGAGAATTGAAAATGTCCTATGTTGAGTAAGTAATGAATCATTGGTTGCTGTAGATTTTAAAACTTTTTTGTTCCGATCCGAAATTAATATTTTTGTAACAATTTATGATGGTGTTAATGATGATAGTTTTGTAACACCAGCCATCGATCACGCAAAGCAGGCAGCTGAACAGGATGAAGCTAAAAACTACGAGGAAGCACAGCGATTATATTTAAAAGCTATAGATTTTTTTATGACTGCTATTAAACGTATGTTGACGACCAATCTAGTTAACGAAAAACCAATATTGTTTTGCATCCAATTATATATTATAACTCGCACCATCTGTCATAACATTCATATTAAATACCGATGTGATCCACAAATTGATCCGATTCAAAAATAGATGAAACAAAAAATCCAAAGAAAAAAGACATGCTGAAATCAAAAGTTCAAGAGCTCATGGACAGAGCAGAACAAATCAAAACGTTCTTAAAAGAAAAAGCTGAAATTGAAAAGGGAGATAGCGATTCTTCTGGAGGATCAAGCGCTGTGGGATCAATCGCAAAAGCAAAGTAAGTTTGAGTGATAACCAGAATTTTCATTCTCACAACTTTTCAGGTCAAAGAAAGAAAAAAAGGAAGAAGATGAAAAACAACAATTGATGGGTCAGTTAGAGAGTGCCATTGTAAAGGAAAAACCAAATGTAAAATGGGATGATGTCGCAGGTCTTGAAGGTGCTAAGGAAGCCCTTAAAGAAGCTGTCATTCTTCCACTCAAATTTCCACAGCTCTTTACTGGTAAAAGAACACCATGGCGAGGTATTCTACTTTACGGGCCTCCTGGTACTGGTAAGGTAAGTCATTACAAATCTCGCCTTAATTTCCTGTAACATAATATTGTTAAATAATTTTAGAGCTACCTTGCTAAGGCTGTTGCTACAGAAGCTGACTCAACATTCTTTTCTGTTTCTGCTGCAGATTTAGTTAGTAAATGGCAAGGAGAATCAGAAAAGTTGGTTCGATCGTTATTCGACATGGCTAGACAAAACAAACCAAGTATAATATTTATTGATGAAATTGACAGTATGTGTAGTTCCAGAGGAGAAAATGATAATGATAGCACTCGTAGAATTAAGACTGAATTTCTTGTTCAGATGCAAGGTGTTGGTAAGGACGACAGCGGAGTTTTAATTTTGGCAGCAACAAATATTCCATGGGGACTTGATCCTGCCATTAGAAGAAGATTTGAAAGACGTATTTACATTCCTTTACCTGACATGCAGGCAAGAGTTGCCATGTTTAAGATTCACATTGGAAAAACTCCAAATACTCTGAAGAAGGAAGATTTCGAAGAATTAGCATCGTTAACTGATGGTTATTCTGGATCTGATATTTCTGTTTTGGTAAGAAATGCATTGATGGAACCAGTTCGTACGTGCCAATTGGCCACACATTTCAAAAAAGTGTCTGGCGTTTGTCACTTGACTGGTCAAACATGTAATGACATGTTGACACCATGTTCTCCTGGAGATCCAAATGCTGTTGAAATGACTTTAATTGATGTACCTTCTGACAAATTACTCCCACCAGATGTCACAAAAAGAGATTTTATTAAGGCACTTCGAACAGCTAGACCATCCGTTTCAAAAGATGACTTGCATGCATACGACAAATTTACTAATGATTTTGGACAAGAGTGTTAGACTCCAAGAGGACAGAAATACTCTGTAATATTAACTTTGAACTAAATATTTTCAATATTTCCTAATGTTTACGTTAAGAAATTCAAGTGCGGACGTCAACTTGCTATAATCGAATTCAATTAATATTAAGAGAGGAAATTTTGATAACACTTCACCTGCATGTTTCTTCTTGTTGACAGTGGATACGTCCATGGTGGTGAGTTGATGTTGTTGAACTTGTTGGGAAATTTGCTCCAAGGTCCATCCATTGAATTTGAAAAAGTATGTTAAGTAAGTGAGGGATTTTGTAATGCAGGACGTGATTTTAATCGAAATTATATTTTGATGTTTAATCGAAATTGTGATGCTTATCGATATAAGCAATAATCTTTTTAGCTTGTTTTCTATTCATTGTCTTTTCGATTCCTGCCAAGGATCCATGATAAGCTTTATACTTTTGCAAATATTCCTTGATGTTTTCACTTGAAAGCACTTTTGGGATCTTGGGAGGAGACTTTGCTTTGTTCACAGCTTTTTCGTCTAATTTTTTGGCGGCATTGTCTTGTTTTTCGTCATTCTTGGTTGGTGTAAAGACATGAGGGTCCTCTTTGAACAATGGATGATTGGAAAGATCGTCGTTGTCCTTGGCAAGCTCGTTTTGCTGTTCGCGTACACCAGTATCTTTTGATTCCTTTTCTGTTGGTACATTTTCATCCTTCTTCGTTTTGTCTGTTGCTGCTGTCTTTGAATCTTTTGCTACCGAGTTTTGGGCGTCATTCTTCTCAGACTGACCAACCATGGCTTGTGGAGGTTCATTAAACAGTGGATGTGTCGACAATAGCTCATCGTCATCCTTCATCATATTGTTTTTCTTATTGGATGAGTCTGTCGTTGTTTCAGCAGATGGTGTAAAGGTCTGAGGTCCTTCCTTAAATAATGGATGCTGAGAGAGGTCATCCATATTCTCTTGAATTCTTTTTCTTTTCTTTGGAATTTCTTTCTTGAGTTTTCGTTTTGGCTTTTTGTTCAACTTTAGTTTTTTCTTTTCCGTCTTCTTCTTGATTGGTTTTTTCTTGTGTAGTGGTGCCTTTCTCTTCTTTTGTTTTCTTCTCAAAATATTCTTCTTTTTAGGGATTGGTTTTTTAACAAGTTTCTTTTTTGGTTTTGTTGAGACCTTCTTCTTGCTGACAGGAGAGGAGACTTTCTTTTCCAGTTGTGGTTTTGGTTGCTGCTTGGAATCCTTATTATCTTTCACTTGAACGAGATTATCATCATGAAATTCATCATGTTCCACTTTTTCAGGTGCAACTTGTTCACTCTTTGGTGTTTCCTTCTTTGAATCAGCAGTAGTAGTAACAGTTTTTGCCTCTTCGTTTGGAGGTGTTGTTGTTGTTGCAGTGGTAGTGGCTGTATTACTAGTAGTGGCACTTGCTGTAGATACTGGTGTCGATGGTGTAGTTGCACTACCAGTGGTTGCACTTGTTGAACGAGTATTATCACTCTCTGTGGTCATAGAGGTGGTGACACCTTTTTGAACTGTTTTTCCTTCTTCTTGATTGGATTCTTGTTGGTTGATACCACTGTTTGACTTGACCTCTTTCTTGGCTGCACTATTCTTCAAATCCTCAACAACAATTTTAGGAATGAATGGCTGTACATCTTCTTTGAATAATGGATGATTTTTCAATTGTTCAATATCATTTTGATCTTGGTTCTTCTTGATGGGAGGAGTATTCGTCTTCTTTTTTGCCACCGATGGAGTAGAGGGCTGTGATGATGATACGCGATCCTTACTTGAAGTGATTCTCTTCTTTTTGTCACTTGAACTATCTTCTTCATCAATCATTTTCAAGTATTTCTCAATAATGTCATCGTGTTTGGATTTGGGTGCACTCAAATCAATGGATTTTTCTTGAGCTTGTTTGATGATTTTTTCTTGTTCCTTTTCTTTTTTCACTTCTGGATTGATGTGAGGTTGTTTCAATGGTTGTTGTTGTTGTTTGGGTTTTTTCAATGGTTGTTGTTGCTTGGGTTTTTTCACCACTTTTTGTGGAATTTTAATGACAGGTTTCTTTGCAACTTTCTTTTTCACATTCTTTTTCACATTCTTTTTTGGTTTCTTTTTGGAAGATGACTTTGATTTCACACCTGTGGTTGTTTTCTTCTTTTTAATTCCTAATAATTCATCTAAATCAACTTCTTCATCACTATTTCGATTCTTCTTCTTCTTGGCTTGCTTATTTTTCACCTCGTTAACTAATTGAGGGGAATCGTGTGATTTCTTTTCTACTTTGATTCCCATCATATCCTTTGAACCTGTTTGAGCAGATGGTTGTTGAGAGGATGGATGATTCATTGCTCTTGCTTGTTGTAAACTTAGCTTTCTTTTATAAATTACAATATAAAAGACCATCACAATACTCAATAAAATCATAAATGTGACAAGTATTCTCTTGGATGTTCCGCAACACGTTCCAAACACTGCAGATGCAATTGAATTGGATTTCTTTTTTCTGAAAGAATATTTATATTTTGTATCATCAGCATCATCGTCATGGGAAGAAGAATCAAATTTTCGATGAATCATGTTACCACTATTGGAAGATGAATTCAACAATACAGATGATGTTGTTGCATTGTTGTTGAGATCCATCGGAATGGGTGTAAAATGATCCAATGTATGAGATTCCAAATTGTGTACAAAAGCACTTGGAGTAGATGATGATGCAGTTGAGGACGATGATGGATAATTCATCAACAATGGAGGAACTTGTGAATAATTAGTACTACTATTGTTGTTGAAAATTGGATCTTGTTCTTCTCCATCTTCATTCACAGTGTAGGATCGATGCGATCGCACTTGTAGATTTGGTGTTGTATTGGGCAATCGATACGTGGGAGGAGAGGACGAGTTATTCCCCTCTGTAAACATTTTTTAAACGTGTGCGGAAACGTGTGGCAGTGAAATCCCTCAAGGTTTCATTACAATGAGCTAAATTGGAATGATGGCTGACATTGGTTCGGTGGCCCTTTTGTATTTTCACTCAGCTTGGAGAAGTGACGTAATCGTATGGAAAAGATCATCACTACAATCAGTGCTTATTGGCTGTTTGTCGTTGTTTCTTTGTGGATTGTCCTTCTGGCAGAGGAGTTTTGAAACTTGTTGATGCAACACGTGATGTTTGTCCCGTGTTTGTTTAAGGGAGTCTTGAATTTGAGGACCTAGTACGAACAGAGCCATTACTAGACCACAACTATATAAATCACTTTGAATCTGGTTTTGCATCCATGTTTCATCATTTGTGGTTGAGTGGGTCATTTTGTTGGGACTTCTATATAATTTATCTCCACAAAAGATTGAAGGAGACATGGATTCATCCACACTAATATAACTCATATCAAAGTCAATTATTTTCAATTTTCCATCTTGCGAATCAATGATGAAATTATCTGGTTTGATATCATTGTGAATTAAATGACAATCATGCATTGCCTTTACAATTTCAAAAACTCTCTTGGCCATCACTCTTGCATTCAGTTGCTGACTTAAAGTAATAGAATCAAAATTTAAAGGAGAATATGATTTTCTTGTAGCAATAGCCTTCCATTTAGAAAGAGATGCATTATTTTCAATTATGAAATATTGAGGAATATATTCATATCGATAATAGGAATACATGTGTTTGAAACATTTAAATTCTCTCTCCACATCTCTAGAAAATTTCAAAATATAAATGGATTGATTCGAATGCTCCATATTCTCCTCATGATCCTCTTGAATTGAAATTTCAAATAAACTAAATTCTATTTGTTTAACAATCTCAATCATCATGAACCGAAGATTGGAATCTTTCATTGACTTTGATGACTTTGTTTTTACAATTGAAATCCTATGGTCTTGTACACAAGAATATGGTTCCGAACAAGAAGCATTCGTTGTGAGGTTTAACGATTCCTGTATGATGAGCGTTGCTGTAAATTTTTGTCCCGCTCGCAAATGAGCACTCTTCATTTTTTTTTAATATAGGTATTCCTTAGAGGAAAATTATTGGTGGATGCACCAAACGTAAGTTATGACCGGAGATCTTCAATGTGTTGTCAATTTGTCTATTGTGTTGCAAATTAATTCGGATATTTGAGTTGACGTAAGATATTGACAGTCAGGTGGCTAAGATCCGAATAGGACAAAAGGTGTTGAAACCTTGACCAGGATTAATCATGGCAAGGTTGATCATTAAGAACAATTTTCAACAGATTTGATTATGTTTGTAAAGTGCATTATATAAGGCCACCTGTCAGGACCAAAAAAGTTCATAAAAAAAAATCGAACCATGACCAAAGCATCATCCTCCACCACTAAACACCCATCCAAGCAAACCAAATCAAAGAAGAAGCAATTGAACGTAGACAAATCCCGAACCCTGTCCTCCAAAATCAAACAAAAACGAATCGATGCAAGAACAAAGGCCTTACAATATAAAAAAGAACATCCAAACACTTCACTTCGAAGCATTTCCAAACTCTTCCAAGTTCCCATTGCAACCATGAGTAAACTGTATAATAACAAGACACAAATTGATGCTGCTATGGGTAGACATCGCTATTTTACAGTTCAAGAAGAAGAGGAATTAAAGAAATGGGCAATGGATTTAATGGATCATGGTTTTGAAATGTCATCAGATTTATTATTAATGAAAGCTCAGGACATGTATCAAGAGAAATATCATGATTCAGCAAAACACATTTCTCATGGATGGTATCAATCATTTATGGAAAGACATGAAGAGGTGATGACTCGATTGCATGAATTCATGTCCTTATTAAGAAAAAAACAACAAGATCCAGCATTGGTGAACAAGTTTTTTACTGTCCTTGAGGAATGTATCTCTCAACATGATATATTACCTCATCGAGTGTATTGTTGTGATGAAGCATGTATTGTGAAAGGTACTCCAAGCAATCACTTGACACTCGCTCGACTTCAACGTGAACATTTGAGAAAAGAAAACTTGACTGTTCAGGGTGAATGTTTGTCCTCAATGCTTGTTTGTTTTAATGCAGCTGGAAAATCTCTACCTCCATTTTACGTTCTTAATGAAACGTTCTTAAATGGAGACAGTCATCACTGTAACAAGATGCCCTCTGATGGTTTGGACGCTTCAGCAAGTGGGCACTCAACACCAAGTATTTTCAAACAATGGTTCGAACAACACTTTCTCAAGAACTGTTCTCGTCAACGACCTGTGATACTCTTGTTAGATAGCCATGCTTCTCATGTTAATTTTGAGATGTTACAAATTGCAAAAGAGCATAATGTGATACTATTTGCATTACCGCCACACACTAGCCACCATTTCCAACCCTTTGAATTGACCATGTGTCAACCTCTTGAAACGGTTTTTGAACAATTTAGTCGTGAACAGACACGAGATGAAATAGTATGGACCACGAAAGAATTGTTGGAATTGCTTTGTTTAGCTCAGGAAAAAGCAATGACAAAGTCTAATATAATTCTAGGGTTTGCTAACTCCTGCATTTACCCTTGTGATGTTGAACAAGCTGTTGCTAAAGTACCTCAAACAGAAAATGTTTCCTCTCCAACAAAGAACAAACATACCACAAAAAAGAAAACGAAAAAGTAAAAATCCTTCCTTTCTATTTAAACAATAATTTATTTACATGCAAAGTTTTAAAGCGAGAACAATGAACATGAATACCATCAAAACGTGAATGAGTACATGCATAACGGTACTGTATGGCAGTGTCTTGTGCGTCTCATGTGCTTGGAATTGAATATGCAATACTCTCATGCTGCTTGCCATTAATCCAGCAAATGGAATCCAGCTTGGAGGTATTAAAGGATATCGATTATTCACACCACCTAACTGTTGTCTTTCTTCCAATTGGTAGTGTTCAGAAATTAATTTGGCTTTCTTGTGAAGAGATCTTACACTAGTATTGGCATCAATAACAAAGGATTTGAATGGTCCACCCTTATTGACGGATTTGACAGATTTTGGTGTCATCAAATAAGGAACAACGCCTGACATTTCAAACAATACGTCACATAGAGGGAAGGCCATCTCAATCAATTTAAATATTTGCACAAGTTGATCATGATCAAAGTAAATGAATAACCCCTCTGCAATGATGAGAACTGGAATTTCAGTTTTTCCAACCTGCAATTGTTTTCTAATTTCGGCAAGTTCTCGATAGGTATACTCTTCGAGTATTGATCCAGACATAGTTCTGTAGTGTTGATTTTGAGGAGTTCTTATTACTTTCTCCCTTAGTTCAATAACATTTTTCAAATCTACGTCAATCCAGTAAACTCCATCATTGGATCTGTCAAACAATCGTTCATAGCGAGAACAAAGTCCACAACCCACATTGACTACCATCATCTTATCTGATTTTCTTCTGTGAACAATATCGAGTACTTTACGATCAAATACAAGTGTTCTTCCCACAATATTTGCTCTTGTCATTCCATCCATCGATGTATCTTGTTGCAATTCAGTTGGAAGCTTTGTAAGAATATCTAATGCAACACGATCAAAAATAACTCCATCATGATGTTGTGATTCTAAACCTCTTGAAACAATTGGGATGAATAAGGTTTTTTCCAATGGAGTTAACGATTCAATCAAGTTCATAAATTCATTGTTCATCGTCTGATTAGAACGCGTAGCTGGATCAACAGAATTACACATTGTAGCAGCAACTTGACAAGTGGTTGGTTGTGAGCTCATACTGTCATTGTCTTCCATGAGGATAGCCCTGGAGACCTCTTTAAGGTATTGAGAAGTGAGATTGTGGTGAGCACCTTCTAAAGTAATCTTTCGAATGGAACTTGCAGCAAATTTGTCCCAATTATGAATAGTCTTATCAGTCACAAGTTTATCGTGCTGACCTCTAAATACAGTAATTGGACACTCAACTTGATACTTTCCAAACATATCATCATCAAAACTGTGATACAACAATAAGAAATCGAATTGACTTCTAAAGGTTGGAATTTGAAGTAAATCTCTAATCTTTGTAGCTTTTTGTTCCAAATCATGAATATTTGCAGTAATGGTTGGGAATAACTCATAATCCGTGATGGCATAGATAATAGTTTCGTCTCCATTTTCTTTCCATCTCTTATACGAATTGGAGTGTAAGGCATTGTTTGGTGTGTTGGCACTCACAACCAAGTGCACGGGTTTGCTATTGAAATTGGATTGAATAAACCGTGTGAATTCCAACGCCACCAATGCTCCCATACTATGTCCATACACTGTAACTTGTTGCTCTTTGAAGAGTCTTTCTACTTGTGTCCACAATTCACAGAAATGTAAAGTCCAATCATATTTGTTGTTTGCAAAATTCAAATGAACCACATAGATGGAATGATTGGGTACCAAAGTGGACAACTCTTTGAAATCATCTGTAGAGCTACCTAATGCTGGGAAGCAAATCAATACTTTGTTTCCTTTTTCTTCTGTATGAATGCATTCAAGTAATTCTTCATTGTTGTGGGTCAGTTCGCTAATGTTGTTACTGGCCTCATTCATAGATTCAGCTTTTACATCACCAACGACTTGAGAACTTGTGATCATGTCCACCAAAGTAGAGGTCGAAACACCAGAGAGTAATGTTGAAACTGTAACATTCAAGGTAAATTCACGAGAAATCCAATTTCTAATTTCAACGGCCATTAAAGAATCCAAACCAAAGTCCACCAATGGTTTGTCAACTTGAAGATCATTAGCAGACATACCAAAAACTTTGGCAACAGATTCTTTCAACTTGTTGGCAATGCTATCTGTTGAACAATTCGAAGAGTGATTCATTGGTGGAGATAAAGTGCTTGACTTTTTCTTGTACGATCTTGCAATGTGAGGTTGAAGGGTATCTTCTGGAATATCAAATCCAAAGAATGTCAATGCTGGTGGTAAAATTGATTGTTTGGCAATTAAATCTTCAAAATGATCAAGTAAATCGCTGATGTGCATTGCTCCAACCCAGAAATATTCATCAACTTCAGCCTTAGTGGCCCATCCAGCTCCAGTGATTAGACTCAAGCCGAGAGATTGAGCAGCAAGTCCACAACTTCGTCTATATTTACACAAAATTTCCAAGAAGAAGTTTCCGCTGTTGTAATTGCTTTGAGCAAAAGCACCTACGAGGGAACTGAAAGAGCTCAGCATTAAGAACACAGACAAGTTGCATTGAAGGTCCACTGTACATTTGTGGAGATTGTAAGCACCAATAATCTTTGGTTTTGCAGCAGCTTCATAATTTGAACGAGTCATTTTGTTTGCTGCACAATCAGCCAATACCATGGCTGCATGAACAATGGCTGAGATTGGATGTTCTTGATGAATCTCTTTGAGAGTATCATATAAAATGTTGTAATCACAAATATCTGTGGTGTGAATAGAAATTGAAGTATTTGGATGATTCAACATGATTCTATCTAAAATATATTGTTCATCCTTCTTTGGTTGTCTTCGAGTAAGTAAGGCAACATGCTTAACTCCCATCTTTGAAATGAGCCATTCACACATGGCTAAACCAATACCGCCAAGGCCTCCTGTAATGACCCAACTACCTTGATATGGAGATTGAGTGAGACTTGTTTTAGCAGTGTTAGTATCTACAATGGAATAGAAATGAACAAATCTTCCATGGTCACTATAAACAATTTCATCATCTGAGTATTGTGGTGAGAGGATGTCATGGGTTAAATCGCGAGCCAAAGAGGTTGATCTCTCTTCAGTGACAATGTCAATGACTTTCAATTTGTTCTTAAACATTTCAGTATAAATGGATCGCAAACATCCAACAATTGGTGACTGTGAAATATTGACACGATCACTGTTTTCAAATCCTAATGCTCCAGATGTCAAAGCAACCAACTTGGATCCTGCTGTGTTGAATTTCAAGTTCTTACAAATGGAGTATAATGCATTGACACAATCAGAAACGTCATTAAAGGAAAAGTTGTTGTCCTTACTTGCCAAACCGAGTGGCCATCCAAAAATGATTCCTGAAATACAAGTCCATTCGTTAAAAATAATTTGGAAATGTTCCAAGTTGGTTGGATCAATCTCGAAAGATTGCTTATTGGAGTCCTCATGAGACAATGAGGCACCAACTCTTGCACTCACTCGAATCACATTCACTCCATTCATAGAAAGACAAGTAGCAAGAGATTCCTCTAACTTGGAATTCGAAGTGAAAAATAACCAATGACTCTTGACTGCATCCTTTTGAGCGACAATATAGTTTGCAGAGTGAATAGACATACACACACTGTTTTTGAAGCCACAGTCCGATAATGCTTGTTTCCAATCATCACGTGAAAGAAGGGCTGATTCACCTCTATACGAATCTTTAAAGTACCACCATCCTTTTAAGGTACCAACGAAATAGTGTAAGAATTGAGCTCTGTTTGGATCACTTTCAACAAGGAACAATTCTCCACCTGATACAAGCAAACTATTCACAAGAGACAAGACGTTACTCAAGTCCTTAGTAGCATGTACAACGTTAGCTGCAATAATGAGATCAAAAGATTCCTTTTCAATGGAAGGAGGGAGTGGCTTTTCAATATCCAACAAAATGAAATCCATAAAGTATTGATATTCAGCAAACTTCTCTCTAGCTTTAACCAAGAACAGGTTCGAAATGTCTGAAAAAACATATTTCACATCTAAAAAGTCTCTAAACGAGTGTAAAATTGGTAATATTTGTTTGGTAGTTCCTCCCAAACCAGCTCCCAATTCTAAAATTCTCAGTGTTACCTTTTGACTGCTTGATCTATGGGTCAAGATAGTTTTAACAATATAATCGAATAACGGCTTGGTTTGATGTGAAACTTCGTCATAGTAATCATTGAGAACCTTTTCCTTTCTTGAGAAAAGAACAGATACAGGATCAACTTCACCTGTCAATTGTTGCTTCATGTGAATCAAACTGTTTTCGATTAAATCAATGAGATTGCAGTATAAATCCTTTCTTGGGAAGTTTTTCAGCTGTTGCAACAATTCCTTCTTGTCTGGAATGATCTCAATAATGATAAACTTGTCATGTTCTCGTTTCACCATTCCTAAAGTGACAGCAAATTGCATGGTAAGCAATGCTAACTTTTTCAAATGATCTTCCTTGATCAAAGAATTTAACACGTGCATATCGAATTCATTCATGTCACCACACATTTCTCTAAATACAGATAGGCAATACTGAACACACACTCTGATGGCTAGCTTGTTCATAGCTTCATGCTCTTTAGAATAGTCATCAATTTCATCAAACTTTGACATGAACTCATTAATACTCTCTAATGATGGCAATTTGCATAGATTCGTTGCAGGAGATGCGGAAAATTGTGAGGCAACAATTGATGTTTCTGTGAGTGTTTTAGCTCGTTTCTCAAGTGGAGCAGCTGTAAAGCCCTTGAAGGAAATGAATGGTTCATTTCTCATACCTAGAACATGCAAATCACAAGTGATCAATTGAGAATCTTGTTTAGTAGCGCTGTTACGATAGGTAGTGGAGTAGACCATGTGGTGCTTTTGGTTTTTTGGTTGTCTTTGAGGGTAAATGAAAATACTTTCTGTTGACACTGGTAAGTAAGTGGTATCTTCAGGCATGGAACAAATTAACAGTTGGAAGCAGGAATCCAACAAAGCAGGATGCCATACACAATATGCAAATTCATTCTCAGAGAAAACGGATGGATCAGAAACTTGTGCCATATACGAAGTTCTGTTCTCGTCTTGATCAACCTGAGAGAATACATCCAATCCTTGGAAATGTGGTCCATAATTCAATCCTGACTTGTTCAATCGTGTGTAGAGATTTTCCTTATGAGTGGACTTGGTCTTGGCATCGAGTTCTGTTCGGAAGGTTTCAAACACATGTAATGCTTTTTCTTCACGTTCTTGATTTGGAATCAAAGGAGTTCCAATTTCTTGAATATGCTTAATGGTGAATGATCCGTAGGAATGCAACACCCAATCACATGGTAACTTTTCATTGAGTTGATTTGGATTCTTTGAAATTTCAGAGAATGGAATTGAAAGAAGATCCGTCTTCTTTCGACTGAATACACGGAATTGATTCGATTGAGTGTTGATATGAACCTGAAGTATTCTCACTTCTTTCAAAATCATTGGAGAAATAACTTTGAAATCTTTCAAACAGAGCTCAACATTGGTGTTTGAATTCAATTCAAAGTGATTCATAATAGCAGTGGCACTCACTTCAATAAAACCAGCGAATGGAAAGAATATTTCATTTTGAACCTTATGATCTTGAATATATTGTTGCATTGGATTGGAGAAGACATCCATCATTTGTTCATAGACAATGTCTGTATAGGATTCCATTTGATTGTGTTTTCTTTTGCCCAATAATGGATGATCAATGTCTGAGAGTGGTGTTTTTGGTGGACACATTCTCCATCTCAATGATTCATACGACTCGGACCAACATGAATGCAATTGGAAAGGATATTTTGGAAGAGAATCAAGCAATGTCAGATTTTCAGCCATGCAGAGACGATTAATATTCTTCCAATTCATCTCGTACCCATTGACATAGAGTGATGCTAACAATTGCTTGATGCAAACCTCTTCATCTTTCTTTCTCATTAACGTAGGAAGTACTGCAGTAGTATCATTGGATCCACGTACTTTGCTTGCAATATCTTTGATGTATCCACTGAGTACTGGATGAGGTGAAATTTCAATCACATATTTCACAGTCTTGTATCTCTCAAAGATGTCTTCCATGGTTTGAGAAAATTTAACACCTTCTCTCACATTTTGCCACCAATACTGAGATGTACTCATATCTTGAAGAGATGACTTGGTACCAAATACAGTAGAAAAGAGTGCTTGAATGTTGTCATTGGATTTAGTCGTACCTCTTTCTTTGGTGTGCAATTTCTTATTAAGAGTCTCCAACAATTCATCCTTAATTTCATCCATTTGGCTTGTGTGAAATGCAGCTTCATTTCTCAAAAAGATGCAATTGATACGAATGGTGGAATCAGACTCAAAATATTTGGTCATTTCTTGTTGAAGTTGTTTCAAAATCTGCTCCTCTCCACCAACTACCACTGAATTATCACTGTTAATAGAGGCAATTTCAACAAGATCCTTAAAACCGAGAATCTCCAAAGTGCTTAAGGTCTTTTCCAATCCCAAATTAATTGTCATCATTTTACCTGATTTTGAATACTTTTCCTTCAAAATGTCCTTGCATTTGTGTTGCAATCGAGCACGATGATAAATCAAATAAACAGCTTCCTCAAAAGTAAGGGCACCGTACACAAAAGCAGCTGCAACTTCACCAACCGAGTGACCCACAACTACCTTTGCATGAATGGAATGTTGTTTCAATACTTCATAAAGTGCAATTTGTAAGGCAAAAATACAAGGTTGAGCAACATTGGTCGAGTAAATCAGAGAATCCTTCTCAGTCTTGTTGCTTAATTCATCGAAAATGGACCAATTCTCTCCAGATTGTTGATACTTTTTTAGCTCTTGATCCACTCTCAATACGGTCTCTTTAAACACTGAACATGACTCAAGTAATTGTCGACCCATCATGAACCATTGTGGACCTTGGCCAGAAAATACAAAGCAAATTTCTGAACGTCCTACATCACGCTTGTTTGTTTTTCCTGTTTGACACAAGTCGTTATTTTCAAACTTGTCAGAGAGTTTTGACAATGTGTTCATGAGAGAATCCTTGCTGTCAAAAATTAAACCAGCTCTAAATTCGCTGAAATGACTCTTTCGTTCACAATAATTATACAAGATTTGATCCAAACTAATTTGAGAATTGTCTTGAAGGAATTTCAAGAGATTGGAAGCCATCATCTTTAAAGAGTATTCACTCTTAGCAGCCAATGGAAGAACTCGTGGAGTGTGTTCTGTGTTCAAAGCCTTTGCATTATTCTCCTTCTTCTTTTGATAACTTTGTAAAATAACATGAGCGTTGGTACCACCCATTCCAAAAGAATTAATACCAATAATAATTGGATTTGAATGAACGTCCTGCGGAATTTGTTCAATTTCTCTCACGACTCTCAAATGTTTCTTATCGAACTGAATTTCTGGATTCAAATCTTGGCAATGAATGGTTGGTACGAACATTTGATTTTTCATCATCAAGAGAGCCTTGATAATACTAGCAATACCACTCACAGCTTCCGTGTGTCCAATATTACTCTTCACGGATCCGATAGGTAATTTATCCATTCCATGATTTTTCCTTGCAACTCCAAAGAAATGATTCAATACATTACATTCAATAGGATCTCCTACTTTGGTACCAGTCTTTGGTTAATGAATAATAGTTCATTCATAATAGATATAATTTCATGAAATTGAATCAATGAAAGATATCATCATACTTACCTGATGAGCTTCCACATACGAGACTTGATGAGGTTCAATGCCATTTTTCTTGTAAACGTGTTGCAACAACTCGAGCTGACCTTCAAACGATGGCATGGTAATACCTGATTTACGATCTCCATCATGATTCACGCCTGTTCCAGCAACAAGTCCATGAATTCTGTAGGATGAATTATCACATTCACCATACTTTTTCAGAATGAGAACACCAACACCTTCACTCTTTCCATAACCATCTGCTTGAGAAGAGAAGGTTTTACAACGACCATCTTGAGCAGCTGCACCAATGAGTTTTTGAGCTACAAATTCATGAGGAATAAAATTCAAGTTGACACCAGCAACAACGGCCATCTCACATTCTCCTTTTTGTAAACTTTCTGCAGCACAATTCAAGGCAACTAGAGAACCAGAACACATCGTATCCAATGTAAAGGATGGTCCTCTCAAATCAAAGTGGTATGAAATTCTGGCAGAGTTGTTTGCAGGAGATGAATTAATCAAAGTATACGAGTTGAACGTATCCATATCGTGCCATCCTCTCATTGTCAAATAATCTTGATTCATGACACTGCAAAAGACTCCAGTTTTGCTTCCTTTAATTTCATTCCATGGAATACCAGCATCTTCAAAAGCATGATACACTTGTTGAAGCAATAAACGATGTTGAGGGTCCATGGAACAAGCTTCTTTCTTGGAAATTTCAAAGAATTCATAATCAAATTCATCGAGAGACTTTTGTAAAAAGTGACCAGCACTATAGGCTTGATGCTTGAATTTTGATGAAGCCATTCGATTGGAAGGATATTGTTGAGAACATGTTTCAGATGCACTCGAAAGAAGATCCCAAAAAGAATCAACATTGGAAGCATGTCCTGGGAAGAGGCATGACATGCCAATGATGGCAAGTTTGTTATTTGTATTGCATGTATGGGTGGAATCGCATGCAGAGTTGTTGGTTTGCTTAATATTCAAAATTTGGGACATGTTGTTGTAAGGGTAGGTTCTAATGTTATAGGTACGATGGATAAAAGGATTTGTACTGTTTTTTTTCTTGAAATATAATGTTATCTCACCAGCTCCAACTCAATTTAAAATGAATGTATTAGGTATGCTTGTCACCTGTCCAATTCCTTTTTTGTACTTGGTTCAGTGAATATCTTCGAGTTCTTTGCACGCAACTTGCCCAACAGAAAGTTTTAGTTCGCTAGTTATAGTTCGCGACTAGCCGAACTCAACTCTGTAAGCACAAAAACAAGTTCTGATGGGCACTTCGGTGCTCACTGATCTTCCGATAGTAATCCAAGACCAAAATCGCCATGCATGTCTTTGAATATTTGCTAAATAACCTGGTATGCATTCTCAAAGGACAATTCAAAAAAAAAAAGAAGGCTTGTATCTAACAAATGTTCACCATACTCCTCAGTGGCTGTTTCTCTTTGGTCATTGGCTTCTCTTTGTATGTGGCCTATCTATTCGCCAACTTGTACTATTTTGGAAGACATCCACGTAATATCTTTACTGATCCAATCTACAACTTGTCTTCCATGACAAGAAGCTGCAGCGAGGAAGAGAAAAACTCTTCCAAAGATCATGCCAAGAAGAAAAAGTCCAAGTTCAACAAGAATCCATTCAAGAAGGAAAATCTGGCACAAGACTATGATATCATTATTATTGGCAGTGGTATCTCTGGTCTCAGTTGTGGTTCTGTGTTGAGTAAAGCTGGAAAGAAAGTCTTGATTTTGGAGCAACACAAAATTGCAGGAGGTTGTCTCCATACGTTCAACTTGACAGGAGAAAATGGCGAAAAGTTTCAATTCTGTGCAGGCCTACATTATATGGGCAAGTTGCAAGGAGCAGAAGGAGCGTTATTAGATGCATTGTGTGAAAAGCATATTGAAATGAAATCTTTGGATTCGAATTTTGACAGAGTCCATGTGATGAATACTGCTACTAATGAAACCTTGCTCGACTTGGAAATTCCAGCAGGTGTTGATAGTTATGAAAAGAAATTGAAAGAGGCATTTCCGGATGAAATCGATGCCATTGACAAGTATGTGAAAATACTCAAAGATCACTACGAGATTGTTCCAGTGTTTATATTGAAATCTCTTCCTTACTTCTTCTCGTTCTTGAAATATTTGATTGCACCAACCTTTATGAAATATGTCCATTTAAGTGTAGCCCAACTTGCAAAATCTCTCACTTCCAATAAGGTCCTCCAGGCAGTTTGGTGTTATATTTGTGTGGATTATGCTTCAAGCCCAAAACGCACTCCAGTTTACGAACATTTGGCAGTGAAAAATCTGTTTGTCAATGGCGCTCAAATACCTCTCCATGGTGCCAACGACATTGTAGAGAGTTTAATTCAAGTCATTAGAAAAGGAAGTGGAGATATATTCACCAACGCAAAAGTGCACTCACTCTATGTGAAAGACGGACGTGTTCAAGGTGTTGAAATGGTCAAGGACCACCTCGTGATCAAAGCACCAATAGTGATATCAACGGTTGGTGCTTTTAATACATTCCAAAAGCTGTTGCCAGTAAGCGCAAGAGAATCCTTTGGTTATTCCAACATTCATTACACTCCTGCATTTTCAAGCCAAGTGGTGTTTTTAGGATTCAACAAGAGTATCGAAGAGTTGGGAATCAAACACCAAAATACATTCATTGTGACCAATCCAGACATTGATGCTCAACACGATCGTTTCATGAACAGTAATGGTATCTTAGATCCCATGAATGGAATTGATCACCCAGTGGTTATTGCAAATTTTAGATCTGTTGGAAACAAAGTTTCTGCTATTCTTCTCACCTTTTCCAAATACGAATGGTTTTCTGATTGGGAACATCAGAGGGTAACGAATCGAAGTGTGGATTACGAGGATTTGAAACAAGGTCTCTCCAACAGAGCCGTAGAATTATTCTACGAGAAATTTCCACAACTGAGAGACAGTCAATGTGTTCTCAATTCATGCTCTCCTGTCACGTTCAATCACTATTTAGGATGTAATTTTGGTGAATGGAGTGGATGGAAGCGAATTGTGGGCGATGATTCCATGATTTTCAAGTGGGGACGACCGAAATCAAACATTGAAGGATTGTATTTAGCAGGGCAGGATGTGTTTGCAGGAGGTGTTCAAGGTTCCATCTTGACGTGTTTAACCACTTGTGGTTCTATTTTGCATCGAAATTTGTATGGTGATTTGCAAGAATTCTACGAGAAAACCTTAAAGAATAACAAGCCTTAAATCATCAAAATAGTTGTGCTTCAACATTTAAACTTGTTGCATTGGTGATGAGCTCGTGTCTTTAACATTCATGCAATGAATTTGTTTCTTTGACATATCAAGGATAAGTTTAAGAATATAAGTAGGGTGTATATTTTGATGGTGTTATTACTTTTGGAATCGATCAATCTTTCGATGATAGAATGGGTCGTTCAATTGAATATAGGTTGAAAGGTACAACAATCCAACAATCACAAAGAGGGAAACAATAAGGAAAGTAAGTACAGACATTCCTGTATGCACTCGAGTAATGTAAGCATAGATGCCTTGTTTGGTAGTCACTACAATATCTAGTACTTGGTCTCCATTAATATCCACAAGTTGAATTGGAGCAATGGATGGATGAGGAAGTTCAATAATTTGTTGAATATTTCCAAAAAGATCGACAACAGTGAGCCTCTTTTCTCCCATTGCAAGAATGAATGAATGTGTTTCAAATTTTCTGAGTGGAAATGCAACAATTTCAGGGAAGAATGATTCAGTCTCGGCTCCAGACTCAACCAAAACTCTTTCTCTTCTGAAAGAAGATGGAGTCATAACTTGCCATTTCACTCTAAATTTAGGCTCTCCATTGGAGCTATGTTTACGATCAAAGGTAATTGCTGTTACTAATCCAGTGGATGTTAAATAAATCAAATCTCGGGATCTAAATTGTGGCTTTTGTTCTGTGGAATAATGTTCAACCAGAGCTGGAGTGACCACATCCATTTGTTCATCTTCATAGTCATCATCCTCATCAAAGCTTTGTTTTTCCTGCTGCTCATTCGACATGAGGAAAGGAATTGAAAATTGTTCAGCAAATGAGGTTGGATGAAGTTTACAAACTGACTTTCTGAACAATGTGTCATATGGATTTGGTGCACCACTTTCAATCTTTGCCTTGCAAATTTGTGCTTCAGCAGCATCGATCATACCATCAAAATTGATATCTTGATAAACAGTGTTTTCCTTCAAAGGAGCAAATTGAGTTAACGTTCTACCAGTGTACAAGTGAATCACTTGAATACCCTTTGAAAGATGAGCCACCAACACGTTAGGTATTTTCTCAAATCTTTTCATCAGTTCGATATTCTTCTTCAATTTCTCGTTAGTATCTTTCACTTTTGTAGTAATTTGCTGAACGGCTGTCTTCAATTTTTCAGTTAATTCTCCATAATCATGTTTTTCCTCTCTCTCCTTAATTTTGGACACTTTAGCCTTCTTCGTTGGTTGGAAATTGTCTAAAATTGCTGATGTATCGTAAGGATGTCTGAACACATGAGGTAAATGATGCATAATCTTTTTCTTATATTCTCTCCATATTACCTCTCCAGAGTCGCTCAAATGTTGTTGAGCATTCAATTTGAAAGAATGTTGCTCGTAAAATTCATTGTCATCCCAATTCTTGTGATTTGATTGATGCTTCCATCGGATTTGACCTGTTGCTCCATCAAAACAATAGTAGGAAAATTGAGTGGCTGTTTCTTCAGCTTTTCTCTTATCATTTTCGAACATTTCTTGAGGTTTACGGAAACCAACAATAACCATTCCCTCATCGTTTTCATGAACTCTCCAAGGATATAATGCAACCAAAACTTCAAAAGGTTTGAAATCGTTTCTAAGATCTTCAATCTCCACGTCTGTCAGCTTCATATCTGAAACTACTTGTTGTAAAAGATCAGATTCCCACTTCAAATTTAAGTCGTGATCCAAGCATAATACTTTCCAATTAGAGAGTACGGCCACAACTCTTTTAGTTCCTCTCTGTCCTTTCTTTTTCTTTACTTTGATATGCCCATGCCCCAGACCAATTATTGAATGATGAACAGTTCCTTTGTTTTTATCCTTTTCATTGACGTCGAATGATTTCTTTTTACATTGTTGAATTATTATTTAATTTTAAAAGGTCATTGCAATATTGAGAGCACATTCCGAATATAAACGTTCCATAACATTAAAAAAGATAATCTCGATCAATACATACTTCCTCAGTAATTGGGTTAAATAAATCTTGATGTACTAATAGCGATGAAGAAATAGTCTTGAGAGAAACGATAGAAATTTTTCCATTCTCACCACTCGTAACCAAATCTTTAGATCCATCACCATCAATATCTGTAATAATAGGTTTTGGTCTGAAATATATTACAGCAATGATCGTTGCGTTATGTTCATGATCGGAAAATGTTCATCATGGATTCAATCCACCCGATAATGATCATTACTTACAATAAATCAGCTTGCCCTGTTTTCACTAGCAGTGGTTGCTGATTTGATGTTTGTGCAAAGAAAAACGCCTTTTCAAAGGTAATGCTTCCTTCTTGATTCAAAGCGATCACAAGAAGCAAGCATACCAAGGCAAACATGGCAAAATCTCGCTTTCTCATTTTTTATTCTTTCGTTCAGCTGTGTGGTGCCTCAAAAGCACACTCACACGTGTACATGTTGTCTTGTTGCAAGAAAACCGTTGTGATGATGTGGATGACAACAATTCAAATGCACGCACCGATTTTGCTGAATGGTTTTTGACGATCGTTTTCAATTGTCGTTTGTGAATGATTAATTACAATTATAATTTGAATTATTCAGCAATTCCAAAGAGTAGAACCTCAGCAACAACAACAACAACAATAAATCATTAAATAAACAAAAATATACGACCGACTCGAGTAGCTTTTAATTCATTTAGAATTCGTAGGACTTTGGCTTGTGAGCACCAGTGGAGGAGTTCAACTTGGCAATAATTTCCTCTTGACTCAAAAGGTCAACATCAGAAGCTTGAACATCAACGTGGATGGCAAACTTTTGAGTGACTGCAGTCTTGTTAGCAGCAACCTTTGATCTCTTCATGGCATTACATTGAGGACCAGTCCAAGCAACCAAAATGTATTTAGTTCTTCTAGAGTCATCATCTACAGCAACAGCACGGAAAATACCAAACTTGACATCAGTTGGACCAAAGTTGCTCAAGAATTCACTCCAATCTCCATTACCTTCAGCATCTTTGACAATTTCAGTCTTTTCTGGGATGAAAGTAAACCATTTGATGCTTTCAGTCTTTAAACTTTCCCAAGCAGATTCAACTTCTGGTGAGATGGATGCCATTTGTGTGGTAGTGATGTTGTTGTTGTTGTTTGATTTTTTTGTGTGTTAAATGATGATGAGGTGTGATTTTGAATGACAGGTGGTGCCATGGGAGTGTGAAAATCTTCAGCCAACGTCATGTGGCGCCTTCAAATTAAATGACAACATTCTCTTGTAATGTTCCGTATTGTATTGTTTTTTGATTGATGGATAGGTGCTAGAGTGACAGGCACTTCAAGTGACAGGATGATGAGTAGGAAAGAGGCATGACGACCTTTTTACTTTTGAATCGCTTCATTGGCCAATAATGCATGTGGTCACTAATTGCACTACTGAATGGTTTTTGAAATGATTCAGTTAGAATGAATGGGCTTTTGGCAAACATTAGTAAGGATAAAACCACACAAAACAACCAATAGCATCTTCACACGTTTGCAATGGATTGAAAATGGTTTGTAAATATCCTCTTTGGAAAAGACAAGCAGATGAATGGTTGTGATGAGACGACTCATCATGGTTTAGGTTGAACATCAATGTTCCAACAACAACAACCTTACTCAAATTTAAATTCTCTAAAATTGCAACTCTTTGATTCCAAAATTCACCATGTGAATGCTCAATTATAGGAGCCTTATTGGGATGATCGATGGATGGAGTGTCGATACCAATTAAAAGTAAATTTGGAAATTCATGAGCAAGAAAATGAGAGGCTTCTTTGGATAGATGACAAAAATCATTGGTCCATTCCATCTCATTGGTAGGATGTTGTTTTCTTGTCTTCAATATAATTCTAAACACTTCTTCTTTTGGAATTTCAATTTTTTTAAAAACATTTTCAAGCAATTCTTTTGAAATAGTGAAATTGTTGATCGAGTCAGGTAATAAAGTCTCCAACATGATAACGATACAATCTCCATTGTATTGCATGGTATGAAATTTTTCAATGTTTGGCGATTTTTCAAAATGTTTTGGTTGATCGGCATGAGTACCAGCATGACTGTTGGATAATATTATATTTCTTGTAACCACGCATACACCTTGACTCGATGAGGAAACATCACATGACTCGTTTATCAAACTAGATTTTTGTTTCGTTGAATTGCAACATTGATCGGATTCAATTTTTAACTCTTGTAGTAATTCTTCTTTTGAAATAAATTGAGCAAATGGAGTGTAATCATGATAGGGAAAGGAAGCATATTTTGCAGTTGGAGACACTGAGAGATCAATTCCGAATGTTGGATTAATCAGGTTGTATTTGGATGTTTTTGTATTGAATTGGAGAGCTTTCTCAAGTTTCTTTGAAAGAATGGGACATGGAATGAACTCGTGTCCTTCTTCGTGGTTGGTATTGGCATGAAAACAAGACATTTTTCTTTTTTCAAAAACGAAAAAATGCTTCACAAGCTCACCCGAACACTCATTCACCAACAACAGCTTTCAACAACCCAAACTCTTGCTTCTTTGATATTGAAAAGTAATATTTATCCATCTTTTTTAAAGTTGGATTATACACAACATCGATTCTTTTTGAAAAAGTTATTTGGAAAAGAAACTAATAATTCCACATCTCCGAATGACAATGATAAACAATCGGAATTTTTGAAAGAAAGAGAAAAATTAGCAACACATTTAAAAAACGAAAGAGAACAAATCTATGATGAAATTAATAGATATTCTCCTTTGAAAGAAATTAAATCAGTTTTGAAGCATAAGGGAAAGCTTTTTATCAGCACGTCAGGACAATTAACAGCTCCAGAAAAAAGCATTGTATTTCCTTCACCTGACGCCTCTCTTGGAGATGGAAGAAACAAAGTAGCGATTAGAAATTTAAAAGGAGAGCAAGTAGATCTATTGAAAATGATAAGAAATTGTAGAGCTACATTATTGTTTGTAAATTTTACCGAATATGGATCTAACATGACCAAAGAATGGAAAGAGGCTTTTGATGAATTTCAAAAACGTTATACTGAACAATCAGGAGCATCCTCTATTCTCAAAGCGCAATGTATTGATTTTAGCATCAGTGAAAACTATGTGATTGCATGGCTTGAATCGGTGGTCATGAATAATCTCAAATCAAAGATTGCACCTGAAATGCACGACAAGACATTGGTCACATTTTTAAAGAGTAATAATGAAACATACAAATTTAAGGACATGATTCAAATCACAAATAGCAAAACATGCTACGTTTTTGTCATTGACCAACAATGTAGGATTAGATGGAAAGCTGTGGGCCTTCCCGAAGGAAAAGAGAAGGAGTTTATGATTTCGGCTATCCAACAGCTTGTGGCTCAAACAGAACGAATCAAATAAGAAAACTCCAATGATTCTCTAAATTCACAAAATTTTATCATTCATTCTCTTTTGAATAAATTATTCCTTAGAAACAACCTTTGGACCAGCACCAACTGTGGTGTGAATGAGATATCTCAAACCATCAGGGCTTACCTGAACAGAAGTTGTCTTTTTGAATGACTCTACCAAATCGGTGTATTGCTTCATCTCAGTAACAAATGGCTCCTTTGTGAAGAATTGTTCTTGGTTGGATGGAGGGAAGAATGCGTGCAAAATTGCCAAAAACTTGTTTGTAATTTCCTTGCTTGGGAAAAACAATACAGCATTTGGACCAGCATCAAAAGTATAGGCAGCCTTCAAATTTTGAGTTCCATTTCCATCGTCAAAAGCATTGAAATCGTTCACTAATTGAACAACTTGTTTGGAGGTGTCATTCATGTAATAAATTGGTGGTTTGGTATCAGCACAACAGTCATGCATGTTATCTGAATCATCCATGGTCAATCTAGCAAAAGTGTTAAAGTCCTTGTTCTTCAAAGCTTTTTCCATTTCGATCATTCTTTGTGGCACAATTTCACTTGCTCTCACTTTCAACTTTTCACTAGTCAATACTGATTGTTGCATACCAGAAGTTGATGGAGTATGTTTTTGTCGATCGCTGACCACACAAATCACAATATTAGTTTGTTTTGAAAATTCATCAAATTCATCTGTTACTTGAACAGCTTTGCTTGTTTCATGATCTGTTCCCTTTTCCCAAGCAACAAAACCGCCATATAAAGATCTACAAGCGCTACCACTTCCTAATCTAGCAATAATACTCAAGTCTGTCTTAACTTCAAATAATTGACCCAAAGCATAAACCAAACAACAATAACCGCTTGCACTGGAAGCAAGACCAGCTGCTGTAGGGAAGTTATTTGTAGAGTCGATATGAACATAAATTTCTTGATCCTTATTTGGACGTTCAGTATACCACTTTGCAGTAGCAGCCTCACGAATGTAACGGAACACTCTTTGGATACGTTTACTTCCTTGAACATCTTCCTTCTTTCCATTGAGAATCAACTCATCACAAGTAAATTCGGTACTAGCTTGAACTGTGGTAGTAGTTTTTAAATCATCTTGGTTCAAAGTAGCGCTGAGAGATGAGTTGAGTGGAATATGTTCTTCTTCATTCTCCTTTCCCCAATATTTGATGACAGCAATATTCACTGGGCTTGTGCAAGTAAATTTCGGAGAAGTGTAAGAGTAAGAAGTAGCGGCAGGCGATGATGACATTTTTTTCAACGACGACGAAAAGGCTTCTCGGTGAACGAATCATGTGAATTCAATGCGACCATCTCAACGGAAAGCCATGATTGTGTTGTTCATGTCGATTCATTCTTTCAACAACTGTTGAGTTAAGTCATAAGTGAGTGGAAGCTGGGAGTCATTCGGAAATAAAGGAGAAAAAAATGCTCAACAATAACAACCACAACGCGGAACAAGATTTGGATGATCTTCTTGATGGTGAGTGGTCAATCATCTCTATGGTCCGATCATAATTTTCTTATTACATTATAATTTTACATCTTGATATAATAGATGCTTTGAAAGAATTTGATGATGATAATAATGAAAATTACTCATCTCCGAAGGCAACAAAAACTACAGAAAAAGAAACAACCACCACAAAACAAAATAATAACTATTTGGAAGGCTCTTCGAGTGTTGCTGAATCGACAACAAATGATGATATTGATTTGGATGACATTTTAGAAAAAACACTTCTTTCCGAGGAGAAGCAAGTTGTAAATCATTTAGCGGAGCAAGTGACAAAATTTTTCTCTGAATTAGAAAAAGAAGGAAACGATGAAGGTGAAAATAAGGCGACTACCTCCTCCTCCTCTTCATCAACCTCTTCCTATAATTTTCAAGAAGTTATGAAGAACACTCTTGACATGCTCAACAAAAACGCTGCATCCATGAACAATGCAAATTTACCGACCGGAGAAGAAGGAGATCAAGATGAAACTGTGGATGAAGGAGCATTTTCAGGCCTGTTACAAAAAATGATGGAAGTATTGATGTCTCCAGATATTCTTCGACAACCAATGGAAGAATTGCGAGAAAAGTATCCAGTTTGGCTTAAAGAAAAGAAAGGTCAAGTTCCCGAGGACGAATATCAACGAGTTCAAAGACAATACGATTTATGTTGCAAGATTTGTCGTGTTTATGAAACTCAACAGTATCCAGATGCTATTGATGAACTCATTGAGTTGATGAAAGCAATGCAAGAGCAAGGCCAACCTCCAGAAGAGATTGTAAGTCAATTATCAAAGCCTGAAGGAGGTAATGAAGAGGCGAATGAAGTTCATAAACTGCTGCAGGGTTTAAACCTCCCTTCTAACATGGGAGATGGTAAAGGATGTCCCACACAATAGTGAACAATTTATGATGCATTTCTTTAAAGAAATGAAAAATTAAGACTTGGATTTGCTTGGACTTTATCTTTGCTGTGAAATGATAGTTACAGTGCTGATGATGTTTACACTTGTGATGGTGGCCAAACTGTCGTCTTTTTTTCCAAATTGGCGTTGTAAATTCCCCATTTGCCTCTCAAAAAAATATTCAACAAAATGAAAATTTCATCATTGTCAAAGACTAGCAAGAAGCTTTTGCAGACAAATAGTAGATGTTTCTCTACTTGTCTTAACAACAAGGCCAGTTTAATAGGCTCCCCAAGCGAAATTCCTCTCTCCAGCTTCTTCCCTGGAACTCCTGTTCTTCCTAACCAAGCTGATTCTTCTGAGGAATCCCTTGTCTTCCAAACACAAAAATCAACTCTTCCAAACGGATTGAACGTTGTTTCAACTGTAAGTATGATGATAATTGGTAATGATGATTCAAGTCTGCGGAACATAATTTATCTAAATTTTTAAATACAATCATTTTCAATCACCACACAACGTTCATCAAAACATCATCACCTGGATATCAACATGATATTATCAACAACAACATTGAAATAATGATATCATTACCATCACAATATTTTGATAGGATTCTACATCAAGAGGAGTGAGTGTTGTCAGCCTTTTTGTTAATGCTGGATCTCGTTTTGAAACATACCGTACAAGCGGTGTTTCTCACTTTGTTGAAAAATTCTTCTTCTCAGGTACCAACAACAGAAGTTTGCTGAGATTAGTCACTGAATTACAAAAGACTGGTGCTACCGTTAGCGCTCAAGCTGGACGTGAAAATATTGTGTATCAAACTGAGGCTTTGCGTGAGTCAGTCCCACAAGTTTTAGAACTTATTTCCAACTCTGTTTTACAAGGAAGATTACATCCATGGGATTTGGAACCAAAGACCGAAGCTGTTAAACGTGATATTTCTGAATTCCAAAACAATCCTCAATTCGTTTTGAATGAAGCACTTCATAATATTGCCTTCAACGGTGAAACTCTCGGACGTTCATTGTTGTGCCCACCTCATAATGTTTCAAAGATTGATACTGATGTTATTTTGTCTTACATGGATAATTTGTTTGTTGCTCCACGTATGACATTGGTTGGTACAAACATTTCACATGACGAGCTTAAGGAATTGGCAGCAGCATTGTTCGGATCAATTCCAACTCAAGTTTCTCAAAGACCAGAGGGTGAGCTTTTCACTTTTGACAAGTCTGAGTATGTTGGTGGTGATTATCAAATTCACGACCTTTCTGGAAATGGTGTTCATGCTATTTTGGCATACAAGGGCCCATCATTGAACTCTACAACACAAGCACCATATCTTGTATTGAATGAATTCCTTGGCCAAACTTCAAACAAGTATACTGCATCAATTCACCACACAGCATCAAGATTGGCAAAGACTGTAAAGAATGTCGAGTTTGGATCATCATTTGTTACTTCATACTCTGATAATGGCTTGTTCGGAGTTTATCTTTCCGGAAAGAGTGCCAAAGAGGTTTCTCAAGCTGTTGAAAAGGTTGTTTCTGAATTGAACTCTGTGGACAAGAATTTGACCCAAGATGCCTTTGAAGGTGCCAAGAACCATGCTTTACTGAAACTCTATAACTCTGTTTCTTCAAGCCTCGGATTGAACGAACACAATGCTACCTATGGATCTGTACAGGAGGTTGCACAAGCTATTTCGAACATTACTCTCCAAGAGGTTCAACAAGCAGCCAAGACTTTGTTGCAATCCAAACCAACTTTGGTTTCATACGGCAATCTCGATAGAATGATTAAGGTTAGAAACATTCAATAATTAATTTTTTGAAACGGTAACACATTGACATACAAAAGGGAGAGGGTCCTTTTCTATACCCTTATTTAAAATAAATTAAAATTCAATTTAAGGCTGGAATGTTTGTTTATTCATTTTCGTATCAACAAATCGTTCCCAAAGTTCGTTCAAGTCCAACTAGGCAATGTATTTTGAATGGATGGAAATAATTGCTTTCAACTGTTGCTTTTCCTTTGATCAGTTCAAGTTCCAATTCAGCGGCTAGTGTCGCCAAATGTGAAGGTAAATTCAACTGCAACGGAGACGAACTTTTTAGGTATGTTTGAATCAAAACGAGAGCAGCTTTGTTTCTCCCTCTCTTGGTTGCAATCCTTGAGAATCTTTCCACGTCTCTGTAAAATAATACATTTTCAGGACAATAGCTTGCGAAATCTAACACTAGTTCTAAAGATTTCTTATCTTTCAAAAACAGTTCAATATCAGACTCTGCTGAATCAATTGCTGATTCCGTTGTACAGGTTGACTTTGGATTCTCGAGATGATAAATCTTAAACAACTAATAAGAACAAAGAGTGTTCTTGCAATCATACTTTGAATCATGTAAATTGGATTTCTATGAATAATTGGAGTGGAATTTCTTGTAAAGAATAAAGTCAAAGAACCAATGATAATGAGTACAACATTTCGCTGTGGCCATAGCAAGAATGTTGTGTGCGTAGTAGTTGTAGTGGTCATTGAGTTGTTGAGCTCAGAGTCATAAATGTCGTTCTTTTTTCTAATTTATTCAAACATGATCGTGGAACGATGGATTCTCCATCATCATCATGGTGTCAACACGGGTATTATCGTCGGTCGCATGAGCATTCATCCAATCATGATAATGCAAGTAGTGTTCATAGCAGTGATTACCCGCAGAGAGAGTCAAGAACCTACTTCTCCAAAAATGTGGAATATGAAGAGGAGACTCATTTGTTGCTTCTTTTCACAACTTTTCTTTTGTAACCGTTTGTTGTTGTTGTTCTCTCATTGAAGTGCTGCCAGATGAATCATTACCTAACAATGCTAATTTTCTTTCAATATCTGTTCGATTCAATTTTCTAGCTTCATGCATGACTCTCATTCGCATCAAAGGTGAAATTTCAAATAATTGATCATGTAAAATTAGATTCTCAATGACTTGAAATACTCGATCAGGTTCATAAATCAAAGTTAATCCTATATATCGATTCAATAAGGTACTCATTGAGAATTCATCTTCTAAATGAATCATCATTGAAAAGTAATTTTCATTCTTGTCATAAATTTCTTGAAATAATAATTTAAGTTCAAAATAATCTGAATCATCTCTACAACATTGAGTGAGTATATAAAATGTTAATAAATCTCCTTTCAATTCTCTTGGTCTCATATTATATAGAATCCATACAGCAGAGAAATAATGTTGTCGAAACAAAGATGTTAAAATACCATTTAAAGTTCCAATGTTCATATATGGAAGATATTTACGGAGTGGCGGTTCTTTACCATTGTTACGATTTTGGTTCTTGTGTTTCATGACAAGTTTCATGAATAATAATGTGGAATAGTAATAAATTTCATTATTACATGGAATGTTTGGTGTGGAGTGAAAGGTCGAAGAGGAGTGTGATGGTGATGTCTTGTTGTTGTTGTTGATAATAGTAGTAGTAGTACTAGTAGTACTAGTATTCCATGGTTTTGAAATGTTCATAGCCATTGTAGAATTAGTTGGACAAGGAGTGGAATTCAACTTGTTGTTAGAAGAAGATTTGTGATCCACAGTGCATGTATTACCATTAACAATCCTATTCAACACAGAATATATGAGAGATGAATCTTCAAGTGCAATTCGATCCATTCCTCTCAAGAAACAACTTGTAGTGAGAGTTAAAAATTTCTCAATGGCTTTCAATGTTCTAGAATCACCATCAAAGTTATTTCTCAATGATAGTACGGATTCAAAGATTGATTTTTGAAATTCAAAACCCTTTCTCAAATTGGAATCTTGTAATGTATCAAATATATTAAGAGTAATATCATCTGTTGGAATTATTTGATAAACTTGATACATTTCTTTGAATAATGAAATGGCAGTCGTGATGTAATTTTTGTGTTTCAAATAGGATAAAATAAGTTTTCTAAAAGTTTCTAAATTTGGAATTGCCTTATTTTGTCGTATCAATAAATACACATGATCAATATCATTCAAATCATTTTGTTTTGAATAAATATCAAGTAATACATGATAGGATGTAATCATTTGAGGATAGAGTCTAATCAAAGTATGACACACTTGAATTGCCTTTTCATCATTTCCAACAATTTCAAAATAATATTGAGACATTAAAACATAAGTTTCATGATTTGGAAAACTCTCAAGATACCAAGTCATGTCTTCAATTTTCTTTTCAAATGTTAAACGAACTTTCTGAGATGTAACGATATGATCATGTTTCAATAAATATAAAAGTATCAAGTTACATGTTGGTGTATCCATCAGATAAGAGTTCGCACACACACGACTCTCAGAAGTGAGTACAGAAGTGTGATTACTCATAGTATCATCATTGTGATCCATCATCATTGGATATCTCTTCAATAGAATGGATTGAAAATGTTCAGTATGTAAATGTGCTTTTAAATATATTCTCAAGGTGTGAGTATTGTGTTGAAGAGAGGGAATTTTGTGAATGACTTGTTCATAGAAGGTCATCATTCGAGAGTAGCGTTTCACTTGTTGTTGTTGCTCAGATGGTGATGTCGAAAGGATTGTATGATCATGTAGTAGTAGTAGTGATTGTGATGATGATTGTGATGATGCCTGTGGTAGAAATGCATGTGATTCCATTGTGTTCACAAAGGATTCCGCCATGTGTTCAAAAATGATGTGAAATAATTTGCTCAAAAATTCATAGCATGAGGGTATGAGATGTAGAACTTGCTCGATGGTAGTAGTAGTAGTAGTGGAAGTGCCCGTGGTGATAGAAGTAGTAGTAGTAGTAGAATTACTGGTTATAGTTGTATCATTCATCATCTTCTCCAACTCGGATAATAATTGAGAGAAAATATTCGCTGCATGTAACGTTCGATTCGTCTTACAAAGTGATTCAATGACTCTCTCAATGATAAATTCCTCACTCACTAATTTTGCGGTGGCCATACTTGTATGATCCTTTTGATGATCGTCATAATGACGGTCGTGTTGATCCATGCTATTGTTGTCCTCTTGATCCATTCTACTGAGAGTATGATGATTGGTAATTTCTATTCTGTCATGGTTATTAGTGTCAATTCTATTATTGACATGACTTTGATCATTACTATCTATTTGATCATCATCATTGACACTTCCATGTTCTTTCAAATATCTCTTGATATTCTTCTTGAGATGTTCAAAGCTTGCCTTTGCAATTGGTTCTTCAATTTTCAATCTCCAAATATTAAAAGCGAGTTCTTGTAGTGTGCATGGTAATCCATTCTCTTGAATGACTTGATCATTTGTAAACTTTTTAAAGTGAGTTTTGAAAAATTCTAATGCAAATTTCTTTTCATCTTCAGTGATGGCACTTTCATTCAATTGATGACATAATAATTGAAAGGTTTCATTTTCAAGAGTGATTGAGTTGTTGTTTTTGCAAGAATTTGAAAACCATTGTAATGCTACATCCATATTCTGAGTGGTCATGTATTGAATCAATTGATTGATGAGTATGGATTTTTGTGTCACTGACCAGACTGCAATAGGAGGAGTTGTCGTCGAAGTAGTAGTAGTAGAACTGGTAGTAGTAGTAGTAGAACTAGTTGTACTAGTGGAATGCATGGTTTGTGTGACATTCAAGGATGACTGAAGAAGGTATCGATAAATGCAAGATATGGAATTTAGTCCAAAATATTGTCCAATGAGAGTGATCATTCTTTTGAGAATCATGACTTGTTCATTCCTTAAGGAATCTTCATACATTTTCATGAATTCTTCAAAATATGGAATGACATCTATTGGTTTACCCGTAAATTTTGGTAAATGAGTGAATTGTGAGATTGGAATGTCTAATTTGACGCATGCTTTCATGAGAGAAAGTAAATCCATTTCATGACCAAGATATTTCATAGCAGATCGATAGGTCAACATCCAATTATTATTATTATTAGAATTGCTTGTTATATTCTTGATATTATTATTATTCAAAGTTTGATTATTGATTTGATTAAAAATATATTTCACTTGTGTAAAATCACTCATGGATGCATAATACTCTAATAGCAGAGAATATCCATAATCGTCTAATTTAGATTCTATATTAGGTAAAATATAATGTTGAATAGATTCAACTGGAGCATTGAATTTCAAAGCTTGTTGTAACAGAGCACTGTAGTGATGTGTCGTGTATGGACCATCCAATAACGATGGAATTGATTCAAATGCTTGGATTGCTTCTTTAAATGATTTTGCATTTAAAATCATTAACTCAAATGTTTTTGAATCAAATCCAATCATATTCTTTTCATTTAAAATATTTTTAGATGTTGTATTTAAATATTTGAATAATTCATCAATATCAATCGAGTGAGTGTTCATTGAATGAAGTGATGAATCATTGTATGTATCAGTGTTGAGAGTATCTCTTTGCTTGTCATTCATTCTACTTTCAATCATTAAATGAAATAAATCTCTCAAATCATGGACTGTAAAATATTTTTCATCAAAAATAATTTCAGTCTTGGAATCGATTCCTCCACTCGTTGCTAGAGTCTTATCATTTTCAATCTTCTTCTTCTTCTTCTTGAAAATTGTTTTTATAAACTGAATATGAAATAATTTCATTGCATTTTCATGACCTTCAAAGAATAGCAATAATTCAATCGCTGATTTGTATATTGCAAATGTTAGTGGAGAACAAGATGGACCAGTTGCTTTCTCAAATTCTTCTAAAATTCTCATCACTGAATTTTCAATACTCTTTTTGTAATCCACAGCAGCATGTTCATTCAATATCTTTAAAGTCAAACGATTGTTGAGAATGGTTTGAAACAAGTATAAAATATAGGAAGGATGATTCTTTTGTGGAAGATTGTGAAAATATAACAAAGCATTTTGTAAAGATTCTTTTTGAATAATTTCTTTCAATTGATCAACGATGTGTTGAGTCAATGAAGAGTCAACTTGAGGATATTGATCAACAACAACAACAAGTTGCTTAAATTCCATGAAAATTTTATGAACATATTGTTGAGAAAGCTTTTGCATAACTTTCATAACAGAATCGAATTTTAAAGAAGAAACATGATTAAAAGTAGGTACAGTCATACTACTAGTGGATGGAGATTTGTGAGTTGTTCCATCTTCAGAGATATGTGGCTGAGAATTGTTGTCATTGTTCAATAAGAGATGATAGAGATTTTGCCAATTCATAGAGCCTTGTGTGGTCGAGGATGAGGAGGATGAGGACGATGGTGAATGATCATGATTGATAGTTGTTGTTGTGGATGAATAATTTCGAACATGTTGTTGTCTAGTTGTGTATGATGGAAAAAGGAATGATGAAGTGTTGATACCACAAATATTTGGAATAATTTTCGAACCATGATGCACTCGCATCATCGGAGGTTTCAGAAACGATGATGAAGAAGAGCCTATTCGCTGATACATTTTTTTTCAAATTCAACAAAAAAAAATGTTTTGTGGTTGGAGAAATTTGTACTTCTCTTCAAGCAACACGATGATGCTTGCAACACACACATGCAAGAAGAGCCTATCATCATCATCACTACTCACCACAACGTTATCCCGATCGTTAACCTCTCGGACCTATGCCCTATCACTCCATAAGAATTCTTCAACGTCGTCCAAACGAACCAAAACTTCAAAGCCTTCTTCTCCAATCAATTCCACGTCGACTCACAACACGACATCTTCAACCAGTAGTACTACACGAAAAACACAACCTACTCTTTCAAATAGTAATTTAAAAAGTCTTGAAATGTCCAAAACTCTTCATTCTCTCTCATCTCAAGAAGAGGCTCTTCAAGAACATCAATCCATTGATGAATATCCATTGACATTTTCTGAAAGACATGCCATTTCAATTCTCTATCATTATCATCAATCACTTATTGAAAATCCATCTTATACTCTTGATAAATTTATTAGTAATTATTTAAGAGCTAACAAAATTGGAAAGAATAATAAGGAAGTGATTATTTGTGCCTGCTATGAAATTGAAAAATTATATTTATTACTCGATTACATGTCAAAGAAATTTAATTTTGATGAAATGAAGGAGAAATTAGAAATATCACTAGATCAATATATCAACAGAATGAATATGATGAAAATGAAAGAATTAGGTCCGAGTGCTCATTTACTTCCTAAATCAGTAACGTTTGTTGAAGAAAATAGAAAATCAGTACTTCACTGGAGACTAGTATTTGCATTGTACAAAGAATATTTTCATGAACAAGATTTTGAGCAAGTCGTTTTCCATTCCAATCATGCAGATAGCGTATTTAGAAAGATTCCAATCAATGTTCTATTGAGTTGTCCTGCTCAATTATTTGATATTTTATGTGAAGAATATGGTGAAGAGAAGGCAATTGAAATTTGTTTAATTAACAATTCTGAAGCACCAGTATTTGGAAGAGTCAATGATGTCAAAGTAATCATTGAACATAAAAGCACGACCACTCAACAACTTGGAAGTGCCATGACGAATGACGAGTCGAGGAGTGATAGTGGGTTTTCTGGTTCGAAACATGAGAACATAACACCCAAAGAAGAAGTTACTGATATTCTCAATGCAACTTCTGAGCCAAACAAAGATCTCTTGGCACCATTGAAAAAGAAAACTCGAAAATTCCTCAAAAAACTCTCTGAAAAGTATTCGGAAGTGGTTGGTAAAATCACACCAAGTAAATTGAGTACTTTTGGGTTTAGATTTGAGAAAAAGACTGATTTTAGACAATGGCCAGAATTTAAGGAAGGTCTCTTTGAAATACAAGACGATAGTAGTCAATATATTGTGGATGAACTCATTAGAAATGGAGCTCTTAAACAAATTACATCTTTGAAACCACTTGTATTGGATTATTGTTGTGGAACTGGAGGTAAAACATTTGCATTGGCTGGTGCTCTGAAAGGAAAAGGTCAAATCTACATGCATGACATTCGATTAGAAAAATTATCTTCAGAATTGAAAAGAAGAGCACATCGTTTAGGAATTGAGAATATTCAACCACTCGAACATGACCATTCTCATTGGGAAAAATTGAAAGATAAGATGAATTTAGTCATTCTTGATGTACCTTGCACAGGAACAGGAACGTTGAGAAGGAATGTCGAGTTAAAATACAAAATTAATTACAATTGGATCAAAGAACTCACAAAGAAGCAAAGAGAAATTATTGAAAATGCCATACCTTATGTCAGGAAGGGAAATTATTTGCTTTATTCGACATGTTCCATTTTGAGCAAGGAAAATGAAGATCAAATGGATTACATTTTGAAAAAGCACAAAAACTTTGAATTGGTCAAGGAAATTAAGACATTACCATTGTTGAATGGAGGTGATGGTATGTATGGAGCTCTATTGAGAAGAATCCATTGATCGAGTCAAGAACGTCTTTGGACCAAGAATGTTCCCTTCCTTGCATAAGCGAGAACTCAAAATTCTGAGATGGCAAAGGGATGTATTTCAAAATCAATGAAAAATCTCGAGTCCAGCACACACATTTAATTGTTGTTACTTGTCACTAATTGTACAGTGGTATCATTTGTTACCCAAATATTAAGTTCTTCAAAGTAATTCAAACATCTCTGAATATCTTCTTGCTTGAATCCAACCATTTCTGATTGCAATGAATTCAAATCCACAATTCCATCTCTACTTTGTGAAAGTCTATTTCTAATAATGTCATAGACAGCATACATTGGATCAGCTCTTCTATTATTTCTATCGTTATCATCCAACAGAGAAGATCTTGATGCAATAATTAATCGTTCAGCTTCACTCACATCTTCACATGATACTTCATCTGCAAATCGAAGTCTAGCCTTAGCGACTGCAAGTCGAATCACTGATAACAAAGTTCGAGGTGTGGTATACATTTGTATCTTGTCACTCACTTTTGCATTACGTTCATCGTTTTGACGCATGTTCACATAAATTTCCTTAATTTTAGCAGCAGGAGAATTTGGAGCAAATCCAATTTGAGAAGATAACATGGGTTCATGTTTCTTGGACATGGCTACTACTGCTCGAATGTATTCAGGTGAAAAGAGTGGTAGTTCACTAGTGTCATTGGTATTACTACTATTGGCATTACTATTGGTATTGGTAGTACTACTATTGGTATTGCCATTACTACTATTACTATTGGTATTATTACTACTACTACTACTACTACTACTAGTACTACTACGATTCAAAGGATTTCCAACTGCTGGTGTTGAAAGTTGATGAACATGAGTAATATGTCTTGCCAAATTCATATCACTCTCATTATTTTGTTTATCCAATAATAAAAACATCAAATCAAATCGACTCATTAAGGCAGGTGGTAAATTAATGTTCTCAGAAACAGATCGTTTTGTATTCCATCGACCATAGGCAGGATTAGCAGCAGCCAATACTGAAGTACGAGCATTGAGTGTGGTTGTAATACCAGCCTTAGCAATCGATACTGATTGTTGTTCCATCACTTCATGAAGAGCAGTTCGATCAAATTCATCCATCTTGTCAAATTCATCAATACAACAAATACCATTGTCAGCGAGAACGAGAGCACCACCTTCTAGAATGAGTTCATTGGTGAGTGGATCTTTGACAACAGCTGCTGTGAGTCCAACACCACTACTACCTTTACCTGTGGTGTAGATACCACGAGGAGAAATGTGTGAAATGAAACGAAGAAGTTGAGATTTGGCAACACCTGGATCTCCCTGTGTGTGTGTGTTGGGTGGGGGTGAGTATGTTGGATGTGTGTATTGGGTGGGGTGAGTATGTTGGGTGGGGGTGTGTATATTGGATGTGTGAATATTTGTATGTGGTGCATGAGAAAATATTATAAATATATAAATACATGAGTACGTGTTTGTATATATATATATAAATAGAGATGAAAATCATTCATATGAAAATCACAACTCACCATTAAAATAACATTCAAATCTCCTCTAATTTTCAATCCTCTCATTTCACGTGTCACACCTCCAATCAATTGAAGTAATAATGCCTTCTTGACATCTAAATGTCCATAAATTTCAGGTGCAATGGAACGTGATAAATGATCATACCATACGTGTTGACCCATTCTTCTTACATCTTGTTCAATTTGAATGAATAATTCATGTTCTTGTTCACTCAAAATGTCATTTAAATATCTTCTTTTATGTTTGACAATATGATGAGCTTCTAAATAAGTCGTTGCAACTGGACCTGAATGGTGTTTCAATGATGAAGAATTTGATGATGAATTCGACGACAATTGATAAGGTAATAATACTCCATAAATATTCACAGCATCTCCTGGAGTACATGAACGTGTCCATTCTCCTCTCAAAATCACTCTCATTCCACGTGGAATATGTCCAGTTGGTACTTCATCACTCATTTCTTGAATGACTAATTGTTGAAATTTTACAAAACAACTCTCACGTGTTTGTTGAAGTAAATTTCCTTTACATTCTTTTTGAACACATTGTTCGAGAGGAATGAATGAATTTTGATTGATGGTTTGATAAATCATTCCTGAACAAGTATCACACTTGTAGGTTGCTACTTTCATTTCTGCCTTGACATCGGTTTGTTTGGTGACAATACCTCGAATCATGACTAGTTTACCAATGCATTTACCTTTGACTTGACGAAGAGGAGATGCACGTTGTGTCGTGAGTGGTGTGAAATAGAGTTCATAGGAACGAGAGAGTTCAGGGGGTGTTGAATTGGGTGAATTGGGTGAAGTGGATGTGGGTGTATTTGTTGTTGTTGAATTGAATGTAGTTGAATTGAATGTAGTTGAATTGAATGTAGTTGTTGAATTGAATGTAGTTGAATTGAATGTAGTTGTTGTTGTTGAATGGAATGGAGTGGATGTAGTTGTTGTTGTAGAATTATTTGTTGTTGTTGTAAAATTGGTAGTTGCAATGAGTTCATCAATCACCATCTCAAATAATTTCTTATATCGCATGGTATTTTCTTGAATTTTTAAAATCAAATCTTTATAACCACCCACTGTTAAATCATCGAATTGAATGAGAAATTTAATCTTTTGAAATGTGTCATGGTGTTGTTGGTGTTGGCATGCCTGCAGTTTCATCAATAATTCTTTATATGGAAAGGTAATGATGGGATCTTGTTCATCATGATAATTCACTGTCGAGTATTCGAGAAGAAATTGACGAATGGTTATTTTATCTTTGAGATAGTCTGGTAAATTCAAGAGTGATGGTTTGTTGAGTGATGATGATGACGAAGATGCTTGTTGTTGTGAGTTTGGTTGTTGACTCGAAGAGGTGAATGAAAACATTTTTTTTTGAAATTCAAATATTAACGAAGAATTTTGGCGCAATTTTCAAATTTTTGGTTCCTCGACAACACACTACTCCTTCAAAAAAATACATGAAAACATGTTGTTGCGAATGATGATGACACTCCTCGGAACTAGGAGTCACTCTCCATACAAGAACATTTCATTCGGATTACCATCGTCATCACTAGCATCATCACTATCGTCCCCACTAACACTTGTCCACCTACCACAACAACCTTTATCATCATGGGTACTCTTCCATCATCAACACATCACCACCAATCAATATCATACTTGCACCCATATACTTGACAATAAGAAATCATCAAGAAAACAATCAAAATTTAAATCTCTTCTTCTCAAAGATGAACGAAATGTTTCACCTCTCGATTCTCAACTTGTCAAAACTCACATTAAAAATTATAAAAAAATTCAAAAACAACAATTAAAAATTCAAGAAAAAGAATCAAAAAAGAAACAACGACAAGATCAATTTGATAAACAACTCAGTCGATTAGGATTAAAAAAAGATCAATTACAATTAGGAAAATTAACCTCTGAAGACTATGAATATTTAATGAAACATCAAGTGAAAGATTTAAACCATCAAATGCATTCTTCTGAACATTCTTTAACACTTTCTTCATTGATTGGTAACAAATTAAAAGATCAATCCTCTCTTGAAAGAAAACATTATCGATTCTCAGTCATTGTCAAACGAACATTGGATCAAATATTAAATGATCGAAGTATTAATAAGGATGAACGATTAAGAACTCAAATTAGAATTACCAATGTTCATATTGGAAATGATCAAAGAACAATATATATCAAATGGATGAGATTGAAAGGATATTTAAATGCTCAAGTTGATTCCAATGCTGTGAGTATGAAGGATGATCTTGATGAATGGTTGGAAAAGAGTATTCATATTAATAATAATAATAATAATACTGGTGGTGGGGGTGGTGGTGGTAGTGGCAGTAATGGTAGTATGAGTAGTGGCAGTAGTAGTCATGGTAGTATGAGTAGTGGTAGTAATGGTGGCATTGGTAGTATGAGTAGTAGTAATAGTAATGGCATTGAAATTCAAGATTCTCCTGAAATTTATCATTTAGAAAAATTGAATCATTTATTGAGTCAAGCCTCTGGTTTTCTCACTTCTCATCTCTCACAAGCATTGGGATTGAAATATGCTCCGAAATTAGTCTTTTCACCCATTGTGACCAATGTACAAGAATTAGAATTTGCTCCACCCTCCATTCAACAAAAATATGAATCGATTTTGGAATTGAAAAGAACCTATGAATTAGTGAATGGATGTGCATGTGATCCCATGCAATTAGTGGTAGAGCAATTGGAGTGTGATGAATTCATGGCAGATCAACCGATCAACAAGAAGAGAAACGTATTGAATAATTCTTCACATCAGAAAAAAAGAAGAAGAAGACCACTCTCACCTTTTACTTTTTAAGAATTGTATATCACCTTTTACTTTTTAAGAATTGTATACAAGTTGCAATTCATAAACCAGCCCTTTTGACCTTCTCAAATTCTTTTTGTTTCTCCTCAACGATTCAAAGCTGATTTCTCCTGAACGATTCATTATTGACAAAACCTTGTAGACTCGCTCAACATGGTTGGACTTGGAATAACTACAATCCCTCAACCATACTCTTTTTGAGTATCATCTTGTTCAATCGTCAGTCAATGTTAGTATTCACTTTCTCATTGTCAAGTTAATTATTAAATATATAGGAAGTGACAACGTTGTCATACATCTTGATAGTTTGTACGTTCTCATTTCCCACGATCACTCCAATCGATACAATGGTGGTGTTATTAAACCATCCACATGATGAAAATCATAGGTCATGTTTGGAGAAGTGTTGTTACTTGTAGTGGATGATGGATTCGATATTGTCTTGAATTCATTACTATTGCCACTAGAACTACCACTAGAACTACCAAGATTACCACTTCCAAGATTATCACTTGTACCGCTACCACTACCACCACTTGTATAAAATCCTAACTTTTCAAATTGATCTTGTGAATTTAAATTCTTTTTAACATTCATTGTAATTTCCAATCCATTATCTTTAGCATTTGTATAGACAGTTCTAAATCTCTCTTCTAATTGTTGTATTGGTACTTTTAATTTTGCACCACTTCTCAAATTCGATCGATTCACTGGATCAATTCTCTCAATATACACTTGACTTAATTTCTTTGGAGATTTTGTAAAGAGAGATCTAGCCTTAATGGATGGAAAGGTATGAGGAGGATCATTGGGATAGGGAATGTAAAAATGTTGTGCAACACTTGTGGATCTTGTTCGATATTGTTCCATATCAGAGGGTGGCATAAAGTAATGTGGTCTCTCTCCAAAGAAGGGATTGTGTTGTGCATTTCGATTCGAAGGTGTCATGGTGCTACTACTGCTACTACTACTACTAGGAGTTGTTGAAAGAGTTGTAGTTGAAAGAGTACCATGTTCAGCAACACTCGATATCCCTTCTTGTGAGGATAACATTGTGTGATCGAGGACTCCTCGTTGATGATTCGTTCGTATGGCTGTTTTTGAATGATAATATCGGAATCCACCCGTCAAAATACTTGAAAGTAAAATTAATATTTGAGTGAACAGTGTAGGAGAGAGTCCTCGAATCGTTCGAGATGTGTTCACATCATGGATTTGATTCGGAAAAACTTGTCCCGTCGTCACTTTCAACCATGCATCATGAAGAACGTTTAACACATTGGAAAATTGAGACATTTTTTTTTCAAAGAGTGGTCGAATGAGTTATAAACACATGAATGATTTATTGTTGATGGTCATGACGAATAATTCATGAATCGTACCACCACCACCACCATGACGTTCATTCTACTCATCATGTTCCTTGTTGTTGTTGTTGTTCGATGGTAAGGTAATTACAAATTGTTCACCTCCTCCTTGTTTGTATTGTTCAATCCAATTCACACCATTTCCATCTGAACCAAACATGGTTTGTTTCACTTGTGAATACAAGGTAGAATCAAAAGTCTGTTGATAATAATTCTCTCTCAAATACTTTTCAATTTCAAGTGCATCTTCAAAATTGGGGAATAGATTGGAATAATCGGATGGATCAGCCAATGACTCTGCAATGGATTTCAATCGTTGTGAACTCAATTCACTTCTCAAAGTGCCAACCTTGGTACCAATACTACCACCAACACCACTACCAATACTACTACCAATACTACCAACACTACCAACACTACCACCACTACCAATACTACCAACACCACTAACACCACCACCACTATTGATATTCACTCCTGTCAAATCACTTCTCCACAATTGAACCACTCTCGAGACTTGAGAAGGTGCAAAAGTACGTGCAAAGAGAGCTGCTTCAGGTAACCGATTCGTCTCAATCAATAAATCTAAACATGAATCTACTTGTCCCAATAAATAGAAACACATGAATGCAATATTATTGTATCCAACATGATGTTTGTTGTGGAGACACAATTCAGCCAATTGCTTCATTCCTTCTACATCTCCAGTACTCGTGTACAATAACAACAATCCACCATAATCATTGCCATGAGTGAAACATTCTTGTGCTAATTTGATATTACTTTGAGAGAGTGCTAATTGTCCTAATTGTTTCCATTTCGTTTCCAATGCAGATTTGCTCACCTTAATAATCTCATAAGCCTTATTCAAATCATTGAGTTGAAGAGCAATTTCAAATTTGTGTTCATCATCACGTGTGACTTGCATGGCCAATTCCTTATAACCTTGTGCATCTAAGAATTTGGCTAATCGATTGTATTCTTCTTGTGGAATTTGAGGTAATAATAGAGATGCTTGATCTAAATCTCCTCTCAAAATAGAACTCTCATATTGTAAGACTTGAATGTATAATCTAAATGAGAGAATGTTACGATCCTTATCCATAATATAAATTCTATTATGTTTAGCAACATAACCTAAAAAGAAGTGTTTAGCATTTTCTAAATGAGTAATCGTAGTCACTTGTCCACCAATCACATAATTCAATCTTGCATCATTGTTGGTATAAATAAATGTTTCACCGACCCATTGACCTTCACGAATCTTTTCATCCACATTGTATTCTAAAATGAGTGAATCTTCAATTTGAGAGTCTTCTTCTTGAGACATTTTGTTCTTTAAAGAATTCTTCACCAAGAGAGCATCATATCTCAAAATATAAAATTCATTATCAGTGGCTAATAGAACTGCACTGTTTGCAACGTTATCATCACTCCAATAGACTTTACGTGGTGAGACTCCAATGTTTCGAATCATTTGACAGGAATCCCAATCATAGAAACAAATAAAATCTTTGGATGAAATTCCTAATAATTGTCCACCAAAGATTTGTTTGGGAGTAAAGAATGGTTTGAATACTTTGTGTTCTTTAAAGTCCTTGTAAATCTTAATTTCATTATTTTTACATCTTACTGCATAGCAACCAGAGGATACGGAACTCCAAACCAATTCTTCACCATTTCCATAGGTTTTAGAACGCATTGAAACAGCAGCATAAATCACATAATCACCTCCACCCACAGCACTGATAAAGTGTCCTTTTGGATCATATTCCATACTTTCAGGATAAATATCAATACATCCCATATCTTTGGTTGGAATGTTGGTGAGACGTTCAGAGAGTTGACTTGTAGTACTCGTCGTTGTAGTAGAAGTAGTACCAGTAGAAGTACCAGTAGTACCAGTAACAGTACCAGTAGTACCAAAAATACCAGTAGTACCAGTACCACCTGCACTCAAAGGCTCCTTAATAGTCATTTGTTGAACTTCATTATTCAAAGCATAGGTCACTTTACCCTTCTTATCCATAGCAACGACAGGTGTATCTTTACTCAATCTCAATACCACACTACCCAAATCACATGCCAATGCCAATCTTGAATCTTCATGAGTGTATGCCATACCCCATACACGTTCCAAATTGTAATTCAAAGTCTTGATTAATTTAAATGTTTGAGAATTGTAAATATTCACAGTAAAATCTTCACTGGCAGTGATAATAATTGGTAATTTTGGATGAAAACAACATGTCGTAACGTTATGAGCATGAGAATCTAAGGCTTGAACACAATGTTTGGTTTGATAATCCCAAACTTTTGCAACCATATCATCACTTGCACTAATCAAGAATGGTTTATCCACACCATGATAGAAATCAATATAGTTAATACCCTTTTCATGACCTTGAAGAGTAAAATTAGGTTGTTCGGTATGAATATTCCACATTCTCACTAATCCATCCAATGAACATGATGCAAATATATTTGGATCTTTAGGATTGAATACAACATGCATCACATAGTGAGTATGTCCTTCAAATTTTCGAACACATCTCCACTTGTCTTCCCAATCCCACAATCGAATACTCATATCATCTGAACAGGTGAGAATGTAAGGCTTTGTAGGATGTACGGCAATGGATCGAATATAATCATCATGAGCTTCAAATTCACGTTCCTTTTCCATGGTATTGTAATTAAAGACACGAATGGCATGATCATCGCTTCCACAGACAATCCATCTTTTACGAGGAATGAATTTGGCACAACGAACAGGTAAATCAGTAACATCAAAACTCTTAATGATTTGTTTGGTAGAAATGTCATGAATGGTAACATTTCCATTGTAGTAGGAAGAGAGGAGCCATGGTTCAGTAGGATGGAGATCGACGGACTTGACTCGATGCTCGGAGCGAGCAATCAATTTTTCTTTAATGTCGAGCCTATTCATAGAGTGTGCGTGAGTGTGTGTCCAAGATGATTAAAGGCTATTTGAGAGAGGAATTTTTTTTGTAATGAATCCAATGATGAGTGTGGACGTGTTCATCCGAAAGCCCCATGTATTGTTACAGAAAATCCATCAAATTAAATATATTGCGAGGATGGAGTAAATTTTTTCATAGACATCCACAAATGATTGTTGTTCGTTCGAACCATTTGAAAGTGTATAAAAAATTGTCATTGAGAGTTAGTTACATGAGACGACATCATGATCATCAAGACTTACATTTTTTTGCGAAATGTTTTTTAAAAAAATTTCATAGGATTGACACGTATGCAAACACTCATAGAATCCATTGATTCATCATCCTTGCATCATGTTAATATGACAAGTAGCATTACCGCAACAATGTGGCCAAGCAAACCACTTTGAAAACGGCATCTCTCGGTGATTTGCCGCCCTTTAGAATTTTATTTAAAAAATTTACAGAAAAAAACCGATCGCAACAAAAAGGTGTCTTTTACTTCCAATGATGATGGACATTCATTCAACAACAACATCTCTACTCTCTGAACCAACTCAACCTTTGAGCAACAACTCGGATCATTCCCAACCCATTCCATCAAGTTCTTCACCCAAATTCAACGACCTTTCATCATCCAAGAAGAATGACCCTTCTCGCATTCACAAATCCTTGCAAGAGCCTCAATCTTGGGGTGAATTATTAAATTCCTATCGATTAGAAAAATCAACCACTCATGATCTCATTCAAAAACCTGAACCCATCTATCGTCAGACACGAGATAAAAGTTACACTTGGCGACAAAAACAACGAGAAATTAATCCAATTCTTCAACAATTTATTGATCCCGAAAAAGAATCAAAATATAAAGAACTTGAAAATGAATTACAAATCAAACAAATGAATAGAGCCATGGATAAGGCTATTTGCTTGGAAAGTCATTTTGATATTGTCACGTTAAAGGATAAACGAAGGTCATCCTTGGACTTTGATTTTTATTTTAAAAGCAAACGAGTAGAAAAAGGAAAGAAAATGATTTCAGATCCTTCTATTACTAAATTCTCAGAAAGTAAAGAATTAATTGACAGACAAACGAAATTGAAGAAGTTTAAAACGCCCCCAAAGATATTTGATGATTTCTTTCTCATTTACAAGACTCACGATGCAGATCGTCTGTTGAGACAAGAGTTACAGCAACGAGATGAATTTATTAAAACAAGATATGACTCGAGTATGAGAAACAAATTTCATCCCATACTTCAATCGTATCGCAATGATGAAGAATTAGAGAAGGTTGAAAGAGAGTAAGTATGGTTGTTCATATCATGATGGATTGATGAATTTACATCATTATATTGACGAATGGATAAATTTCAATGGTTGTTCATATCATGATGGTTTGATGAATGGATAAATTTCAATACTTATTGAACGTTATCATTTTTTGAATTATTGAACTCTAATAGAAAAGAAGAAAATTTAAAAAGAGATACTTTATTGTACAAATTATCGAAGGAACCACAGACAATCCAAAAGCTTAATGAAGGAAAAGCATACAACATCATTTCAAAAGAAATTATTGATAGAAACAAGACAGAAGAGTTACAATCAAGAATTGATATTTATGAACACAGACAACCCATTGCTAAAGTAAAATATAACTATGAAAAACAATTAAAAGAAAAGGATGCATTTATTGACAAGAGAACAGAAGAAAGAGCTCTCAATTCAAAAACAAGCACTTTTGGGAAACGAGAAGCCTTAGGTGTCACAGATTACAACATTTTGAATGGTGAGAAAAAGTCATTCATATCCGATTTAAAACCAGCACCTATTTGGAAACAAATTGAAAAGGACATCTCGAAAAGTAGTACTACAAGCCCAAAAACATATCAAATAAAATTGAGATAATTTGAATGTTCTGAAAAGAACGGAGTGTTTTGTAATGAAACAATAAGGTTTACTGGAAGTATGACCAAAAAAGGCCAACAAATCCAGAACCAATTCTCAAAGAGCCATAACCACTACTCCCAACAGTGTGGCAGCGGCGTTTTAACCAAGAGTGCATTTTGAAATCTAGATGTTATGTAACTTCAAACAATAATAGATTAATACCAATGGGTTAGTTGCTGTCTCCTCTCCAGGAAGTGTCGCTTCTTTGGAGATGGAGTGTCAACCAACAACCTTTATTGTTGTACAGTTGTTCCGAGAAATGGATTCGAGCATGTGATGAAAAAACTCAAATTGCTTTGAGAAAAACCACATTGAATGGATAATAGCACTGGGACGAATATAGTTCATATAAATAAATTTGTTAGTAAACATCAATCAAATCATCAACAAATTGTTAATTTTGAAACAAATCAAGAATATTCAAGTCTACTTCACCACAAGTGATCATAAAAAAAGGTTAGCTCAATAAAAATTTGTTAAATAAGAAATTGATATAAACCATGTTCCTTGAAAAAACATCGCATTAATGAGCGAATCAACGACGGATAAAATTTAAAAAAGATCGTGGGAAAACCCCATCAATGATAAGGCTAAAGCCAATCGAAGACACAAAAGTGTCAACGGAAATCACTGAGCAAATCAATGATACATAAGGCAAAAGCCAATTAATACAACACAAAGTGTTGTTGAATTCTAAATATAATGGGAGGGAAGGGAGGGTGTTGTTGTGGTGCCAGTGCGGTAGTGGTATTAGTTTGCTCTTTAGAGAGATGTTTTGGTTGTGGATTTGTTGACATTTATTTATCCATACTTTCAGTCAACCTTATTGTTTCGTGACAAAGCACTTCCGTTCTTTTCAGAACATTCAATTATTTAATTATTTTTCTTGCCTGATTAAACGCCAAAGTCCGGAAAAAGGCATTCACAAATTTCAAATCACATTATAATACCATCGTTTCTTATAAATGTCAATACTTGTTACTACAGTTATCCTATTATTACGGATGTACAAACGTTAAGTCACCACAATGGTTAATATAGGTTGGTAATGTCGTTAAATCATCAGTGGAATCTGAATCATATATATTAGTAACACACTCAATTTCATCATGAATCCTTCATTTATTGTTGGTAACTTTCAAAATGATAATACAAGAATAATTCCAATGTGGTTGTTACTGTGCGTTTACCTAGTGAATTTATAACCAAGGAAATGGCAAGATCACTGTCCTTGAAAATGTTGATGTTCTGTGACGCTGTTGTGTGCGAATTGATTTCTATACCATATTCCATGGTAGGGACGCTGCCGCTTGCTCTTCCGGTTGTGAATTTGTTGACATTTTATTATGACCTGATTGTTGTAGTTACAAAACACTTCCTGCACAATAATGTTATTTAACTTCAAACAATAATAGATTAATACCAATGGGTTAGTTACTGTCTCCTCTCCAGGAAGTCACTTCTTTGGAGATGGGGTGTCAACCAACAACCTTTATTGTTGTACTGTTGTCCCCAGAAACGGTAGACTACTAGAATGTGATGAAAAACTCAAATTGCTCAAAAACCACATTGAATGGATTTTAGCTCTGGGACGAATATAGATCATATAAATAAATTTAGTAATCATTCAATCAAATCATCAACAAATTGTTAATTTTGAAACAAATCAAGAATATTCATGATTTCCTTTGACACTTTTGTCTGCGATTGGCTTTGGCCTTATTATTGATGGGTTTTCTCACGATCTTTTTTAAATTTTATCCGTCGTTGATTCGCTCAACGATGTTTTTCAAAGAACATGGTTTATATCAATTTCTTATTTAAAATGTTATTGAGCTAACCTTTTTTTATGATCACTTGTGGTGAAGTAGGCCAATCGCAGACACAAAAGTGTCAAAGGAAATCAATGATACATAAGGCAAAGTGTTGTTGAATTCTAAATATATAAAGGGAGGGAAGGGAGGGTGTTGTTGTGGTGCCAGACTGTTGGGAAGCTGCAGTAGTGGTATTAGTTTGCTCTTTAGAGAGCTGTTTTGGTTGTGGATTTGTTGACATTTATTTATCCATACTTTCAGTCAACCTTATTGTTTTCGTTACAAAACACTTCCGTTCTTTTCTGAACATTCTAATTTACAGCTGCTGCTTGTTGTTTTATTCTTATTTTTCTCCATTCCTCCTTTGCTCTGTCATGCAACTGAATCACATGCTCTCTAGCATCTCTTACCAAGTCATCTAAATCATTGTATTTGGATGGATCAATTGGGCTTCCCATTACAACGACTGCTTTACCTGGAGATGCTAATGATTGATGGACTGGCCAAATATCACCCGTACCATGGATGGCCATTGGAACAATGAAGGATTTGGTTTGTTTAGCAAGAATGAATGCTCTATCATCAGTAACAAACGTCCAATTATTTTCAATCACGAATAATTATTGACAGGATCACCAAACTTACCCTTTTTTAAACTCTAATACATTCTGAGTGATAGATCTTCTTCCTTCAGGGAAAATAAAAACAGGACAATTCTGTTCAAGCCATTCCTTACAAACTTGTAAACAATTTTTTGCGCTTTGTTTCAGTGTATTGGTATCTTCAATTTGTTCTGTTGCAAATGTGAGTGGAATATCTCCACAATGATGCATCATGTAGCCTCCTATTCCATGAATTGTTCAATCACCATACATTCATTTACATTGTTCAATTACCATACATTCATTTATATTGTTCAATCACCATTGATTCATGTTCCATTTATTATCTACTTACCAAAAGGAACATTAAAAATGGAATCCTTAGCTACCCATTTGGCATTCCAATCAAATACAGAATTAATGGCAATGGGATCCATATTACTCTGATGATTACAAATAAATATTAATCGACCATCATTGGTATTCTTTTTAGGAGCATTTTCCAATTCCAAATATTTAATATTCCAAAAAGGATTTAATTTCACTGCTAATCTTGATGAAACTCTCATAAATTGACTTGTAAAGGCTCGATTCGAATCCAAACCGAACCAACGACAAATTTTAAACGACAAGACACTACAAAAATAGGCTGGAATCCACAATGAGAAGAAACAAATCGATGCCCAAATGGTGCACATGAAATTTCTTAATGAAACAACCAGAGTAGGTTGGCAAGATTTAGTGAGTATCATGTTATTGGTCATGGCAGTATGTTTTGATAATAATTCTTTTGTGTTATTCAGTTCTTCCATTTCTTGCTGTTTGGTTGTTGTTGATGAGAAGAGTGTTAAGGTAGTTGTAGGAGGAGTGGTAGCACTACCATTGGGTGTTGAGGAAGAAGAGGGTGAATCGGAATGGTTGGTATCATCCTCAACGTGTTCGTGCTTGATGGTGGTTGTACTTGTTGTTGTCGTGATGAAATTGGTGGATTCGACCATTGTGTAAAGTCGTTTTTTTTTGAAATTTCAAAAAGCGTGTCTAGAGAACACTTCTCAAAAAATAACGAACAGAAAAAGGAAAGCCTTTGTTTTTGGTCATGATTGGTGAGTCTTTCAGAGCTGAATGATCTTGAGATATTATTATTACAAAAAGTACCTCACTGAAACAATATCAAATCCTAAATTTCGAATACCATTGGTTAATTCATCAATGGAATGACTCTCTCTATATAATTGCAATAAAGTATGAAAAAGATGACTCGTGTTCCCTTCTGATGATAATTCCATACCAACAGGAGAATCAACAGGATCCATTCTTCTACTAGGATTATGACTAGCATGTACAGAGTGATCCATTCGACGAAGACGACAACTACTACTACTATTATTATTACCTTGATGATGATCATCACTCTGTTCATCTCCCTCCCTCACACTCAACAACTCACAATCATAAAAAGTCAGTGAAAAATCACTTCTTTGAAATTCATTTTGAAGAGGTTGATGTTCCAAACTCGAGAATTGACCTTCCATATCAAATATACATCCCACTGGTTCCAATGTCTTTCTTTTACAAAATCTTAAACATTTCACTTGTTGATAGAATGGTTGTTCAGAATCATAATGATTGGATGAAAACAGGCCTCGAGAATTCATTCTTGCTGAATTTAATGAAAGGCTAGAATTCATTCTTGATAAGAGATTTGAATTCATTCTTGAATTCAGGCTAGAGTTCATTCCTGATAATTGATTTGAATTCATTCTAGTACTAGTACTACTACTACTATTATTATTATTATTATTATTACTACTACTACAATTATTACTACTACTACTACTACTACGAGTACTTCTTCCATGATGATGATGACTACTACAAGATTCACATTTACTTTTCAAATCATATCCATTCAAAATCAATCGATGTAAAAATTGATTAAATGATTCACATAGAGTTAATAAAGATAGAATTTCATCTTCAATAAATGTATCTAATAATATCATATTTAAATCAAATAGAGTAGATTGAATATCATCGAATGGATGAGATTTAGAACTGGATGGAGATATTAAATATTCTCTCATGATACATCCCTTTCTATTTTCAATCATTGAAACAATTCGACTGCCCTTAATTACATAAAATTGTCGATAGATACGTTTTGAAATAAAAGAGTGTAAAGTTCCTTGATGATAGCTAGAGTGTAATGACAATGTTCCTTGATGATGAGAGTGTAATGGTGACGTTCCTTGATGATGATAGTTAGAGTGTAATGATGAAACACCAATCATACCTCGATGAGTGTTACTACTGTCCATATGAGAGGAGGTTAATGAATGAAGAGTTCGTATATTTCTATTTCTAACATTTTCAATTGCTCTTAAATAATGATCACGATGGAATAATTGTTCAAGAAAGAGTGAAAAATCATTCAGTGTTGAAGATTGAATCATCTTGTCCATATAAATGTCATAAATTAAATGATAAAAGTTAATTTGAGATAATTGTAAATTCATGGATCGATTTCGAAAGAGTCCAATAAGATACTTGTCATCAATGAGAGTGGTATGGGATTGGAATGTATGGTTAGTAGTAGTGGTAGTAGTAGTCAAAGTAACACCATGAGCATCATTGTCATCATCATCAATCTCCTCATGGTTCAACACTTCTTGTCTAAAATTAGATTGAATATATTTTTGAATTCTCTTCAATATTGTTTTTAAATGATATTCATCCATGAATAATTGATATTCATTAAATGTCCATATTCGATTCCTCTTATCTCTACTATAGATTTGAAATAATTTATCTAAATATTTTTGATTTGATAATTCATGAAATCTTTGCTCTCCAATCGATTGAATCAAATCCATTTCAGTTTCTTTTTTACGATTGACTCGATGATTCTTGACATTCTTTTGTTGAATGATAAAAGATGGTCTATTTCTTCTCTTTTCATCCAATGATGGTTGTGTTAATAAAGAGTTACTAGAGAGATTGGATTCTTTAGCAATAGAGATGGTCTTCTTTTTGAGAATGGTATCCTTATCAAACTGAGATTGAATACCATGATCAATATTCTTGGTTAAACGTGTTCGTTGTTTTTCTTTGGACATGAATTCACCAAATAAAGAATAATATTCTTCTTCTAAATGATCAAGTAAGAGTTGACATTTTTGTAATTGATCGGATGGAATACTAGTAGTACCAGGATTACTACTACTAGTACCAGTAGAATTGATACTACTACTAGCACCAGAATTGATACTACTACTAGTACCAGGATTGATACTACTACTAGTACCAGAATTGATACTACTGATAGGATTCGATGGCACCACAGAACTAGTCTTTGAATTTGACACCACAGCAATTCTTGCCAATACTTCAATAAATTCACTAATATTCACTGCTTGAACATCGTGTTTCGTGGAGGATCTACTACTCGTCGATAAAAAATTATTTCTCTTTTCTCTTAAAATACTTTTAAATATTTTCCTTGATTCATGCTCAGATACCATATTAGGAATAATTGTAAATCGAATACAAAAAGCAATAAATGAATCTAATTTCAAAGTATTATTTGCTTTAAATATATCTTCTGAATTCACATTTAATGGTTCTTGTGAATGTTCAATTTCAATAAACATGTTAAATAATCGAAATAAAGATGGTCGATAGTAATGAAAGAGAGAAGATATATTTGGATCACAAGTAATCCATTTTGAAAAATTATTCACTAATTTGTGTGCTCTTTTCAACATGTTCAATACATAGGGATAGAGTAGAGTTTTTGAACATGTTTCTAAACTATTCTTTTCTAATTCTGGAAATCTTAATTTAGATAGAGTTTTTAAATGAGATAAACATGTATTGAAATCAATAAAAGGATTTTCATATATAACCTTAGTAGAATAGCCTAATACTGATTCTAGAGTTTGATTTTCAGTATCTTTCATGAATATGGTAGATTCATACATGATATTTTTAAATTTTAAATATTTCATTCTCTTCTTGACATTATTAAATTTAGATTGTTGATCATTGGATATTCCCATAGTCGTATGGGTTGTAGGAGAGTTGTAATGATGATGAGAATCTCTTGTTGTTGTGGTTCCAACACCATGAACCATTGTATTGCTACTATTACTACTAGTAGGATGATTGGATACAAGAGTATTGCTACTACTAGTAGTAGTAATAGTAGTAGGATGAGAAGAACTTGTAAGACTACTTGTACCAACCATACCTAATCCACTAGTACTACTTGTACCAAATCCACTAATGGTACCACTAGTACTACCATGACCACTACCATGACCACTATTAGAATGACCACTATTAGAATGACCACTACTATGAACACCTCCAATATGAAAATGATGATTTGGATTCAAATGAGAGACTGAAATCATTTTAAAAGTTTCATCATTCATGACATGCTGTGAATCCATGAAAGGATTCGACATTTGATGCATTTTTAAATGTTTTTGAGGAATGTATCCAACCTTCTTTTTGACTAATTCTAAATATTGAGGTGAATGTCGATCTACTCTTTTAGAAATTCCATTTCCAATAGATTCTTTAATTTTTCTATTAATCATAATCACATTGGTGGTATGTGTATGATGAGGAGATGGTAATGGCATGTCATGATTTGCTGATAAACTTGAATGTTGAGCATTTTTGTGTGATTTCAACATGGCACTCACTGCCAATGCTGCTGCTCGAAACGTTAAATGTTGTCGTTTACCTTGATTATATTCAGTACTTCCAAATATATCAAATAATTTTAATAACAAGTCATGAGCAGTTACTTGATGTTTGTGTAGACCTAATAATTTCATACAAATATAATCTTCTTCATTTAAAAGTGATGATGATGAAAATGTATGATGTAGAGAATGGGTTGGATTGGAATGGGTAGGATTGGAATGGGTAGGATTGGAATGATTTGAATTAATATGATTTGAATTAATATGATTTGAATTAATATGATTTGAATGAGTTGAATTCATTATGGGATTGGTAGGATTTGAATGATTGGAAGAATTTGTCTTGATCGTGTGGTGGGACTCTTTTACAACTTGAGGAGATGCTGATCGTCGTCCTGAATTATTACTACAACTAGATCTACTTGTTGAAGAAGCAGACGAGAGAGCAATGAGTTTGAATCCATCTTCGGAAGAAGTATCTTGTTCATTTTTGTTGTTTTGGTTCGAGGGGTCTAATGCATGAGACGAACGTGCAGTAGCACTTGATAACATTTGCAACCTGCTGGAAAGCAAGTTTGGTCGTGAAGAAGGTTGTGGTGTTGTTTTCGAGGATTGTTTTTGTGAGAGATAGTTGGGAAGTTGTAGATGGAGGGATTTTGGATCTTGTTGATGGGAAGTGAGGCTTTGATGATTCAATTGCTGTTGGTTTCTCAATGCACCATCAGGATCGTGTTTATCGATCACATGACTTGATCCATGGTCCATTGTTGTTGTTGCAGAAGATGTCAAGCCTTTTCGTGTCAGTAGTACTGAGGATGGATCATTCTCATTCAACATGAAAGTCGAAAAATCAATCACTCCTTGAGGTGGTGCTACCTCAGATCCCAAATCCAAGGCATTGATATCATTCGAATCAAGAATGATGGATTCAGAATCGGATCCTGAAGAATATTTATCATCATTCTCCTCAGAAGAAGAATCATTTAAGGTTCCGAATAAGGGTGTTTTTGAATCATAATATCCTTCCGTTCCATAGAAACTGTGTTTTGACAAGTCTTCCACAATCACATGATACGAATTGTTATTATTACTAGTAGTAGCAGTCGTATGGTTCATGAGAGGCTCAGCTTGTTTTCCCTCTCTTTTACTCTCCATGAAGAGGGAAGGAAGTCGAGACATTTTTTCAAAAAGTGAAAGTATGCACAGGGCGGGCTTGATATCATAGCAAAGATGAAATGGGAAAGGCTTTCTGGAAAGAGAGTAATGTGTTTCAATACTGCAGTAGTTTTTGGCAATGAAATTCTAAACACTTGATCACATGCATAATTCCAAGTCGTGAGTCACTCCTTACAACGTTGCGTTAGCCAACAACATGCCAAGAAAAAAAAAATGAGGCAGACAACTTCAAATCCCTTCTCCTTCCATAATTCTCTGTGGACATTTCTCGTCTCGAGAATATCCATGTTCACCACAACCTCTTCTACCAATGCCAACTCCTCCAACTCCTCCAATGCCAACTCCGCCAACTCCTCCAATACCATCAACTACAATACAACTCCCCACATGACATCCTATCACCTCACACATCCTAACAAGAACCTATTGTTGAATCTCATTTCTCTCTTTCGTCATTACATTTACTCCAATGATCAAACCAAATATTTATTTTATTTCATTGTCATCAATATTCTATTCATGATTCTTGAATTAATCTTTGGAATTTATAACAATTCATTAGGATTAATATCAGATAGTGCTCACATGTTCTTTGATTGTACAGCTCTTATTATTGGTTTATATGGATCAATCATGTCGAAATGGAAATCAAATCAAATTTATTCTTATGGATATGTGAGATATGAATATTTGAGTGGATTTATTAATGGAATATTATTAGTATTTATTTCTATTTATATTTTAATTGAAAGTGTGCATCGATTGATTGATCCTCCCATTGTACATACTCAACAATTATTATTAGTGAGTATTATGGGATTTGCAGTGAACATGTATGGAGTGATATTTTATCATCAGGATCATCATTCACAACACCACCACCATCATGAGGAGGAGGATGATGAAGAAGAATCATTGATTTGGAATGAGGATGGCGATGAAAAAATACATGACGTGTCTTCGTGTCATCATCATTCACAACACCATCATTCACATCATCAATTGCAACAACACCATCATTCACACCATCATTCACATCATCATTCACAACACCATCATTCATATCTTCATTCACAACACCATCATTCACATCATCATCATCATGATGAAAATCTTTATGGTGTCTATCTTCACATGATTGCAGATGCTCTTGGTAGTATTGGTGTAATTACATCCACTCTTATTGTACAATATTTTGGATGGTATATTGCTGATCCTATTTGTTCATTGATTATTTCTGTCATGATTCTCTATACAAGTATACCATTAATTACTAACTCTAGTCGAGTTCTATTACAAAGAACACCCATCCAATACGAACATAAAATTAATGAATGTGTGAAAGAGATTTTACAATTAGAAGGAGTGGTCCAAGTGAGAAATTTACATTTTTGGGTTTTGAAATCTAATTTAAATGTTGGAAGTTGTAAAGTAATGATCACCAATCAAAGTAATGAGCAAACAATATTGAAACAAGTCACAGATATATTCAGAAATTATCGATGCGATCTTGATATGACGATTGAAGTTGAAAAAGATCCACTTCAAGTCATGTCATCTCATTCCAATGTACATTCTGTTCATCAGCAGTGAGCAAAAATCATGTTCGAGTGCACTCTATATGTTCTTGATGTGCGCACAATCCTTTGGAGTATATACTGTCAAACTTCTGCAATGACAATGAAATTGGATCAATTTATTTAGAAATGATACATTGTATTAATTGTTTGGCAACACTCGTCAAATCTCTCACCATGGAAATATCATATTCTGTCATTTGCTCCACATGGTCATCTTGAATGATGGATTGAAGTAGAGCGTCCAAATGTTGTACTTCTTCTTTCGTATATAATGACGATAGTGTTTGTTTGGATTCAACATTTAAACAAATATTGTGGAATATCTTCAATACAACAAGAGCAAGTGCCACTGTTGATCGTTCGAGAACGTCAATTAATTTCTCAATAGCTCCTCTCTCTTTTAACAATTCTAAATGAGTTCCATTCGGATCTGACGATAAATTCACTAACACTCCACACACAGCATATACAATATCCAAATTACCATGCTCAATCATAATGATTAAGGCTTCATCAATTCGTGACTTGTGCATGTACTCTCGAACTTGTGCATCTTGAGAAAGATTTCCAAAACTTCGTGTTGCTTCATACACAACGTCATTATGGTCATGAAATAAAAGAGATGAGAGAAGTGATGCTAATTTGAGTTTGTGAATAAATAGAGGAGCACTGGGAATACTAAAGGCATAAAAGGATAAATTAGTAATGCATCGTAACGTATTGAGAATTAATTCTTCACAGTCTTGTACTTTCTTTTTTTCAATAATTTCTAAAAGTCGAACGGTTGGTTTGGATTGAGCAATGAGTTTTCCTTGCTTTTCATCCATGGATATATTGGCAATGAGTCGTATCAATTTGGTCAGTAAATCTTCAGTCTCTTTCTTGACATTTTCCTTACTTGGTTTATCATCTTCTAGAGAGTATAAATCTAATAAATCTAATAGGAAGGGTATTTCTGTCTTTTCATTGAATTTTTCTTGACCCGAGTAATTCTCAAATGTTAAATTACCAAGAATGAATGTTACTCTCACTACGATTGGCATGTGTTTTCGATGTTCTCTTAATACATTGACAAGACATGATTTTAAATTTTCAATCCTTCTCATTTCATCCACACAAGTATCATCGAGTGAAAGTTTGCTCAGCACTCGTGTGGCATTGTGGATAAACTCGGAATGCGACATGAGAGCATTCATTAAAATGTGGATATTGTCAATGACATTGTATTCCAAGAATTGCTTGAACGTGCTTGATCGAGTGGCTAAATTTCTGAGAGTTGCCAAAATTTGTACAAGCAACTGTGCTTGCTTGTTCACTTTCTCAACACCTCCTGTTTTGAGTTCTCGAAGTGCAGAGGACATTAACAATGATAATTGAGAGACAATATGATGTTTCACGAGAGTTTTCTGATTGTTACTATCATAGGAAATATTTTTTAACGTTCCAATAGTAAAGAGTAAAATTTCCCAGCTCACGTGATAACTTTCAGTTGTAAACTCTTGATTCAGCAAGTGAAGGATTGGTAGTATTATCTTGTCGTCTTTGAATAACTTGTCATACTTTTCTTGTTTGCTAATCTTGAACATTATTTTACATATTTGCAGAATATGCTGTCCTATTCGAGTGACTGTTAAAATTATTGAACAAATCTTGACGGTCAGTTCTGCATTACCAATGTCCAAGAATTTAGAGAGCTTGGACACTAATACTCCTTTTCTTTCATCATCTTTTGGTGTTGGTTGTAACTTTTCTATCAACAAGTGCAGTGAGTCCATTGTATCCAATAATTGCTCTTCATTCAGCGTTTCAAGAGATGTAACGATCGAGTCAATAGAATGCCATATTTTGTCATAGGTCACAGTTTCTGAAACTTCCTCTTCTTTGCATTCATTACTACGACTACTACTCTTGCTACTTCCAGTTCGTTTGGATCCTGAAGAGGAGGGCTTCTAAGAATGAAAGTACTTTCATATTGTTGTTACTCTTTCTCAAAAACATACCTTTTTCCTCGTCCCTCCTGATGAAGAAGTGTTACTTCGAGAGGAATTATTCGAATCTTGATTGGTTTCATCACGCGTTCCCGAAGAGGATGAAGTTTTTCTATACGAAAAATCAAAATTAGAACTACTAAATGCTGAAGTGGGTCGAGTGGCATATTCATTCTCAACGAATAGCCTTCGTTCATTATCTCTCGGAGTAAACGGTCTTGAAGGCTTTAAAATACTTGCTCTGTTTGTTGTTGCAGCAATTACAGTGGAACCATTCTCCACCATACTTCGTGCTTCAGATATTACACTTTGAATGATTGAACTTCGGATGGGAAGCGGAGAGAGTTCTTGCTCTGCTGAGGGCATTTTTTTGAACAATGAAAATTGTTGTAAAATTTGCGCGGTTCATTTCAGTTTTTTCAAGAGTCTGTGTCTTTGTCAGTAGTAGGTACAATGGTCTCTTCCGAAGAAGAACCACCATCACCACTAGTAGTAGTAGTAGTACTGTTACTGTCCAATGCTCCCATAGTAGTGGTAGTCATAGTGGTAGTCGTTGTAGTAGCACTACTACTACTACTCATCGGACTGGATTCAGTCATAGAATCTACTACATGACCTTTTTCAATTCCCAATAATTTTGTAGTTTCATCATAGAGTGCCTCTTCTTCTTCATTTCTTTCTTGTTCATTGGGATCAGGTATTTTCTGTAAGAATTCACATTCATGACCAACAATGGAATGAAATACTTGTTGAACATGTTCAATCATTCCACTCTCAAATTGTAAAATATCAGCAGATGCATCATGACACATGTGAATTCTACTTTCAGGGTTGGAATGATTGGTTGTTGTTGTTGTTGTTTGTGGTGGTGGTGGTATGGATCGAATGACTTGTTTGTAAATCGTGTACAGAGAGAAGGGTAGAGGAGTGGGGAGAGTTGCTTGAGGAGGAGTCATAGTCATAGGATTGGTTGTATTCGTGGTAGTAGTAGTAGCAGTAGTAGTAGTAGTAGCACCCTCTAAAGTACTACTAGTAGTCAGATCCACACTATTATTATTCATTGTGGTAGTAGGAGTAGTATTATTATAAGTATTATTATTATTCCTCATGGTATTTTCTGCCACCATGAATGTATCATCACCATGACGACTTGTATGAATAATATTGAATAATCGTTTCACACACTCTTCCAACATGATACATGTCAATTCTTCTTGTTCAAGCATTCCACAATGATGATCTTGTGTTTCGTGATTGTCATTGCATCTTGTTTGAAGAGTAAATAAATACTTTCCACGTGGACATGTACAACTCGTATAATCCATTTGAGTTATATAAATACTAAAGCGTTGTTCATATGAATCACTATGAATAGTACTACTACAAGATGAATCTTTCTTTCTTTGAATTTTTATGGTACCAGGTGGTATAATAGCTAATGCATTCATGGATGAGAAGAGAGGTTCATCACCGACAATGACTGTCTTGATGAGACACGTGTGAGAAGAAGGAGTCGTAGTATCATTGAGGGTTGAAGTTGTAGTTGTAGTAGTATTATTGGTAGTAGTACTTGGAGTTGATGGTGTAGTAGTACTTGGTGTACTAGTTGCAGTAGTTGCAGTAGTTGCAGTAGTTGCAGTAGTTGCAGTAGTTGCAGTGGTTGCAGTAGTTGGGGTTGCAGTACTACTACAACTACTTGGAGTATTCTTGGAACAAGTCTCATCATTGAGGTTGGTCATCATTGGTGGCATGTCCTTCATGATGGTATCTCGATTCACGATCAAATGATCACAAGTAAATGTTTGAAGTCCACTCTGAATTCGAATGATTTGTTTTTCTTTGGAATAATAATTTTCTTCAATATATGGATCATCATGACTTGTGGTATTGGTGGTAGTAGTGGTGGTATTAATATCATTGGTAGTTGTAGTAGTGGTGGTATTAATATCATTGGTAGCCATAGACTGAGATGAATCATAATATTCATTTTCAATAAATTCAATAGCTTGATCACTCTGAATTCCTCTTCTCAATACATAGACACCACCAAAGACTGCACTCACACGACAAAAGGCTTGAACAAATTCACTCTGTCCATACAATGGATATAAAAAGGCTCCACCGTTTCCAAACCTTCCTAAACTAGAAATAAAATATTTGATTCGAGAAATGACTTGATGCGTGGTATAACTCGTTTGAGAATCTAATAGAGCCAGTGCATGAATAATGATAGATTTCAATTTAGAATTCTCTTCATTTCCAAGTAGTTGAGTTTTCTTTAAAAATAGATCAAAGGATTCATGTTCATATTCCTTATAGAGTTTAAAGTTGGTATTTGTTTCTTCAGACTCAATGGATGAATTTAAATCTGATGGTAATTCCATACAAAATGTAATAAATTTAACTAATCGATTCTTTTCTTTGAGAGAAATAAATTTTGTTTTAAATACTTCTCCTTTGGTAGTTGGAACAATTTGAAATAATTTTGAACCATCCATTTGAAAGTGTTGTGAATTCATGTTTACATTGCTAGTAGTAGTAGTACGTGTGTGAGGAGTGGTCGTGTTATCAATGACATTGATTGGATTTTTGAATGGATTACTTTCATGTTCCTGATCAAACATGTAAATAGAATCTAAACATCGAAATTCCAAATGACGTGCCACTCCTGACTTGATCAATAAATCAACCATTGGACCACGACAATACAATAAATGCAATCCACAGAGATCAATCATGACTTTTCTTTGAAGGGATGAATTTAAAGTATTGATCAAGAATTTAGTAGGGTCATTCAATAAATGTGGTGGTTTCAATAATGAAAATGAAGAATGGTATACAGGAGAATGTAAAGATTCATCATTCCGAGTGTGATCCTTCTCAGTGGTGGTCGTGGTCGTGGTCGTGGTGGTACTACTACTATCCAGTGGTGGACTCACATTCGAAATAAATTCAAATAATTCATTGGGATTGAGAGTACTGTATTGTGCTCCATACGATTCGTGTACATCTAAATGAAGAATTCTTTTACCAGCTCTACTCAGTGCTGCAGCAAGAATACTTTCTTCCATGCCGGTGCCAACAATAATGACGTCATAGTGAGTTTGCGGAAGGATGATATCGGACATGTTGTGAATAATTTTTTTTGATTGTTGTTGGTGGTGGTGCGTGCTGTGTACTTGTCAACGCTTTTATTGCTTGCGTGTCTTTTTTTGCTCATCCAACAGCTTTGTGTCACCAACAACAGATTTTGGCATCATACTTTGGAAGGGATTGCCCTTGTGGTTGAAAAAAGGCTGTGGAAAGAGGGTCGATGTTGGTCCAGTCATTAAGGTACGAGGTTGAGCACTTGGAGAAATGGATGCTTGTGGTGGTGGTGGTGGTGGAGGATTGATAAATTGATTGTTGTACGGATAAAAACCTCCTGCTGTATGAGGTGGAGGTATGCTGGCAGTAGTGGTTGTGGTATACATGGTTCCTCCAATCTGTGGTGGTGGTGGAGGTGGAGGAGGTGGAGGAGGTGGCCCATAAATTCCTGGTGGTGGTGGTGGTGTCGTTGTGTAGTGCAATGATGGAGGTAGAGGTGTGGGTATCACGTGAAGTGTTGCGGTAGAAGTTGTGCTGCTTGAAGTCGTTCCATGTGGGAAAGCAGACCTTGTTACTTCACCTTGTTGATGTAAAGATGGAGTCATGGCTGTCCTTCTCCATCCTCTGCTCGATGAGGTTGCAGCGGGTTGAATAGGAATGGCATGAGAGGACTTGTCTGATTTTTTAACCATGGTCGAAAGCAAAGAATGATCTTCCTTGTTGTTAGAATTTGCTCTCAAAGGAGGAGTTACAGCGCTGGTCACACCAGGATCATGATTCTTCACCAAGTGGGTTGTGCGTTTGCTGCCATTAGCATTGGAAGTAGGAGTTGTGGATGAGGAATGGTTCATAGATGTCATCTGGCCACTTTGGTTGTTATTTTCCTTGACATTATTCGTTGAATGATTCTTTCCATTGTTGCCATTCGTACAAGTAGTGGTTTGAATACCTTGTTTCAAGTTTGAGAGTCTGTTATTACAGGTTGGCATATTCCAGGAAAAATGTGCATCCATTTTTGAAGCCTCTCTCAGTCCAGAAACTGCAGCTCCCATGACCGTTGCTGGGAATTTTCGACTTGTGTGTTCACCTGCAAAAAAGATTCGATCTTGTACACTCTCGGCCAACAAATCATAATCATCACCAGTTGCACCAATTCTCACATACGAGTATGAGCCTGTACTCATTGGATCACTGTACCAATTAGTTCTTAATATCTTTTTAGGTTCAGGGAGATCTGTACTCCAATGATAAGCCTTTCTCAAATATTTCATAACCTTGGATTTGATCAACTCTAAATTATTGGCATCATTCTCCAACTCAAATGCTGATTTTCCAGCCACTAGTCCGCACAGTAATGGTTTTTTTGTGAGAGGATATAAATTCCAAAACAAGTAACAAAATCCTCGCTCGTTAGGGTTCTCATGGGTTAATCCAAAGAAAAAGTGAGACTTTTCCCAAAATTCATAATCAAATTCTAAAATAATTTTGTTCAATAATCCAAAACCTAGCTTGTGAATCGCTTGACTTTTCCATTCTGGTAATGGTGGATTAAAATTGAACATATTCGATGGAGATTTTCCCTGTAGAACTCCTAATGGCACAGTTACCAAAACTGCATCACATCGATATGTAAATTTTAGATCTGATCGTGATTGTTTTTCTGGTTTGTATGGTTTGCATTCTCCAATTGGATTAGAATTAGTATTTTCAAACTTGGGAGTAGTAATTGCTTTTACCAAGATAAAGTCAGGGTTTGAATAGTCAATTTCAGTAACCATATGATTAAAATGAATGTGATGCTCCAACTGTTGAGAATCATTACAGAGAATGTCAATCATCTTGGAAAATCCTTCTTTCACAAAAGAATGATCTCCACCTAGTTCGTAAATGTCATCTTGGTCCCAATGGTAAAGTGAGGCTGACTCTACATCATGTCCAACGCCTAATAATAGTTTTCATCAGTACAAATTGCAGATTCAAATAGTCAATAGTTTCCATCTACACATTAATGAACCTACCATAATCTAAATTTGCTGCATGCCAATGTAATACCTCTTTCATTGTTTTTCGTTCTTCCTCAGGAACCTGGCTAACATAATAATCAATCATCTTATCAAGTGCATATCCCAATGACATGTCTGTTTTGTTCACTCGAGCTTCAAAACTTAAATCTTTTGGATGTCTATCTGAAAATCCTAAATTTGGATCTCTTCGGTACAATTCTCGTTCCTCTTCGTGTTCAGGCAATTTTAATGAGCACACCCGATCCAAAATTTCATTATAGAGATTGGTATATTTTTCATCCAAAGTCTTTGGAAGTTTCTTTCCATTGGATTGAAATAATTGATCCTCTTTTGGCATGGTTACCAAGTTGATCAGAGTTTGGTTAGCAAGGCATACAATTGGAGAAGCAGATGTGTTTGTAATGATTGAAGCACCAATATCAACAGGTGAATGATCTGACCAAGAGTAATCTGTAAACACTCGACCACCAGGTCTTCCTCGACCCTCAACCACTGTAACCTTATATCCTAGAGAAAGAAGTTTTTTTGCAGCTAAAATACCAGAGATACCAGCGCCGATAACAACAATGTTCTTGCTTTCCTTATCGGGATTTGGGGACCTTTTCAGCAATTCAAAGTGATGAGGTCTCAAACTTGTATCCAATGGCCTTGGGTACCTAGTACTACACATGTATCCATAATTAATGAATCCGTTTCTATTCAAAAATTCATATGCTACAACAATAATTTCTGATAACACTGATGGTGAAACAATGGTATTCTTCTTAATATATGAAAGATTTGGAATTTGTTCTAAAAGAGTATCACACAGGATCCATGTAGCAATATCGTTCCACCACATGAATAGAATGACATTTCTAACTGCTAAATAGTCCTCCGGAAACTCAAGGGCAAATTGAATGGGCAAATCTCTAACTTCTTCCATAGTCAATTTATCAAAAACCAGTCTGCTAAAATAGACTGCGTCTGGTAATGAATTATTGAAATCATCCGTAGTTGTAAAATCATAAAAAAGAAGAGAAGATGTTTCAGTGGAAGAGGAATTCTTTTTTTTCTTTCTTGCTGGTTTTTTCTTCTTTGCCGTTAATGACGATGATGAGCCTTTATTCTCTAATTTACCTCGTTTCTTTGAGTTTTTGGATGATGAAGCAGAAACGGATGGTTTTCGATCTCTCCTAGAGTTGCTTTCATCACCAGAACCTTCTTCCAGGTCGTTATCGTTTGAACTTTCAGAAGAATCCATTGAGGAAGTTTCAAATTCGTGTGATACTTCTTCATTGTCATCATCGTCATCATTTACAGACTTTCTGGTTCTGCTTTTCTTAGTTTTAGGCATATTGAAAGTTGTTGTTTTCCGAACACACACACCAACTGAAAAGGAGGTATTTTTTATGGACCAATCATTGAACGAGTGCGCTTTGACTTTACAATACCATGCTGTTTTTGATGTAATGCGTCAGTTCATGCATCTATTCTCACCAAACTTTAATGTGGAGAGCTTTAACATTTGAAACATGTTTTGTGATTCTTGTATCTAAAACAGCAAGCCAGAGGTACTTCATCAATTTTTCAATCATCATATCGAAATGAACAACAAAAAATAAACCCTACCATGTCTGAGCAAGTACGTATTTTTCATTTTTGACCATGATGGACTCACGAAAACCCGATGCTTGTTTGGCGATACCAAATTTTATGATTTACTATTGCATACCCGTCATTACAGACTTACCGTACCGGATTGTCGTTCTTAAAGTACGTCCAATTGAATTCTTATTTCTTGAGACGTGTTATCAAGGATCCAAAAGTAAGAAAAGTTGAAATGAGAAAAGCTAACGCTTTCAAGGACGCAGTTTTTGAAAGGGTTGAAGGAGATGCTGAAACTCCAATAGAAGGTATGTAGAGAATGAATTCTTTTAAAAGAATTTTACAAAAACAATAATCAAATTCAACCATGACTAAAATTTAATCATCATCACAACACTACTTTTTTAATATCATCATCAGACCTTCCAAGACAAATTCATCAGCTGAAGTAAAATTCTTAGAGCGGTTTTTGTTGTACATACGGGACAATAAAAGATGTTTATTTAAAAAGAAGGAGCAAAGATATTGGCATCTTCGTTGAGTTTTGTTTCCTGCTCAAACCCGGCTTGATTTGTATCCTCGATTTCATTTTCAAAATCATCAAAGTCATCCAGATCACCAACATCTTCTTCGACTGTTGTTATTGGATTGGGCTGTTCCTGTATGGCATCGGTTGATGGCTGGGGAGTTGATACTTTCCTATTCTCTCCCAAGGTTTGGATGTTGTTCTTCTTGGTTACACCCTTCTTGGGCTCTGTTATCGTGGTAGAGGCTTTTGACGTTTTCGTAACTTGCTTTGGTTGACTTGGACTACTCACACTCTTCTTATTGCTTGTACTCGACGAAGAACTACCTGGAGCATTGGATGATGTAATAGGTGTTGCTGTTGCAAACATGTTTGAATCTCCTCCAGCAGGTGAGGAAGAGCTGTTTGTTGGTGTTGGGATTGGACTCACATTAATCATGTGCTGATCTAATTTGTTTTGTTTAAGGATCATATTGACGCTCCTAATGTCCTTGTCTCTCTTTTCCAAAATGCTTCGTAATTCTGTATTTTCCTGAGAAAACTTTTTCACTTCTTGCTTCGATTGGTAGGCAATCATTTTCGCTTTCTTTTCAATAGTTTCTCTTGCTCGCTTTAAAACTACAACCTCTTTAGAAAGTTTTTCGTTCATTTGGTTCAGGTCTTCCACTTGTTTGGAGAGTTCATCAATTTTAGCGACCCCATCCTCACTTAAATTCTTTCGTCGTAGAATGGATTCAAGATTTTTGGCCTTTTGTTCATGGACTGATAGCATTTTGTTCTTTTGATTCACTTGCTCTTCAAGTTCTTTACATTTCTCTTTCAGCTTTTCAATTTTGCCATTTAGAAACTTGGATTCATTCTTCATTAAATCCATGGCTTTATCTTGAACTCCGGTGTTTTCAAGAGCCTTGCTTTGCTCTCTTTGTATTACTTTTAAGCCCTTATTTTCTTCTCTGACCTCATCTAATTGTTGTTTCAATTCCTTGACCTTATTCTCCAAAGCTTTAATTCTCTCGGGGTTTCCTTCGCTAAACAATTGTTTGTGCAATCTTTCAATGGTTTTCTTGTCTATTTCGTGTTGTTTTCGCAGTACCTTAAGTTCTTGTTCATTTCCTACCAAGACAGTCTTTACAGTAGGTTTGGGCTTTGGTAGATTTACTCCTTTTTGAATCAGCTGTTCATCAACGATTTGGTTTAATTGGAACAATTGTTCTTTTAAATTTTGGTTAGATTTTTTCAGTTTGGTGATTATTTTCTCGTCATGTTTGATTCTCTTCTTCAAATCTTGAACTTGTTGACTGTCTGAAGAGTCAACAGAAATGTCTATTGTTGGATGTTTATCTTCCTCCTCATGTTCTTCTTTGTTCTCTTCTTGAAAAGAATCGTCAAAGGACTCTCCGAAAGATTCGTTGATTGCCGAAGAAGATGGCTGTTGATTATTCTTTTGATTATTTACAAGAACCCTAACCCGATCATCTACAAGTACGTTTTCATTGTTGTAGTCGGTTTTTTCAACTTCATACTTTTCCATATACGTTACTTGAGAGTTGGTTTGTGGTCGTGAAGAGAATTGAGGAAGAATTTTTGAGCTCTTATTGGAAGGAGGTCGCTGATTGTTCACGACTGCCTTTGAAGGAGATGATGATTCCTCTACATTGCCATCATGATCATGTTCTTCATCATCAGAGTAATTGAAAACATCAAAGCCCTCCTCTTCGTTGTTTGCATTTTCATGATTTGGAGATAATTCAGACATTTTTTTGGCGCTATGAATTTTTTACGAACTTCACTGGCAAGTACAATTCTGGCGGGCTAATTTGGCTTGAAACTTTTCACTTTGGAGGAGGGTTGATCCGTTCAGGTCAATACTTTCTGATCAGTGTTGTGTCAAAATTGTGCCTCATCAGAAGCAAGCAACTGTTGGTAGAAATTGTTCTTCTCTCGAAAGGTGTGTTAAGCTCATGGAGATCAAAAATAGACAAAAAAAATGTTGTCTTCCGGCATGGTTGGTGAAAAAGGCATGACTTCTTCAGCATCAGGAGTGTTCGATAGTTATAACGATTCAATGTTGTCTTCCGAGAAGGGTGCGTATTTGTTATCATCATGATCGTGATATTTAATTTGGCAATCATGTGAATTTTGTAAAAACGCGTCATGATCGGCTACTCGTGATGATGCTCCTTCAATATATAACATTCAATATCTCATCAATATAATATCTCATCACAATAATAGGTGTTGCTGTGGTTGGAAGTTCAAATGTTGATCTCACCTATGTAAGTCTTTTATATTGACATTGTATTTGATGAATATTTTCTACGTGTCTCTCTATGCGATCCAACTATTAACTCTCTATTGTTGGATGACTTATTTTCAATTCAACATGATAATATTGAAATTTAATATCATGATGATCATCGCTAACTAGAGAGTTCCGAGATTCCCCAAATTAGGAGAAACACTCTCTGCTCTCTCATATGAACAACATTTTGGTGGAAAAGGAGCCAATCAAGCATTTTGTATCTCCAAGTTATCATCCAAGGAACCACGTGTTGTATTTGTTTCAGTGGTTGGAAATGATTCTTATGGAATTGAAATGAAACAATATTACAGGGAGAATCATTTCTTTAATGTTGATAAAAATATTCATACAGCACAACCTCTCCATGGACAAGGTACAACATCAACAACCACAACCACAACAACCACGGATAGCTCCACTTCAACCAATACTAGTGGTGGTAGTGGTAGCAACAATAGTAGTACTACTACTAGCAACAACATTCCAACCGGTCAAGCACTTATTTTTGTTGAAAATGAATCTGGAAATAATTCAATTGTTCTCATTGGAGGTTCTAATGATTTATTTAGTATTGAAATGGTTGAAAAATCATGGGATGATATTTCTCAATGTCGAGTGGTGGTGTGCCAAAATGAAACACCTCTTCCTACTACTTATTACACATTGAAAAGAGCAAAACAAGAAGGGATTATTACAATATTCAATGTTGCACCTGCTTTGAATATGTTGAATTTACCTGAATCTTTTAGTGATCTACCAAAATATGTAGATTATTTAATTTGTAATGAAAGTGAAGCACCTATTGTGATTGGAAAGAATGATATGAGCACAGATTTTGTTCAACAAGATTCTCTCATTGAAGGAATGTGTCGAGAAATTCAAGAAAAATTAAACATTCCAAATGTGATCATTACTTTGGGTGAAAAGGGTTGTGCAGCCTTGTATTCCTACCAGAGCGATAGTAATACTAGTACAACAACAGATCAAGAGAGAAATGTTGAAATGATGACTACTACTACTAGTACTACTACTACAACATCCAATGATACTTTACAATTCATTCATGTGAAAGGTAAAAAAGTGGATCATGTCGTAGATACAACTGGAGCAGGAGATGCTTGGGTGGGATCTTTTGCCTATTTCATTTCATGTGATATTCCAATACCAGATTCCATGGAATTGTCTAATTTTATTGCATCCATTACGGTACAACATGCAGGTGCTCAATTATCTTACAACTCACTTTCTCAAGCCACCATTTTAGATAAATTGTAGGGTATACAATAATGAACAAAACGTTTGAGTTTCGAATGTATATTGAATTAAATATTTAATTGACACAAGTGGAATCTTGAGTCTTTAGAATTTATTTTAGAAACAATTCTTCTTCTTTTTGGAATTTTTCAAAGTTCAAAAAAAATGCCTCCCAAACGAAATCATGCTGCATCCAATTCTTCTTCACGTCGGAATCGAAATCATCAGAGCGATGACAATGATGGCGAGGATCACCACAACGACTACTACTCGGACGAACAACAACAAATACAAGCTAATTTTGCACCTCCTCCGATAAACCGATTCTCTCACGCCGTTCAACAACAAGCCTCTTCTCAACCCAATAATAATAACGGCAATTTCGGAGGAACATCAGCAGCACAAAGTCTTCATTCAAATCCGCAATGGTGTGCCTTTAAAATTGGAGATAAATCTGAAAGTGATGTCGAAAGAGTCATGATTGCCTATTTAGAAAAATATCATTTACAAGATATTCGTGATATTTTGTGTCCTCCTCTCACTCTTACCAATGACGATACCATCCATTATAGTGTATTTATAGATGTTCTTCATTTCATGTCTGCAAACATTGAAATTGGATCTCTTTTAATATCATATCCATTTGAATTAATTCCAATATTTGAAAGGGCCTTAATCAAAGCTCAACAACGATATATTGAAAAACAAGAAGTGATGAAAGATCAATTTAAACTTAAGTTACTGGTTCATGTTCGTTTGCATACTCTTCCACAATGTAGTGAAGTAACAAAAACATCAGTGAGTTCAGTGAGAAGTTGTGATGCCAATCGATTGATCTCAGTGAGTGGAACTGTCATTAAAACAGGTCCAATTAAAATGTTAGAATTCAAAAAGGTCTATGTTTGTAGAAAATGTAAAAAACCATTTGAAATTGTGGCAGATCGAGAACAATATAATACCATTGTAAAACCAACACAATGTCCAGTTGAAGATTGTGGTGGAAAATCATTCATCTCTCGAGATGAAGAGATTGTATGTAGAGATTATCAAGAAATTAAGATTCAAGACAAAATTTCACAACTTCATGTTGGAAGTATTCCAAGATCCATTCTAGTAGTTTTAGAAGATGATTTGGTAGATGTTGTAAAAGCAGGAGATGATATTATTATTACAGGTATGTTGTTGTGTGTGTCATGGTATGTTGAAATTTCAACTCATTCACTTGGGATTCATGTTGGATCAATATGAATCGTTGTGTGTTTGTCAAAATCATTCATCGAACCTTGATGATTGGTATTATTCGCACCTGTTATATCATGATGGACAACTCTTTCTCTCCCTTTCTCCCTGAATTCACACAACACACATGCGCGCACAGGTGTTCCCTATCGTCGATGGAAAACCCTCAAAAATGATGTTCGTTGTTCCATTGATATGGCCATTTGGTGCAATCATATTCGAATCAGTAATGAAAAGAAGAGTAGTGCCATGAATGTGACCGAGGAGATTAAATCTGAATTTAAACATTTTTGGCAAGAACATCATCAACAACCATTGACTGGTAGAAATTTAATCTTGAAGAGCATGTGTCCACAATTGTATGGATTGTATTTTGTGAAATTGGCTGTGGCATTGACCATTATTGGAGGAGTACCCATGAAGAAGAACAACACTCGAATTAGAGGAGAATCTCATTTACTGATTGTTGGTGATCCTGGAACTGGAAAGAGTCAATTCTTGAAATATGCTTCGAAATTGAGTCCTCGTTATGTCATGACGAATGGTATTGGAACCACAAGTGCTGGATTGACTGTCATGGCTACCAAAGAATCGGGTGGTGATTGGACTTTGGAAGCAGGTAAGTGATCTATGAGTGGGAACCAATCGTGTTGTTGTTGCATATTATTTTTCATATTCACTGTTGTCAATGCATATATGACTTTTGAATCAATCCTGGATGGATGTACATGCATGACCTTAAAATCTTTTTCATCAATGTGGTGATCACCCTACCTCATACCCAACCACACAACAACATCATACTCCACACACATTCACACACCCATACACACACCCATACACACACCCCATACATACACCCCATACACACACCCATACACATACACCCCCACAGGTGCACTCGTTCTCGCTGATGGAGGAGTCTGTTGTATTGATGAATTTGATTCCATTCGAGATCATGATCGTGCGACCATTCATGAAGCCATGGAACAACAAACGCTCAGTATTGCCAAAGCAGGTCTCGTCTGTAAACTAAACACTCGAACTACTGTACTTGCAGCATGTAATCCAAAAGGAAAGTATGATTTGGGTGCAAGTTTGAGTGTGAATTGTGCATTGGCAAGTCCATTACTCTCTCGTTTTGATATTGTGTTAGTGCTACTAGATACACAAGATGAAGAATGGGATCATCGAGTGAGTTCTTTTATTTTAAATGAACAAGAAATGGAAGAAGAAGACTCTCAATTATGGTCTTTTGATAAATTGAGAGCATACATTTCATTTGTGAAATCAGAATTTCATCCTCAATTAACACCTGAAAGTGGACGTATTTTAACTGAATATTATCGATTGCAACGAAGAGCAGATCGAAGAGTAGCAGCACGTACCACCATTCGTTTATTAGAAAGTTTAGTTCGACTTGCTCAAGCTCATGCACGTCTCATGTGTCGTCATGAAGTGACTGTACAAGATGCAATCATGTCGGTATTGACTGTGGACATTTCATCCAATACATCCTCTCTATTGAATGTAGAGTCTGTATTGCATTCCAATTTTCCATTGAATCCTGATTCTGATTATTCGAATTATATTCCATTGGTGTTGTACAAGTTGGGAATTGTTTCTCAAGTTCAATCTGCAGCTGTATCATTGAGACCATCCATGATCATGGGTGGTGATTTGAATTTTGCAATTCAAAAAACGAGTCATGATGAAAATGATGAAAATGACAATAATGATGATCACAACACCATATCAAGACCAGGTCGTACTACAAGTAGTAGTAGTAGTAGTAGTGAAAAGAACTCGTTGAAAAAACAAACCAAGGATGCTGTTGCTGCTACTGTCACAAGAGAATTACTCATTGATGATGATGAAGAGAGTAATGTCTTTGATTTTCAAGAGGATGATACTCATCATGAGGATCAACATTCAGTGAGAAGAACACCTCTTCGACATGCAACAATATCCACAACACACAAGAGAACATTGAACTCTATGAATGATGATACTGAAGGCTATGATGAAAAATATTCAATGAATGAAGAGAGTGTTGAGGATGAACAACATGTTCAACCTCAACTAAAAAAGAAGAAACAACTCATTAGTTCTGAAGAATTGGATCATGCAGAAAGAGACATTCAAAAAACACCTTCCTTGTCCAATAGTGTTGAAATTCATTTTCGACAACATTTCGAACAGAAACAACGAGTCATGAGAAGATTGGAATTTAACAAGAATGATGATACAAACTCGACCATAGCGATGGACACTAGTAATGATTTCGAAGTGAGACATGGTGGCAGCGGTATGGAGCGAACACATGAGGTTCAACATGTGAACACTACTACATGTGCCATACCTCAACAAGTATTACCTCAACATGGAACCACTCTGCCTCCACTGCAAACACAACTCCGCCAAACGAGCAACAAGACTTCATTACTTCAACAACCTCCACAGAATGCAACAAGCAATGTTCCCTTAACTGGAATACAAGCTCAACGAGGGTCAAAATCTCTCTTACCAATAACATCAAAACAAAACATTGTATCATCAGCATCAACCACAGACTCCAACCAAAATACAGCAGCAACATCAGGTACAACCACTACTACTACTACTACTGAAATATCCACCATTGCCACCAGCACCACTACCATTGAAAATACTTCCGCAGCACCAACCAAACGACGAGGCTTTCTTTCCACCCTTCTTTCTAAGGGAGCCCCTCCAACCTCCAATCCCACTGTATCTGCGACTAAAACTGCCCAACTAACCTCCACTGTTGATAGCAACTCTCGGCATCAACAAGATCAGAACATTGGAGAAACATCTTTTGAATTCCCATCATTGTTACTGGGAGAGATGGATGAAGGCCTCTCGTTGTCAACTCCAGAGAAACCAACGAAAGCTGCAAGCAAAAGAATGATTGAAGACAATGACGATGAGTTGGACAACTTGATTTAATGAACTCGATTGTATTTGTCAATGATTTAATTGTAAAATTTTTAGTGCATCATCTGTAAAATGCAATAACCACTTGTCCTCACCCAGCCATTTCAGCTGTTTGATCATGCCATGTACTCTTATTGGATGAATGGAATGTTGAAAAGATTCATTTGTGATGACAATGGTCGATTGTTGTGTTGTGCTGTCGAAATCGCTGAAAGCAACGGTGTTGTCGAAAACTGAAAGCGAGACCATTGTTTTTTCTTGGCTAGAAACCTTGTAACAGACAACAATTTCGTCTCTTTGGCAGTCAAAAACAAAGAAAGCATGTCGGTCTTTGATAAGAGCTTTCTTGTTTGAAAACGGTGTTATTGAAATTGTGTGAGCTGTGCTCCATCCCTTGCTTGGAGTACTTTCTGAATTGGGAAACAGCAATGGTCTAACTCTCCCAAATGATACATGTCCTTGGTCTATGGTAATCCTAATATATGAAACTTGATGATCGCAGATGAGAAACAGTAACTCAGTAGTCGAGTCATAATTTACAGATTGTATCTTTTTGACAGTAGCATCGACTTGTTTTTGGCGCTGCAAGCTTGCAGATGAGTTTACAATTTTGAAAGATGACACAAGTCCACTGCAAGTGACGACGAGTTGTGGTGGAGCAATCCAATTTTCAGTTACTTACTGATCGCTTGACATGAAGAATAGGTTCTTATCATTAGTAGAGAAACAAAATGAATAAATAGAGGTAAAAACAAAATATTCTAGATCAATCACAGATTTAACAACACTAGATCCATCAAGGTTCAAAGCTGTAAGTCGTGGAATTCGAGAATCTACAATCTAGTATTATTAAATTATTAACATTTGTATCATATTTGAACTTATCAGCTTACCATTAATTGTGCGTCTAAAACGCGTGTCAATAGTTTTCCATTTGCTAAATTTTTCTTTTCCAACCCTAAAGACTTTGTGTCTAAGACTCTCTTATTAATAATATTACATGACGAAAGTTCCATCTGATAAATTACATCGTCTGTACATAGATTGAACCATCCATTATCACCTATATAGATGTCATTGATATTTTTAATTTTAGGAGTGCATTCCAATTCATACAGCGAATGATGCATACTCTCATTAGAAAGGCTGTCAATTTCATCGTCTTCATTAGGTTTGGCCTTCTTTGTTCTTCTAGCCTCTTCTTCATGTTCAACCTTAACCGACACTGGATGAGCATGACTGATTATAATTGACTCCTCTTCGGGTAAGATATCCTTAAATTTTTTTTTAAGGAGAATCAAAATGTTTTTCTTAGATGTTTCATAGTTGCACCAAGTCAACTGATTTTTTTCATTGTAAATTTTCTTAATTCGATTATGATAGTCTCCCTCTTGAATTTGAAGTTGCTCAATCATTTGAGTGATAGACTTCATGATACGTTCGTATTCTCCAACGTTGTTGCTGATTTGAATCATTTAGGCTTGTTCAATATCTATTATAATATCAACCTACAGTGCAATATGAAATGTTAATTGCAATTGCCTCAATAAAGATAAACAATATTTCACATCAGTGTGCTGCTGTAAAATACTGTTTATCAGAAATTGCGAGATGTAATCATCAGCTTTGTAGAGTTGATCTTGTTCAATGCAGCCTATAAAGTAAGCGAGATCAAACTCGTTCCTGCTTTCTCTTTCAAAGCTTGGCATAGTGAGCGAATTTTTGAAATGATGAAGTAATAATTACCATCGGAGTGATTCATCAAGTCCTCTCTGTTGCAAGTACTCGCGCACAAAATTATCCATAAATTCTACAAACGAAGCATCTTGTTCTATTTTCTTGGCCAACTTGGTTCCGAGAGGCAAGAATTTATGAGGTGAATCTCCCAAGCTGCTATCACAATCGCTACAACTCTCACTGCTACTACTATCATCACCAGGCGTTGTTGAGAACATTTTTTTCTTAATCATCGCTCTCGAGCGCGTTGCACTGCTTTACAAACTTGATGATAAACCACTGTGTCACACACTCAATTTCGTAAAGACTTAATAATTTTGTAAAGATGAACTTGATCAGTTTTAATAAGTTACTCCTTCTTGGCATTCTTCTTTGCTTGCAAACGCTTCATGAGACTAGAAAGGAATCCCTTCATTTGTTTCATGACAAGGCTTTCAGGAACAAGTGAAATCAAAGAAACAACCAAATCATGTGGCCAATAAGTCGAAGTCAAACCATATTCAATACCAATTGGACATCCAATCTTGTCTACTGTTTGTTTAGCATAAGTAATTGCTTCTGGCATCAAGAGAGAAGCCTTCTTAATCATAGTCATTTCTGATTTCACCCACATAGGAGAAAGACCATAGACTTGCATCTTTGGAACTTCATATTTGAGAGCAAGACCGAAAGCGTTAATGAATGATTTAGTAGCAGCATAGACAGCCATCAATGGAGTTGGGAATTTTGCAGTATAACTTGAAAGATTCAAAATAGTACCATTGGCACTCATGAATGGTAACACTGCCCGAGTAACACTCACAACTGAATGAATATTGACCTTAATGAGTCGATCAAAATCACCTTCAGGTTGTTCCAAGAATGGGAAAGGACAATTATCAGTATTATTGACACCAACATTGTTTACCAAGACATCAATTTGTCTTTGAGTTCCGATAGCAGTGGTCAAGGCTTGTTTGATGTCATCACGTGAGGCGCTCTCAAAATCAATAATAACAATTTCAACTTGATTCTTGTATTTGGATTCAAGAGCTTGCTTCAATAAATCAGCCTTGCTTTGACTTCGGACTGCCATGATGATGTTTGCTCCACGTTTGCTGAATTCATGAGCAAAGCCTTCCCCGATGCCAGCAGTAGCACCAGTGATGAGAACCCATTTGTTCTTATAATTGGCAGAGTTCTTATAGATGAAGTGTGCATAAATAAAAGAAACAACTCTCTTGAGAATGATCAATCCAAGAATCACACCCAAACCATAAACCACGCAAGACAATCCTCCACAACACGATGAGGATGCCACAGGGGCAGACACGTTTGTCATTTTTTCTTCTTCAAAAATTGTCCATGAACGTTCAAAATTTCCGAAATGATCGAGTTACCAAGGGGACAACACAGGGTGACCCTGTGTTGTTTTGTAACCATTAAGCATGCAAAACTTTGAATAAAGTTAAGGAGAACTATCCGATTAGAATCAAAGATTATTGAGCATCAATGCTATTTCGGAAAAGATTCAGCAAAAAAAAATGATGAATTCGTTCGACTCCTCCATCAACCAACTCCTCAAATCTACAACTCCAAACCATCGTGGTTCTTTTGTAGTAGTACTGCTTCTAATGCTCTTTCTTACCATACAATTACTGCTACTTTCACCATTACAAGCAACCACCACTAACTATAATAGTCCCACTTTAACGCATCTCCGAATAGAACAAGACAATTCTTCACCAGCGAATAATAATTCAAACAATTCAGAGGATCCAAGTTATGAATATCCAATATGGATTCCATGGGTTTTGTGCGGCTCACTGTTTTTCATAATATTCACAATTTCTACAGTTGTGATTTGTTTATTTGCTTCAAAAAAAGAGAGAGGATTGATTTATATGATTATTTCTATATTTGGAGTTTCCATTGTTGCATTTTGTTTATTTGTTATTCCAGTTGATATTTTCAATGTGTCACACACCTTTGATCCTCGAGAAAATTCTCTAGCTATTAAGATCATTTATTATTCATGTTATCTAATTCTATTGATATTTGGATCTGTGATTATACCGTTTGCTTATTTTTGGTATGAAGAAAATCCAAGACTTGGAGATCAAGACGATGATACAGATGATAAGTATTCTCTCACAACATCGTCAAAAGCTACAACTAGAAATGAATGTGGTTGGAGATTGTTTCATACCATGAAATACACCATATTTACCATTGTTGCAGGTATTTTAATCATTATAATTGGTCTAGTATTGTCAGCAGTGAGTGGAAGAGCGAATGATAAGCATGATATTACCGATTGGCTACGACAATTAGTTGATGTTGAACATTTCGGTGATCGAGCAATTAGATTCATCATTGGTAGTCTTGCAGTAATTGGATGTATTGGATTTAATATTTACACTGCCTATGGCCTTTCAGCACTTCCCATAGGATTTATGAAAAGGAAACATATTACCTACAAGGATGAAGATTCTGTGAATTCGAGAGTGGATGAAATCGATGAAGAAATTGATTTACTTCAAAAAAAGTATAAAATGAAAGGTACATCCATGAGTAGAACAGATCAAAAGAAATATGATCAATTGAGAGACGAGAAAACGGAACTCACCAATGTATCCATAAGAATTGAGAGATCCAAGAAGAGTTTTATTGCAAAAATAGAGCCATGTATTTATCCATTTAAGGCATTTTTAGGATTTATTTTATTGGTGGTAAGTTTATTTTTGAAAGAAAATGGACCTAATTCATTCACTTGAAAACGTGCTATTTTTCTACGCCTAATTCATGATATTCCAAATTGAATAGATTGTTCTCTTCTTAATGGTTTCCTTAATTATTAATTTAATCTATAGAACTGTGAAAAGCAAGTGTGGAATTTCTTGCGGTTTTGTTACTGAAGAGAATTGTAATTTCAATCCTCTTGATCTATTATTAACCTACAGCTCTATCATCTTTCCAATTGATTACATTATTTTAGGATTTATTATTATTCTCTTTTTATTGGCGAGTATGACTGCACTCTCTACTATTGGACTTCGTATTCTTTGTATCAAATTATACAAATTGAAGTTGAGATCAACTCTTCCACAAGGTCTCTTAACAAGTTGTATATTTCTCATGTTTATAATGCTTTGTACTTCATTCATGTTACCAAGTTTTGCTCCAATTTACACAACTTTTGGATCACAAAGATTTCAAGATCCAGTAACAAGAGAATGGAAACAGTGTGCTCTTTCAGCCTTTAACAATACAAATATGAATACAACTTTATGGAGTGTCGAGATTGTGTCAATTCCTTCTTTACACCAAGAGGATAGTAGAGAATTCTTGTTGTTGGAGAACAACACGAACTCGGGAAATTTTACCAATTCAACAAGACCATGTTTCATGTCAGAATTGTCACAAAATGTGAACAGTATGAGTGTGGGCATTCCAGTGTTCAGTATCATTTTTTATTTTGAAAATTGGTTGTTCATTTTGTGCTTTGTGATTGGATTTTTTGTTTCCATCTTTAGAAAAGCACCCTCTTTTGAAGAAGAGGACACTTATGATCAGGACGAAGAGATTATGAAACGACCACTACGAGGACGGTCCTACAAATCGTACGCCAATCATTCTGATAGTGATTCGACTCGATCATTACAATCCTATCGAGCAATCAATTAATTGACAATATACATTGATGACAAATACAATTAAAACTAAAATCTTTTGGAGCATGGAGTTTATTGCTTACTCGAATACAGCGTTTTAGAAGTCAATTCGACAGCCACCTTCTTCTTGGCTTCAATCGATAGTTTATCGAACAGGTCATACAGCTCCTCTATATTGAGTTCTTCTTCTTTGCTCTTTGACTCGTTACGTTCGTTTTCTTCCTCTGCTGGTTCGATGCGTGCTTCGGGTTTTGTTTGCTTTGTGATGCACTTGTAAATGTTGGCGAGTTTCTCTTCCCCGATTCCGTCTATCTTTGTCTTGAAGTCTCCATAGATGTATGTATCGCTACCCACTTGGGATTCTACCTTGTCAATAAGTTGACCACTGGTGTGATTGTTTGTTATCGCATCACAAAAAGCTTTCAGACTCCGATAGGACTGGTTCTTGTAATTGATACCTTCATCCCTTTGTACAGTTGTTTCTTGTAATCGAGTGCTAATGAAAGATATTCGCTGGAAGTCATTTTTCGGAGATGACCTGCTAGTTCATTTCAATTTGGTGAAAGTTTTTAGAGAAAGAATACCCACCAATGACTCTGCCGAGAAACCACTAAATTCAACTAAAAATTTTAAAGTTGCATCAAAAAATTGAATTAAATGATTTAATTAAAGCTTGCTGTCGTGTTGTTCTGCACCGCTACTGCTCGTTGGATGTGGTTGCACACTCGAGTTTGCTACTTGTTTTTCAAAAACACAATAAAACTTTTTCACGTCCTCCACTGTTTCCCATGTACCTCTAAAGCCAACTGGAATGATAAATGCATCTCCAGCTTTGAATTCATGCACACCTCCGTCCAATTCATCAATTCCGTCAGCCACCATTCTAACTTTACCACTAATTAATACACAAAATTCTTCAGCGTTTTCCCCTTGGTCAAACCACCATTTGCCTTTAGTTGAGCTCCAAACACCACAACTCTTACGGAATGATGAACGTGGATCATCTTGTCCGACTACTTACCATATGTCCACTTCTATCGGTATATAAATTATTAACCATGGCAAGTGGTTTTTGCATACTTTGAATATTATCTGGAGTGTATTCACCCTTGGTATCATGAGAGAAGGCCAAAGGGACAACATTATTCACAGGCTTCTTGTTTGAGGACATTTTTTGGCAAGTGTGTTGACGCCTTTTCTATCGGGACAAGTGAAGGTAAACGTCCAGCTTTCACTTTTTCGTTTCAAAAACTGCAACTAATGTGAGGCCTCCTAGCTCAGTTGGCAGTAGCGCTGTCCTAGTAAGACAGAGGTCTTGGGTTCGATTCCCAAGGGGGCCAAGCCAAAATATTTTTAAACTGCCCCACAAGACTTTCTTCAGCATGCAAAAGTTTTGCTCAAAACTCTTGACACACAAAACAACGTAAAGCAATCTGTATTATTCGTTTAAAGTGTCCAATACTTGTTGAGCTGTCAACCGTTCATCTGGATCTCTTTTCATCATTCCAAAAATCAAGTCTATCAATTTTTCATCATAGCTGACATTGTTGTCTGAACAATTCTTGGCGATTTTCTCTCTAAGAGCAGCAAATAATTTCTTTTCATCTCCCATAAACTTCATGATAAGGCCAGTAACTGAAGTAACCATATCTAGAGAAATTAATTGATAAAAAGTAACGCCCAAAGCAAACATGTCAGAAGCGTGAGCATGTTTTCTGAGTGTTTCTTGATCTTCGTCCTCATGTTCTTCTGACATTCCTTGTTGCATCATGAACAGCTCAGGGCTCATGTACTGGAGTGTCCCTGCAAATGAGGCACTACTTGCAGAATCTCCAACAGATTTGGCCAGCCCGAAATCTCCCAAAACAATATCCAGCTGATTATGATCCAAATCGATAGATCGGATCATGATATTGTGTGGTTTAATGTCTCTGTGAACCATTTGCTTTTCTTCATATAAATAAACCAAAGCATCACACATGCATCTAATACAATGCTTAATGAGATCATTGGAAAGGCATACTTTCTTCTTCAAAAACCGTTCAGCCAAATCTCCACAAGGGATAAATTCCATTTCAATACACATGGTATTCTTTTCACTTAGACTACCTGCAGATCCCATTTGGAGTACATATGCATCATGAACTTTTAACACGTTTTCATGTTGAAGTCCACAAAGTCTGAATGCTTCTCTCAGGGAACGATTCAAATCATCGGTGCTAACAAACTCGATAAGTTTTACTGCTCTCGTTTGAGCTGGAGCGTTTTTTCGATTCTTGATAATCTTGTCACATTTGAACACGGCACCAAAGCCTCCACGACCTTTGAATTCCATCATTTAGAAACGTCTAAGTATTCAAAAATCTTCAAGAACTACGAACCTATTAATGAGATGTTAGTGTATTTTTCTTGCATTAACTCTTCAATCGTTTTTGTCTTTCCACTGAATGATGATAGTGTAGAATTAGAAGAGGATACACTAGTTGATCTCTTGCTATTGTACATTGAAATTTCATCTGTTGGAAAATCAGATACAGCAGAGTTGTCGATCGATTTCACCATAGTAGTGGTCATTACAAACGATGAATCTCCACCTCCAGAGCTGCCAGAAGAGAAGGAATTATACTGTACCGAATTGGACTCCATAGAGTGTGGAGGTTGTAAGGTATTTCCTGCTTTGATAGTATTGAAAGCATTTGGATCAACAGTTACCGTATTAGAGCCAGCCCTGACAGAAACTTCTTGAGGAGAAAGGCTTTGGTTTTGCTGAGTAATTGTTGGCTGTGTGTGAGGAGTGGAGGAGGTTCCTCTTATGGAAACAGGGTCTTGAGAAATACTGTGATTGGGTTGTGTTATGACTGGCTGTGTCTGGAGAGTTGGTTGATTATTTGAAGTAGCCAGGTTTATATTTTGTTGGGTAGCGACTGGTAAGGCAGTTTGGTTAGACATGTTGGGCATAACAGGGGCAACTAAATGAGGTACTACCTTGCATTCTTTCACGAGTGAATCAAGATCAAAACCTTCGTACTATTTGAATGGTTAAAAATAAAAACGGCGAGGATCATTACTTAAAACATACCTTTGCTCTTCCAAATGCATCAAAACCAGATCCATCCTTAATAGTAGGGTTTGCTCCTCGTTTGAGCAAAGCCTTAACTACTGATGGTTGTTTCTTTGATACTGCCGCATGAAGAGGAGTGATATTTTGAATCACAGTCTTTTCAATGTTTGCCCCATGTTGTAATAGCCATTCAATGCCAGTAATATTACCATCACAAACACAGCAATAAAGGGCTGTCAATTGATTGTTGTCACATTCATCGATAACCCATGGATGTTTCTTTAAAAGTTCTTCTGCAATGGAATAGCTATTTTTTCTAACAGCCACAACAAAGTCATGCACGATATGTTGTTTCTTAACCTTAACTCTCTCAGAAATGGCTTTCAAGTCCACTGACACATACTGAGCTCTGGCGTAACAGTCAAACCCATCAACATCTTTGATAGTAAGATCAGCTCTATGTTCTATTAATAATTCAATAATAGGCTCCATTTTCTGCGTTACGGCAAGAGCACATGCTGTGATGCCATCTACACATGCCTTATTAACATTCACACCCTTTTCGATAAGCCAGTTGACTGCAGGTAGGTTTTGATCACAAACTGCGCAATATAATGCATTGAAATTGTTTGAGGCATTGGCGTCAATAATATCCTTTCTTCTTTGTAGTATTTCTCCTGCTCTCTGAAAATTGCATTTTCTCACGCACAAAACAAATTCATCTACAAGAGCGTTGTATACGGTTGAAACCTCCTTTAAAATTGCAACCAAATCAACGCCTACACGAGTTGAAAGTTGGAAAATAGTGAGATTTTGAATTGTTTGCGAGGTGTCTGCTCCACATTCCAAAAGTGCCCTCGTTGCAGCATCCTTCTTTTGAGATACAGCAACAAAAAGCGGTGTATAGCCTTGAGAAATTGGATGTGAAGGGTTTGCACCTTGAGCGACCAGCCACTTAATGGCTTCGCTCTTATTGTCAAATGCAACACAATACATTGCGGTCATTTGTTGAGAGCCCAGTTGATCGATGATATTTCCAAAGAATGTCTTTTTTGATTTTTCAAGGACTTTCTTCGCCTCCTCAAACTTATCCAATCTAACTAAATAGATGAATTTATCTACCATTTCAGTTTTGCATTGTTTTATAATTTCTTCCATATTGATACCTTTTTCATTAGCCCAATCGAAAGGAGTCTTTCCGAAAAGAGAAGTCTTCAAATTGGCTCCTCGTTTGATTAAATATTTGATCACATTTAGATGTTTTTGTGCAATAGCTGCTTGTAGCACAGACCACCATTGACCTTGCCCAACGAGTTTTTCAATATCAGCTCCTTTCTTGATAAGAGCTTTTACTCCTTCCAGATCACCATTATAGGCTGCACAGTAAAGGGGAGTCTATGAAGCATGTTGTATTCACCATCACAATAATATTGTTAGGATATTTGGAGTTAGTTTCATTTCTGAATACCTACCAACTATTGTCGGAATAAATCATTTTGTAGCCCATTACGAAATATTATCCCGAGACCACGATCATGTAAATGTGATAAATCCAATCAAGTACCACAGCATCAATAACACAAGACATCATCATCGTCATTGTAAATATTTTCTCTCCTGCCACTACGAACCTGATTTGAATCAAGAGCGTCAACGTCCACTGCACTCATTTTTTAAGGATGTTGTTACTGTGTTGTGGTCATCTCTCTCGTGGCTGATGATGAACTTGCAATTGTTCTTGGTTGTTTGAACGTTCTCTCGTTGGGATGAAACGTTTCATCCAACAAGACATGGCGTTTTTGCATCAAAAGCAATTTATTGAAAAAAGCCAATTGGTTTTCCAGAAAGTTTCCCATTTATGGAATAGCGAGGGTGAAATAAAGGCAAAACACAAAGCACAATCATCATTACTTCCTTGCCAGATCAGTTTCTTGCAAATTCTCAATTTCCCTTCTGATTTGATTTAGAAGCTTTTGGAGTTCAATTAATCTTTCTTTTTGAGTTGAAAACTTTTCATGTTCAGCTTTTACAAATCGTGAATATGGTGTGATAGAATTCTTAATGCTGTCAATACTGTCCAACAACTCTCTTTCAAATTCTTCTCTCATTCTCTGCTTTAAAGTATCTCTTAACTTGTTCACTTCTGTAATAAAGTTCTTTCTTAATGTTGTTCTCTTGTAAGGTAGAGCGTACAAGCCACCAGCACCCATAACAACAGCACCAAGAATTCCAGCACCTGCCATCGCTGCTGTTGGCATTAACAAAGCAGAAGACACACCAATTGTAATGGCACTAACTTCGACAGCAGCACATGTCTTGAGACTGCTTGTTATTTCTGCAAACAATTTGTCCGTATCGTTGTGCTCTCTATCATAATTGCGCACAGCATTCTCTGCGCTGGAACCAATCTTGAGAAGGAGCTCCTTTCTATTGAATTGGAATTCACTTGAAAGAGATCCAACAAGCTTATCTTCATGAAGAGAAATTCTGGCTCGTTTGTTTGCAAAGTCTGTTACCGCTTTCCATTGTCTATACTTTCGGTCAATAATCCAATCAATGACTTCGGATACATGGTTTTCAATTTGAGTGGCTGTGTTGGCAATGACTTGGTTTTGAAATTCTTCAGCTACAATCTTTGAATTTATCAAACTGGATACATTCGATAAATTAATAAAATTATCATAAAAACATGTACCACGTTCAACAAGCTCATGGAAAATATTTTCCAATTTGGATTGTTGTAGCTCAAAATCCTGTTTCATATCATTGTAGAACACTTGTAGTTGCTCTTCAATAATGTCCATTGTTTTTTTGTCTTCTTTCAAAACTTTAAGTCTCTCTTCGATTGTTGAGTTTAAATACTTGTCAGCCAAATTGTTAGCAACACCCAATGGAGAAAGGAACTTTAGTTTTGCACGTTCAATTGAATTTAAGGTTTGCAAAATATACTTTTCCAAGTCAAGCCAATTTTCAACAAGTTTGGACTTTTGTTGTTTTTCAGCAATTTCTCGTTCTTCAGGAGCTAAGAAGGAAGAAATTCTGGTGCCTTGTTTGAAATCCATAGCACTTCTCGCACTGACACAAAACATCTTTGGTTCAAAGCCCAATAAACGAATAATTCCATCACGAACGAAAACTTCAACCTCTTCACGTTCTCTATCATTTTGAAGTAGATCATACTTGTTAATACACACAACAACCTTTTTCCCCCATCGTCTGATCATTTCGAGGAAGGTATGTTCACTTTCAGAGAAGGGCCTTTCAGCACTTGTTAAAAATATAATGAGATCAGCTCTTGGTACAAATGTCTCTGTAATTGTTTGATGCTCCTTAATAATAGCATTAGTTCCTGGTGTATCTACAACGCTAATTCCTTTCAACCACTTCAATGGAAGCTCCATATTTACAACTTGATGTCTTTCATCGAATTTTTGGACTGAATCTCCACCATACTTGATCAAATGAAGATGAGCAGTGGTTGGTGTAATACCCTCTCGCAAATATCGATCTCCAAGCATTGAATTGATGAATGAACTCTTTCCTGCATTAAATTCTCCAACAATGACCATCAAGAAATGTTCCTCCAATTGCGAAATACTCTTTCTCAATAAATCAATATCCTCTTCAGTACCTTCAACACTTTCAAGAATTTTCAACAAATGACCAAGAGCTGCTTTTTCACTTTCCAAAATTAAAATTTCTTTCTTGGAAAACAATGGTTTTTCTTCTTCGACGAGAGATGGATTTTCTGTTGTTGTCGTTGTTGGACCTGTTGATACATTCAAGTCTGTATTTTCGCTTGTAGCCGTTGTAGTGCTTGAAGGCTTTGGAGGCACGTGTTTGTGGATGGAGTCCGATGATGATGATGACGATAAATTAGATTTACAAATCAAATCTTGATGAAATCCATGTAGTTGTGTGGCCATGGGATTTTGAGTGAAAAGTAGGGTCATCGATGATGGTAAAGATTTGGCTTGTTTTGCTGCTCCATGTTGGAGGAGCGATTTGCTTACATGATTTCGCAGCAACGAAACAAGAAGGCGTTTGTTGTTGTTCATTTTTAAATTTTGATTGCGACATGTCATTATTGCGACGAGGAGAGAGAATTTTGTCAAAATTTGTGATTTTGGTGTAGGTCTATCATCCCTAACCATTGTATTAATGAGATCATGCGACAATTTTGATTGAATAGGCTTAATTACTCCACACAAATATATTCCCAAGGAAAGCTTGTCAACTCATGAGTAGATCTTTGTTTTTGAATTTCTTCAATGGCCAATTTTGATCGTTCTATCATTTGATCTTCAGTAAGTACTTCTTTTGAAACGGCATTGTGTGTTGTTGACGACAGCTCCTCGTGACGCACTGCATCTCGCTCAGATAGAAATAATAAATCTGTATCTCTGTAAAAGTAATGGACCTTACCAAAAACATCAACCAAAATAATGGTCTGAGATCTTGTTTTAAAATAAGTCCTATTCACAAAGATGTTAAAATGAGAATCGTAACGTAATCGAAAATGTTGTAAGGTTTGCTCTTCAGCCATCCAATGAGGAGGAATGTATTTCAATAATTCTGGGTGCTTCTTAAAATCCATTTCATCTGCTTGTTCTAGCGTGTTTCTAACAATACAACCGTCATAGAAATCGGACAATCTGTTGGTAATGCATTTCTCCAACTCGTTTCTCATTTCACATGCATTGGTAACATGTTGAGTATTTTTCAAAGTTTCATCTAATAAATTTCGCAATAAATCAATCTTGTACTTCTTGTAAAGGTCATTCGTTGAATCATTTAAATAAGAATTCGAAACTACATGCGTTCGGTCATGATCTAATTCTCTAATTATATAATGATTTTGAAAAGTGTCAAGAGCATTTTCATCTCTGTTGGTCATGTAAAACATTTTTGATGTTTCTGAAATTTCACTCAAATTTCCCATAATGATGTTAAATCCTCTCATATATTTTCCTTCACCAAAATATTGGTTCAATACTAGATGCTGCAACTCGCTGACTTGTTGCATGGTTTTCAACTTTTTAGAAAACTTTAAAATTCCACTCACAATGACACCCCTGGAAATTGTGATTGGAGAAGAGATTGTCCCATTACTTTCGCTTGTTGACTGATCAATAGATGGTAAAGTTGGAATGCATTGAGGGCCAAACACATTGGTAAGCACAACATAGTTTTTGGTATCTGCATTGAAACCCATCCAAGTTCCTCCTTCCTTATTGTCAACTGCTGAAATAATTTTGTAACCTGTTTCTGGATCAACTCGACAGCCAATATTGCCTGTGGAACGAGCAGGACTTTCGTCTCTGTTATCTGATGGTTTCATATAAATAATTTTAATTAAACAACAATAATGAACAAGAGGTCGTGTCACGGATATTGAAACAGCAAATCATCATGTAATTTTAGTGCTTCCGTTTCATCAATAGAATACAAACCAACGAGGATAAATGGGAAATGCGGATGGCGAGATTGCACAAGTCCAAGAATGCACATTTTTTTCCAATGTTCCTTCCCCTTGCTGTTGTCAGCAGTGCTTCGGGTGATTGGGTTGTCAGCCACGACAACTCGGTAAAGTCCTTAAATTGCATTCAGTATTTTTATGAGATTTTACCAAATATATATATGTTAACAAACCAATGCACTTCAACTATCGATTGTCTATCTGTTTTACTCTAAAACAAAGAATGGACGATTCTCAAGCTGAAATGTTTGTTCCCAAAGAATTACTTTTTGTTGAATATTTATCGTACTACTTGGACAGTTGCTTTCACATAACCATACCGATATTAAACAAAAGAAAATCGTTTGGATTTGATGCCCTTATTGGCCTTGTACCTGTTTTGTAAGTGATTGAGTCAATCAAGTCCTGAACAAGAATTTTTGTTTGACATCATTGACCCATCTATCTATCTATCTAGAGGGGACTTAATTTCATTCTCCATTTCAATATTGATCCTAGTGATGATATGGAGACATGGCATACCAAAATTTACACTGTTCAGAATGATTGGGAATATCACTCTGGATGTTGTAATTGGCAGTATCCCTTTCATTGGAGATATCTTTGATTTCTTCTTTAAAGCCAATAAGAGGAATTGGAAATTATTAAGTGATTACTACAAAGGTGAAGCGTTTAAACGTCAGCAACAAGCATCATCTGTTTAGCAATGTACTTGTATCCAGAAACAAAATAATGTTATTAATAATGATTTTTAACACTTCTATTGCGTTTTGATTCGGGTGGACTAAGCTCATTGAACAAGCATTATCAAAAAGTAGCCCTATTACGAACAATACTAAACCTTCTTATCAACATGTTTCCGAATTATTTTGCTTCTTTTTGATGAGAATTTCGTCTATCTTTTTGTTGGCCTCAACCATTTCCCCGTACCATGAATGATGATGAAGATCAGCATATTGTTTATCTCCTCGGACTGGATTTGTGTTTTGAAGAGGGAAAAGAACATCGCTCGTAATTCTATTCACTTGTTGTTCCATTCGCTTGAGAGGAGTCCTACAATCATGATAAATCAAAACTGCAAAAGATGAAAATTGATTTTCGAAAACTCACCCGACAACTCCTTTCACCAATCTGCTGAGCAAGCACAAGACCATTTTTTATAGAAATCTCATTCAATATTCCGGATAGCAACGAAAGAATGTCATTGGTGTTTTAAATCAGTCTTGTCATTACGTTTGTCGTGTAAATGGAACCAGCCTTCGTCATCATCAAGAACACAAGTTTGCAACAACAAAAAAAAATGCTAGCGTTGAACCAAACATCCTCTTCAGGGATGGGACAACGAAATAAATTGGGTGGGGCATCGGGTGGTGTTGGTGGAAGAAGAGGTAACATCTCCGGATCCACATCATTTGCATCAGGAGGCTCTCAACATGCCGCTAGCAGATCACACCATCAAAAGCTATTACAATTGATCGAATTTATTAAATTGGAAACAAACAAAGACAAACTAAATCACTATTTGTCTCAAGTGGAGGAAATCCTAGCAAATAATGCCGACAGGTACGTGGATTTTATATGGTATTTTCGTTTGGTAAATTAACAATTATGACCAATGACATAACAAAATGGTAGTGATGAAAGTAGCAATCTAGTCAACGAATTCTTAACCAAAATCCTTCAACTTCAGCACAAGCACAAGCTAGAGCTTCAACTTTTCCACGCTTTACTAATAGAAAAAGTTATGAACAATGTTCCCTATATTTCTCTCGACAATGCCAAAACAAGCGCAGAAACATTATCTCTTATTTTAGTTTCAGCAGAAAATACTAATCTTTTGAAACGTATTATTACAAGCTGTATTGCATTGGTGAGAAAAACGATTGAATTGATTGCTCTTAATCACGACACTCAAAACAAGCACATTACTATTTTGTACAGCCATATGAATTTATTAATCAAAAGAATTTTGAAATTTTTAGAGGATGACAATGAGGGTGTTCAATCTCACGCAGTACATTTTGCAGAGCATTTAATTTTAATGTATAGCAGCATGTTTAGGAACGTAGATGTTGAAGAGGATGTGATCATGAGCTATTTATCTTATCTACAGTTATCAGGTAATACATATCAAGTGAAACAAATCGAGCGGTATCCCATTGATTTAGCCTTCGTCTTACGGTATAGTGAAGGACGAGCAAGTTTATTGAACGTTGAAGAAATGAGAAATCAAGGCGCAGATCTGTTGAACAAGATTGTACAAAAGTGTGCTAAAGGAGAAATACCTGCCTCTGTAATGTCTGTAATTATCCAATCTTTGCTGAACATTGCGAAACAAAGACCTGACTTTTGGAAAGTAATAATTCCATTCCTCTGTCAAAACGCAAAATACAGCATTGAAAACAATTACCGAATTTCTAACAGCCAAAAATCGGCATTGAAATGTATTTTGAAAACAGTAATGTTGTTTTTATTGAGAATGCCAGAAACCAAGCTATTCAGAGACACCATAGTGAATGGTCTAATAAGTGTAGGAGTCAACAAAGATACTTATAACATGATTATTAGATTTGTTGAGAAACACACTGCTGTGCTAAAAAGAAAGCAAGATGAAGCTCAGACTACTGTTCCAGAAAGAGACAACAAGATGAGAAAAACCGAAGTAGAGCCAAGCAATCAAAGCGCAATGCAAATTACGGGACAACCCAAACAAGAAGAGGCAACAGCAATTTTATATATTGGTTATATTCCACGGCCTCTGACTAACATCGCTTTAGCAGATGAAGTTCTCAAAAATTTATCTTCTATAACTGGAAGTAGTAATGCCAATCGTCAGTCAAGAACATTGGAAAGTAGTAGTCAATTGGTAAACACAATTCTTTCCACTTTATCTACCCACTACTACAAACGAGGTACAAACACTTACACTTCAGAGCAGCAACAACAATACATGAGCTCTGTCCAATCATTCTTGGCCGAACCAATACCATCTTTCAACTCAAGCATGGTGACTGTTTCAATATTGGGACAAGCTCAAGGTCCCTATCAACAACCTAGACCAAGTCCATATGCCGTGCAGACACCGTATGGAAGACAAGCAAGACCAAGTCCCTACAGTAAAAGCGTACAACAACCAGCCACAACACAAAAAGTGGATCCAAGACTTGCTCAAGTACGAGATCCTCGCCAACAATTGCAAAGTACCTATGTACCTGATAAGAGCAAAGCATTTAGCACAGAAAAGAAACTGCCCGCAAAAGCTGTAACTACTGCCGAAGATTCTGATGAAGAAGTGGATACTTTCAAACCAACAGAAGCTGTCCAAGATAAGATTGCAGAACCTGTGATTGAGGAAGAAATGAAAGAGAATCTTTCCAAGCAATTTAAACTTAAATTATCAATTATTGACGACAACGTAAAAACTCAATTGAAGCAATTTAATTGGAATAAGATGCTATTGAGTGAAAAGAGTATGAAAAGAGAAGGTAAAGATCACTACCGTGTGAAATTGATTTGTATGATGGCTTCAAAGAGTGAAGAAACAGCAGATCAATACCAACAATTACTCAAGTTTATAAAAGAAGATACCAAGGGAAGATTTGGACTCCTCTTGATGTGGCTCTATATGGAATACAAGAACGTAGTCTATGCAGGATACAATGTGAAAACAGAAGAGGGTGAAGAACCTGACAATAGATATACCAGACTGTTCCATCATATGTTGCAACACATCGAAAAAAGCGAATCTACATTATCCAAACTGGTTGTGCAATGTCCTCACATTACTGTACATGCCATTGAATATTTGTGCAAAGACCTATGTGAAACTGATAACTATATTAGCTACGGTCTTATGGCTCTCAGAGATATTACTATTTTCAGACAACCTTTAAAACAAAAATGTTTAGATTTACTGCTGAACTATTCAGTTCATGAAAACTCAAAAATTAGAACTGCTTCTATCCAAATTTTGCGTGATAGAACGTTCTATAAACTTTTCGAAACAGAGATTAACACATTTGCGTACACCAACATCAAGAACTTGAAAAACTTGCTGGTCAAAGAAGAAATTAAATCTGAAGAAATGGTGGACGAAGATCAAGAAATGGAAGATATTGGTAATGTGAACCAAGACACAATCAAGAGATATAGCTCACTGTACCTTTCGTTGAGCACTAGTTATTGTGAATCCATGTTTAATCAATTAATTGGAGATGTTTATGTTGAATTTAAACAGTTAGAAGGGCCACATCATGATGCTGTGGTTAGTCTATTAGAGAAGGATATTTTGAGCACAGTAAAACTAAGCTCAAACAGACCAACTGTCATTGAATATCTGAACCATTTTGATGAAAAACACTGTTTAGATATCAGCATTAAGATTATTCAGCAGTTATCTCTTCAAGCGCAAGGAATTGACGAAGCTCTTTGTAAAGTATTGATACATACCTTCTTTGATAGAAATATTAAGGATCCCAGATTGGTGCTACCAATTATGCTTTCACTTTCAAAGGAGCAAGTTAAAGAAGCTTTACCTGTAGTGGTGAAATCAATCAATGACATTGAACTCTTGAAGAAATGTGTGTTGGATTTACTTAACGCCAATCCAAAGGGTGAAAAAACAGACAAGGCAACTCCTGATGAAATTCTAGTCGTTTTACATGAAATTGATGCCAATAATGAAACTCAATCGTTAGCATTCAATAATGCTAGAACTCTGTTAGATTTGTGTTTGAATGGTGATGGAAAGAAGCAGTTCACCAAACACATTCTCATGACTGCCCTACAACAACTTGCCGACATGCCAACTCTTCCAAAGTTAATTATGAGGACAGTTATTCAGTCTCTAAACTTGCACAACGATTTGTCTCAATTCATTATCAAGTTTATTTTCACAACCCTCATTAATAGAAAGGCATATGAGAGCAGGAATATTTTGACAGGAATGTCAAAATGTCTCTCAGAAAAACTTAATTTATTCCCTGTAAAGAAGGTGTCCGAGTTACTTGCAGATCTAGGAGAAAAAAGTGAACAGGCTTTGATGACTGTTTTACAGAACCAAAATCTAAGGGAAACATTTAAGGAATGGCTCACAATTCAACAACATCCTAAACGGTCTCGTTATTTCCAACTTATTGACACCCTTAGCAACAATCAACAAGCAAATGCATCCGAAACTAAATAATTACTCGATAAATATAGAAACTAGAATTAATTTGTATTTGGTGCCATTTTGGCATAGATTCGCTTCAGCACATGTGAAACCAATTTCTTTTGCTTTGAAACACACTCTTTGATGCAATTAATTTCCCCGTGTGACAAGTGTTTGTATTCTAATGTTGGATGTAATCGTTTTTCAATTTCGTTCCATGGATTTAAATTGTACGATTTTATGCATTCTTCATAGCATGCATTTGAAATAAACGTTGCTTCGTTATTCTTATCTTTTGCAATAGATGCCTTTAACTTTATCTCATCCATGTAATTGTTGAACGCGATTTGTTGTTCCATCATCATTTGCTCATACATCATGTTACTATTCATCATGTAATTCATTGGATCGTAGGGATTATACGACCATGAAGGTAAATAATTATTGCTCATAAAGTTGTTGTTGTTCATGAAACTATTGTCATTGTTGAATGAAGTCATCAAGTTGGATGAATCTCCAAAATTATTGTCTAAATTATTTCCCAAATTAAAACCACTCTCAGGTGTGAAATTACTAGTCGTGTCATTTTGGTAAGACGACACAGGAGGAACCATTTCGGAATTCGTTTCTAGCTGCTGTGGTTGTGCGGAATGAGAGTTAATTTGTTCTGGAATGGTTGATGAATCCCATGTGGTGGTTCCGAATGGTAATAAGTTTTGAGTGTTGTTGTTATTCTGATACATGGTCAGAAATGGCGATTCGACATAAAATTTACCAGCAAATCCTTTCACGCTTGAAGAGAAAGGAACAGGATTTTGTTTTGCTAAAAGAGAAGGATCCATTTTTTTGAATGGAGAAAGAAATGAAATCATCATCAAGTTGCTTCAGAAGCAACCTGGCCAGCTGGGAATATTCAAGATGAAAGAGACCCTCAATGCACTAATTAGCATTTCCAACAACAGCCTAGTTTTAAAAGGGGTACTGATTAAAATCTACCATTTATGCTCACATTTGTACAATAGATTCTCTCGAGAGTCGCCTTGTCTCCAAATTTAGGCTCATTCAAAATACAAAGTTCTAAAAAAATGCTCAAGACCTTGCTAACTTCTGGTGGTTGTGTATGCAACTCTTCAACATGTAGTGGCCACCTCTTCACTCTGCGTTCAATTCCTTTCAAAATTTTGAATAATACGCATTTCTGTAGAAATCACATTTTGAATCATCGGAGCAATACAAACAGTGAACAGTATTGGAGGCGGAGTTTCAGTGTTAATTTCTTGTCTGAAATGATGAATCCGAGTGCAAACGCCTCGACTTTGTCATCTTCAGTACCACCACAAGTTTTGAGTGATAACAAATCATCATCTATTAACAGTTCAACTCCTGCTAAAAAGAGTAGAAAACCAACCAAACCTAAGCAAGTCATGACTCTTACTGATAGAGCAGCAGACAGATTAAAATACCTACTATCGAAACGATCAGGTGCTCTTGGTATTTTGATTGGATTAAAAAAGAGAGGTTGTAATGGATTATCATGGACATTTGATTATATCACACAAGACACCGAAATACCCAAGCTAGCTGAAATAGTGGAAGACAAGGGAGTGCGATTAGTTATTCAACCAAGTGCAGTAATGAACGTAATTGGAACTGTTATGGATTATGAGGAAAATGAAGTTTTTGCCAAGTTTGTCTTCAATAATCCAAATGCAATTGGTACTTGTGGATGTGGTGAGTCATTTAATGTACAAACAGCAGCAAATGATAAGGAGCATGTTTCACATAGAAAATCACAAAAGATGTAGATCTTTGTTATCTTGTACAGTTTAATTATTCTCGTAAATTACACTTGAATCTCAGAAACAATAAATTCAAAGTCAACTGCGAATTGTTGCAATTTAGAGGCGTCACTTGATCTAAATGTTGCAGTCACCTTTCCATCATGGAAAATCTTACACTCAATTAAGATGTAGTGTAAATCAGATGTTTGAGTGTAGAAATAGAACATGTGTGGCTCATTCTTCACGTTGCTTGCCATTGTCAAGATATTATTCTCTCTTAACTTCTCTTCAATTTCTGTAGCGCTTGGTCGTCCTTCGTTGAAAGAGAAAGAATAAAGTCTGGCAGAATTCACAAAGTCAGCAGATTTCCATTTTTGTTGATACTCTGCAGGAGTCAAAGATGGTGGCATAACAATTGGGACATTATTTGTGTCTTCATAATCAAGGTCGTCATCAAGCAATCTCTCTTCATTTGGTTTCTTCATTTCCTCTTCCTCTTCTTCCTCTTCTTCAACTTCTTCTTCTCCAGCTGTTTCTCCATGTTGCATATCGCCTTCATCATCACTATCTTCGTCATCAATAGCTTGTCCAAGCACTTCAACATCTTTGACAATGAATCTTTCGCTTGGTTTTCCATAAATGATGGAAAGAGTATTAAACTCTGAAAATAAACGATCACGAAATTCTACAGATTCCTCTTCTGCAAATTTTGTTACAATATCCTTCTTTGTCATTACTACACTTTTTGCTAAATCAACATTTGCAGAAAGTAATCGATAGTAAAACAAGGCTCTGTCATGAACGTCGGCATGAGATGTATCGTTTACAGCAGCTTCAAAAAGTCTTCCTAACATTGAAACCATTTCTGGAGCTCTCAAAAAGAATAGTTTCATGGCACTTGTCAAAATTTGATTTCTCACACTGTAGTGGTACGTAGAAAAGTTGTCAATAAAGTTCTCTAAGATGTATGGAGCAGCTGGAAGAATAGTATCTTTTCCAAACTCTCCCAACATCCAAACGAAGGAGGAAAGAGCCTCTGGATCCTCAATGGTTCGCCAGTGTCTCGTGATAGAAGGCAAGCACACCTTACAGAACTCAACATCGTTATATTTACGCAAAATATCTTTCAATACTATCGTTGTTTCGCTGATAATGTGAACAATACCAGTGTCTAAAAATTCAAGAAGGTGAGTCAATGATTCGTCAGTAGCGTAAGACACTTTTACAGCAATCTCTCCCAAAGCTCTAATAGCCTTTTTAGACGTGGAAATACTATTATCTCCTAAGGACACATAATAACTAAGTTCGCTCATAATTTCTTGTACGTTTTTCTCGTTAGCTAAAAGAGTTAAAACTTCCAGTTTAAGCTCTTTCAAATATGAAGGGTCGTTGTACTTGATGTAAAAGTCCTTAAAATAAGGCTGGAATACCTGAGGACTTCTTGCCATCATGAATTTCAAATGTTGCAAAATTGTGTAGGCAAGTTCAGGACTTGAAGTAGCAAACAAAAGTAATAATGGATCTCTCAATCTACCATACACCCTAACATGATTCTTTGGCATATTTTGAGTGTAATGCAAGAACAAGTTTGTAATAGACATTACCACAGATGCATTTGAAATTTCTAATTTGTCATCAAGCAAGTTCATAATGTCAAATATTTCGTCATTGCTCTCGGGTTTATACTTGAGCAAAAGTGAAGCAACTTCAGTGAGTTGCCATTCGGTATATTCAGATAGCTTATTAAGGAGATGATAAACCATCTTTTTAGATACAATAACACCTGATTCCTCAATTTCGTTAAGTGTACGAATAGCGTTTACAATTACTTGGGCATCCTTATCTTGAATCATGTCATACATTCGATCGTCAAATTTCTCAACTAATAATTATGGTCCATAACAAATATCAGCATTCATCATGACAGTTATGTATTACAATCGTCCGATCTCAACCTACCTTTTACTATTTGAGGAGCAATCTTGAACAACTTGGATACGCTCACAACAGCTGCACGTCTAACGTATGGGCTAGGGTCGTTCAAACCTTCTTTGATGAGTGGAACGAGGTGTTCCGTTAGTTTTGAAATTCTCAAACTGCTCAAAGAACGCAATGCTAGCCCACGAACAATTGGGCTCTCATCCCTACAATCTCGTGCGAGGGTGTTGATAACAAGAATAGCCAAATCGGCATTTTGTCTGGCGTAGTGGGTAATGTATTGATAAATCATTTTCTTCTGCACAATGTCTTTGGTGTTTACGCCCATGATCATTCTATCAAATAGTTTGCTAGTATCCAATCCCATTGTTGTAAATCCAATCACACGTTGGAGTACTTCTCTCTTTTTTGTTTGGTCATTATCAATTGTTGGATCAGATAATAATTGTTTTAACTCTTGAATTTCACCCTTCTTATCCGGAAGGTTTGTAGTCTTTGTTGTTTTGATGAGAGAGCCAACAGAGCTCATGGTTTTGCTGATGGAGGAACCAATTTGTGAGGCTCCCAAACTGATGCTGTCTCCGAGGTTTTTCAGAGTGGAGGAAGCGCTCATTTTTTTTGTTGGGACACCTCATCAGGTTGTTTAGCGAATTAAAAGATTTATGTCCAAAGAGCTTCTTAGCAACGGTGAATGTAGAATCCAATCGTTTTATATTGATGTGTTTCTCAAATATCAGGTTGTGATTCTTTTTAAATACTTTCATTCCCACCAGATGATAAAACTCTTTCATCTAAATTTTTGTTGTTAACTTGAGACAATTAAACTCGTTAGCATCATGCTTCAACGTTACCTTTGTGATATGAAATTTGATTAAGGTTACAGTTGGATGCTTAATGGAACCTCCATCAACAGTGGAGAGCATGCCCAAAAAAAATAGCTTGTCTCCGCCTCGAAAGATCTCTTGTGCTGGCCTCCAACCTGAAAGATTCATCATCAATTAAACCCATCATCGCCATCACCAACGCTTTTTAGCATCTGGACAACAGTTGATCAAGCTGATCCTATTTGTATTTATTATTTCTTCACTGATCCAATATTAGCATGACTTCCTACAACAACACTTCCTACCAACAAACGGGTCCCGATTTCAATCGGCTCGTATTGAACGCAACAAATCCCAAAAATCAAACGGATGATTGGGATTCTATTATGCAAATTTCTGATCTTTTATGCCAAAACCCAGATGATTACACCAGGCAAGTGCTTCCTATTTTGTTAGCAAGACTTAAAGATCCCAATCCGGTTGTTGTAATTTACTCTCTAACACTCTCCGATGCCATTTTGAAGAATACTAACGATTATGTAAAGAAGTGTTTTTTGAGATCTGAGTTTGTAAACATTGTGAATGGATTGACACAAGGAAGATCGAACGATGTAAAAGAGAAGGCAAGTGAGGTGATTAAAGAAAATCAGCTTACACAATTCCCATCATCAAGCTCATCTCCTCCAATGGGAATTACATCCTCACCACAACAACAACCTTTGGCATCTTCAACAACAAGACAGCCACCTCCTTTCAGAGGAAATACAATCCAACAACCACCTAGCAAACTGTCTACTTATCAAGAAAAATTGGATCCAGATTTGACAATTGTCAAGGAAAATATTAATTTATTAGGAGAACTAGTGTCTGCTGCTTCCTCACCAAATGAACTGAAAGAGGACGATACTGCTCTTCAACTCAAAGTAAATTGTGAGGAAATGCAGAGAAGAATAATTTCATTAATTGAAACGATTCCTCCAGAGGATGTACTTTTAAAACTGTTAGAAGTTAACGAAGCATTGAGCGACTCTCTTCAATCATTTGAAAAGTTTATGAAAACTGGTAAGAAAGAGAGTCCAAAGCTTTCACAAGCTCTCAACACCTCATCTGCTCCTCCCTTGTCACCAAATATCAACACATCTTCAACTGCTATGAGCACCTCAAGTGGATTTGGATCATTGGCAAATAGAAATACGAATAGAACAAACACTCCATCGAATCAAAACAAAACCCTCTCTTTGGACGATTTTCTTGGATCCAGCGTACAACCAACACCACCACAGCAACAATTCAATAGTAATGTCACACCAAGCAACTTAAACGCTAGCAGTAATAGTGGAGGAGTCAATAGTAATAAGGTCTCCACTGGAAACAGTTCATCAACAACACCACTTTCTTTGGACGATCTTTTTGGATTAACAGCCTCAACACCAGTACAGCCACAACAACAGCGATTGCCTCCTATTGCCAATAATCCATCTCCCTACACATTAAACAACAACCCATATTCCGATTCCATGGAGAGAGAATTTGGAAGATTAAATATTCAGGCCGGAAGCAACAACAATTCTTACAGCAACCCCATTTACCCCTCCACGAATCCACAATACAGCACCAATCCATATACACCTCCATACAATCCTTATGGAGGCTCAGATCATGTGGACCCCAACGATCCATTTGGTTTGAGTAGCAATCGACCACCACAACAACAACAATCGAATAACCAATCAAACCGATCTTCAGGTGGTTTTGCTGCTTTGGCAAACAGAGACAGAAGCAACTCGAGTCAAAAGAAATAAACAATGATTCAGTGTTTTTGTCTTTGTTGTGATCGTCATCCAATTCCGAGTAATGTTGATCATCACTCGTTCTAGATCTTCAATTACAATTTCACAAGTTTATTTCAAATCATACTATGATATGAAGTTTTCGGCAATATTACAATCAAGGGATTTATTGGTCATCTCCTTCAACGTCTTCCACTTTAGAACCGTCATTCTTCTCCTCTTGCATATCAGAAGTCCACAAAGTCAAGTTATCTCTCAACAATTGAAGAATGAGAGTAGAATCCTTGTATGATTCCTCAGTGAGACTATCCAATTCAGCAATAGCATCATCAAAGGCCTTCTTTGCCAATTGGCAAGCACTTTGAGGTGAGTTCAAAATTTCATAATAGAAAACAGAAAAGTTGAGGGCCAAACCTAAACGAATTGGGTGAGTTGTTTGGAGTTCCTTTGCAATCTTTGTTGCAGTGTTGTAGGCCTCCAAAGAATTGTTGGCTGCTTCCTTTCTGGAGTCACCAGTAGTGAATTCAGCAAGATATCTGTGATAATCACCCTTCATCTTGTAGTGGAAAACTTTTGATTCGTCAGATTGGCTAGATGGGATCAAATGTTGATCCAAGATTGACAAAATATCATTACAGATATCGGTTAATTCCTTTTCAACCTTGCCTCTGTATTTCTTGATCTTTTCAACGTGATGTAAATTTCCCTTGCTTTCCTCCTTTTGCTCAATGGAGTTGATGATTCTCCAGGAAGCACGTCTGGAACCAATAACGTTTTTGTATGCCACAGACAAGAGGTTTCTTTCCTCAACAGTCAATTCAACATCCAATTGGGCAACCTTCTTCATGCTTTGGACCATTTCTACAAAGAGAAGGTGATGATTAGACAAAAGGTTGTTGTTAGTCTATAACAATACTCACCATCATATCTTTCAGCTTGTTCAGCAAGCTTGGCCATGAAAACGTTATCTTCTCTTGATTCAGTTTCGCTCATTTTGGATCGCTGTTGGTGATGACGATTGTTTGATGATGAATTGTATAAAATGTGAACTTCAGAGAGAGATTAGCGTTTGATATTTACCTTTGTGGGTCGTGCTGTATTTTTTTTTGTATTTTGGCTCTACTCGTCCAATCATCAGGTTGAGCAAACCGATTGTAAACCTCGCTGTCATTCATTCGGCAAAAGATGTAATTTGTTAAAACGGGATTGTCTCATCTCTCAATGTTGATTTCTAACGATCATCAACCACTAAACTAGCCACTCAGAGTTAGTCAACATTGAGATCTCTGCTTGCTGCTCATATCTTCCTCGTGTGAGTTGTTTTAGAGAAATTTCCTTATTGCTTCCAACGCTGGTGTTGAATGAACGAGTGCTGACACAGTAAAGTTTTTCTCCATTTAAAATGCTTAAAGCAAACCAGTACCAAAATCGGTCTTGACGCGTTCTGCCGCCAAATTCATTCGTAGCCGGAGTTTGGATGATTGAGGCTCGACGCTCTCTGGGCTCTTATTCTCAACAACATCGTTCAAATAGAGAGCTGTTGATGAAAGTATCAATAGCCTTCACCACCTCGATCACATCTAACACATGAGACACAGCTCAAAAAGACAGAAAAACGCCTGTTCTCAAAGGTATATCAGTAGTTACCTGGGAACAGCTGTTCTTGGAACAAAGGGATCGTCATACCGCGGTATACCTAACATCAATGATTTCCTTGTTCTGAGGGTTATGTTCATCTCAAAGAAAACAAAAAAACGCAAAATCCTTTGACACTTGTCAATCCATCACTGTACCGTTAAAAAAATTGTTGTCTCGGCAGTATCAACGAGATTTTCATCCTCCAGCAACAAAATTATATCGTTGAAGATCTTCAATATCATCATCATCATCATATTACCATCACCACAATAATTGTTGAGAATGTCTGTACAAAATATAAAGGTTGCAGTTTGTGGAGCCGGTGCGGTGGGAAAATCCTGTCTCACCATTCAATTTGTCCAGAATCAATTTGTAGAGGCGTAAGTTTGTTATTATTGGTACCGAGATGTTGTTTATTGTGTCATTCAACAATGCGCGTGTCATGAAATGGACAAACAATTTATTGTAATATTGTTATCGATATTGATGAATCATTTGATCAAATGATTGTTGATACCATGACAAACGACTTGTATGCGGAATGTATTTCTTGTTATTGTGGCTTGTTGATGTCAACAATATGTTGACCAAATATTTATGGATACTATATATTTACACACACACATACATCAGATGGGACCCTACGATCGAGGACAGTTATCAAAAATCACTTAAAGTGAATAACACTGTTGTGCAATTAGACATTTTGGATACTGCAGGACAAGATGGTTCGTATGAATTATGAATAATAATAATTTTCAATGATACATCATGATACTTTTTTATTTACAACAACTACAGAATATAAGGTTAGTAGCACTTGTCATGAATGACACGACTAATTTTCAATCTATCTACCACCATCACAACTTCACTTATAATGAACTTTAAAAGGCATTGAGAGATGAATATATGAGAACTGCGGATGGATTTTTACTAGTTTTTGACATTTCTAAACCAAAGACTTTTGAGGATTTAAATGAATTCCATAAGCAAATTGTTAGAAGCAAAGATTGTGATTATCCTCCAATTATTTTGGTTGGAAATAAGATTGATGTAAGTTGTTGAAAATGAAATGATTTTGTGAACATGAACTTGTCATGCCACACACATTTTTCGGATGGATGACATGATTATCAATTCATCTTTCTCGACCATTGTACATTTTGTGACAATTTTTTCAACAACTTAATATACAAATAGCTTCCTCCTGAAAAGAGAGCAGTTTCACGTCAACAAGCAGAAGATGTTTGTGCAAAATGGAAAATTGAATTTATTGAAACAAGTGCTAAAACACGAACCAATGTGGACGAGGCTTTCCAAAAGCTTGTCAAAACAATTCTAAAGCAAATGGAGAAAACAAAACCTGTAAATACAAATAATAAGGAGAAACCAGAGAAGAAGCCTTGTATTTTACTTTAAATAAATACTATAGTGTGAATGACCCATGAATTCATTCTTGATATGGCAAGAGATTCTTGAGCGCTTTTCAGTGGTTGGGGTGCGCTTGTGTGCCAACTAAGTTAAATTTAAAACATCATGGATGGTGTGTGAGCAGCTGTAAAGTGCTTCATTGCATGTCAAGAAAATCAAACTTTCATTACCGTTTTTGGATTGAATTTTCACAGTCGACGATGAGATTTCACAAAAAATATTGACATGTCTGCTCTTGCTCTCTCATCAACAACTAGTGTGGTTGGTGCCATGATTTTGTTGTTCACAATTTTAACAGTTGCTTGCCCTGTTGAATCCGCCAATCATCAGCAACCATTCTTGACATAAGGAATGATGACCTCTTTCGAGTCAGAGCATTTTCATTCATCATCATTCTCACCATCATTCTCATCACTCATGATTCCCATTTCACATGATGAAAAGTCTTTGAACAACCCGGAACCAAGAATCTCTTCAAAAGAGTTGCTCAGCAACATTAACAACTTACAAAATGGAGGAGTCTTTCGATATTACGATTCCATTTTCCAAGATGCTTCATGTACTCTGCCTTTAAAAATCAAACATTTGGTGAATGAAACTTCAGGTGTTTGCACGTCGCCATCCAACAACAACTTGTGTCAACCCATTGCAGGTGCTGGTTACAGTAAGGGTTACAAGTGTCTAGTATTCTCAGCACCACCCACGGTTGAACCAGGTTATTTGGCTCTTGTCTTTCATCCAAACAAGGATTGTTCTGGAATTGCCTCCAATACTGGAATGAGTATCATTCCATCGGGAGTGTCCCAAATTTCATATTTTCCCATGTTCGAATGTTCTCGTGGTTTCTCTGCCAATACGAGTGTTATGGGCAATACACATCTATTCATAATGTATATGTGATGAACAATGCAATCAAGTTCAACAAACTTTACAATATGACTCTCGTGAATGTTTTCCAAATGGTTTTTCGAGTAGTATTTCTTTGGTTTCAAATTCTTCATGGGTCTATTATGACATGTACTCGGACGACTCGTGCGCGAGTTCATTTCTAGCACTTGCCAATGCCACATGCACTCCCTCATGTTCCAAACTTGCGATCAGTGGTCGTTATGGATACATCTCGTGTCCTAATTATATGAAATTCAATGAAGCACCTCCTCCTCGTCCTGGACAAGTTCAAGTATTGACCTTTTCCAATGCGACTCAGATTTTCAAATCCTTTCGTTGGATATTATCCTCTCAATGTTTGTACTCAAGACGTGTTAGCCACAGCCAGAGTGGATTATTCTGCCAAGGCATCATGCTCACACTATACAGCTTATTCAGGAACGGATTGTTCACAAGTGTACCAACAATTCCCAACGAATCATTTGGGAGGAACCAATGCGAATAATCAAACGTGTAATAGTATGAATAGTGGAGGTTCTCTGAAGGCCTATACCTTTGTATGCTCGGACAGTCATGGTAACAACAACAATCAACAACAACCTGCAGTGACCCTCAATGGATACATTTCATATGATTTATATTCTGATCGTGCATGTACCAAGAAATTGAAATCAACCATTGTGAAACCTTCTCAAGTATGCTTGATGAGTGGAGAATGTATTCAAGTTCCAGGATCCAACAATTTGTATGGAATTTCAAAGTGTTCATCTACTTTACCGTCTGTTCAACAAGGTCAAATGGTCATTCATACCTATGCAAGTCTCAATTGTAATACTTCTACTCTTCAACATTCTCAATATTATCCCATTCAAACATGTAGTGTGAATATGATGGGATCTGGAAGTATCATGCCTCACGCTTCATGTTCATCCTATCAATCCTATTCTGATATGGAGTGTCAAGTGGCAGCAAACAAATTGGATTATACCTCAGCAAGTTGTTTACCGAATGGTAATTCAAATTCTCTCTCCGTTTCATGTCAAGTCATTCCTGTGGTGCTTCCAAGTAATAGTACAAAGAGAACAGTTTCTGGAGCTATTTCCATTCAAAGAGAAAACATGTTGGTTACAATGATAGCATTGTGGATTGGATGTATGATTTTAGTTTTTACTTGGTAATAGGAGAGAGCACAAGTGTTTGCTTGCAGAGGAAATAAATTCATTTCACTGATGATGCAATTCTCTTACCTTATTCCCTTAATGAATTTTATCACCAATGAATAGGACTGGTAAAACTGTAAAACCTCATTGCCTCTATTACAAGCATGTTCTGTATGAATACCCACACTGATGTTAAGGAACACATCAAAGAAGGATATGTCACAAGTCGTGAATGGGACTCACCAATTGTACAAAGACCAAATTTTTGATTGGATCGTGAATGAGATTAACGTTGATTATGTTCAAAAGAATTGCATCGTTGGTTCAAAAATTGTGTGGCCAAAGTGTTTTTCCACATTCAACAAAATTGAACCACATGTCAATCCAAGTTACGTTGAAAGCACTCATTGCTATCGTTGTTATTCTCAGTACACTACTATTCAACAATAACAACTACAACATACAATCACCCTTTGTGCATGCCTATCCATTGAGTTCTTCAGTACAAGAAGATACTCCACTCTATTTCTCTCAGCAACATTCAATGTCTCAGAATGTGGTGAGCGAAAATCAACAACAACAACCAATTTATATTTATTACGATTCCATTTTCAAAGATCAACAGTATCTTATTTAAGAGCTACCCAAGACTGCACTCCTAATCCATCCTGCTCTCAGATTTCAGATATTTCCTTTGGTTATTATGGAAAGGTTTCATGTCCAAGTGCAGTACCCACACCTCGACCACACCAAGTTCAAGTCGTTCAGTATCTTAATGGCACCCAATGCAGATTTGTGAATGTCCATATTTCATATTACCCCAAAGATGTATGCACTGGTGATTTGTCTGTCAAATTCAGTCCTGATTATAGTGTAAAAGCTACTTGTGATCAATTAATTTCTTATAAGGGAACCAATTGCAATTCCACTGAAATCTACAAAGAAATATCTTATTCGAATTCAACAAAATGTAGTATGGATAGTGAGTACGGACTGGGCTATTCCCTGATGTGTTCAAATGGAACAGAACCACCACAACCAGTACCAAGTCCCATTCAACCTCCTGCAAAAAGTAATAGTACTAAGAAGGGAAATTCCATCTCTTTGGCCACGTCTACTCCAAAAGCAAACATGTTCTTGTTGGTGGTTATTGTCATGGTCTGCATGGGTTGTTCATTATTGTTACAATTATAGTATTATTTTCAAAAGAGTTGCAAAGAGAACATTGATGAACGAGATCACTAATAATATGAAGCAAGAAAGGAGTAACCTTACCAATATCCATAGAGACATGTCATCATGATCAAATAAATATTTGTAATTGAAGGGTTCTTAATATTGTTTTATCGTACTCTTGGGACTCGCACATATCAGAAATCGATTGTAAATCCGTTGGTGATGATAATTTTTTATTGTTGTAAATATCGAACAAAAGTCTCAATATCAGTTTCTAATAAAGTATAGTAATCCTTCGCTTTAGGAATGTGATGCGCTAGATGGTTGCTCGACAAGTTGAGCTTTTCTAAAATTTTGTAAATAATAAGCTCAAGTACATCCACTGGTTTTGTTTCAGTGGAGTTGCTTTCTTTTCTCCCAAGAGAATGCATTTTGATAAAATACCGTTGTGGTTTGTCTGATCCTGGTCTATCTATTATAACAACAACTCCTAATTGATCTCCTCCTTTTTTAATGTCGAATGATATTTCACCTTCGGGATAGAGGTTATGGAAATAATTGTTGTCTAATTGACCCAATAACATTGTTCTTGCTCTCCGTTCGTTTCAGTACCATTCTCCACACATCTTAGCAAAATATGAATGTTTTTTCTTAACGACGGGCCGTCGTTAAAGTCTTTGTTGGTCATTACATTCGTATCAAGAAACTCAGACCAAGAAATGTCCCATTTAGCATTAACTTCAGCACCAAATACTCTTTTAAAACGATCCATGGTCAATTTTTCGACCACCTTCGCAAGATAACATTCTTTGTTTATGGATGAATAAGTACAAAGAGGCATGCTAGGATTCGAAGTCATGTCGGTGGGAAAGGCGTTAAATTTTTAGAATGTGGTTTTTTACGGTTTGGAACCAAGTCATGGTAAGATAAATTTAACCTTAATAATAATCGAAGTAGAAACAAATCATCATGATGAAATAAATATATTTATAATTCACAATACTGCTATTATTGATGTGATATACAAAATTGTCCCTTCATTTGGGACGATCATTTCCTTCATTATTGAGGTCAAGTAAATAGATATATGAGAGAAGAGAGTGCGCGCATGTGTGTGTTTGTGTGATTAGTATGGTGATCATCAACAACATTACATTCTCTTCACAACAAGAATGACCACAGACAATGCAATGACAATCAATGTCACAAACGATCGCCAATCAAACACACTCATTCCAGCTCGATCTGGTGTTGAACAATCTACTTTGGAAGTGAAACCAGCAAAACATGTACAAACACCATCCTTCGTATTACATAAACCATTTCCATTGCAATCGTTTGGACATTTTCTACGTTCACAACTAATTCCAGAATAGGCACTGTCACATTTACAAATACCAATAGAGGTATCACAAGTACCATGTCCATTACATTTTGGATCAACACAATCAAACAAATTACAATCGTATCCAGTAAATCCAGAAGCACAACTACAGAAACCAGTCACATAATTACAGACACCCTTATAATTACAATCTCCTGGGCATGGTTTGTTACCAGTAATGATTAATGTGAAATCATCACCAGTGCTCACATCAATCACTGCTTCATTATTTGGAACGGTAAGAAGAGTTGGAGTATAAACATTGTTGGTATGACCCAATCCTAATTGTCCCTTATCATTTTGACCCATCACATAGACAGCACCAGTGGATGTAAGAATGGCTACATGTCCTCCTGTAGGTCTAGAAATTGCAACCTTAATAATATTGGATGGAAGATTACTGTTAAGAACTGGAACAATGAATTTAGTTCCATTCACCGATGGATTAAAACCAAGTTGTCCATACGTATTATCACCAGTCACAAAGGTTCCGTTTGCTGTGAGAATAAACGTAGATTTACCACCAGTGTAAACAGCAGTAATATCTGTAATGTTATAAAAGACACCATTCGATGTTTGTTCGAGATTTCCAACTTCACGGAATGAACTCACTTGTTGCAATGCATTGAGACCAATTTGTCCATTCGAGTTATCACCAGCAGCATAAGGTTTTGTAATGTAAGTTTTCACACCACTTCCTCCTCCACCTCTAGTTTCAATATTCACAGTAATGGTATGAAATTCACCAGCCGTGACTTGCTTAATATTTTGTTGTGAAGTACGCAATGGAGTGGCACGAATATCATCAAAATTGAATAAACCAATTTGACCTCTACTGTTACCACCCATGACAAACAAATCGTATTGATCCACCGTGTAGGATTTTCTTTTAGCTCTCATTACAGTGTGAATCGCTCCACAATTCACACTATCAATAATGACTGATCCATTTTCATATTGATTACGAGTAGGAATGAGCTGAATGTTGGTGGTCTTGTTATTGTTACCAAATTGACCATATGCATTGGAACCCATCGCATACAAGGAAAGAGTATCATTTGATAAAAAGAGAACAGTGGAATGAGTGGTTGAACTGACCACTCCATATCCAATAGAAATGGATGTCACATTCACTTCACTCAATTCTGGAATCATTCGAGGTGTGAATTGATCAATGGCAATATTTGGATTAATGAAATTATAGGGAGATCTGTTTTTACCCCATGCCCATGTTTTACCAGTTTCATGTTCTGTAGCAAAGACAAATCCTGCCGATGTGTAAACATGTTCCAATTGAATACCACTTGGAATATTTTGAAGGAGAGATGGACTTGTGTAATAAACAGTGTCACCACTTCCAGAAATAGTTCCCATAGTATACAATTTACCATCGGTCGTCAACACAAAGCTATTCTTTGTTGCAGCAGTGAGAATGGAAGAAACGGATTTACCAGCTGGTGTAGTGCTATTACTGAACTTGGCTCCATTCACAGTAGAAACGAAAGGAGAAGTTCCCATTCCAAGTTGACCTTCAGTGTTATCTCCACATACATAAATAGTTCGTTGATCTTGAGCCAACAACATGGCATGTTGATACGAGAGAGAAATTTGTGCAATGTTTTGAGTCAAGGCAGGTGAAAATTGATCAGAATTGATTTTCACAGGGAGGATTGAACTTGTTGGAGATTGAGTCGTACACAATGCATTCATGTCATTATTTCCCCAATAATACACAGATCCATCATTTGTAGTGGCCATTGCACCTTGTCTATAAATGGAAATATCCAAAACAGTTGCACTAATACCAGCCAATGGTGTTGGAGTTGCAATTTGGAAAGTATTACTATTGACACCCAATACACCTTGATCATTGGAACCAGAAGCAAATACTTGTCCAGAAGTTGTGAGCACAAAAAGTGAACGACCGTAACCCACGACCTTTTTCACACCCGTGTATTTGTTACCTGTTTGTGATCCAGACAAGAGAGTGGCGTTGGAAATGATGATTTGACTTCCGACAAATCCCATCATTCCAAAAGTGTTATCTCCCCAACCATAGAGATTATTGGAAGTCTCTTCAGTGGCAAAGGATGAATAATGAACTGCAAAGACCTTATCAACATTAATACTTTGAAGTGTAGAAATAGGTAAAAGAGTTGGAACACTTAAAGAGGAAAATCCATATCCCAATTGTTCATAATTGTCTGTGATACAGGATATATTTCACATTTGATAGGTGGTTTCACAATTGATTCACAGTCACGTAGATATTTGATTCACAATGGATTCATAATGGATTCACAATGGATTCATAAATCACAATTGTTAATAACATTTCACACATGGATTCACACATAGATATTTCATCATTCACATTGGATTTACATTTAACTCAATCATTCATACTTACTATTACCAAATCCATAAACATCTCTTGCAGCATTATTCAACACAAACAAGACGTGTTCAACACCACATGCCAAACTTCTAATAGAACTCGAATAAGAACCAATCAATTGAGGAGTGTTAAAACTTTGAGTCGAATTCAATCCCAATAAATAATTCACACCATTACTCGATCCAAATCCATACAGAGCGTCACCACCACTCACACCACCTCCACTGACAACCATAAATACACGAACACCACTCGAACTGCCATCGTCAAATTGTTGAATACATTGAAGTGAAACAGTGGCAGATTTCAAAGAATCAACAAGAGCAGGAGAGGAATAATCTTTTTGTGAAAGTTGACCATTGGCATTGGAACCAAATCCATATACTTTACGATTGAGAGAAGGTGTGGCAGATGTTGATTTAAAGTTTGCTATTGCTCCATGACATGTCGCATGGATGATGAGGACGCAACAGAAAAGAAGTGTGAAAATAATTCTTGTTGTATAATTGGATGTGACTCTAATGTGATGATATGGAAATGTTTGACAGCAAATGAATGACCAAGTGTAGGATGATGATGACGACGAGACCGAACATTTTCGAGTGAGTGTGAGTGAGTGTGTTGGTGTGAACCAAGTCGCACGAATCACAGCAAAGACAGCATGAACAATGGAATACACACGAGTGTTTGGTTGGTTGATTGATTGCCAGCCGGATGATGAGTCAAAGAGAATGAACAATGAGAATGAGGAATTGTTCAGCGCCGTGGGCCGAATCGTGTCATGAACACACAAGTCCATGAAAAGGAATATAAAAATTGAATATGACAGAAGGAAGTATGAATATTTAGAGGAATGTCATCAAGTTTCGACAATTAGTATCATCAATTATTATCGCTCATAAGTACTTGGGTTGTTTTACATGATTTACACATACCTCATCTTGGCCATTTTTTTTTCTGTTTAATGACAAGTGACTTGCTGCTGTGATGGGTAACGGATAGAAGCATTTAAAACGTTGAAAGTAAACATTCTCAATCGAACTGAAGTGCTGTGAATTGGAAACAGAAATTGACAATCTAAAGGAGGCCAAATGAATCTCTCTGTATACACACAGAGTGAGGGTTTGAGGCAAAACCAATGATTCGTGTTGCGTACGTGGTATCAATAATCAAGTTTGTTCTCAATTCCATAAACCTGTCATCCATAGCACGGCTCAGAATACTCCCCTCAAAGGTTTACAAAAAAATGACATCTCATGAACAACAACAACCAATCCAATCATCATCCTCTCTTCATAAAGTAGAATCCTATTCAAGTGTTCCATTCTTACTCTCGGAATCTACTCACGTTCCTTCTTCTGCAGAAACAGAGGCTATTATAGAAAAATCTCAAATCAACGAATTACCAGTAGATACAGTATTGGTATTGGGTGCTGGTAATTTTGGAATGGCACTTGCGTATCATTTGGCTCATCATTTGAATGATCGGATCACTATTTATGCACGTGATCAACGAGTGGTTGATTGCATTAATCATGACAAGGTAAATCCAAAATATTTATCTCAAATTAAATTGCCAGATAATATGATTGCTACTCGTGAGATCAATTCTGAAATTTTGAAACAACATACAGTATTGTTGTTTTCAATTCCAACTCAACATATGAGATCAGTATTGAAACAATTTAAGGAATTGCTTCTAGAGGCTTTTTCATCTTCTTTCAAACATTTGTGTATATTTGCAAATAAGGGTATTGAAAGTGAAAGCTTGAAACTGCCCTATGAAATCATTGAAGAAGAAATGGGCTTAGATTTTGCTGATCGATGTGTATTCCTCAGTGGACCGAGCTTTGCCATTGAAATTTGTGAGAAACAACCCACTTGTGTGACAGTTGCATCAAAGAATATTGAATGTGCATTATGGGCTCAAAGAGTTTTGTACGTTTTCTTACATTATTTTGCTTGTGATTGACCATTCTTGTCATGACTAATTTTTGTTCTATCTTTTCATTTGTACATCTTTCTTTGGGAAACAGCCATAGCCCTTATTTCAGAGTGTACACCTCGGATGATCCAATTGGTGTAGAGGTTTGTGGAGCTCTCAAAAACGTTATTGCAATTGCCTCAGGAATTTGTACTGGTGTTGGTTTCCAAATGAACACACGTGCAGCGTTGTTAACACGTGGACTACATGAAATTACTCGAATTGGACATGTCATGGGCGCCAACCCTTTAACAATGTCAGGTTTGAGTGGAATTGGAGACTTGTTTTTGACTTGCACCTCAGAAAAGTCAAGAAATTTCACAGTTGGATTTCGATTAGGAAAAGGAGAAGCCTTAGAGAATATTTTGTCTTCATTAGGAAGTGTGGCAGAAGGTGTTCCAACCACAAAAGCAGCTTATCAACTTTGTCAAAAGCTCAAACTTCGATGTCCAATTGTGAACGCAATTTACGGTATGCTCTATGAGGAGAAACCTGTCAAACAAGCGGTTAAGGAACTTTTAGAAGAGGAAACAGGAACTGAGTTTTCACTGTACAAAAACAATTTGTATTGATAAATTATGTTAAAGAGAACAAATTAATTTACACCAATGAATTTCATACCAGTTTAATGATAGTCTCAGAGACTGCTCATTCTAATAGAACCATCCAATCTTACAACCTCTCCATTCATCATTGGATTTTCAATCAAGAATTGAACCAATTTTGCATATTCTGGTGGATCTCCCAATCTTGGTGGGAATGGAACTTGTTTTCCAAGAGATTCTCTCACCTTGTCGCTCAAGCTCATCAACATTGGAGTTAAAAACAAACCAGGAGCAATGGTGACACATCTAATATTGTAATTACTCAATTCTCTTGCAATAGGCAAAGTCATGGAAACAACAGCACCCTTACTTGCAGAATAACTATTAAAATAAATGTCAATTAGAAGAAATTTGACATGAAATCTTACCTTGCTGTTGATATTGTGAATCATTCGAGGAAATATAAGCAAGTTGTGTTAAATCTGAGCCATGCCCAACTCACCTTGACCAATTTGTCCTTCGTACGCAGCAATCGATGCAGTGTTGATAATAATACCACGTTCCTTATCCTTTCCACAAAGTGGTGCATTTTGTTTCATCATTTGAGCAACAGCAAGTCTCAAAACGTTAAATGTTCCAGAAACATTGACAGCTAATACTCTATTGAAAGCGTCCAATGGATGAGCTTCTCCCTTCTTTGGATTGTAAACTCTTCTTGGGTCCTATTTGAATTTTATCCATAAAATGTTAAACGTTAATAAACATTTCATGACAAGGACCAGCACGTGACATTATTTTGTCCAACCATTTCAATTTGAGATCATTTGAAGTTTCAAATTTCATGAATTCTTCATCATGATTCACACTTACACCAATTCCAGCAGCATTCACAACACCATACAAAGTATTTCCAAACTTTTTCACTAATTCGTCAATACCCTGTTGAGCTTGTTTTTCATCACAGACATCAACATGAACATAAAGAACTGAATCAGGATGTTCGCTTTCAATTTGTTTTCCCTTTTCATCCAAAACATCAAAAATTACAACTTTAGCACCGAGTGAAATTAAATGATTGACAGTAGCTGCACCTAAACCGCTAGCACCACCTTTAGGATTGGAAATCATATGTTTGGAGAGATATTTAGAAGATCATCATGAAAGCATCATGATCGGATCGGAATCAAGCAATGATTCAAATGATCATTCGTTCAATGGTATTGATTTTATTCATATCAAAAGATGACATGAAATTTCAATGAGAAACGTCTTTAAATTTTCATGATCAATCTATAATAACCTACCAGTCACAATGAAAGTCTTGCCTTCAATCTTCATATTTTTTTTCCTGAGTAGAAAATTCCTTTTTCCCGATGACAGCAATGAGAGAGCAATGGTTCAATGCTGTTTTTATTGAATTAATTTCCAATGTTTGAGTTTTTGAATCAATTCCTGTGATTGTGCTGATAATTCTTGTCGAACAAAAAGAGGTGTTTCCTCATCAAAAGTCTTTGAGGGTTTTTTTAGATTGTCAATGTATTGGCAGCAATCTTTGAATTGTTTTCCCATTTGCTGTTGTTGTGCAGAGGCATTTCCACCTGTAGAAGGAGTTGGTGACTTTTTCTTTTGTTTCTTATTTCCTCCACTAGAATTTGAGCTGGAAGCTTGTGGGGCATTAAGATGTTCAATTAGCAGTGTCGCACATTTGTTCATCTGTTGCTCAATTTCTGGGATTCTAAAGAAAAGATTTAAAGCTCTTAAATATTTGGCTATTTTGTGATAATCCTTATCAGTTTTGAAAGATCGAATAATACCATCAAGGTGTGAAATTACGAAACCTTTGATATCAGATGCCTTAACGAGCTTGGTAACTTCTGGATTGGATGAATAAACCATTGCTTCAAGTACTCTAAGAGATAATTTAGATTGCTCAACTCTCTCCAGACTTTCCAATTCATATGAGCATTCCTTGTTAACAAAGTTACACAAATTAGTGTAAAGCGAATGAACAAAATTAGGAGATTTTGCAAGCAATATTTCTCTAATTTCAGAATCAACAAAGATGGTGTGATAAAAGTCAATGCTAGTAAGAGCAATCTCTGTTTCAAAATCTCCATCCTCCTCTTCCTTATTTTCCATCATAGTGATTTCATCTTCCTTATAATTTCCTTTGATCAAAGGAAATACCTTGGTCACAAACGTGTGAATTTCCTTTTTCAAAAGTTCTCTATCATATCGTTTCATGGCCTTGATCAAACCAGAAAGCAAGCAAATACTATCTACACCAACTGTTAGTAAACTTTTCTCCATGAAGAAAAACGCTGTTTGGCAAATGTCTTGGTAATGAGTTGTGAACAATTCTTTTCCAATGTTTGGTAAAGAGATGGTTAATGCATTAAAAGCTCTAGAAACTTCTTTCTTTGTGAATTTGATTTGTCTGTAATCTTCCTCTTCTTCATCATCGTCGTCATAATCTCGTTTAGAGCGTCTGTTTCTTCCTCCACCTAGAGAATGACCTTGGAGAACATTCTTTGCATTGTCTTTCACCTTGGAAATAAATTGTGTGCAAACAGTCACTACGCATTCCATCACATCCTTCAGCTTTTCGTCGCTACTTTCTCCATAATGTTCCGACAATAAATGAATGTACTCAGCATGAACTTCAAACCACAGAGCTCTTTCAGTAATTGCTTCGATAAGAGGGTTATTGATAATGAAGCATTGATGCGATTCAACATTCTTAGGTGCAAATTGGTCAATATATTTAGCTGAGCAAAATGTCATGAAACAACGGATTAACTTGCTTGCATAAAGTTGAACTTTCTTTCTGAAAACTTTCTTCCCAGAGTTGTTTGCAATAATTAACCCATTTTGAATGAGCTCCAAGAATTCTGATAACACTGGTTTTCTTTCTTCATGTAGCTTGTCATCTACAAGAAATATGTCAAAGTTGTTATTTTGGAGAAGTTTTCTGCATGATTTCAATAGGTGTAATACTAGAGTTCGACCTGTCTTTGTCTTTTCAGAGCTAACAAGCGTTCTAATTCTATTTTGAAGTACTTTAAAAACTCTTTCAAAAATTCTCCAATGAACTTCTAAAGAAGAATTCAAGGATGGAATAGCCTTTGGATTTGTGAGCGTTACTAGATGGCTTAACGCCATTGAAGTATGTTCAAACGTGTCCTCTTGAACGTTTTTTGTGTTCTTCTCGAGTTTCACAACAAGTTTGTTGAGAGCTGTTTCTAACATTTGGATTGGAATTGAAGAGAAATCGCATACTTCTTTCATCAATTTTTCAATTGGTCCTGTTTCTAACTCTGAATCTTGATCGTCATTATACATGCTTGAGGATAATAGCTCAAATTGAATAGATGAATAAGAATTTCTCTTGTGAAGCGAAATCAATGCAATATGACTGACCAGAGTGATCATTTCTGATTCCTCAGGTTCACTCCAAACGTCCAATGAGCTGACAATTTAAATATTTTGCCATTAAATTGTATCTTAAACTTACAATAAATATAAACAGGTCGAAAGTAAAGCTGGTGAATTAACATGGGCTTGATGTGTCACGGCTGAGAAGAAAATACGTAAAAAATCTGTGCACATCAGAATTGTAGTGTGTCGGCTTTTGTCATAAACCCTCAATTGATCCAAAATAAAATCTATAATTAATTCTCTGTAATATTGGGGACATTTCATATCGATAGCTTCTGAGTAATTTTGTACTGTTCTGAAAAATACACGCGTAATTTCAATTTTTATAGACTCCAATAATGATGGTTCAGCCATTTCGTCTTCATTGTTTTTAACGAGAGTGGTTTCATTTGCCATCAATTGAAACTTCTTCTCGTCTTTAATAAATAAGCAAGTGGTTTGCATAGCATTCAGTAACAATTCCACATTATCCGAAAATGCTCCTCTAAAAGGAATATTCCTAGCAATCTATGATTCATTTTCAATGTTGAGCACCAAATAATGATGTTCCGAAAATTACATGAAAGAATTGCTAATTGAAACACATACCAAACTCAACCCATATAAATGTTTCTTCAAAAATACTAATTTGTCATTCATATTATCGTTTGAACCATTGGAAAGTTCTGCCATCACCAGCTGCAGCACTCTAATCACTAGTTTAGTATTCTTTGCACTGGTTCCATAATCTTTAGAAAATTGTTTGTCCAAATATTTGTTCATGTACTCTTTAGTACCATATTCCGAATTGCTATACAGACTTTGTTTCAAATCGATAACCTCCTTCTCAAAGGTGAGAGAATTTTCGGAAGAGGAAGCAGAGGGCAAGCTGGTCATTGAGAATCGAGTTCAAATATTTTTTGAAAGCAATTTTCAACCCCCTCCTGTGATGGAAGCCTTGTATGAATTCAGTGCATAAATGATGACAGAAAAGAATCACTTGTTGTGAAATGGTTATTAAATTGTTATTAGAAAGGAGCAAGCATTAACAACAGATTCTTCCATTCAGCGTTGTCGTTCAAGTAGGATGAATCCGAGAGTTGTGGCGAAATTTTCCATCTCTTAAAAAATCGTCCACTGGGTTGTTAGTTTTCATCGTTGATTTTGTTGCTGCTGACACAATGACAGATACAGCAAGCAATCATCAAGATAGTATCATTGATACTAAAGAACCCGAGATGGATCATGGTTACGACTATGATTTGATTATTATTGGTGGTGGTAGTGGTGGTATTGCCTGTGCTAAAGCTGCCCAACAGCTGGGTGCAAAGGTAGCCGTGTTCGACTTTATTCAACCTTCGCCACACGGAACAACTTGGGGATTGGGTGGAACATGCGTGAATGGTAGGTGATGCAATGTTTTCTTTCAACCTTCAACAAACATATTTTCATATCAATAACGTTAATCTTCATCATACGATGATTTTGCATAAATATATTTCAATATCGTGATGAACCGCATTTGAACAATTTGCTTGTACAAATACACTCATCAATAGTTGGATGTATTCCTAAAAAACTTATGCATACAGCTGCTCTCATCGGAGATCGAATGGAAGATAGTGCAGCCTTTGGTTGGAAATTACCTGCTACTGGTCATGGTGTTGAAAGGAAACCATTGCACAGCTGGGAAGCTCTCGTTGAAAAGGTGCAAGATCATGTTCATGGTCTCAACTTTAAATATCGAACAGATTTAAGAAAGAGAGGAATTACTTATCACAATTTGTATGCCACTTTTGTGGACGCTCACACTGTTGTTGGAAAGAAGAGTGATTCTGACCCAGGTAAAACCTTCACAGCAAGACGGTTTGTGATTGCTGTTGGTGGTAGACCATTATATCCAGATATTCCAGGTGCTAAAGAATATTGCATTTCAAGCGATGATATTTTCAGCATGCAAAAGGAGCCTGGCAAGACACTTGTTGTTGGTGCTTCATACGTTGCTTTGGAATGTGGAGGATTTTTGCATGGAATTGGCTATGACACTAGTGTTATGGTTCGCTCAGTGCCTTTGAGGGGTTTTGACAGAGAATGTGCAGACAAGATTGTTAACACGATGAGTGATCATGGTGTTAAATTCTTTCAACCTTGTGTACCACTTTCTGTCACCAAACTTGATAGTGGTAGATTAGCTGTAGAGTATGTAAATGTTGAAACAAAGGAGAAGAATACTGAGGAATATGATACAGTTCTGTTCGCTACAGGTAGATATGCTCTTACTAAGGCTCTCAATTTGGAGAGCATTGGAGTTAAGGTGGACAATGTCGGAAAGATTTTGGTAAATAAGTATGAACAGTCATCAGTGCCCCACATTTATGCCATCGGTGACGTGATATCTGGAGGATTAGAATTGACTCCTGTTGCTATTATGGCTGGAAAATTACTCGCACAACGTCTCTTTAACTCGAGCAAAAGGGCAATGGATTATGAGAAAGTTCCAACCACAGTTTTCACACCTGTAGAATATGGCTGTTGCGGTCTAACAGAGGAGGAGGCTGTTAAAAAATATGGCGACAATCTTGTCATTTACAAGAAAACATATTACGTTTTGGAGCATGAACCACCAGCAAGAGAAGTTAAGGCATTCACTAAATTAATTTGCAACGCTCTAGATAATGAAAGAGTGTTGGGTTTCCACTATGTAGGACCAAATGCGGGTGAGGTGACCCAAGGATTTGCCGTAGCCATCAAAATGGGTGCTACCAAAGAAGATTTCGATGATACTGTTGGAATTCATCCAACCTGTGCTGAAACAATTGTTAAACTGGAGCAAGGTGTCACTGAAGACACAGGATGCTGAGGATAATGACCACACGAGTTTGTAGAAAGTTACAGGTAGTGGAAGAATATTATTCATGCTTGTAATGCCAATTTTTCGCTAACTCTGTACTTTCTCTCACGTGTGGTCGTTAATACCTGTTATTAACACACTCAAGAAGAATTGTTTATTGGAAATTGTGACATGACGAACACTGTCCTAAACTTGGAGCAACCAAGGGGATGCCGTTCTGATCTGCATTTTCATTCAACAATAAAGAATTGTCTTGAGACAATTTAATCTAACAAATGGACTGCAGGTTCAATTATCACTCGATTTTCAACAAACAAAAATGCCCCAACACCGAAAACAAGATTCCAAATCATCAACGACGCTTCCAAGTGGATTTTCGGGCTTTGCAGCCTTTTCAAACACAAACAATAATTCAAAAACAACATCTTCAAACTGGAATAAAGTTGTAGAGAGTCAATGGAATGCTCCACAGAAATTTATTAACGAAGTTTCAACTGTAATGGAAAGGTCATCATCGGGAAGTGATCCATTCGATAAATACAAAACAAAATCAATATCAGAGCGAGAAAATGATTACACTTCAAGATGGAGAAACGTGCAGCTATCCCCTGAGAGAGTGGATCCTTTTGCAAAACAAATTTCGGAACAAGACAAGAAAACAAAAAGGACCTATAATGAAATTTATGAGGAAAACAAATTGGAACGAGAAAAGAAGCATTTGCTTTATCAGATGAAGAAAAAACAAATGCTAGGAACTGAAAAGGGCCAAGAAATGGCTCCTCACTCTTCTTCATCTCAACATAATTACAACGAAAAAGAGGATAATTTAACACAGGATCAAGATGAAAATACTGTGAAAGTTAATGTGGGAATTAGTTTTGAATTGAGTGGTGTTTTGGTAAAACAAGCAAATGTGGTAAATCAAAAAGGAACCGTCTTGAAATGGCAAGCCCCACCTGAATGTAGATTACCTGATGTGAAATGGATGATGTTCGAAATGAAGGACGACAAAGCTGAAGGAGAACCTGTTTTACTTTACAAACAAAAAGCTTGGCTGTTTGGTAGAGACAGTGACGTTGCAGACATTCCAACATTAAATCCATCCTGCAGCAAGCAACATGCAGTGATATGTTTTCGGTTTACTACTGGTGGCACTGACGACAAAAGAGCTCGCTATACAGGACAATCAATGGGTTCAACAAAACCATTTATCATCGACCTGCAAAGTACAAATGGAACTTTTGTCAATGGGGAAAGAATACCAGATTCGAGCTATTATGAGTTAAGAGAATTTGATCTTATTAGATTTGGAACGAGCTCAAGAGAATACATGATACTTCACGAAAAATCAGAGGCCCAATAGGAATAGCATTCTTCCACTCCCAATAGGAATAGTTCATTTATTCATCCTCAAAGTTTGGACAATTATCATGCACTTGCTAATTGGAATGAGGGAGTGACAATATGCCATCATATACTTGATCGAATCACAGAGATAATTTTCAACGCATTAATTACTACTAGTAATAACTTTAATACCAAAAGAGTTTTCTGAAAAAGCTGAAAATTCCTCTATTGCTGCTGCTTTCTTCCTCAACAAACTGACTTTCAATAGAATTTTCTGAAAAAGGTGAAAATACCTCTGTTGCACCAGCAAGCCTGATTTCATTGGGTTCAGTTTTAGCAACTGCATTGTCATGATCGATCTGCTGTGAACTGATAGGCACAGATTCCTCATTACTTTCCCATTCCACATATTCCTTAAGACTCAAAAACAATTGGGCAGTAATCTCAGCATCTTGTAAGGCACTATGAGCTTCGTCTCGTTCCCCTCTCGAAATTCCAAAATAATGACATGCACTGTCTAAATCATAACTTGCATTCTTTCCTCGAGCGTTCTTGTGGAATTGCATGGTACAAAATTGACGAGAGCTGTCCTGGAACACCATAGGAACGTGACGATGTCCACAGTACTTTTCAATATCTTGCTTAATCATTCGAATGTCAAATTTCAAATTATGAGCAACAACTCCTGTTTTGAGAGAAGTATCCTCGCCAAGAAATTCCAAAAACTCTCCAATAATGAGCGAACTTGGTGGATGGACCAATAAATCTCTTTCTGTAATTTTGTGGACTTGTTGGGCTTTTTCATGAATGCTCACTCCATTGTTCAACTTTACACGACTACTGAATAATTTTCCAGTGCGAATGCCATGCTTCAATTCAACTGCAGCCAATTCAATTACTTGATCAGATTTTGAAAAACCACTTGTTTCACAATCCAAGACGATGACTCTAGGGCATGAAGTGTAAAAATTTACAAATTCTTTAACGAGATCTTTGGAAAGATTTGGCTTTGAAAACTTAATTTGAGGTTCCACTCCATCTTGAATCATTTCTGCTTGTTCCAAACTTCTCTTTTTTTGCATTTCAAAAGGAGAAAATTTATCTCTATTTGTTTCATTGAGAGTAAAATTGATATCCATTGTTGGATTGGGTTGATCGGAACTACTAATTTCATTATTGTTGTTTTTATAATATTTAATTTCATTTGCATTACTTTGAGAAGTCATGTTTGACGATGGTTGCAAGTTGATCTGTGCAGAATTTTGTGCCGTGGACGATGATGTTTGTTGGTTCCCTTCCGGTTTCATCATCCATGATGGGAGCGAGCGTTTTTTCGTCATTTTTTATCATGAAGAACTTCTCCTTCTTTCTGGAACCAAGTTAGAAAATATTTAGTAGATCATTAGCTCACGCACTGGTGGTGTTACAATTCATTACCTTTCAGATGAGGTGTATGGTCTTGATTAAGGAAAAAATTGAGCATGAATATTTCGTTAGCTTCTCTCTTTTTCAACTCTAGTAATTCATCTGAAAAGTGAATATTAGTTTCATCTTCTCTGCCGCAATACAACAAGTATTGAAAAGGGAGTCGATGATTGATACAATCTTTGGCGCTCGCTTCAACAAATGGCATGTCATTCATTTGAGCAAATTCCACAGCTTCTTGTTTGCTGACTTGTCTTTCACTTTCCTTGTCACATTTCAATCCTGTGAGAATTTTAGGAATATTTTCGAACGATTTTCCATGCAAATAGTTAATTGCCATTGGTAAGTAGAGATCTTTGACTTCTTTAAACCCCGTATAGTCATCAATGGCATAACAGAGCATTAAAGCATCCATATCTTTGAACACGCTCGAACATATTTCATCCGTTTCCTCTTTAAGAGCAGCACAATCCCAAACTTGCATTCCATAGGTGCATTTGTTACATTGAGATTTTCTCAAATCAGTCCTATTGTATAATACTCGTATGAGATGAGATGAAAAATCGAATGATGCCGTTGGAGAACAAGTGTTATGCTTATTCTGACCGAAACCTTCTTCGAAAAAGCTTGGATTAAAATACCTTGTTTGTAAAGAAGTCTTTCCACAAGATCTAGGTCCTAAAATTACGACTTTCATTAATGACGCTTCCAATAATTCTCCATCATTGGCCATAAAACAAAATGAGCTGTTGCTAGATTCACCAATAAGCTTGCAGCATCTGTTGATGGTCATCCAATTATAATTAGTAAATAATCTACATTTTTCTTTGAAGCTTTTATGCATCTTTTCTGCATATTTACATGCTCGTAACACTTTTGAATTTTTATCCAAATATTCAGAAATTTGTGGTGGTGATGTCGTGAATGTGTAGAACGGATGATCATGTGGAACAATTATTTCAAAGATATATTTCCATAATATTTCTGAATTGTGAATATTTTCCCAGAGAGTGATATATAAATATTGACAAACAAGATGCAAGTCGAATGCTTGTCGTAGTATCGAATATTCTCTGTCATCATCTTCCTCCTCTGAATCTATAGTACTAACATCATCGTCACACTTTTCAACAGATGTTTCTTCATGATTTTTCTCTTTTTGCGTTTTGTGCACTACACGTTGTTGTTCTTTTATAAATCCTCTACAATGATCACCTCCGCTTGCTGCAGGTGTAAATATAAAAGAAATGATATGGAACAACACATCTCCATCTAATTGGCACAATAAACAGTCATGTCTATTTCTAGAGAATAATTCTTGATAATGTTGTTTTTGTTCCAATGCAGAGATCTTTGGTTTTGCTCCGATGATGGATCCACTTCTTCCGTTGTTGTTAGTACTAGCAGTAGTACTTAAAGTTCCAAGAAGACTATTCGTACTTGTTGTACTTTTAACCGAATTCTTTCTCGAGGATGATGGTTCTTCAATCTTGACAAATAACGGATCGACTAAGACAAAATCCTGATCAACTTCCGATGTTTCATAGATAAACTGATTGGCTGATTTTTGTTGTCGAAGGCGTTTTTGTTGTTGCTGGAGTTTGGTAATTTCATTTCCCATCTCTGATGAATTCACGTTTTGATATTGGTATTTTCGTTTGATTGATCTATTTTTTGTTTTTTAATTTTTGGTTCCATTTTAATGATCGTTGCCTGAATTGGTGACGACGAAAAAATGTAAATGGAAACTGTATTGGAACATTAGTCTTCTGGTCCAGAACCACACACCATAATTTTTGCAAATATTCCATCCCCTCAACGTTCACACCAGAATGTGTTCAGTAGTCATTCACACACCTCGAGCCAGACCAAAAGTCATGGTCATAACCAACCACTCTTCTTTCAGAAAATCAATGTTGTAATACAATCTTGCCTGAATTGGAGACGACGAAAATGTAAATAGAAACCGTTGAAGCCAAAAGAACAATTCCAGCAAATTCTTTCAAAAACCATCACTAAAACACAGTCCTGATGACGAGGCTTTGTTAATAACTTTGTTTGTTTTGGAAGTTTTGTTTTAATAAACGGTTTTTAATTGCCCAGCACTAAAATAAAGGAGCAAAAGCCACAATTTATTACAAATTCAACATGTAAATATAATCATCAACAGTCAGTTCCTGACGAGCCATTCATTCATTCTTTGAATCAAAAGTGTTGTTTTGGAGGATAAGGAATTGTCAAGGCGTTCACTTTTCCATGATCAGTTCCGACGAAAAGAATGAATCAAGATATTCAAATTGATAGAGTTTCAATTGAATGAGTCATTCAATACTGATAGAGTTTCAATTGAATGGTTATCAAAAAAAAACTCAACAACAACCTTAATCTCAACGAATGAAGAGAAGTAGAGAGGATGAACCCACTCATCCTCCTACTAATCCATCTCTTGCACACGGCATCATTCCATTCTGGGATGAGTACTCACAACAAGTATCGGATAAACTTTGGGCATGTTCAAGAGATTCCTTTCATGAGTTTAATCAGTACAACAACAAGGGATGCACTGACGGATGGTTCAACTTTTCTCAATTCACTGTGATTGAATCCAAGCCAGTGTTTGATGTTCCACTCAGTGTCCATCACTCTATAACAGAGAATGTGGCTTTTGATAACTCTAAAAAGCCACCTCAGCTCAAGAAAGCAAAAAAGAATCAAAAGGTGGCCCAAAAATTTCAAGCAGACAAATCCTTGAAAATCCGACTCTACCCCAAAGAACAAGAAAGGACAACATTGAATCAGTGGATGGGAACTGCTCGTTGGATCTACAACAAGTGTTTAGAATTTACACACAACTTCAAAGGTGTCAAGAAAAATAAGAAGAATTTCCGAACGGTTGTGGTGAACAATGATAATTATCAGACAGAAAATCAGTGGGTTGTAAATACTCCTTATGACGTAAGAGATGCTGCTGCTATTGAATTGTTGACTGCGTTTAAAACAAACTTTGAAAAGAAGAAAGCTGGAACAATTGACAAGTTCATGATCCGTTTAAGGCGAAAGAAAGACAGAAAAGATCATTTCGTTCTACATTGCAAGCACTGGAAGAAAAAGAATGGACTGTATTCTTTTATAAGGAACATCAAGAGTGCCGAACCTTTGCTTGAGGAGCTTCAGTACGATTCCATCATTATTAAGAACAAGTTGAACCGTTATTATTTATGTATTCCACAAGTACTGGAAATTAGGGGTGAGAACCAAGCCCCTCAACATTCAGGACAAGTTGTAGCGTTGGATCCAGGAGTAAGAACATTTCAGACCACCTTTGATTTGAATGGTTATTCAACCAAATGGGGCTCAGGAGGTGCCGAAAGAATTGGTAGATTGTGTTGCGCGTATGATAAGTTACAATCGAAGTGGTCTCAACCAGAAGTCAGACATTGCAAAAGATACAAGTACAAGAGAGCAGGAAGAAGAATTCAACAAAAGATTAGAAATATTGTGGATGATCTACACAAGAAACTGTGTTTGTGGTTGTGTCGAAACTACCAAGTGATCTTACTTCCTTCGTTTGAGACTCAGAAAATGGTAAAGAAACTCCATAGGAGAATTAATAGCAAGACAGCAAGAAAAATGTTGACTTGGTCACATTACAGATTCAAGCAAAGATTGCTTCACAAAGCTAGAGAGCATCCGTGGACACACATTTATATTGTCAACGAAGCGTACACATCCAAAACTTGCTCATGTTGTGGACATGTTTATACGGTTGGATTATCTGAAGTGTTTCGTTGTCCATCATGTGGCTCAATTTTTGACAGAGATATCAATGGAGCAAGAAATATTCTTCTTCGATTCCTTACTACTCATAGAATTAGCTTTTGAGCACCTTGTGTGTTGGGTCTTCCCCACCTTGTGTGCGTTGGGTCCTTTCCCCTGGCTTTCACTCTTTGAGTGTTTGCTTGCAAGATCAGCACTTTGTTCGATTTGTTTGTTTTGTTCAAAATGTTGATTTAAATAAAGGCGTATTGGAACATTGAATATATATACACCTATTAATCCACAAGTGAACTACTGCTGACCGTATCTGTTGAATCATCTCCAAGATCCAACGATGTACTAGAGGTAGTAGTTTCATCATTTTCCTTAGCAATTTCGAGTAAGAATCTTTGAAATGTATCTCTATATAACATATTTCTCACAACAACTTGCAACTTGTCAAACAGATCCACTTGACCATAACCATTCTTGATCTTACTCACTAATGTGAATGTTTCATCTTGAGATAAATTCAATTCATACTTGCTGTCCTTGGTTAAGAATTGCTCAATAATTTCTTGTTGCTTCTTGGAGCGCTGTTGAGTTCGTTTCATCTTTTTGTAGGTTTCAATTTCTTCCAAGAATTTAAAGTTTTCATACGACTTTTCATTCATGCAAAACACTCTCAACCTGTTTCTCATTTCTCTATTCTTCCAATAATAGTCAAATTCAAAGGATTGTTGCTGTTCTGAAAATTGTTGTTGTTGTGAAAGGAGAGTTTTCTTCAATTCGTGTTGTTCAGACATGTTTCGTGCCATCATAACGTAGGCATCGATAATATCTCCGTCTTGAACGACAATTTTCACCTTACTGCATGTCACATTCACTGGAACGGTCGATCTAAAACGAGATCGTATGACACCTTCCCAAACTTGAACACCACTTTCTTGAGAAAGTTCTTCCAATTTTTTGAGAAGTGTTTCCAAAGTCATGCCTTCGAAATACTCATGAATGATCTTGTTTTGAACATTTTTCTCAGAGTTTTCATCTCTAATTTTTCCAATAACCTTGCTTTCAAACGAAGAGTTGTAGTTGATTATTTTGCCTGTTGCACATTCTACAGTAATGATAAAATCCGTGATACCATTCATGACATTTCTGTACTTTTGTTCTTCAATAGAGGTACGATCGAGTAATGATTGAGCTAGAGCATGCTCTTTTTGCAGTTGTATAAATGATTTCTCCAACACAGAAAGCATGTAATTCACTCTCATTCCCAGTTTTCCAATTTCATCTTTTCCAAATTTAGGTAATTTAACACCCTTAGTGACTGCATTACTATCATTTTGCCATTCGCCTGTTATTTGTATAACCCCATTAGTGAGCTTAATCATTCTTCTCAAAACAACAAGCTCCACAAATACAATTACTGAGACTGAAAGCAAAATTAGCATTGCAGTCATTACACCCCAAGTGATTAAGAATGAATTAATTCCATTCAAATAAATATTTCGAGAAATGTCTGCTCTCAGCATGATTGTGTTCTCTCGATTGACATCTTGTAAAATTTGAAGAGATGACATTCGTTCTCCATAAATACTCTCTTCTTCCAAAACACCAGCAATTGATGCCGAGCCACTAGTGTCACAATATCGGTCTGATGTTAATACACTCGACGACGAGTCAAAGGTGCCAATATAGAAAAAGTTTTGTAACAACCATGTTGTGTTCAAAGCATTAATAGATAAACCACTGTATGAAGAAATAGAAGATGTGTCACTACTATATCCTGTCATTGCGTGAGCAACTTGCATCCCAATGGTTGAATTCAAATCATAAAATGAAATACACACTTGTGTTTTGGCAGTTAAATCTTGAATGAAACTACTCGATTGATACATTCCAAAGATCATAATTCCATAGGATTGTGTGTCTGTGTCCATAGTCAATACAGGCATTGCAACCATCATGATGAATTCATTGGGATGATTCACACTTGTTGAGGAAGGTCTCATGAACGCTGCTCTTCTCGTTGTTGAAACATTCATGTCCTTCACAAAATAATGATCTGAATTCAATACTTCCAATTCTATTGGAATATCCTCTTCCAATGTGGAATTATAACATGCATAGGATCTGAGCTTGGTTCCGTTCAAAAAGTAGAGTGAAACAAAACTAAGCTTGACACTTGCCATATACGAGCAATAAAAGTTATTGGAAAAGTATTGATCCACATTTCCAACATTGGGCATGAATAATTTAGCTGTTTCCTCCCACGGAGCATATTCCAATAATTTAGCATGTAAATAATAGAAATTCTCATGAATTCCTCTCAATACTCTCAAACTCGATTGCAACAAGGTGGTGTGTTCAATTCTCGAATACGAAATATGAAACGCAACAATGAGAATGGCAAAGCAAATCAACACAGTGAGTAAGAACATGAATAAGAGTATGGTGAGTGTTTTCACTCGAATGGAATTCAAGGAATGATTCTTTTCATTCTTGGAGAAGGGAAGAGAACTTTCATTAGCATTATTGGTCGGAATGTTCATGTTCTTGTTTCCAGCTCCTTCCAGATGATCATCCTGTCCTGAGGAGGATGTATTTCTCCCTAGAAGGAATTTAAAGGAAGGAACATTCCTTCGAGACTTTCGTGGTTCTTCAGTTATCGTTCCTTGTTCCAATCCATCATCGATGATGGAAGAGTGATGTAATTGTTGATGATGAACCATTGAACCAATGGATGGAGAGACTTCTCGAGCCAAGTCTTGTTCATGAGTCGTCATTATCATCGTGGTGTTGTTGTTGTTGTTGTTGTTGGTCATCATTCCTACACTCGTATGACCTCTAGTACTACTCGTGGTTATTGCACTAATGTCATCATCGAGTTCATATTCGGAAGCCCAACTGGCTTTCAAATGTTGTTCACTGTTTGTTGCTGCTGAAGGTAAATGAGAAGACATGGTTCATGGTGGTGGTGTTGTCGAGTGTTTTTTTGTTGGTGTCAATTGTCCAAACATGAAATGAGAGGTTCAATAACAATGTGATGCGTTGGGCCTGAATCTTGGATTCTCTTTAGCGTGGATGAACCTAAAGAAGATCCTTTAGAGCTCTATTAAGACCACTTTAAGACTAGATGTATTATTGGAGAGTACTGTCAAGAAATCACAAACATCAAGACACTTTTCAACAATGGCTCTGTTCATTTTCAGCTGTGTAACGATTAATTAACTTTTACTTTTGCACAAAGCACGAAAAAGGGCATTGGTCGTTTTGGATGAAAAAATGCCTTTCGATTCGTCTTCAGCGAGTGGGGATGGTTCCTCTGCCATTAAAAAAGGCTTGATTGCAATCGGATTAACAGCAACAACATTATTATCGTATGCTGCATATAAATATTGGCACGCTGGTGAAGATGAAAATACAAAACAAAAATCAGCTTCAAAATCAACAATTCCGAATTATTCTCTGAGTACTGGAGATGAGAAAAGATTTGAATCGTGGAAGACTTTTGAAAACAAGAAACTCGGAATTTTATTTAAATATCCTCCGACCTATGAAGCTTCTTTGATTAACAGCAGCCATTTGAGTCAGATTCAGCTAGTTGATACGGAGAGTATGTTATTCAGTCATTAGTGTTTTTTAAATTGTGATGATCTTCATCTTGCCCTATTTTGATAGATCCTCATTCATCGGTAGTGATTTTGATTAGTGTTGAAGAAAATATGATGAATTTCGATGCACTCGAATATTCTGAACAAAATTTGGAACTCCTAACACAACAAGCGATGGGTAAAGTTAATATTTTGCAAAAACAGGGATTTTACACCAATGGCAATAAGGGAGTTGAAATATTATTTGATATTATTGGAGAAAACAGCACGATCAAAGCTTACATTGCAAGTATATCTCAAGAATCTAAATGCTATATGGTACAACATTTGGTGTCTTCATCCTCTGGAATTGTAGAAAATTTTAACGTCAATTTAATTAGAGATATAATAAGAAATTTGCAAATTTCAAAACCAACCTATTTTGGAAAAGCTACGATATGCAAAATGAATGGAATGGAGGTTACATTTCCATCACTGTTCTACTCTATTAGACCTAACAAAGAAACTTTATTGACTATTGCAAGATATCACAAGGAAGAGGTTGTGAAAGAAATATCGATATTTAACATGGGTGATAATTTCTCTAAAGACACTTATTTAAAAAACATCAAGAATATGCGCTCTTTAAAAGAAATTCCCGGCTCTATTAGCATTTGCGGATCCATGGGAGATGTTATGACATACTCAGACAACAATGAAAAGCATATTGATGTAATTGTGAAATTAGAAAATGTATACTATTTGATTGCATCTCATTGCAAGGAAGAAATTTTTGAAGATTTTAAAGCAGAAGCTTTATTGGCAGCAAAAAGCCTAAAGTTCACAGAAGCAAGACTTAAAGATGAGCTTCTGTACGAAAATTCAGAATACAGATTCAAGATTGTCGTACCTCCCAATCAAATCATCCATCAATTCTCTCATCAGGAACCTGTTGTATCTTTTCTTTCGTCAGATACTACGAATGAGGAATTAGATTACTCCAAATTGACCCTTGAAGCTATGGTGTCAGTTGAACCTGCTCCAGAAAATGTTACTAACATTGAACAGGTCAAGCAGACATCAAGAAAATTACTGTTAGAAAACCCAAAGTTCACAATTCTCAATGAAGATATTTCCAAAATCAATGGTCATGATTGCTATACAAGTATTTATACTCTCTCGAACGAAGGCAGCTTGGGGTTAACATTTATGGTTACTTCAATTTTGCATGAACAAAAAGTGTATTCAATCTCAACCTACACTCTTGCTCAAGCATACGACCAAGAGGTTGCCAAACTCTTCCAGAGAATTCACAACAGCTTTCAGTTATTTTAACACAAGAGAATAATAATTTTGAAAGAATGTGTGCAAGGGAAGAGCTTTCAAAGAAGGATAAAATTTTGTTATTGCTTATTTGCTTCCATCTCCATTTGTTTACGCTTTAAATGAACCAATTTCTCTCTAACTTGATTGTCTTGATCTCTATGACGTTCAAAATCAATATCCTGATCGAGCTTCTCCTTGTCTTTTCCTGACAAATCTTGGTGTTTTCGTTTTTCAAGATCTTGCTCCACCAATTGCGAGGCGTTCTTAATTTCATTGAAAATGGTGTCTAATTTTTGGCTCAATGGATTTTCATAACCAAGATAAACATCTCTTGCCTCCTCGAACTTTCTCTTTGCTTTTTCGTTCATATTTAATTTGATGTATGTCTTACCAAGCTCTAGACATAAATCTCCAACATCAGGGTGATATTGAGTGGGAAAAGATGCATCATATGCCTTATAGGAAGCAAGGAAATGCTTTTCAGCCTCCTCATAGTTTCCTTGATGGAAGAAGAATTTGCCCTAACGAATTTGTGAAATGATGGCTTATCGAACATAATACTTATCCAAAATAATACTTACAATATTCATGAGAGCTGTTGCAACAACGTGGTTATTTCCATCTTGAATCGATTTGGCAATGATATATGCCTTTTGATAGTAAGCAAGAGCTTCTTCTGGTAAATTCTTTTCTTCAGAGATCTTACCCAAGCTGTTCAAAATAAATGCAATGTCAAAAGTAGTGTTGGTGTCTTGTGAACCAGCTGATTTCATCGTGTTGTGAATATCTAAAGACGTCTTGAAAAAGTTTTCAGCATTAAAAAAGTCTTTTCGATTCAAGTATATTGTTCCAAGAGTGAGGTAACACTTTCCAGTTTCTACAAGCTTTCGAATTTGTTCAGCATGTGATAAATCCACATTTGCATCGGTCTCAGAAAAGATTTCTAAAGCTTTCCGTGTGAAGTCTTCACAGTGCTTTAAATCTCCTCGTGAAGCGTGCAAAACGCCCAAAGAATAGTATAAACTTCCAATCTTGGGATGTTTTTCACCTAACACTTTTTGAATGAACTCAATAGCGTATTGGTAAAGCTCTTCAGCCTTATCTGGCATTTCCAAATACATCGCACAGTGAGCCATATTCAAATAAACATTTCCAATAATTTCAAATGCGTCTTCAGAAATTGTAACAGAAGATGAGTCATTCTCAAGTTTTACAAAATAATCTTGGAATTGGACAAGCTTATTAAAGGTGAAATAAGCATCCTCATACTCTTTCATGCGGTAGTAAACAGTTCCAAGATTATCTAGAGCTTTCAACAAGTTAATGGGTACGAATTCCAATTCATGAATATTGCTCTTTGGTAACTTGGACTTGTATTCAGCATATTCTTTGGACTCTTTCTTTTGTACATCTTTCAGCTCCATAAAAGGCTTTGAGAGGTTCTTTGCCTGTTCATATTCATTTCTAATTTCTCTTTCGTCCTTCTTATAAATTGGGTTAATTGTTTGTTCAAACAACTTGATTGCCTTTTGGAATGTTTTTTTAGCATCTGCCAAATTACTTTGCTTGAGAGCGATTTCACCCAAGTAATTCCATTCTGATGAAAGATCAAAGCTATATTCGGTAATTTCTTGCTTGGATAATGATTTTTGTGCTTCCAAGAACGCTTTAGTCTTAATTTCAATGCATTTAGATTGATGTTGGTATGCCAATTTCAGTTTATCAACAGCAACATTAATCATGCTTAGCTTGTGATAGGCTTCTCCTGTTTTAACACTATTCTCTCCAAATATTTTAGTTGCCAGAGGAATATATTGTGCTAAAGCACGTTCGGCCTTTTCATACATGAATATTTTGCAATAGAGATCGCTCAACTCATCATAAATATCGCACAAAGCTTGCTCCGAAATGTTATTTTGATTATAATTTAGTTCTGTTTCAATTTGGTAAATTCTATCTTCGATCTGCAAAACGTTTTTAGGAGCATACTTCTCAGCCTCTTTAGCGATGGCAGTGATAGGATCGATTTGAAGCTTGTTGCCATAGGTAGAGAAATGTTTGATGGCACCGGAGTGATGGAAAGTCGACTGTTGGATTAATTTGAATTGTTGTGTGATATTAGATGAAGCTGCCAGCAAGAATCCTTTTCGAAATACTTGATGATGGCTCGTTTTGAAAAGTAGCGATGAAGCAAAACATGATGAGAGTAAAGAACGGGAGGTGTTGGCAAAACTCATTTTTTTCAACAAAATTCCAACAATAATATTAATTTACTCGTATTTGTTCAACATATCTTTAAGAACATCAAAGTCCTTTTTCTCTTTTTGCTCCTCTTCTTTTTTCATCTTCTTTTTTGGAAGATACACTTCCTTGATCCATTGTCTTGTTTTTGTTGGAGCAAAAGCATTTGGGTCTGGAATGTATTTTCTAATCCAAGGATGATTAAATAATTGTTTTGCAGATGGTCTGTCAATGGTTTGTTTTGCCATACATTTCTGTACAAAATCAATGAACTCGTCAGAAAAATCTCCTGATTTGATGATTACTACATTGGAATCTGTGACATATTGCAGTAAATTCCATAAACTGGACTCTGAACCTTTTTCAAAGGGTAGAGAGCCACAAGCGCATTCAGCAATTGAAACACCAACACTCCAAATATCACTATCAAAACTATGAGAGTCACCTCGAAGTCGTTCTGGTGACATGTAGTAATATGTTCCTTGGAAGGTTTTGAACTTTTTGGACTCAGATTGTTGAGACATTCCGAAATCAGTCAATTTTACGATTCCTAATGAATGTCAGTAATTTATCAAGGATAATCTTTCATAAAAGCTTACCTTTTTTGTTGAGTAAAATATTTGCTGGTTTGATATCTCTGTTGTTTTGCAAAATTTTACATTGTTACGTCTCGTTTCAACTTTTCAGTTTAAACATACCTATGGATAATGCCCTTTCCTTCCAGGTAGTCTAGAGCTTTCAAAATTTGGAAAGTCATTTCTGCCAATACAGGTTCTGGGATAGTACCAACAGTGGTATAAACGTCCTCCAAAGAGCCACAATCCATGTATTCAATTAAAAGTCGGATTGTGCCTTCTCTATGAAAAGCTTCATAAAATTTTACAACATTTTCACAACAAACACTTTCATAAAGAGCCTTGACTTCTGAGATAATCTGCTTAGGTTTAACACCTTCTTCATAGAGATCGATAATTTTCATTGCAAACCTTTTGGAACGGTCACTCTTTAAGACAGCTCTAATAACTTTAGCAGATGCACCAGCGCCTAGTGCTGTTTTAGAAATATGTAAATCTTCGTAATTGATTTTTGGTGATTTTCGTTTCCCAGTAATGGAGTCAAAAAAGGATGGAGAAGAGGCATCTGTAGTATTGTCAGCTGAAATAGGAGTGGATCCACTCGAAGCGTTTTGTCTGTTCGTTTCGTCTGATGTTGTAGATGTTATACTGGTGGTTGTTGAAGGTACAGTTGGAGATTCCTCGTTTGATCCTTTTAGACCATACTTTCCGATTTCAATGGCTCCTGCTTTCCAAGTGCCACTTTGAGAACTGTAATCATGCAAAACAGTGATAAGACATCTCCTGCATCTCAAATACTTACACTGAAAATTCATGATCTAATCCTACTCCAGGCACTTTGTTTTTGCTTGGTAAATTGAGAGTTAAATGTAAATTCTTTTTGCCTTGCTTTTTGTTAGACTCTGTTTTGGGTCTATTTAGTGGAGTAAATTGAAGTGGAGTGATACCGCTTGGTAAAGCACCTGCTGAAAGAGGAAGCTTTTCAGAAGGAGATGAAGCAGAAGAAATGGTTGATGCAGAACTGGGACTCTTTGTTTGTGTTTTTGATACAAGAACGGGAGGGGTAGACAACAGTTTAATCTTGAGAGGGCTACCACCGGCAGAGGATAAAGAGGAAATAGTTGGAGGTGCGAAAATGGTGCTCGGATCAGAAGTGGTTGTTGGCAAGTTCGGCTTTCCCTCTCCCCCGTTGTTGTTATTAGCATACTGATCCAACAAGAATGATGGAATTTCATCAATTAAATTTTCTGATGATGAAGAATCAGAATCGGTAATCACATCATTACTTAAAGGTGCTTTTATCGAGAGTCCTAACTTGTTTGTATTCCGCTTTGTTTTAATGATGTTTTGTTGTTGTGTATTGTTTTTTGATGATCTGATTAAATTAGCTGGTTGTTGTTGTATGGAATTACTCTCGGGTACGCTTGAGGATGTCGATGCTGATGAAGTGTTATGACTCTGTGGTTCGGCAGCCTGATTCTCATTCTGAGGAGGTGGCACGTGTGCAGACGTGTCGAAAGACATTTTTTGGATTCTGGGTCACCGAAAGCCTCTTGCCAAGCAAAGACTCGAGAGAACTGTTTCTCTTTTTCCTTGTTCTAACGGAATTCTTTATTGCCCAACCTTTTTGGAACAATTAGATGAACCATACGAACATTGTCGAGAGTGGTAAAGTCGATCACTTCTGTGGCATGGGGTTCTGTGGATTGTAAAGTTGGTGTTTGAACAAACGTGGAAGGACCTTCTTTTACGGGCGATTGTGTATGAAGAGAAGTATTTTCATGGAGTGAAAGAAACTTTTTGTACTCTCGATCAATCAAACACCACAAGTAAAGATCAGCCCATGATATCTTTCCACCTACCAAACAAGCATCTCTTTCTGGTATTAAGATGGATTCAAAATAATGTAACAACTTTCGAGTCACATCAACGTTAGAATGTTGTAAGCACTCACTAATCATCTCGACATATTCATCGGACAAGCAAGCATCTAAATCATTGTCCATCGGATACAAATGTGCTTTTCTAGCTAAATATCTTCCAATGGTTCCTGCATGCAAGAACTTCATATTATGAGGAAGTTGAACGTAGGGATGCTCCTGAGAATGAAATACCGAGGTTGGAAAAGCCCTCAAATCGGAATATGGATTTAATTGAAGAGTATGTTCTGGAGGAAGGTTGTGTTGCAAGGAAGTTTGCGACGATGAAGTACTGAAATGAATTGGTATATTTGCCACTGTTCCAAGCATTTCAAACACTTGCTTCTCAATATTAGGGAAGAGTGAAATTTAGCGTCTGAACATACCTTGAAAGCCAAATGTTCTTCGGAAATGATTAAGCCTTTCATTGTGTTTAGCGATAGGATGAATAGATGTCTTGTTTTTTAGATGATTATTAAAAGTTATTCTCACTCCTAAAAGGAAGTTTTCTAAAATTCAAATGATTTCTATCAATTCATTCCATAAACCGTTATTTACTAGGACATCTATAGTATTTCCAAAAAACGACATTAAAACCAATCTCACACTGCAAAAAATGTTTCAAGAACATTCTCCAACCAATTTTCCACCACTGTCGTCCAACCCTCCACCACCGTCGGATGATCACTCATCTGACGGACAGAGGTATCAATATGATCTGGACCACAATAATCTAAATCAGAACGATGAGAAAATTCCATCTTCGGAAAGCGCCGTTATGATTGAAATCCAAGAAGAACATCCAATGATTGAAGAAAATAATACTCATCATCCGCTAAATTCGTCGCAAGATGTGTTGGAACTCAATCACGCTCCAAATAGACCCTTTGTTGAAGAACACATACACTATGCTCCAGAAAATGTACAAGTGTTTTCGTTGAATGAAGCGGTCATTGATGAACAAAAACAAGATGATTCCGCAATGGAAGGAAAAACACAACTGGATGAAATGTTAGAATTTCAAAAAGAAGCCGAGAAAGAGCTGACCACAAGTGAAAAGATCAAGAAATATTTCAAAGAAGGTAGGTCAGTAACAGTATCCGACCATTACGAGGAGCAATTATGTTGCTTTAGAATTTGATTTTAAATCAAGGAAATTAGTATATTTCTATATCAGCCATTTCCTTGCCTCTTGGGTGAGTACTTGTTTTAGAACCCCTTTTTAAATCAAATTTGTAATGTGAAAACAGGGAGATCGGTAAGTGTTATTAAGCATTTGAAAAAGATTACTTTCCAAATTTCAGAATGTGGTAAGTGTCACATAACCGGTTCAGCAGTTTTTGTAACTAGTAATTATTACAAAGGGCATTCGCATTACCTGTAATATTTGGAGACATGTTCACTGGTACTTTACTTCCAATGGCTTTATTTGGATTTATTCATCGTTTGACTTGTGTTATCTTTGGACCAAACATGGGGTACATTGTGGACACTAAACCTCGATTTAAAGGCAAGTGATTTAACTACTCCACACGTTTTCATCAATATTAACTTTAATGACAGTCATGACATCAGCACTAATCATTCAAAACTCATGTGTCGCAATCACAACAGTCATGATATTTTTATTAGCAGTTTATGGATTAACAGACGAGCAGAAGAAAGAGACGCCCAATCAAAACGACGATGAAAACAAAGCACTCTTTGTATGGCCATTTAAGACAACACTCTCAATAATTTTATTTATTTCGTGTACCTTGATTGGTGCTGTTTCTGAACTTGCAGCAATGGTCACGAGTGTTGCAAGAACTAAGGATTGGTGTGTCGTGATTGCTCGTTCTGAAACTCTTTCTCTTGAAAAAATTAACTCCATGATGAGACGATTGGATATGGTTTCTCTCATTGTGTCTCCAGTGTTTTTTGGTTTAATTGTAACTTTTGCTGGATACAAAGTTGGAGCAATCATTGTTTGTGCATGGAATGTCATTTCCTTGCTTCCAGAATATTTCTGTATTTACAAAGTGTACAATGAAACAACAGATCTTCACATTTCCAAATATGAACAAGAACAAAAATTCAAAGCAGAGAGAGAACGAGAGCTTGAATCTGCTCAAAATACAGAAGAAATGGAACAGATTGACTTGGAGCAGAAGAAAGAAGAGCCACCCACTGTGAATTTAAAACATCAAAATATTTTCAAGGTAAGTTGCCACTGGTATTCATAATGAAGTTCAAATATATGTATGACACGCCAATGGAATGAACAGGTTCTCTATAAAGGATGGAAGTTATACATTCAACAAAAAGTCCTTCTTTCAAGCTTGGCATTTGTATTACTTTTCATTACTGTGCTCACTCATGGCGGCTTGCTTTTATCATATTTGAAGAGTCACAATATCCACTCTGCTGTGTTGGGTGTATTCCAAGCATTGAGTGCCATCTCAGGGTTAAGTTCCACGTTTTTAGGCCCATTCCTCATAAGAAGATACAAAGTATTCAAAGGAGGCTTGATATCCATTTACTTGCAATTTTGGTGTCTTGTCGTTGGAGTAGCGTTCTTCATTGGATTCCATTTCTTTACTGAGAAACTTTCGTTTGCTGTATATTTGTTCCTTATTTGTGTGGTGTTTAGTAGACTTGGGTTATATTCTTTTGATTTAGCAGAAATTCAAATTATGCAACAATTAGTGGATCAAGCAGATTCAGGAATTATCAACGCGACTGAAGGCTCGCTTACTAAGGTGGCAGACTTGGTGGTCTTCATAGCTGCATTACTCTTCTCAACTCCATCGAACTTTGTCATTCTGGTTATTGGTTCTTTGTGTTGTGTTGGATCAGCATGCCTTCTCTATTCTCTTTGGTATTTGAGGCACAAAAAACATTTCCCACAATGGCTACAAGAAATTGAGGATGAAGAAAGGATGAGATCCCAAAAGTAAGACGTAACATATAAACTATTCAATCTTTTTATCGTTACAATTCATGTAATTGAATTTCAATAATTTAATATAAATTGAATAGGCTGTTAAAAACCAACAGCTCGTACAATATTAATAACCACCTTGCTCACCAAATACCTTGATAATTTCAGAATTCATTGGATTTGGATTGCCTATAATTTCAGGATGTTGTGTCTTTATCCAGTTCCACAAGTAATCAGCCATGAGTGATTGTCCAGGTTGGCTCAAGTGAAAACCATCAAAAGGTTCAATTAAATCTTTTGGTTGTCCTCCTTTTTTCACCCATTCATCCAAAACTCCTTTCAGTGGAAATTCATGGTAATACATCTTGAATTGTTTGAATGAGTACTTTTGAATAATCTTGTCGTAGACTGTTGAAAGCAATACTGCTTGAGCACTTGTTATATTTCGAACAGTTGCATTTGTATTCATCCATCCCCAACATGGATTGCTATCTAAACAATTCAAAAAATCATACATGTCTGGATATGGAACTCCTAATGGGTGCATTTGATTTTTCAAAAATTCAAATAAATAACCTCCTTGTGCAAGACCTACAAATACAACGCTAGAACCAGCTGGAAGAATGTTTTCCAAATAATTCAAGCTAACAAGAACGTTTCTTTCAAATTCTTCAGGTGTGGTAAAATCAAAATTGTGAGCTGGATGACAAACATCATTACCAACTAAAGAATAGAATGCAAGCACTGGTTGATCATTGAATTGGTCTCGAGTCCATGTCTTGATGATATCCTCCATGGCTCCAGTACGAGCTCCATTGACAGCTATGGTTGCATAATCTCTGTGAACACATCTATTGTGATTTCTCAAATGTTTGTAGATGGATGATGAAGGCCCTGGAGTCAAATTAGAGTATGAAGAGTTTAAAAATCCTGTTGCCCAAGCCAACATTGGCCAATCGAGTTCTATCATTGTTGTGTGGGATAACATTCAATAGTGAAGTAACAATTTGTTGTTGTTGTTGTTGTTTGTGAAACGATATATATCGATTGTGTCAATAATACGTACCATTGGTCAACATTTCCCAAAGTTGCGAGTAAGTTTGAGCATTCATATATTCAGGTTGAACTAATTCTGGAGGAATTCTGAAATGAGCTGAAAGAGAATCTCCAAAAACAACAACACCCATGGTCTTGGAAATGGTGTCATTACAAAATAATTGCTCGTAACTTCTTCCCTTCTCATCGTAACCATAAATTCCGTTACAATTATGGTCATACATTGGTGAAAGAGATGTCTTCTTTCTTCCTGGATAAACAGTTGCATCATTATCATTACAATCAGCTCCTCTCCATGCGCTACCTCTTAAATTGAACTCTGTGGAATGAAGATCACCGTCCACATCACTTACTGGCAAATGATTATTGAGAGAGTTATAGAATGGAGCAATGATCAGATCTAACAACTTTCTCCACCAATTCTCTCTGAATACCTTTCTTGGAGGAGAGGCAGCACCCTGAGCTGTTGCTCCTCGTTTAAACAAGGTACACTGCTCAAAGTCTTTGCATGGTCCCAATTCCCGACAAATTACATCGGGTGTTTGGCGTTCTTCCAACATTTTGATCAATACTTCTGCTTCAAGGGTAACAAACATTTTGCAGAAGGATGAAAGCTTATCGGGTAAGAAGCTACAAATTTCCATCAATGCTTTATCGATGGGTTGTTGTTTGTAATTGATGTAGCTCTCAACAGCTCTGAACACAATAACACATCCCGCACACTCTCCTCCACCACCGATCGCTTGTACTTGGGAGTGAGAGGAGGCTTGAAAGAGGGTCATCACGAAAAGGAAGCCCAACAAACACAGAGCTACCACCATCCATGACGACGATGATGATTTTCGCACGAACATTTTTTAAACACGACGACGGCGTGAAGAATCACCAAGTGAAACACTGCCAAAATAGTTTTGGTTTTTTGTGCCGTTCGGTGTTGCGGAAGGAGTTGATTACAACCAAAACGCTTTGGACGTTTGATGTTTGTAAACTGGAGGTCCGGCGCTCGAGTGGTTGGGCGTAACCTTAATCCAGCTTTATTTCACATCAGGTTTGACATTCCAAATGTAAGGAGAACCCTACAAGGGGAATATTCGATGCCGAGGCTAAAGCTTGCTTAATCCAGAATATAAAAATCAATGACTTTGATGTTGTACTTCATTGAATGGCATGGACACAAGCTTTGAGAGTTTGATACAAATTTCGTTAAAATCTGGTCTCTCTCTGTCGTTGCCATTCCAACATTGTTTCATGAGATTTAAATATTCTCGAGTCATGTCACATAATACTTCAACAGAGCATGACTCGGATTTGTTCACATGTTTCGAATTATTGCCGCCATAATTGGGAAGAATGAATTCAGAAATCCATTCCTTCATTTCATCATCGTCGTCAAAAGGTATGATGGGACGTTCTCCATTCATTACTCGGAACAGAATATTCACAGCTGAACTGGTAGATTTGTCAGCATGTCTTTGCCTATATTTGTGAAGCTTTTCACAATGAGCATTTAAATAAGGATTTTCCTCAAAGAATAATTCCCACATGATAATTGCAAAACTATAAATATCAACTTTGTGATTGTAAGTGGACTTTCCTTCAACCATTTCCTTTAGTGTATGAAGTTTTCACAACAAAGGATCCATTGATTATTATAAAAATCACATCAAGTGTGAAAATTCGTCATATTCAAAAATCCCAAACTTACGTTGGCCATATAAAAAAGAGTTCCAATATTTGTCGTGGCAGAACTTGTATCACTCTCCGTCTTACTTAATCCAAAGTCACAAATTTTGGCAACATGTTGATCCAATAAAATATTTCCAGGTTTTAAATCTCGATGAATAATTCCACGAGGCTTCAATGAATGTAAATAATTCATTCCTTTTGCAACTCCAAGTAATATATCAATTTTTTGATGCAATGTAATTCTTTCCATTCCTAACTTGACATTGTAAATCAACTTGTCAAGACTTCCGTTTTCTAAATATTCTACAACCATATACTTTTTAGATCCAGCAATTATTACACCAAAGAATTGAACAATATTTGGATGTCGAATACTTCCCAAAAGTGATGCTTCCCTCTCAAACTCATCATCTTCATGATTATCGTCAGTGTTCACATTGTTTTCTTCGTCATATTTAAGAGTTTTTAAGGCAACCTTAGTTCCATTCCAATTGGCAAGATAAACTGTTCCATTCGCTCCTTCAGCTATTCTTTTAATAATCTCAATTTCATCAACTGAAATCATCCACGAATAGACTTTCTTCTTGTTTTGAGTTTTCTTTTTTGATTTTGTTGAAGCGACAGACTGTTCATCACAAGTGTTCACTTTGGCAAGTAGAGGAGTATTTTCTTTCGTTCGTTCATTGTTCATCCTCTTGGAGATGGTTTGAGAATCAATGTTTGTTTCTATGTCTTCTCCATCTTCGTCATCTTCGTTGGTTAAGAGAATACTCTTTTCCATCAATTTTGACTCCATTCTCTTTTCTGCATTTTCTTTCCGTTCCAATCTTTTCAATTTTCTAACAGTATTTCTCACCAATCGAAATATCAAACAGAGACATGACAAAACAACAGAGGAGATCACAATTGTAGCCAAGGAAGCCATACCAATAAGAAATGCATAGGATGCAAGGACCTCCGTGTTAGCAACATCTATACATGTGAAAAATTCCTCAATGGAATTCTGACTCCACGTGAGCACTGTTCCATCAGGGCACGGAAGTACATGAATATTCATAGAAATTTCATAGGGTTGAATGTTCTTGTCATACACACCCACACGGTTAATGAAAATGCTTGCTAGAACATCTCCAAAGTTAGGTTGTTTGAGAAATACTGAGAGAGATCGTATTAATAGTGTAGAATTGTCGGAACTGTCCATAAAATATAGACTAGCTTGTTTGGAATATTGTGGTTTCAAAGCACATGTAATGTGTTTCTCCAAAAACTTTACACGTTCTGAATACTGACCTGTCCATAGTAAGAGTTGTACTTGTGGAATGACTTGTCCAGGATAGATGTAAAGTTGAGGTGTTTCATGGTGCCCAAATTTAGAAATGTTTTGAGGAGAGTAGTGAACCCAAACTTCATAATCAATGTTATCCAATATCATTGCTGTATTGCTGCCATATGAAGACGCCTTATTTCCAATCTCTGTGAAATTACTCTTCCTAACAATTTCTGAACGTTCCGTATACAAACATCCACCAGCATAGGAAGCAGTATTATTTTCACATAGAACATTATCAATATTTAGCTTGTAAGAGTCGTAAATATAAAAGGCACCTCCGTTTGAGTAAGCATGATTATTCACGAGTGACACGTTTTGTATGTTTAAATTTTCGGTCACGACAAAAAGTCCTCCTCCATTGGTTGCTGAATTGTTGGCAAACAGTGAATTTTGAATGTCCACGATGTAAGACTCAAGATAGAGACCTCCTCCATTGCATGATTGGCCGAGCTTGGCTTTACAATAACTATCTTTGAAAATCGATGCAAGAATGAGTACGTGTGTTTCTCCAATGAGTCCCATCATTTTTGCACTCACACAAGGACTTCTATTGTTCTTAAAGACCGTATCAATTATATGCACTGTAATTACATTATCAAATAGCAATGATGGAACATGATTGTATTCGAAATGAGTCGAATGTAGTGTCACTAATGAACTTCCCATAATATTAATTAAAAATTGGTCGTAAGGAAGAGTGCTGTACAAATTCACAAATGCACAATTTTCGAAGGAGAGGTTGGTAATTGCATTCAGTAACATGTAAAATTGTACATCTCTAGCTGTAACTCTTCGTAGTTGTGAATTCGAAGAAAACATTAACTCAATACGGATTTTCTTTCCATAACAGCCCACATCTTCAAATAAAATAGATGAAAATTCAAAGAGTGAAATTGCAGAATCTCGTAATTGAGAAGCTCTGATCACGAAAAAAAGATTATCTTGAGCAACTCCAGAGTTTTTAGGTGTGTGAAAGCTGAATCTTTCCAACTTGGATGTTGTGATCGACACATTTGCGTGGATCGCAGCTGACAATTCACTATCGTTCACACTCGAGTCCTCTAAAGAAAAAAATCTTCCTTTTTCCAAAGCAAATTTTGAATATGTGACTCGACAGGACACAATCCTCAATTCCCTCTCCTCTTTTGGATTGGTTGGATTGGAATTGTAGGATTCATCCAACAAATCAATATTTGACATGTTCACATTTGAAAATATTACCTTTTCCATATGAGTAGGTACATGCAATCGAAAAACAATGGAATCCAATTGAATCGTGTGAAAATATAGTTTTCTAATCGGTACTCTTCTAAATAGAGGTTCATTTTCACAATTCAACACAATGACCTCAGAAGCATTGTACGATGTGATTTGTAATTCATGAATTTGAGTCAATTTTGCTGACACTTCATCTTGAACTTTGCATTGATCTAGTCCATAGTTCAAACTACCATTTTGTGTTCTCAATAGCACAAATTGTGCAGAAATTTCACTCGTGGAAGTTGTCAAATTCAAAAGAACTTGAATGGCTTCGGAAATGGACCTACATGGTTGTGTCATGCTAGTGCAATTGTTATTGTGATTTTTCATTGCTGGTCTACTACTAGTAGAGCGTGATTGTGAGGTTGTTGGTGGCTGAATGAAGAGTGTGATGTAATTGTTCATGTATGATGAGTGCTCGAAGAAAGTGGGAGAAGTAGCGACTACCACCGAATCCCGAACAGATGCCATCAACATGTTTGCAAATACTAGGCCTTGACCCGACACGAGCAAACAGCAAACAAGTGAGATGACCCATCCATTCGCTGTAAACATTTTTTAGAACCTTCTTAGGGTGAAATTGGAGACTTGGTGAGATAATCATGATGGTAGAATGGAACATGGTCTATGAGAAATGTCGTCCAAATTAATTTTTTGCTTTCCATCTTGTGGTGCATCCAGTGGGTTTTTTTGAGTTTTTTGAGTTCTGGTCGAGACATCATTGTTGGTCGAGATCATGCCATCAGAACAAGAAGACAATGATCATCAAACCGGGATTGATCTATTTTTATTAACAAAAAAAATATGCCTTCTGTAAAGATTGCTTGGAACAAATCAACCTATGACAACGTGGAGATTGGAGACTTGAAGACGGGATTGGATTTCAAGAAGAAATGCCAAGAATTAACTGGTGTTCCTCCTGAAAAACAAAAGGTCATGGGATTGGGAGCCGGTCTTTTGAAAGATGATGCTGATTTGTCTAGTTTGAAAGTCAAACAAGGTCAACTTGTTAGAGTGATGGGATCAACGGAACCAGTACCAGAAGCACCAAAAGAAAAGATTGTTTTTATAGAAGATGCTGTTAAAGAAGGTGGAGAAGTTGGCGAAATGGTAAGTTTTTTAATTAAGCCATTGTCGTGATGATTGATCATCATTGTATTTTTGTGTCCGATCTTATACAACGATTGATATACAATATTCAAAATATTAATTTACATTCAATGAAATAATTATTCAACAATCAACCGGAAAATCAATAGACGTATTATCCAGCTGGTTTGGAAAATTTAGGAAACACTTGCTACATGAATTCTGTAGTTGAAACTTTGAGATATGTTCCTGAATTGAGACAGTCACTCGACACCTTTGATCAAACCACTGTGAGTGATTTGTACGAAAAGGATAAGTCTCTTACTACAGAGTTGAAAAACCTTTTTAACAATTTGGACGCCAAGCATGAATCTTTTGCTCCAATTACCTTCTTGACTGCTTTAAGATCTGCCTACCCTCAATTTGCAGAGAAGGACCGTAATGAACTTGGCGAATTCTATGCTCAACAAGATTCCGATGAATTTCTCACAAACTTGTTAGGTTCTCTTGAGAATACTCTCAGACAAAATGACCAGAATATTATCAAGGAATTATTTGAAGGTGAATTTGAAGTCAAGTAAGTATATTTTGATGACATATCATAACCAACTGCCTTTTAGACTTCAATGCACTGAGTGTGAAGAACCACCAGTTGTGACCAAGGAGAGTTGGAAGAAATTGTCATGTTTCATTTCTCAACAAATTAATAATTTACCTTTTGGATTACAAAAGAGCTTGGAAGGAACTGTTGAAAAGGAATCTCCAACTCTTGGAAGAGTGGCTGTATATTCTAAAATTCAGAGAATTAGCAAATTGCCAAATTATTTAGTGATCAACTTTGTTCGATTTTACTGGAAGCAAAAACAACAACTGAAAGCAAAAGTTCTCAGAGAAGTACAATTTCCATCAATTCTTGACGTTTTCGATTTGTGCAGTGAAGAATACAAGAACAAGTTGAAGCCCGCCAGAGAAAAGATGAGAGAACTTAGAGAAGAGGAAATGAAAAAGAAGAAAGAAGAATCCCTTTCTGGCACCTCACAAGCAAACAAGAAACAAAAAACTGAAAACCAAAAAGATTTAACACCACTCTATCAAGTCGATGAAAGTGGATGGTATGAATTATGTGCTGTTGTCACTCACAAAGGAAGAGCAGCCAATGAGGGTCACTATGTTGGTTGGGTGAAGGCTGATTCAGGCCAATGGCTTGAGTTTGACGATGATGATGTTACAGCAGTCACAGAAGAGGATATTAAGAAGTTAAGTGGAGGTGGTGATTGGCATTGTTCCTATATTTGTCTCTACAGAAAGTGTAGGACTGCTCCATAAATTTATGTATTTTTGTAGTATTTTTCGTCGTCTGCAAAAAATTCTGTAAATTGATTGCAGTGACTGGATCTAAATAAAATTAACGATCTGCATTGCAAAGAATTCGAACAATCAAAAAAAAAAGATGAGCACAGAAGCCAACAACACCGTCACAGCCACCAATAACGCCTCTCTTGAAGAGCCTTCACCTCCCACGTCCACTAACAATGCCCAAAAGGACCTGGCCGAGTCTCAAAGTGACACCAAAGACACATCCGAACAAAACAAGGACAACCAGGACCAGCACATTCTTATTCATGTGGAAGATCAGGTAAGTACTAGCCATGCTTCAAACATGCTAACAAATTTGAATCAAAGCACGAACGTAAACTCACCTTCAAAATTAAACGATCAGCTCGGTTAAAGAAAATTATGGAGTTATATCGCCAAAAGTATGGACTTTCTAGCAGTGCTCGTTTTCTGTATGATGGAGAAAGAATTGGCGAAAACGACACAGCTATTAGTTTGAATATTCAAAATAATGATATGATTAATGTCACAGTCGAACAAACTGGAGGTTATCTTGATTTTATGGACATTGACATGAACTAACACTTGTAAATAGTTGCTTTGATGAATAAATGACCATATTGGTGTGCAACAAGAAAATCTCATGTTTTTGAAATTGGCCTTGTTCATGAATGCTACAATCATTATTGAGCAAAGTTCTGTTTGCCAAACATAACAATTACAGCCATCTATTTGGATTCACATTGCTGTGCAACATCTCCCGACTTCTGTTGTTGCTTAATGGTAACACAAGCTCTTGCGAAATGTACACAAGTTCTCTCCATCCATGACGGTACCGCTTTGTAAGGTGTCCACCCATCTAGCCAAGCAACATGACCTCCTCGTTCAGTGGTTGCCAAAATAATATTTGAATTCTCTTTGAGGTCGTCATACGGAATTGCATATTTTGAGGAAATTGGATCGTCCAAAGCATTCAGAAAGAGAATTGGAATTTGAATACCTGATATGTCGTGCTTACAACTGAATCGTTGATAGAGATTGGACAAATTATCAATGCCCAATATTTCTCGACTCACAACATCGTCAAATTCTAAAGTTGAACTCACTCTTTTCACTTGATCCATTTTCACCGATGTACTTTCAAAAACATGTTCATGAGCCAACACCAATTCCTTTCTCTTCTTTGTAAAGACCTTATCATAAATTAATCGATTCACAAATTCATCTTGTAATCTTCTTGACGATGTTTCTAAATTGAAAGGATTGGATACGGAAATGGCAAAATCAATGGGTGAATCTTTTCCAACCTCTCCCAAATATTTGGTCATGATATTTGAGCCAAGACTAAATCCACAAGCAATCATTGCAATAGCCTTTGGGAATTTGTTCTTAATATGGAGAAGGACGACATCCATATCTTCACTTGTCAATCCAAACACTGGTGTTTTGAGTTGTGTTTGAGCACCTCGATAATTCACGACCACAGCTCTCATTCCACCATCCCGCACTACATACGACACAAAATGTTTAATTTCAATTTCTTTACTTCCTCCGCACACTCCAGCAAAGACCACCATGATGGGCGACTCTTCAGTAATTTCATTCTCTTCAGATTCTTCAATTTCTAAACGATTATCATGAACCCAATCCAATATAATATGTCCTCCACATTTGAAAGTAAATTCTTCGGAATCATACGAGTACCAATTAATATCGGGTCGTAGAGTTACATTGAAAATTGTTTGAAGATGAGTATTGATGAGATAGGGAGTTGGAGAAAAGGTAGCACGTTCCGATGTACTAAATGTACGATCTACCAACTCATGGATGATGGTATTCTCAGCAGAAGCATTATAGTAGAGCTTGACTCTCTCACAAACAAATTGGCGATAATAAATAAAGAGAATGAGGAAGAGGGCAATAAAGCCTAGAGCTAGATAGGCAAGTATCATATCGTGTTTAATGTACAAAAAACTGGAGAAATTAGATATCAATAGATTGATAACGAGGAGTAACGACACTACTATCAAGTATATACTTCAGAACAAGATGACGAGCTCTCTAGTTTCGGGAACAATTCACGAACTGTAGCTACAGTGATTTTCCGAATGATGAATTCTCAATGATGATGAAGATAATGGTCGAGCGAGAGGAGATGTCAATGTTGCTGTTTTCGTTGTGGAGACGAAGAGAGCGCACAACAAGGAGAATTTTTTCACCTTTGGATTCTTTGTACGCACAAGAACCTGTTGAGAACGAATGAACGAGGATGAACGGTTAAAGAAATTGGATATTATTCAAAGATAATTGTAAAATTTTTCAAAAGTAACAAATTCAATTGTTTAAAAAGGAATGAAATTTAACACAAATACACCACGTTAGCTTGATCAATCATGACTTGTTGCAATTCATAGGCCTTACTGAAAGTGACATATTCTGGACTGAAAACGAAACGAGAGAAGGTGTCACCCAAGTTCACTAAAATTTGTCGATTCAAAGTATTAAAGCAATCTCTCACTGATTTAGCATCAATGTCAAACATTGGAACTGGAGTGTTCTTGGTTGCAACCTTAATGTCCTTATCCAAGTTTTCAATGTCAAGTTGGAAGTTTTCTCTTGCTTCTTGTTGTTTGTTAAGAACATTCTTGTACAGATAAAGGAATGAATTTCTACATTTCGACGGAATGTTCACTTCTGTTGTTGCTCCTGTCATGATATACGTATTATAAATGAAGGAAAGGAATTTTGGAACAGCAGCTAAATCCTCGCCATAAGTAATGGACTTGTTGGATCGTAAATCTGTGTAAAGATAAATGTTTTCCAAAGAAAATTCCTTTTCACAGAAAGCTTCAAATAAGTGATATCCTTCTTCACTGTCCAACACGATACTCATATCCTTATTGACAAGTTCTTCTTCGCCATCGTTGACTTGTGTGGCGGTAATTTCTTGTTGGCTATTCTCTTGTCTGTCCTGGCTCTTTTGCTTTTCACGATTTCTTCGTTGGCTTCTGGTCTTGTAATGGAGAAGAACAAGCAAGGTGTATCCACCAAAGACTAACAAGTAAGAAAGAACGTAAAGTACTTCAAAGATAAATGAAACTCCATCTACTGTTAAAGCTTTCTGGAATAATTCAGCAGATTCAAATCTAAAGGATAAACTGCTGAGACCAATGACTTGATTCAGGAATAGGAAACTAAAACTAACAATGTAGAGAATCATTTCCATTCTGAAATAGAGTGGTCCATCGAGTGAAATGAACCATCTGTACATGCCTACAAGAGGATTGGTGTATTCTTTCTTGGTATTAGACGCTCCGTTATCTGCATAGAATACATTGGACTCTCTCTTCTTGCCAACGGCTCGAGCTTTTCTTTCTTTTTCTACCTTTTGAGAACCGATAAAGTCGAAGATAGTGACACCAATAATAATCACACTGAACACAAATGCAGTTAGTGTGTATGAAATGGAAACAATATAAGTATAAGCAGATGCTGAGATGGCATTAGTTCTTCTCAATATTACCCACAACGTCCAATAACACAAATTAATAATTGCAAACACCACTACGATGGTCACAAACAAGCCAGTCGAGGTACAATAACGTAGTGCTTTTAGAATTCTTTCACTCTTCTTTTCATCTCCTCTAGATTCGGCAATTAACTGATAGAGATATTTCATGAACTGGAATCTAAACACTTGCATGACATATGATAAAATTGCTGTTAGATTCATAGTGTTCACAACAATTGCCACAATATTTGCAATGACGTTGGCTGCAGTGTCTCCAGCTTCCCACATTTGGCTGTCACTAGACAATAACTGACCAACAAGAACACCTCTTTGAATGATGTATACTAATAAACTTTCGATCATTAGTGCTGCCATTCCCAAATAAGGTGTTACCAATCGACTGCTCACTGGTTGTTCCTTTCTATATACAATCAACAATATTAAAATCACTGATGATGCAATGAAATAGAAAACACCAAATGCAATTTGAGCAAAGTACAGAGAAGCAACTTGATCTCTCACTACAGGAGGAAGAACTTGAGTCTTCTGTTCAAGGAAAGTGGAGAACATGGTTGTGTGAGTGCATGCACATTGAATCGTTCCAGAAGCTAAATCCACAGAATGGAGAGTACATCCAGATTCGCTCCAACTTGATTTTGATTCATCATAGTACCGACATGAAAAGGTATTATTTGAAGTAATGTTCTTTGAATCCAGTGAAATCTTAAACGAAAGTATAATGGGTTGAGCAAGGTCCTTGAGAGGAACTGTGGTAGCATCTTGCAAATACTTAAAGTCAACGGCTATGGATGTACTTGGGTTTGATCGAGTATAATTGTTAGAATATGGAAGTGTGGAATATGAAATCAATGATGTTCCTGAATTCTTGGAGTAGCCATTGTATTGAGACATGATACTGGAAATACTAAGCCCAATTTCTGTTTCACCAGAGGAAAGAGTTTGATTTCCGCTCACAGGTCCAGATAACTTGAAGCTGGAGATTGTAATGTTAATAAGAGGAGTCGAGAAGGAAACTTTTGGTAGTTCTTTCTCTTGAGGGTTAAGCACTTTTGGAACTTCTCCCAACAAGACCATACTAGCCAATTTTGAGGTCACACTCACAGTTTGATCTGCTCCAACACCGGATGATAATAAATTAGAAGTGACAGCAATACTTGATGTGACATCAGTGGCAGAAAGTTTAGACTTGACGAAACCATAGAGCTTAATTTCTTGATTGTAAAGGTCCTCAATAGAATTGACAAAGCTTGTCAATTTGGTTGTAATTTCTGTCACAACTCCTGGGTTTACAGATCCAACGGTTGAGGTTAAAGCCTCAAATGTAGCAAGAGCACCAGCTGGATTCTTTGGGTCAATTTCAATCTTCTTGACAAGTTGATACACGAGCTCGCTAGAGTTACCACCTGAGTTTGCACTAACCACAGTGATGGATTGATCGTAGGCAGCAACAGTCAATGCAGCTCCACTCAAACTGTTCACCTTCTCAAGCAATTGTTCGGATGTTCCATTAAATGCAGCCACTTGAACTGGAAGCGTTTGCTCAGCTTGAGAATCTATATTTCCAAGTGCATCCATGACAAAGACGACCAATTTAATTTCCTGAGTCGCTGCTGCTCTCTTACTACTTGTGGCCTTTGCCTTAATAAAAGGTAAGTAAACCGAGAGAGAGGTATTGGTCGAAAATTCTGTCAATCGTACTGGCTTACCAGTGTTAGGATCGTAGAAACCAATAGCATAGCTCAATGGTAACAATTCTTCAGGAGCGTTCCATGGCTGGATGGCAATAGTGAATTGATCAGTGAGAGCTGTACCTTGTGTGGGCACCACAGAAACAATCTTTTCTACTTCAATAACTGTTTGGTTCGTTGTTGTATCATTCTTCACGACAACGATGACTGGAGGTCTTGCTGGTTGAATAATTGGTATGGAAACAGTACCAGTCATGTTTTTACCTTGTGAATTGAATACAGCGAGTGACATGACAATGGAAGAACTTGAAGAAATGTAACCAGAAGTGGACATGGTAATGGCTGGTGAGAAGAGCAAGTTATTGGCACCTGTAGTAGCACCCGTCGTTGCACCCGTTGAGGTGTACATTGGAACGGCAGTTCCATTCACATTAGCACTAACACGCCAATGATAGGTGAGCGGGGAGGAGCAATTTCCATCACAAAGTAAGAATGATTGAACAATGGTTTGATTGAGGGAAACTTTGGAAACAATGGCCTCAATGGATTGCCCAGCTTCAAGCTTTGTTCTGACGTACGCAGAGGGCAAACCAAATATTTCGAGAGATGGTACATTGACATCAATGATTGGAACTGGAAGAACTGTCAAGGTAAATTTCACAGCGTTGGAAAGTCGTGGAGGATATTTTTCACCATTATCATAGGTAACGTTTCCAAAGAAACTGTAGGTGGCGGGGGCCAATAACATGCTTGGATTAACAATAAGAATTCTGCTAGCTGTTTGATTCATGTAAATGGAAGCGTTCGTTACTCCGGTGCAGTTTTCACACACCCAACTGAACGATAGTTTTGATGCATCTAGTCCTTCAAAGTCATTGGAAAATATCTCAATTTCCAAGTAGGTGATATTTTGATAAACTTTTTGTTGCGATTTCTTCAAGAAAATGGTTAAGGGCAAAGTGGTTACACTACAATCTGAAGCAGTAAATCCCTCTGAGCATGAGCATGTATCAAGCCCAACACAGGAACCTTTTCCGTTACAAACATTGGTCATATTGGCTAGAATTGAGAAACAAGAGGGCATTTGACAGTTATTGTCATAGTATCCCTTTTGACAGCTACAAACATCAGGAGAGCTACAGGAGCCTTTTCCACTACATACTGAGCTGAGATTGGAAGCAATTCCAAAACATGAAGTGATGGAGCACGAGGAGCCAAACCATCCTGCACTACAACTACAAGTATTAAAATCAATGCAGTGACCTTTTCCATTACATGCTGATGGAGAGGTTGAGTTAATTCCAAAACATTTGAAATCTTGGCAATTAGATCCACTGTAATTTGGCAAACAAGAGCAATTGTTTGATGATAGACATGTTCCGTGACCACTACACACAGATGCGTTGGTGAAGAGACTTCCACTACATTCAAAGAATTGACAACGATCTCCATAATATCCGTTCAAGCAACTACAATTATTAAAATCAATGCAATGACCATGTCCATTACATGCCGAGGGAGAAGTTGAATTCAATCCAAAGCATTGGAACTCTTGGCAATTGGGTCCACTGTAATTTGGCATGCAAGAACAGTTGTTTGGAGATTGACATGATCCGTGGCCGCTGCATACATTGGAGGAATTGAAAGGAATGTTGCTGCAATTGTACATGTCACAAGCCATAGAATAGTATCCTGGTTTACAAATACACTGATTTGGTGACACACAAGTACCCATATTGCATGACATGGAATCATTGAATAATTTTCCATTGCAATAGAAATATTCACACCGAGCTCCATAATAGCCTTGTGAGCAAGAGCATTGGTTTGGTCCAGAACAAGTACCCTTTCCACTGCATACTGACGAGTTTGAATATATTGTTCCTTGACAATCATGGAATTGGCAATTATCTCCGTAATATCCATTGACACATGTACAATTGTCGGGAGCGAAGCAAGATCCCTTTCCACTACATACTGAACTATTGCTCGATGCGACGCCAAAGCATGAAGTAAGTGAGCACGAGGAGCCAAACCATCCTGCGTTACAACTGCAATTATTAAAATCAATGCAATGACCTTTTCCATTACATGCTGATGAAGAAGTTGAATTAATTCCAAAACAGTCGAAATCTTGGCAATTGGAGCCACTGTAATTTGGCAAACAAGAACAGTTATTTGGAGATTGACAGGTTCCGTGACCACTACACACTGAAGTGTTGGAGAAAAGACTTCCATGACATTCAAAGAATTGACAACGATCTCCATAATATCCATTCATGCAACTACAATTATTGGGTGTTGCACAAACACCATGTCCGCTGCAAACATAAGAGCTATTGTCCTTATGAATATCAAAGCAACTAAATTGATCACAATTTGGTCCATAATACTCTGTAGAGTTACAGGAACAATTGTTGTGGCTGTGACACACTCCTCTTCCTGAACACACATTCGAGCTATTGTAGAGAACACCAAAGCAATTATATAAATCACAAGTGGCACCATAGAAATTGAATTTGCAAGAACAATTATTTGGTCCTGTGCAGTCTCCATGTCCATTACAAACATTGGTGCTGTTTGAAGCAAGTCCGTAACACAAGTAATCCTAACAGGTAGGTCCAAAGAAATTTCCACATTTACATTGGTTGGGAGCAACACAAGATCCCAATCCAACACAAACAGAGGCATTCGTGTAAACGACGCCATAGCAATCATACAATTCACAAGCTGCACCATAATATCCTGCACGACAGGTACAATTATCAGGCGACAGACAAGTACCATTTCCTGAACAAGCCATTGCGTTTTTAAATTCAAATCCAAAACAATCGAACTCATTACAAAAATCTCCATAGTATCCTGCATCACAAGAACAGTTGTTGTAGGCAAAGCATGCACCATGTCCTGAACAAACATTCGATTGGTTGAAAAGAGTACCATTGCATTGATAGAGCTCACAATTGCTTCCATAGTATCCGTGCAAGCATGAGCAATTGTTGGGTTTCACACAAGCACCATTTCCGCTACACACATTACCATCTGAGAACACAACTCCAGAGCAATTGAAAAATTCACAATTCATGCCATAATATCCTTCATTGCAGGTACAGTTATGGGGTGAAGAACAAACACCATGACCTGAACAAGCTAGAGTATCATTATTTTCATGACCAAAACATTCATATTGAGAGCAATAAGTACCAAAATATTCAGCGTCACAGGTACAGTTATTGTAAGAATCACAGACACCATGGCCAGAACACACATTACTCATGTTGTACAAGACTGATCCACAGGTGTAGTATTGACAATTTGGACCATAATTTCCTAAATTGCAAGAGCAATGGTTGGGGCCAAGACATTGACCTGCTCCACTACACACTCCACTCTCTGAAAACTCAAATCCAAAGCAATCATAGTTTTCACACATGGACCCATAAAATCCATTCTTACAGGTACAATTATCTGGTGAAGAGCAAGTACCATTCGTGGAACAAACAAGAGTACTGTTATTTTCAATGCCAAAGCAGTAATAACTGGTGCAATACTTTCCATAGTAATCTTCTTGACAGGTACAATTGTTGTAAGAATTACAGGATCCATGACCGCCACAGACATATGAGGTATTCGTGTGTGCAATACCATCACAAGTAAACAATTCACAATTATTGCCATAGTATCCAGTGTTGCAAGAGCAAGTGTTTGGACGAATACATTGACCTCTTCTCAAACAAACATCTGTCGAATTGTAGAGTAAACCAGAGCAGTCATAGAACTCACAATTCGTTCCATAATATCCCGTGTTGCAGGTACAATTGTTAAACGAGGAGCAAGTACCATTTCCAGAACAAACGGTTGGGTTTGTCTTGAGAATTCCATTGCAGCTAAAAATTTCACAATCTGAGCCACTATATCCACTATTACAGGTACAGTTATTAGGCGAAGAACAAACTCCATTACCTGAACAAACGTCAGATGCATTATAAACCTTTCCATTGCACTGATGATTTTCACAATTATTGCCATAGTATCCAGTCTGACAAGAACAAGTATTAATTCCAGTGCATGTACCATGAGAAGAGCATACAGAGGTGCTATTGAAAATGATGCCATTACAATTCCAAGCCTCACAATTCGATCCATATCTTCCTTCATTACATGAACAAGTGTCAGGAGCAGTACAGGTACCAACTCCAGAGCATACTGTTCCAACCAAAGTTTTGCTTATTCCGTTACAATTCCAACTGTCACAAGTCGATCCATAATAACCTGTGCTGCACTGACAAACATCTGTGTGGAGACACTTGCCATGTCCGCTACAAACGGAAGGATTTGAATTCAAAACAGAGTAACAATAATGAGTTTCACAATTGGAACCCGAATATCCTCCATTACAGATACAATAATTTGGTGAGTAACATGTACCATGTCCAGAACAAACATAGGTGGTATTGGTCGATTTGATGGAATTGCAGCTCCATTCATTACAGTAAGTTCCTTCGTAATTTCCTGAACATGTGCATGTGTTTGGTCCAGTACACGATCCATGATTACTGCAAACACCATACGAGTATTGATAGATACCATTGCAAACATTGTATTCACATCTGGAACCACCAGTACCTGAAATACATGAGCACGAGTGAGGACTTGTACAATTTCCTCTTCCACTACAAACTGTTGGATCGGTGGCATTCAGTCCCCAACACACAGGAGTTGAGCATTGACTATCCACCCACGCATAGTAGGAAGGTTTGCTTGAGTCGGCAGTTCCTGTATCCCAGCATCGAATAGCATCTGCACTGTAGATGGCTACAAGACCATTCGCTTCTAACACTAATCGGAAAGGTGCTGTTTGACCTTCACACGCTGGATTGATTTCTCGTACGAGTACATTGTTTCCATAAATAGCGAGTCTGCCTGTGGATTCCAACCTTAATTCATAGGGAGCTGATCCTTGTCTAGGTGTGTTGTTGATATCACCAAAATGTTCAAATATCGAATTTTGTTTGTTATCAAGGTGTCATGTCCATTGAATTTTGATGTCCATCGTGAATAAGCATGATCATTTAAGAACCACACATTATAGAAAAACCAATCAAGTCATCATGATTGCTAAAGTAAAATATAAAACCTACTTGTGAGTGCCGCTCATCCAGTACGGATAAGAGCCCGCAGTGTTGTCATAGAGAACTAAATTTCCATAAGGTTGCATTTGTAAATAATAGTAATTACTGTAGAGGGTCAATGAATTTCCGCCATAGAGAATATTGCTTCCATCTGATTTTAACATATTGTTAGAATTCATGTCGTTGCAATAACAAGTATCAGCGCCTGTACAAAATCCGTGACCAGTACAAACACTGGCATCATTCCACGCCTTTGAAAAACAGGTTTGAGCATTGACGCTTGGTAGCAAGTTTGAAAACTGAGAAAAGTAATGTTGGAAGTCATAACTATGGAAGAAAAGGAATCTAGAGGGTTCAGCGTCGTCTTCATGATGATGGCCTTGATAACTTGACACTAGAGACGAGGAACAACTCTTGTATTGATGTATGGACACATAGGATATCATGGCATTAAGTACTAGCACTACTAGAAAGGAGCCATACAACATGTTTATACAAAACATGATGGTTCCATGGGAAGAGTTGGCCATCTTGGAATGAAGATGATGACTTCAATGAATTATTGTTCAAATTGACACACGCGAAATTTTGAGTGTCAACCAACTCGGTCTCGCAATATTGTTGATATTCTAGTTGAGAATCGCTATTCCTCTACTTTTAGTATGTTGAGAGGTGTTGACACCAGATTTCTTTGTTTCTCTCCTTTGGGGTGAGAGGTGTCGATGATTGCAACGTTTTTTTTTAAAGTAATTCGATAATGTTGCTGCTGCTCATGTAGTTTTGAGGCGCAAGTTTTGTATTAGTAAAAATTGTATTATTTAGCACCAACAAAACCGGAACATGTCGTAGAGATTTGTCACTTGTCGAATATATATGCGAGGTCACCTCAGAATTCAACGGTCGCAGTGCTCATTGGCTTGAGGTCATTGTGTTCAACTGGACTCGTGAAGTCTCTATCTCCAAGTCATTTCACTTGCATTGATTTTTCATTGTCGCTCCTCTGGGTCTTTATTACATGACTTGATGTACAGTTGACCCGAGAGCGAGTAGAAGATTCCTCTGTTTCTAGAATGAACATTTTCAACTCGTAAATTCTGCTTATATTACAGCATTCATCCCTCTGGCTACAGCATTCTCCGAAACTCGGGTAGAGAGCAAGTTTACAACAACAGGCAGTTTCTCGTTGCTTGATCCTCCGAAGACCCGGAAGACAAACAACATCTCAAAAAATATCTGTGCCACATTTTTTTCTCAGCAAGCTCTTTTGATCATCGTGGAAGCAAGAGCGTTGAAGAAATTTCATTGTTTTTCAACGAATTAATTTTGCTTCAAGTTTAATTCATTTCATTGCTTTTAAACAATCATAGGAGAGTTTTGTCATCATTAGCAGAGTGTAAATAATAATTTTTGATTTCGGTTCTGTGCCATCATTTCAATCATCACCCGAGAGCATCAAAAGGTGGAACATAGCAATGCGTATGAAATGGGAAAAGGTCAAGATATGCACGAAATTAATCAAGAAAAAGAAAGATCCATTAATGTTATTGGTCATGATGTAACTGCCTCCAATTCAGCTGTAGCAGCCAGTGTGTTGAATTCCGAAGACGCTACTTCGTTATTTGTTGAGTATCAACAACAACAAGGCCTAGATGGTAAACCTGCTCTAGGAGATGGCAACAACCATACGGCATCTTTCGAAGCCATGCCTTTTTGGAAAGATTTTGTAGCTGGCAACATTGGTGGAATGTGTGGAATATTGGCAGGTCATCCCTTTGACACTCTGAAAGGTAAGTGGAAAAATCACATTCACATTTTGGAATATCTTACATTCTCGTTAATGTGTAATGAAATTTGGCATTTCAAACGAAATGCATTTTCCTTTCATCAAAATTATTCCTAACACAGTTCGTATTCAAACACAACCACAAAAGTATAACGGAGATATTTTCAATACCTTGTACAGAATTGTTAGAAATGAAGGAATACATGGCCTTTATAAAGGACTTGCATCACCATTACTTGGAGTTGGAATTTTAAATTCCATCATTTTTGGTGTTTATGGAAACACAATGAGAGCTCTTGATGAGTATCGTGGTAGAAATAGAGGAGTAATAACGAGCGATTTTCTATATTATGGAGATGTATTTCTTGCAGGTTCATTTGCAGGCTTGATCAATTGTCCGATTTGTAGTCCTCTCGAACTTGTAAAAACTAGATTACAAATCCAGGATCAATCGAAACTTGATCTGTCGAAACGATATTATACAGGACCTTTGGATTGCTTTATCAAAACTTGGAAATCAAATGGTATTCGAGGTATTTACAAAGGTTTTAACTCAACTCTAGTTAGAGACGTGCCAAGCTATGGCGCTTATTTTGTAATGTATGAATATTTAAAGGAAAGGTATGGAGAAGATCCACTAGCACTGTTTTTAAGTGGTGGTTTTGCTGGCATTGGTTGTTGGTATTTATCCTATTGGTCAGATGCCATAAAATCACGTATCCAAGCTCTTCCAGATCCACCACAAGTTGGACATGACAAATATAAGGGATTTATTGATTGTTGCATAAAGAGTTATAAGGCTGAAGGCTATATGGTGTTTTTCAGAGGATTGAATTCATCCATTGTGAGAGCATTTCCACTGAATGCTGTAACGTTTTTGGCTTATGAAACAGCAATGAAAATTTTGTAGGGGGCTTTTGTGTACAATAACATCATCAGTTGAGTGTTCAGTTAAATTTTAAAGCATTGCCTTTGCATCGGAACAAGTCCAAAAAAATGTCGATCATCTTACATCATCCTTCGACGCTTGTGATTGACTCTGCCATCAGAGATTGGGTTCTTTTACCCATTGTTATTTTCATGTTGTTATTTAGTATTTTACGACACTATGCTACATTGTACTTCCGTAGTAATAAGGAACCTCCGGTTGACAAATTTACACATTCACAAACGTTACTAAAAGGGCAAATGTTATCTCGTAATTTTAATTATATTCCTCACCAAAGCTTTCAATTAAAGAAAGCCTTTTTCAATAGAGAGAATGGAGGAGAATTTAGGAAAAAGATTGAAACCAATGCTTTATCGGCCATGGCAGATCCTTCCAACATGACTGAAATGATGAAAAACAATGTTCAAACAATGGTTCCGAATCTTGTCATGTTTGGTTGGATTTACTTCTTCTATGCTGGTTTCGTGATTGCAAAATTTCCATTCCCACTCTCTGACAGATTCCGAGCCATGGTACAACGAGGTATTGAGCTTCAATCTCTTGAAACTTCTTACGTTACTTCAGCTTCCATGTACTTTTTAATTTTGTTCGGAGTGAAGGGCGTTCTTTCATTATTATTGGGTGATAATGTTGCAGATGAGGCTCAATTAATGGCCAATTCCAATCCTCTCACTATGGGTCAAATGGGAGCTGCGCCAGGAACAAATCCCATGCTCATGATGGATTTTGGTAAGGCCTTTGAGAGCGAGAAAGATAATCTTGAACTGATTCAACACAGTCATCAACCTATGCAAGAGGCGGAGCAAAATCTGTTGAGCAAATGGAAAGCTGGCAGTAGCTTATGAATATTTTGTAACACACTAAACAATAATATAATTGGATGACCTCTATTAAAAGAATCGCGAATTTTGAAGATATTTTGAATTGAAAAAATGAATTCATCATCAAGGCACACAAAAACATCACACATGGGAGCGACCATACTGATTCTAGTGGTCCTAACGATATTCCTACTTCACCATGTTGTCACATGTGCATCCCTCTCTTCTGTTGAGACGAACGCTGACGAATCATTTGATATTTTTGTAAGTTTCACCTAGTTGAATATTGGAATTGACAATTTCTTTGAATCTACCCATCCATTTCCTTGCAACAGGTTTTTGCATTGACTTGGCCCGGAAGTGCATGCTATTCACTGTCGCCTTGTTCCGTTCCTAAGGGCATTTCTGACTTTACGTAAGTAATTTTCATCTTTTGGAAGATGTGCTTGATTGTTTTTTCAAATTAATTTTTATTGTGATGATTTGTATTGACCTGACACACAATTTCAACAAATTTTAGAATTCATGGTTTATGGCCAAACAAACTTGTAGGGAAATTAGGTCCTTTTTATTGCAATGCTCCTCGGTTTAATTATTCTCTCATTCAAGACATGAAGACTGATTTGGATAAATATTGGACTGGTACGTAAATCAATCAATTGGAAAAGATAAGTTTCTAACTATATGGACTCACAGATTACAAAAATGCTGCTCCTGGATTATGGCAACACGAATATGAAAAACATGGTTCATGTGCCTATCAGTTACCTCAATTTTCATCCAATGCAGTTCAAGATTATTTTAAAAATTCAATTAATCTTAGGAAAAGTATGAAAGATATTGTCAAATCATTGCAACAATATTCAATTACGCCCTCAAATACTACTTTTTATAGCATTTCTTCATTGAAAGACGCTTTTAAAAATTCAGGATTTGGTCGACCAGCTTTGGTGTGTTTTAATCAAACCATTTTATCAGAAGTGAGATTTTGTACGGATAAGAATTTAACATTTATTGATTGTCCAACACAAATTGGAGATTCATGCTCATCGAAGGATCCTGCAAACCAAAGCAATCAAATTGTTTTTACTCAACTCTCAAATGTCATTGTAGGACCTGATCTTACTTTGGTTGGAGTTTTAATTGGATTAATTTGTGCCTTTGTTGTTTTAAGCGTCGTTTTCTTCTTTATTGTTCTAGCATGCAAAGTATTGTTTGGTAATAAGAGGAAATATACGTATCATAATTTCTAAATTAAATTTTGTTTGACATTCCCTTGATTTCAATGGAATATACCATTAAGGCGAAAAAGAATACAACACACAACAATGCCTTTAACTACATCATCTTCAAAAACGATGTGCGAAATCATCCCAATGAAACCTTTGGCAATTCACCTAATGAAATCAATGGTGAACACAATGAAGCCAATGAATTCATGTCCACACAAGGTATGGACCATACTCACAAAATTTTGAATTTCAACGCTATCCTTCCTGGATCTCCTTCTCTCTGTGTTAATCAAAATAAGCATCGAAATATCCCGTTCGATGCACTCTCTTTGCCAAGTCTTTGCTGGGGTGCAGAGAGAATCGCTTGGAGTTTCGGAAAATTTTAAAATCTCTCAAAAAAAATGATTAAAAAGCCCTCAAAGACTTCTAATGGGTCCTCCTCTGCAGTGCATCAACAGCATAATGGAGATCATCAACAGACATTAGAGGAACAACAACAACAAGTACAAGTTGCAGAAAATGGCCATCCACAGAATGGTGAAGAAAAGAAGCATGATTTCTCTCCTCGGGCACCAAGTTCATTGCATCGGAATGAAGACGATGCTGCAGGAAGTGATAAATCCCCAGTGAATGAATTGAAACAACAAAAACAGGGTAGGTTTTAATCACTTTTTGGCAAAATGAATTCAAACTTGTCATTTGAAAATAGCTCCAAAAGAAGATAGAAAATTTGATGACTCTGATTCTGATTTATCAAGTGGTAGTGATCCCACAACAAAACACAATATTTTGCGATCAACCAGTCTTCGTAAAGCATACAAAAATTTGAAACAACAAGAAAAGGAAGAATTTGATTTGGTCCAGTCAGATGCCAGTCAATCTGAAAGCGAGGCAGGAAATATTCCGTCACACCGAAATGTTGTCACTCCTCACGTACCTGGAAAATCTCTATTGAAAACTCCCAAAGTTATGATTCAAAAACAAGAAACAATTAGTCAAAAAGATAGATTGGTGTGTATCACAAGACCATCTATTTTATCGAGAGACAGTGGAAATCAGCTCTCGTACAAGGGTTTTTTGAATTTGGCAATAATTATTCTTGTCGGTAAGTCACATTTGAAAATTCTTTGGTGATGGCTAATTCTAAACTGTTCTGTAGTGAGTCACTTGCGTCTAGTTTTGATCAACTTTAAAAAGTACGGAATTTTACTGAACACGCACGTGTACATTATGAATTTTTTGTCTGCTCCTTCCAATGGATTTCCTGTAGTAGTAATGTTTGCTGCTGTGAACATTTGGATTTTATTAGCTTTTGGTATTGAAAAAGTAATTGCCATTTACATACGCAACAAATTTTATCACTTGACGCGAAAAGGAGAAATGACATCCAAGAAAAAGGCATTGTGGCAACAAATTCTCAAGCAAGCAAGTCTTGTTTCTTTCTGTTGTTACTTTGTATTGACAACGACGTTGCTTGGAGTTTATTTGAGCTTTGTTTGGTTTTATCAACCTCATTCGGTGTCGGGAATGATGTTAGTGACATTGATGACCATTGTTTTCCTCAAATTAACATCGTATGGAGTAGTGAATGATCACTTGAGAGAACGTATTTGGGAGAGAAAAGCACAACAGTTAAAGACAGTAGAAAATACTTCCACTCCTTCCTCGAACAGAACGATTCCATGGTTCAAACAATATCCTGATAACATTTCTCTGAAAGATATATTTTACTTTATGTTGGCTCCAACACTTGTCTATGAGGAAGCATTCCCAAGGACAAAGAGTATTCGATTTAAAGTTGTGTTATATGATTTATTGGAATTGTTGGCATGCACTTTTGTATTGGTGTTCCTTGTTGAGCAATATGTAATGCCACTGATAGAAAATTCTTTGGAACCAATGAGAGAACGAGAATATTGGCGTATTCTTGAGAGATTACTGAAATTGACAGTTCCTAATATTGTTATTTGGGTCATTGGCTTTTATATTGTTTTCCATTTGAGTTTGAATATTATGGCAGAATTGTTGAAGTTTGGAGATCGATTGTTTTATTTGGATTGGTGGAATTGTACAGATTTGAGTTACTTTTGGAGAACTTGGAATTTGCCTGTGCATAAGGTATGTTATATTGTTGATTTGTGTTGATTTGTGTTGAATGTATGAAAATTGGTTTAACTTGCATCCATTCACCTGAAAACAACAAACGTACAAACCATTTTTCTTTTACACATGAATGGCAGTGGCTGGTATTACACATCTATCTCCCGCTTGTAAATAACGGTTTCAGCCCTTCCATTGCAAGCTTTTGTGTCTTTTTTGTGAGTGCTGTATTCCACGAGTTAATCATTTCCATTCCTTTCCATACCGTTAAGGCATGGGCATTCTCAGCAATGATGGTCCAAATGCCACTTTGCTTTTTGACAAAGAAATACTGTAAGGGAAGTCAAATTGGTAATGCCCTGTTTTGGTGTTCTTTCATGATTGGTCATTCAAATTGTGTGCTTGCTTTATATTATGACATGAAATAATGACCTTTGTTTTCGGAAATAAATGCTCTTGTCAAAACAACGGACCTTTTGTTTTTACACGAAATTAGGTCAAAATTCATTTAATGCTTAAGAAAGGTTAAACAGTTTTAAGAATTCATCGAAGGAAATTAATCCATCGTTGTCACTGTCTACAGTGTTGAATAGTTGCCTAATCTCTTCGTGGTCCATCACTATTCCAATTCCTAGCTTTGTAGAAACTAAGCGGAATTCGTTGACCGATAAGAACCCGTCCTTATTAATGTCAAAGGTTGCAAACACCTCTCTCATGTCATCAACGGAAGCTGCTTGGTCCACCCACGTACTTGGTGTGGAGGTGGTACATTTTGGTAACACCTTATTGGAGCATTCTGTTTTCAGTTCGTTACTTGACGACGGCATCGGAGACTTTGGTCTGGTCCCACCAAATAGTCTTCTAAGGGAGAAGCCTGTCTGGTTTGGAGGCTTCTTTGTGATTAGTGGTGTGTTTGTTTTTTCTGAGGTCTCGTAACCTGTAGAGTGTCGCCTTTGACTTGGTGATGTGGGAGAGGGTGATCTTGTCTGTGTTCCGTAACAATCATTCACTGCCAGAGAATTTCTCTTTGGTGGAGTGTCGGTAATCGCTATGGATTTTCTTCGGGATGGTAATACCCTCCCAGCGTCCATTGAAGGCGTTTTCATTAGACTACAAAATTCCTCAAACGATATGACTCCTTTCTTTGCTGTATGAATTTCATTCATGATAATGTCCATATCGCTCAAAGTTACGGAATTTCCCAATGATGTAAGGGTGTGATAGAGTTCATCTCTACCAATATAACCGTCTCCATCCTTGTCAAATAATTGAAATGTTTGTTGAAAAAGTATTTTTTCTTTATGATGATGACGATGAGCAAGGCTTCAATTTGATCTTCCACTTACCTTCTGCTGTTACTTTTGGGGTGCTACTATTCCTCGACGATGGTAAAGGAGAAAGCGCTCTCATTTTTTATTGTACCTTGCTAAGCTGCCCAACCGAAAGGCCGCCTTAAGTACATAAATCCCATTCTAAAGTCTCAAAAAGTCAAAGTAAACAATTATGGCTTGCATGGTTATTATTTCCAAATAGTACAATTTTATTGAGTGCTTCCTAGCAATGCAACACCACGTAACTTCCACTTGGATTTGTCCTCTACACAATTCAATTCCACACTGAAAATATAAGTCAAATCATTTCGAGTCTTATTTCTGTAAACAGGGCATGTGTAGCTATTCTTCTTCTTATCTTTCTTTTGATCATCCTTTGTGGCTGCTGAGATGTGAATAACAGGAAGCTTAGTATACAAAATTTTAGGTTGAGATTCTGCAAGACGAATATTGGTTCTATCCCAACCACCACCCTCGAGATACAGTCCATGAATGTAAACACCCTCGCTTGGAGGTTCAATAACATCCTTTTCATCCATCTTAGTGACTTCTGCCTTCAATACCACGTCATCGAGAGCCCATCCAGCATGTGATCTGGTAACTTCTTGCTGCACAGCAGTCAAAAAACCTTGAGGATTATAAAAACCTGTGAGACGGAATGAGTTTGGTCTGCCTTCTGTGAGCCATTTATACAACTGTTCATGTCTTGACTGGAGTTCAGAGAACCAAAGACCAATTGTTGGAGATTCCCAAGAGTATTTCTTCCAAATGTCAGGAACTCTACCGTCGTAAATATTGTTCAAAACATCAGACAAAGCAGCACTCATGATGATTGCACCATCAATAGCAAGTTTCAAGTTTTGAAGGTCTGTTCTCACCATACTAATGAGCTTTTGGAGTCTGTCAATTTCTTGACTGAGGAAAACGTTCAAAGAATTTCTGTCAAAACCTCCTTGTTTCTTAATTTCAAGATCAACATGGTCTCTCTTGAAATCTGCCGGCATATTCTTTAAGAATTCTTCAGCCTTCCTGAATACAGCATCTTCTCTTGTTTCTCCAGCTGCTCCAGAACTTTCTTTTGGTTGAACATCTAGAATTGTAGAAAGTACACTCTTTGATTCTTCGGTACGGTAGGTAATATCTGCATTAGGATGCAAGCCAAACACTTCTGGGTTGTCAATAGCAGGAATTTGTTTTTCAATGAAGTCCACAAATTGTTCCTTGTCAATTTCTTGTACCTTGTCTCCAACAAATGGAATGGTGTAACCATCAAAGAATTTAAATTCTGTCTTACTAACATCAGGGGACAACCATTTTTCGCCATATGTCTTGAAAAGGAGACGATCTCTTTCGTCAGTAATTTTACCACCATAGTGAACATCACAAATCATGTATCTAACAGTTGGCCAACTAATTGTAGGTCCTTTCTTGATGTCGTCACCAATTGAGGCAAAATGGTTCTGCAAGAACAATAATGAAGCGCTCAAGTCAGCAAAGTTGAATTCGTAAGGAATGTTCCATCCTAGATAACCGAATTTCTTTCTTTCAGAAACAATTGAACTGAGGAAGCAAATAGTATAGATAAGTGGCTTCCATTCTGGTCTCTTTGAGGCATCAAGCATATCTTGAGTAACCCATTCGAAAGCATTCTTCATACCTGCCTTAATTCCTACATCACCTTCCAATGTTAGTTTAATGGACATTTGCAAAAGGCCGATTGGGAATTTTGGATGAGGTTCACTTGTCAACCAAATTCTAAAGTCTGGATGGATGTTTTCAGCATTCTTGATCATGTCTTCAATTTGGCTAATGAACTTCAATCCCAAGTGGCAATTCTGTAAGAGAACCCAACTTCCGTTAGCAAATCCTGTCTGTATGTATTCAGTTGCTCTTGGTTCTTGTCCTTGACCCATGGAAATTGCCAAAACGTCCTTCTTTTGATTTCTTGCAAGTCCTTCAATTGCAGATGTTGGATCAGAACCGGGGCTCAATAAGCACACAAATGGAGTCTTATTGTCACTTTCTTTCCAAACACTGTCTAAAGAAGTTGGTACGACATCAAGGTACTTCTGTCCCAAAGCAGATCTAATGTATTGCATTGCAGCTAGAATAGTTCTATCTTCTCTTATGGAACGGATCAATAATAGTTTTTCGAATTCAGTTAAATTACTATATTCTGGTACCTTTGTTTCTTCTGGTTTTTCTTCATCATAGAACTTCTTCCACAACTTGTCATTCTTATGAATCTTTTCAGGTAATTGCTTGAATGTCTCCAAGTTGAAAAGACTCATCACATTGAGCCATGCAATATCGGGAAGCCAATCAACTTTTTGTCTGACCTTGCTCAAGTCTAACATGGCACCTCCTCTCAATAGAGTACTGAATTGATCGAATGGTAACTTTCCTTCTCTCAATTGGATCTTACATGTCAACAACAACAGGAACAAGAATTTGTGTCTCTTGAACAAACCTCTGCTAATGTATCTGTAAATGATGAACGTGCATGTTTCCTTAATGTTATGAATTCTTTGAGAGGCCACTGGAGCAGGTGGAGCAGTTTTTATGCCTCTATCAAACAAGTGTAAGAACTGATTCAGAGAAGTTTGATACATTGGGTTGACCAAAGACATTTCTACAATTAAGAAGTAGAGAACGCTTCCTCTAATTGCAACGTCTTCGTACTCCATTCTGGCTTTGTTGATTCTCTCCTCGGTATCCTTAGCATTGTTCAATTTTTCTTTGATTTCAGCTGCAGCCTTCTTGGTTTGAGCCAACACTGCAATCAATTCTTCGTCTTCAATTAGAGACTTATCGGATTCTTCAGAAAGTTTTGAAAGAAGCCTGGCTTCAAGTTCTGCCATGATTTGTTGGTTGTGATTAATGTCTTCTAGGATCTTTTCTCTTTGTTCTTCAAGCTCAGCCTTTTCTTGTTGGATGACATAGCCAAGAAGTTGTTGCTCAAGACCTTTCATAGTAACTGTAAAGTCAATGACATTGCATTTGGCAAACAGTTCTGGACTAAAGTTTGGATTGGCAATTTTCGTTGTGAGGAAGAGTTTGAAACTGTCGTCATAGTCAATTGCCTTGTCTTGAATAATGACTTGTTTTTGTTTACCTTGAGCAACGAATGACTTTTCCAAGAGTGGATCTAACATTGGATCAATCTCTTCTTCGACATTTTCAATGATGAGAGGATAACCATTTGAAATTGCCTCTTCGAGAACATTTCTAAAGTACTTGTCTGTCAACCTAGCAATTCTTAGATTGTGCTTTTCAAACTTCTTCTTTAACCAAGCCAAACCTTGTCCTTGAGGGTCCACCAACAGAGCCCATTTGGATGACTTGGTTAACATAATGGCGTTTTGGATAGAGTGAGAGTCTGTTGGAAGACCTTCAAGGTTCCATGCACCAATTTGAGCTTCAGTGGTAAGCAAGTCAACAATCTTGTCCTTCTTTTCATCCTTGTCCTCTTCTGTGACAGGAATATCTTTCTCTTTACAATCAGCATAAAAGCACTTAGAGAGAAGAATTTTACGGAATTCGCTGTTGAATGGACCACAATACGAAATAAAGGCACATGCTAATGCAACATCTCCTGTTAGCTTCTTCAATCGATCGGAGAATTGATTGGACTGTTTGCTCCATCTCTCACTTTCTCCTCCAAGAGATCCAATCAAGCTAGTTGCTTGCTCCATAAATCTTCTGGTTCGTTCAGCGTCTTCTTCCAAAGCTTCCTTTTTACGAGTTTCTTCTTCGAAGATTCTTTGCTTCTCTTCAAACTCTGCTACAATCTTATTTAACTCTTCCATTTTCTTGTTAAGATGTGCAGTGGCAATAGCAAGCTTTTCTTCAGCTTCTCTCAATCTTTCTCTCTTTGGACGAACATCCTTTTCGACATTGTGATATTCAACCATCGCACGAACCCATGTACACAAGTTTGAAGCAGCGGACGATGATGATTTGATAATATCATATGTAAAGAAGCTATAGTTAATGTAAGGCATGAGCAACTCTACAGTTTCATCCGTAATTTCGTCTTGCTTGAATTGTTGAATGGCTTTTAAGAAACCGGCATCTGCAGTCATCTTTTGTGCTTGAGCATACGAGTCTTCAATAATTGGACCAAGCTTTTCATCGTTCACAATCTTGACGTCATTAATTGGGAAACCTCTAAGTAAAAGCACACCATCGAAAACTGTCTTAATAGCTTGTGCAGGAACGGTGTATGCTTTAACAGTTTGAATATCTTTGGGTTGAATGGAGGCAACAGCTTTTTCAGCACGTTCAAGAGCAGGTTTAGCCTTTTCCAAATCAGCCAAAGCTTCTTTTTTGCTTTGTTCGACGAGATTGTGTTCCTTTTCAATGATATCCTTTTCTTTTTCAACTTCAGTCTTCTTTTCCAAGGTCTTGGTCTTACTCTCTGAAACCTGTTTCATAATTTCTTCAGCTTTAAGCTTAGCTTCTGCAAGCTTCTTTTCTTTAATTTTCAATTCAATTTGCAGCTTTTCGACGTCTTCTTTGGCATCATGCAGTTTAGAAAGACCCATAGCCACGTTCTTGGCCTCCTTGTCAATTTCTGCATACTTTGCTTTGTAGACGTCCTTGTACAGCTGAATGAAAGACAAATAAGATTTTGGAGTAGTATGTACTGCTCTTCTGAATCGTTGGAAGTATTCTTGTGATACCTCATTAATCTTGTTGTGTACGGCAGCCATATGCTTAATAAGACTTTGTTTCACTTCAGGTGTACAGTTAATCTTGTAGTCGTCCAAAAACTTTTTAGCAACGCTGACAAGAGCTTCCTCAGGCCATGGGAAGAACCAGTTCACAGAACAACCGCTGATTAGAGCAGGGAATTTCAAAGCTCTACTTCTGAACTTCTCACTAACGGGAGAGAAGCAAAGACAGATGTGCAAATTATCTCTGACTCTGTTAATAAAGAATCTATAAAGATTATCATATGTATCGTTTCTTCCAATGGTTGTTGGGTATAACCGTTTGGCAACAAGTCTCAAATCGTTAATTATTGAATCAATTTCTTCCTTCATGAATAAACCAGAAACCTCACCCGAAGATAAAATACTGTTGATGTATTCCAGGAAAGTCTCATCCTTAATTTCATTGTCAGTGAAAATGAACGTTACAGGCTTTCCTTGCAAACCTGCGATCTTGTAGAGCTCTCTTAAATCTTCAAAGAAGTTGTTTGCGTTGTAAGTCTTGTGTAATACAATTTGCTTAATCTCATATCCAGCAATAAACGAGGCTAGCCGTGTTAGAGATTGCTTTCCTGAACCACCAACACCCACTAATAGAGCATTACCTCTTGGCATACTCAAAATTCTTGAAATACGAACTAGATGTTTAAGAGCCATGTCGAACAAAACTAAATCCAATTTCTTGATATGTTTTCTTTCGGCATTGTAGTTCTTCATGAAACCCTCTACTCTGTCTCTCAATGATTGAATAGATTCAATTGGTTCATAAATCTTTGGAGCTTCTTCTACAACCTCATCAGTATCTTCGTCAATAATAGGATCTCTGAGGAAGTTAACGAAATAGCCAAGTGGTAAATTAGCCATCTCTTTTCCAAAGTATTTATCAGAAATAGTGGTCACTGCTTCATCAAACCATGCCTTATCTTTTACATCATTCAGCCTGTCAGAAAATACTCTGCCACATTCGTGCTTCCATAAGCTCATCAAAATTTGTGGGGTTCTAACAACGTCAGCTGGGCAGTGCATTAAACCTTGGTAAACTCTTGACAAGTCTCTCAAGTTAAAAATGTAGTGGAATTTCTTTGGTGTTGGAAGCATTTTTTCCTGAATTAATCTCCAGAATTCAATAGTTGCTGGAGTAATGTTGTTAGAAATCTTTAAGATATCATCACCAAATCTAGATGAATTATATCTTCCTCTGATAATTGAACCATAGATTTGATCGATAGATGCAGCTGTTGGAAGAGTAATGTTCAAAATGGCAAAATGTCTCTTAAGTCTTTCAGGAATATCGTTTTTACCCCCTCCTGGGTGAGACATTGCTGCAATAAATTGAAGATCTTCTATATGAATAAATTCTCCAATCTTGCTCAAGCTGTAAAATCCTTTTTCTTCGATAAGCTGTCTGACAATTTCATTAGTCACTTGGTCACCCCAACTGTTAATCTCTGGCATGTTAATATCATCGATAAATACTACCATCTTCTTATTTTGGGGAGGACCGTAAACTCTGAATCTTTTTTCAATATTATCCTGAATAGTAAATTGGAAAATATTGTGGGTTGTTGCAGATGAAAAGTTAATCTTCTTGTACATCATTGTTTCAGGATCAAGGTTGTATAAATAATTTTCAATGGTAACAGTCTTTGCAGTACCTGAACCACCTGTAAATAAAATATCTCTCTTTTGTTTGGCAAGGGTCTCAATAAGGAAGGTAGTTCTCACTGAGTCTGATGTTGGAACGTAGAGTGTACTGAACTCCAAGTGATCATTTTCAGGATAAATCCAAGATGGAATTACACTCTTCCAATTTTTCCATTTCTTTGAGGTAACATCAACAAAGAAGTCAAATATTGTTTCATCATCGGACATGTCCGTCGGGAAGCTAGATGCTTTCGTCTTGATGTAGTCGCTAAAGAATTTTCTTGCCTTGGTTTCTAAAAGACCACCAATGGACCATGCAAATGAAAACCAGAAAAGCATTTCAATATGAGGCTTCTCGAGCTTAATTTCTCCATTCTTTGAATGCTCTTGAATTAATTGGGTAATAATGCTGAAGCAAGTCATTGCTTGGTTGACACGAACTACATTCATAACCTGTTTGAGTTCTTTCTTGATATAATCTAAACCAGCATCAATGTGAGCTTGGAATAAGCTTCTTACAATTGCCGTTTCTTCTTCTTTGAATGGAGGAACAGGTACTTCATTGCTTGGAATGCTTTCATTGACTCTACCTGAAAATCCCTTCAATCTTGACTCCAAAACAGGAGCCCAACCAAGAATTGATTCAGAAATGTAAATTTGACCTGCTCTTGAAACTGTAGCAGGGGATGCATTGTTAAGATTTTCAACTTCGAAGCACATCTTTACGTCAGGAGACATTGCAAGTCTATCACCATTTGCCAATGTTAGTAATTTGTTGTCGTCAAGCACAGTGTTCAAATTTTCAATCCAAATAGCATCGACTGGTCCGTCACAATTAATCCAGATATGTTGTTTCTTTTGCTTGTTTGCTTGTTTCCAAAGATCTGAAAATATACCATCTGTCCATTCGTTTGCAATCACATCCAATTTACCAAACATTTGATTTGCAGTAATAGCCTTTGGATTCATTCTGAGTTGCTTGTATGGTTTTTCTGGATTTAAAACACTTAAGGTTTTCAGCAATACAGAGTAACAAGCACTCTTTCCCGAGCTTGCTGCACCTACCACCATGATACCGTGACGAACCAAACAAGTTTCATACAATTGAATAACCTTTTCAACCCATGGTGTGTGGTTTTCGAAACCTGCCTGTTTGATTTGTACTTCAAGTTGCTTTTCCAATTCTGGGAAACGTCTCTTTTCTGGATTTATACCAGGGAATAAATCTTCAACAAGCGAATTAAACAAAGGAACGTCTTCAGCAACAAGTTTGGAGGTATTCATGTCTCTTAGAGTTCTCATAAGTAAGAATGGTTCAGATTTTTCAGGGTTTGAACGTTTAGTTTCTCCTGCAGTTCTCAAAACTGATAGGATGTTTCTGAGACCAAAGTCATAGTGAGGCTGTTTAGAGAGTTGTTGTTCGCACAATCTGTACAACACATCAAACTTCTTTGACAAAATGTCATTCTTTTTGTAACCTGCAGCTGCAAGCTTGACTCTAATAATAATCTTTCTGTCAGGAACCATCATTGCCACACCTCTAAACAAGACTTTAAGGTTTTCTGGAAGTTCTTGTCGTCCTTGATAACCAGGATTCATAGTAATGAAAATGGCTGTCTTGTCATCCAGTTTGCAAGGTTTACCATCAGTGAAGGTAAATTTCTTCTTACCATCTCTCATGGTTGATAAAATGGACTGAATTTGTTGGGCAACAACACTCAACACTTCAAGTTCAATACGGTTGAATTCGTCAAAATCTCCCCAAGCACCACTTTGAGCTAAACCTCTAAAGATTTTACCCATGGCTCTGTAGTCCATTTGGTCACTGCAATTGAACACGACCACATATTTACCAAGAGTTCTACCAAGATCTTTTACAGTTTCTGTTTTACCTGTACCTGCAGGACCTGCTGGAGCGCCTCCAAGTTTCAATCCAATTGCCTGGGCCAATGTAAGGTAACATCTATCAGTAAGAGGTGTAATAACAAGTCTTTCCTTACATCCTAAATACTCAAAGCAATATTCTTGATCAATATCAGCAATAGATACGATACATGTGTCTTGATCAGGCTTCCAATAGAATCTTGCTTGTTTTTGCCAATCAAAGTTACTCAACTCTTTGACCTTATCTTTTACAAGCTCAGCGAAAACGTCCTTTTGGTGAACCTGAATGGTAATGAGAGTTTCAATCTTGGTTCTTTCAAGAGGGGTTAGTTCTCTTGTAGTCAAGGTTGTCAATTCACTTAAAATACCATCAATTTTTTTCAAGCTTTCATTCATTGCTCTCTTATCGGATTTTGCAGCCATAAGAGCAGTTTCGCACTGAATCGTCCAAATAAATTGAATACCTAAAATTGCTACTTGAGCTGGATACTTCTCAATAAAACTGACAAGTGCCAAAGTAGAGCATTCTTCTGCTGCATCTCGTACAATAAATCTCAAAGTTCTTTGCATTTCTTCTTCCAACTTCTGAAGCCAGTCCTCAACATTACCTGCTGCAACTACAGCATCATTCAAAGGAACAACTTCACCTTCAGGAGAGTGCATACTCAAAATCTTGTTGTCTTGTCTTGCATCAAAAGTAATCTTGGCAATGCTATCGAAAATAGTAATTAAAGCAGGTTGAATTGCATGAGGATCTGATGACTGTGATAAAATTTCAAGTAAAGCAGTATCCGAGTTGAAATAGAATCTTGGGAAGATATCTCTTTTTTGTTCGAGATATCCTGCCAATGCCTTTTGACATTCCTCAAGACTGACTTTAAGTGCTGGCAACATTTTCAGCATTTCATTATCATAACAAAATCGAATAACGTTTGGTGTTGCTACTGCCTTTTGCATAATTTTTACCCAGTTCTTGTCGATGTGACTAAATTTCTTATCCTCATGAGGAAGTTGTCTCTTGATATCACCACTTGCAAAGACTGGTTCAAGATAAAGCCATTGAGATTGAACTTGTCTCCATGCTTGAATATTTTCAGTGACTGAAGTCAGCTTTTGCATCCAGCCAGATGCAAGTTCTCTGAATGGTTCAAGGTATTTTGATCCCATAATACCTCCCAAGTTCATTTGAGCTTCTTCTAATTGTTCCATCAATTCTTGGGTTTCTGTACCCTTCAAAATGATTGGGCCACGATGCTTATACTCGGCAAAAGATAACTCTCTATCTTTCCATTCTTCTGTGAGTTTTTTCAACTTTTCTTCAATTTCCAATTCTTTACGAGCTGAGTTACAAACATCTTCCACTTCTTCCTTACATTCTAATAAATTAGCCTCGAGGATATCTTTTAATTTAAATACCTCATCTTCTTTCTTAAACTTCTTCTTTGCCAAGTCCTCAATTTTCTCCCAGTGTCTTGATCTCATAGCTGGATGTTTAAGCGACTCAAGTAAAGGTTGAAGTTCAAGGAAGTCTTCAATAGTTTTTTTCAAGTTTTCATAGGCCTCAATACCTTTCGCTGCCTTCTTAAGTGAAGAACACTTTGTGGCAAACTTGTTCACTTCGTCGGTAATGGCAGGGAAGTCAAGTTCCGACCAGAGTAATTCTCCATAACTTCCAACTTGCTTCTTAACTTTGATATATAAATCGTACAAAGTATCGTATAACTTTAACATTTTCTTCATCTTGGTTAGTTCTGGATATTCTTGTTGAGGAAGGCCGAATAGCTTTTCTCCCTCTTTATAGACCTCATACTTTCTTTCTCTTTCTGTAAACAATCTTTGGAATTTGTTCAACCGTTCTCTGGCCTCTTCTGGAGAAATGTCAGGAACCATTGGGCCGTTAGTTTGGAAATCTGCCCAAAATTGTGCCACGTCTTGTTTAAAAATCTTGACTTCTGAAATAAGTTGCGTTTTGAAACCGTTTTGCACTTTTGAAACTGTTTCGTTAACCTTGCTAGCAAGTTTTGTTAACTTTTCCCATTTTCCTGTGAGGTCGTGAGCTTCATCAAATTCTTCTTTTGGAACATTGACGTCATACTTTTTAAGAATTGAATATCTATCCAATATCTTGTTAAAATGATATTCAATCATTGCTTCTCTAGATCGAACATCTTTAACTGTATCCATCACAAATCTCAAATCCTCAAGTGTGGTGATTTCAGGATGAAGGCTCTTTGTTGATTCATCAAAAAGAGTCAAATAATAATTTAACTCTTCAGTGGCACTCTCATGTAAATTGTTGGCGTACTGAACCTTCCATTGTGTAACAAGTTGTAGCAATGAATTCTTCAAGTTATCAGCGTCCAAAGTAAAAGGACCTGCAGTACTGTGAGTTTGCATAGCGTTAATTTGACCGTCTAAGACAGTATATTTGTTCAACTCCTTCTCAAAATCATCCAATGTTGGCTTCTTGTCAACACATCGATCAACAAACTTTTTGTATGCAACTTGCTTGTCTTCCTTCCAAAGATAGCCATAACTTTCAAATTTCGAAACAAAGATACCAATTTCCTTGGATATAGCGTTTGCACTACCGCTTAAAACCATTACAGTTTTAACAATTTCGCCATCTTTAGATATTTGTTTGTAAAAATGAACATCTTGCTTACACTTCCAAGGTTGAATGGCCTTAGTTGTTCCAAGAACTGACTGAATTAATCTGTCGAACGATTCTTGAATTTCATTCAAACTTGGCTTGAGGATAATCTCAGGGATGTTCAACTCTAGACTAATCTTGAAGAATGGATCGCTATGTGTATCTCTCTTTGTTCTCATTCTAAAGTTATGCAAAGAAGCAGTCACTGATCTTGTAAGTGAATTCAATAGGGTAGTGTGATAATGGTTCTTAAGATCGGTGATTAACTCTTCAGTCATGATTTGCTTTGCCTCCTCGAATGGGAAGCTAGAAATCACCTCTACAATGTCATCCACTGCCCTTTCAATTTCCAAACTCTTGTTATATAGTTGCTCTGAGATTTCTTTTGAGTGTTTATCTTGCATATCCACAATTTGATCGAGCGTGTTATCGTTACTTTCTGGAATATTGAAGAATGAGCAGTTAGAAATATCATTTAAATTCTTTTGAATTCTTCCATCAATAATGTCATTAATCTTCAAAATGACATCTTCTAACTTTTCTAGTGTCTTATTGATTCTCTTCAAATACACAGAAATGTTCATCGAGGTCCATGAAAGAGTAGTGACACCAGGTTCAATTCTCTTCTCTAATTCTTCAATGTGAGGAGCCAACAAAGGTTTGACATCATCTTTAACCATTGACAAGATCCTTAATCGTTCCTTCAGCACAAAAGAAAGCTCGTTGTAGTAACCCTTGTATTTTTGCTCTTGGATCAATACAGTCTTAGCAGAATCTGGTATTTCAATTCCTAGTCTCATCAGCCACTTGCTCTCTCTGATGAGTTGAATGATTTCAATGTCAAAATTGACAAAAAGTTTGTCATCTAAACGGATTAGAAGTGTTGCTAGTAAACCATCTTTTGCTTTTTCTGCATACTTTTTCCATGCATCCAACCAGCTTGTTTCAAATTTAATAAGGCCCATTAATACCTTATTATATGTCTTAATAATTTTCTTAGATTCCTTGCTTTGCATGATTGTGGGAATTTGTTGGAACTTGGACATTGGTTCTTCTATTCTTCTCATTAATTGTCTGCACCATATCACTTTACCAGCAACTGGAGGAGCATTTCTAACCAAATTGGGTTTTGTCTTGTACTTTTCATATAACTTTTGGATATTTTCTAGTTGGAATCCATAGTTATGGAAAATAACAGTGTACTTGTTTTCAAGCTCTGTTTGCAAAGTTTCTCTCTTCAGAATGGTTTTGAATTTCTTCAATACTTCTAGAGCTTGTTCGCTACTAGAAATATTTTCAAACCAGGTATTGATGAACACTTGCAAGTATTGCTCTAGATGAACAACCTTCTTATTGAAAGTCATGTATTCCTTATCGAAGGCATTTCTTTGATAATCTAAAAGGTTTGCTGACTTTCTCTTCAACTCATCTACATAACCAAAAAATTGAGTAATAAGCTCATCCATTCCTTCAATGTTATTACTTCTAAGAGAATGGAACTGATCAATGGTTAAAAACAATTCAATTAGCGTATCAATTCTTCTGCAAAAGAGTCTTAATTTACCAAAAATTTTCAACTCGTCAAAGTCGAACTCTCTTCCTTTTTGTTGTTGAAGTTTGGTCTTCTCGGCAAAGTAGCAGCCCTCGTATTCTTCCTTTAATCTTATACAAGTTTTCAAACTAGTTAATAGCTCGTTTGTATCTTGATCCCACAAACGGCCATTTTTCTCAATATTGTATTTACAGTTTTGGATAATCTGGAGACTTATCTTGACCAAAAGTTTTTCCATCTTTTCTTTAGAACTATAGTATTTAGCAATATTGTACATCATGCTAATATTCTTGATTAAACTAGGGAGTATTTCAATTATGTGTGATGGAGGTGAGTTGTAGAGCGGATCAATGTACTTTTCAAGAGAAGTGAGATATTTAACATTATCTTTGGCCTCATTGATTGCATCGGTTAGTGCAATATCACAATCTATCCATTCCTGAGGTGCTTGATATAACTTCAAAGCAGAAATAATTGCTTTATATTCTTCTCTCTTCAGTTGTTCCATCACACTATTTAATCTTAGGAATCTGTTTTTCCAATACTCAATTTCAGCTGTAGGTCCGAGCTCATTATCCATGGGTTTGTTATCATCAATGACTCTTTGTATTTCCTGTACCCACATTTTCACCAAATTCTCATAATAGCCCATCAAAGCGAGGTTATCTTTCGCTTCTTTGATGGCTGTTGGAGTGTTGGAAATGAGTTTATCTGTGGCTGGTCGTGTTAACGTGATTGTTGGTGATTTGGATGAAAGAGCCTCTCCTAGTTTATCCGAAAATCTTTTAGTTGTGTTCAATAACTCTTTAGTTTGTTCGGATGATGATTTTCCCCAATTCATATCCTCGGCGCTGAACACAGGAATAAATACCTGATCAATCACGGTGTGCATATTGTCAATGACATTTCCATCTAGAACACCAGATATAAACGCATCAACAATTTGTGCTTCCTTCGAAGGGACTGGTTGATTTCCTCTTCTGATGAAATATAAAACTTTTTGTGTTTTGTGCGGAAGGTCCTGTGTGGACTTGAGCGTGAGCTGTGGTTCATTGTTTTTCTCTGGTGGAAGCAGAGAGAATAAAATGACAGGAGTTGCAGCATCCCCTTTCAGGAACGATTCCATCATATTCTCATTGTTGTCGAGAAGTTGTTGGATCTGAAGGGTCTTTACTTGAGGGAACGCCTCCTCAATTCTCTCAGAAATATATTTCGATCTGATATCCCTGATGACCATGACGAATATTTTTTGTTGTAGTTTTTATTTTGTATTCAATTTGTAAAAAAAGCGCGGGTCAAGAAAAAAACCAGGCGCATTTTGGCCCATTTTCAATTAACATCAAAGACGATGTGAGTAGATCCATGTTGCAATGTCTCAAACTCCAAAAGTTGGTTGAACCTTGCAAGCTCACTCATTCAGGTCCATTCTTCTTATTAACCCATCCATGAATGTTTTTAAGACTTCATGTATCTCTCTCAAAGTTCAATCACCTATTCTGAACTACCTCAAAAAACTGTAAATTTCAATAACCGTTAAGAGTATTCTCCTCAAAAGAAAATATGAGCACTACCAACAGCGAGAGGGGAGGAGTTGGAGGCCATTTCTTATCGGACGATGAGGACGAGGATCTCTTGCTTGAAGAAATTGACGGAGAGAATCTTAACCATCCTCATGGTAATCATTCATTTGAGGATCAGAATCATCATCATGTCAATAATGGAGTAGCATCCTCATTATCCATGAGCAACAACAATCATCATCGGAATCATTCATTCAATTCATCATCCCTCACTGATTTAAAATCGGTTTCATCGGCAAAACGCAACGCACACAACAAAACCACAAACTCCTCTGTAAATCTTTCATCGTCACTCAACGCTTCTCGAAACGTCGTGCCCTCCATTCACTCACTCCCACATCGTTTTTCTGTGGAAAGTCCAAGCATTTCATTTGCAAAAGGAGAAAGAACCTATTCATATCTAGACAGAAATAGAATATCCACACCAGGACCCATCTATGAAGTCACCAACAATAATAGCTTTGTTACCAAGAACCCTACAGCAAGTAGCCATTCATTTCCGAAAGGAAAACGATTTGTAGAAGAAGATTTGAAGATTGCAAAACAAGCTCAAAATCCAAGCCCAACTGCTTACAATGCTAAATTCACTGCTTCCTCTAAACAAAAGAATGAGCCATCCTATTCGTTTGGAACTCGAACACCTGTCGTAGAGTTTCGGTCAGACTCACCTGGTCCAATTTATCTCCCTCAACAAACCTCCCCAAAGTCTTCAAAAGTACCCACCACATTTGGAGCTGGTGAACGAACCCTCAAGTTGAACGATAACAGAGCAGCTTCTCCTTCACCGTGTGCTTATGATCCAACACCTTTAGAACCAAAAAAAAGTGTGACGTTCACCTCGTCTAAGAAAGACGGTATGTTGAACTATTCTCACTCTTTTCATTATCTTAACAATCTTTTTTCCAACAAGTTGACTTTATATTTTTTGGAGACAAATTAAGCAACCACAAGGATGTAAGTCTTCAATTTTTTTAATGCATGTCTTCCTTATTAACACCCAACAAACAGGCTTATCGAACACCAGGTCCCGTTTATGATCCATCGTTTAGAGCAACTCTGTCTTCTTCTCCGTCATTTACTTTTGGTCTTAAAACCCCACTTCCTTCTGAGCGGCCTTCCTTAGACAACCCAGGTTTTTTGAGGCCAGAAAAATATAGTACGGCGCCATCAATATCTATTTCAGGGAAAGAAAAAGAAGTAGATCCTACAATAATTCATGCTCCTCGTTTGAGGTACATCAATGAAGCATTTTGTCAAGAAAACTATGGAAGAGAGTCCCCAGGTCCTAAATACAATATTTCAGGCAGCTTTCTTATCCCCTCTAAAAGAAAACCAGTTACAGATCATCTGAGCGTGGTAAAGAATGATAAGAAAAAAGGAAATTCATCCGGAAAGCCCCCTTACTTAGGTTATAGCATCTCAAAAACAGCTGCTATTGACACGGACAGTCCAGGTAAGTCTTGGATATTTAAGAAACGAATTGTTCTAACATTACGTAATTACAGGTCCTATCTACTCGCCCAAGGATGAATTAACAACTAAAGCAAGACGACCGTCGTCCATTATCATGTCACCTCCAAAAAAGGCCAAGCTAAAGCAAAGCAAAGCACCTCCATTATTATATCCACAAATTGATGTTCTTTCAAGAATACCAAAAGTGACAGCTCCCCGATTTGTTAAATCCAGTATGGATTGCCGAGATTCTAGTCTATTGGCTTCTTCATCTGAATCTCCAGGTCCAATTTACAAGGTGGATTGGGATAGTCTTTCTAAGAGCGTCTCTCAATCCTATAGGGGAAAATTTGGGGGTTTGTCATGAAATAAAGGTTCAACTCACAATTATTTCTTTGAGATTAGGTACTATTTCCTACCAACGGAGATACAAGAGAATTCCTCGACCATAGAACACATAAGAACAGCCTTCACTATTTTATTTCTTTGCCTTTTTTCTACGGGTACGAACTGGAATGACCTCTTCTTCTTGCTCTGGTTCCTCTTCAACCTCACTTGCTACTGGCTCTTCTTCTTCTTCTTCCTCTGGTTCAGACATTACTTCTTCAGGAGTCTCTTCACCAGAGTTCCATTCATCTTCGTCTTTCTTTTTTCTCTTCGTCGCCTTTTTCTTTGTTGAGGGCTTTTTAGCAGCTTGTTTCTTTCGACCTTTCTTTGACTTGGAGCTTACGTCAACAACTAATCCATCTTGCATATGACCTTTGATAATTTCCTTTGCCCATTTGTAAATCTCTTTTACAGTACCTTCCTCAAATACTGGACTAGAGAGTACTTGTCGAAGCTTTGGTAAGGTTGTCTTAAAGTCGAAAAGAATCGAGTTCTTGACAGAAGAATTGGTCTTTTTCTGGAACGATTTTGGATCTGCCAAATAATCTTCCATCTTTGCATTGTTCAAGTTATATCTAATTTTCAATGTATTCTTGAACTGAATTAAGAAGCAAAGAGAAGTAGCTAACGCAATATTTCTATGAATCTCTGTCAAGTTCTTATCGTCCTTCTTGATTTGAGTCTTCAATTCTTCGCAATAACTATCGCCAATAGTATCTAATTTTTCTTGTATGGTACACACCATTCCAGCAACTTCAGCTAGTGTCTTGTAAGGTATAAAAGTCAAGGCCTCAACCATAAAGCTCACCTGATTCAATAATGCAAGATTGTCCATTTTCGTATCTAACAAGTTGAAAACAGATTTCACAACATCAGACATGATGTTTTTCTTGGTTTCTGGTGGAAAATCTCCTACAAATGAATATGCTCCCTTAAAGACGCTGTGAGTTTCGTCAACTGTTGAAGAAGCTGTCACGATTCCTCTCACTCCCACGTTTCCTTCATTAATCTTTTGAAGATGAGAATACGACAAGAGGAATCCAGGTCTCGTCTCACCAATAAATGGTTTAGCAAATCTATCATACAAGTACAGATTGAGAGTGTGAGCTTTTTCTCTAATTTCATTATTGGGATCACATTCCATAGCAATAATATACTTCATAATTCTTGAAGGAATGGTTAATCCTTGCTGCACTGTGAGATCTAACACTTCTAAAGTAGCCAATCTGATAACATCTGTTGGATCATCCAACAATGCGATAATGGAATCCATGTAGTAAGAAATAAGGGTTGACGTCACACTATAACAAAAGTAAAGGTTGTTAAAGGAAAGACAACAAAATTACTTACCCCGCATCTACATTGTCTTGATTGCCCGCTGCACTCAACTTGGATTCTTCTGCCAACAAAAAGTCTTTGAACATGAGCACCACTTGAATTACAAGCTCCTTGTTTGGGCTTTTCAGACATTCAGAAATGACCTTTTGGCTCTGTTGCCGCAGGAAAAGCTGTGGTTGTCGAATAAGAAGGAATCCCATGGATCTTGCAGCTTTCTGTTTTAGTAAATTAGTGCCTTGTGCCATCCAACCAATAACAATATTATATATAGATGTCACAACACTACCTGGCTTGAGATTTGGATGAGTAGCATTTGCTGGAATGTCTGTGATTGTATCAACGTCATGATATCTGCAAAATAAAGCGGCTGCATAGAGTAATCTAGCTGTTGTTGCATCATTTTTCAAATTCGTCTCATTCACTGTCATGAGATTTAAAATTCTTGTCAGTATTCTATAAATTTCTTGAGTATTCTTAATTCTTCTTAAAAAAGCACAAAGACAGCTAATACAGGCATCAATAGTCTCTGGTTTGATTCCTTGTGAAGAAAAGATAGTTTGAAGAAGTTCTGTCTGTAGCTTGGTGCAATAATTTGGTTCAGGCTTGTTTATGTAGGGACAAATCTTCTCAATCATAGAAACAGCATGGAAAATTACTGCTCCTGGATACCCAGAATTTGCATATACTAAAAAGTGTTAAGGTGTTAATGAAAGAAAATCCAAAGATACATACCAGACACGGTCTTGAAGTGAGGTAAAAGCAAAGAATAATCAGCCAAGCAAATTAGATGTAATGCAGCCATACATGTTGCAATGTTTGATCTGTTTGACACGTCAAGATTTAATGGTTCTCCTGCAAGTTTAATAACATGTTGCAGTAAAGGCTCAATAATCATGGAGAGAGACTTTTTTATCTTATCATGTTCCTTTGAATCCGAAGACATCTAAAAAATTGTTAAAAATAACATTGCAACTGTTTTCGACGTACCTTAATGATTTGATAGAGCCAATGATCCTTATATTGTTTAAAATCAATATTTTGCTTTCCAATCACATCAACAATTTGTAAGCCGCTAATTTTCAGCTTTTCAGAAGTGTTTTTGTCAAACCACAGTTTTGTAAATGTTTTCAAAACCAGTTCTTTGATGTTATCCTCTTCTTTGCTTTGGTGACTCAATCGAGTTGCTAAGGTCTTGCAAATTTCAGTGATAGTACCGTCGTCTGTGATGTGAGTGCAAATATCTCCTAGAATAGTAATACTCTTCTTTCTAACGCTTTTAGCCTTATCCACTTTTACTCTATCAAGTATGATCTTGATGTAAAAGTCTTCAAATCTCTTTAAAGTAATCATGGCATTTCCAATTAGGTCAATGACGCATTCTCGTACGCTTGGAAACTCATCAAGTGTTCTCTCTCGTATTCCCATTTGCACATAATTTTTCATTAGAACGGATGAATCAATATTAATGACTGTCTGAAGAGCCTTAACTGCGTCAGCTCTGACTTTTGCTTTCTCGTCTTTGAGCTCAGAAATAATCTGGCCAAACACAAAGTCAAACTTGTTGATCACGCTTGATGTTCTATTACAAATTACATTCAAGTATAAGTCCTTTGCATGCGAAGCTTGAACACTTCTAATAACGTTTTAGTTGATTGCAATTTGAATGCTGATTAAAACTTACGAGTTTGAGATGTCTGAATCGTCTCTGCCGAAAAGTGACTTGTAGAAAGGAGCCTTCTTTTCAATCTCACGTTCGTCATAAAACCATTGACACACAATAAACTGTTTTGCGAAGGCCAACATTGGTTCGTCCTTTTCCTGAGTACACAAATATGTAAATAGTGAAATTTTCATCTTATCAACTTCGTCTAGCTGGAACAAGTTCTTAAACTCATTTTGTAGTTTTTGAGTTGGGCTTTCAGAAAACGATTTTGACTTTTGAGGAGTGGTAAAAGGATGTTCCTCTTGAGATTTCTTATCAGCGTCATCGTCCTCAACACAACCCATTGTTAACATGTACTCTTTCATGAATTCTGAATTTTTGAATTCCAATTCTTTGGTACGTGCTGCAATTTTTCCTAAAATTTTGAGCGCTAACTGACGGAACTTATCCGCTACATCTTTTTGGGACAAGTATTTGTTGCACAATACGTTGGCCAAAGCTTGTAAGAGTAAGTCAGCTCCAGGCCATGATGGCAGTGGAAGAACAGTTAATAGATCTTCAACAAAGTGTTCAATAATTAAACGGTTGTCACCATCTACAGACTCTGATTTCGTACATCTTTCCATGAAATATTCAGAAAATGTAGTTGCACAACGAACAGCTTGTTCGTACGACTCTAGAATGCTGTCTTCTGATTCTGGTGTGTCATCTTGCATAATGTCATCATCCTCGTTGTCTGAAGTAGTTTCCTCTGCATTCTCGTCTCCAAAAACGAGTTTTCTTGCAATAGATGTTTCCTTGCTTTTGATGTCTGTACATGAATGAATAAGTTGCAACATGAGAGAAGTAAACATTTGTATGTAGGTCGAACTTTCAGCTATTCTAAACCTTCTATCTGTCTTCTTGTGAGCAGGAAGCCTTAACAAGGAAACAGTAATTTCACCTAAGATTTGATCTCTGTGTTCAGCATACGAAGAAAATATCTAAACTGGCGTTATCTTTCACATATTTGAATTTTCTTACATACCTTTGTAATCACTCCTAGAGATGACAACTGAATCTCTTCAATTCCACTCACGAAAAATGTAGAAACAGCAATATCAGAAATTGTTAGGATAAACTCATCTTTGAGCTTTTGCTTTCGCAGCATCTTGTCTAACCTTTTGAAAATTTTGCAAACATGTATAATTTCAGAATTGCAACTGAATTTTTTGTTTGACTTCTTTTTGAGTAAATCCTCAGATTCAACGATAGGATAAATGTACTTTCTCAAAATAGTTTTGGAGAAGTCTAAAATCGTGTCAAAACACTCTTCTAAAAGTATTTCCTTAGAAAGACCTTTTCCTGACATAACTGTTAATCCAAGTATTGAGCATCTACATGCAATGTTCAAAGTTTCTCTATCTTGTTTTAGGGAATTGATAAGATCTTCTTTTACAGTTTCTGTTACCGCTTTCAACAATTCTAAACCTATTTTAACCTGAGACTCAAGAACGTTGAGCAACTTGGTCAACTTTTCAGTAGGAACATCTTTGAGGTAGTTGTTCTTTTGTCCCAATTCAATCTCAACTTCCGCCTCTTTGAGCATCTTTTCCTGAACCAGTTCATCTTCAGTTTCTCTAAAATCGCTCCATGCAAATAACTCATCAAGAGCGCCAATTATATTCTCGTTATCGTCCAATTTAGGTGCCAAGTCAGCTTTAATGATTGTCTTGGAAGAGGGATGGGTAGCTTTCGCTTGTGGTTTTTGTTCAGCCTTTTCTACAGATTTGTTTGGCGACTCTTCCTCCAAGTTCAATTCAATCTCTTTTCGCAATATTTAATGTCAGATCTGTAAATTGCTATTTTGAAATTAAAACATACTCTTGTATTTTCTAGCCGGCCTTTTTTGCCTGACCTTGATTGGTGTGGTATTTGATGTTACTTTGGGAGGTTCCTGTGGTCAACCGAGAGAGTAGCAATGAAAATTATAGTGTCCTCCTAATCATCAACTTACCTTTTGGGAGGTGCTTTTCTTTTGAGCCTCTACGGCAACCGGTTCAGGATTGATAATGTTTTCCTTGTTTTCTTGATATTTTAGTAGAGCATTCAAAAGTGCTGAATTGTTGCCTGTATTGAGATTTTTCTTATCAAGCAAGGCTCCATTCTGGTTGAGAATGCTGTGTTTTCATGGTTGGCGAATCGAAAGATAATCATAATTGTTACTTACATTTCCTCGTTACCTTTCGGATTGTTAGATAGCATTTGATGAAGTCCTTGAACAAGATTTGAATCATCACAACTCAACCATTTCATAACATCTTCTTTGTGATGTGGGCATTGAAGTAAATTGTAAGTGTACAAATCTTTTGATTGGTCCATGGTTTTAAAAACTGGTTGTTCTTTAAACATCAAAGGAGGCATCTCGTTCACAATAGAAAACTGAGCACAGAAAGGAGGAAGGAAAGGATCCACAACATTCGGAAGGTATCTGTGGGATGATCCGTTGGATGAGTTTTGATGGTTGGCATTCAATGATGGTATGTTTGATGATCGGAGTGTTTCACCAGCGTTTGGAATGTTTTGATGATGGGGTTGGCTATGTGGATGAGACATTTTTTTGTTCTTTTGAATTTAAGAACACGCAGTGGCGCCAATTTTAACTGCCAACCTTTTTGCGCAAAAAAAAACACACATTTCAATGTTTATTATTGCGTGCAGTAGTTTCATCATAACATGTTCATGGCAAACTCTGATCAATAAGTTAATTGCGTAAGGTCAGCTCAATAAATGACTCCCTTTCCAAAGATCAAAATCAATGCTACTGCGAGAATGGTCAATAATATGAGACCCATCACAATCCACATCATTTTCGATTGAGTCTTTCTCAGCTTGTTACTTTCCTTAAGGCTCTCTACACCTCGTTCCACGTTGTCCTTTGAGGTAATCACATTAGAATGAATGGTATCAAGCATTGGATCCTGTTCATCCACCAAAGAGGCAAACTCTATCGGATTCGGTGGTAATATATATATTTACAATTTTGAATGTTGTATATATAATCCCACGTTTCAAAAGATGGAGATTCGCATGTATCATCTCATCAGATTTAGACAAAGATACTTACCTGTAACCAAATGATGCAACTCATAATACTCGCTTTGATACTGCTTCAAATCTTCATACTCTTCCATGGCAATTTTCATTTCAACATTCAAGGTACTCTCTTGCCAAGACACCAAAGTTCCTTCTTCTTTGAGCTGTAACTCTTGAAGGGGTTGTTGTTGTTGTTGTTGAGGTGAGTGTTTGCCATTTCTATTGAGGAGTGGATGTTCTTCAGCATTGGAAACATAATCCATTTCTTCCTCTTCATCAAAATGAGAATGATGATTGTTGGAAATTAATGCATATTGTTCTTGTTTTTGTTTGGTTTGTTGTGTGATCCTGTTATGATTTCCAAAGAGAGATTGTGAAATAGTTGTAACAACAAGATTCATCACGAGTTGCAAACAATGATTCATCCACGCCATTACAGTGTTAGAAACACACCACATTGACACTTACCATTCCTTATCACGACGAATCACATCTTTCAATACACAAATCGTCTTGGTCAAATCATTCTTAACACGATTGTACTTGATGGCATTTTCTTGTTGTGCAGTTCCTCCAACACTTGCATTTTGTTGTTCGCTGGTACTTCCTCCTGTCATTTCAATCAAAACTTTAGATTCAGAAGCAAGTTTAGAACCAATTCTGTTGGACATCTTTTTCAATTCATTGGCTTCACTTGTACACCATTGTCTTAATGAACGAATCTTCTTTTGAGTGTCATTTGCTGCAGAATTGAAAACTCCTCCGTTATTTAATTGTTGTACATTTGAAATTGATGGAATTTCAACTTGTTGAGCTCTTTGATTGGATAATTGTTTGTATTGTTCGACTTGTTTTGAAAGTGTTGTAACTCTACCGACAAATTCATCAACAGAATCAGAAGAGTTCATAGAACGATTTTGATTTGATAGAGGTGACAAGTCATTGTTGTTGATATTTGTTGTTTCTTGTTTAGTTCCAACAATTAATTGACGGCGAGTATTCTGATTTTTTGCTCGTTGTTGATTATGAACTGGTGGGACATTTCCCCATGATAGACTTGAAGACATTCTAAATCAGTGATTATATTATACAACAATAATTTCCACTCCGATCAAAAATAACGTTGTTCAGTAAATCTTCCAAGTCAACTAGAAAAAGAGGTTTTTGAAATCAGCAGCAGCGGTTTGTGACAAAACTCTTCTCTCCTCGATGACTCGTATTTTTTTGAATGGATTTTGTCTTGACGTGGTTTGAAAGCTGATGGGTGACCTAAAATGCGGCGGTGTGGTATTCAACTACTCTGCTTCCAACATCTCGATAATTAATTTAAAGGTGTTGTTGTTCCCTTTATTAAGGCAGATTTGATGTTTCCCAAAATCGCTCTAAAGGTAGCTGGCGCGTTTTTGAAAGTTGGTGTGGGAGTAGGATGTGAGAGAAAAGTGTTTAAGGTCAGTTATCTACAAACGAATGCTAGATGTGAACATACGAGCCCATGAGTAATCAATGAACTCCTTAGTATAACCAACACCAACAAGAACTGGCTCCTTATCGTAAATGTAAGTGTTTGCAACACGTTTGACATCATCAACCGTGATAGAATCAATTCTTGCAAACATTTCTGCAGCAGATGGTCTTCTGTTGAACAAGAGAGTTTGTCTACCGACTTCCTCCAAAACATTCTTCAAGTTGCCATCATATTGAGACAAAACTGAGAGCTTGAGCAAATTCTTTGCACGTTCCAATTCGGCAGTTGTGACCTTATAGCAGAGACGAGTCATTTGACGTAAAATTTCAACCATCAAATAATCGGTATCTTCACCACCATCATTCACAAATTTAACACCAAACAATGATGTATCGGAATAACCATGGAGGAAAGGAAGAACTTGTTGTGCCCATCCTTGTTCACCAATATATTGGGCCATGTTAGAAGCAGCATATTTACCTGGTGCTCCCTGAGAAATATCGAATGCACCCAAAATGAATTGAATCAAGTTGATAACAACCATATCACCGCTTGAAAGTCCTGGGCCTTGGAATCCGATAGCACCGTGCAAACCATTGACCTCATCGGTTTCAACTCTGACATCTGAACCTATGTATTCTGGTGTAACTTGGTATTCACCGAGTGGACGTGGTGTTTTTGTTGCGCTTTGTAAATGTCCAAAGTTTCGTTCGGCAAGGTTGACAAGCTTATCATGGTCTACATTACCAGTACCAACTAAAACCATTCTTTCGGCAGTGTAGAAATCCTTTTGGTATTGAATCATTTGTTGTCTAGAAAGCTTCTTGATGTTTTCAATTGGACCCAAAATACTCAAACCGAGACCTGAATCAGGGAAAGCTGTTCTGTGCAATTCATCATAGACACATTCTTCAACACTTTGGCTGACATCTTCGGACTCGAGCAGAATAACGCTTCTTTCTTCATTAATGTCCTTTTCGTCCAATTTGCTATCAAGCAAAATTTCAGACAATGAATTAACGCTTCTATCAACGTTATTCTTTAAACATTGAATAGTGAATGCTGTATATTCGCGAGATGTGTGGGCATTCAAGAGAGAACCTGTTCTTTCATGTTCAGCTTCAATATCAACTTTCGATCTCTTGTTGGTTCCCTTGAAGTACATGTGTTCCAAGAAGTGAGCAACACCATTGTTGAGTACGCTTTCTTGTCTAGAACCAGCACCAATGAATACACCGACGGCTGATGTTTCTCCAACTTTTGGTTCAGTTACAACTCTGAAGCCATTATCAAGTACGGTAACACGAGTAGCAGCTGCCTTGGTTAATTCCTTTGGTAAATGATATGATGGAGTATGGAGGGATTGATCCAAAGCGGACTCAACAACCGAAGTAGCGTATCCTCTTCGTTGATGATGGAGAACAGACTTGATGAGAGTTTTGTGGGAAGAGAGTTTGGAAAGCATTTTTTTTGCCAATATTGTCCAGTTTACAATAAGATTTTGCTTGGGCTGTTGATCTTCATGTTTCAATATTCAAGTTGATATTCTTTCTTGAGCTTCATCATCGATATCTGTGAACACTCTGCTCTGCTTTCGTTATTCTTGCCATTGTTGCTTTCTTGTTCAGACTCTGAAGATTCTTCCTTTCTCTTTCTCTTCTTGTCATCTTCGTCATCTTCTTGAACTGGTTCAACTTTCTTTGGAGTTGGTTTCTTCAAGTCAATCTTCTTACTCTTAGATTCTTGTTGGTTTCCTCCAGCTCCACTCTTTGGTTTGATTTGGTCCAAAATTTCTTGTCTCTCATTCTTCTTTCCAAGAGCTGCGTTAATTGCTGGCTTTTGTAAGAAGAACCATTTGTTTGCAGAAACATCACGATAATTATTCAACCAAACATCAGGAGTAGTTTCATTAGGTTGGCCATACTTGTCCAACTTTCCTTGTTGGATGAGCTCCTTCTTCAACTTTGAGACAGGACCCAAACCCCAACGTCTTGGATAAGTATTACGATCCATAATAACTCTCTTTGTCTTACAAACAACTCCATAATCCATGGATTGAATTTGAATTGAGGTCATAACTGCATATGCAGTACCAATGGCTTCACCCTTTGTAGTGACAAGAACAACTTCTTCACCAGTTTCAATAGAATCATCAAAACGTAAAACACCAGGAATCATTAGTTGAGCACCAAAGCAAATTGAGTTAACAGCGCTGTCCTTAACAATGATGCGCTTATACTTGACTAACAAAATTTCCAATGGTTTCACAATACGTCTCAAATAGCTCTCATCATGGGAGGTCTTGTAAAGATGTTGAGCATCTAAAACGTCATGCATGGTGTAGAGGAAATCTTTTTCACTCAAAGCACCACTCTTAACACGACGCAATTCAAACATTGAACCTCCAGTTCCCAACAACAAACCTAAATGATCGCACAAAGTTCTAATGTAAGTACCTGCTTGGCATTTAACCCAGAAAACGGCCATATTGCTCTTTGGATCAAATTCAAAAAGTTTAACATCATAAATAGATCTAATACGTAATTGTCTCTTAACGGCAGAGATTTCTGGTGGCATTTGGAAAACTGCTCCGGTCAATGTGTTCAAAGCTTCCTCAACAGCCTTCATTCCTCCTTGGACGTCTCCGTTTAATTTCAAAATAGAAACGTACTCTTTACCAGCACCTTGTTGTGATTTCACCAAACGAGTGGCACGATTCAAACAGATAATTAAACATCCGGTAACTTTAGGATCCAATGTACCGCTATGACCTGTCTTTTCAACTTCAAGAATCTTCTTTACCCATGCAACAATTTCGTGAGAAGAAGGATTTGCTGGTTTATCCAAATTGATGACACCATATTTGAGGTATTCATCGAGCTTTCTCTTGGTTGGTGTGTTACCGGCTGGAATAGGAGTGTAGTGTCCAGTTCTTGAATTTAAACTTTCATAATTCTTCAACAAGAGAGGGAATTCACTAGAATCAGTCTTTTTAACTTCCAAATTGGTTGGGAGTTGTGATTGTTCCTCTGATGATTTTGTTTTTGATGACGAGGACGATGATTTATCTTTTTTGCCCATGATGATTTTATTATTCGGAGAGAGAGATGATTCAATATTTTTTTGAGCAATGTTTTTTGTTTGCACTCTGCTTCAACAAAAAGATCGACGTGTGTTTGCAGCTGGTATGCTTCAATCGAAATTCGATTCGGGTGGCCTAAGGAGACGCTTTTAGAACGAATAAAACTCAACGTGTTGTTAATTTTATGCATGCTCATTGAGGTAGTCCACAAATCCAGTCACTATCTTTTGCTTGGTGTCTGGTGGGTGCATTTGAGACATTTTAATGTATTGGGTTCGAAGCTTTCTCAATTGTTGCATGGAGACTGAGAGTCCAGGCATTTTCAAACGATGGTTGTTGTGTTGATCTTTTGTGAGGCCATAGCTTGCAGGAATTGGAATTTCATCACCTGGCATGTGAAGAGACTTTGAGTCCATAATAAGTGTCACAATCTCGTTTGTAATCTTATCCAATTCATACATTAACGTGTTTTCGCTCAGGTGAATGGGTAATGTTGCAGTATTTGGTTTGATTGTTTTCTTTGGTCGCAACATTTCTTCCTCAATTTGCTCAACTGGTGTTGCTTGGTCGGGAGTTAAACTGAAGAGTGGGCAATCCCATCTTGATTTTTCGCTTGGCACTTCCATTCGTTGGGCCATTTCTGTCAAAAACGTCTCAGAATATTTGTTTGACAAGCTTTCCTTATTCCACAAAAATGTATGATTTTGCAATGTATTGAGAACATCACAATACACCACACAATGTGGAGTTCTCAAAGATCTCGCAATGCAATATAATTCATATCTAAAGCCCTTAATATAATTCAATGAATCCACAATCACAACATCATCTTTTGTGAGAGCTCTTTCAACAGCAGCCTTCACCTTTCCTCTTGTTTGTTTTTCGTTGAATGAATCTTTGTACGCCAAGTGAATATCTTCCACAAGCTCTTCATCAGCAATCACAATCACGCTCCCTTTCAAATCGGAAGACTTTTTAAAATGTTCTGCAATTTCTTTTGCTCGCATGCTCTTTCCACTGCATGGAATACCAACCATCATTATGAGAGGCATTTTCGTTGTTAGGAAATTATAATGTTGCAAATAAATTAAATAATGGATTTTAAAGGTGGTAATTTGATGGATTATGTATTTCCAATATAATTATTGATTCCACAAAATTTTGAAGTGAATGAACAACCGATTCGGAACAATGCTAGCTCAGACTGTTGTCAAATCAAAAGAAAAACTCGTTGTTGAAGAATCAAAAGAAAAACAATTTTTTTTTTGGTTGTTGTTGCTTCTCAATCTTGCACTATGGGTGATTACTTGGAAGCCCAAGAACATGAACGCAGTGATTGTTGCAATCCGCTACATAAATTTCTCCAGTCAGCTCATTGAGACAAATTCCATGAGGTTCATAGAATTGGTTGATGCCATTCCCCAAATTGCCAAATGTTGTCAAAACTTGTCCTGTTCGAATATTGCATAACACAAGTCTGTGATTTCCTCCATCAACCAGTAACACATGATCCTTATTCGAGGGATCCATTAATAATCCTCTAGGTTTGTAAATCTTAACAGAGCTTTCTTGGTGATCATTGACTTCCAGATCTTGTCGAGTTGGAAATTCAGCAATATATTCTCCTTCTCTTGTGATCATTTGAATTCTATTTCCTCGCTTCTCTGAAATAATCAAATACTTATTCTTGTACAGTGTAATACCCCAAGGTCGTTTAAACTTTACAGTATGGATTCGATTGCTGTCAGATAATGAAGCACCATCGTCTCGGGAAGATGATCTTGAGCTCGACTCTTCAGTATTTGACATGACACTCGAGTCGTGTTGGGGTCTCATGGTGCTAGTACTTTCACCAATGGTCCTTATCACGGACCCATCCACAGAGTTCAAAACTACAATTCTATGATTTCCATGATCACACACATAAATCTCATAATTATTATTGAGATTTCGAATGGCTTTCTCTACAGCAATTCCCCTTGGATACTTGAAATATTGATGAGGCAACTCGGTGTTGTTTGTTTGTTGCTTGCCAGAAATCCATACTAATCGATGGTCATAGGTGGTTGCTGTTTTTCGTTCCTTATTAGGATTCAATAGAGTTGGAAAATGAGAATGGTTGTTTGTGGTGTGATTGGATGGAAGTATTGGAGAAAGATGTGGAATTACGATGTCGTACTTGTAAATCAAGTTGTCGGAGGCAGACACAACAATGGAAAGATATTGAGTCACGTTCGAATCGATGGCCAAGTTTCTGGGTGCTGACGGTATTGAAAATGAGTATTTGAGTTGTTTGGAATACAAATCAAAGAGATGAATTTGTTGCTGGCCCCACTCACTCACTACTAGACACGAATGAAGATGGGAAATGGCAACATCTGTTGGACATTTGAGAGGTGTAGTAGAAAATGTTTGTGAAACATTGGATGGTTGTTGAGGAGGAGCATTACTTGTTGAGGTTGGCCTTAATATTCGTTTGGATGCATTTCCAATAAATCCAATGGATTCATAGTTCAAACGGTTCGAATTTTCATCAGAATTGGATACTATTGAGATTGACTTTTTCATGAAACTAGGTTGTTGTTTTTTGAGGGTTTCTAATAAATCATGACTCTGATCATTCGTATTGGTACCAACAGACTGATCGCTTGTTAAGGGTTCAATTTTTACAATATGAGAAAGTTGTTCTATTTGTTCACAAGCGGCTTTCACACCTTGTTCATCAATTTCAATTTTCATGTCATACAATTGTCGTGTCGATTCGTATGGAAATTCATTCTTCAATTTGGCACACAATGAAAATAGAGCATTCAAACGTGAGAGTTTTTTCTCAATCAAATCAAATCCACTCATTTCATCTAAATGATCAAATTCTGAATACAGATTCGCTACTTGTTGTTTGATATTCTGAACGGAATGAATCACGTTTTTATGTTCCTGACACACTTCCTCAATGTTTTGTTTGATAATTCTCGAGTGTTCATCCAACTTTCTTTTTAATTCATCCACGACGTTTTGAACTTTATGAGAGAGTGCTAATTGGACTTGATCAATACGCATACAGGTCTTGTCTAAATCAGAATCAGAGGTTTGAAATTCATCCTCCCAACGTTCAATCTCGTTTTGAATGATTTGTAAACTCTCTTTAATCTCTTGACGCTCTCTCTGCTCTACATCTTGAATGAAATCAAACATGTGTCCAGTGTGAGATTTAAATAAGGCACAAACCGAACAAATTAACTGTTCACACGTTCGACAATACGTGTTAATAGGAATTTGATGTTCATGACACATCGGATAGTTATGATTACACTCAATAGGACTCTCCGAAAGGTGAGCTGCATCGAAAGGACGACGACTATTATTGCTACCGCCCGACATGAAATTATGAATGAAATTATTATGAAAGGGAATAGTATGGAGATGAGGTGAGTGGTTAGATAAAAGAGAAGGAGAGAAATAATGCGGTGGTAGTGGTTGTTGTGAATGACTGAAAAACGAATGATTCATGCTCGGAGAAGACTCGATGGAAGATGACACTGACGAGGAGAAGGAGTCCAGGCTACCAACTGTTGCATAAAACGAAGGAGCTCCAACCTGTTGTTGGCATGACACATTGGTGACACCATTTTGAGAGCTCGACACTACTGGTTTTATAACATGATGATTCGGATTACTTTTCGAATGTCTGGTGCCATGATAGGAACAGAAATAATGTGCAAGCTTGATGTGAGGCTCGGTGAGATGGATTCGAGTGGTCACCGCGCCAAGCTTACAATCTTCACAAAAACAAGTAGCAACTTCAGTAAAACCTTCTTCCGAACATTGAAAACAAAAAATTGCTTGTTGTTGTTGGTATGAATCGGAACGTGTCGTTTCATCTCCATCTTCCGTGGATGAGGAAGATTTGAATGAATTTTCCGTTGTTGTGGTTGTTGAAGCAGGTACAAGTACTTTCATTGTGTTGTTTTTTCTTGTTGAAAGTGTGGTGCGTTGATGGTGCTGTCAATTGTTTATGTGGTTGCTTTCAGGTTAATCGGCAACCTTGTCCTTAAAAAGAATTTTGGCAAGTGTCGTTCAGCATTTTCTTTTTTTGTTCGAAGACGAATGATTTCGAAAGAAAGATTTGGAAACTCTAAATTGTGAGGAGATTCGTTTGATCAATGGCACAATCTCTCAAACGACATTAAGGCATGCTTCCAATGAGAAATTAGAAGTCAAAACAGAACCCAAATTGAGTCTAATAAGGATGTGATGAACATGCTGAGATTTGTAACATTTCCAACAAAAAAAAATAGCTCTTTGTGATTGATCAAACTCTATTAAATCTCTAACATTGTCTTTGAACCGATTATTGACTTATCCAAAATGAATTCTAGTTATTACGGTCCTTACGGACAACAACAACAACAACCTCATCCTACTCCAACTCCTTTCGGCCAACCACCTCTCTACAATGCCAATAATAATAATCCAATGATGATGAGTGGTGTTGGTGGTAATAATAATACTAGCGGCATGTATCCCAATAATAACATTCCGATGGGATCCAACAACACTCAAAGACCAAATTCTGCAAATAACAATAATAATAATTCTTTGAGAAGCAACAACCAACCACCCATGAGAACCTCCACAACCTCTACTCCACCATCATCCAATCAAAGACCTCCAATGGTAGGTCAACAACCGTATCAACCACCACAACAGCCACCCAATTTTCCAACGCAAACTCATCTTCCAACCACTTCCACAGTGGTTCTTCCACAAGTGCCAGGTAGCTATGGCCAACCTGTATTGATCATTCCATCAACAACACCTACCCAACAGCCTCAGCCAACATCAACGACATTGCCATCCTCTCATCAACAGAATGAGGCCATTCATATGCTTGTTCAAACAGTTCAACAGCATTTGGAACAAACCAAGCAATGGAAATTGGCAATTGATGAACAAATTCAATATATGGATTTGAAATTGTCTGCAATTTTGGATTTTGTCAAGAAACAAGATCCATCTGCTGTGAGAGAATTGGAGAATTATGAAAGAATGAAAAACAAGAATTCATCTGTAAATAACTCTCAAACCAATCTCAATACCAATGCTGTTGGTAACAACAATAATACCACCGTTCCTCCAAGTCAGCCGCCACAACAAAACTCACAACAAAATTCACAACTGATGAACACAAGTCAGTTGAATACCAATTTAAATGCTTCAATCAACAATGGATATTCGGCCTACACTGGCTTTTCAAACATTCCAAGCCAGAATTCAAATATTCCAAATAACCAATCTCAATATCAACCTTCTCAAGCAATGGTCTCTCCACAACGTGACACCATGGTAAATAAGGAGACAGAAAAGAATAAGGCGTTCGTTATGAGCAACGACAACAATCCACCTTCGTATGCTAAACCACCCACTAATTTTAATCCACCTTCTTACACTGAATACAATCAATATCCAAAAACTCCTTCCCAAAATTACTCTCAACCAAATCAAGTTATACCACCAACAAGCAGCTTGGATCTTGAATTAGACGAACTTGATCGAGAATTATCACGACCTACGTTCTCTCAAAACAAGGAACCCAACAAAGATTTTGAAAGCGATGTTCAACTTATTTGTAATTTAGGATTTTCTGAAGAAACAGCAAGAAATGCAATGATGAGATGTGGAAATAGAGCAGCTGCCATTAATTACTTGTTAGACATTAACACTCAACATTAAATGATATATATTTTCCTATCGAATACACTATTACATTTCAATGTAGGTCAGTATACTGTGTACTGCATTGCCCGATTTTCATGAATGACTCAAGACCTTGAGAATGCAGTAATTTCTTTGATGCAAAAATAAGTTTCTTTTCACACACTCCAATTGAGGGAATTGTTTAATTTTGGAAAAATTCTAGAGTTGAATCAAGCATATTCAAATCCAAATCTTCCAATGACCAACCCATTAAAAATGTCTTCTCCCACTAGTGCTCTGGGTCCTTCGGCACAGCAGTCTGCAAATGTGACCATCTCCTCCTCACTCAAACTCACTCCCTTTCTCAAGATATTCCTCACTCTGATGTATTGGGAACCCTTCGTATTCGAGATGTTCTTTGGATGTATTGCCATGATTTGGCCAAATTCTCGATTCATGTTAGGATGTCTCATGCCTCAACATTTGGTTGAATTATTACTTGTTGAGGTTCCCATAATGACCTCACAACCACCACCAACCACCAACTTTGCAGATATGACCTTAACCACCAATAATGATATGAGAAATTTGGTCTTCTTCTTTATTCGATTAACTGGATTGTTGTTGTTTGCTTTTGGATGTCTACACCATTTAATTTTGAGACATTGCTATAAGGAAATGTCATTCTCAAATTTGGCTTACATGGTAGAGAGAGTACCACTCTTCCATTGGACCATGTTGGGTTTGTGTATTTGCAATATGCTCGATATTGGTTTGAGCTGGAATTTTATTCTTAAAGATACGTTGATTCCTGGTTTGATGGCCGTTGAGGGTGATGTGTTGGGAGTAAAAGTGAAGGTGTGGCCCAACCTCCAAGTGGTGGTATTCACATTGGTATCTTTCATCATTTGTGCCATGAGAATTGGTTTTTTATACGCCTATTCTGGTAAAGCGTTTGGTATTGGTAGTAGATTGGTAATGGAAAGACCTCAACAAGAGCAGCACATACGACGAGTTCATGTCGAGTAGGGTTAAGGTATTTGTGTGTCCGCAAAATATACCAGTCAACTATGCCAACAAATAAATGCTCACATCAAATTGTTTTAGAAGCAATAATTTATTCTGGAATACAACTAGTTAAAACATCTCTGTGGCAGTGAGTTTGCTACCGCCAGTTACTCCTTCGATCAAGTGCTTGAGACGAGTCTCTGCTGAACGAGTTGTTGAAATGATCTCATCTCTGTTAAATCTATCAACAGGTGTATTTTCAAGAATGTCACTGAGTTTTTCTGTAACTCTTTCCAAATCTTCTTGCAAGTATTCAAATAAATTCTTTTCTTGGCCCTCTTCGAGATAGTATCCGTAAACATAGGTGTATTTTAGATTACCTCTACATTCAATAAGAGTATTGACAGCTTTCTGAATATATTCTACGTCTACCCATGAACTATACTTATTCATTTGAGTCAATTCTCTCATCTTTTCTTCTGTCTTTTCACGCAATTGTCGTTCAAACTTTTGGGACTTGTCGTGGTTTGCATATCTGGTGAAATAGTGCATGTATTTTTCAAGAGCAGCACGAGCTGATTCTCGTTCATCTTCGTGCAATTTCTTCTTTAAATCTTCTGGTTTGTACTTGTTGCATTTATAGTAGCCACCAGTTTCGCTACCGTGACTGGTCCAATCATCCATACAAACCCAACAGAATTCGTGCTAGTTGGTTCAATATGCAACAGGATTTGTTTAAATACTTCCAATTTGAAGAAAGACATACCTTACACTGAGAACAAGTCATGTGGTTACATCCTCCATTCTTTTCAATTGATCTGTTACATTTTGGACAGTCCTATTGAGAATAGATCATTCCGATTTCGTTTTGTTATGATTGTTGAGTAAATAATAGATAGACCAATTGTATTTCCACAAATAATGAAAAAAAATGATGATGTGTAAGAGTCAACATGTGATATCACCTCCATGAATATAACATACCTTTGTGTTGGCTGTTAACCATGTTGCTGTTTCCGATTCGTCTTGTTCCTTCTTTTTCCAGGCTTTCAAATGTGCACAAGATGCTGGAACGTGAGCTTCACAAGAGCATTTGAAGCAAAACTTTTGGTTGCAATGACCACATTGAACAGCATCGACCGTGGTCTCTGGACAAAATACAGCTCTACCACAATTTGGTGTTGGACACCACTTGATTCTAGGATTGTCCTCAACAAAGCTTCTCACCAAATATTTGGAATAAATTTTGTAGCTATCGGGAGGAACCAATTCTTTCACTAACGCTTCGATAATAAGGTTTGTACATCCTCTCTCTAAGCAACTTGCTGTCAAGCAAGCATTTCCGTTATTAATCGCTGTGATTAAATGCTGCCTCCAACAGTCCTGGCAAAAATAGTGTTTACAAGCCATGGCTAACATATTTGAACCATCATAGGTATCAAAACAAACACTACACTCGTATTCTTTCCCAGGAACTCCTTGATAAATTTTGAAATCGTTCACGTTGATGTTGGCTTTCTTTATCACACGTTCCTTATTTTCGAAAAAGTCATTCCAAAGTTTTTCCTTGTTCCAATCGTAACTTCTCAAAAGTATACCGCAAGCACCGACAGGAACACCAAGAACGTTAGAAACTTCACTAACTAATTCTTGCTGTTGTTGAATTAACTGATCGGGATCGAGAGTAACAAATTGAATTTCCTTCATTGTGATTGGATTTTCTTCCAGTGCTGGAGAAGTTGGGGTTAAAATTTCAACCTCTTCTTCCTCTTGGAACGGCTCATCCTTTCCTTCGTCTAATTGTGCAAGTAATTCCTCTCTGGTAACACCCATCTCTTGCAACTCTTCCTCGGTCAACAATTCAATTTCTTCTCGGGTCAAGGTGGTATCACCATCCATAACATCTATATCATCGTTCATGTCAGACATCTTGTTGTACAAAAATTGATGAAGAATTTCTTGATGTTGTATATTAAAAAGCCAAAATTGTCGGTGATCAAAAATTAATATGAAGAATGATGGGCGACGGTATTTTTGTTTTTTTTTAGAATTTTTGATGTTCATTTCAAAAGAGTCTTTTACAATGAATGCCAGGAAGTTATAGGCTGGTTGTTGAATCCTGCTTCTCGTCTTTGAGCTGACTTCTTCTCAACCATTCTTTGGATAGTTTTAGGGAGGTCATTGGTGCAAATTTTTCAACTTGCATGGAAGAGTTGAAATTGTTGCTGTCGTTCATCCCTCCATCCAGAATGGTAATTGAGGTTTTGCTTGAAAATAATCCTTGTGGAGGAATATCTTGTAATCGCGATTCGTTTGTCATCTCAGATACATCATTTGGATGAATTGAGATTTTTGTGATTAGATTTTCGTTGTCTTCATCAAATTCTAATGAGCCATCCCCCAAGTACATTATTGGTTCAGATGCTTGGTCCATTGATGAGTTGAAATGGTTTGTTTTTCTGTTGGCTTGGTCGTTGGTCACTGGCTTTTGGAGGGCTTTGATTTTAATACCGTCCTTTGCACCAAATGAAAATTCTCTTGGGATGGTAATTTGATTTTTCCACTTGTCGCCAGTTTTAAAGACCTTTTCTTGTTCTAGCTTCTTCTCTCGCGCTTGTCTCTGTCTACTCAAATACTCATCAAAACCAAGTGGATCCCCAGAGGTTTTAGGAGATGGTAATTTCAATCGTTGGGTGTTTGGTGAAAACGTGCAACCTTCCATCTGTTTGTTTTCCGTCTCCATTCGTCCTTTGAGCAATTTCTGTCTTCGCCTCATTTCCCATATCATGGTTCTGTCTTCAATGTTCTTTCCTTTTACCTGTACTTTGTTCACGGTTTTAGCAACATCAGGAGTAAATGTGCATCCTTCAAGCTCCTTTTCCATAAGTTCCTTCTTTTTCTCCTCAATTTTCTTTTGGGCATTGGATGTTTTTTTGTACATTTCATACAGTCGCTGTTCGAATCCAATGTTTTGCTTGTTGAGCTCTATTTCTTCCGACTTTTTGTTAATCTGAGGTCGGAAAGTATAATGTGTATCATCAGAGAGTCTGGGTGATGATGGGGCTTTTGGAGCACCCGAAAAGAGTCGTTCCTTTGATGTGGTGGGCAATCTGGAGGCGATTTCTAAAGAAAGAGAATTCAGTTCGGGTTTATGAGTAAGATCTTTGTTTGTTTCGTTTAGTTTCCTAGGTGTGCTGTAATTGTACATCCCTTCAAAATGTCTTCTTTCAATTTCTTGCTGTTGTCTTAGATCATCCATTTTGAAACTCATCTCCAAGAACCTGTCATGGGCATTGTTACTTCTCAAAAGCTCGGCTGCGTGAGAACTGATCTTGTCGGATATGTTTTCATCGCCTTCAGAGTTGCTTTCCTCTTGTTCCATGGTCATTCTTCGTCTAGCCTTAATATAATTGACCAACCGCAGGGTTCGGGGATTCAACGTGCTTCTATTACAACGGAAAGATGCTTTCATTAGTACAATTCATCATTAGAAATAATGTAACGTACTTGTGTATTTCCTGTTCGTGATCATTAAGGTCCTGATCCATGATGAGTTTTGTAATATTTTTTATTTTTTACGACTGCCTTAGATCGCTCACTGCTCCAACACCATCTTTTCTTCGTTTTCCTTCTGCTCTTTCACGCAGTTTTGAACGAGTCGATCAAAGCTTCCAAAAATTTTCTCTTTATCAGGAATGTCGAGATTGGTAAGAATTGCTGGAATTTTTGACATGGTTTTGGGCAGCTTAGGAATGGGATTTTCTTTAGTTAAGTCCTCACTGGACATGCAATGAGCAAAAATACAACAATTTTCATCTTTCAATTTGCTACCTTGTACAAATGTTTTGTACCAAAACTCCAATTCTTTCACGTGATTAATATTAGAAGGATTATATACAATGAGACAGGCAGAAACATCTTTCAGTATGGCAGGCCAGCAATTTTCAAAATTTCGATCTCCCGATACATCCCACAATTCAACTGAAACTTTTTCCATTGATGGCATCTCTCGCTCGCATTCACAAATTCTCAATCCCATGGTTGGTCGATATTCATTTGAAAACTCTTTATATCCGCTCAGAAAATTGCAAACAGAGCTTTTCCCACTTTTCTTGGGTCCTACCACGAGAACCTTTACTGATTGCTCGGAAGTCATATTTTTTTTATGGTTTGGCTATTTGAACTACAATGGCGGGTTCGAGAAAGAAATACAAAGGGACTGACTGCTTTGACCCAGTATATAAACTGGCATGGAGCAGTCGACATCTTCACTGGATGTGAAGGAATAATAAGTGATAGGAAAAGTGCGTCGAGACACGTGTTTGACTACCAAAAAGCAAAAATAAAAAATGCAGACATTCTCGTCGACCTCACCAGCTTGCCCGAAAATCACCACTCAACGACGAACATCATCACCACTTCGCAGCTTCACCACAACTCTACTATTTATTTCCATCTTGATCATTGTATTTTTCATTGTGCAGTCACATCAAAATGTAGTAGAAAAACCGAAAAAGAGCCAAGATTCGGAACAAGAAGAAAGTAATACCAAGAAGGAACCTAAAGTCATCATATTGAACGCAAATGATGACGACAATGCTCTTGATGATATACCTGAAGATTTGAGAGACAGGCTTAAACTGGTTTTGGGTCAAATCAAAAATCAATTTGGTCAAACTAAAGATGATCAAACAGCAGCAACGAAGAGTACTACCTCCAACGTTGAAACGAAACCAGGTACAACACCAAAGCCCACATTTGACGAGATTAATTTCAATTTTGTTGCGGAAGATTATAATACCATTAGCTATGATGAAATCACAAAACCTCTCGACTACTCTTCATTCCTAGAACCAAATGAATTAGTACCATATAAACGAAAACAAGAAGTTCGAGTTACCTATCGGAGAAAACTCATGTCAAAAAGAATAGAATCAGAGAAAAAAAAGACTGCCCAAGAACCAACAGTCAATGAAGAAAGCTTGACGACTAAATTATTAGAAGCAAAATCAATTTTAAATCCCGACCTTGAGGTATATGATACTGAAAATGTTGCTAAAGCAATTAATATTTACGAGAACATAATTACTGAAGACAAATCGAATGCTCTAGCCATGTACAATTTAGCCACAGTTTATAAGGTATGTTTCAATTCATGGACATTTGACAGATATTGATCCAATTCATTTAACAGACTGATAAATTCGGGTTTAGAAATTTTACTAAGAGCAAAATGTACTATGTTCTCTCGGCAGCTTTAGGAAATTCCATGGCTCAATTTGAGGTTGCATTGCTCTACAGCAACAATTTAATAACTGAGCAAGATATTTCAAATGTAAAGCAATTCATGATAGATTTGTATGGACAACCATCAGAAATGAAGAAAAAGTATAACATCATTTTCAACAGTTTACCACAACAATTGGATAACACTGAATCCATAGCTCTACTTAATTTATTTTATAGCTCTTTAGACGGAACAACGGGAGCTAATATTGCACTTGGTTATAGACATTTGTTTGGTCATGGTGTTCCAAAATCTTGTAAAACTGCAGCCTTTTATTATGTAAAAGCAGCCGAAGATGTTGCAGCTGAATTTGAAGATAGCAAGATCCCATTAATTGATCATGTTCGATTGAATGACGAAATTGCAATTCATAACAAACAATCTCAAGAAGATATTATGGACTATTATCAATATTCAGCAAGCAAAGGATCTTCCTCTTCAATGCTTGTAGTTGGTTATGCTAACTTGTATGGAATTCGAGGTGTGGAACAAAATATAGATGCTGCTCGAAGACTTTTTGAACAAGCAGCAGAGGCAGGAGAATATGAAGCATATGGTGCCTTGGGTAACATGTTTTGGAAGGGTGATGGAGTAATGAGGAATAATGAAACTGCTTTTAAATACTTTAAAAAGGGAGCAGATAAAAAAGATGCATCCTCGTTGAATGGACTTGGAAAAATGTATTTGGAGGGAGCTGTAGATCAAGAAGGAAATGTGATTATCGAGCAAGATTATGAAAAGGCAGCTGGTTATTTTAACAAGAGTGCTGCCCTTGGTAATTCTGAAGCTCATTACAATATGGGTGTACTCTATATGGAAGGAAAGGGAGTTAAAAGATCGTACAAACAAGCATTCCAACATTTTGCTATTGCAGCACAACATGGACAAGTGCTTGCAAAATACCAACTAGGAAATATGCACCTTTATGGATTGGGCACTAACCCCAATTGCGATGTTGCTGTGAAATTCTACAAGTCAGTGGTAGAGAAAGCTTCATGGACCTCTGTCATGGAAACAGCATTTGAGAACTATGTGAACGGAGAAGATCAACATACTGCCTTATTGCTCTATATGCATGCTGCAGAGTTAGGAATTGAGGTTGGGCAAGCAAATTTGGCTTTCATGTATGACAGAGGATATGGTCTCGAAGAAATTATCAAGGGTTTGCCTGAGGAAAAACAAGAATTGTTAAAGTTCAAGGGAGCCATAAAGTGGTACCAACATGCTGCTGAACAAGGAAATGTAGATGCATACGTAAAAGTAGGAGATTATTACTATTATGGATCTTCAGCATTGACTTCATCATCATCCATTGAGAATTTGGAACAATCCTATGAAAAAAGTCTATACTTTTACAGAAGGGCAAAAGATTTGAATAATGCCCAGGCCATGTTCAACTTGGGATATATGCATGAACACGGAAGGGGACTCCCACAAGATTTCCATTTGGCTAAACGACACTATGACATGGCTGCCGAGGCTGATCCAGTGGCGTATGTTCCAGTCTTGTTGGCGCTTGGAAAGCTTTATGTACACTGGGGATTTTCTCTTGCTAAAGATTACATTTCTAGTTTATTTGGCCAAGATCAAAGTGATTCGTCAGTTATCGATGATGATGATGATTATCCTGCTTCATTTTCAGAGTTATTCAAGAATTGGATTGCCAGTTATGAGGATTATCTATTAGCACTACTCATTGGAGGGTTGTTGCTACTGATATTTGTGAGGTATATTGTCACTGTTCAACCCCCAACCAGGAGAGGAGCAAGAAGAGAGAGACAGCAGGTTGACAATGACGTTCATGGTGAAGACCAGCGAAATCAGGAGTAAATTTGGCTTTCCCAAATGAAATTTGACCGCCAAAAATTGATTTCTTGCACTACAAAATAAATCATAAAGAAAAATGTTGCAACAACGAGGCTCATACAACAACGAAGACATATTCGTTGGCCATACATCGCTCAACAATCTGCATATTCTGCTTCAAAATATTTTTCTCCCGTTTTTGTCGGATTCCTATTCCCAAGATGATGAAGCTCACAAGTACAGTGAAACACTTCAAAGTGTCCATTCCTTGAATTCTGATTTTGTTTCTCATCTCAAGAAGTTTAGTGGACAAGTGGGACATACGGTAAAACAATTATCGGGTGAGGTCATCATTGACCTGCCGGATGTTCATCTTGATGATCCGAAAACAGCTGCAGAAGATGAACACGTAAGTTTTGTAATTTTCTTTTCAAATTCTTGATTGATCCACTTTAAAAGATTGTTGCAAAACTGGAGGCCTGCCTAAGTAATTGGACTCAGTCAATCAACGCTCTCCTCGAAAAAGTTGTAAATCAAGAAAGAGAAGGAGAGGTAAGTTCGCTTTCAAAACGTTAAAAAAAACGTTCAATCATTTTTCTTTTTATTAACAGGGACCACTGTCAGAAATTGAATACTGGAGGTCAAGACATGCCTCTCTAGGAACAATTTGGGAATCGTTAAACAGCAAAACTGTAAAGAATGCAATTGAAGTTTTGAGAATTTATGATGCCCAGTTATTACCAGGATTTGATGATCAATTTCAAGAATTAACGAAACTATATATGGAAGCCAAGGAAAATGTAAAGTTTTTACAAACGCTTGAAAGGCACTTCAAGAATATTTCTCAAGCAAGGGGATCGTTAACAGCAATTTCCGATACACTGCCATCCATGATGAATGCAATTAGAATGGTTTGGGTCATCAGCCGCTATTATAATACAGATAAGCGAATGATTCCATTGATGGAACTAATTGCGACAGAAATTTGCTCAAAAGTGGCTCAATATATTAATCTCGAAAGTAGTTTAGATGTAAATAATTTATTCAACAATCCTCTGAAACTAAGTGAAAAACTTCTTGAAGGCGCCGAAGTTTTACAGAAGTGGAAGACGGTATGTATTTAGTATCAGCATGATCCACAAATTAACGCAATTTTTAATAGACTTACTTCCAAGTGAGAGAAAAAATAGAAAGTACGAGCAAAGATGAACGCTGGCATTTTGAAAAAGACTCACTCTTCGAAGAATCAGATTACATGTCCGAAAGATGTTACGAGTTGAAAGAGCTTGCCTTGTTTATTGCTCGATACAAAACTTTTTTAGGCCCTGAGCTAAGAAGTAAGTACTTATCATGATCCTAAATTTTGATTCTAACAAAATCAGATATTACTGGTGAAAGCGGCATAGACGAGATTTTGGAGAGGCTCAAGGATTTAATTCTACCATTCCAGCAAATATCTCATTTAATTTTTAACAGGGCATACCAATTGAAGTGGATTGAGGTTTTCAAACAATTCAAAGAAAATAGCGAGGAAATCAAAAATCAAACAAATCTATTTATTGACAAGAGTTTCAAAAAACTCAGATCTGCAGAGGGAGCGTTTAAATTGCTTCAAGATGTAAAAAAAATTAATAGTCAGGACAAAGATTCTATTAATCAGAAAATGATGCTCAAATCAATAGACATTCTCGAAAGATATGGAGAAGAAGTCGATAACATTTATCAAATTTTCACTAATGAAAAGAAGAATCCTCCACGAACTAAAAACATGCCTCCTGTATCAGGTGCTATTTATTGGTCTCACTCTTTATTTGAGAGAATTAAAAAGCCTATTGCCCTATTTAATGAAGCTCCAGACATGCTGAACACTGATGAGGGAAAGAAAATATCTTCTAAGGCATTCAGTATTGCAAAAGATATCAAAGAATTTGAGGAGTCAAAGTTCAAAGAATGGAAAGCAACAGTTACTGAAGATACAATCAAATATCTGAAGGGAAATATTCTTTCTAGAGAAGGAAACAAAATCATTGTAAATTTTCATCCAAAACTTTTATTGTTAATTCAAGAAACAAGATATTTGGACAAACTAGGAAAAAAAGTCCCTGATATTGCCCTCAACGTTACTCTACAGGAAGAAAAATATCACAAATACATTGAAAACTTGAAAAGTATGATTGATAATTTCACCACTGCTAAAGACTCTTTGGACTCTGCAGAGGAAAAAGTATTGACTCCACTTATAACCCGGTTGAAAAGGATTCTTGAGCCAGGATTTTCTGTTCTCAATTGGAACTCTTTGGGTATTGATGAATTCATCAAAAGATGTAACTCAGAAATTTCAGATTTTCAATCTATTGTGCAAAAGATGCAAAGGAATGCATCCGTTATTAGATCTCTCATTCAACAGCTAAGAAGTCCATTTTTAACAAAGCCTGAAATTAGAACTGGTGAGACCATGATGCCTCTTGCTGAGCTCGTAGAGTCCATAGAAAAATCTGTAGAGCAAAAGAGTGCAAGCCTTGCAAAGAAGTATAAAACCATTGGACAAACACTCTTAAAAATTGAAGGAGATCTCATCAACAGCAATGTTATTGAGAGTGAGAGCAAAGCTGCGACTGGAAGAGAAAAGATCCTCCAAGGATATTATGCTCACTGGGAAAAGCGTATTTTTAAAGCACTTGTTAAAAATGTGTCTTCCAGCATTGATGAGTTGATGGATCTACTTTATTTGAATAAGAAGAAAAAGAACCAGCAATTGGTCACCAAACGTCAGGTACCTTTGATGAAGGTGAGCGTTTCCCTTTATCACAAGTCTATTACTATTACTCCTGACTTGGATGACATTTCAGATATGTTGGATAGAGTTGTAAATTGCTCTGTCAATGCTACCAAACAGTTTGTGAGATGGTATAGCGGAACATGTCATGAAATTACGAATATTGAGGTGAAGACTGAGAAAGATGATCAAATAGATCCTCAGGCCATCATTGCCAATCATTTTTCATTCTTTAATGATATTTTGCAAATACCTGTCATTACAAAAAAGATGCTTTTATTGAATAACGGTGTTCAAAAGACACTAACTTCTGTTCAGCGTTATGTACATAATTATTCTAAGTATCAAGAGTATTGGAAAACCCCAAAAGAAATGGCCATGGAAAAGTTTGGCAGCAAAGACCCATCTTGGGATAGCTATTACAAAAAACTAGAAGACTATCATAAGTTGCTTGAAGATATTCACTCTCACTCAAAACAGATTAAGGACTTGGAATTCATTAGAATTGACTCTACATCATTTGTGAAATCGTTTACTGAGGAGTTGAGAAAATGGATTGAAGCTATGGCAAAGTTGTTGAATACAAACATTAAACCAAAACTACTTGCTCTGAATGAAAGAATTGACAAATATAAAGAAGGATTAGGGCAAGAAATTGTTGAGTTAGACGATCTACGAAAAGTATTGTCAGTGATGGACGAAGCAAGATCAAACTCTGTAGACATAGAAAGAGATTATATGGAAGTGGAAGATATTTACCATACCATGCTATCCTATTCCGTGAAAATACCTGCCGATGAAATAGACCTGGTTTATTCATTAAGAATGAAATGGAATGCATTGTTATCGTCAGCCAAGGAGATGGAGCAACAGCTTGTTCCACAAAAAGAGAGATTTACATCAGAAACTCGCAACAGAGTGGAACAATTCAAGATTGAAGTTGTTCAGCTTAAGGAAGAATTCGAGCATGGCCCAGGTAATCCTAATGTTCAACTCGAAGATGGTCTATCTCAAATGGAACTTTTGAAAGAAAAGCTTGAAGAAAAGAAGAAGATAAGAGATTATCTTGTTCAATCAGAAAAGTTGTTTGATCTTCCAATAACTCCATATCCAGATTTCGTCCAATTAGAAAAGAAAATATCAAAGATTGGAAAGATTTTTGATATTTTTGGAGATTGGCAAAAGAAAGTTTCGAAGTGGTCTCGTACACTATGGGTGGAAGCTCCTATCGAAGAAATGACAAAAGAAACTGCAAGATTCTCTCAAATATTAATCAGTAAGAAAGAGTTTCCTCAAGAACTTCAAGAATTGCATGCTCACAAAACCTTTAAAAGCAAAGTGAAGCATTTCCAAAAAACCATAGAACTTCTGTCTTGTTTAAAGAGCGAGGCACTGAGAGAAAGACATTGGGAACAACTAATGCAGGCAACAGGTAAAAATTTTGACATCAACCCCTCAACATTTACCTTGAAGAATTTGATTGATATGAACCTCTATGAATATGAAAATAGTATCAACGAAATTACTGAATCTGCCAACAAAGAACTTGATGTTGAAAATACAATCAAAAAGGTTGCTGAAGTATGGAGAAACAAAAAGTTTGAACTTAAAAAACATGTGCGAGATAACGAAGATAGAGGATTTGTACTTACAGCCATTGATACCATTAAGGAGCAGCTCGAAGAAGATACAGCAAACTTGGCTGCCATATCTGGAACTCAACATTCCATTCCATTTGCGGCTGAGCTTAGCAAGTGGGAAGGCAACTTATCCAAGATTGATGAAGTAACTTCATTATGGATTGATGTCCAAAGAACATGGATGTATCTTGAAATTATCTTTATTGGATCTGAGGATATCAAAGATCAGTTGCCTGAGCAGGCTAAAGCATTCAAAAAGATCGACAGTGAGTGGGCAAAGATAATGAGTGAAACGGCAAAGAATAGGACTGTCCTCGAAAATTGTTGCCAAGGAGACAATCGATCAGCAATTTTATCGAGTCTTCAAGTGAGACTCAATGAATGCCAAAAGGGATTGAATAACTACCTTCAATCAAAAAGAAATGCTTTCCCTCGATTTTTCTTCATATCTGATGAAGAGTTATTAAGTATCTTGGGTAGTTCTGACTTGAACGCAATTCAAAAGCATATTGGTAATCTATTTGAAAACGTTGGAAGTTTGATATTTAAGCCGAATACCAACCTTGTAGTAGGTATGAGATCTAAAGAGGGAGAAGAATTCAATTTTGATAAACCTGTACGAGCAGAGGGATTTATTGAAAAATGGCTTACTGCAGTTCAAACTGAAATGAGAAAAACACTTAAAATCATCATGAAGAAAGCTGTTTATAACTATCCTTCAAGAGATAGAATTGAATGGGTCAAAGAAAATCTAGGAATGATTGGATTATGTGGTTGCCAAATTTGGTGGACATGGGAGGTGGAAGACGCTTTTAGAAGAGTGAAGAATGGAGAAAAAATGGCAGTTAAAACTCTTGCAGTTCAATTAACTAAGCAACTGAACAATTTAGTTGACGAAGTGAGAACACCTCTCCAATCTCAGATTAGAAAAAAGATCACAACTATGATTATTATTGATGTCCATGCAAGAGATATTGTCGATAGACTTGTAAGAGACAGTATTCTTGATGAAAGAGAATTTGACTGGGAAAGTCAACTCAGATTTTACTGGGACAAGTCTGCCAATGATGTCAAAATAAGACAATGTACAGGTGAATTCGTTTATGGTTATGAATACATGGGTCTCAATGGCAGACTTGTTATTACTCCATTGACCGATAGATGTTTCATGACTTTGACGCAAGCACTTACCTTCAACCTTGGTGGATCCCCATCAGGCCCGGCTGGTACTGGTAAAACGGAAAGTGTGAAAGACTTGGCAAAGAGTATGGCTCTTATTTGCATTGTATTTAACTGTGGTGAAGGCCTTGATTATAAGGCTATGTACATGAACTTTTCTGGATTGTGTCAGACAGGAGCATGGGGATGCTTTGATGAATTCAACAGAATTGAATTGCCTGTACTTTCTGTTGTTTCCACTCAAATTAGAGAAATTCAAAGTGCCCTCAAGTCTAAAAAGGAAGAGTTCAGATTCGAAGAAATTGATATTAAGCTCGATAGCAAGATTGGTATTTTCATTACAATGAATCCTGGTTATGCAGGCAGAGTTGAGCTTCCTGACAATCTTAAGGCTTTGTTTAGACCATGCGTGATGGTGGTTCCAGACTTGGAAATTATTTGCGAAATTATGTTATTCTCTGAAGGATTTAATACTGCCAGAGTTTTAGCAAGAAAAATGACCAAATTATATGAACTTGCAAAAGGACAGCTCTCAAAGCAACACCATTACGACTGGGGTTTACGTCCATTAAAATCGGTCTTGGTCGTAGCAGGTAGATTGAAGAGAGAAAATCCAGACAAGAGAGAAGATGAGTTATTAATGAGAGCTTTACACGATATGAACGCACCCAAGTTTGTGTATGAAGACACACCACTCTTTGAAGATTTGTTGAATGATCTATTTGTGAATATTGCATATGAAAGAGTCACCTATCCTAAACTCTACAAAGCAGTTGAGGAGAGTCTTGTTGAGAAGGATCTCAAACTTCTTGAAGATGGATCACAAGTTGACAAAGTTATTCAAATTTATGAAACGCTTGAAACTCGTCACTCTGTTATGATAGTTGGAGAGACTCAAGGTGGAAAGACTGTTGCTTTCAATACTCTATGCAGTGCATTGAAAAAGGCTTTTAATTTTACCGTTAAACAGTTAGTTATGAATCCAAAGGCACAAGGTATTGCAGAGTTGCATGGTGTGTTGGACAAAGACACAAGAGATTGGACGTACGGATTATTGTCCTACTACTTTAAAGAGCTCAACCAACCTTCAGAAAAAGCCCATGCAGAACGAAGATACCTTGTTTTTGATGGAGATGTTGATGCTGAATGGGTAGAAAATATGAACTCAGTCATGGACGATAATAAGGTGTTGACATTGCCAAATGGTGAAAGAATCAGTTTATTGTATCCGTTGTGCTCACTTCTTTTTGAAGTAGGCAACCTGAGAGTAGCTTCTCCTGCAACAGTCAGTCGTTGTGGTATGGTTTATGTAGATCCAAAGAACTTGGGTTTTGAACCTTATATTTGGACATGGCTGAATCACAAATTGAAGAAAGATCATCCAGAAAAAGTGGAAGTTCTACAAAGATTGTTTGAAAAATACGAGAAAAGTTGTATTGAATATGTATTGAAGGGTATTGATCTAGATGGATCTTTCACAGAAAGGATCAAAACCTCTGTAGTCATGAATTCTGTTTCATTTGTTTCACAACATTGCAATATTTTAGATTATATTTTTGCTGACCCTGAACAAAACACCGACGATGAAAGAGAGCTTGAATGTCTTTTCATATTTGCTCTAATTTGGTCGGTTGGTTCTGTAATTATTGATTCGGACAGAAAGAGGTTTGATGATTTTGTAAAGAAGATTACAAAGTGGAAGCCAGTTGACAATGGTGAATCCCTTACTGATCACTTTGTGGGTGCAGGATGTTGCCCATCCAGATTAACCTTGTATGAATACTTCTTTGATGTTAGGAATCATCAATGGAAGCCTTGGAAAGTGATAGTACCAGTCTATCAACCACCGACAAATGGACGTTTTTCAAGTATCATTGTTCCAACCATAGATACTGTTCGCTACACTAGCTTCCTTCACACATTTGTCACTTTGGGCAAACCAGTTTTATTTGTTGGATCTTCAGGAACCGCAAAGACTGTCATGATCAAGAACTTTGTGAAGGATGTTACAGAAAAGAATGAAAAGCTCACAAGTCTCTCAATCAACTTCTCAAGTAGAACTTCCAGCTTAGATTTGCAAAGAACAATAGAAGATAACATTGAGAAGCGAGTCGGAGATAATTATGGACCTTTACAACAAAAGAAGATGATTGTTGTTATCGATGATATGAACATGCCAAACTTTGACAAGTATGGTACCCAACAGCCAATCGCATTACTGAAATTGATGTTAGAAAAACATGGATTTTATGAACGTAAAACTCAAAATCTTGCATTCATGAAATTATTGGACATGCAGTATGTTGCGGCCATGCAACCTACATTTGGTACAAACGCTATAGATCCAAGAATCCTCTCAAAGTTCAATATTCTAAACATTTCCTTCCCATCCGATTATTCGATTGAACATATCTATAACTCAATTTTAACTCATCATCTTAGCAACTTTTCTCCTGAAATCCAAAATATTGGACCAAAGATTACTGCTTGCACCATCAAACTCTACAAAAATTTAGTTTCAAGTCTGCCTCCTACTCCTGCCAAGTTCCACTATTTATTTAACCTGCGGGACTTAAGCAGAATTTATGAAGGATTGTGCTTATCCACAATCGACAAACAAAATGAAATTGCTAAATTTGTTAGATTGTGGAGAAACGAGTGTCTAAGAGTTTTCCACGACCGATTAATTTCAGCTGCTGATAAGAACCTTACTATTTCGGCTATTGAAGAGGAAGTGAAGTCATCCTTTGGTACCGTTTCAGAGCCAGTACTAAAGAATCCAATCGTATTTGGTGACTTCCTTGACTTCCAGGACCCAAACAATGCAAGACTGTATGAAGATCTTGTCGACTATGACAAGATTAAACCTGTAATTGAAGATGCAATTAATATTTATAACGAGAGGCCTGGCGTTAAAAAGCTTGATCTCGTAATGTTTGAAGATGCTCTTGAACACTTGACAAGACTATTAAGAATAGTTAGAATGGACAGAGGAAACGCCTTGCTAATTGGTGTCGGAGGATCCGGAAAACAAAGTTTAAGCAGACTTGCATCATTCGTAGCAGGTTATGAGTTGTTTGAAATTAAGTTGACAAGAGGATACAACGAAACACAGTTTAGAGATGATTTGAAATCACTATACAGAAAGCTTGGAGTTGAGGACAAAAAAGTTTTGTTTCTTTTTACTGATGCACACGTTGTAGAAGAAGGATTCCTCGAATTTATCAACAATATGTTATCATCTGGTGTTGTTCCTGCACTATTTGAAGACAATGAAAAAGAAGAGCTTTATTCAAGTGTTGCCAAAGAGATCAAATCTACTAACATCATTCCAAGCAAAGAAAATATGTGGAATTACTTTATTAACAAGTGTAGAAATAATTTGCATATTGTGCTGGCAATGACGCCTACAGGCAGTACTTTGAGAGTAAGATGCAGAAACTTCCCAAGTTTAGTTAGTAGCACCACCATTGATTGGTTCACATCTTGGCCTGCACAAGCCTTGAAAGAGGTGGCCAATCAATTCTTGTCTGATGACTCTGTTCCACAAGATTTGTTAGAAGGCATTAATGAACATATGATATTTGTTCACCAAAGTGTAGAACGATATAGTTCCAGATTTGCTCTTGAATATAGAAGGTACAACTATGTCACACCAAAGAATTACTTGGACTATATTAACACTTACAAACGTCTTCTGTCTGAAAATAGAAACAAGATTGATGAAATGATTAAGAGATTAGAAGGAGGTCTCAAGAAGCTAAGAGAAGGAAAAGATGAAGTAGAAGAAAGAAAGAAAGAGCTTTCTGAAGCTTCTGCAATCCTAGAGAAAAAGTCTGTGGAAAATCAGCAATTACTTCAAGTGATTTCTGAGAGATTGGCAGAAGCCTCTGAGCAAAGTAAGCTCCAACAAGAGCGAGAAGAAGAAATCAAGAAGGAATTGGAAAATATTCAAAAGCAAAAAATTGAAGAAGAAGAAAAGCTTGCAGTGGCAGAACCTGCAGTTAGAGCAGCAGAAGAATCCTTAAAGAAATTAGACAGAAATGCTATTACGGAACTTAAGGCATTTGCAAGTCCTGCACAAGTTATTCAAGATGTTGGTGCGTGTATTTATATTCTACTCGAAGATGAAACTCCTTCTCAAATTACTTGGGTAAATGTAAAGTCGATTATGACTGAAGCCTTCTTCAATCGACTTGTTTCGTACGACAAAGGAAGACTGACCTCTAACAAGATCAATCGTATTGAACAAATATACAAAAAGAATGGAGATTCCATGAAACCAGAAGAAATTGGCAAAGTTTCAAGCACTCTTGCTGAAATTGTCAAGTGGGTGAATTCAATGCGTGAATATTATCAAGCCATGAGAGTTGTTAAACCAATTAGAAAGAAGAAGGAAGAAGCAGAAAAGAAGTTAGCATCCTTTACTGAACAACTTTCTACAATCAAGTCCAAATTGGAACAGCTCAAGCAAGATATTGCAGAGTACAAAGTTAAATATCAGAGTGGTCAAGAAGAAGAAAAGAATTTAATGGAGAAGAAACAAAACATGGAAGCTAAATTAATTGCTGCCAATAAGCTTATCGAAGGGCTTGGATCTGAGAGAGAACGATGGGCTCAACAAATTCATGACTTGTCTGAAAAGAAAAACAGACTCATTGGTGATTGTTTGATTTGCTCTGCCTTTTTGAGCTATACTGGTGCTTTTACAGTTGACTTTAGAAAAGAAATGATCCAAGAATGGTTGAATGAGGTAAAAGAAACCAACATTCCAATCACTTTCCCATTCGATATCGAGGATATTTTAACTGATGACGTGCAGAAGAGTCAATGGGCTTATGAAGGCTTACCCTCAGACAAAATTTCAACACAAAATGGTATATTGACAACCCATGCATCTCGTTTTCCAATTTGTATTGATCCTCAATTACAAGCTGTTAAGTGGATCAAGAATAAGGAAAAGCATATCAAGGTTTGCTCATTTAGCGACTCTGATTTCATGAGAAAGATTGAAAATGCAATGAAGTACGGTGAAACCATTCTCTTTGAGAATGTTGATGAAGAAATTGATCCAATGATTGATCCTGTGCTCGATATGGAGACTCGAGGAAAAAAGAGAATTGTGAGAATGGGAAGTGATGAAATTGATGTAGATCCAAAATTCAAGCTTTACATGTGTACGAGACTGTCTAATCCTCACTACACTCCAGAGATTGCAAGTAAGACCACCATTATTAATTACAGCGTCACTGAGGAAGGTCTTGAAGAACAATTATTGAATATTGTTGTGAATCATGAAAGACCAGAGCTTGAAGAAGCCAGAAGAGACTTAGTGCAAACAATGAGCGAAAGTAAGGCTCTTCTACAGCAATTGGAAGCCAAGATATTGAAAGAGCTTAACTCCTCTAGTGATGGTACTCTGATTGACAACGTGGAGCTGATTAAAACATTGGAAGAAACAAGAAACAAAGTCCGTGAAATTAACACCAAGATCATTCAGACTAAACAAAATGAAAAGGACAACTTCAAAGCTAGACAGGGTTATAGACCAGCGGCTAAGAGAGGAACCATTCTTTACTTTGTGCTTTCCAGTCTATCTAATATCAACTCCATGTATGAATATTCGTTGTCCTCATTCTCACAAGATGTGTTTGAGACATCACTCTCGAGAAGCCAACCATCAAGAATGCTTGAAGGAAGATTAGATAACATTATTGACTATTTGACCAAGTCGGCATATAGTTATACATGTGCTGGTTTATTTGGTGTACACAAGTTATCTTTCTCCTTACAAATTGTGCTAAAAATCATGCAAAGCGAGGAAAGACTTGATCCGCTAGAATTCAATTTCTTCCTTAAAGGTGACATCTCTATGGGTCTTGAAAAACCAAATCCTTTCCCTGAATGGATTGCTGACGGAGGATGGAAAGATTTGCTTAAACTGTCAAAGATATCTGAATCGCTACAAGGTCTAGCAGATGATGTTGTCAATAATCCAAAATGGAAGGAATGGTATGATGCTCCTGAACCAGAAAAATTACCACTTCCATCAGAAAAATTCCAGTCGGCAAGCTCATTCCAAAGAATGTGCATTCTTCGTTGCCTTAGACCTGACAGGATTGTTGTTGCTGCAACTAGCTTTATTGCAGAGGAGATGAAGAGCGAATACTTTGTTAAACCTCCAGTTCTCACATTCGATAATATTTTCAACCAAAGTTCCAAACTTTCCCCTATTGTGTGCATGATCAGTCCTGGATATGATCCTGCAAATGACATTATCAAACTATCCAATGAATTAGACAAACGTGTCAAGTACATTTCTCTTGGTGAAGGTCAAGGCGAAAAGGCGTTAGCACTATTGGAGAAGGGTATTTCTAAGGGAATGTGGGTACTGTTGCAAAATTGTCACCTGCTAGTCGATTGGATGAAAAATGTCGAACACATTCTTGAGAAATTAGATAAGGACAAAGTTCATGATGAATTTAGACTTTGGCTTACCACAGAAGTCACACCAAAATTCCCTATTGGAATTCTTCAACGATCTCTCAAAGTTGTGACTGAACCACCCAATTCTTTGCAACTCAACATGAAATCAACATTTTCCAACATTTCTAACGCTGAGCTTGATGAATGTACCCACAAGGCATTTAGACCTTTGGTATATGTCCTTTCCTATTTCCATGCTGTTATACAAGAACGAAGAAAATATGGAAAGATTGGTTGGAACATTCCATACGATTTTAACAAGTCTGACTTTGATGTTAGTTTTAGTCTTATCAAGACCTATCTCAATAAGGCAGCAATGTACAATGATCCAATCCCATGGGATAGCTTAAAATATCTGGTCGGTGAAGCCATGTACGGAGGCAGAGTTACGGATAAATTCGACAGAAGAATACTTACAACCTACCTCAATGAGTACATGGGAGACTTTTTGTTTGATACTTTCCAACCTTTCAGATTCTATTCCGATGATGAAATTACCTACGAGTTACCACCAATGGAAAAAGAAAAGATGGTAGGAAAACAGAACATGATTGTGTCATTGGGAGTTGAAGACTTTATGGACTTTGTTGAAAAGAATATTCGTCTGACCAACTCTCCATGTGTATTTGGATTGCATCAAAATGCAGAAATTGGATATCTCACCAATTCCACTTCCAACTTGTGGACGGACCTTATTTCACTTCAAGTAGGTGCACACAGTGGAGGATCCAAAGGTGAAGGAGAAGAATATATCAAATCAGCATTAAGTATCATTCCAGAACCATTCGATCGAGAAGAAGTTCAAGCAAAGATCCTTCAGAAATCGTCCAAACTTACACCTATTCATGTCGTTCTCTTGCAAGAAATTGATCGTTGGAACACTCTTGTTGGAGTCATGAAGCGATCACTCATTGATTTACAAAAAGCTTTAGCAGGAGAAATTGGTATGAGTGAAGAATTGGAACATTTGAGTAATGCCATAAACATTGGTGTGGTACCCAAGTTGTGGAAAGATTACGCTCCTCAAACCAAACTCAATCTATCTTCATGGCTAGAATATTTCAAGGAAAGACACAAGCAATATGTGGAATGGATTCGAACAGGTGAAGATCCAGTAGTAATTTGGTTGAGTGGATTGCATGAACCAGTGTCCTATATTACTGCTCTTGTTCAAATGACTTGTAAAAAGTACAAGTGGCCTCTCGATAGAACTACGGTCACAACACGAGTCACAGAATTCTCCCATTACACAGATATCAAGACCAAGCCAGTCGATGGATGCTACGTGAGGGGATTGTACCTTGAGGGAGCTGCATGGGATCCAAAATCTCATTGCTTGAGAACTCAAAAGCCAAAACAACTCAGAGAAGAGTTACCAGTTCTCGAAATTATTCCAACAGAAAACTCAAAGGTCAAAGTACAAAATACCTTCCATGCTCCAGTCTACTATACTTCGGATAGAAATGATGCTGGAAACAAGGGTCTAGTTTTTGAAGCAAATTTGCAAACTGAAGAGCATGATAGTATTTGGTCACTGCAAGGTGTTTGTATTACATTGACTTAGATATCCATTAAATGTTTCTTTCTGTTCAAATGTAAGGGTGATAATTAATTATAAATATTGACACGTACTTGATTTTTTGCTTTCATGTGAAGCTTGGAAAGAACAACTTGTTTCATTCAAACTGGATAAAGGCTGTGTAAAGCAATCTTAGTGTTTATTCACAATTCGTTTGTTTGCGTTATTATTCCTTTTAAGAAGCAGTGCTAAATGCTTCAAAGCAGAATCCTTAACACTCAAACCTCTGTACAAGGGCCGTATTTTTGCAAGTTCCAAAACAGAATTCGAGAGCACAGCAGCCACAGACTCTTCCAAATATTCAACAACACCTAAATTGGGCCAATCTCGTTGTCGAATGGGTAATTTGCTTGGGAGTGGAAGATTCAAATATTTCCAAGGTGTTTGCATGAATTTAGTTCTTCCCTCACTGGAATAAGTTCTAAACAGCTTTCCCTTATATTCAATTGAGTGAACACTCTTTCCCCACATGATAATTCCCATGCTCAATAAAATAGGACAAAATCCCTTATATTCGAATTTGTATGCAATTTCATCATCGTATTCTTCTTCTCGAATTGCATCTGCTCCTTTCAATACCAAATCATTGACCTCACGTGGAAGATCGGATGGAAATTCTTCTTCATGACTTGAAAACCTTTCTGGATTGGACATGAACATTTCTAGTGCTGTGTGATCATTCATACAATAAATTCGTTGAGAGTAGAGACATCGATGCAAATGTGATCGATCTGCAATCGTGTCACAAAGAATTCCTTCTTCAACAAATTTCACAGGACAATAGGTTTTAAATTTTGATAAATGTTCTGTGAAGAAGGAATTCGTAAGACCAATGTCATGAATAGGTGCAGCAAGTTCCATTTGTGTTTTCATATGGAATAAATATTGCCGTGAGAGAGTACTTGTCACTGCTCGTTGGATATTCGAAACAAGTAACCATTCAGGTAATATTCCTAAACGACATGTGGTAAATGGTCTCTCTATTTCGAAAAGAGTTTCAATTTGTCGTTCTTCTTGAGTAAACATTTCACTATTATAATGTGTCAAAATAAGGTTGAATAATAATAGGTGCAAAAAAAATAAGAGGTTGTAATAATAACAGTTCACAACAACACTTGTTTGTAACTCCAATGAATGAACAATACTTACTTGTCATTATGTAAAAAGAAGACCTTATCAATAAGTTCACCTCTCTTTGATAATTCTTTCACATCTTCGAACGATAGATAAATTCCATCAATGACATAACCTTTCACCTGACAATCAAAATGTTGTACTCTCAACTTTAACAACTCGACAAGATGATCTAATTCTTCTTCGTCTTGCATAGATCTCAAATGTTGGCCCAACATTGTATCGTATTGTTTGAAAGTATTTACAATTTCGTTCACGTCAATATATACACAACCAAGATTTTCTGCAACCTTCTTTGCAACAGATTGACGTTTCTCTTGATCCGTTCCAAGAATTAAAACCTTAGGTCGGAATGCATGGTCATCGAATGTACACTCCATGTAGAATTTTCTATTCTTCATGAATACATCTCGAGATTTCTCAGTTATAAAGAAAAAGACTCTATGATTGACAACAACTGGGAATGAAAGCTCTGGTTTTGGAGGCTCACGCTGTTTTTTCTTATTTTCCTCTTCTTCTACTGCTTCTTCTTGAGCTCCATCATCCTTGTCATCTTTCTCTTCTGCTGGCTGTTCTTCATTTTCTTCATTGTCATCTTGATTTTCTTCATTGTTTGTTGGCTCCTCAACTTGTGGTCTAGTAACAACTTGAGGTGGCTCTTCTTTTGGTGGAGGCTTGACAATATATTCATCTTCTGAATGAGTGAATGTGAGAAAATGTTGTTGAATCTTGGGAAATCCGTCACTTTGAATCACTCGCTCAACCTTATCAAAGTAATAATATCCCAGCTTCTTTTTACCCTCATGAATTAAGTTCATTGCAATTTCATGAGTGCATGGAGCCACAAAATCAAACAAAGGATTTCTATCTATAAATAATTTGATAAAATCTTCAAGAGTCTTTTGGAATAATCTCTCTGGCTTTGTAGAGTCCACATCTCGGACAACAAATCGTTTTCCTTGATATCGTGAAATAATTTCTTCAATCTTTTCGACAGAATCTGTGTAGGATTTTTGGGCCTCTTCCATAATTTCCTCCTTGGTTTTCACAACCTCTTCTTGAGTATTTTCTTCTTTTCCTTCTTCTTCGTCTTCTGTCTCTTGCTTTTTCTTTTTTAATCTTCTTTCGATTTTATCCTTTTCAGCTTCTTTTCTCTTTTTTACTTTTCGTTCCAATACCATTTTCTTGTACTCAGAATAGTCTTGTTCAAATCTACTTTTAACAAGATGTTCTTCAGAGACTTTAAAGTTCAATATCACCGTAGGGACAATTCCCATTTCATCAAGAATATTTAGAATCTGTTCTGTATGCTCTCCCAATGGAATGGAAGTGAGAATGTAACCATGAGCGTACTTTTCTTCTTGGAGGATAAGTTTGAAAATATTACACATTCGTCTCAACTTTTTTTCGAGTTTTGCAGCTTCATCCTCTTCCACTTCTTCTTCGTTATTTTCTTCATCTTCTTGATTAGCTTCTTCGTCCTCATCTTTTTCTGGTTTCGTGGGCTTTTCAACTGGTCTCTCTAATTCTTGAATATACTTATTCACGGACTCATATTTTGACCCTTCACTTTCAATAAAGGATTCCTCAAGCTTGATCACTGGTAACTTGGTCAGGTTAGAGAGCCGTTCTCCAAAGGCAATTTGGTCACCAGCACTAAGGATCCAAATATTGAGTGATGAAAGGTCCATATGTCGTGTATAATAGTCAGGTCGTACAATGAAACGATCAACACATTCCTGATTGTCAAAGAAGTAATGCTTGTTCTTGTAGGAGACACACAATGAGGAATCTCCTTTGACTAACATCTTTTTCTCTTTCAGTGTTACAGGACAAAAAAGTCCAGAATAACCAAGCACTCGTTGTCTGAGCTCAGGAACGGGTTTGGGTTCGTCATCAATTTCCTCATCCTTATTGCCTTCCTCGATAGTGGCAGTCTCTTCTGATTGCGTAGTCGCTTCTTCTCGTTCAAAAATAGAGTCTTCCTTGGGAATTTCAACTCCTGAAACAACTACCGCTTCAGAGTAGAAGGGATCAATTTGTTTCCTAATGTTAAAAGCTCCTTCCCATGTGCTTGTTAACGAAATGTCAATGATCTTAATCTTTTTAGATGCAAGCTGTTCTTCTTTTTCTTTCACATACTTGACAAAGTCAATAACCTGTTCCTTCTGTGGAGGTGGTTGTTCTGATTTTTCAGGCTGCTCTCCGTCCTCCTGTTCCCCGTTCTGCTCGTCGGCTGTCTCTTCTTGCGCTTCTTTTTTTATCACAACAACACAGGTAGCAATGGATTCACATGGGCTCTCAATAAGGTGTTTCAAATGCTCTAAATGGTTTGAGTCTGATCCTGCATGTACAAAAATGCTTTTAGCAATATCTTCTGAATGTTCAAGAGGAGCAGAGTTTTCGGCTTCAGCAGCCGGTTCTACATTCTCTTCATTCTCATCTGTAGAAGATTCTTGCTTTTTGGGCTTTTCTTGCTTTGGAGTTTGTGGTATAGTTTTGACATAATTGCAGTAGGTTTCCAAGCTCGTGCACTCCACATTGTAATGTTTCACCACTATTCTCAAATCAATTTAGAAGGTCAAAGATAACACACAAGAAATAACAAACCTTCTTCATAAACTTCTTTTCCTTCTTCTCCATTCCAAATAAATATCACTCTCTGATTCTTTTGAGGCCTTCTCCTCAGGTAATAAGATGGATTAGTTATAAACTCTTTCTGATACTCTTTAGTTGACAATAAATAAACTCGACCTCTGAAAAGAACAGGAAAGAGACCCTCCACTATTGCTCTGTCCACTTGAAACCTCACAGGGCAATACTTTTTCCAGCTGCTCCATTTGTATCCCTTCTCCAAGGCTGCCGAAATTTGTGCTTGAGGGTCTTCCTCTTCTTCTGGATTTTCAGTTGGCAATGACGAACTTTTTGCCAGAACATTTGGAGACGCACGAACAATTTTCTGCAAAATATTGAAAAACACATCGTTTAAACTTTGGGACGATGTGTTTGAAGAAATAAACTTTGAATGAGCTTTAGCATTTTGAATAATGTTTTCCAATGAATCCGTGTCAACTCGAACATCATTCGAAATTTTTCGTTTCAAATAAAAGCTTTTCAATGTTAGATATTGTTAATACCAGCGAACTACAAGCAATGAATACTTACTATTCAAGCCGTTCCATAAATTTCGTTTGTCTTTCGATGGCTTTCTGTTTTTCTCGTTCTAGTTTGGTTTCTTCGTCTTCTTCAGCAGGTTGCTCCTCCTCCTCTTCCTCTTCTTTTGGAAGGTCCTCTGCTGCCTGCTCATTATGTTCGTCCTGCTCTTGATTTTCCTTTGATTCCTCATCCTCATTATTTTCGTCCTGCTCTTGATGCAGTTTGTTTAATTTTTGTGTTTCGAGTAATCTCTTTTTCTCCTCTTTCAGTTCTTGCTTCCTTCTCTCATCTTCAAGCTCTTTTCGTTCTTTTTCATCCTCTTCTTCAATCTGCTTTTCGAGCTCAGCGATTCTTTTAGAAATTCTTGATACCATTTCTTGGTTTCGTGTGGCCTTTTCCTTTGGTTCAATCTCTAAATTAAGGACATATTTAGGTGGATATTCCTCGAGAGACTTTGTTATTTCAGTCCTGATATCGTGACCGAGAATGCTTCCCCACTCAAGTGTGTAGCCACGTTCAATTACAGAATCTGACGTCAGCCACTTTTTCAAAATATCAATCATCACTGAGTTTGGAATGTTTCGTTCCTCCCTTAAGCACTTTTCGATCTACAAAGAAGTGATGCACTTTTTTATCTCCATTTATCTATACTTACAGTCAATCCCATCTCGCTTTTTGACATAAATTCTTCTTTGGCCATTTCTTGTATATCTAATCTGACACAGTTAAAATGTTGTGACATTTTCTTTGCAATACTACTCTTTCCACTGACTACTCATAACATTATTATTTTGAAATGTATGTTTAAAGTTGTACGTACATGATTCTCCCAATATAAGAAAACTCTTTGGTTTTTTGTTTACATCTAATATCATTTCATCTTCACTGTCATAGCATAGTTCTGAAACCGAGGGGAAAATGGTCTCATCTCCTTCACGGAATGACAATCTGAGCAATCGTTCAAAATATTTGTCAATGAATTTAATCTGTTGTTGTTGTGAGGATTTAGGTTTTCCTTTGATATTTAAAAGCGTTTCGAGATCCAGAGGCGAATTAAACGATATTAATGAATGAATTTCGTTGGTGTGTTTCAATTCCCAAGAATCCGATGATGAATGTAACAATGATTCGAGCGCCTCTGCCAGTTTTTCATGGTCTTCGTGATGACCTACTTGTTCCTCCACCTGTTGATCAATATTTAAAGTGTTCAATATATACACAAGATCTACATCAGAAATCTCTTCCGAATGAATTTTACCATCGTTTAAAAGCTTTTGAATATATTTTTCTCGGCGTTTTGGCTGGGGGCAGGTCACACCATTTTTTACAATAGAGAGCAACAGTCTGCCTAAAAGGTTAGACCAAACAGCCTTATTCCAAACAAGAGTGCAAAAGAAGGCAAATCTCTCACAAAATCCAAAAAAGTTGTCATACAAAATTTTGGAAGATTGTTTAGTTATTCTCGACATGATGACTGGAAAAATTAATTGAAACTGCTGACGATTTTTGTTGTTGAACGATTGAATAATTCTTGCTGTCAGCTCATTCATTTCTTCCAAGGAAATATACTCTACGTCGACACTCTCCTTCTTGACAACTTTCCAAAGCTGACCTCATTGTAACATTTTCATTGATAAAGTATTCAAAATGGTTAATACTGTGTCAATGACTAAAACATACCGCTCCGATAATTAGATCAAGCTTCCTCTCCACCTTTTGAAACTCCCATTCAAACAACGGAGCTGAGGAAGGGTGAGTAGCACTATCGTTGGACTCTGCCATTTTTTTACGATTTTGGCGGACAAAATTTTCATAGCTGCAAATCCATACAATACAGTAATACCATTGATTTCTTGATTTCCACCACCAAAAAAATCACAAGCTCAATACGAGTGACAACAGATCTGTACATAAGGTGTAGAAATGTATTAAATTATGACATGGTACAATATAAACACAAAATTAATCCTTCTTGAGTTCTAAGATTTCAGTCTTGATTCCTTCCTTTGTAATAATCATAATTTCAACCGAGTCACCAGTATAAATATCTCGTTCTCCTGCACTGGTAAAAGCATCCTTAACAATGCTCAGACTTTGTTCAAGAGAAAGTTTCTTGTCTGGAACTAAAAGATGATTCTTAAAAGCGACTTGATTGTCAAGAAGTGGTTGAATTAAAGTTTGACCAGAACCTTGACTTCCAACTTCTACTGCTTGATAAGATCCAATAGCATCATATCCATATACAACACCCTTTCCTTCATTATCAATTCCGGCAACCAAGTTAAATGTATAATATGGGAAGAATCGACGATTGTATAACATGTTAGAAAGCATTTGACCTACAGCCACAGCGCTCATGGGCTTTCCGTGCTGATGTTCGTATTCTACAAGTCTCATCTTTAATACTTTGTGGAGAGTGGCTGCATCAGATTGCATACCAGCAGAAGCAATCACACATCGATCTGTTAATTTGCATAATTTTGTAGATTTACGGGTTTGAATGGAATAACCCAAACTCATTCTGGTGTCAGCTGCTACAATTACATAGTCTTCACCCGGAATTGCCAATGTAGTACTGGATATTGTTCAAGCAAAAAATTGTTTTTTCGATCAAAGGATGATTTCCGTAATATTGCATCATGAGGTCGGTTGTTGGATGGTTGATGATGATGATATTATTGAATGATAATTTTAAAACCCGTAGAGTTATTATAATAATCGAAAAAAGAATTCCAATCAAGAAGTGATGTAAGCCAACATCGAATACTGTCAATAACAAACAACATACCCTCCGTTGTCCTCATAAGGAGAGAATTTGGGTCTTTCAAAGGTGTTGGCGTGGAACATTTTTTAAAGTTTTTGATTTTACATTTCCAATCTAATAATAGATGAATTTTGCGAGTTGGAAAAAATTGACACCTTAATCGAAAGACCTAGTGAAAAACATCTGCCGCTTGGAAACAAATACAGTGTCCGGTTGTTCGGCATCATAGCAACCATGTCCTATGACGAAATTGTGAGGATAATCCTTTATGATTTTTCAAATTCTGATGATCATGAGAGTATCGGAAAATGTGAGCTTCCTCCCATTCGGAGATTGGAATTATTGTTGAAAATGAAATTCTCAATGCAACAACTCGGAAAGAAGAAATGGTTATTGAATAGAGAATTGAAGTATGAGGATTTCTTTCCTGTTGAATTTATGAATGATAAAGAATTTGTAGGGAAGCATATTGAAAAGTATGGCCACGGACTGATCTATGCATCACCGTATTTACAACAAGACAGGAATTTTGTGTTGCAAGTAGTTCCATTCGCTGGGGCAGAATTAGCTGTTACAAGTGATTATATTCGTAATGATCGAGAAGTAGTATTGAAAGCGACAAAGAATGACTTTCACGCTTTTGATTTTGCTGGAGTAAAACTTCAAAACGACAGGCAGTTTGTTTTGGAAGCAGTTCAACAGAATGGTATTGTTCTTTGGAATGCTGGACCATTTAAGAAAGACAGAGATGTTATTTTGACTGCTGTGAAACAAAATGGTGAAGTGTTGGAATGTGCTTTCATAGATCGAGTTGAAGTGGATGAAGAAATAATTTCAGAGGCAATCAAACAAAATAAGAATGCACTTCGATGGATATCCAAAGATAAGCTCAAAAATGTTTATTTCATGCAGAAAGCTCTACAGTTAATATACCCAGAGCTCGATAGTTTTGATTATTCAAACAAAGAAACCATGAGGAAGGTTATTGGAGAATTTGGATTTTTACTTGAATTTGCAAACGATGATCTCAGAAATGATAAGAGTATTGTGGCGACTGCAGTTCGAAATGATGGTTATTCTTTGCAATTTGCATCAGATCATTTGAGGAATGACAAAGAAATTGCCTTACTCGCTGTTACACAAGATGGCTTTGCATTGCAATTTGTCTCCACAGCACTGAAGAAGGACAAAGATGTAGCATTAGCAGCTGTAAAACAAAACGGATTTTCCCTTCTGCATGTTCATGACGAGTTGAAAAACGACATGGACATTGTTTTGACAGCAATCCAACAAAACGGTGGTTCTTTCCAGTACTGTAATGAGAGGATGAAAAGGGATCAAGAAATTGTATTTCAAGCCATCCAATCCAGTCCCAGTGCTTTTGTTTTCGCATCAAAAGAATTGTTTCATGACAAACAATTCTTATTGAAGATCATCAAGCTTGGATGTAGAAACATTCTTAGACATGCACCATCAGAGATTTCCAATGATAGAGAATTTGTGTTAAAAGCAGTCAAAGAAAATAGTCTTGGAGTATTCGGATACACGCGTTCTGATTGTCCCGATAGGGAAATCATGTTAGAAGCAGTGAAGAATAATGGCTATGCATTGAAATATGCCAGTCCAACACTACGACAAGATGCAGAACTTGTGAGGGAAGCACTCAAATGCAATGGTTACGTGTTAAAGTACAGTGACGAGTTGTACCAAACACGAATGGAACATTGCTATCATAATGTGTATTTGGGATTTCAGTAATTTGGATTTTGGCCATGTAGCTCCTTGTGGAACACAGAACTTGCACTCGTGTTAAGGCAAGACGAAAAAGTATGAATGCCATAACTAAAAAATTAGTGCAAATTCCACAAGGCACACTCGAGTGTGTCTCTGACCGTTGAAGCCAAATGAACAATTACAGCAATTTCTTTCAAAAACCATCACTAAAACACAGTCCTGATGACGCAAGGTTTATTAATAACCTTGTTTGTTTTGGAGGTTTTGTTTTTATTAACGGTTTTAAGTTGCTCAGCACTAAAATAACAGAGCAAAAGCCACAATTTATTACAAATTCAACAAGTCAATATAATCATCAACAGTCAGTTCCTGACGAACCATTCATTCATTCTTTGAATCAAAAGTGTTGTTTTGGAGGTGGATAAGGAATTGTCAAGGCGTTCACTTTTCCATGATCAGTTCCGACGAAAAGAATGAATCAAGTTATTCAAATTGATAGAGTTTCAATTCAATGAGCCCTTCAATACTGATAGAGTTTCAACTCTTGATGAGGTTATCAAAAAAAAACTCAACAACAACCTTAATCTCAAACAATGAAGAGAAGTAGAGAGGATGAACCTACTCATCCTCCTACTAATCCATCTCTTGCACACGGCATCATTCCATTCTGGGATGAGTACTCACAACAAGTATCGGATGAACTTTGGGCATGTTCAAGAGATTCCTTTCATGAGTTTAATCAGTACAACAACAAGGGATGCACTGACGGATGGTTCAACTTTTCTCAATTCACTGTGATTGAATCCAAGCCAGTGTTTGATGTTCCACTCAATGTTCACCACTCCATAACAGAGAATGTGGCTTTTGATAACTCTAAAAAGCCACCTCAGCTCAAGAAAGCAAAAAAGAATCAAAAGGTGGCCCAAAAATTTCAAGCAGACAAATCCTTGAAAATCCGACTCTACCCCAATGAACAAGAAAGGACAACATTGAATCAGTGGATGGGAACTGCTCGTTGGATCTACAACAAGTGCTTAGAATTTACACACAACTTCAAAGATGTCAAGAAAAACAAGAAGAATTTCAGAACGTTTGTGGTGAACAACGATAATTATCAGACAGAAAATCAGTGGGTTGTGAATACTCCTTATGACGTAAGAGATGCTGCCGCTATTGAATTGTTGACTGCGTTCAACACTAATTTTGAAAAGAAGAAGGCTGGAATGATTGACAAGTTCATGATCCGTTTCAGGCGAAAGAAAGACAGAAAAGATCATTTTGTTCTCCACTGCAAGCACTGGAAGAAAAAGAGTGGACTGTATTCTTTTATAAGGAACATCAAGAGTGCCGAACCTTTGCCTGAGGAGCTTCAGTACGATTCCATCATTATTAAGAACAAGTTGAACCATTATTATTTATGTATCCCACAAGTACTGGATATTAGGGGTGAGAACCAAGCCCCTCAACATTCAGGACAAGTTGTAGCATTGGATCCAGGAGTAAGAACATTTCAGACCACCTTTGATTTGAATGGTTATTCAACCAAATGGGGCTCAGGAGGTGCCGAAAGAATTGGTAGATTGTGTTGCGCGTATGATAAGTTGCAATCGAAGTGGTCTCAACCAGAAGTCAGACATTGCAAAAGATACAAGTACAAGAGAGCAGGAAGAAGAATTCAACAAAAGATTAGAAATATTGTGGATGATCTTCACAAGAACTGTGTTTGTGGCTGTGTCGAAACTACCAAGTGATCTTACTTCCTTCGTTTGAGACTCAGAAAATGGTAAAGAAACTCCATAGGAGAATTAATAGCAAGACAGCAAGAAAAATGTTGACTTGGTCACATTACAGATTCAAGCAAAGATTGCTTCACAAAGCTAGAGAGCATCCGTGGACACACATTTATATTGTCAACGAAGCGTACACATCCAAAACTTGCTCATGTTGTGGACATGTTTATACGGTTGGATCATCTGAAGTGTTTCGTTGTCCATCATGTGGCTCAATTTTTGACAGAGATATCAATGGAGCAAGAAATATTCTTCTTCGATTCCTTACTACTCATAGAATTAGTTTTTGAGCACCTTGTGTGTTGGGTCTTCCCACCTTGTGTGCGTTGGGTCCTTTCCCCTGGCTTTCACTCTTTGAGTGTTTGCTTGCAAGATCAGCACTTTGTTCGATTTGTTTGTTTTGTTCAAAATGTTGATTTAAATAAAGGCGTTAGTTATGAACCAATTCCAAGTCCTACCACACAAGTGCTTCTGCCAGTGATTCAATGACTCACATTCACCAAAAAAATGCAACAAGATCAATCTTCATCCATTCCATCCAACGGAACGAATAACACCACCAGTACTGGTACAGATATTGGACAGGGAGCTGTGCTCATCAAGACCAATCCATATGAATGTGGACTTTTAAAGACTCAAGTCCGAGGCTATGATTTCAATAATGATTTGAAAGATGTATCCAAGCCAATTAATTATGATGGACTCTTTGAATCGTTTTATACCACTGGATTTCAGGCTCATAATTTCGGACAAGCAGTGAATATCGTGAATGATATGTTGCATTGGAGATTGAGTGATGAACCCATGACGCAGGATGAACAGGAGCCCTATGATGATCCGACAGTGAGAGCTCAAACAAAATGTAGAATTTTCCTCGGATACACATCCAATATGGTTTCAAGTGGTGTTAGAGAAGTGATTAGATTCCTTGTACAACACAAATTAGTGGATTGCATTGTTACTACATGTGGTGCTATTGAGGAAGATATCATGAAATGTATGAAACCAACTTATTTGGGAGCCTTTGATTTAGATGGTAAACATTTGAGATTGAATGGTATCAACAGAATTGGTAACTTGTTAATTCCAAATCTAAATTATTGTGAATTTGAAGACTGGATTACTCCAATTTTGGATGAAATGCTGAAAGAACAAAAGGCTGGTACATTGTGGTCTCCATCTTTAATGATTGACAGATTTGGAAAAGAGATTAACAATGAAGAATCCATTCTCTATTGGGCTCACAAGAATGAAATCCCAATTTTCTGTCCAGCTCTCACTGATGGCTCCATTGGTGACATGCTCTATTTCCATTCATATACTGACAAGGATGGTAATGGACTCGTTTGTGACATTGTCAGCGATATTAGACGATTGAATGGTCTTGCAGTGAGATCCAAGAAGACTGGTATGATCATTCTTGGAGGAGGTGTTATCAAGCATCATATTTGCAATGCTAATTTGATGAGAAACGGAGCTGATTTTACTGTTTACATCAATACCGGTCAAGAATTCGACGGAAGTGATGCTGGAGCAAGATGTGACGAGGCTGTGAGTTGGGGAAAAATTCGACTTGGATCCAAATACACTAAAATCTATGGAGAGTCTTCTATCATTGTCCCACTTCTTGTAGCTCAGACCTTCGTCAAGTATCAACGAGAGCAGCAAGAAAAGGCGAAACAATAAACCACCTTCTTCTTTATTGGAAAGCATAGGTTGGGTGAACAGCTTGCCCAAACATGACTGCCATGTCGGGACATATTGTGAACATTTACAACGTCTCAAACAAGCCAGGCAATAAATTTTCCAACAAGTTCAATTACATCTTTTCAGCAGTCATGATGCCCTTGTACGAACAAATTGTGCCAATCAATGGATTGGAAATATTCACTTCCACATACCATGATCTCGAATTCACACAGACAGATTTTCCTGAAGGATCCAAGGCTAACATTGCTGGCACAGGTACATTGAAGAACCACATTTTCCGAAAAGAATGTTCAAATCCAATAATATGTTGTTCTTGCTGCTGTATTTCGTCTGATTTGTTGCTTGTTGCATTTTGATCAATTTCTTCTGTTAATTTTCCATAAATTGGATTTAATTTAAATCCAAATGCAAATGGTCCAAAAGACTCTACCACATAGGACTCGTCACTCTCATTCCTACTCTTCCAAATCTCCCATTTTGAATTCATCTCTCGCCCATCGAACTTTCTCTTCCAAACACCTTGTTCCTCATCGACTGTCACTGTGACTTCAGCTCCTTTTAAATTCTCTTTAGGTAATCCTCCAATTTTAGCCAATAATCGATTGAACCAATTATTGCCATGAGTCACTACCAAATGGCCCCGAGCAATTAAAGGTCTGTAATAATTGTGGTGCTCCACATGTTGACCTGTATGAAATTTCATGAAATATTCTGGAAGAGCTTGCACATGATTTTTACCCAAACCGAATTCAAAGACTTTTAATAATTTTGTTTCCATATGTGATCTTCTCGATCCAAAATTTAAATCATCATTTGATTCTGATTGGGAATGCAACTTGTTGCAATGAAAAGATCGGCATCCGCTTTCATATTGTTTTTGAATATTATGGAAATGACTGAAAGAACATGTACCAAATCTCAGATCCGTAGCATTCGGAGAGGTCATTATTTTGAAAAAACTCAAAAATATTCTTGCGTTAGAAGAACTCGGTGTGATGAATCGTTTCATTTTTTTAATTACAAATTTCTATTTTCATCAGAGATTGAGGAAATTTGCACGAGGTATGGAAAGAATAAGTTGTGTTTGTTGCAGTTAACGAAGGTCGATAAAACGGAGAGAATTGTTCGAGCACATAGCACCTCCTTATGACCGTAGTGGAAAAAAGGATATTTATCATCAGGGTGTGTATTAAGGTATGAAAAAATGTCCAAAAGAGACTTCAGCCAACTAAATTCCAACCATTGCTACTTTCATCCGAGTATGAGCATGCTTGATGAAGAAGATGACGATGAAAGATTTAGTTGTAATGAACATCGTAAGGAACCACAAGAAGCCTCTCATGGTATGGTTGCTAAGAAACAAAAATCTACTTCTACTCTCCAATCAGTCATTGAACCATCAACACTACCACACCCAAGGGCAATAGGACATGTAAGAATACTTCTCGTTGATTTATCTTCTTGCAATTCTCATGAACCAAATGATGCGAACTCTGCTACTACAGAAACTGCGACTCGATGGGAATGGTTATTGAAAAAGAAATTCTCATTGCAACAACTTGGGAAAAAGAAATGGTTACTGAATCGGGAGTTGCGATATCTAACTTTCTTTCCCGTAGAGTTTATGAATGATCGAGAATTTGTCTTAAATCACATTTCAAAGTATGGCTATGGAGTAAATTATGCTTCTAAACTATTGCAACAAGACAAGGAGGTAGTTTTGAAGGCTGCTCCTTATAGGTATGATGTGTTGTTTTACGCCGCCGAAGAACTACGAAGTAATAAGGAATTTGTGTTGGAAGTGGTTCAAGTGAACGGAAAGACTCTCTTTTTTGCATCGAGTAGTCTTAAGAGTGACAAAGATGTTGCTTTAGCAGCAGTGAGACAAAACGGTTTGGCCTTGAAAAGTGTGAACAAAAATACTCTTCACAAGCACCATGAAATTGTTGAAGAAGCTGTCAAACAAAACAATTCGGCGCTTCGTTTTGTTCCAACAGATCTCCTAAAAGATCATGATTTCATGTTGAAAATGCTTAAATTGACAATTCCAGAATTGAGTACTTTTGCGTTGTTTGATAACTCAAACAAAGAATTGATGATGAAACTGGTTAGAAAATGTGGAGTTTTGCTTCAGATTGCATCAGACGAATTGAAAGAAGATCGTGGCTTTGTTTTGGATGCCGTCAAAAACGATTGGGAAGCATTAGCATTTGCCTCTGAGACATTGAGAAAAGACAAACACTTTATTCTTTCGCTGGTATCTGAAGATGGAAGGATGCTCCAATATGCTGCAAGTGAATTAAAACAAGACAAAGAGGTCGTTTTAGCAGCTGTGCGAAATAATGTGGCGGCGATCTACATGGCTCGAGGCGCCGTGTTACAAGACAAAGAAGTGGTGTTCGAAGCGATAAAGGGCAACATGACAAATATTTGCTTGGCGTCTCCAGAGCATTTAAGTGACAAACAGTTTGTGTTGGACCTAGCAAAGCTTGGTTGTCACAGCTTACTAAAATATATTCCCAAACACTTGGCCAATGAGAACGAATTTATGGAAACCATTGTCAAAGAACTCAAGAATAGTGGTTGCGCAATACAGACTGCAATTGACGAACCACGACGAGAGGATTTACAAGCCCAATACGATGGTTATTCATCGGATTATAGTCATCAATTATATCAAAAACGAATGGAACAGTGTTATTTTGGTGCTAAAATCCACTAATAAAGTTAACTATCGATTCATCTCCATATTCTCTTGCAGGATTCCATGTAAAGACTATTCGTTTTCTCAAGTAACACCTTCTTTTCATTCAAGGTATCTTTGACTTTTTGATCAACAAAACATACAGATCTCAAAACGTTCATGGACTAATTTGGGATGGAAAAAAATTCTCTCAACCTTATTGATCGTTGCTGAAAGTTGTATGCTTGTCAAATGGACACGCGGTTCCTAGAAATGATTCAGCACAACGCGTACGGAGGAGTCAACAACGACAGCTGCACCCTCATCTCCAATTTTATTGCACTCCAACACTCTTCAAGGTTGATACTTTTCAAAGGTGTTGAAGCGTAATAAAATTGGCGATGAAGGCGCATTTAATTATGTCGAAGGAAATTACGACACTGTTCTAACTCAAACAAACATTGAATTTAATGTAAAAGAAGAAACATCAAATGTCCTTTATAAATATAAGATGATAATATAAAAATTGTGGGATGTAGTATGATGATGGGGAGAGATAGAATGGAAGAGAGTAGAGCATCACTTCATGAATCATGTTTGCTGCTTCACGGAAAATTTCCTAATGTGATCACGTATGATTGGGTAGCTTAATAAAAGTAATAGCTGGTGGTGTGACCTTGTTGTCATCCTAAATTGTAACAATAACAGCTGCACAAAATAATAGCATGATCACAGTCATTGTGAAGATATGAAAAGCAAATCAAAATTCAAAAAGTAGAAAAAGAATAGGATTTGATGTATCCATGATGGAATCAAATGTCATGATGACCATTCGAAAGGTATGATGGATACGGAAAAAGTAAGGTAGAGCCCGTCATGTTCTGTTATTTAGTGGGCTTCAAAATCAATGACTGCTCTAATAAAGCTATAAAGATAGAATCCGAAGAGGATTACATAATAGACAATATGAGCAATTGATTCCTTCTTTCTCTTTCCAATTTCTCGATATAAATCTGTTGGATCCAATTCATAGCTCTTGTCCAAATAACATTTCAAGTGATAGATGAGAATGGGTGCGTTGAGAATAAGTGCCACATAGGTCGAGTTGAAGAAAATGGAAAGAACAACAAAGAGAACGAGGTGAGAAATGTACTCAATCTTAATCATGATATTGACATTCTTGCAGAGAGCCATACTACTAATTTGATTTTGCTCATATTCCAAGAAGGTGATTAACTGTTCATTGTAAATGATGTCATGATGATGATGTGTCATTGTTTCAGCAATTGTCATTTATGATGTGTTGGAACAAGTGATGGAAAATGTAATTGATTCCATCATTGTTTGAATCATCATAGTATTCATTGGTTTCGTTCAACGAATACAATTAAAGACACATCCGTGAATATTAATAAATTAAAATCATCATCATTTGTTTCCGTTCGGTCCAATAATAGTCAGAAAATTCCATCATCACGATCATTCAATTCTCAACACATTATTATTCAAAGACCACTTACATAAATACCATTCAAGAATGGATGAACAATACTGAATAACCAGACCAACAACCACAAGATGAAAATCATTTTTTTTGTAATTCATTCTTGCGATGAGGTGTCATCTGCATCACACGTGTCCTCAGAGTTGGAATGTTTATTGTTATTGGCAAACAAAAACAGTGATGGAGCGAGCTTTTATGGATCCAATTTGAGTTCATTGTCATAGAGAGTAATCTGTGGGAGTTGAGCACGGAGTGATTTCGGAAGTTGAAAAACAAAACAACAAGATGAACCAAGAACGTCAGGATCGGTTCATGATCCGTTCCTTTCATCATTCAACCATCTTCATCACCATCATCAACATACTGATCCTAACTTGTTGCTTCTCACAGGTTCATGCTCTCACTCCTCACTCCATCAAGACTCTTCTCATTCCGAAACAACAACAACAAGAACCACTCCACGAATTTGCCAATAAAGTCGTCTATGTGAGTGGTGGCTCGAGTGGTATTGGTTTTGCTACCAGTTTATTATTCGCTCAACAGGGAGCCCGAGTTGTATTCACTGCACGTGATTTCCATCCTGATTGGTATACTGGAGCTGAGGCTGAGATGAGAATTAATAGTGATGCCCAAGTGATTCAAAGCGGAGGAAAGGCTCTCTTCGTGAAATGTAATGTCGCCAATTATACGGAAGTGAGAGAGGTGATATTTGGAAAGATTGATAAGGTGTTTGGAAGGTTGGATATTGCTGTGAATAATGGTGAGTTGTGTGTGCTATTCATGAAGTTGTTTTAAACGAGGAAATGATTTTCAATCAATGAATTCATTGTATTACAATAATACTACCACTGGTGATGATCTCATATTCTCATCATCCACATGAATTTCCACAGCTGGAATTGGAGGGCCATCGGGAAATCTTGTCGACCTTGATCCCAAGTACTTCCACAATGTTCATGATCCTCTCCTGAATAACGCCTATGGAGTGCTTTATCAAATGAAAGCTCAACTCGAGTATTGGAAATCCAAAAAGGATAATTCAACCACGAAATCCATCGTGAACCTTACCAGCTACAATGGATTAAGAGCATGCCCTGGATGTTCCATGTACTCGGCATCCAAGCATGCCATCATTGGTTTGACTCAATCCGTTGCTTTGGAACATATTAAGGCCACTCAAGACATGCCACGAGTTCGAGTCAATGCTCTTGCTCCTGGCCTGATTGACACTCCTCTCACAAGAAATCAAGCAAAAACACTCTATGAGGGAGTGGAAACTTGGATTGGTCCATTAATTACAGAGAACAATCCCTTGTGGTTAAAGATGAAGCCCGAGTTAGAGAAGGAATTAGCTGGTGGAAGATTGGGAAGGCCAGAAGAGATGGCACACGTGATTTTGTACTTGTCGAGTGAGGTGAGAGCAAGTTATGTGAGTGGAACAGTGGTGAGTGCAGATAATGGGGATACTACCAAGTAGAGGATTATCAACAAACAACTTGATCTTAATAAAAGTTATGTTGAAAATTATTTTATATTAAGGGTAACCCATGTTATGGCTTTTCCTGACTGGATTGAACTTGTGACACAAAACGCAACTTTTGATCGCATCCTATGGTTTCTCATTGAAACCTCATAATCACATCAGAAAAGCCTTTGCATGTCAATAACTTGATGTTGAAAAGAATTTCTGTATCTTCTGTGGTCTCCAACACTTGGACACATGACCTTCCATACACAATGAAGGATTTGAAATGATGAGGTATCTGTATTTTCCACTTTTGGAATGCTTCATTTCTGCAACATATCCCGAGCTGCTCTTGTTTGGAAATATTCTCTTGACATGATAATCAAGAAATGAGGATTTACCTAAGAGTGCATATAATAGCTGTTGAATATTTCTATGATTCAAATTAGAGCCACATGTGTTACTCCAATGATAGTCTCCAGAATTTTTGGCTTGCACAATCAAACTGTATGCATCTGATTGAATATTTTGAATGGAAGAAACCAAAGAAGGAAGTGCCATCTTTCCATCAAAAAATTTGGGAACGATTGAGTCTCCTTGAGTGAATTTACCATATATATAAATTTCTTGATTGGAATATGTGCAATAAAATTGTTCTCCTAATAACACATTTTGCACTCGTGTAGTATCGGATAATCTAGATATCGTCAACAAAGAATTTGTTTTCAATGGCTGAAAAGTACATGAAATGTTTTGATTTTTCTTTTCCACATTACCTAAATAATACTCTCCAAATTTTGTTTTGATCAACATTCGATTTGACGAGCTACATTGGATGCTCTCAATTTGTCCATATTTCTGTGAAAAAACAATTTCTTCGATGTAATATTGTTGTTTTACATGTTTACGATTTTTTTGAGGAAGGTTATTGAACTGTATCAATATAACAAATCTTCCGAAGTGAAAAGAGGGATGAATTCATCTCCCATGATTTGAAAATCCATCACTTGTCCTTCAATAAGTGCATCTTGTGTCAATTCAATCACACGTACATGTGTTGGAATTAGCTCAGCAGAGTGTTCTTTTAAATTACTAATCTTTCCAGGTTTGAATGATTGTGAGCAGTGTGATAAATCCACAATCATTAGAGTATCTTCATCATCACTCCATTCTTCACCTGAAATCAGTATTGCAATCACATCTCCAACAACTTTCAATTTTTTAATAGCTCGACCTGTTCGTTTCCCATTCAAATCAGGAATAAAGCATTCACAATGATGAAACATGAAATTCAAATATCCGTATCGGGCTTGTGTGATCGAGGGCAAATTATTCGTTGATGCTTGTACAAGTGTTGTAACTGATGTCGGAAATAAGGACACATCTTGTCCATACAACAGAGCCATCATTCGGTAATGAGAAGGAAAACCATAAAAAACAAATCGTTGTCGTTGAGGCATTTTTTGTTGTAATTTGTTAATCAATAAGTAACAACATTTATTTGTAAGCTGTTGTGGCAAGGAGAAACACATTTTGATTCTTGAATAATCCAAAGAGTTTTTGAGCTTGGGATAAATGTTGTTTTTTCCTTCCTCTAATATTATTTACCAACCTATCAGAAAAAACTGTGCGAAGGTGAACGTTGTTGTAAAATGCAGCATTCAAACACGGAAAATCATGAAAATTTCATCATGGATAATCCAAAAGGATCGCTAATGCTAAACAATAAGAAATGCCAATCACTTTTCATGCAAAATGATGAACGAGTGAGGATGATCATGGTTGATTTTTCAAAATTTTCATCCTTTCCTCATGAGGATGACAATAATAATTCGGATAGGATACAGCAATTGGGAAAATTATTGAGAACGAAATTCTCACTACAACAAATCGGAAAAAAGAGATGGATTTTGAATAGAGAGTTCGAATACAAGCACTTTTTTCCAATTGAGTTTTGGAATGATCTTTCATTTGTATTGAACCACATTGAAAAGTATGGTTATGGATTAAGATATGCATCACCGCAGCTGAAACAAGAAATGTTGTATTGAAAGCGGTTCAACACAATGGATTGGACATTCTATTAGCAGATGAAAACATCATTCGCAATGATAAAGAAGTGGTATTACGAGCTGTAACACAATATCCAAGTGCAATATGTCTCACCCGATCTTCGAAAAGACAAGGAATTTATATTAAAAGCAATTCAACAGAATGGAAAGGTTCTCTGGCTTTCTGCATTTATGGAAGACAGAGAAGTTGTTTTAGCCACCGTGAAGAAAAACGGTGAAGTATTGAAATACGGCAATGCTGGCGGCTGGCGCAAAGACAAAGAAGTAATGTTTGAAGCAATCAAACAAAATAAGAAATTACTGAAACTGGTATCAACGGATTTACTCCAAGATTCTCAGTTCATGTTGAAATGTCTTCAATTGAGTTTTCCAGAGCTAGCAACATTGGAGTCCATTGATTATTCAAACAAAGAAATCATGATGAAAATTATTCAAGAATTCCCATTTTTATTTAGTTTAGCATCCAATGCGCTCAGAAATGATCGAGACATTGTGCTGGCTGCCGTTAGAAATGATGGTAACTTGCTTCGTTTTGCCTCGTATTTGAGTGATGACAAGGAAATTGCACTGGTGGCAGTTAACACAACTGGCAATGCGTTGGATTATGTCTCTCTACCGTTGAAGAATGATAGAAACGTTGTATTAGCTGCCGTAAATCAAGACGGATATGCTCTTTGCTACGCATCACATGAGTTGAAGGATGACAGAGAGATCGTGTTAGCAGCTTTAAGACAACAAGGACTTGCTCTTCGATTCGCATCCGAAGATCTGAAAAAAGACAGAGAATTAGTATTGACAGCTGTACGACAAGATGGTGGTGCTCTTGCATTGGCATCAGATGAGTTGAAGAGTGATCAAGAAATTGTATTGGAAGCCATCAAAAAAGATAAGAATGCTTTGAGTCATGCTTCAAAAGAACTATTTCATGACAAAGAATTCTTATTGAAGACCATCAAACTTGGATGTAAAGATGTTCTTCAACATGCACCAAAAGAGTTTGCCAGTGACAGAGAATTCATGTTAAAAGTATTCAGTTATAATGACTGTTCTGACAAGGAACTCATGTTAGAAGCAGTGAAGATTAATGGATTCGCATTGAGATTTGCAAGTCCAGCATTGCGGCAAGATGCAGAACTTGTGATGGAAGCACTCAAATGCAATGGTTACGTGTTACAGTACAGTGACGAGTTGTACCAAGCACGAATGGAACATTGCTATCATAATGTGTATGTGGGAAAAAACAAGGAAACAAAATAAATTATTACTGACTTTTACAATTTTTTTACATGACATGACATTCCTTTTTCTTTGCTGGACTCGAAGCTGATGGTGTTTCCTTTGAATTCTTTCGTTTGTTCACTTTGGGTGAAGAAGGTGTTGTCGTTGTGGTCACAGATGATGAAAGATTCGAATCACTACCACCTGTTGCAGTCAATAACGATTGAGCGGAAGAACTTGGAACTCCCATCGATGGGACCTCATTGGGAGTAATGCCATTCCCAAGAGCAAGTCCCTTACTTTTTCGAACCATTAATACAATTAATTCAAACACTTGTTCAATATTGAGTCCTGTTTTTGCAGAGGTTTCAATGAAAGGACATCCTACACTCTTTGCAATTTCTTCTCCTTCAGATTTTGAAACCACTCGCTCGTGTTCCAAGTCACACTTATTTCCGACCAAAATGACTGGAACGGTGCTGCTTTGAACCATTTGAACCTTTTCTCGAAGTTTTTGAACTTTTTCAAAACTCGAACGATCGGTAATGCTGTACACGAGAATGAAACCTTCTGCTTCACTCATGGCATCTGATGTTGTTTCGTGTCGTTCAAATTCGTTTTAATAGATCGTTCGAAAATGTAAATGTTCGCAACATCCATGTCAGTACGTGTTAAAAAAGTATTGTTATGATTAAAATTATTTGAGAATAGAATATCGAAATGACTCGAAACAACAACACACCTGACAGTAATGATTGATAGGTTTCTTGTCCTGCTGTATCCAAAATAGTAATATTCGAAACAATTCCTTTCACATTTCGTGTGGTTTCGAAATAATCCTCTAAAATATTCCCAAAATATAATGATCAACAACGAATTCACAATTTCCATTTGGAATATGTCACCCCATTCGGAAAGTTGAAAATTTTCATCATTTTAAAACCCGTTTTGTGTCCAAGTTCAGACTCTGAAACTTACCAATGGTAGGATCATGGACTTCAGAGAATTTATTCTCCACAAATTGTACTATATAATTACATTCGAAAATAATGATGGTCCAAATCATTGAATCAATTATTGTGTGTTTGAATGGACAGTCACTATAAAAATATTTTTCATCACACACACACCTACCTGATATTGATGTTTTACCAACTGCAAAGGGGCCAAAGATTCCGATCGTTAGTTCTATTTGTTGTGGCAATATTTTGAGAACACAGGTTCGGAATGAGTAGTAATGTTCAATTGATACTTACTTTGAGACATTTTTTTTGACAATGACAGTCACCGCGTTTGGATTTGGACAAGAGTTATCTTTTCTGGGTTGTCAATAGGGTTAGAATTCAACTCGAGAGAGTTTTATTAATTGAGAACACTGGATTCATAAGTAGGAATCATGTATTTGATATTAATAAATGCATCTTCTCCTCCTTCTTGCTCTAACAGCTGTAGAGTTTCTTCAATCAAGTCCCCAATATTGAGTCTCTTTCTTTGACTATATTCAATAGCATCGCCAAGATTGATGTTTTGTGTTTTGAACAAGTTAAAGATTGGAAGAATTTGTCTATAGTATGGTACCAGTGCTTCTCCAACCTTGTTATTGGAAAGCACCAATTGCTGGATAACTTTAAGAACTGTACAAATAATTTCTGGGTCTCTTGTATTAAGTGCAGCTAATAAATGGTGTCACAAGATAAACATCATGAAAAAGTCAACAACTTACTCTTGATAGGAATGATGAGTTGTGGTATACAATTTACAATCTTGTCCTTTCCATATTTCAACAAGTCAAAGGTTCCTTGCACAGCCAAGAATCGATAAGGTTCTTCCTTTTCTCGCAGACCATCAAAAAATATTGGGAGATAATGATGATAGTCAAGCTTCTCTGCTTTGACCTTCCAATGAATTTCGTTCGTTCCTTCATGTTTAATAGAAATTGGAAGATCTCCTCTTTCATAAAATTTTCTAAATTGTGTATCAGGAATTGATCTTCTTTCCATAGCTCCAGCAACAGGTTTTGGTGGAGGGGTAGGTTTCTTTCCTTCCCTCAAAGAGCTAGAAGCACCTCCTGTTCCGACATTCTTTGGATTCCATGCGAATGTACCTCGTTCTGTCTTTTCCATTGAAGTCCGAGATGACAACATCTTTGATCCCACCAAACCCATATCCTTAGTTGATGTGGATTCACTGGATTCAGTTTGTGGTTTCATTGATCGTACTTTAAATTCATTAGGGAAAGATCCGAAAGGAGATTCGCTCGATTTTGGAAGAAACTTGGCATCGGGTCTGGAATGTCTTCCTCCTCCTTTGAGCGGATTTTTTGCGATATGAGTTCTGGTATACTCCTCCAAAAGCAAAGAAGAGGCAGTACCCTTATTTGCTGAAACCACTGGATGAACAAACTCTCCCTTGAAATCGTTGGTGGGTTGAGATGGAGGTGGTTGTTGTGCGACTTGTGCTTGATCCATTTTTTTTGATGTTGTTTCGATCGTAAATTTTGAGCGCCAACTGAAGTAACGTTGTACGGGAGATGTGGTGCTTCTCACTCCAACTTCCAATTGGTAGTTAACGCTCTAAAATACGCATTACATGCATTGATTGTGCACTTCTTCCTTTCTCCGTTTCAGATAATGCATTGAGGTTTGTACAAGTAAGTAGACGATGATCTTTCCAAGAGCGTCTTGTCAGTTATCATTGCGTTCAATTTTCTTTCAGCTGATGACTCGTTTCAACCCTTTCTCATTGATGTTCATTCGCCATTTCGTTTGAGGGTCGTGTAGATCCATGGATCTAATCAGCAAGTGGTCATATGTTTTCAAAGATTGTGAGAAGAATGGAACAAGTGTTAGATTCTTCTACCCTAATCAATTAAAACCTGTACGGAATTGAAATTACCTTGTTGAACGCGTCGAGTTGAGGTAGTTCTGACTTGTAATTGTTGATACATCTCGTCAGACTTTAATGAGCAACGAATCAAGAAATGAAGAATTTCAATGATATCTATTGGTGATATCTGAATTCTTAGTGCTGGTTCAATTGCCACCTACGGATAGCAAACTGCTGCATCACCACTCTTTGAGATCCCTTAAACGCTCTTTTGCTTTGGAATGATTTTGTTGAGCTGCTTGCTCGTAGTACGTCATGGCCTTGGCTAAATTTACTTCCACTCCCTCTCCATTTTCATACATGACTCCCAGGGTGAATTGAGCAGAGGCATCATTGTGTTCGGCAGCTAGTTCAAAATAGTGACGAGCTTTGGACAAGTTTTGTGGAATTCCCTCGACATCGTTCACATACAAACAACCCAAGTTATAGTTTGCCTCCATACAGCCCAATTTTGATGCTAATTCATAATACTCTACTGCTTTGACATAATTGGGTGAAAACCCTTCTGCTCCTTCTTCGTAAAGACGTCCCACGTTAAAACTAGAATCTACATGACCCAATTTGGCTGCTTTTTGAAAGTATTCGAGTGCTTTTAAAGAATCTCTTTTCACTTGAATACCTTCCAAGTAGATGGCTCCCAACACTGCCAAAGAATCAGCATCTTCATGACGAGCAGCATGTTCAAAATAGTGCAATGCCTTCTTGATATTCCTTTCAGCTCCTCTTCCATTGAAATAGAGTACTCCAAGATTGAAAAGAGCCGGTGCATAATGTTGCTCGGCAGCCATTTCAAAGTATTTCATGGCCATGGCATAGTCTTGAGTAGTTACTAGTAAGTTTGTGCCATCTCGATAAGCCACTCCTAAATTATAGGCAGCAGATACAATTCCCTGTTGTGCAGCTTGTTCCAAATACTTTAATGCAATAGAGGCATCCAATAAGGTATGGGCTGGCTCTTGGCCAACGAGATAGGCCTCCCCTAACTCACTTTGAGCATTGGGTTGTCCTTGATCGGCTGCCCACTTGTAGTATTGAAAGGCTTTTTCCTTATCAGCACTGAGCGTTCCTTGAACTCCATCTCGAAACAAACAACCGAGGTTGAATTGAGCAATGGCATCACCGTTCGGAAAGTTACCAATTCGCTCATAATACTGAATGGCCCTTGCAATATCTGGCTCTATCAATCTTGGAAGTCCATGATGGTAGATTACTGCCATATTGAAACAAGCGTCCACACTACCCAGTTCCGCAGCACGATCAAGAAGAGTCATGCCTTTCTTGTAATCGAGAATAAGACCATGTTTTCCCTTCAAATAACTCTGGCCTAAAAAGAAGAGAGCCTCTGGTTGATTGAGTTCTGCAGCCAATTCCAAATAATGAACAGCCTTGTTCTCATCCTTCCCAGTTGCTCCGAGAGAAAGCAACAAATAACCCAAGTAAAACAGTGCATCGGGATGGTTATGTTCCGCTGCCATCGATAAATAATGAAAGGATTTAGAGAAATCTTGTTTCAACCCATTTTCTCCCGTAGCATATGCAACACCCAATTCTACTTGTGCTTGTACATTGTTTTCTTCCGACGCTTTTATGTGAAGATCTTCAAGATTCTTTTTGCTTTCTGGTGCTGTATCATGCATAGGACGGTCGGAATTGATGTGAAGCAGTCGATGAGAGGTCTTGTATCCAACGTTTGTGAAATGACAGCTGTTATTGTGAGGAGAAAAGAGTGTTGACACATTTCCGACCACAGAGGGCGCAAGACAGCTGACTCTCAAGAAACCTAGAGGTTTGCGTTGTTTGGTCAGCCAGTTGAACGAAAGAGAGGGGAGACGTTTCATATTTTTTGGTTGTGACCAACGTGGAGACACAGTTTCAAACATAGGAGTGCTTTCGTAGACTCTACTTTAAAGCTACAATCCATTCAACCTAAATTCAACGTCAAAATAACCGTGGAACATGACTTTAAAGTTATTTGTAAAATGAAATATGCTTGACAAGCTCCATTAGTAATGACCAATCATGATGTTGAGAAATACATCTCCTTTCTTGCATGAGCAACTCCATAACTAAGGCACACTGGGCAAAGGGTACCGTCTTAAGTGCTCATGTTGGGCCATGATAACTGTTTCTTTCAAGCTTGATAGTCGGCCAAACAATCGTACTGACATTTTGGAGTGTGGAAATCGCTCTGATCGTAGGTGTGAGCCATTCATTCTGAACAGTTCTATTCCTGCAACGGTTGGGTGAAGAAACAGAATTCGAAGCAAATTAATTACAGCGTATAGCTTGCACGTGTATTTACAGATCCTTCTTTTAAAAGATCCCACTTCTTGTTTTCAATAATCTTCATCATGTGATTCACAGCATATATTTGTTTTCTCATAAGCTCTTTTGGATCGTCACTGCTTTGAATTACCGTTTCGGTATTCTGATCGTTCTTTGATGTGTTATGAAAGTTTCCTTTTACTGGAGCTAGAATTTTGTTTGTACCGCAGGATCTGCTTTCAGAAAGACGAGTTTTACGAATAGGAGAAAGCGAGTTAATGTTATTTCGACGCTGGGGTGACTGAGAGGATATCGGGAGAGGTGAAGCATTGCTGGGTTTTCGCATTGTAGATGATGAATTGCTTTTCGGCAATTCCGATAACGGAGATGGAGCATTCTTCTTTTTCTCTAATGATGACATAATTTGTGCTGTTGAAACGTTTTGTATTGAACAATAGAGCAGAGAAGATGAATTGGACAATCGTTCTTCCTGATGATATGATCTTGTAGTGTTCTCTAGAAATTCTAATTTTCAAAGAGAGAAGCAAATCTCTCAATAACGGTTATTTTTTCAAAATTATTTAAGGTAAAAAATGCAACAACAACGCCTCAATAACATGTTGCCTCCGAATGCCTACAATAACGCCAAGGTATCAACAGTGATCAAAATTTTGGTAGTTGGAGAAAGAAATGTGGGGAAATCTGCTCTGATAAGCTCATGGTGTGGAGTCATGAATGAAAAGAATCATTTGATACGTTTTGTTGATCGGAGAAGCAGTGGAGAGATAGATGTTACCAGAGTAGAGGTATCTACTTCAGCATCAACAGCAACTGGGAAATCAAGGTCTATCACCATGGGGGAAGAAATAGAGAATGCCAATTTCTATATAGATTTTTGTGAGCCAAACAATGATGCTGAGCTCCCTACAAACGATGCAAGTGTAAAATCGGCGTGGATGATGGGTACAGATTTTGTGTTGATTGTGTATGACACTTCAAATTTGGTATCTTGGAATGCAGCAACAACAAAGTGGCTTTCATGGTTTCAAGAATACGAGACACAACTGAATACCATCATGCTTGTTGGAACAAAAAATGATCTTCCCCGAAAAGTTGTGCCAATTAAGGAGTGCGAACAATTTTGTAAGTCCTATATTTCATCTAGAGAAGAGAATGGCTATAGTGGAATTGGAAGTGGATTGTTTTTCATGGAATTATCAGCAAAATTAGGCACAAATGTTGAGCTGGTGTTAAGTATTCTTTTGATAAGAATATCTCATTTGCTGACCTACCGCAAGGAGTCTGCCCGTGCAAACCCACCCTCACTCGGTCTGTTTGGTATGAATTCTCACATGCTATACTCTCATGACATGACATCAGAAGACACCACTAGGTCTCTCACGATTGAAGAGTTGCCAGTTAGCAATAGAGGATCTCCTTCGTTCAATCAACAGCAGAGAGTAAGTACGGCATGTCAAACCCCTCCAGATATTTCAGCAGCATCCACAACAAGAATTGGAACAGATCACAAGACCCTTAAAGAGCCAATCTCTCCTACCCTCAAAACCTCCAATCAGGATCAAACCCTCTCCACTCTGTCACACACGAGTTTTGAGATCGAAAACAACTATGGCATCAATTCTTCAGGATTAATAGTGTTGCCGCCAGTGGATTCTACTGCTCAATCAACTACAGATGGATGTAACAACAACAAATCAGATACCTCTGCAAAGAAATTATCTAGGAATCAAAAACCAAGCTCAGTGCAGACGAAAATTCAAAATTTTCAGGAAACAAAGCAAGGCTATGTTATTCCTGTAATTGAGACTGATCTTTTCTCTGACCAAAAACATCATATACCTTCCAAACCGCAACAAGTACAGCAGTTCATTTCACACAATTTCTCTCATAATGAGCACTCTGCTAAAGTAATACTGTCTATCAATATTGGAGATGGTAAAATGTGTAAATTAGGAGTAGTGTCTGGAGACAATATTTTCCACTTGGCTGAATTAGTTGTGAAACAATTTGAATTAGATCCCAAATTGAGATCCGAAATTGCATTCAACATTAGAAATAGTATTAACAAGTATATTGACAAAGCCAATGGGTCGCTCTTAAAGGATAAAAAGAATAACCCAAAACTCAAGGAAGCAGAAAAATTCAACCAAACCGTGGGAACAATGTTTTCCAACACCACTCAACAAACCCCTTTCAATTTTGTCAGTGATTGGATAAAACCAACAAGACCTCCAATTCTTCAACTTAAAATAACTATTTCGAAAGGTAAAACAGGAGTCATAGTGATTCGAGAGGGAGACGATATTACAGAGCTAGCTCGAAATTTTGTGAGTACCTTCGGACTTAAAAAAGAACAACTGCCTAAAATTGTTGAAAAAATCAAAAAGCATCTCGAGGATTGCCAAGAAGGTATAGGTAAATCAGCAAGTGGAAGGCCTTTCAGTAATTCTCGAGAAGAAACATCAATTGTAGTTGAGAAATCTGAAAATCCGCTTTCTGCAAAGAAGTCACAACAGCCTAAAGAGAAGAAGGACCCCAAAGAGGCAAAAGCGTTATTAGCAACAACTTTAGCTTCTTCGCCCCACACTCCAAGACCAGGTAATAAGGTGCTATTTAACCTGGATGTGGAAATTAATGAAAACAATAGGAAGATACTTACTGTGAGAGAAGGAGATGACCCTCATGCGTTAGCTCATGAGTTTGCAAAGCATCATTCCATTGGATCTAGGGCTGAAGAAATGCTTGTGCAACTGGTTCAATATCACATGAAAAAGTATTACGAGCAAAAGAAATTACCATTTCCATCTCCATAACTAATTGATTGTTAGTTGTCAAGTAGTGCCCTTTTCAGAAATTAGTTCACAATCACAGCTTTGAAATCATTATTGACAAAAATAATAGTTCACTCATCCTGTCAATATTAAATATTCACATGAAGGTCCATGTTTACTTTTTTCTTGCTGGTGGATTAGATCTCAAAATATTCTCAACTGTAAAATCTGTTTCCCATCTGTCTAACATTCTTTGAATAGCTTCAACGGGTACACCATGTTGATTTCTCTTTGCCAATTCCACTGCATTCTTAGCCCATGGTGTTTGAGGCTCCAAAACTTTGACTTCATACGAATATTGTTTAGCAAACATCACATAGGGCTTTGCTTCCCACTTTTGTGTATTTGTATTGTCAATGATGATCGGTGTTGTTCCTTTTTGCATGGCATTTTGAGCTCGAGTTTGATTCCAATGATGTGCCTTTCCTAGCTTTGTTGGATCAAAATTATATTTTCCACTCTGTGGATCAATAAAAAAGTCATCGGTTGAGAAAATGTGTTCCTTGTATGATGTTTGAATATCAATATTATGATCGTTCAATATTTGAGCTGCCAATGTGCTTTTTCCGGAGCCTGTTGCAATGAGATCATTTATTCAAATTAAAATAATCATTAAGTTCAATAAAGATTCGGAAATCATAATGATCGATTTCCAATAAATAGTATATTGTGAAAATTAATATTCGAAACAAGCTCACACATGATACGTTACCCGAAATACCTCTCAACAAGTACATGACTTTTGTAGTTGTCAATTCTGTCGTGATTGACACATCCGAGGAGGAAGACAAAGGTGTCGAGTTGTTATCAGCGATCATTTTTTTTAATCATGCACTAAACTTGAGTTGTGAGCATCGTCAAATTTGAAAAAGTCATTTCTGCTTTTTGAACGTGCAATTTTAAAATGCAGTTGTTGAATCATCTGTACAGTGTGTCTCTTGTGTAATAAAAAGGTAATTGATTCCAGGTTCAATGTGGATAATTGATGATGCGAAGTCATGCACAAATTTGACCAAATTAAGATTTTTCAAAAGTATTGTAAAAAATGCTCAAACAAGGACTTCTCAAATCATCTACGTCGGGCCGAGTTGCTTTGGCATCATCATCGTGCAGCAGAGGCTTGTCCCTCCTCTCTTCGTCCAAAAGTAATTGTTGTAGTTATGTAACCAATATTGCTTCTCCTAAATTGTTCTCTTTGAAAAGTGATGGAGTTCAATACAACAAGATGGCATCATCATCGTGCGGATCAAACGCCTTATTGTTGGTGTTGAACATGAAAAATCAACAAGTGGTGGGAATGAGAAACTTTTCTACGAGCACAGCTGCAGCATCATGGGTAAACCAGCAGCACAACTCGAGTTCTTTAAGATCTAATGGATCATTACCTAAAATTAATAGTAATAATAGAATTATCTCTGTTTATCCTCAAAGCATGGAATATTCAACTAGTACTCAAAATGTTCAACAAGAGGTGGAAGTAGATATTCCAGGTCGTAAGGCTGTTTTGGTTTGGTTAAGTACCATCGGATTTCTAGTTTTTGCCATTGTCATTGTGGGTGGTTTAACGAGGTTGGAAGAAGGAGGTCTTTCAATGGTCGATTGGTCACCTCTTGGTTCTCTTCCTCCAATGACTCCGGAAGAGTGGGAAGCAGAATTTGAAAGATATAAACAATTTCCAGAGTATAAGAAAAAGAATGAAGGAATGACTGTCGAAGAATTCAAGTATATTTTCTACTATGAATATTATCATAGAATGCTAGGAAGATTAATTGGAGCAGTTTATGCTCTTCCAGCAGTTTTCTTTGCAGCTAAGGGCTACTTTTCAAAAGGAAAGAATCGAGTACTATCACCAGCCACAGTTCTCGGTATCGGAGCTGCCATTGGATTCCAAGGTTTGCTCGGATGGTACATGGTGAAGAGTGGTCTCGATGAAAACCATGAACTCATGAAGAAGTACAATAGTATTCCTCGTGTTTCACAATATCGCTTGGCCTCTCACTTGTGTGCAGCTTTTGGTATTTATGCAATGACCATGTGGCAAGTTTTTAATTTGGCATCAAGAAATAAGCCAATCGACACTTTCACAGGAAGCAAACTTTTTAAGGTTGCTGCTCCTATTTTCTTCACCCTCGTTTTTATCACTGCCGCTTCTGGAGCCTTTGTTGCAGGTATGGATGCAGGTTTAGTGTACAATGAATTCCCACTTATGGGTGGCTCACTTGTTCCAAGTGATGTTATGGCTATTGAACCTTGGTACAAGAACTTCTTTGAAAATGCCACTACGGTTCAATTTCAGCACAGATGGTTAGCCACCTTTGTTGGCACAGCAATTGCTGTTTTTTGTTATACCATGACTAGAGGTGGTAGAGGAAAACAATTACCAAAGCCCGTCAAAAATTCCCTAAATTATTTGCTTGCAGTGGTTGGTCTCCAGTACACTCTCGGCATCACTACGTTGTTGACCTATGTTCCAACTTCAATTGCTTCAGCCCATCAGACTGGTTCTTTGACACTTTTCACCTTTGCGTTGTGGATGGCTCATATTGCCAAGAGGATTAGATAATTTGCATTGATGTTTCATAATTTTGCAGAGCAGATGGAGATTTTTAGTACTACTGCATGGATCAGGATATCTAATAAAATTAAGGTGTTTCAGCATTTCTCATTATATTCAATAAGTATTGCAAGAACAATGTTCCAATCTTGCTTGATACAATTCATTACTGTACATCAAATCCATGGCTTCCATATCAACATCTTTCTTTAATATTATTAAAGAATTGAGTTTACGCTCGTACTTTTATTGGTTACAATAAAAATGCAACAAGAATCGTATGTGATTCGTGAAGGAGTTCCTTCGGATGCTCCCAAGATTACTGAATTTAACATCATGATGGCTTTGGAGACGGAGGGTATTCTTTTGGATCGTGAGAAAGCTACTCGTGGTGTGGTCATGCTTTTTGAGAAACCGGAGAAGGTGTGTTTCAACATTTCATGAACCATCATCCTGACAAATATTATGATTTAATATTTTAATTGAAATGTGCAAATGAATGATTTGTGGAATGATGGGTTGCACAACACGACACCAATTCATGTAGGGTCAATATTTTGTGGCAGTTCATAAGAATGGTTCTGAAGAGACAATAGTCGGTGCTTGTTTAGTGACCTATGAGTGGAGTGATTGGAGGTGCTGTGATTATTGGTGGATGCAAAGTGTGTTTGTTGATAAGGAGCACAGAAGGCGAGGTGTTTTTACACAATTATTTAAATATGTCGAAAAGAAATGCATTGAAGCTAAGAGTGCATCTTTTAGGCTCTATGTTGACAAGAAGAATGCCAATGCAAAGAGTACTTACTTGAAATTAGGAATGCAAGAATCTCATTACGAAATGTGCGAAATGAACTTTTACGAATGATTTGCTTATTGTATCGATTCAACAAATGATGTTGTCACACACAACTTTGCAAATTCATCTCAGTTTTCATTGATCAAATAAATAGTGTATTGGTATTGTTGTGGTGACAACACTAAAACTTGGGTCCTCTGCTTCTGGCTGTGTATTTGGATGGAGGCCTAACTTCTTTTCCTAATTTTCTGTCACGTTCCTTCTTCCTTATTATAAATTCTTTCAAATTCTTTCTATTTTTTCCACCTCGTTGTGTGGATGTATTCCTCGAGCCTTCATGTCTGATTTGATGAGTTACAGGGTCTTCTTTACCTTTAGGGAGATCACTCTTTGGTACATTTGGCATACCGGCAAATAAAACTAAATAATATTTTCTAATTTTTCTGCTGTGTGGATAGTCAACAACTAGACCTCCACCAAAGCCTGCTTTCATTGCCATGTTAGTTATTAATTCAGTTTGTTGTGGTGTTTCTGGATAAAATTGAAAAACAGCTCTAGCTCCTCTTCTCAAACATTTATAAAGTGTTCCAAAGAATTTTTGCAATCTCTTAATAGGCTCCTGAGATTTTTTATCAGCGTTACACAACCACTGAACAGCAGAAATTGAAATAGCTCCATCAAAAGTTCCTAATCTAAATGGTAGGCCATTTCCCATATCTCCGTGAATCAAATCACATCCGTTTGTACTTGATGGGTCCTCCATCATTTGTTCATTTGCAATATTCAACATGTGCTCACTGATATCCATTCCTACCCACACATGACCAGCCTCCGATAAACAATTTCCGCTGATTCCACTTCCGCAACCAATATCCAACAAATATAAAGGTCCTGAATTCTCAGGAAGAGCCAATAACTCAATAGCTCTTTTAGACATTTCGGTTTGAATTTCCAGTACACGAGTATTGGTCGCATACTTTTTCGCTTGCACCTCTCCGTAGAAGAGTTCGGGTGGTGCAGTGTGTTCTGGTCTTGAAGTACTCGCTGCTGAGATGCTCATTTTTTTTGATGAACGTGAGTTTCAATAGCCCGGAGCAGTTGAACCTCTGTTCAATGTTGAAAATACTTTGGAATGGTAATGATAGTACAGATTTCTTTCAAACCAATATAGATTCTTGTTGATTGAGCCGCTGTTCTGGTTGAAACGTTTGGCTTTACAAAAAAAATGAACACAAACGACATGTTGATGACTATTTACAACGAACAAGAAATGACTCCGGAAAAGTAAGTTTTTTTATCGGGACGATCATCATCATTCTGATCAAATTATATTTTGCTCACTGTCATGATGGAAATATAACCATTCATTTGAATATATTTCATCATGTTAAATTCCTTTATTTGAATAGCGATGTAAGAAAAAGAGAATTTTCGGATCTGGGTGATTCTCCATTATTTGATGAAGATGATGAAGGCAGACCTTTGGAACCTAAAAAGAGAGCCTTCGGAGATTCCTCCTTTTTACACGGAAGCAGGACTTTGATATTGGCTCTTGGATCCAACAAGACTGTACCAACAGTAAGATTTTTGGCTTCCAAGATGCCGTTCCCAGAATCTGTTTTGAAGTACTTCTTTTTGAAGGACCATGTTATTGTAGAGTTTGTAGATTCACACTATGCTCTCAAATTTCTCTACATGTACTACGACACCGGTATTCAGTGTGAAGATGGCTCTGTTATTACAGTTGAATTTGCCAAAAATCAAGGAGAAGGTATTGATGTGGTGATGCCTTCAATCAGTGACAGACAACAATCTGCAGAGGTAATTATTTATCGGTCTTTGTTTTTCATTAATTATTCACACATCTTAACGTATCGGAACAACTCGGTAATTCTGAATGGATTGTATCCACTAGGGAGGAAAAGTATTATTTTGTCTCATTTACAACCCGTTCCCACTTGAAAATTTTGAAAAGCACGGTAATGTAGTTAAGCTGATCGAACTTCCTGAACTAGACCGAGTGAAGAGGGTAATTATGGAGTTCAAGACAGAGGTTGACTTTAACAACACATTTGAAAAACTAAAGAATCATCAGTCTCTCAAGCTATACAAATCAAAAATACCCTATCTTGCAGATTTAAACCAAATAGAAAGTACTCAAAACACACCAGCATCCAGCTCAACCTCTCCTATGGTTGACAATACTTCAAACGAATCCAAGCCTACCAGTTGTGTCATTCAAGCAACAGGCTTCACCTCTCACAAAGTAAATTGTGACACCATGTTTATTCTATTTGGTGTGTATGGTGATGTCCTTAAAACTAAGGTTAATTTCAATACTCCAACTCCATGTGCATTTGTCGAATTCAAGAACGAAGACGGAGCTGCAAGAGCAATTCGATTTTTGGGAAAGAATGGAACTCCTTGCCCTCTCTACAATGATCTTATACAGGTTTCCTATGCTCCATTTTCAACTCTAGAAGAGCCAACAAGTGTAGAAGAAGGAGAAGAATTTAAAGCCTATCTTGGATCTCCTCTTCACAGATTCACAAAGGGAAGTGCCACGGGAAGAATCAAAAACATTGATCACGTTTATCCTCCAAACAGAGTTTTATGTATTAGCAATATTAATTTTAATAGCCAGAGTAGCACTATCGAATCAGAATTTTTGAAATATAATCTTAAAATAGAAAATATCAAATTCTTTGGACACAAGCAAAAGTTAGGAACTAAGATGGCCCTAATTTCATTTCCAACCTTAAATGATGCAGTTACAGCACTTGTGGAATGTCATGACATCAAAATTGATGATTATCATATTAATATTAACTTTGCTGATAACAATGCTAATAACAACAACTTCATGATGATGAATAGAGTTCCTTACAATGCCATGAACCGTAACATGGGAATGCCACACCAACGACACTATTCACCAATGGGTACCTATACACCATTTGCTGCCTCAGGACATGCTTTGGCTTTCCCTCCAGCTGGTAGCCCACAGTTCCAGAATTTTGTTTATACTCCAAGAGGAAGAGGTGGCACAGCATATAGAGGAAATACAATGGTAAATAGAGGAAGAGGAAGAGGAAACTATAGCAACTATAATGACAACAATTATCAAAAAGAGAATACCAATGACGACAATAATGCTGATAATACTAAATATCAATAATGATATACACTCTATTTAAAGTTCTATTATTGAACACATATTTGTTATTCTACCTGCAGTGTAATTATCGTGGGAGAATTCACACTATCCTAGGCATCATCGTCGACATGTACACGTATTAATATTTTCGACTATTATTTATTCTTTGGTGACCAGAATACTTGTTTCATGCAGCTTGACACTTGGGAAAAGTATCGTGCTGTGCGAAATGTGTTTTCTGATAATCTTTTGAAATTTCACTACGTCTATTCCGAGGCAACCAAATCACTACACTGCATAATCGCATTTATAATTCTACAATGTTAATCATTGTTCTTGCTTTTTGTATATTGATGGTAGAGAAAGTATGAATCCTCCATAAGATCGGTGATTCTCCGATAAATTCCTCTACATGGAGGTCTTGATTCAGATGATTGTTCTTCACTATTGTGCAATGTAAATGTTGAAGAAGGCATCCTCACAAAATGACACAATGAAAACTTTTCCCACAATTCAAAGACTTTGGGTCTCTTATAGTCTGGATCAATAATTTGATATTTGTGTTTATCCGCAGCATACGCACGATGTTGACTGTAAGTATTTGGTGAAATATTTTCGTTTGATGGTGTTGTCGAACCAACATCTTGAGTTTTATTTGGCAAGTGTTGTTGTGATGAGGGTTCCGAGCTGTGGTCTTGTTGTTGTTTCATTTTTTCAAATCAAAACCATGGCACACGAGGAAACAAATTGATTGAAGAGTATTTGTGATTCATCACAATAACAGCAATGATGAAACAAGGAACAGCTGATATGGATTGATAAAACAACAAAACATACCCCAACAACAATTGTTGTTGCTCGAGATCATTTTCATAAAAAATGTCGTTCTCTCGCCTTACTGAAACAAACGACATTCATGTGAGGGGTGTGTTGTCGTTTGAGGAGATGGAACGGCTCAGGCAATCTGTACGGAGTACTTTGATTTCAAAAGAAACATCCTTTTATCATGGAAAGGATATGAAGGAAGAACAAGAGAAAGCTTCCTCCCTGATGGCTCCTCTTCTTGAATCCAATCCGTATGTTGGTATTGCCTCACCTTTTCAGGCTGATCCAGAATTGAAAGAAGATATCATTCCCAAGTACTTGAGAGCTGCTAAGGAACAGATACTGGCCTCCGAAGGATGGAATGATCTTAAGAATGAAATAAGGAAGAGAGTTCAGACCGTTATTGATGAACAAATCGCACTGCGTACAGAAATATCGGATCATACACTTGAAACTGGTGGAGCTGTGCATATGACTTACTATCAACGTAAAAGAGCAAAGGAATTACTCAATAATTGTATTATTGATGATAAGAAGTACATGGATCTACTTGACGAGACTGGAAATTTGATGGCACAAAATTCAACTCTAAACTCGCTCTCGTACAGTCTGACCAGTAAGGTTGAGCCGCCACAGCAAGGACAGAAAAAGGAGTCGGAGGCAGTAATTGCCAAAATTTTAAGCTCGTATCCGTGGTCCGTGATGAGGCATAATCTTTCCAAATGTTTGCTTCACTCCTTTCCCAAGTCTGTTCGAAAAGTATTATGGAATGCAGCGTTTAAAGATGAGAATAACAAGGCATTGCTTGATGCATTCATGGAAAAGAAAAATTCTACTTCTGACACATCAATGCTTCCAAAAGCATATTATCAAATAATTGACGCAGTTGTGAAAAAGAAAGTAGAAGAGCATCCAATAATCAAAGAGTATAACGAAGGCAAACTCCTTAATGATGTACTCAAGGTAACTGTGGAATTTGTTCTTTATAGAATGAAAGCACCTGACGTGAATGACCTTTCTATGGTTGCGGACTTGGTGAATGTCGATCCAAATGAGCAACTAACAGAGGAGCTGAAAACAAAGGTCGTTATCAAGATCATTGAAAGATATTCGTCATACATTGTAGATATATTTGATTTATTTGCCTCTCTGTACGGATGGGAAGACGTAACCACAAAGTACGACCATCTTACTCCAGTACAATTTTACACAGAAAAGATATGCTCTTTAATAATCTATCAATTTGTGTCTACTTTTCAAATCGATCCATTTGAAGACCCTGAACTGTACTATAAGATGACAATTGTACCACAATCGATAGTTAGATCTTTTGCCCATGCCACAGAAAAGAAAGATATGACAATACTTTCCCATTTGAATTCACTATCAAATGGTATTGAAGACTTTTTGAAACCTGTCACCAGATTGTGCATTTCCTACTGTGACCACAGCGTGACATGCTTCTTAATTGAGCAGCTATTATTTTCAAATTTCAACAATGTTGTATTTGGCGTCTTTATGGCATCAATTGCATTGGCTCTCAGGCAACACGTGCTGAAATGTGAAACCTCTGTTTCGCTTCACACTCTTTGCAAAGCGAACTCGTCTGTCCTATTGGCGGATGCTTTGGTTGATATCATGGAAAATAACTTTAGAAAATATCTTCATGATGCATTGGGAGTAGATATTTACCCTAAAGAATTTGTTGAAATCACAGGATTATCACAAGAAAAAACAACACTCTTGTTTACTCAAGACACATCATCTCTGGCCCCTCCTGATAAGCTATCCTCCTTGAAGGCGGCTCTTCAACAAGAGCTAGATCAAAGAGATGAAAAAGAAATGCTATTCGTATGGAATGATATTTATGAAAAAATTGAAAAGGAAACCACTATTGACATTCCTTTCAAAGATGTCAATTATAGACTAACACTTCCATCTAAACGATCAAATATTTGGAAAGAAACCTCTTTCTATGATCTCTCTGAGACAATAATGCAGTTCTCCTCAAACAAATTGCTCTGTATTGAGTTGGCAAAGAAAAATATTTTAGAAGAATTCAAACAAGTAGTTTCACAACACGTAAAGGAGACAGGCATATTCAAGCCAAGCGATTTTTCTTCTGACATCGATAATGGATCTGTGATTGAAGTTGAGTATTCTTTTATGGGCCATACCTTCAAAACGAAATTTTTGGAAGAGCAATTACGAACGTCTGATTATGAGGCCATACTCGAAACGTTGAAAAATAGGCTAAAGCTATTGGACTCGTTTGCCTATGGAAGTGATGTTCAAGAGACAGCCATGAAATTTGCCAAGCACTTTGAACAAGAAGAGCGATCCAAACTTGAAAACTATCAAAAGGAGAAGGAGCAACGCTTATTGAAAATTACACAAGAGCTTGAGAATGAGAGCATGATATACTTTTCGAAAGTTCTTAAGCTGTCCATGAAAGGAGTTCAATTGTTCTTCAAAGGAACAGAGCAAGAGATTCAAAAAGTTGAGAAACTATGTCAGGAAGAGAAAGAAGAACGAGCTATTCGAAAAGAGGCCTTGGGTAGATCAATTAGCACATATGAATATAATCGGCTTCCAAAGAAGTACAAACAAAAGTACGACAAGGCAATTGAAAAGAAAAAAGCAGCGAATTCCCAAAAGGCAAAGAAATATGTTGGTATTTGGCAAAACACAACAAAGAATAAATAAAGATTCTCAACTATTTTCAAATCATTGTACATTTATCAATTTATTTACACCTGTGCAATGTTGAAAATTTGTTTGATTTGTCATTGATGTTTGGTGGAGATGTATTCTGGAGGAGTGGTTGAGTTGGTTAAATGTTTCTCGAATGTAAGATGGGCTGTAGGTAAAAACCTTGAATGTCTTTTCAGCTTGACGAGTGTGAAACCATTCTTTTGATAAAAGTTCACAGCTGCCACTTGAAGTGAGCTTGTAGATAGAACGATGGCGTTATATCCTTTTTCTTTGCTCCATTGAATGAGATGATTCAGCATTAAGGACGCTATTCCCTTTCGTCTCATGGAGTTCGCAACGCTCATTCGCTTCAGCTCGACACATCCTTCTGAATCATGTTTCTTTCGAACGCCGATAGTTCCAACAATTTCACCTGTAGAAGCTTTCTCAGCAACCCAGAAATGGTTGTCCTCATCCCAAATATAATATTTCATAATGTTAGCCATGTCACTATATTTAAATGACTGATAAATGTATGATCTTGCACTGTAATCAACATATTTCGATAGACCACAAAGTACAAGAATGATCGTACTTGTGCATAATATCACAGTGGAAAGAGCTGAATACAAAATGGTTGAAGCAGAGTTTGATAGTGACAGCCCAAAGAGTGAGTAATATGGATAATGGTTAACAATTGTGTGATTCTCATCTATGAAAAGCATTTTCAAAATTGCCACATGAATTCCAAAAGTCACTAAATAAAATAGTGACAGGAAACAAAAAACTTTAGCAATTCCAAAATAGTGAATAAATAAATAAAAGGTTTGTAAGTAGCTGGGTACAATAGACTTAATTCCTTCAACAAATATCCTGTTCACTTGTTTGTCATCAGTCTTGTAATTATAAGATCGAATAATTATTGTCTCATTATCATTGCATTTGTAAAAGGTTCGGTCAATGTCATTGGCTGGAGTAAGGTTTTCAGAAGTGTGCTCTTCTTGGTGTTTTTCGTCACCATTATTGGTAAGCATTGTTTTAAGATTATATTGTTCCGAGAGAGAAGCATCTTGTTCATTGTCATGCTCGTTTTCAAAACTTGGAAAATCATCCTCTTCAAAATGGCTTGAATTTGGCCTAATATTAAAACCTTCTTCATTCTCATCATTTCCATAATATTCATCAACGTCATTATCATGACCATATCTCTCTAGATCATTGTGTTGATGTTCTTGATGATCCGTCATGATACGGTAACAGTTGTTATTCCTTTCCGAAACTGGAGAATTTGAAGTATAAGCAGATTTCTGCCCAACACTAGTCATTTCAACTCCAGTCTTTATGACCGGCCCATGACAAGCTGTGCTTGAAGGTAACGATGATAACGGCGTCGATGAAGAATTGCCAAAATTCTTCATGGACGTTGCGAGTGGTACTGGTGGTGTTGCTGAGGAGAGATTTACGCTCTTTTTTTGATTCTTCAAAAAGGCTTGTTGTTGTTGGGATGGATTGAAAGTGAGCGTGGAAGAAGAATGAGGTTCTTCCTCAAGGTAGTGCTGATGATGATGATGGTTGTTGTTGTGTTTGTGGTGGTCGTTGGATGAACTTTTCAAAGAGCCAGAGTTATTGTTGTTGCCCCGTAGAGTACTCGTTGCTGTCGTTGTATGACCACTACTCGTACTTCCGTTGACATGAAATCCCTGTTGTTCTTGTTGATCATAGTAATAGTCGAGAGGAGATTCCTGATGGTAGCCATTCGTGTGGTTCATCATGATCACGGAATAGTGAGGGAGAGAGAGTGAAGCCAAATTCTTCTTTGGACTACTACTACTTGAGGTGGTAGTGAGTGGCTTACGAGATGAAACCTTTTCCGTATAGGCTATACGAGAAGGAATAGGTTCTTCCATCATTGTGAGGTTGTTGTTGTTTTTACAGAGGGTTGTTACAGGTCCGGGTTTTGAGTAGTGTTGGTACTGGGGATGATGGAAATTAATTGTGGAGGAGGTGGTAGCTTCCAACAAGGATTGTTGTTGTTGTGAGGAGTCAGATGATGAGTGAGCAATGTCGGATGATGACTTGATGTTATGTTCGCTATGATGATGATGATCAATTTGAATCATAGTAGAAAGAACTGGCGTTGTTACAGGCAATAGTCAACAAGGTTCATGGGAGTGATATTTGGGAATAGTAATGCTGAAGAGGAGGAACAAGTGAATGCTTTTTGTTGATTCTGTTGTGGATCAACAACAGAATGGATGATGAGATTCTTTGAGTTGGTGTGTGGTCTTTTCCGAATGGAACCAAGAGTCAGAAGATCCCGAGATGAATTCTTCAATGTGAAGTATCGAAAGCACTCTTTTGGTTTTTTCCTCTCTCGGTTTTGCCAAATGAAATTGACTTGTATCTGGTACTATGAAGACAACACGCGTTTCTATAAAACGTAAGCACCTCGAATGAAACTAGTTGTGTGTTAGTACTGACACTCAAGTTTGAACTTTTTCTTGTAATATTGAGGGGAAGCAATCAGTTTAGTTGGAAACTGTTCATCAATAATTTTTCGAAAACAACTTGCACATTTTCGTAATGGGATTTCTTTGCATGGACAACCATGAAGATTCAACAACTGTTTGCTTTCGAGTGTGTTGGTGAAAACGCTTCTTCAAAGAACAATTTCACGGCACTTTCTCCCTTTCCATCACCACACAACACAACGCAACACCTTGAGGGAATTTGTTAATAAAAATAGATCTTTAGATGGAAATCAAGAACACAAAAAAATGCTCAATAATAGTGGCTCGGGTGTGCAAGTTGTATTACCATCATCATCTTCCGCATCGGTGAATGGACTCAAAAACTATTACATTGCCAAGATCCAAGAGAAGGAAATTGTTTTACGAGATAAAATTGAAAATTTGAGACGATTACAAGCACAGAGAAACGAGTTGAACGGTCGTGTTCGGAGTTTAAAAGAAGAATTACAACAATTGCAAGAACCTGGAAGCCATGTAGGTGAAGTGGTTAAAGTAATGGGTAAAAAGAAGGTTCTTATTAAGATCAGTCAAGAAGGAAAATATATTGTAGATATTGATAAATCCATAGAGTTAAAAGATTTGACACCAGGTGTGAGAGTTGCTCTTAGAAATGATTCGTATGCCCTTCATAAGATCCTTCCAAACAAGATCGATCCATTGGTAAGCTTAATGAAAGTTGAAAAAGTCCCAGATGCTACCTATGAAATGGTCGGAGGTCTCGACGAGCAAATCAAAGAAATCAAGGAAGTGATCGAGCTTCCAATCAAACATCCAGAGCTTTTTGAAAGTTTGGGTATTGCTCAACCAAAGGGAGTAATTATGTATGGACCTCCTGGTACGGGTAAGGTATGTATCGAAATGATTGTAGTATTTAATCATTGTGTTGACAACAAATATTTACAAAATTACATCTTGACATATTTTAATTGCAAATTATAATTCAACAATTATCATCATGCAATTTGTCATATTTGTGATTACCAATTATTATCACACAGACCTTGCTGGCAAGAGCCGTTGCGCACCACACAGATTGTACTTTTATTCGTGTCTCTGGTTCTGAATTGGTTCAGAAATATATCGGTGAGGGAAGTAAGATGGTGAGAGAATTGTTTGTCATGGCTCGTGAGCACGCTCCATCCATTATTTTCATGGACGAAATTGACAGCATTGGTAGCACGCGTACAGAAGGAGGAAAGGGAGGTGGTGACAGCGAAGTTCAAAGAACCATGTTGGAATTGTTGAATCAATTGGATGGCTTTGAATCTACTCAAAATATTAAGATTATCATGGCTACAAATCGTATCGACATTTTAGATCCAGCTCTTTTGAGACCTGGTAGAATTGATCGTAAGATTGAATTCCCAAATCCAAACGAGCTGGCCAGATTGGACATTCTCAAGATTCACTCCAGAAGAATGAACCTCACTCGTGGCATAAACTTGAGAAAGATTGCATCCATGCTTGGAGGTGCATCTGGAGCTGAAATCAAAGCTACTTGTACAGAGGCTGGTATGTTTGCTCTTCGTGAAAGACGTGTGCACGTGACTCAGGAAGACTTAGAATTGGCTGTTGCCAAGGTCATGAAGAGAGGAGACGAGAGTAATATGAGCTTTAAGAAGTTATTCAAATAAACACAAAGCAGTACGTTATTTTGTTTCATCAATGAGTTCAGCCTGTCCACTAAACGAAAGAGGATCGAAAATTGAAAAGTTGCGGGCATCCAGGCTGGTTTTGGCTAGCCTCTCGTATTTTTTACAACGGGAAAAAGTGGCTCCAAATTTTTAAAGGCGAGCCTCTGCTCAACGGCCGTTACATGTTTTGATCATACTGAACCTGCCGTTAAAATTTTTCAGGCTATCACAACAAATTCTCTCACGCAACAAAAAAGAAACAACAACACCAGCATACACACTCACACCATGGCAGGCAAGAAAGGAGGAAAGAAGAAGGACAGCAACGCACCAAAGAAACCCAAGACTGCATACTTTTTATTCTGTGATGACAAGAGAGAAGAAGCCAAACAATCTCTCGGAGGTGGAAAGAGCGCCTCTGAAGTAAGCAAACTCTTGGGACAATGGTGGGGAGAACTCTCTGATGCTGCCAAGAAGCCTTACAATGACAGATATAAGGTTGCTCTCGAACAACACAAGAAGGAAATGGAAACCTACAAGAAGAACAAACCAGAATCATCATCAGAGGAAGAAGAATCCGATGAAGAAGGTAGCAAGAAGAGAAAGAGAGGAAAGAAGACCAAGAAGGACAAGGATGCTCCAAAGAGACCACTCACTTCATACATGCTCTTCTCTCAGGACAAGAGAAAGGAAATTTTGGAATCCAACCCAGACTTGAAGGTCACCGAAGTAGCCAAGCACGTTGGTGCTTTATGGAAGAAACTCAGCGATGAGGAAAAGAAGCCATACAATGACAAGGCTGCCAAACTGAAGAAGGAATATGAGGTTGAAAAGGCCAATTATGATGCTACTCATGGTGGATCAAGTAGTAAATCGCCTGCCAAAAAGAAGAAGAAGGCTGAATCCGAGGAAGAGTCTGAATCTGAAGAGGAATCGGAAGAAAGTGATTAAGCGAATAATTAACTTATTTGTGTAAACTATTCACCCCTAAATTAAACCCTAAGTGTAGATATTTAAGTCATTTCTCCGTACTGAGTTGTGGATTTGTTGTGTGTGAGCCATCGTGGATGATGTAGCAATTGCTTGAAAAATCAATCGTGTTTGGTATGAGAACATGATTTATTTCATAATCCTGATGAAATCGTCAACAGAAATCTTGCCGTCCTTGTCCTTGTCTGCCATATTCATGACTTGCTGCACTTGTGCATCGCTCACATCTTCTCCGAGTTTATGAAGCATTTCTTTCACTGAAGTGTCGTTTCACCAGTAGTAACGAGATTCAAAGATGATAGTTATCAAATCAACAGATTGAGGCTTGAAACTCCATTAAATTGTACTTACAGTCTTCAACACCAATGAAGCCATCGCCATCGGAGTCAAACAATTTGAAAGAGGCCCTTAAGGATTCCTCTCCACCATCACACGAACAAAACATTATTTTCAAAAAGGCATGAAAATCGACGTTCTCTCCAATACCCATCTCTATCAGCAAATCATGAAGATCCTGCTCATTCATGGAGGCTCCCAAACTCTTCATGACCATCATAATTTCTGCTGTTTCAATGACTCCATCTCCGTTCTTATCATACATTCTAAAGGCTTTGCGATAGATTTCCAATTGTTCGGGAGGAAGCCTTGATTCAATCTCTTCAATGCTCACTTCTGTTTGCCTTAACATTTTTTTATGAATCTTGGAGTTGAAAGGCTGTCCAAATATTCAAAACTCAAGTTCTGGTTCGTGTGTTGTAACTACTACAACAGTAGAGGAACGTAGTAGTCATTAAGGCGCCTCTTCCTAAAGCAAATGGTTGATGATGATCCAACTCTCTCTTATGGAAATTGCTTCTTGTTCGAGTATGCTATGGTGGAGATTCGATGATAACAGAATAAATTCAAACAAAAAATATGCTTCAAGACTGTGATGATTTGCAACGACGAAAAGTAGACAATCATGATACTGGAGAGATGTCATGGCAGAGTAATGATTCCTCATGTATGAATAATAGCCTGCATTCAAAAGAAGAGAGGAATGATGAATTTCAAAATTTCATTTCATATTTTCCAGTTCCGAATTTTGCCAAATACTTTTCGTTGGATGATTTCGTCAAAGATGACGATACAAAAATTGAAAATTTCATAAATAGTGTTGCCTTTTGGGAGGGAAGGTTTGCCAATGCCAATGGTGTTGGTTTGAATTGTGCAACAGGATTGACTTATGATGGTAGGATTTGAAAATCATGTACTTGGAAATTCTTATTTTCTATTTAACAAATTCAAATGTTGTGTCATGGAATAGGTCATCAAATTGACCATAGTACATCCGATATTCACGATCCAGTAAGTGATATTTTGTCATTTTTTAGGTTACATGAGAGTATGGAATTAATGTCACAAAATCAAAGTTACATGAATTTTCTTCTCCAGCAAAAGAGGCTCTTCATTTAAATATGATTGCTTTGGCTTTAGACGGAAATCCTACGGCTAGATTATTCTTTGAACATTCACAAATCATTATTGAAAAACTTGTTAATGAGAATGGAAAAAGGGCGAGTACAGAATCTTTGCTGCCAATGAAATTACACTTGACACCCAATACTGAAACCTACTTACTGGACCTTTTAGAACGAAAATTCGATAGCTATGAAACGTTTGATAAGAAGTATCCAGGCTTTGGCTCCCTGTTACCATGGTTTAAAGTTAAAGACGATGGAGCTGATCCACAACCCGATTGGGCAAGTAGAATTCCCTCACTAGACAATGGCCAATTTATTTGGTCTCTTCTTGCTCTGGAACATGTATTGATGAACACAAGCAATTTCTTGAGCGAGAATGTTGCAAATCAGCAGAACATTTTGAGACGACAAGCATTGGCCACAAGAATTCTAGAGAAAATTAAAAAAATCAAAAAGACCACAGTGACGATGTTTTATCATGGAGATGGAAAAGTTAGAGCTATTGCATACATTAAGGATATTTATGGTGATCCTTTAAATGCCTCTAATTACAAAGGAAATGGTAAATCATTCATCAATGACCCTTACGAAGGAGAAATGATGACGACGTTTATGGCACTCATGTGTCGTTGGAAAGAAATGGGATACGACGAAGAGGAGGGAGAAAAAATTTGGAAATTCAAACAATCAAAATTGAAACGAACTATTTACAAATCCAAGTTATTTGGAGACATACCAGTGGAAGAGGGTTACTGGTATAGTTCACATGAAAAATGGAAATACCTAGTATTACCTTACCTAGATAGTGATATCAATCGGCGAGTTTTCATGAACGGAGAGAAAGCAAGATTAATTCATTCTATTGAAAATAACATTCCTGGTTTATTTGCGAGTGTGACGAAACCAACAACTCATGGTAGATATTATCCTAAATATGCGAGCGAATGTGGAATACCATCAATTTCCTGTCAGAAAGTTCTCTTTGAAAATATTGTCACTCCATATGCATCATTTCCCACAATTCTTGCTCACAGAAATGTCGGTCTTGCATGGTATTGGATGATGTTAAAAGGAAGCAAAATGCAAGGCCTCTACGGCAGCACTGAGTCCATTACAGCGAATGGAAAGAAAATTTGTCCAGTTCTTACTTGGGACTCTAAAATCACAACTGTGGTCGCTATTTGTGGAGGCGTCTCAAAGTTCACACGTGAATTTATGAAAAAACAAGGTCTCTATGACAAATTTATATCTACCATTAATCGAGAATGGGGAGCAGTATTTAATGATGGGAATGAGCAAAACGAATTCAATGACTCACAATTTACCGCCACTGAAGACATTTCATTCACCAAGTTGCTTCCACAGAAATTTCTGCCGAAAAGTCCAAGAGAGTTTGATTTTGTACAAACCACGAAATCAGAGAAAGAGAATGGAAAGAGCAAAAAGATCAAGTAGAATTTGAACCACCAACAATGATGATGATGATCACATGAAAATTAATTCAATCCTAATAATGAGAACAACAACAAGAATTTATTTCAAAATGTGCAAGAACAGAGCCGTCTCGTCATGAATTTCACAGCACTTTACTGTGGCAGGCTGGCATACATATGGTTTTTGAAATGAATTGCAGTTTCTGTTCCCTCAGTATATACATTAAATATACGGACAGGAAACAGGGAAGCTTGTCACCTGCAGAACTTCTTCCTTTACCATGTCGTCTAGAAAATGCTGCCCTTTGTTTCTTGATGTGTATTCAATATGAATGATCTTCACTTGGAATGAAACAAAGGGCAGCACTATGGTTCTACTGCAAGCAGGAGCAACTTCATTGCAGTAGGTTTCTTTAATTTTTTTTGTACAAGAGACAATCTTTTCTGAATTCGCGCGTCGACGGGATGTATTTATCTATTTTTCGACATGTATGCCTCAATAAATGAAAGTGGCAATTCGAAGAGTAAATTTACAAGTGTTTGATTTTTTGTACAACATGTTGATCGTGAATTCAAAAGAGACTGTCGATGCAATGGAATACAAAACTACATGACCAAACAACCGCTATGGCGTTTAAAATTTTCGTTTGCTGGACATTTCAAATGTCGAAGAGCTCTGATTTCAGAAATGGTTGCATTGGAATGCAGGACTGTCATCTCCATTTTGGTATACTGCAACTCGTGGTAGGTATTGGGTAACAATTCTTGTGCCAAATAGCCATAATGAAGCATCCAAAAGCTTACCCCTATGGTACGCTCGTTTTGACAATTCTGCTTCTCACAGAAGGACGCTTGTAGCTCTGTAAACTCGGATTGAACTCCATACCAATATTGAGCAAATCGAGAAGGTTCCATGCTCGCACGTGATTTCAATACAATTCCAGGAACATCATTTGGGTATGGAGGTGCAATTATTCGTACCAGGTAAAATTTCAATAACAGCAAATCAAAGTCATCCGAAATCATTCTCCATCCCATTTGTTGTAAAATAGGACCCATTTCAAGGACACGATCTTCTTTTGAGAATTGATAATGATCAAAGTAACATTTCTTCATGGTTCTGAAAGCGTTAGCTCCATGCTGTACATGAAAATCGAGCTTTATGCATGTACTGAATTCGAGTGTGTGTGAGAGAATTCCTCGATGCACGACGGAGCCATTGATTTCATTCTTCATTTCATTCGTTGCAATTGTGTATAATTCAATAAATCGATCTTTATAGGAGGTAGATTCCTTTACATGTTCTTTAAGCTGAGGTGTGAAGGATTCAGTTGTGGATGATTGTGTGATGCTGTCGTCGATTGGCTGGTCATGACGTTCCACATGGTTTTTTTGAACAAATTTTTCAAATATTAAAAACATCTTTTCAAATATCGTGTTTGAATACAATTCAAAAGTTTGATAACTAATTCTCCATGCCCGAACGAGCGAAATAATATCTTTCATATTGCAATAATGAAAGACAATGAGCATGGAATCATGAGAAATGTGGTGTGACATTTTTTTCCAATCATGTTCTCAAGTTCTCAGAACACTCGATCGACCTGTCCATTTAAAGTATTTAATATTTACAAAAATTACAAATCCATTTCCAATACATCAGTGGTTTCTTTTTCATTCTTTACCACTTGTTTCTTGTTGACCTTCTTATCAGTAGTCAATTTTCCAATAAGGTCAGCATTACCCTTATTTCTTGTGAGAGCATATTCGACAGTGTGAGCAACATAGTTACCACAATCTCTCTTGGCAATAGGAGCGTCAAGGAGGAAGTCTGGAATTCCAAAGGAATCAACCAAGGAGACAGCATGTACTCTCAATTCCTCACACAACCATTCAACCATGTTTTGAATGGCTGAGAATTTGTTTCTCTTGATGAGATCCAAAAAGTCTCCAATATTCTTGACCATGGTGTGTAAAGCAAACAAATCTGCACACAACTTGAGAATATGCTTCAATTCTGGATCAGTGACTTGCTCAATTTCATTGATGAAATCTTGAAGAGCAACTTGTTCAACATATGCTCTACCGAGACGAATTAACTTTGGAAGAGATTCGTTAAAGGCATGGAAGAGACCTTGTTTCTTCTTCTTGCTGTTAATTTCAACAGCACATTCACCAAGAAGTTTGGCAGTTCTGTATTCAAAGGCTTGGAGATGGAAGTCTGAATTTCTCAAATGCTTCTTTGAGGCAAATCTTGTAATGACTGGATTACGTTTGGAGAGAAGACCACCTACTTCCTTTCTCAAGTAGCTAATGCTGTCAGCAATAACGTCACCCTTGAATTGTTTGCCGAATTGTTTCAACAAGTAGCCTCCCAATTGCTGGATAAGGACAGTGTTATCACCTTCAAAGGTTTGGAATACATCATGGTCATCTCTCACAGATCCCAATCGATTGTAAGCAGAGTATGCATGTCCACCACACATTTCTCTGAGTGTTTGTAAATTTTCTTGAGTGTCCCAAGACATGACTGCTTTAACACCAGCAGCGAGAGCGTGAACTTCGTGCAACTCTTCATCAGAGACCTTTTCGACATGCAATCTACAGTACTTCTTCATGACCTTTCTCTTAATGAATTCATAGGCATAGCATGATGCAATGATTGGCATGAGCTTAATCTTGTGAGACTTGTAATCAAGAATTGGTTGTTCTGGTAAATCCTTTCCAGGACCGAATTGACATCTTTGATTGGCATAACGAGTAGCAACCATACATGCAGCTCTTCGAGCACCGAGAGATCCAGCAATAAGTGTAACTCTACCAGTGATCAATTCACCCAACACTGCTGCAAATCTTCTGTCTGGATTTTCATAATCTGACTTGTATGTCTTGGTTGTGAGGTCAATGCCACCAAATCGATCCAACAAATTGTCATATGGAACACGAACGTTGGTGAACTCGAGGAAACCGTTATCGATACCATGGAGTCTGTTCACAAAATAATGAGGACCACATGTGTGATTAACATTCATGTACAAAAATTAATAAGGTCAACAACAATAGTTATAAGATCAAAACAATTTGAACATACCCAATCTTGTCACCACAGTCACCAGCAATGACACCTGGCATTAATTTTCCAGTCTCTTGATCTCTAATTGGGCATAAGAATGCGTGAACACCATAGTCCTTACCCTTAAGGATCAATCTTGCAAACACAGTGGCCATGACACCATGACATGCTGCATTACCTAGCCAATACTTGAGAGCACCCTTATTTGGAGTGTTAAGGATGAATTCATTGGTATTTTCATCAAAGGTGGCAGTAGTTTGAAGTTGGCGAACGTTGGATCCATGCTCAATCTCTGTCATGGCGAACATACCAGGTAATTCCAAATTCTCAGCTCTCTTCAAATATTTATCATGATGTTTCTTAGTACCCAAGTTGAGAATACTTCCTGTGAATAAGACCAATTGAACTCCCATCTTGACATTGGCAGAAGTCTCAATAAGATTAGTACCCTCGAGTCTAGATAAAAGACCCTCAGGATCTTTCTTAATATCAGAGATACGGAAGAGTCCTGATTTACACAAGTAAGCAACTTGTTGCAAGGTGACCTCTCTTGCTTCTTCCTTTGGCATGTTAGTCGTCTTTTTGAGCAAGAGTGGAGTGTCAAGGAATTTGTGAATGGTTCTCTTGTCTCGTCCTCCATTCAAGAATGTAATCATCTTCTTGACATCAAAGGTGTGAGTATAATTGTATGAAATGCTGCTATAACGATCATTCTCTTCATTGGGATACGTATAAGTGGCATAGGAATAATGAGTCGATGCACTTTGACTGGATGGGGCTGTTCCACTGCAATTTTGGTGCTCAATCAAGACTGGCAATTCTTGATGATGATCCTCCAATGAGGAGGTAGCAGAGTTCGGAATCAGGTGATTCAAGTGTACATTCAAACGTCTATTGGCAGAAACGGTATTCTTTTGCATCATGATGATGGTATTGGTACAAGATCGGAAAGATGAATTCAAAGAGGTAATAATAATTGGAGGCAGTAGATAATTTGAACCTTCAAAGAGAGTAGTAACGGCTATTTGAAAGTACAAGTGTACAAATCAGTCTGACAGGGTGTTGTTGCAGCAGAAATAGAAGGACACCAAACAATGAAGGCTTGATACAACAATAAAAAGAAGAAGACCACCAACACACTCAGGGTTGTCTCTAACGATTTTTTTAGCGATGATTTCTTTTGAAATGGCCATCAAACAACAAGAACGAATGACGAAAAGGAGAATAGGAGAAAACAAGTTGTGCTGTGGTTGCGAAAGCAGCTTATTGGGGCTGAAATGCAGATTACAAAATTTCGTTTTTTACCCAAATTTGAATTAAGGAAACACTTTGTAAATTGCTTTTTTTGTGGTGTCGACACGCGGTGAGTTTTGTATGTGGGTTTGTCTTTTGGTAACTCAAAGGACTTATTCACATTACACACAAAAGAGAAAGCAGTCAATATTGGAAACACGTTTGTTTTGATGAAAGAGTTAATTTATTACACTTATGCATTGATGCCTTTCAAAATAGAGTCTGTCACATTGGAAATAGATTGAAGTGTTGATCTAATGGTGGAATCCCAAACTTGCAAGTTCTCTGATCCGCTTTCAAAGTAGATAATGTTATCAATTTGATCAATTGATCCAGGCATACGTTCTTCAGAAATCATCTTGGAAGCAATCTTTTCAGCTTCAGCAGCAGAAATTCTGAGCAATGTTCCCAATTCATCGAATGTGATGTTGTTATAGATTTTGCTTGCAGCTAATAAATTATGTTCAATAATGGAGCTTTCGAGGGTGGTCTTTCCTTGAGCATCAGTAGCCTTATGGTGCTCTTTCAAGTGCTTTTCAATAGCTTTAACTTCGTGAGGGCGAAGAATTCTACCCAAAAACATCTTTTCCAAAGCAGAAAATAATTCCAAATGAGCACAACGTTCATCTCTGAAAAGTGTTGCTAAAACACGAGAACGATCTGGTCCGGCCTTTGCCAAAATTGCACAAACAGCAGCATTGTTCAATACAGCCAATTGCTCATCTTCAATGACCAAGCTACTTGTTTTATAGTAACGACGAGCTGCGGTCAAAAAGTCTCTCTTCAAATCGGAAAGTGTTGCAAAGCAAAAACTGTGCATGACTTGCAAGTTGCGATCACTAACTTCATCGACATAATGAGCAACCTTGTTGATAAAAGTTTCAGCGTAGGCACTTTCACCAGCTCCCAAATAAAGTTGAGCAACTTCCAAACTCAAAGCTACACCAGCATTTGTGTCATTTTGTAAAACAGCGTCAAAATCAATGGGTGTAAGTTGTTGTGCTGCTTTCACAAAATCTTGATTGACCTCTCTGATATCTCTTGAAAGTTGTTTTCTGATGGTAATGTTAGCATCAAAGAATGTAGAGTTTGCCAATGGTCTAATGAGTTCAATAGTCTCTTCAGCAATCTTCATTCTTAACTTTGGATCTTCAATTGTAGAAATTTCATTGGCATAGGCATCCATTGCTTGTCTACTGACAATGGTTGGAATATTGCTGTCAGAAACTATTGACAAGAATCAATAATGGAAGATCAATATTGATAGTGATAGTTGTTGTTTGGTTGTTATGTTCCCACACACGAGGGTGAAGGATTGTAAAAGTTGTACATGATTAAATGTTATGAACGGATCATCATTGTCAAGGTAAGAGAACCATAGATTTACATTTTAGATCGTATCATCACGATAAATGTCATCATCAAAATACGGAAGATCAACAAATAATTCCCCGTAAAATTTAGATCTACACACAGCAAATCATCACCTCCCATTACTTACTATGCTTTACCAAGTCAATCAAGCCTTGTTTATCACCCTTGCTGACCTTTTCCTTGATGTACTTTTGATACTCGGCAACACGCTTCTCAGTATCGGTGATGGATGCAATGGATGAGAGACTGCTCATTTTTGTTTGTGGATGGAAAAGTAAAAATAACCTAGCCAGTTGTCGAGGTACAAAAGAACGGCAGCTCTTTACAAAAATTGTTCATACTTTGGATCTTGTTAGATTCCAGGAATTGTGAATGGCACTCCTGTTGTTGTTCAAAAACATTTTAAAAACAATTTGAAAGTAAAGACATTGAATAGAATATTTCAAAGTAAATAGGACACATCGAAAAATTCCAACAAACATGCCCCGAGTTTTTGTTACCGTCGGAACTACACGATTTGATGAATTGATCAAGGTCATGAGTCAAGAGTCGGTCATCCAAGCTTTGCATGACCATGGATACTCTCATCTCGTAATGCAAATCGGAACTGGTGAGGAACCAGAAATCAACCATACTTCCATTCCAGCTGGAATGAAGGTTGAATTCTTTGGCAAGAAGGATTCTATTCATGATGATGTACAACAAGCAGATTTGATCATTAGTCATGCTGGCTCTGGTAGTTTATTTGAATCATTAAGAATGGGAAAGAAGATTATTGCTGTTCCGAATGAAAGTCTCATGGGCAATCACCAAACCGAGTTGGCCAACGCACTTGGTCAGGATGGCAATGTTATTTCAGCACGAATTCATAATTTGGAGCAGTTGATTGTCGAACAAGGTGATGAATTATTCACACAAAGACTCCAACAACTAAAACCAATGCAAAAAGCCAATACAAAGGCCTTTGCTGATGTAGTGGATGATGAAATGATGAATTAATCAAATCGCAATTGCCATTGGACGGTTCTCGCGCTGCTGAACAAGAGAGAATTTCATCCATAGTACAGTAATAATAATAATTCCCATTGGTTTTATTATTTAATTATGAAATCACATTGGTGATGTAGAATTTGAAATTGGATGAATACTGATGTGGGGAGTTGACGTTGCTGTTGTTACGGACAATAAAGGTGATGAAGAGAACTACTATTGTAATCTGGCTTGATGGTGAATGAATAGAGCTCTGATCCTAAGTCATATGATAGATGATGGTGATAAAATAATAAATAACTTGATGATGACACCATCCCATTCACCTTCCAATCCACAAATAAATTCTCGAATTATTGTTTCAAAAACTGAGAATAATCATTCTTATGCTTTTCTCTATATTCATTGAGACGTTTCTGGTATCTAGATTCAAATTGATGGATTGGCAAATCAGCATCTTTACGATGTGGGTTGTGTTCATAATAGACCCACAGATTAAAAGCTCTATCATATTCTGCATTATTGGTCGAATTAACTCCGAAATGTGGAGCTCCAAAGTATTCAACAGCACGACGTGAAGTCAAGAAAGCAATGGCTCCAACAAAAATTCCGGTCAGTGGTTGGTATGATCTTTGATAGGAGAAAATACCGGAAGCAACGCCCACTAAAGCAGCAGCTTTCAATGAAAATGATTCCAATCCTCTTTTCTTTTGATGATATTCAGAAAATTCAGGTACTTGTGTACCGAATTGTTCTTCAAGTTTGCGCTTTTGTAAGAACGAAAGGCCTGGTCTTGGCAAGGACATTTTTTTTTTAAAATTATTGTTCGTATTGGCAATGGTATTTCATCATTGAATTATTAATACAATAGTTTTATTTAATGCAGTGTGATTTTGGATGGCAAGTAAGTAGATCAACAAATTCTTGTAAATTCCTCTTCTTTTAAATTGTATACATTTGAGTGGAATGCATTCAATTCATCATCATCAATTGTTTTAGAAGAGAACCAACAAGGATGGATCCTTTTGACAAGCTTGAACAATTTCTTCTCGAGTTAATTTTCCATCTCCATTACTATCTGCAATTTTTAATAAATTCTCAATTCGAGTATTGATAGTTCTTTCAATATCAGGCGAATTGACATTCATGCCCTTAGCTTTGAACATGTTTCTCAAACTATCTCTCATTTCTTCAGCAGTGACAAAACTGAAAATGTGATTGAAAGAAATAAAGTGATGACAAATGAAAATGAGGTTGGATATGTGAATTCACATGAAAAAACTTGAGATCATACTACATACCCATCATTGTCTTCATCGTACATGTCAAATGCCAAATCAATCAATTCATGGAATTGAAGTGGTTGAGTGGTTGGAGCGGTTATGGATTGGAAGAAGAGAAATTCTTTGAACTAGACAAAGAGCATATTTTTAGGAGTGTGTTTGAATCACGTGCCATGTCATTCCATAATGAACAGAACACCAACGTCATTATCATCATTGTGAACATCAAATACATCCCAATGTCAATCACGAGTTCAATTTCAAACGTTTTTTTCAAATCAATCATTCATTGACATTTTTAAATCCACAATCATCATCATCATTGAAACCAAAGATCCATATCCAAACATTCATCACGATGATCAACCAAATTGACATTCACGAGATTGTTCCATCATGAATTTTCAGTTGGAAATATTAAATTCAGAATAATTGAAAATAACTTTAGAATCATGATGACTTACAGTAATGGTACCATCCTTGTTCGCATCCATCGCACGGAACAAGTATTCAACATCGGCATCTGGTGGAGCACTTGGAAGAGCAATTTGAGCAAATTTGGAGAAACCTTCTCTCGTCATGTTTCCATCAGGGAATAATTCATGCCTATTATTGTTGTTGTTGTTATTGTTGTTCACACACGAATTGAAAATATATTGATGAATGGAAATGATCATTTCACAAATGTTGATTGCGACAGTCATTGTTGAACAAGGTTTGAAATTGATTTGGAATGAAAAGATTCATTCACACGTACCAGAATTTGAAATATCTTTGAATGTCCTTTTTGGTGAGACGATTTTTGGTTTGCTCTTGATAGAGCTTCATTTCATCCTTCGTAATGCCGTTGCCCATTTGTTGTGTGTTGCAAGTGTGAGAAAAGACCTGGTTCTATTTTTTTTTATTAATAGTTTGCTTTTTTTCTCGATTTGACAAGTGAATTGTCACAAGTTCAACGCCCCGCTGACAGTTTGTTGTTTAACAAAAGCAAAGAAAGTAATCACATTCAAATACTTAATCTTGTCTATCTGATTGCCTCCCAATTCATTGAACACGATACGATCTGTAATTTCACACAATTGTTTATGATGTGAACCTATTATGCTTCCAAAATGGTATTCCACTGTCGGTACTGTCACTGCAACAAGGGTTGTTTGTAGTTGATGGCTTTTAGTGCACACAAAGTCAAAGTGTGGTACAATGCAACTCCCTTTTTGTGTTAGACCCTCGCCAACTCGCCAACAAACTCGTTGGAGTATTTTGGCTCGGGTTAAACCACTGTGATTCACTCTTAATTTCGAAAACACATGAGTCCGTAGTGATTGTAAATTTGGCGCTAATGGTTAACGATGAGCCTTAAAACACTTAAAAAATGTCTTCAAGTACCCCAACGCGCCCAACAATTGCTTTTCTTTCCCTAGTCGATTCTGAAAGCCTTTCGTCATTAACGATAAGGGAACTAAAAGACATTGCAACAACTTTGAGTGCCGAGAACACAGAAATGCCAAAGACAAGGAAGGAAATTGTTGATTTCATTAGAAAAGTAGCTCCTGTTGGCAATAACTCTAACTCTTACTCTGTGGGTGAGATTATTAACGAATTTAAAAGGGTTGCTGAACTTGAGCAACTTATTTCTGCTTGCTCTTCCATCATCGGGTCGTCATTGTTGGTAGAAAAAATAACCGACTACGAAAATCTGGCTGACGTGGAGTTGGTAGAGGATGTTAATGAAAAAGATGATGAAGATGTGTATGAAAAAGAAAATTATGTTTTAACTCAAGCTTACGGGTTGAAGAAAAGAATACGTGAACTAACTGGCTTTCGTAACAAATCCGACATCACTGAACCTCTACATAAAGTTCGTGTGATGAAACAGTCTGCAACAAACAAGCTTTTAAGAGGTTTAGATAAGGTAATGTTAGAGATAGTAAACAATGTAACGGTGAACAATACACTACAGAATGTCAAGTCCGAATTGCAGACCGTTAAGACAGAGTTACAAAATACAAATACTCAGTTGAAAACCGCTGAGACAAAGTTGCAAATCGCTGAAAGAGAGTTACAAACAAAGAGTGCGGTTCGTTGCCTTAAAGATTGAACTCTGGTGACCTTCATACTCTCAGTCTGAATGACATTGGACCCTATAGGAGTCAAGTCATTAAAAGCGAACTCGATTAATTTTTTGTCTTTGCAATCTTCATTTTTATCCGTGCGTGCGTCAGATCAGACTGTAAAATAGACTACCTCAACATGGTTTTGTTGTTAATGCATTTGAGAGCGTGTTGTTAGAACAAATTATCATTTATTCACATACTCCAAATTACAAGAACCATCCATAGATAGTAATTTGTGAAATTTCACATCTAAAATGACTCATTGAACCTTAATGATTCCTCCTATTTTCCAAACTAGAACCTAAATACACTCCATGATAAAAGGTTTCCATTATTTCTTGATACAATTCGTCACTGTACTCTGAAATAAATCCAGATCTTTTGATTTCTTCTCGAAGTTTCACCATAAATTCATGATCATCTGTAATTTCTTTGGGTGTGTATCGTAGAAGTGTTTTACCTCCAAACTTTGCTGCTTTCAACAAGAATGATTTGTCACAAAATAATTTCCTTGAAATATAATGAAAACAATTGCGATCTCGTCTGACGGCTTCCAACACAATTTCTTCGTCTTTTTTCAATTCATCATCAGCGAATTCAATGGCTTCACACCTTTGTTTTACAGCTGTCAACACAACTTGTCTGTCTTGCTTCATCCCATTTGAAGCATAACACAAAGAATATCCATCGTGAGTAACTGAAGTCAAGACTATTTCTCGATCATTCCTCAACTCTTCTGATGCATATTGAAGAGCATATCCACTTTGATTCACCGCAGCCAACACAACTTGTTTGTCTCCTTTCAAATCTGAAGAAACATATTCTAATGCCCAACCATCTTGTTGAACAGCAATTAATGCAATTTCTTTGTCATTTCTCAAATCATCTGATGCATATTTCAACGAACGACCATGATTTCTGACTGCACTCAAAACAATTTCTCGATCACTTTTGAGTTCACTTGACACAAATTCAAGTAACAATCCAAATTCTTGAATGATCTTCATCATGATTTCTTTCGATGAATAATCAAAAGAGCATGAGGTTTCAAACTCTTCTGGAAATATTAATTTGAGAGCTTGTAACATGAAATCATGATTTTTAAGTAACTTGTGGGAAACATATTGAAGTGCCTTCTTATCTTGTTTGATTGCTTCCAATGCAACTGTTCGGTACCAATTCGAATTTCTTAAGCTGGCATATTTAACAAATTGCAATGCAGTTCCATTTTGTTGGACGGCAGTCAACACAACCTCCCTGTCATGATGAAATTTAGAAGCCCACAAAAGAGCCATTCCATTCTGCCTCACCACTTCCAACACAAACTCCTTGTCTCCTTGAAGCTTTTTTGGAGCAGTTTTAAATGCAAAAACATCTGTTTTTATGGCTGTCAATATCACTTCTTTATCATCACAGCGATAATATGCATACTGTAACCTGAACCCATTGTATTGAGCTGCTTTCAAAACAAAATCTCGATCTCGTTTTAATTGTGTAGATGCAAATTCCAATCCACATTCATACTTTTTAATATGATTCAACACAAATTCAGGATCGTTCATAAATTCGACTGGAAAGAATTGTTTGTATTTTAATTCTCGATTCAAAAGCCATTTCTTCTTTCCCAATTGTTGCAATGAGAATTTCTTGTTCAACATTATTTCCACATTCAAAGGCTGATCATCATGAGAATTTCTATGATAATAATCTTGGAGAATGATCCGAACACTTCCCGTACGTATCTTGCATTTACATCGATGCAACGTGTGCTTTGCGTCATATTTGGACATTTTTTTTTATCAATCCACGCCTTGGTCGAACATGAACTTGAACTGTATATTACCATGAATTCTTTACAATAGATGGTGGGTAACCTTGAGCAGCTGTTGTTGGATGAAGTGGAGATTCATATAAATCCACACATCAGTGATGACTAAGGAATTAATTAATAATGTGTGCATTGGAGACTTTGTGTACAACCAACGATGAAGAGAACTTTGCTCATTGAGTTCCAAGTAGCGGTGGTATTTGTAGGGGTTTGAAAATATCTTGTTAAATACGGTTTATTTGTCTCTCCTGTAACTACGATATTCCTATAAACAATGATTTGACTTTATTGTGTTCAAGGTTGAATAAGTTTTTAAAGGAGCTGCTGGTTCACCTCGAATATGTTGTTTGATCATGTTTGCACATTTTTAAACAATTAATCCACTAATTCTCTTCTACAGGTGAAATGTCACAGTGTGTAGGTTCTTTTATATTGAATACTTTACATATAAACCGTCTGCAATACACACTGATTCCCTTGTTTTTTCATGATTTCGCCATTGAATTTTCACTTTTTAATATACAAAGTCATCTCAAGAAAGTCAAATGATAAAACAAACGTGTTTCAACTCATGACATCTTAATCATTCCTCTTGACCAAAATAGAACCTAAATACACTCCATAATAAAAATGTTCCATTCTTTCTTGATACAATTCAGCACTGTACTCGGAAACAAATCCAGAGCGTTTGATTTCATCTGTTAATTTCACCATAAATTCATCATCATTGGTAATTTCTGTTGGTATCAAAGACAAAAGGGAATGACCGACAATTTTTGCAATTTTCAACAAGAATTGACGGTCACTCAATAAATATTTAGAAGTTTGTTGTACAAGTGTTGCATCTTGTTGAATGACTTCGAACAAAATTTCTGGATCACTTTTCAATTCGTCATGTATACACCTTAAGGCTCTTCCTTGTTGTTTTACAGCTGTCAAAACAACTTGTCTGTCTTTCTTCATCTCATTGGAAGCAAAACATAATGAAAATCCTTTTTGAGTTACTGCAGTCAAGACTACTTCTCGATCATTCTTCAACTCTTCTGATGCATATTTAAGAGCATTTCCATTTTGATTTACAGCAGCGAACACAACTTGTTTGTCTCCCCTCAAATCTGAAGAGACAAATTGTAATGCCCAACTATCCTGTTGAACAGCAAGTAATGCAATTTCCTTGTCATTTCTCAAATCATCTGATGCAAATTCCAATGAAGGACCATCTTGTTGAACAGCGAGTAATGCAATTTCCTTGTCATTCTTTAAATTATTCGATGCAAATTCCAATGAACGACCGTGATTTCTGACTGCACTCAAAACAATTTCTCGATCACATTTGAGTTCATTCGACACAAATTCAAGTAAAAATCCAAATTCTTGAATGATCTTCATCATGATTTCTTTCGATGAATAATCAAAAGAGACTGAGGTTTCAAACTCTTCTGGAAATATTAATTTGAGAACTTGTAACATGAAATCACGATCTTGAAGTAAATCTTTGGGTACATATCGAAGTGCCTTCTTATCTTGTTTGATTGCTTCCAATGCAACGATTCTATACCAATCCGAATTGCTTGAATTGTCATATTTAACAAATTGCAACGCAGTTCCATTTTGTTGGACGGCAGCCAACACAACTTCTTGGTCTTTGCGAAAAATAGAGGCCCATGAAAGAGCCATTCCATTTTGTCTCACACCTTTCAAAACAAATTCCTTGTCAGACCGAAGTTCTATTGAAGCATGTCCAAATAAAACACCATCTTCCTTGGTGGCAGCCAATATCACTTCTTTTTCGTGGCGAAAAATATGTGCCTCTGCAACTCGTATCTCTGAACCTTTTTGTTGAACCACTTTCAACACAAATTCTCGATCTTGTTTTAATTGTGTGGATGCAAGTTTCAATCCATATCCATACTTTTTAATGTGATTCAATACAAATTCAGGATCATTCATAAACTCAACAGGAAAGAAATTTTCATATTTCAATTCCCGATTCAAAAGCCATTTCTTCTTTCCCAATTGTTGCCATGTGAATTTCTTTTTCAACACTGCTTGCATGTTCAAAAGTTGATCCTGGGTGGGATTATGATCAAAATCGACGAGAAGAATTCGAACACCTGTCGTTTGTGTCATCATGTCATCGTGTTGGGCCATTTTTTTGTGAGAAATGGTACTTGTGGAATCAACGGACGATAGACCATTTGACACTCTCATTTCCACACAATGATCATAATTACAACAACCTTTCTACGAGCGTCATAAAAATTGCAGAATGAAGAAAAAAGATTTAGGAAAGCTTTTTGCTAATAGCATTTTTTCGACAAACAATGACGATTTGATAAGCAGAATCCAAAAACCTTCTCTATATTCACAAACAATGGCGTCACAATTACTGGAAGAGATTTACCTACTGATACTGAGAATTATGAACTAGTTCAACCAATATTGAAAATAGGAGACGTTTGCATGATTGCATTCAATTGAGGACAATAGTGATCTCTCAGTGTATGTTGTTTGCAAGAAAAACGACAACAATGTAACGTAGATAATCATCAATATTCCATCTTGGTAAAATAATGAATGTGAAGAAAATGCGTTCATGTAACTAAGGTCACCAATTGTGATCATTCGGAATATTGGGAACACAATAAAGTGTTGAACGCAACAACATGTGGTCGATGTTGCCACAAGTCACTTGTTGTGAATAAGGTTTGAATAATAACTTGCATGTGTTTCAAGCAACAATAAATCTATCAGTTACTGGAATAAAAAAATTTCGGGATTGTTTGGTGGTTGTTGTTGCTGGAGTTGCTGCAATTAAGCAATATTTTAGCAACCTTAAAAACCCATTAGTTTTCCTCCAATTAATTCCAAACTCTTGCTGTTTACAATATCGAAACACTATAAATCTCGATTGCCAAACCTGTTAGTTTCCTTTAATTGAATCCAAACTGTTATGTAAAGGAAATGACGTTCAACTCATGACATCTTATTCATTCCTCATGTCCAAACTAGAACCTGAATACACTCCATAATAAAAGGTTTCCATTCTTTCTTGATACAATTCATCACTGTACTCGGATACAGATCCATAACTTTTGATTTCATCTGTTAATGTCACCATAAATTCATCATCATTGATAACTTCTGTTGGTATCAAAGACAAAAGAGGATGACCAACAAACTTTGCAATTTTCAACAAGAATTGACGGTCACTCAATAAATCCTTACAATGTTTTTGTAAATCTTTAACATCTAATTGGCTGACTTCTAACCAAATTTCTGGATCACTTTTCAATTCATAATCTGCAAACACGATGGCTCTTCCGTATTGTTTAACAGCTGTCAAAACCACTTGTCTGTCTTTCTTCATCTTATCGGAAGCAAATATCAATGCATCCCCATTTTGAGCTACTGCAGTCAAGACAACTTCTCGATCATTCTCCAACTCCTCTGGTACAAATTGAAGAGCAATCCCATTTTGATTCACAGCAGCCAACACTACCTGTTTGTCTCTCCTCAATTCTGTTGACGCGTAATTCAACGCCCAACCATCTTGTTGAACAGCGAGTAATGCAATTTCCTTGTCATTCTTTAAATTATTCGATGCAAATTCCAATGAACGACCATGATTTCTGACTGCACTCAAAACAATTTCTCGATCACATTTGAGTTCATTCGACACAAATTCAAGTAAAAATCCAAATTCTTGAATAATCTTCATCATGATTTCTTTCGATGAATAATCAAAAGAGAATGAGGTTTCAAACTCTTCTGGAAATATTAATTTGAGAGCTTGTAACATGAAATCATGTCTTTGAAGGAAATCTTCTGAAACATATCGAAGTGCCTTCTTATCTTGTTTGATAGCTTCCAATGCAACTGTTTGGTACCACTTGGAATATCTTAAGCTGGGTACATATCGAACTGCTTTAAGCAACTTGTGGGAAACATAGTGAAGTGTCTTCTTATCTAGTTTGAATGCTTCCAATGCAGCTGGCTTGTACCAATATGAATTGCTTGAATTGTTATATCTGATATATTTCAATGCAGTTCCTTTTTGTTTGACGGTGGCGAGAGCAACTTGTTTGTAATTGCGACATTGATACCCCCAAAAAATAGCCTTTCCGTTCTGTTTCACAACTTTTAACACATATTCCTTGTCAGAGCGAAGTGCTTTCGAAGTACAACTAAATGACCTATAATTTTCCTTTGCGGCAGCCAATACCACTTCTTTATCATTGCGAATTGGCTCGTCTGCAAATCGTAACTCCAAACCATTGTGTTGAACCACTTTCAAAACAAAATCTCGATCTTTTTTAAGTTGCGTGGATGCAAATTTCAATCCATATCCATACTTTTTGATATGATTCAATACAAATTCAGGATCATTCATAAACTCAACAGGAAAGAAATTTTCATATTTCAATTCTCGATTCGAAAACCATTTCTTCTTTCCCAATAGTTGCCAAGAGAAATTCTTTTTCAACAATACTTGCATGTTCGAAGGTAGATCTTGGGTGGGAATATGATCAAAATCAACTTGATAAAAATCAACAAGAAGGATTCGAACACCTGTCGTTTGTGTCATCATGTCATCGTGTTGAGACATTTTTTTGTGCGAACTGGTACTTGTGGAATCAACGGGCGACTTTAAGCAGTTCTATTGGAAACTCTCATTTCCACACAACGATCATTATTACAACAACCTTTCTACGAGCGTCATAAATGAAGTTTTGGAGGTGAAATTATCTTCCCAAAAGAATTTTCATTTATCAAATGCAAATGAATTGAATCTTGAGCATTCATGGCGTATGATCCGACCAGGTCAGTGCCACTATTTCGACTTTTCCCTTTCACCTTCAGCTAACAACCACTCATGGTCTCAATAGGTGACATTTTACAATCGTCGTAAACTACAACCACAAGCTTGTTTGGAGAAACAGAGTGATGATTTGTAACACATTATCAATGTACCTCTCTTTGGTATCGCATTACTACTTTAAATCTCGATTGCCAAACCTGTTAGTTTACTTAAATTGAATCCCAACTCTTGTTATTTACATGAAATATCTTTCAACTCATGACATCTTAATCATTCCTCATGTCCAAACTAGACCCCAAATACACTCCATGATAAAAGGTTTCCATTCTTTCTTGATACAATTCATCACTGTACTCGGATACAGATCCAGAGCGTTTGATTTCATCTGTTAATTTCACCATAAATTCATCATCATTGATAACTTCTGTTGGTATCAAAGACAAAAGGGAATGACCGACAATTTTTGCAATTTTCAACAAGAATTGACGGTCACTCAATAAATATTTAGAAGTTTTGTGTATATGGTTTGTATCTCGTTGAATGGCTTCGAACCAAATTTCTGGGTCATTTTTCAATTCATCATCTGCGAATTCGATGCCACTTCCGTATCGTTTTACAGCTGTCAAAACAACTTGCCTGTCTTTCTTCATCTCATTGGAAGCATGACTCAACACAGATCCATCTTGAGCTACTGCAGTCAAGACTACTTCTCGATCATTCTTCAACTCTTTGGATGCAAAAAGAAGAGCACTTCCATTTTGATTTACAGCAGCGAACACAACCTGTTTGTCTCCCCTCAATTCTGTTGACGCGTGTTTCAACGCCCAACCATCTTGTTGAACAGCGAGTAATGCAATTTCTTTGTCATTCTTTAAATTATTCGATGCAAATTCCAATGAACGACCATGATTTCTGACTGCACTCAAAACAATTTCTTTGTCATTCTTTAAATTATTCGATGCAAATTCCAATGAAGGACCGTGATTTCTGACTGCACTCAAAACAATTTCTCGATCACATTTGAGTTCATTCGACACAAATTCAAGTAAAAATCCAAATTCTTGAATGATCTTCATCATGATTTCTTTCGATGAATAATCAAAAGAGCATGGGGTTTCAAACTCTTCTGGAAATATTAATTTGAGAGCTTGAAGCATGAAATCATGATCTTGAAGTAAATCTTTGGATACACATTGAAGTGCCTTCTTATCTTGTTTGATTGCTTCCAATGCAACGATTTTATACCAATTCGAATCGCTTGAATTGTCATATTCGACAAATTGCAACGCTGTTCCATTTTGCTGGACGGCAGCCAACACAACTTCTTGGTCATTGCGAAAATTTTTGGCCCATGAAAGAGCCATTCCATTCAGTCTCACAACTTGCAACACAAAATCCTTGTCAAAACGATGTTCTATTGAAGCAAGTTCAAATAATTCACCGATTTCCTTTGCGACAGCCAATACCACTTCTTTATCATTGCGAATTGGCTCGTCTGCATATAGTAACTCCAAACCATTGTGTTGAACCACTTTCAAAACAAATTCTCGATCTTTTTTTAATTGTGTAAATTCCAATCCAAATCCATACTTTTTAATGTGATTCAATACAAATTCAGGATCATTGATAAACTCCACAGGAAAGAAATTTTCATATTTCAATTCCCGATTCAAAAGCCATTTCTTCTTTCCCAATTGTTGTAATGAGAATTTCTTTTTCAACAATACATGAGGTTGATTGTGGGTGGGAATATGATCAAAATCCACTAAACGGATTCGAACACTTGTTGTCGTTTGTGTCATCATTTCATCTTGTTGGGACATTTTTTTGTGAGAGACAAGCAGAACTTGTGTGCTCTCTTTACATATTCGTTTAAACGGTGTGACACCTTTTACTTCCAAAAGATGTCTATTCTCATTTCGATTCAGAATGTCAGTTATCGACAAATATGGCATACCCTCTGAAATGGTCATGTGAAATCACATTCTTGCGAGTCAATATTCTCTCTTTTGAAAAAAAAACAATGCCTCTCTCTCATCGGTACCACTCCATCATCACACACCACTACGATCCACTCTCAACTCGAGAATCTGATGATCTTGACAACGATGAAAATGATGCCATTTCACATTCATCATCATCATTATCAACATTATCAACAACCACACATTTACATCCTCCAATGAATTCATTATTGAATCGATTGAATTCGATCCACAATAGTTGTTCGACTGTTGACGACCATCATGACACCAACAACAACAACAACCATCATTCCACGAACGTCATCAACCATGAACTTTTAGATGTGAAATTATCTTCCAGAAAGAATGTTCACATCTCGGAAAGGAATCAAGATCATTCATTCATTGATGTTGAGCCAACTACTTCTTCGACTTCGACTTTTCCCATGTTCCAACCTTACAACAACAACAACCACTCATATTCTAGTCATAGAAAGACATTTTCCAATCTTCGTCGTTGTACTAGACAACAACAATTAACATCATTATTCACAAGTGCTTGTTCTTGTTTTCAAAAAGTATTTAATTTTCAAAATCCAACCACACCTGTCATTCTCGTGTCAAGTCTTTTCATACTCATTGCCTTCCTATTCATAGGTTTAGGACTCGTTGTTTTATTGAGTGTGAGTGGATGGATGGATTTGAGTGGACAAGCACATCAATGGCAACCTCCAGAATATTTACTTGAATGGAAAAATCAATCTTTTCATCATACTCGTGAACATCGAATGAAATATATTCATGTGGTCAAGGAATGGCCACAGGAAGCTCTCGCTTTTAAAGAATGGTTAAGGCAACATTGGAAGCTTGTTTTGGAAACTCCCCAATATGGAAAATTGAATGAATCTCAATTGGATTTGATCGTGTTTCGAATGGATGATTCAAGTTTTTGGAGACCTGTGGAATTGAATTCTGAAATGATTTCAAAAGCTCTTGAACAAGTTCAAATGAATTTACCAAGTCCCATGACTTTTCGAATTCATGTCGTTGATGCTTCGACTTCAGAAATTCATATTGGACAAACTCTAACGCGATTATTGGAATCGTATGAAAATTCATGGTTGATGGTCATTACTCATGATGATATTCCATTGTTTATTCCTTCGATTTTATATCCATTGAATCATCTCATTTCACATCAAGTGTTAAATTTAATCATGTATCATCGATATCAAGTCGAGTCCATGTCTCAAACGACTATTCCTAAAACATTTCAGGAACGATTTGAAATGAGTACAAATTTTTGGTTTGAACTCATTGAAAATGATATATATGAATTGGACAGAGTTTTCACACATACGGTACGATTGGAACAATATTCTGAACAAGTTCGTAGTTTGATTTCTCCTTCATTGAATGCGCAGTCGTATCGACAAATTATGGAATTATTGGGTCATGACATGTTAAATGCTGAAGGAAAATGCACGGTAATGGCTTTGACATTACCAAAAAAGGTAAATGAGGAAAAACATGCTTCCATGAGCGAGGATTATGCAAAATTCTTACAACGACATAAGGGAATATTTTCATCATTGGTACCTCTTTTTATTACCAATGATCGAAACATGTATTTTCGAGGAGATTTAATTTTTAAAAAAGTTATTTATTTGGAAAATTCAGAATTTATGGACCTCATTGCAAAATATTATTGTTATCAATATTATAGAACTCCAAAACATGAGAGAGAAGATCAACATTCCATGGTCAATATCGACGTCGATAAAGGAATAACCACGATTGAAATCGATGGAGTGAAACACATGCATGAACTCTACACGTATCGACACTCGAAGAAATCCACAAAAATCATTCATTTAGCCATTCAGATTGGAAACCGAGGTCATTCACGACATTTAGAATCCTATGCTATGCAATTAGCTCGCTATCTCTCAGAAATTTCCACTTCTTTCCAAGTCACAGTCATGTATTGCAGTAGAAAAAAAGATTCTAAAACTTTTCGATATTTACAAACATTTTCACATCAAGTACATCGAGTCGAACAGATTCATTCGAAACAAGAATATGAAAGAATTCTCAAAGAAGAATCCATTTCCATGGTTCATGCATTTGATTCTCTATATGGAATTAAGAGTTGTCATGACATGAAGATTCCATTCATTCAAACTCTGGAATCTCCTTATCGATGGCTTGTTTCCAATCAGAAGAAGAAGAAATCTAAAGACTTTTTACAGAAAATGGACACACTCACTTCCATGCATGTGGCCATGTCCACCGATGTTGCTCAATTCTCAGATTTGGAGTTGGGAATGGATGTTTCAAAAATGTTGGTGTTGCGTCGGGGACTCGATCCTCAGTCTCTCGAAAATTGTCAACGATTTTTACATTATTTACCCACACAGAAACGACATGTTTGGAATCAATATGTGGAACCCTTAACGAAACGAATGGTCACGGAACAAGATGTGGTACTGACTCAATTAGATACGAATATAACACCTGAATCTGGACATCATTTATCGATTGTGGCTTTGTATGAATTGAAAAAGAGATTTCACGATCAATTTATCATGGATATTCATCCAGTCTTGTTATTGGTTGGAGAATTTAAAGATTTCAAATGGCGTTCACATTTAAAACAATTAGTGACAGAATATGGTCTTTCGAATGAGGTCTTTTTCTTAGAGGATCGAGCGAATATTCAAAAATTGTATTGTCACCTATTCTTGATGAGCGATGTCATGTTGCATCCAGCCCTATTCGAAGGATGGTCCTCTCTGGTTGCTGAAAGTGTGTACATGAAGATGGATTTAGTATCGACGGTCGCGGGAGGTTCCTTAGAAATTGTTTCACAATTTAAGGATTTAACCACCATTGAAAAATTTGTCGATCCACCCTCCACCATTTTTGAGATATCGGCTGATAACAGCGTACAACTCAATCTTGAAAAAGTGTATCCAGAATTTTGTAAACATTATGCAGAGACAATTCATGAAGTGATCTCGACACGGAGGGCTCTTGGTCCAATGACATCGTTTGATGATCGCAGAGGTGAAGACATGTTTGTGGCTCATTCGCATCGAGGATATAAGAGATTGTATGAAATGATTGACATGTTTGGAATTTCAGAAACAAACATTCCATGGTTGATTAGGCATGCCTTTCGAAGAGGATATCAATAAGGATGATTAATGTGTAAATTGAGATTGTTGTGTTATTAAGCCATTTGGAAAAAGAATTATTCTTCCATTAGAATTATTATATTTCTTCCATTCTTCCATTAGGAATGATGATTTGGTATTTCTTCCAGAGCATGAATCTTGTTACCAATCTACCACACGATAATCCTTAAAAAGTTTTCCATATTCAAATGTTCCTGAAAGAATGGGATGTAAAATTCTACATGCAGCATCTTGTGTTGTCAAGGGTGGTTCCTTGAATGTTGCAACAGCAGAGGAAACCCAACCAGTGTCCACACTGTTCATAAGGATACCCATTTTCGCATAATAATTTGCACCTGAACGTGTCAACATATTAAGGGAGGCTTTGGACATGTTTGTATGAATGTGACAATCTGTTTTGCCAGTTGCTGAAAATTGACCTTCATGAGAAGTGACATTGATGATGAAGGAATACATGGTAAGAGGGTCATTAAAATCGAAATCGGTGTCATTGGTAAATTTTGGTTTCAACACATCGGTCAATTGAGAAATCAATATTGTTGGTGCGATATTGTTAATCATTTGACATTCCAAAATTTCGACATTGCTAATCTCTGGCAATTTCAAATTCCATGAATTGAGAGTACGAGTGTCTTCTGGTTCTCCCCACTTATCCTTGTCTTGCATCATGGGTTTATACTCAATGTCCTCAGGAAGACGTTCTTCAAGAGTAATTCTTAGTGTGTCGTTCACCAAATTAGTGGTCAATTGTTGTAGCTCAGTTACTGTAGAAGTGCTATCGTTCTTCTTGTCAGTAGTTGCTGTTGATAACGGCAAAGGTTGATCGACATGTTGCTTCTCAATTTCAACAAGTGGCTTGTAATAGGTGACAGGTCTTCTTACTGTTTGAGCTGCATTGTTGATAATAATATCAATGCGTGAAAATTTAGATTTTACAAACTCGGTAAAATTCAAAATGGATTTACCATCTTTGAGATTAAGAGGATAAATGATCAAATTATCTTTCCATTTCGAATAATTAGTCTCTGCCTGAAATTTCTTTAAAGCATTGTGTGGAAAACGAGTGGTCACAATAGTGGTTGCTCCCTTCTCTAACAACATTTTGCTTGTCTCGTATCCAATCTTGATCCGTCCTCCTGTCACAATAGCAACTTTACCTTGAAGATGAGTTTTGTTCATGATCTGTAATTTGTTCTCTTCATTAAACTTGTGACAATCTCTGCAAAAGTGAACGTTATCTCCGTTGTGAGAGTACTTGCCACATAGGTAGCACTTGTAGAAATGATACCTTTCATTAAATGTTAATATATTATGATAATATTCAAATATACGTACTTTTGGGCAAGGTGTGAATCTAAATATCCCTCTGTAATAAACAATGCGCAATGTTTGGAAAATAAATCAGGAATATTTCTACAAAAATAGTGAACATCTTCCTCTTGGATATGCCGAATGATACCATCAACAACTGCATCCTGGTAATTTAAAGGAGTAACTTGAATGTGCTTAAAGTTGGCAGTCCATCTTCCGTCAGAGTAGTCGCCATTTTCAAGAAAGTAATCCAACGAATTTTTAAGACCATTCTGCAAAACGCACTCAACCAGCCAGTAATCTAAGCTTTTCAAAACAACAGCATAATAGTTGACCTCATCCAAATCTCTGATGTCTGTAAAGTTGTGAAAGAAGAACATGTATGGAGCAAGTGTGCCAAAACCGTTCCACATCTCATCAGCCATTAATTCGTGGTCATAGTTTGGTTCCTCGTCCTCATTAAAATTTTCAATTACGAAATTTCGAAGCCAATTAATAAAAGGTTGAATATGAAGATTGTGTTGTAATGGATGTTTAAAATCGACACACAAAGTACCAAATCCTCTCCTGAAATATTTGACAGCTCTGTCCATGTACATTCCTGATTGAATGTGTTCTCGAGAGACAAAGTTCAATCGATGCCTTAATGCTCTCAAACCCTCCAAAATTGTGAACACTTGCTGGCCATCGTAGCAAAATCTGCAGCAGTCAATATCAAAGAAGCACATCAACTCTTCAATAGTTTGGACCTTTCTTAACACGAATTGCACCGCTAGCTTACTTTCTTTTGCTCGAGCATCGGGATATCTATGGTTCATATCTAATGTCGTAGGAGTGCATGATCATTACATTCAACGCACGAACGATTCGAGATCTATATACTTACCTCTGTTGCCGTTTGTTTTTGGTAACAAATTCAGTGTTCCATTGGTCTTCAAAAGACGATAATCAATCTTCTCCTTTCTAAATCTCTTTTCCATCTCAATCAAAACTCCTTTGAGAGCATTATCAACAGTGACCTCATTTTCACCATTGTTGATACAAAAAATGTCAATATCACAGGATCCACAGTCAGTGAGTACATGTAAAATAAAACCTCCAGCAACGATGAATCTGGTCTTATTCGATGTTGCATGAGATTGATTGAAATCGAAAAGACATTGAAGAGCAATTCGAGCTAATGGATTCTTGAGTAGAATCTTTTGCATTCGATTCTGGAATGATCGTAAAGTCATGTTATATAGGTTGTCCATATTGGGCTTCTTTCTAGATTTAAGAAATGGTCGTTCATCCTCCTCGTCCTCATCATTGTGTTCTTCATCGTCTTCATGATGATCTTCTTCGTGTTCAAATGGAGTGATGGCCAAAGGTACATCCAACATGTCTGAGGTCAAGCGTTCCTTATCCTCAATCGTATCGGGAAGGTCTGGCAATTTGTCCATATACGCCTTCTTGTACATGAGATTTCTCTTTTCAAAATAGTGATCATACGACATCATGACCTTCTCGCTGGGACATGAAGGATCATTCCGAGAAAACAATTCAATTAATCGGTTTTGTCGTGTGGCTCGGAATGGTGTAGAAGTACAACTCGTTTGATTGGTATTATTTCTCAACGATGGATTATTGAGATATTCCAAACGAATGGAATCAAGATGATACGACATTTCATACTGGAAAATTGAAAATAATAGTTTGGATGAGAGAGCCAAACGGTACACATCCGGAGCCTCTTGTACGTAGTAGAATATTTGCGTAATGATTTCTGGAGGTAGTTGCAACAAAGATGATGATGGCCTTTGTTGCAAGCTGGCCATTTTTCTTTTTATTGCAGGAATTTGAAACATTTTACAATCAAGTTCGCTCAATTTCAACCTAACGTCTGTGCTACGGTTGCATCAAAGAATTGAACAAAACAATTTATTCGAACCCTACATGGGTTCGAACATTAATATCCCAAAATTGAGGAAGGTTTAAAAGTTGGTTCAGCAGTCTCGTTTTCATTGTGGATTCGGAGGATTGAAATGCGTCATAGAGTAAATATCTGCAAAAGTATAAGACAATATCATGTGACACCTGATTTTTGTGTGAACAACCATACCATGGAGTAAACATCACCTTGTAATCTTTGTGAACAAGTAAAGATAATTGTTTAGGATGATGAGCAGATTTCATCAAAACATGCCATTTCTTCAAATCTACCAGCGATGTTTCCATTATTCCACACAAATAACAGTCTTCCAAGTCACAGCAAGTAGTATTAGCCTCCTTTTTAAAATATTGCGCATTTTCATTCATGAATGCTGCAATATTTGAACTTTTTAAACTCAATTCATTCATTTCCTGAAGATTGATGGCTGTAGTGCCTTGTACAAAATCTACATAACCTGACTTGACAGAAGCTTTCACAAATCCAAGTTTAGAAGGAGCACTACCATGACTTCCTCTTAAAAACAACACACTCACTCTCCTTGATTCAATTTCATTCAGTAAATATTGTTCTAATCCACTTGATGAATTATGAGCTTGCCAATCACCTCCAGAATATAAAGTAAATATCAATAAATCATGTCTTCCAATCAAATCAACATATGATGTAGCAAATTGATGATATTCAACCCGATCAAGTCCACTCAAAAAGCATAATTTTTCTGGCGTGTATGAATAGGCTATATCTGATTTTGCTTGTCTTTCCGAATTCTGTGTGGTCGCTACAAAACTTGAAAACTTTTCATAAACAATCTTCATGAAAATTTCTGGATCCGAGGATGAGTAAACAATGAGAGCCCGTTTCAGTGGTTGTTGTGTCCGAGCAGCTTGATCCGAAGATCGTTCCAAATAGACCTCCATCCGTTGTGTCTCCTGATTCACTTATTTTTTAAAATTGATCGAGTAAACGTTGTGCTAAAAAAGCTCACATCTTGTACAATTTAATTACAATTCATTTGAAATTGAAGTGATCTGGAGCATGACTTTATTACACATTGATGTTTTGCTTAATTGGTACCACGATATTTGCAACCGTAAAACCAACTATTTCCATCATTATTTTCATTGGGTGAGAACAAAATCATGTAATTTTCGCAAACTACTTACAGAACAATGCAATACCAACCCAAAAGATCTCAAACAACAAATTGAGACCTTCAGTGGTTTCTTTAAACACAAATGCTGCAATTCCTCTGAAGGACATTGAGCCAGGTCCTAACAATAGCGCACCAATACCAACAACCATCATGGAAGGCTTTTTTGAGATGAGTGTGTAAATATTTCCCAAAATACCAATTAAAATTCCTCCAATAATGGTTCCTGCTTCTACATTTTTCAAGACATCTGCCAAAACAAAAGCTACCATGTGAGCACAGACAGTCGATAGCGTAATATAAATAATGGAAAAGGCATGTTTAGGAACTCTTCTTGTGAAAACAATATTTAAGGCGAGACCAATCATGATAATAAATCGAAACCAAAGTGGAATTGGCTCTCTCGAAGGTGGGTTCAGTTCACTATCTCGCAAATGAGGTATGTTAATCGCAATCACGTACGTAATTAAGAAACCAAATCCAAGCTTTAAAATCACAACGAAGGAGAAGACAAAACGACAAATTCCGCTCAACAAGGCACCAGTGGCAATTTCATAGCAGGCCACAGCCATCGGTTGACCCGGCAAAAATTGCCACGTCGCAGCTGAATTTTGCCAATAGTTGACGTATTTTTGAATTTCAAAAATAAGGTCATTCAAAATCATCCTTGAAAACAATATCTAAAAAATTTAGTGACTTACCAAGAGAAATAAGAGAAACAGAAACTTCAAATTTGTCAATGAAAATTGCCTTCATGGCAATACCAATCAATCCAGCGGTAATAGTCGCAACAATTTGGTTAACATTTCTGAAAAAACCAAATCGCTGACAATATAAATGTATCAAAGCAATGGCCAATCCTGCAGTAAGACAAGTGAGTAGCTCGGCAACATTTCCACTCCATAAAAGACCAAATAATCCAGGACAAATAAAGTGCATGAAAATGTTAACAACAGGATGATCATAGACATTCGGAGCTGAAACAATGCTTCTAATTTCTTTTCTAGCTTCGTCCACTCCCAATCGTCCTCGGGCAATATTGCTTGCAACAGTATCTAGTTTCGTCAACTTGTCCAAATTTAACATTTGAGTTTCTACTTTCACATAATATGTTCTGTTGTCAGCTTCTCTAACCTTTTGTCCAAACGAAAACCAAATTCCAATAGGTGTAATATTAAAATAAGCATCAATTCCAAAATATGCACAAACAAGAGTCAAATGATATTCCGTTCTATTGGCACTAATGCCATATAATGTCAATGCAAATCCTAAATCCAAAATTAATGATTGAACTTTAAGCTTGTCTTCCTCGCTTAATTCTGTATACAAAACTCTACTCTCCGATCTAGTTTGTTGGAAACATTGTTTAATTTTGTCAGTCCAACTTTCTCGAACTGGCTCCTCCTCTTCTTCCTCTTCATCCCCTTGCATATTAGCCATTTCTTTTCTTCTAGCCCTTTTATACTTTTTCATGAACCATCCTCTTAATTTTCTCTTTTGTGACGGTAACAAAACGGGAGCATCTTTTTGCATAATCTTATCTGTGAATCCTTTAATCGAGTCCCAAACGCTCTTGGTTGACTTGGCTAATAATCCAACGTTTTCATCTTCTTTTTTTTCGTTTGCTGACTTGCCGTGATGTCTAATGCTTTCAACAATTGCGTCACTTTCTCCAATTGGAACCAGTTGGTCGGCAACATAGCCCTTCAATTCTTCATTTGTCAACACAGCCAAAGCATCCAAATCAGTAGTACTAGCAAAACTTGCAATAGAGTCAATGGATGATGATGAAGTCATTCCAGCATGCATGTAGAGACCTTGCTGAGGCCGAAAACCTTCTTCTTTTGGAAAAAAAGATCCATTCGCATCAACATTCACCTCTCCGATAATTTCATTGTCGTCACCTCCCGAATGAAAGTGCACAACATGATGTGGGTCTCCTTCTTCATGATGAGCGCTGTTTGTTGCTGGATTATGAAATCCGTGGTGAGCTTGGTGATGATGTGGATGAGTATGGTGATGAGTTGGATGATAATCATCTACTTCACTCGTCATTCGATGATGATGATACTCTGAATCTATTTTCATTTGATTAGGAGAAGAGTTCGATCCAAAAACCTTTTCATCATCGTGGTCGCCTCGAGTGGCTGTATGAATTTCTACTTCGTCCTCATCCAATTGTGTTACATTGGCAAAATTATGAAAATGAGAATGAGGTGGTGGACTGTGTGGTGTTTCCTTCCTTCCCGAAAAGGAAAATGTGATGTTGGAATTTACAGGGCTGGGTGTATTTTGATGATGTGGTTCCTGTATGGTATGTATCGGATTGATGAAATTGGGAGACGTTGTGGAAGATGAGGTTGAGGTAGTACTAAAACTTTGCTCCATCATGGATGGCGTATGGGTATTGGAAGAACCCGAATGATGGTTGCTGCCACTCGGATGAATGTTCGAGGTATTCGCCTGCGCATGGTTACTCATTTTTTTTTTAAAACACAAAAACTCGACCGTCGACGAGAATGGTGGTGTAGACTTTTTTGGACTTTGAGAACTGTAATTCTTGTGATCTGTTGCGTTACTTGACAACCATGTTCAAATAAAATCAGTTCCTTGGTCCCAAATAAGCGTCGTCATAGCAATATTTCATTCTTTCACGATATAATTCATCACTATACTCTAACACAAAACCATTGCATTGAAGTGCCTCGAAAACAAGCTCTGGATCTTCATGCAATTCTTCACTTGCAAAACTCAACGCTGATCCATCGTTTTTCACAGCTTTTAACATGATTTCCTTATCTGAACAGCTATACCCGATTCCAACGAATCCCAACCCATGATGTTCGAGTGCTGTCATGAAACATCCATACTGAATCAAGGACATGACAAAATCTTTGTCTTTCGCTAACATCCTGGAAGCAAATTTCAAGGCATTCTTGTTTTGTTGAACGGCCGCCAGAACCATCGTTCGATCCCGTTGCAACATGTAAAACGCATACGCAAGAGACTTCCCATTTTGTTTAATGGCAGCGAATACCACTTGTCGATCGTCTTGCAACTCTTTGGATGCGTATTCAAGATCATTTCCATAGTGAGTGACAGCTTCTAACACCACGTCCTTGTCATTCCGTAACTCTTGAGAAGCATGTTGAAGAATAGTGGTATTTCTAGGTTGTTTGACCACTTGTAACACTATTTCCTTATCATTCTTAAACTCTTCAGATAGGTATTTGAATGCTCCATAATATTCGTTGATGGCAAGAAATGCCAGTTGTCGATCGTGTAGGAGCGTATCCGAAGCAAACTGAATGGAACTTCCGTAATTTGTGACTGCATGTTGAACAACCTCTCGATCGTTTTTAAGTTCATCACTCGCAAATTCAAGCAAGTACCCAAATTTTTGAACTACTTGGATCATGCACTCCTTGTTGGAATAATCAAAAGTTTCCAATTCTGGAAATATGAATCGAAAAACTGTTGACATGAACTTGGTATCTTTGAGAAAATCCTTCGAAGCATATTCGAGTGCTTGTTCTTTTTGTTTCACAGCTTCTAAAATAATATCTTCTTGATGGACCATGTCATCGAGATACTGCAACACTTGACCATTTTGTTTCACTAGTTGCAACACAAACTCATGATCATCCAGCAACTCTTCAGAGACATATTCCACTACCAATGGTTCGTCCTTTACTGCTGCCAATATCACTTCTTTATCACTGAGAAATGTTTCATCACAAATAGCAAATTCAATTTCTGAGCCCTTGTGTTGAACCACTTTCAACACAAATTCTCGATCTTGTTTTAATTGTGTGGATGCAAATTCCAATCCATATCCAAACTTTTTAATATGATTCAACACAAATTCAGGATCGTTCATGAATTCGACTGGAAAGAATTTCTGATATTTCAATTCTCTCTTCAAAAGCCATTTCTTTTTACCTTCTTGTTGTAATGAGAATTTCTGTTTCAATAATAATATTTCCTTATGAATAGGAACATTCAATGATGAATTGGAAAAATCAAGTAGAATCAAATGCACATGAAGTTTGTCGTCATTCTTTTCGTCCACGCATGTCATTGGTACCAATTTTTGTTTCTTGATTTTTGGTGACATGTCCAACTCCTCTTGAGGAGTATCTATGTTGTTGTTGTTGTGGATATGATCTCGTTTGAACATTTTTTTGTGCACTTGGAAATCAACATTTAACAGGAAGTCTCATGGAATGTGTTTGAGTGTCCCATTCCAGTGTTCCCTTTTGCCACTTTTGTTAAGTCTCGAAATGAATTTGTGAAGTGTGAACTTCCTGCATTTTTCTTTTTCAAAAAAAAAAATTTTCAAAATGTTCCTTCGTTCATCATCCTCTCGTCAAGACGATCCATCCAAAAAACAACAACAATTAGGATCCATCCATGGTCCCGTTCTCTTTGAAATTTTCAAATATCTCCATTCCAAACATTTACTCTCTTCCATCGTTCTCGTTTGTCGTGAATGGAAATTCATCGTTGCCGAATGTGTCATGAAATTAGAATTAAAAGAAAATAATTATTCCGAGTGGTATCAGGAACAATTGAAAATCTTTGGTTCTAATCCGAGTGCAAACACGAGTGTGAAGTGTCCTCAACAAGTGATCTATTCTCATGTGAGTCAATTATTGACATCGATCGCGAATTTTGAAAATTTACAAGAACTTTCTCTGATTGGATATGATGCATTGATGAGTAGTGATGATATGTGGAAATTGTTGACGACTTTGAAACAATTGAAACGATTGTTAATTTCCGATTCTCATTTATTGGAAGGACAATTGGCAAGAAGATTGACGTTTAAAGATCAAAAGAGTGTGAATCGTCAAGCCAGTTCTGGAAATCATGAAACATCTGAAAAGAAGGGTTTATTTTCTAAATTATTTTCAAAAAACAAGACGTCTTATGTTTCATCGACCAGTGGACTCTTGTCGAACGAATTGGAAGCAAGCAAAGGACCTCGATCTGTGAAATATTCCGATCGAAGTACACTGACATTGAACTTTGAAAGAGTGCCTTGTAAGGAAAAGCTTTCTCTCATACCAACGATGGGCGTAGAAAATTTAACATGTCTATGTTTATTCAAAGTCTATTTACCAGATGCCTTGTATTACACATTGATGGAAAAATTAGTGAACTTGAAAGAATTTCGAATGGTGGATTGTAATCTCACAAAATTCGAACTCTATTCATTATCGAAATGTCTTTCACATGTTGAAATTAATCGAACGAATTGTAACAATGCAACAGTGACCATCAGTGATCGAAAAAATAATCTACTTTCACAAACTTTGGAATTTTTAGTGTTCAATAATGTCAAGGTTGAGAGTGAACATGCATGGAAATTTTGTGCGTCCTGTACAAAATTAAAGACTTTGAAAATGAGAAAATATTTTCAAGTACCTGCCGTAACTCATAATTTAACATCTTTTACCACAACGACGAGTATTGAAAATCTTTCCATTGAAAGTGTTGGAATGGATTCTAAAGATTTAGAAAAATTAAGCAAATGGACACCCAATTTAAAGAAATTGGAAATTTTACATTGTCAATCATTGACATCTCAAGAACAATTGTTAAAAATCATCATGGACAGTTTCAAACAATTGACACATTTTCGAGCTGTGAATGTACGAGATTTGGCATCGAGTGACATTATTTCCACCAATTTAGAATTTCTAGACCTTTCAAGTAATAAGGACTTTACGGGTACCATTGATTGTCATTCTCTCAAATATTTAAATATTTCAGGAACAGCCCTCTCTGATGTTGACAAGACCAAAATTGTAATGAAGAATTCCTCTCTGGAAGAGTTGAATTTATCCATGATGGACTCTAGTGAAGCAATTGGAAATGCATGGACTTTGGGAATGTTAAAACGTTTGGATTTATCGTATAATCGTAGCGTCCATGATGAAAGATTATCAGAAATTTTACAATTCATGCCCATGTTGGAATATTTAAATTTGAAAATGTGTAAGAATATTCATCAACTGCCACTCAAGAAGAAATGCAATCTCAAAATATTATTGTTGAGTGGAACTCAAATGAATGATCAAGCGTTAGTGGAAGCAACCATGTGGACACCAGAGTTACAACGGTTGGATGTCGATTGTTGTGGAATGTTGGAGAATCCAGAATTGTCTCATCTTTCGAAATTATCATCTCTGGATGTGAGCGAAAACACGTCCTTTACTCTCACGACCATTCTGAAATTGGCCAAACAAATTCCATCATTACGAAATTTTTATGTTCGATGGATTTCAAATTTGATTACCAATCACACCAGTTCGAAAGAATTAATGGATGCATTTAGAAATTTATTATTATTGGATTTGACTGGAAGTGTTACCAGTACCTGTACAGCTCTTATTCAATTGATGCATGAGTTTAAGGATTTGACCATTGTTTCCAAAACACCAGTTTTTAGATGTGATAGTATACCAAATCCTTTTACTGTTTTTGGAACAAAGCTATAATGCAAGAATTGAGATGATTGTTGATGCAGAATCAAATATGTTGTTGTTTGTTCAAAGTATGTTCTCACATCCTTCTCATCGATTTCACTTTCCTTGGTAAGGTAATCCAGTAATTGAGAAGGAAAATGTCTTTTCTTTGGATCCTTCTTCAACAAATTGTTCACAACGTTATAAAAAGGAAGATGATTCTCTAGTTTTGATTTCAATTGTTGTAAATAGTTCTGAGATTCATGATCCACATCAAGGCATTGAAGAATTACAATTCCGAGTGAATATAAATCGCTTTTTGGAGATACTAGATGGTTTTCCTTTCTCTCTGGTGCTTGATAACCAGGAGAATAGGATTGAGACGTCAAAGTCTTACCATTAAACTTGCATTGTCCTCCTGATGTAAAATAATCATTATTGAAGGTTGGATATTTCAAAATCAATAAGAAAGTAATGATCGTCATGTATCACAATATTTCCTTGTTTCACATCGTTATGAATCAATCCATTGCTTTCCAGTATCGAGATTTGGCATAAAATATGGCAAGTCATTGTTATCAGTTCTTCAATCGATAAGTTGAAGGGTAAAGGGTTGCCTTTCAAGCTAAGTATATAATGGTCTTCTGAGCTAATTGAAAAGTATAATGTTCTCATTTCTTGGCTTGCAATATCTATGTTGTATTTTTCTGTGAAAGTGCATCTTTTGAGAATGATTTCCAATTCCTCGTTTGGGCCCAATTTTAAGTTACCCATTTTAACAAGTTTGTTCTTATTATCTGAAATTGTTTTGCCTATACTAATATTATAGCAATTTCGTCCAATGCGAACTTCGAGGTTCTTCTTAAAAGATTTCTCAGCAGACCCTATTGTACTGTTAGAAGTGACACTTTTGGTTCTCAAATATGCAACCATTTCTTGATGATGAAGATTCTTCATGGCTGTCAAAATGAGAGCAATTAATTGAATCCTGTGTGTGATTTGGTTGTGGTAAAATGTACCTAAATATCTTATTGAATAATCAAGCTTACAGTTTCGTCTCCTAGTCGTTGCAATATCTGTTGATACTGCATACACATTTGCTTTTTCTTTGTCGGTGGTTATTCCAATGGTGGCAATATCTTTATACCACGGTTCTTGAATATCGCTAAGCAATTCACGCATACAAAAGGAGTGAGAAATTCGGCACATCAAAGCCAATTTGGGTAAATCTGGGTGTTCTAAATGATGTTTACAAGGTGTTACTTTGTCTTCTCGTAACATAGAAATGTAATAACGTTTTCCAGGTTTATGAAAGGCCACATCATCTGGTTTTAGAGTTCCAATAATATTTCTCATAAACTTCAGAGATTCGGGTAGCATTGTGTACTCTCTAATACTGACGTTCCTGTTACCAATCATTTAGACATATAGTGTTCAAAATTTCAACTTACATGTTTCTGTAACAATTATCAAAAAGTGCACAAAATTCAAAAAGAGGCTGGCAATAGGATGCACTACAAGCCATCTCTGAAGGGCTGTTACAGAATTGGGATGTACACTCTTCTGGTGATAACGTTCTAAAAAGTATGTTGGACAATAGTTCTATCTTTTTGGTTACTCCCAACAAATCAGACAAGTCTTCCAAGGCCTTCTTTTTTTCAGTTTTTTTGGTGTTCTTGTCTGCAAGAATAGTTAGATGATCCATACAGAACTTAAATAAATTTGATTCTTGAAAGTAAATGGTTTGCTTTTCAGATAACTTGATACCAAGCGACTCTACAGTGTACCTAAAGAAGACAGTTTTTTCTTCACTATAATTTGAAAGTTCCACCCAACATGAAGGGAGGGGATATTGTTCAATTGATTTCCGAATTTCTGCCAAGTCTTCATTAGGATCAAATTCATCTTGTTCGGATTGTTGAATCTTGTGAATAATATTTTCAATGAGAGCGTTGTTTAGTGTGCCCTGAACTACTGTAGTATTCTTCTTCTTGTGGGTTCTCTTATTGTTTTGCTTTGAGGTGCCCTTCTTGTTGGTCTTCCTTGGCTTTTGTACGCCCTTAACTCCAGACTTGTTGGTTTTGATTTTGTTGCTATTTGGTATCATCTTATGAGTTTTGGTGTGCTTTGTGTGTTTGACCATTTTTTTAAAATGAAAATATTCACAACGTACTGTTAATTTGGCGGGAAACCCTTCAATAAAGGCATTGGCAGTTGTTGCTTGCTGAGGACAGATGTTCTATTTTCCAAATGAATTCAAAAATAGCGCATTCCAGCAAAGCATTTTCTTTCTCCCATTGATCTTGGCGATATAGCTTCTGTGTCATAAATTCTACAGGAATATTTCAATTCTCTATTCCAAACTTGTTCGAGTCTGAAAGTCTATGAATGATGTTGTATTGCAAGTGGTAATGCCGAACTTGGTATTACTGTTAGTGATTTCGAATTGTTCCCAAATAAACTCCATAATAAAGGTATTCCATTCTTTCATGATATAATTGCTCATTATACTCTGAAACAAATCCAGATCTTTTGATTTCTTCTCGAAGTTTCACCATAAATTCATGATCATCTGTAATTTCTTTGGGTGTGTATCGTAGAAGTGTGTTACCACAGAATTTTGCTGCCTTCAACAAGAATGGTTTGTCACATAATAATTTCGTTGAAACATTCCGAAAACAAGATAAATCTTGTTTGATGGCTTCGAACCAAATTTCTTCGTCGTTTTTCAATTCATCGTCGGCATTCCCCATGGCTACACAACTTTGTTTTACAGCTGTCAAAACCACTTGTCTGTCTTTCTTCATCTCATTGGAAGAATAACGCAATGAATATCCATCTTGAGCTACTGCACTCAAGACCACTTCCCGATCGTTCTTCAACTCTTCTGACGCATATTCAAGAGCATGTCCCTGTTGATTTACAGCAGCCAACACCAGTTGTTTGTCTCCCTTCAAATCTGAAGACACAAATGCCAACGCCCAACCATCTTGTTGAACAGCAAGTAATGCAATTTCTTTGTCGTTCTTCAAGTCATTAGATGCATATTTCAACGAACGACCATCACTTCTAACTGCACTCAAAACAATTTCTCGATCACGTTTGAGTTCATTCGACACAAATTCAAGTAAAAATCCCAATTCTTGAATGATCTTCATCATGATTTCTTTCGATGAATAATCAAAAGAGACTGAGGTTTCAAACTCTTCTGGAAATATTAATTTGAGAGCTTGAAGCATGAAATCACGATCTTGAAGTAAATCTTTGGGTACATATCGAAGTGCCTTCTTATTTTGTTTGATTGCTTCTAATGCAATGGTTTCATACCAATTTGAATTTCTTGAGCTGTCGAAGATGACATATCGCAATACAGTTCCATTTTGTTTGACAGCAGTGAGCACAACTTCTTGGTCATTGCGAAATTTAAAAGCCCACAAAAGAGCCATTCCATTCTGTCTCACAACTTCCAACACAAATTCCTTGCAATATCGAAGTTCTATTGAAGCATGTCCAAATGATACACCGGTTTCCTTTGCGGCAGCCAATACCACTTCTTTATCGTTGCGAATATCGTCATCTGAATATTGTAACTCTAACCCTTTTTGTTGAACCACTTTCAATACAAAATCTCGATCTTTTTTTAATTGTGTAGATGCAAATTTCAATCCATATCCATACTTTTTGATGTGATTCCACACAAATTCAGGATCATTCATAAACTCAACAGGAAAGAAATGTTGATATTTCAATTCCCGATTTAAAAGCCATTTCGTTTTTCCCAATAGTTGCAATAAGAATTTCTTTTTCAGCAGAAGCATTTCCAATCCCTGAGTTTCATCAGCTTTATTGCAATTTGAACTCAAAAAATCGATCAAGATGATGGTCTTGCGTTTCGTTGGAACGTTTTGTTTGTTGTTCCGTGGTTGATGGCCTGTTTCTCTCTCAATTCGGTTCGACATTTTTTTTAATGGATTTTAATTTTCATATTTCAAGGTCTTGAATTTGCTTTTGGCTTACTGTTTGATATCACCACAGCGTACGGTTGTCTTGTCAACAATAATATTAACAGATCGGTTGCGTGTTGCCCAACAAGGCGATCTTGAATTTTTTCCAAATTTATTAAAAAATGTCCTTGTTCTTGCAAGTCCTTACGGTGATTCCGATTGTAGTCATGTTCACCACTTTGGATGCCAAGCAAGCACGGTTCTACGCTCAAACCTTTCAAATTATCACCAAGCAGTGGATGGGAGTATTAAAAGCAAATCATCATGATGAATGGTTTGAGAAATTTCAATCCCGAACGAAAAAGTCTCTCAATCATCATGATGATGAGGCTACAAGGACCACACAAACCAACAACGTGGAAATTGAAGAGATGGAAAGAAATTTTAATTACATTGTGGATAGATCCATGATTGGGATGAAACAATAGAAACTCTTTGGGAAATGGGATGTTTTTTGAAGCTCGGGCTTTGAACACCCTTTTGGTGTTGTCAAATGCCGAAATTGAACATGGATTTCACAACGAGAGAGATTGTTTACCACCTCCGAAATTGATGACAACTTTCAAATGATGAAAATTACAACTTGTGATTACTCTTCAGGACACAAAGATTGGCAGTTTCAGTACAACGACATAATTGTACATCTTCAACTCTTGAAATTCTAACTCACTCAGCTCAACTTGGAGATTATCACACAGCAGCACTCATGAGTTGTCACAAGATTTGAAAAAAAATTTCTAAATAAAGTCGAATCTAAAATACTACATTTTAGGTAACTTGTGCGTTTGGCAAAAATTATTCGCCTCTTGCTACTGTTATCGATATTTGCATTAAAAAAAGTGAAACACCACTGACCGCGACGATTAGCATCAACACCCAGTACTCTTTTATTTGAATACAACTAGTCCTCCTTCCTACGAGAAAGATATCATCGACACCGGAAATGAAACTCCTTAACAACAAGAGAAGAAGAGGTTTTTACAATAGCACTGCCTTTTACATGCGGGATCAATCTTCTCAATTAACCTCAACAACAACCACAACAACAACAACCTCATCCACTTCGGGATTATCAAACAACAATAGCATTAGTATTGAAGGTACTATAAGCTCCAGTAGTGATGATGTTACCTCAAGCAGTAGTATGCTTCTCAAGAAACGAAAGATCAAGTATGGAATTTCTCGAGTGAGGACCAAGCTCTTACGCAATCGATTGTATTGGGAATCTCAAGAAGAGGAATATCAACAACAACAACATAATACTCAACACAATCCTACTCCTTCGTCTTCAAGAAATCAACCAACTGCTCACATGTGCTCCAATAATTTCACTGCTCATCAATCCCTTCCTAACTGTTCCTTTACTACCACTAACAACCACACATGCTCACATCTCACTCCTTCATCATCATCTTCTTCCCTTCAAGATCAATTACATCAAGTTCTGTTGCAAGTACTTTCACAAATGACACTCGAACAGTTTCAAGATCAGCTCGCATTGGCTGTGAGTCGATTATTTGAAAGTTTGCTCAGAGCAAAGGAAATTCTCGAACAACGTCAGGCAATACAAATGTCTGAGGAAGAAAAGCAACGATTCACTCGAGAGGTATTGTCTTCTTCTGAGTTTCAATCCAAAATTTCTTCGATACAGTCCATCTTTCATTTTGAAAGTATTCTTAAGGAAGATAAGGAATTGTTTATTATGGTTTCGAATGTGATACCACAACAACGATCCGTCTATGTCGCTTCCTTTATGAAAAATCAACCTGATCAGTAAAATATTGTGTTTTCTATTTTTCTCACATTGTCAACTGAATGAAAAAAAGGCCAAACATTTCACAATATCAGAGCGAGAGGACATTCTGCCAGAACACTCTCTCTTCTTTGAAAAGATAATTATTCCCACTGATTGGCTAAGGTATTTGAAAGTTCCAACGCCTCTGTCAAACGTTTCGAATGACTCAATAAATTCACAAATACAGAATCCCCAAACCTCGCGCCTAACATTGGTCCTACCAACACTGGACAATAATTTGCATTTCCAGCAAATTTAAAAGAATCGTTCAAACAAGCTTCCACCAATTCTTGATCATTCTGATAATTCAACGCATAGACATGAGTGTGTAAAATGACAAAATAAAGAGCGGCTTGAAAGGTCAAGGGAGAAAATCCTCCACGTGATAATTGTGATCGTAAACGTTCAATTTCTAAAGCATCTCCTTGAAGAAAGGCAGAATTTTCAACCAAAGCTTTCAAGCAAGTCAATAATTCTTTTGAAAGACTTTTTCGTTGTGAGAAATTGTTGAAATTTTGAAATTGTTCCATAAAGTTTTACAAATGGTCACAATCGAAAGAGGAGGAACCATTTGGATTTCATTTTGATTCGTCGAATCCAACGATGACAAAGCAGCTGACTCAATCCATCGACGACATATATAATTCTGCAACATGGAAACCTCCACTGCAAACCACGAATAATGTGTCATTCTAGTTTCCATTTGTGCCAACTGTAATAATTCATCCATCGAAGACCATCCTCGAAACATACTCAAAATAACATTCCGATGAGCTGGATTCACTCCACCGGTTTGTCCATTCAAATCTTGATCGATTTTTGCACTTTGAATTATTTTCTCCAAATATTGTTCCTTGACAGAATCATGAGTTTGAAAATAATTATTATTGGAATTTGTGGATTTCAATAATGGAAAGGATGAAAAAATTAATTTTCCAATTTGACCAGTGTCATCCCATCCAACATGTTTATGATAATACCAAATGAGATAGTCTGAAAAGATATTGTTGAGTAGGGAATGAGGATGATCCAGGAACACTCGAGTGGATGATGCCGTGTCCACGGAATTGGATGGTAGTTGTTCTTGTTGTAGTTGAACGAGTTGTTTGGCCACAATGATTCCCATGGCTTGAGGTCCGTGATTGTGATCACCTGCAATGAGACCATACAAGACACCACGAACGAGTGATTTTACATGATCTTGAGAGGTGACATTTTTTTTAATTTTAAAACGAAAGGCAACCGTTGACTTTACAACGTTGAGAAACACCACCGAAACAAACACAGCGCAAATCACACACAGAGTCGTGTTTTCTTAATTTGTGACTATTTAATTACATTAATTGTTCAATGGCTCCTACATTGAGTCCTTCGTCGCCAACAGCACCTCCTTGCTTTCCTACGGCCACAATGACAAACGCTAATCTGATTGGAGCTCCTGAAATTAGCTCGACATTATTGGCAAAGTATTTAGCTCTTCTACCATCACTCCAATCGACGTTGACGTCCATGACACCATTTCTTATAAAGCCAGAGAATTTCTTTTCTACATTTCCGTGTTTTGTAAAACCCTTAACATTATCACCTACAGTAATCGAGTCGTCGACTTCAAGAACTGCCTCCCATCCATTGACCTCAGTGTTTGTTGGTTTACCTTAAGCAATGACGTTTCCATTAACGTATATGTTGACGTGATCAAATAACCTACCTTGGAATTTGGTCCAAACTGTTTTACCGTAGAATCTAAATTTTTGGGTGGTAAAACAACCATAGGAGGGGGTTGAATATAAGACATGTTTGGAGACGGAGAATAAGGCGGAGGAGGAGGTAAGAACTCCTTGAATTCTGTGTTTGTGGTTGGTGGAATTTGCTGTACCAAGGGCTGCACAATTTGAGGTGGAACCATTATTTGCTGCAGTTGCATTTGAAGTTGTTGAATAATCTTATCTTGTTGAAGCATTTGCTCTTTAAGTTGCTGAATTTGTTGCTGAAGTGCTTCCTTTTGTTTAACAAGCTGTACATTTTGCTCTTTTTGGTTTTGTAAATCTTGTGCTGTCATTTCAAGTCTCTTGGTCACTGCTTCGATATCTCTTTGTAGTTGAAGATTATCAGCAGACAGCAACTCATTTACTTTTGCATAATTGCTCTGATCACCAGAAAAGTTTGCAATATAATTTTTGACAAGCTCCTTTTCGAACAAACACTCATCGACAAGATGAGTCTCAAGTTCTAGAGCTGTTCCATCAAAATTACATCCAAATTTGCAATTTGGGCATTGTACTGTTCTTCCCTTGCATTCTCTCTCGACATGACACCAATAGTCACTTCTCTTGACAACGGGATTAGTACAACCCTTGTTAGCGTTTGGGCACATTACTTCTAAATTATTTACCAAACGATGAACCACCGAATTGAATACAAAGCCTTCCTCACAGGAAGCCACAGCTACTTTGCAGTTGGGACAGCTTTTGTATTCTTTCATCCATTGTCCCAAGCAAGCATTGCAAAACAAAGCATTACATTTCAAACACTCCCGATTATTTTCAATAAAATCCGAACAAAGCCCACATTTCAAGGTGGATCCCAACTCTTCCATAACTCCCTTGGAAGAGAGAAGCACACATTCTTTCGGAACTGAACGAGTCGAACTAAAAGTCATCATTTTTTTTTTGCAAATTCTCTCCAGACTAATTTGGAGAGACGTAAATCGAAAGCGGTTGGCTCGTTACAAAACAAAGGTTCATTCATGTTTGATCTTGAAGAGCTGTTCTTTTTCAATAGAGGTTGTGGTTTTCTATGGATTCCATTCATGGGTTGGTTGATCCAACACTTGTCGTAATTTGTTCAACATTTGTGTTGCAAAATGTCGAATTGGACATGATGATACTGAAAATGAAGGGCATAACATAAATTTATTGTTGGGTGGATGTTACAAAAGTGTATGATAATTAATTGTTGTTGTTGGTGGTTGGTTTTCTTGGTTCAATCATGAGAGACTTCTTGTGAAGCTCATCATCGTTGGTAATAATACCTTCGAAAATATGTTCCTTTAAAACATATTGGACGTATGGAATGGGTTCTAAATGGTACAAATTTGCACAATTTTGTAAATCCTTCACTTTCTGAATGGTTGCATAATAAATTCTTCTCTTTTGGTAATTAATTAATTTCTTTTGAGGTGTCTTGGGATGATTGAATTCATCAGGATTACCATCCGAAGTAAAGGTCAAATCTGTTTGGAAAATACCAATAAATGGAATGATTGGAGTATTGTTGTTAATGATCGTGTTGTTGAGATTTTCTCTGAGCTTACTTCGATTGTTGGCATGAAGTTCATCAAAGATCTTGAAAATATTGTTGTCACTTTCAGAGAGACCCTTTCTCGTTTCTTTGAGTCGATATACTGGAACGGATTGAAGACCTGAAATAATAGCAAAGAATGCACTGTAATTGTTCAACTCGTAGGATTCTTTGGCAATTTCAACAAACTTTTTAAAGAGTGCCTTTCTGATGTCCGCATTGTTTTCAGTGAGAATTTTAGTTTGTACCCAATAGCTAATCTTGTTGACACGATCAGTGAGAGCAGAAATATGAGGAGCAAGTTCATACTTGTACTTGGGATCACTCCATCCAGAGTTGTAGAATTCATTGGCTTCAATCTTTTTGAAAATCTTCAAATCAATAATGGTTTCTTGTCGAGCAATTTCAGTTGCTGGCCAACTCAATAAATCAAATTGAATATTGTATGGATTCAAAATATTCTTACTAATATATTCCTTCTTGTTAATCCGCCATTGATTGAGAGAAATTTGAGGTTCTTTGAGTTTTTCAACTGGAATACCTCGCGGAATCATGGCAGTCGTGGTATTGTGTCGTGAGTGAACATTGGAAGTCGAAGAACCTTCATCCTTCTTAAAGCTTAACAAGTTTTGAAGAAGAGTCTTTTTGATCTTTTTGAGAGTTGGGTGAACTTTTTTCACAGCACCAGGTTTTTCATATCTAAACTTGATACCTTGGACAATTTCTTCATAATGATGCATATAGAGAGCCAATGATTCATTATCAAGAGCATGGAATGCTTCCTTGACAAGTTCATTCATGGCTTGTTCAATGTAAAGACATACAGCGTTTTCTTTGGTAATTTCGGGTGCGTTTGGATCTCCTTGTTCTTTGGCACGAGTGGCCTCTTTCACAACATTCAAAGTTCTTCGATAGATACCCATCAAGTGATTCATGAGTTGACGAGCAGTTGTGAATGAAGAGAAGGTATTGAGGAAAATGGCATAGAACACTCCACGAGCTTCCGTGTCACCAGGCAATGTGCACAATCCAACAAATTTGTCAACGAGTTTTGCAAAAGTGGCCGAGGAAATGGAGCAACGTTTGGCATCAATGTTCACATCTTCAGGTTCCTCAGGTAAATCTTGTGCAAGTTCTTCGTGAGAGAGTGTCGATGCGAATGGTTTCAGCAAGAGAGAAACACATTCCTTAGAAATGTTGATAATATCTCCGACATTCTTATCAAACATGAGTTCTTCAGAGTATAATGTACAGACACCAAGAAGCCATCTCCACTTTTGTTCAACCTTACGTTTCTGAGCATAGGGTGCTCGCTCTTTCTTTGGAATGGTTTGATCGTACAATTCATGACACACAAACAAATGGTTAAAGTTGAAAAGCAATGGATGAAGACAATCCTGGAAGATGATCTTACAAGCTTTGTACTCTTCTTTGAGGGTCAATTGGAAAATAATGTTAAAGATCAATCTGCTGATGGAACGCAAAATCAGTGACTCTACAGGTGTAATGGTTTTGGTATTTCTAGTAATCTCGAGCTTGGACAAAATTTGAACTTCTGGAAGGTTCTTCAATTCTTGAGATTCACTTTCTGCTAACTTTAACAAGTGGTCAATATCATACTTCTTTTTGATTTTTTCAAAGACCTCAGTGAGTACAGATTTTTCAGTGAGCTTGCTGATCAAATAATTGACTGTCAAGATGGTCTCCATACGTAAGGATCGTTGATTGCCTCTCTTTTCTCTTGGAATGGAAGATGAGTAGGAAAGAGTATGTACAGACATGACACAATAATCCAAAAAGCTGATACAGTTAAGCATGACGTGTACTGGAGCTTGTATCCACCATTGAGTGAGTCGTTGTTCTGACAAGTTTCTCAACACCCACAAGATACAAAATGCTGTGACGAGGTACATTTCATCATTGTGGAAGAGAGTGAGATATTCTTCCTTGTCCATGTACTTGTCAACAAAGTAAAGGAACATCTCTGCAATAGCAGCTCTCTTGGATGTGTCTTGATATCTTGCATCGTAATCAATCTTGCAGAATAAATCCAATACACACTTTCCAACTTTGAGCATTAACTTTTCATTGTTGGTTTCAACAGTGCTAAAGAAGACATCAAAGAAATGTCGGATTAAGAAGTTTCCATCCTGGAGTTGCAAATTGTTGAGTGGAATAAAGTAATCATAGTCACACATGATCGCCACGAAATCAGACTTCAATCTCAACAATGCTTCAACAGATGTATCTTTTGAATTTTCAATGGACAAGCAATCCATATAGTGCTTTACAATTCCAATGTAATAATCTCTGTCAACAAATGGAATTAAATCTCTAATGAAGAGAGCAAGATTTCTGTTAGCATTCAAACCAATGTTTTGTCTACCGTGACCAGAAGAGGAGAGCAATTTCTTGGTACGTGTACAAAAGTATGTCATCAAGTCTTTCACTCGATTCACAAAGTATTCTTGAGAGAGTGGATGTTCATCGTTTCTGCTGTATTTGTCAGACTTGTTCAAATACCAGCTATCCCTAATCGTGAGACAATCCAATGAGTCTGTCTTGATGCAAAGTGTCAAACTCTTAATAATAGTATCGAACAAGAACCATGAGAAACGGAATGGATCGTGCTCTGACAAGTTGTTGGTTTCAAAGTAATGCTTGGTTGGATCGCCTTGTAAAATCTTGGTCAATTCTTCCAAATAATCTGTAAAGATACGAGTAAGTACTGAATATGTTGGATATCCTCTGTTCATTTCATCGAAAATATATTTGATGTACGATGCCATAAACTTGTTACCACGTGTGTGATTCTTGGTATAGTGATAAACACCTCTGAGACACACAAGTACTTGCTCAAACAATAATCGTTCAGCGCCCTTTCTCAAGTCGGCAGATTGGAGTGGCAATTCTGAAATACTACTCATCAATTCAAACAAGATGTTCATAACAATTGGAAGATGAGGCAAGAAGAGAGAGAATTCAATGGTACAGAATTTCATCAAGACGTAACGGCAAATGTACTCCAATATTTGTTCCTTATTTTCTTTTTCAGGACTATACAAGTCATGAATACTGGCAAAGAATAATTGAAGTACTTCGTCTTGAGGATTAACACTAGAAACAAGTTGAGCAGAAAGTTTGAATCTTGCGTCACTAATCTTGTCCAAAATGCCCTTCGTCTTGGACTTGGAAAGATATTCTGGTTGCAATGCCTTATACACCCTGAGTTCACCAACGAAAATGTGTCTCTGAACATCCGAGTATGTGAGTTCGTAGGAACAATTACGTTGAGCCTTATCCTCTTCGTAAAGCTTATTCTTTTCAGTCAATTCAAGGAATGAATAACCCAACACTGAGCGCTCACATTTTCCAAACTCTTCTTCTCTGGTTCCAACAGGTTCATAAACGAGTTTGGAAGACTTCTTTTCAATGTCAACATGATAGAAAATGAAGAGTAAATGGTTGCCCTTCTTGGTGACAGCTGGAACATCAATTTTGATTTCATCAAGGAATTGAGGAGTAGTAGTATCATGTTCAAGAGCTGTAAAATCTGATCTCCTTTTTTCAGATGTGAATCTGTTAATAACGACAGGATGACATTTTTGAATTTCCTCTTGTGTTGGTATTACGGCATCGTTTTCTCTAAATACGACTTCCACAACAACATTCTTAGCCTTAGTTTTCTCTAGCTTTGCACCCATAGGATAAATATACATGGTATTAAACAAGGTCATGTGTGGATGACGGGCCTTGCTCCATGGAATTTCGTTGATGGCTTCCGATTCCAAAATTTTCAATTGCTCGTCGAACATGGTTTTACCATAATCTTCAGACATTAATCTTGGTGGATCATCAGAGAACTCGTCCTCATCATCAATTGCACTGAACACGGGATCTCCATTCTCATCAATATTGTTACCGTTTAAGAAGGGATTGGTTGGTTGAAGTGACAAGGATTGTTCTTCCGTATTATTCACACTATCCTCATCGGATTTGATGGAGGCAAGCTGTCCTGTTGGAGTTGTATCGGTATTGTCCTCAATCTTATTCTTGACATATCTCTGCAAGTCACTCACCAACTCGGTGTGTACTTTCATTGAGGCAGAGACGGCTTGCAATTTGATCTTTTGTTTAATGGCAGCATAGACATTAAATGGGGTCTTGTAATCGCCTTCGACCACATAGAACTGATCGAAATGCATCGATGGATTAAGTTCAAGCTTCTTCTCACCTTTGAAAAGAGGAACAAAGCTAACAAATGCTGCATGTCTGAAATGAGAAAGTTTGTTCTTTCTGGCCTCAATCTCTGAAGAAAAGTCATTCTTCTTGTGATGTTTGAGCGTGTCCTTAATGGAACAAGTTGGTACGCGGTGAACATACAGTACCAAATACATTTCTTCGTTTGGTGAAGAAATTGAGAATAGTCTCTTGTCAGAGTTGGCAACAATGCCATTCGATTTCTTTTGAATGGATTCACGGATTGATGGCGCCAACTGTTGCAATTGTTCTTCAGAAAATAGATGGAACCAATAATCCTCACTAATCTTCTTGGAGTACTTGGTGTCATAAATTGCAACAGAGAATGTGAACAATTCTTTCATGACGTCAAACTTTTCCATAAATTGGAATTCGTTGCAAGACAAGAGGAATCTAAACTTTTTCTTGACAGGATATTCAATTTCTGGAATTCTTTGACACAAAGTAGTGTGAAGAGGTTTGTACTCATACTTTGGTTGTAAAACTCCCATTAATCTTCTATTATCCTTGTTGATATTCTCTTCATTGAGTTGAACAACATGTAAGAAGGATTCGCTTTGGTGCTTCTTTGAATCGTTCACAGTACTTTCAGACCTTTGAATTTCAGCAGTAATTTCGTTGAGAAGCTCAAGTGGTCGTTTCGCACACAATTCTTTTGCCTTCTCAACCAAGCTCTTTTTCAAGGATTTAGAAATATCAATTTCGTCGAAGGCGTCCACAGCCTTCTTTTCTCCTTGTCCTTTTTGCTGTAAAAGAGCTAACTTCATTTCCTTTTCAGTTAAGCTTTGATTGGTCTGTAATGAACTAAGTAATTGAGGTGTTCCTCCTTCGGCCGGTGCGCCTTCCTTGCCTTCCTTTCCTTCCTTGTTGGACTCTTTGCTCTCTTTTGCTTCCTTCTCTTCTTTTTTAGGTTTCTCTGTCTTGCCACCAAATATTGATTTTCTCTTGCCTTGACCAATAAGAGCATTTTTCAATTTCTTTGAGAGACCTGCTTCTGTGAAATCTCCCATTTGATCAGTGACCTTATACAATTCCTCAGGTTCAGTTGGTGCTTGAACGTCTGTTGCCTTCTCAGCCTGTGCCTTTTCAATATCGAGAATTTTTGCAAAGGATGGCAAAATTTCATCTTCGTCCACAACTACATTATCCTCCTCTTTCTTTTCCTCCTTTTCGTTCTTATCCTTTGAGTTTTTCTTCTTTTTTTGATCATTGTGATTAGATGAAGATTGTGGAGGAGGGTTCTCAGGTGTGACATTTGGAGATGTCACAGATTGAGGAGCATCACTATTGGCAGGAGTCAACACTGCAAATTGAGGCTTGAAAGGAGTTGCTCTGTATGGAACAGCTTCATAACGTAAAATTTTGAATGGTTTGTAAAATACTTGTAAACAATGTCTCACATGAGGATATTTGAAATAGACAACTTCTTCGACATCAGAATTTGATTTTTTGGATTTAAACTTTTGCAAGTATTCTCCTCCAACAGAGAGGAATCTGAAAAAGTTTTTCACAAGAAGACCTTTGTTTTCATTGTGATGATGTTCAGAAGAGGGAGCACGTGTTGGTGAAGCCGATGCCAATTGTTCCAATAAAGCACCTGAACTAACATGATTGGTATTATTTGAAGATGCAGCAAGAATTGAAGAGTTAAATCTTTGTGATTGTTGTTGCAATCGAATACTTGAAGATCTCATAAGAATACGCTTTGAATGTGTGTTATTCAAAGTGTTGGTATTATAGAGCACAGTCCATTGAGTTTGATCAATTTCTTCAATTGAAAAGGGATCCATTGCTTGCATATTAATTGGAATTGGAGTCTTTTCAGTTTTTTGATGAGATGAAGATGCTGGAAATGGTTGAGACTGTTGTTGCTGCTGAGAAGAAGAAGCACTTGCTGCTGTTGGTGATGAGGAAGATGAGGACTGTTGTGTTTGTTGTTGTTGTGCTTGTTGCGAGTTCACATCATTCAAAACCGTAGCGACCACTCCCAAGAACTTTTGATGACGTTTCTTCTCCTCTTCAGTCAATGGTGGAGGAGGTGTGGCAGGTGGAGGTGGGAGTGAGGTCATTGGACCTGTATACGCAAGAACGGTAACTTTGGGTTTTTGTTGTGGATTGGATGAATCTTGTTCTTGTTGTTGCAGGCCTTGTGGTACAGCTGTAACGACAGAAACAGCATCATTGGTTGAAGTCGATGTTGTTGTAGTTGCTGTTGTTGTTGTTGTTGATACAGAAGAAGAGCTAGTATTATCTCCTTGATGATGAGATTCCAATGATGATGATGAAGAAGGCTCCGTCGTAGATTCAGGCTGAGGAGTTATCTTGTTGTCGTTATTGCTGCTACTGAATGTGTTATTGGTGTTGTTCATGGCTACATCCTTCTCTACAGAAGAAGAATTAATCATTTCTGAATGAACCAAATGATGATCATTCGAGTCCTGTTTCAAAGGCTCTGTAGCAGCTTCATCACAAGATTCCGTAGCGTTTAAATTTCTTCCTTCCGTTCCTCCTCCATTGATTTTATGATTCTCAACAAATGGATGATGATGATCATCATCATTACGGGTATGCTCCAATTCCTTCATTGGACTTACTTGTGGATGCTTCTTCTCATCTAAAGTAGTACTTGTTGTTTTAGGAGATGAAGAGGATGGTTGTGGTGGGGTTGTTGTTGTTGTTGTATTGTTGTTTGCATTGTTTACGACTGGTGATGATGATGATACGGGAGTGAGTGGAACACTCGTATCTTGAGGTTGTTGTTGTTGTTGTCGTAGTGATGGTGGTGATTCTATCATTTGCTGTTGTACTAATTGTGCCCGAGGACTGGTTGGACTTCGTGGAGTCTTTGGAGAAGTTGGAGGTATAGCTTCTGATTCTGAGTTTGATGAGAACATGTTATTCTCTTTCTAGAAAATGTTGTAGGACAATTATTTGAAATGATGACAGGTGCCAAAAAACAAGGGTCGAGAACACACGACGTCCAACAAGGATGATGATTCAAAAGTGAAAGGATCAATCCATGATGTTGTTGTTATGTTCAAAGAATAATAAAACGATTCCATCATGGAATTAATAGAGAATAAGCAATAGGATGAGTTCTTTGATACATACCAATACAAAGAGGATTTGAAATTTGATAAATTAAACTTTAGAGAAAAAACATGGACAAGAGATGTCAGCAAAAAAGTATCGACACTTGGGTTGTGTTTGGAAGGTAGGAATAACACAATAATTTAATTGATTTGGGTGATGTTCTTGGTGCGTCGATGATGATGGGTTGTGTCACCTAATCTGATGATGGCTTTTTTTTTGATGTGAAAGTCTTGTCAAATGTCAACATGAGTTGGCATAAACAACCCTTAATCTCAATGAAACATTGATTTTTCTAACTCGCCCCTAATCAATTAATATTATGTTGACCAAACAGGAAAGAAGCGAAGTATACATTTGTCAACAGGAAAATGTTCTTTTGTCAAGTTCTTGGCAGAGGCACGAAGGATATCCTTCTTTCTAATGGTTGTCAAAAGTCAATTAGTGATGTTGCAAGAAAACAATGTTGAAAGAGTATGGTAAGGTTTGATTGCTTCATAACATCCTCCACTATCTGAAAACTTAGTAATCTAAAGGTACCAACACATTACAATTGCTCCGTTCCTTGGTTAAATGGACCAAAAGCTTTTGAAAATTCTTCACTCCATCATAATGCAGTGGACAAGTATCAATAATTTTGTGGTCATATTCTTCCAGCGTGACCATACTTTGTGTAGCTTTTGAAATGTTATGTGATGTATCGCCATCATCACCATCGTCGTCAAGTGATGTAGTAGTTGTCGAATAGCTTTCATTACTCTCTTCGCTTTGGATTTCTCCTACACTCTCATCCTCTTCCACGTCTTTTGCATTCTCTGTGACATTATTAGTTTCAATGGTATTGTTGTCCAGGTTGAGAATAAAATCATGTAAATGAGCATGGGAAGAGATGGAATAGTCTTCTGGAATTGATAAGGGCTTTTCTGAGGAATACAGAGTTTCATCATCATCACTCTCTTGTGAAGGTTGACCTTTGTGTAATTGTTCTACAACTTTGTTAACAAACTTTTCGATTTGAAATAACGAAATGCCGTTCCTGTTGCTCTTAATATGCAAACTACGGTCAAGGCCTTCTCTCTTACTTAACTCGGCTAATGTTTTCATTTCATTTCCATTCAAACAAACTCTCTCGGTCAGAGAGGTCAAAGTTTCAAATCGTCCGTACATGGCATAAATGGTCCTTGTTGAAATGTTCAAAAATCTTTTTGCATAAACTAACGGTATATAGAGCTGTTGACCAAACCTCACAAGAGGAATTTCGAAAAATTGTGTGGGCTTTCCGATATGAATAATATTATTGTTCATTGTTGATGAGTCTTCACTGATGAAATCATCGTCATCGGAGAGAATCATTTCATTATTATTTTCCTCATGAGATGTACTAAACAAAATATCCTCATCGTCATCATTGAATTTTTCTCCTACAATTGCTTTCCTCGTATGTCGTGATCGGGTTTTCATTCTAGGATTTCATCTAAAAACTTTGAGTGTGTTTGCAATAATTTTTTTGTTCTTTTTTCTGTTAGCATCGCTGACGTGAGCTCCAAATGAAGGTCCAAGATTTGTTCGAGATTTTCCCAGACGTCGTTTGGTATTAATAACGCAGCCATTATCTTTGTTTGTTGAGATGACGGTGCTTTAGTTATGATATCCCTAATTTAGGCAAGTTCCTATTCACATGGTTTGTTTCTGCGGTGAATAATAATTTTGTATTCGCCAACTAATGTTCTTTCTCCTCAGCAGAATGTGAACAAATATAATTCGTTCATTAGAAAAATACATTAACATAAGGTTGTTCCTTCTTACCGAACACGAGAAGCAGGATCACCTCAACCCATAAAGGTTGGAGTTATTACTTTTTTAAAAACAAATCTGTTTCGTGCTTTATCCCCGAAACAAGTTCATGAGAACCTTAAAGAAACCTCAGGACTCTAAAAATTCCAGAGGTTTCACTCAAAGAAAAATCAAGTCCAAGGCTGTACAGTACCTCCAAATCAACGGCATCAAAAACAAGTCCGCTCAAGCCCGCATAGTATTTCAATAGAACATTGTTGGGTCGTTCGTTACGTTCTCCTTTCTCCTTCTCTTCTGTAATTTATTATTCCTTCTATTAAGGCTTCTTTGACTTTAATCATCATCATCATGGGTGGAGGAGCCTCAAAGAATTCATTTCGGCAATACCTCGAGGAACGTGAGCATCCTTTTCAAAAGAGAACGGATCGAGCCTTTGTCGTATCGGCTTCCAAATATCGAGCACATCCTTCTCAATCCTCAGAAACAACAACAACACAACAAGACTTCTCTCCTCACGATGTTGCAGTGATTGAAAAGGGAAAGATTATTTCTCAAACCGAATCTGCATCATCATCCAATCATCGTTCTTCTCCACCATTGCAACACGATCCGTCCTCAAAAAACTCTCCCCGAAGAACCAACACACTTCCTGTCAAACAAACTCCCAAATTCTTCAAACAATCCTTGCCATACTCTTCAGAGCCGTTATTTTCATGGTTTAAGAAGAAACAACGGCCGAACAAGACCTTTCCAAGCGCAGCGATCAATGAGAAGGATGTCATTGTGGACGAGGCCAGTGTTTGGCACAATACACGAATTTGGGTCTCCAATCCCGATGAAACCGAAACAAGTGTAGTGGATGGCGCAACTTTAAATTTGACTCCAACACTATCAAGCAGTTCACTGGATTCTAATGAAGAGCAAACGAACGGCATTCATTTCAACAATAATAACAGCCTTAATCAACAAGTGAATTCGAATAGAGTCCAACATGCACCGCCCACTGAAATGACAACCTCACCAACAAACATTGTATCCTCTTCCTATACATCTACTTCGAATGCACCAGTTACTGTGGTGAAATCGGAAAAAACTGAGCCCAGCTCCACGAATAATTCGCCTCCCTCATGCAAAAACGCAAATAATACCAAACAGTTAGACCACAACACAATCGCAGGTGACAAAGAAAGAACCTTTAATCTAACTCCCATGAAATCGCAACGAACGAAACGAAACGTATCAGCTGCTGCACCCTTAGAACGAAACAGAAGCAGTAGTTTGCCCAACGCCTTCTTTCCCATACCAAACAAGAGAACTTTGCTGTGAAACTTTCCAATCTCCCTCTTCTATGAAATTCATTCTTGCATTCTTTGAAGTGTTATCTCCGTCAAGGTGACTCTTTGACTTTGACACTTGCTTTCGAAAGAACAAAAACGAACTGTTGTTAAATTTAGATGGTACCAATTTTAATTGCCAAAAAAAACACCAAAACACATACAAACAGCAGCCTTATGAAAATTGGCTGAACCTTCAATTACTTGACAAAACTCGTCCTTCTCTGGCGCACTCAGCAGTTCATTTTCGTATTTGATCGTACAGACTCTTTGGCCATAACATGAACAGTAAACACTTTCATTGTGGTGTCATGATGAGACAATCATCCTCCTCGCATTCTGGCTCCTTCTCTCAACATCGAAGACAACAAAGCGACCCTAGCGTATTGCAAATGAAAAGTGAAAAGAAAGCTTCAATGCCACACCAAGCTCACTCGGATGACAAGCAACAACACGTGTTGGATCGCCAATTGTTCGAACAGATGGACCCAGTTTTTAGATTGACTTTTTTATTGTTGGTATTTCATCCAGAAATTTTGATGGTAAATCGGTAGAGCCAAAGCGATGTAAATCATCATTATTCAACAGACCAAAATAAACAAGCAAAACATCATCTACAAAACTGTATTCTTCAAACGGCGTTCCTTAATAACTAGTAACTACACTTAATTCTAGTGTTCTCATCTTCCACAAATCGCTCAACAAACTTGTCATAACAGGCAACTCTAATTTTCTCCGTTGTTGCTGGAGGTTCCAATTTACAGTAACTAGTAATTCCAGCATCTCTTCGAGCACTTTCGACAGCTTGTTTGATAGCAAAGAACACAGTTGCTCCCAAACCAAGAGGAGGTTCTATATATTGTGAATAGGTGAAAAATCAATTTAAAAAATTAGTCGTTTGGATGGATACAATAAACCAAGTTATCTAAAGTCACCGGGCAAAAATTGTAAAACATACCTCCAATACCTTTCGAGCTATAGGTTGCTTTGGGATTGAGAGAATCTTTTAACAGGTGAACATTAAACACGCATGGAATGTCACCTGCTGATGGAATTTTGTAAGCACCAGGTCCTTTGGTAAAGCATTGACCTGGTTGAATCCAAGTGTGTGATTCATCTCCCCACATAAATTCCTCCATTGTAAACAATCCCATTCTGTTAAGGACATATGTCATTCACCATGGTGGTCACAATATGTCGTTATTTTTATCAGCATCATGAATGGTTATTTTCATCATTCGCGTCATGCAACATTTGAAAACATGTCAACATACCCTTGAATAAAAGCTCCCTCAATTTGACCAATGTCGATAGCAGGATTCAAGCTATTTCCTACATCCATGACGATATCTGTACGTTTCACGGTCCAATCTCCAGTGAGTGTGTCAATTTCGACTTCACTAGCAGCACATCCATAAGTGAAATATTCGAAAGGCCTTCCAATGCCCTTCTCCCAATCCATCCACACCTGTGAAGTGTGGTAGAATCCAGTGGCGCTGAGTGAGATATCTCCCTTGTAATAGGCCTATGAGGTGTGTTGTTGTGACATGTTGATATGATAATTTTGAATGAGAAATTAAATAGTCAACATTAAAAAATAAACATCTTGATACTTACCTTATCAACCAATTCAATCCATTGTTCTGTAGTTAGAACCGGTGGAGCATGAAGTTTGTCCTTTTCATCAAGAACATAATTTGCGAATAATTCTGGGAACAACTCCTTCTTGAGAGCATCCAAACGCTTATTAATCACATTGCAAGCATTGATCACTGCTTGTCCATATAAATCACTCGAAGCACTTGCAGCAGTGGCTGACCCGTTAGGAATCTTATCGCTCGATGTATCCTTAATGTGAATGAGTTCAGGAGGAATGCCAAGCGCAGTCGATGCAACCTGAATCAATTTGATAAAGAGACCTTGTCCCATACAAACACCGCCCGTGCTCAATAATACAGAACCATCATTGTGATAAATATTAATAAAGGCACCTCCTTGGTTCAAGAAGGGAGCTCCAAAGGCAATGCCAAATTTCACAGGAAGCATGGAGATTCCTTTTTTACGATATCTGTGTTTCGAGTTGAAATCTTCAATTTCTTTCAGACGTTGCTCGTAATTGGCACATTCTTTGGTTTGATTCCATAACGTGTGAATTCGATCAGTGTCTTCAATTTTCATTTGGAATGGAGTGATGGAATTTTGAGAGGTGTAGAAATTGGCTTCTCGGATCGACATGGCCAATTTGTAAGGGCTAGTGGTTTGTTGTGAAGTTGTATCGAGTTGGCTATAGAGAGCGTGTGACAAATGATCAATGACAGTTTCTATTGCGATAAGGGACTGAGGTCCACCAAATCCTCTGAATGCCGTATTCGATTGAACATTGGTTTTACACACTCGTCCAGTTATCTTTGAAGCAGGAACGAAATAACAATTGTCAACGCTTTGCATGGCTCGATTGAGAACGCTTTCACTCAGGTCCATGCTGTATCCTCCATTAGAAATGATTTCAACATCCAAAGCTTCAATTTTTAAGGTTGACTTGTTTAAAGCTGCTTTGTATTTGGCAAAGAATGGATGCCGTTGACCTGTGGTAGACATGTCGACATCTCGGTCTAGAATAATACGAACAGGTCTCTGGAATTTTTGAGCAGCTACTGCTACTGCAGCTGCAAGGTATGTAGGTTTCGATTCTTTTCCTCCAAATCCACCTGTTGTTTTGGTATTGTAATTTAAATATTAATTAGCACATTATACAATCACTACTCACTTACCTCCAAGTCGTTTCACAGAAGCAACAACCTTATTACTAGGAATATTGAGAACTTCAGCAACTGTCATTTGAGTGTGTGAACAGTCCTGAGTGGTACAATACACTTGATATTCACCTAATTCAGGAAAGTTAGGAATCACCACAGCAGCATATGGTTCCACATAGAAATGTTCTTGAGCTGTGTTTGTGTAGGTGTCACCCTCAACAAGAACATGATCTTTTTCAAGTTGAGGATTGTTTGAAATTTCTTGAATTAATTCAGGAGCGTGCTTGTTGAGTTGTGGATTCATCAATGAGGGAGCTTGTGATGATATTCTCTTTTCCTTCACATGGAACGATTGATGCTCAAGTGCTTGGCGAATTGTGAAAATGGGTTGTTGATCTTGCAAAGTTTCATATTCAATGACAACCTCACGAGCAGCGTTCTTTGCTTGAAGCTCCGACTCGGCAACGATCATTCCAATGAGTTGCCCTGTACTTGTACAATATTGTGATTTAAATAACTCCTCTTCGTGTGGAATGACAACACCAATTTTGTTGATGCCCTTTACATCTTTGTGGTCGACAAATCCTAAAACTCCATTCATTTGGAGAGCCTTCTCAGTATTGACAGAGACAATTTTTGCGAGAGGTTTTGTGGAAAGAACAAGTGCAGCATAAACTTCTCCATAGAAGGGAAGAATGTCATCTACGAATTTTGCCTCGCCTGATACTTGTAAATGAGCTGATTGGTGTGGAAGAGGTTGTCCAACACTTGCGCCAATTTGGAGTGGCTTAAATATTTGTTGCCCAACAGGAAAATCTCTTTCAATATAGTATTGATCTAAGAGAGCAGAATTTTCATCCTCGGTCAATTCTCGAATATTCAAAGTTTTTGTCACATAGAGGTAAAACTTGTAGTAGAAAGAAAAAGATAAGGCCTTTCGATATTCTATCATTCCTCCAGGTGCATTCTTGTCGAGCGGTAAATCTTCGGCAAGATAGCTGAGTGACTCGTCGAATGCTTGTTTTGAAAATTGTTTTCCGATCAAGAAAGAGCGAGTCTTTTCAGCTGACACTGTATATGCATTCATTCCTCCATACACCAATCTACAAGTGGTGACATGTCCATAAATTACGATTCGTAAAACTACCTACAAACAAGTAAAAATGCTTACCTAATATCCCTCACAATATGACTCTCTCGTTCAATTCTAATTTTCATACCAGCAGTCACAACCGCAATGTCATCTTCTCGTCTTTTCGATTGTTTGTAGGCCTTAGTAATTAGATCACACGTTTGAATGGAATCATTTGCAACTTTACAAGTGCTGCTTGGAAGAGGAAGCTCCAAATGAATGATTAATTCACTCTTTTTCAATTGAACCTCTCTATAGCCAATAAAGAAATCTTTAAAATCAACAGTTTTCACATGTCCATCCATATGCATGATTTTAAGTTTACAATCCAATGCTATCCATAATGGATTTAAATCACTTACTGGGCTTGCAGTTACTATGTTACCTGCAAGGCACGCAGTATTTCGAATGGAAGTAGAGGCAAAATATTTCAATTGATCAAGAATGCAATCAAGAGCCTTGGCTTGATGAGGTGGAAGTAACTCTTGCTGTTCCCGTAAAAATTCCTCCATTCTGGTGAGAGTAATACTCGCTCCCAATATCAAATGAGAGGCCTCACCTGAATCTCCATTGTACACAGCTTTCATTTCTAACAATTCCTTAATGTGAGTGGGCTGAATTACCACTGGGAAATGTTTGTTTTTCATTCTTTGTTCAATTGCAATTTCTGTGTTACCGACAATAAATCTCTTGTGCTCCTTTGGATGTCTCTGCAAAATTTCTAAAAAGTTTTCCAACGTTGTAGGTCTATACCACATGAGTGGTTTAGTCGCATGAGACAAAGATCTTGCATTGTTGACTCTGAGAGGTTTGTATTTGTAATTTCTCAATTCAAACGGAAATAGTGGATCTGCTTTGGTTGTTGATTGCTCCGATGATGATTCTTTTGCATCACTGCTTTTGCCGCTACAGCAGTCGCTAGGGTTGTTTTGTTTTGCATTATTTTGACAACAATTATCCATGCCACATCCTTTCGAATTGCATGATGACTTGTTTGAATTTTGACAGCAATTTTCCATGCCGCATCCAACCAAAGAACGTGCTGCATCCAATATTGGTCTGTAGCCTGTACATCGACACAAATTTCCGTCCATAGCTCTTTCAATTTCATCAAGAGATGGCTTTGGATTGTTTCTGAGCAAGGTATACAAACTCATCACAAATCCAGGTGTACAAAATCCGCACTGCAGAGAAATATTTCATGCAAAAGTGTCAATTCATTACAAAATTTAGAATTTAAAACAATGGTTGTTCTGACATTGCAATCTCTCTACCTACCTGTGATCCATTAAATTCTCTAATTCTCTTTTGAATTAAATGCAGCATATCATCACGAGTCGAGCCAACTCCTTCAACTGTAACGACATGACATCCATCACACTCCATCAATGGAAATAAACATGAATTAACACTTCTACTCACTACCGATTGAGTCCGATGATCATAATGTTGTACCATGACAATACACGAGCCACATCCTCCCTCGTTACAACCAATTTTTGTGCCCGTGAGCCGTAGCTCATTCCGTAAATATTGTGAGAGAGTGAGCTCGGGATTGGGACAACTCAATTGATGCTTGATTCCATTCACGTAGAGTAAAATAGAGTGAGTATAATTGGTATGATGAGAGGCAATATGAGTTTCATCTTGTTGTTGATTCTGATGAGTGGGATCCAGAAGTGTTTCTGTTATTCCTCTAGGGGTGGTGTTATTACAAGAATCATCCCGAAGAAACCAACATGGACTTGTGTTATTACTCTCCGTCGTCGGAGGCAAGGAGGAGGATGAAGATGCCATCTTTTGTGTTGTTGTTCAAAGTGTTGTTGTTCTTGGAGTGTTGCGGAAAATTTTTTGTATGGAGATGGTTTTCAATTCAAAAATCTTGTCATCCCATGTTGGGTGAGGACTTTAAAAGGGGGTGACCTGAACTATGCCTTAAGTCGACATTCAACAACAGCAGCATTGAAACAGTTGGATTTGAAGTCAATGCCTTGACAGTTGCCATCAATAAGATTTGTATATATTTATCTATCCTGACAGAATTGAACTCACAACCATAACGAACGTACACTTTGGTGATGACTAGAACGACAATCTTCCAACATGATCCACACGCGTTCTCGGTCCTTGTGTGATATTGTAAAGATAGAAATTCTTGTTTTTTCGTTGCTGCCTTATTCTCTGCATCTTTTCAACACTCTTACCTGCCAAATAATACAGAGTTGAAAATTGAAGACTTGAAGGTAGGGGTCTTTTAAAATCCAAATACATGAAACATTGAGAATCCAACATGCACTGCAGATGAGAGTCATATTATCAAATGTACTTTTGGATCTGCCTTGCAACGATCGAATTCCAATTTTGCATGTATTCGACGGATGAAATCATTCATCATCAAAACATCTCTCAGTCCCTTCAAGATGAATTTGTTGTTGAGAAAAGACATGTGGAGCCGCTCATAAAGAGAGACTGTTTTCAATCAGATGAGAATGTGTTTAAAGAATTTTATATTTTCGAGTGTTGTTGGTGTCTGCTCTTGTTTTTTGAAAAAGGATTCTTTTCGTAATTGCACTGGGATAAATTGTTTCATCATCATGGATTTGAGAATCGTATTGAGTGGAATCAGAAGTGAGCTGATGAAACTTTGTATGGTCAATTATTATAGAAACTGTTGTGCTGAGTGAAGAGAGGATGACGTGTCGGTTATGTTAACATTGTGTCACGATGAGGTTGGTAGTGGTCGATGAATCAAATGGTGTTTTTTTTTGAAATGAAATTCGTTCCAATGCTGACGGATGATTGGTAGAGTGAACGTTTTGATTTCAGCAAGGAATAATGTGTTCGGCAAAAAGTGAGAGTTCAGATTTTGATTGGAAGTGAAAAAAAAACGAAATTTTATCACAACGTTGGACCCTTAAGACAATCGTTTCTCATGAATCATTCTTTAAGCGTACGCATGGTTTGAAATTCCAACTTCTGACAGCTTGCCATTCTTTTCAGCGGAAGACTTTACAAAGATTCGTTGAAAAAGACAAAAAAAAATCATCAAGAACGTCTAGTTCTTTCTTGAGATCTTATCTGCTAGTTGCGCTGTTGATACAATTCTCAAAGATAACGACCTCAGGATATTGAAAGTTTTGAGTCTAGTGTGGTGCCAGAGTATTAATATCCTTTCGGAAACGTATCAAGAGCCTTCCCGAGAGAGAATCAGGATCATTAGTATACAACAGGAAATAAGAATTTCTTCTAAACATCATCGGAATAGTAACAACATTCCTAGTCCATCCTCTACTTGATCAACATATTTATATCCACGAATAATACCATCATCATGATGATGAACAATATAATATCCAACATTATCCATCAACCCAGAAAGTGGGCTCTCATCTTTCTCGGAGTAGTTTCAATACTCTTCATTATACGACTCATGTTCAAAAATAGTGCTAGTATGAATATCATAGATGCCAGTAATAGCCATTCCGCAGCAGCACAATTCTTTAAGAAATTGAAAAAAAGTAAGGAGCCCACAAAACCATACTCAGTCATGATTACAGGAGGAGCTGGATTTATTGGCTCTCATATTGCTGAACATTTTGTGAGGAATGAACCTCTCTGTGAACGAATTGTAATTTATGATAATTTACATGCAACTGCACAATCAAGTGGTAACCCCAATGTAAATACGAATAGCAATTTGGAATTTCTGTACTCGTTGGAACAAAAGTTGAATTCAAAAAAAATTGTTTTTGTAAAGGAATCTATCATGGATCGATCAGTTTTTAGAGATACTTTGAAAAAGTATAACATACGATATGTGTATCATTTGGCTGCTCTGGTATCAGTTCCAGAATCCATGAAATTCCCTCAAATGTATTTCCAAGTGAATACTATGGGAACCGATATTGTTTTGGAGGAAAGCAGAAAATCTGGACACGTGAAAAAAGTTGTATTGAGCTCGTCAGCAGCTATTTATGGTTTGAGCCAACTGTACCAAAATTTGAGAACATGAACCCAAGCTGCGAGTCACCGTATGCTCAATCGAAATATGATGGAGAATTTTTGTGTAAATTCCATTCTCAACAGGCGATTGAGGAGCATTTATCTGCAGGTAAAAAACTTGGAGAGGACAACAGTGACAGCGACAACGAACCAATGGTTGCTATTGCTCTTCGATATTTCAACGTTTTTGGAGAACGTCAAGATCCCAACTCTCAGTATGCAGCTGCAATTCCACGATTTATCGACCGAGCATGTGTCAAAGGAGAAGCCATTGAAATTTATGGAGACGGAAGACAAACTAGAGATTTTGTCTATGTGAAAGATGTGGTTTGGGCCAACGTCTATGCCTCTTTCTTTATTGGAGAATTTGGTGTATTTAATGTTGGTTATGGCTCGTACATTACCATTAATCAAATGGCTGACATTGTTGAATCACAATGTGCCAAATTAACACAAAAGCCTGTGAATAAGAGAGTGTACCTTCCACGAAGACCGGGAGACGTTGTCTATTCGATGGCTTCCGTTCGACGACTCACAAATAATGGTTGGAAGCCAAAATACTCCTTCAAAGAATCTGCCATTCAAACCATTGAATATTTCTACAAACAATCTACTACCAACAATAATAAATAAATATTTCACAAGTATTTCAACAAAGCATTCAATCAGTCCAAGAGACCACTAATTGAATTTGAAATTCAGCCTGTATTGTTAAATTCTATCCTCTTCCTCAGTTCTTTCCTCAATGCCAGAGTAATCAATTGAGTGGACAAATTCGTTCTCTTCTGAAGGCTCTTGATGACCTTCTTGCTGATCTTCATATGTAACATCTTCATCTTCTTCCTCTTCAATAACCACTTGTTGCTGCTCGTGATGATCAAATTCATCATCTTTGAAATCTTCAAAATCCTCTTCCTGAATAGACGTATTGGAAGGTTTCTCCCCGTTATTTTGAACTTGTACCACTGCAAAATCGTGATCTGATCTTAAAGTGTCACTTGGTATCTTTGTTGGTTGTAAAGTCTCGCTTGTGTTTTCAGTATATTCCATCGTTTGGCTTGTCTCAAAATCTCCATCAAAATCTTCGAATGACCCGTCCGTGATAGCAATTGAAGCAGTGTTGTTGTCGACGAGCAAAGAAGTTGAGATTTGAGGTTCTTGATTGTTCTGCTTGCTCAAAGCTTCACTGTCAAAACTATCTGAAGTGCTTGATTGTTGATTTTCCTCTTTCTCATCCTCGTTGATCATGTCAAACTTGGCGGTTGATGAATAGTAATCATCAGACTCTTGAACTGGTGTTACTTGGTTTTGCGTTGATGAGACAACAACCTTATTGAGTTCTTTGGTCACCACTGGTTCTGTCAGTACAGATCGTGCTGACGATCCTGAGCTAAATAATGATTCTGCGCTCGCTTGTCGACTTGATGATCTTTGGTTAGTTCCATTTTTGTTGTTGTCTTTTGCTGAATGACGCTCAGACCTTGCTGAGGTTATTGTTGAAGATGTTAAACTCTCCTCCACTTCTTCAACTTGCATGGGAGTTGAAACTTCTTTCACTGGCTGTTTTGAAGCTTTCAACGCATGAAGGTCTTTCTCAAGTTTGATTGCCTCATAATTATCTTTCAATAGATTAATTAATTTGTTTTGATTCTTCCATAGTTCCTTCTCTCGAAGTGACATTCCTCTTGTATCGATCTTGGTCATGGATGAAAATAATTTACTTGGATTGTCCATAAATTCATCCATGATCATTTGATAACTTTGCTGTAAATTGTTGTAACGGTCATTATTTTCCTTAATCGTTCGATATAGTTCACATGGTATCGTAATATATTCATTGGTTGTATCTTCGGATAATTCTCGAGCAGAAGATGATTCATTCTCCTTGTTCGTCATTGTATCTGTCAGATGAGGTATGACACCAGATAAGGTTGTCCCTTGACGTTCATCGTCTTTGATCGTATCATAGCGCTGTTGTTGAAGTTTTTTAATCACTCTTTCTGCTAGTTCTTCTTCTAATGTTACTTTGTAATCTCGAGACGGATCTGGTTTTTTAGTTACAGAACTTGATTTCACTTGGATGGCTTTTTCTGTGATCGATTCGTATCAATAACTGGTTTAACCAATTTTTGGGAGGTTCCTTTTGAGCTGGAACTGGCTGACGACGGTCTTCTTGAAGAGATGGAAGATGTGGTCCGTTTCATTGTCTCTATGGGTTGTGACACTTTTTTTTGAAACACGTTGGGGGATTGTCTTCTTAAAGCCACAGAGCATGAACTTTTTGGCCTTGATGTTGTGGATGACGGTCGCTTTATACTGTCTGTATAAAGGACTTTTGACTTCTTCGACTTCTTTGACTTTTCTTTAAGCTGAGTCGTGATTTGAGATAACTGAGCAGTCATGGAGGCAAGTTGGGCCTCAATTTGACCTTTCATCATTTTAGTTTGCTGTTGGTTGTGTTTGTATTGTTGGACCATTGATGACAATGCGCCAAATTCTCCAGTCATTCCTTTTCCATGTAAAGTTGCTTGTAAATTTCCTTTCGTGTGAAGTGTGTTGTTTGCTGATGGAAAGATACTGTCTGTGACTGTTAATAGCGGATTTCTGGTGACTGCTCCTGTTTGAAGTTTTGTTGTAATATCCATTACTTTTGAGTTTGGTCCACCCATTGTAAGAGGTCGTTGTAAAGAAAACATTTTTGAAATGTTGCTTGTCATGGTATCGTTACACGTTAGGCCAGGTTGTGGTGACAATTGCCTTAATCGAACGTCCATGTCTATCACCGCCACATCATATCCACGATCGTTCTTCATTGTAAAAGTTCCACTGAGAGTTTTCTTTTGTTGAACTAGTTGTCGTTTGGGAGCATCCACCTCCTCGAATACTTTTAAATCATGGAGTGGAATATTGACACTTCCTATCAATACCGGCTTCCATCCAAATGGTAAATCAGTTCCATCCATATTTGTCGATGTTAAAATAAATAGAAAGACATAAAGTGGTAATGTTTGTACATAAATTCCCAACTCTTCTCGTTTCATTGAAAAAACAATGCTCTTTCCTGTTCTAAACATAATATTATGACTCGAGTAATTTTCTTGATCCCTAACATCGGACTTGTAGAAGGCTGTGGAGGTAAAACTTTCTTTGAACATTCGCGCTTCTAGAGTGTCTGCATTGGTGTAGGGTCCTTCTGGTTTTTGAACGTACATGAGAGGGAAATCCCAAAGTCGGAATCCTATGCAACAGTCATTAGAAAGCATGGGATTGGTGATTTATAAATAAAGTGAATGACTTCATGGACATACACATCCAGAGACCACAATCTGAGCATCGTCGTCGTTCATTGAGTTCTTTCATTTACAACTAGAAGTCATTGGAATTTCAAACTTACTTTTCTTCTCGTTCAGATTGATCTTCACCCAACGGATGGAGTGCTTCCGACAACTTTGGTTGTTGTTTGATAATAGATTCCTTGATCTTCTTCTTTTCCTTCTTTTCTTTTTACCATCTTCCGATGACACGTTATTCATCTGTTTTTGTTTGTACATTTATGTTGTATCTCTTCATCCTCTTCATTCGGATGCTTCAATATTGATATTTTCGACGATGATGCTGTCTTCATGATGATCGGTTTGAATTGTTGTTTACAATTTTTTTTGTACTCGACTTAACGTAAAGAATTGGCGCCATTATTACAAACAGATATTTAAGGTAAACATATCGAACCAAGTGTTGATACTTCTTTTACATACGTCCACAACATAGTCTTGAACGAAGGTGCATTCATTAACTTTACACAGTCGTTATTTAACGAACCATGCAAAAAAAAATGGCGAAACGAGACCTCACCTCGTTCATCGAGTTTCAAACCAATCTCTCATCAGGGTCGTCATTTCAAACCAAGAAACAAAAATTAACTCCAACATGGACAAATGATGATGGAAATATTCGGATGATCCTTGTTGATTTTTCAACTTGTTTATTTCATCATGATGATGAAAATTATGAACACACTCGGAATGAAGAATTGTTATTGAAAAAGAAATTCTCATGGCAACAAGAAGGCAAAAAGAAATGGCTTTTGAACCGGGAATTGCAATATTATAACTTCTTTCCAGTCGAATTTATGAATGATCGTGAATTTGTGTTGAATCATATCAAAAAGTATGGATATGGACTGAAATTTGCATCCACACAATTAAAACGAGATCGAGAATTTGTTTTGAAAGTGGTTCAACAAAAAGGTTCAGAGTTACAGTATTCCTATGAAGATATTCGCAACGATAAAGAAGTGGTATTGACAGCCACAAAGGAAAATGGTGTATCATTTAGATGTGCTTCATTAGCGCTTCAAAATGACAGGGAATTTGTGTTGGAAGTTGTGAGACAGAATGGAATGGCTCTTCTGTGGCACCATAAATTTGAAAAGGACAAAGAAGTTGTGCTCACTGCTGTCAAACAAAATGGAACTGCATTGGCATCGATCATCTACGACAGATCACAAAATTCAAATTGGTATGAAACCATTGCATTGGAGGCAATCAAACAAGATAAGAAGGCACTTCAATATGTTTCAGAAGAATTCCTTCACAATCAAGATTTCATGTTACAAGTTCTCAAATTAATATTTCCAGAAGAGTTTGAAACTCATGCTCTTTTGATTATTCATCGAAAGAAATCATGCTAAGAGTAGTTCAAGAATTTGGATTTTTACTTGAATTTGTGTCAAGTGAACTCAAACATGATCGAGATGTTGTTTTGAATGCAGTTAAAAATGATGGTATTTCACTTCGATTTGCATCAGAAACTTTGAGAAATGACAAAGAAATTGCATTACTGGCTGTCATGCAAGTTGGTTGGGCATTAGAATATGTCTCTTCAGATTTGAAAGGAGACAAAGAGGTTGTGTTGGCTGCTGTGAATCAAAATGGATATGCTCTTCAATATGCATCAAAAGAGTTGAGGAATGATCGAGAAGTAGTCTTGACTTCAGTAACTCACGATGGATATTCTTTGTGTTATGCTTCAAATGAGATGAAGCAAGACAGACAAGTTGTGTTGACAGCTGTAAAACAAAGGTGTGAGGCCATTGAATTCGCAGATGATGAATTGAAAAAAGACGAAGAAATTGTGTTGGAAGCTGTCAGACGAGATTTCAATTGTTTTCATTATATTTCAAGGAAATTATTTTGTGACCAATCATTCTTGTTGAAAGCAGCAAAATTCTGTGGTAACACACTTCTACGATATACACCCAAAGAAATTACAGATGATCATGAATTTATGGTGAAACTTCGAGAAGAAATCAAAAGACCTGGATTTGCTTCAGAGTACAGTGACGAATTATATCGTGAAAGAATGGAATACTTTTATTATGGAGTTTATTTGGGAACGATGTGTAGAAGGTAAAAAATTCAGAAAACTAGAGAAACGCAAGGAGTGCGTATTTGAGGGCTTTTGTGTCTTGTTTAATAGCTTCAACAACAATTTCTTCATCTTCTTAGAGGGTGCAATGAGGGCCCTTTCAAACCTGCAGCCACAGCAAACAGCCATTCAGCCAGGATAGTCCTCGCTGCCGAAATTATTTTCAGATACAATCAACAGAATCCTTAGGTTCTTGAAAACGAAGAAAATGCGTAAAATCTTTAGAAACGTCCATCAATCTGCAATCTGTTTCATTCACCACAAAAGTTTTCATGAAAAATCTGAAAGTATTGAGTTCTCTCATTTTAGTATCTCTTCGGTATTCCCATTTGATAGAATCTTCTCCTTCACATCCAGGCAAAGGTTTTTTGTTCTTCTCAGTCCTTTTTGTCCACTGTTTGATTTGCTTAATTTGGCAGATGTAGACATGATTGTTTTCATCTAATTGGAGAACATAATCACCAATGCTTAAATAATCGGAATTGAGAGTCTAATTTGCTTCTGGTTTTTCAATTTGTTCTTGAGAAGTCAGTTGAGAATAGAGTTGCCATGAGAGGGAGTTTGATTGTTGTGAGATAGTGTTTGGTTTTCTCTTATCGAACCTTCTTTGTCTCAAAACATCACAAGAAGTTTTGTGATTAAATGTTACTTGGCGTATGAATTGTTGTTTGTGATAGGTAATTCCTCCAATGATGGTGATATGTGTGTTGGATTGTTTGTTTTTGAAATTTTGCAGCATGTTGTGTGGTTGATGTGTTCTGTTCCATTGCTGCTCCAATTGATCAAATTCCACAATGTCATTATTCGAATTTTGTTTCAATTTGAATTCTTTTGTAAGTAAAACTTCAATACCAGGTATATTCAAATTAAACAATAGAGTATGAATGGTTGGAGCTTCATATTCAGCATCTGAAAGGTGGCAAAAGTACGCTTTGGTGTTGGAGCCACAATGACATTGAATTTAAATGTTAACACAGTATCCAAAAGACTGTCACGAAGAGAAATGGCATTGTCATGATACACGATATAGGGCCTTCTTTCTTCCTAGTAACATGAAATTGATGAAGAGTCTTGTCTTGTTATCCTTATCAATGTAGAAGGATTGAAGAGTTGAAAATGGTATTTCTCTCTTGATTACTCCATCTTTGAACACGAGGACAGAATTATGGGCGAATTTGAGAATTCTCTTTTGTCTCTTTCTTATTTAGGGTGTCGTTCTCAACGACAAAGGTTTGTTGTTTTTCTAATGAGGTAAATTTCACCAACATCTGCAATGGTTTCAACAAGATTGTCACGTTGTTGATCCGAGACACGATTAAATCTCTTGTTGGAATGAATTTTTATGAAACGAATGGAATCCAAATTTTGATTGGTTCTTTAATGTCACTCAACGACGTCCAATCGTATTTGGTCTTGATGAGTCTCTGTCTTTCATTTTGGATGATATAGAATATCGATTTTTAAGCAAAAAACAACCAACTTGCAACATGAATTCTCAGTCAGCTTTCAACTCATTGGACGCATGTTGAACAGCACATTCGTTGGTCTGAACAGCTGTAACACAATCTCTTTGTTGCGTTTCAATGTTTCTTAGGTTCTAAGGAATTACATGTCCGTTTTGATGACCGTCAGCTAATGCAACATCATGATCATTCTGAATGATCCGAATAACATCAGGTTCTCCAATTAAGGTAAGAGCCATAGATAATTTTCGTTTTATTCTGCCACTCAATTCTTTCACTGCCTTATTTGTGTCTTCTAAAGTAAATTTATATCGTTTGAATGTTCGGCGAATGGTTTCAGTCGAATACTGTCCTCCGATGATAAATCAATTGTTCCCACTCTGGCAAGGTTTTGGAACTCAAAGTGATGTGACACCGTAATTGATTAAGTAAAGAGAACTCTAAATTGTGTGACACCGTAAAGGTTCGTGTATTTGCTTTTCGTCATCCATTCATTCCACAGTCACACTGTGAAATGATGACAACACAAATGACAAGTGTTCATATCCTTCTCGTTGATTTTTATCAAGTTTCCACTCACAATCATCCTTTGAACATGCAAGCAGTGTTGAAAAAGAAATTTTCATTACAACAATTGGGAAAGAAGAAATGGCTTTTGAATCGGGAATTGAAATATCAACATTTCTTTCCTGTTGAGTTTATGAATGATCGTGAATTTGTGTTGAATCATTTCAAAAAGTATGGATATGGATTGCGATTTGCATCCACACAATTACAAAAAGATCACGGATTTGCTCTATACGATGAGTACAGATTACTGTGTCCATACTTTCGCGATGATTATAAAGAAGTGTTATTGACGGCCATAAAAACAGATGTTTTTCCAAAAAAGCCTCTTGAAAACAGGGAATTCGTGTTGGGAGTTGTGAGACAGAATGGAATGGCCCTTGAGTGCGACAGTAACGCTCTATATGACAGGGAGATTGTGTTGGCTGCTGTCAAACAAAATGGGAATGCATTGAAATTTGTAAATGACAGCTTTGATTGGTATGAAACAGTTGCATTGGAAGCAATCCAACAAAATAAGAATGCACTTCGATATGTTTCCAAAGATTTTCTTCAAAATCAAGATTTCATGTTACAAGCTCTCAAATTAATATTTCCAGATGAGTTTGAAACCTCATGCTCTTTTGATTATTCATCGAAAGAAATCATGCTAAGAGTAGTTCAAGAATTTGGATTTTTACTTGAATTTGTGTCAAGTGAACTCAAACGTGATCGAGATGTTGTTTTGAGTGCAGTTAAAAATCATGGTCGTTCGTTGGGATTTGCATCAGATGATTTGAGAAATGACAAAGAAATTGCATTAATTGCTGTTCAACAAGATGGTTGGTCATTGAGATATGTTTCTTCAGATTTGAAAGGAGATCAACAAGTGGTGTTGGCTGCTGTAACCCGTTGTGGACGTGCTCTTCTACATGCATCAGAAGAATTGCAAAATGATCGAGAAGTAGTCTTGACTGCAGTAACTCAAGATGGATACTCATTGCATTTTGCTTCAAATGAGATGAAGAAAGACAGACAATTGGTCTTGACTGCAGTAAGTCACGATAGATATTCATTGCGTGTTGCTTTGGATGAGATGAAGAACGACAGACAAGTGGTTTTGGCAGCTGTAACCAAAAACGGAAATCGTCTTGAATATGCACCAAAAGAGTTGAAGAATGATCGAGAGGTGGTCTTGACTGCAGTAACTCAAGATGGAGAGTCATTACACTTTGCTTCCAATGAGTTGAAGAATGATCGAGAGGTGGTCTTGACTGCAGTAACTCAAAATGGAGAGTCATTACGTTTTGCTTCCAATGAGTTGAAGAATGATCGAGAAGTAGTCTTGAGTGCAGTAACTCAAAATGGAGAGTCATTATGTTTTGCTTCCAATGAGATGAAGAAAGATAGACAAGTGGTTTTGACAGCTTTAAAACAACACCAAGGAGCCTTCAGGTATTCACGTTACGATTGGTCAAGTGATCCAGAAACTTGGTTCGAAATCATCCAACTAGGTGGGACTTATTTGCAAAGTACTTCTAAGGAGTTATTGATTGACCATCAATTCTTGTTGAAAATTGCAAAGCTTGTCGGTCATCCTCTTTTGAGTTTGATACCAAATGAAATTACCAATGATCATGAATTTATGGTGAAATTAACAGAGGAAATCAAAAGTTCTGGATCTGTTTCCGAGTATAGTGATGAATTGTATCAAGAAAGAATGGAACACTTTTATTATGGAGTGTATTTGGGGTCTAGTTTGGAACAGAGGAATCATTAGTTGTTACGTTGGAAATCTCAAAGGTTAGTAATGGTACTAGAGTTTAGCCTTGTTGATAGTGTATAGCACATCAAGGTCTTTCCGACGCCTGAAAATTAGATGAAGATGCAATCAAATCGTTGTTGATAATAATGTCTACATACATGGACAGTGAAAGCATGTTTGGTAGTCGTAATTAAAGTGCCGGTGAAGACCTGAACGATATTACGTCTATTTGAAGCACGAGATTCAGTAAAGTCTAATGCTGAGGTTGTAATTGAGAGTATGATTCATGTTGGTTGGTTTTTTTGGTATTGTGGAAGACTTTGGTACAGGGGATGTTGGTTTGGACTTGTCTGTCATGTCTTTGTATCATTGGCACAGTTAGCCTTAGTGTTCTTAATTACTACTGATCAGCCAATAACAGCACAAAGCCAGTGGATTCTATCACAACTGCAGTGAAACCAGTGACATCTTTTGTTCCAAAAACAAAGCATCCGCCTTGAACTCTATCGCGCCGTGCAAAAAAAATGGCGAAAAAAGACGATCTGTTCATCGAGTTTCAAACCAATCTCTCATCACGGTCGTCATTTCAAACCAAGAAACCAAAAGAAAATGTTCGAATGATCCTTGTTGATTTTTCAACTTGTTTATTTCATCATGATGATGAAAATTATGAACACACTCGGAATGTAGAATTGTTATTGAAAAAGAAATTCTCATGGCAACAAGAAGGCAAAAAGAAATGGCTTTTGAATCGGGAATTGAAATATCAAAACTTCTTTCCTGTTGAGTTTATGAATGATCGTGAATTTGTGTTGAATCATTTCAAAAAGTATGGATATGGATTGAAATTTGCATCCACACAATTAAAACGAGATCGAGATTTTGTTTTGAAAGTGGTTCAACAAAATGGTTTAGAGTTACGATTTGCAGATGAAGATATTCACAATGATAAAGAAGTGGTGTTGACAGCCACAAAGGAAAATGATGTATCATTTAGATATGCTTCATTAGCGCTTCAAAATGACAGGGAATTCGTGTTGGAAGTTGTGAGACAGAATGGAATGGCTCTTCAGTGGCACCATAAATTTCGAAATGACAAAGAAGTTGTGCTCACTGCTGTCAAACAAAATGGAACTGCATTGGCATCGATCATCTACGACAGATCACAAAATTCAAATTGGTATGAAACCATTGCATTGGAGGTAATCAAACAAGATAAGAAGGCACTTCAATATGTTTCAGAAGAATTCCTTCAAAATCAAGATTTCATGTTACAAGCTCTCAAATTAATATTTCCAGAAGAGTTTGAAACCTCATGCTCTTTTGATTATTCATCGAAAGAAATTATTCTAAGAGTAGTTTCAGAGTTTGGATTTTTACTTGAATTTGTGTCAAGTGAACTCAAAAGTGATCGAGATGTTGTTTTGAATGCAGTTAAAAATGATGGTACTTCACTTCGATTTGCATCAGATGATTTGAGAAATGACAAAGAAATTGCATTAATGGCTGTCATGCAAGTTGGTTGGGCATTAAAATTTGTCTCTTCAGATTTGAAAGGAGACAAAGAGATTGTGTTGGCTGCTGTAAATCAACATGGATTTGCTCTTGAATATGCATCAACAGAGTTGAGGAATGATCGAGAAGTAGTCTTGACTTCAGTTACTCACTATGGATATTCTTTGTGTTATGCTTCAGATGAGATGAAGAAAGACAGACAAGTTGTGTTGACAGCTGTAAAACAAAGGTGTGAGGCCATTGAATTCGCAGATGATGAATTGAAAAAAGACGAAGAAATTGTGTTGGAAGCTGTCAGACGAGATCTCAATTGTTTTCATTATATTTCAAAGAAATTATTTTGTGACAAATCATTCTTGTTGAAAGCAGCAAAATTCTGTGGTAACACACTTCTACGATATACACCCAAAGAAATTACAGATGATCATGAATTTATGGTGAAACTTCGAGAAGAAATCAAAAGATCTGGATTTGCTTCAGAGTACAGTGACAAATTATATCATGAAAGAATGGAATACTTTTATTATGGAGTTTATTTGGGAACAATTCGAAATCACTAAGAGCCGCTCCACCACTTGCAATACAATATCTTTTTTATTGAGATGGTCTGAATGTATGAAATGTCTCATGTCGTCATTGATACAAAGTTAAATTCTTCAAATATATTCACTGTTGGCCATACGTTTGACATTTTCTTTGTCGATTTCGTCATTGCTGCCAAGGTTAAGCTTCTTCAAATTCTTGGACTGTGCTCGCTAAAAAAGCAATGAAATCATCAAGCAATATGTTTAACACCTTGTCACTCAAATCTACGGTCGTTTGTGATAGCCTTAGTGTTCTAAATTACTACTGATACAGTGCTGCAAATTTGCCCCAAAAAGGAGCCATCTACAGGTGAATGAGACTGGAGGTTATTGATAAGTGTCATCACACATTTGGTAAAGAACTGACTCCAGCTCTTTCACTCTTTCTCGTTGGTACTCCTTGCTGCTGGGAGGGAGGTGTTGAATCATTTTTTGCTCTTTGCTATTACATTTTGTTGTAAATTATAAAGAGAATGATGGCAAAACAGATTTTTCATTGCCGTGTGTACATACGCCAACCACAAACCACAGATCCAAATTACTATTTACAAATGCAAAAAAAATGGCGAAAAGAGACCTCACCTCGTTCATTGAGTTTCAAACCAATCTCTCATCACGGTCGTCATTTCAAAGCAAGAAACAAAAATTAACTCCAACATGGATAAATGATGATGGAAATGTTCGGATGATCCTTGTTGATTTTTCAACTTGTTTATTTTGTCATGATGATGAAAATTATGAACACACTCGGAATGTAGAATTGTTATTGAAAAAGAAATTCACATGGCAACAAGAAGGAAAAAAGAAATGGCTTTTGAACCGGGAATTGCAATATTATAATTTCTTTCCAGTCGAATTTATGAATGATCGTGAATTTGTGTTGAATCATATCAAAAAGTATGGATATGGATTGAAGTTTGCATCCGCATCATTACAACAAGATCGAGATTTTGTTTTGAAAGTGGTTCAACAAAAAGGTTCAGAGTTACGATTTGCAGATGAAGTTATTCACAATGATAAAGAAGTGGTGTTGACAGCCACAAAGGAAAATGATGAATCATTTAGATGTGCTTCAAAAGCACTTCGATATGACAGGGAATTCGTGTTGGAAGTTGTGAGGCAGAATGGAATGGCTCTTCAGTGGCACCATAAATTTGGAAATGACAAAGAAGTTGTGCTCACTGCTGTCAAACAAAATGGAATTGCATTGCAATTTATTTATTATTTCAGATATAGAAATTCAGATTGGTATGAAACAGTTGCATTGGAGGCAATCAAACAAAATAAGAATGCACTTCGATATGTTTCAGAAGAATTTCTTCGAAATCATGATTTCATGTTACAAGTTCTCAAATTAATATTTCCAGATGAGTTTGAAACCTCATGCTCTTTTGATTATTCATCGAAAGAAATCATGATGAAGATCATTCAAGAATTTGGATTTTTACTTGAATTTGTGTCAAGTGAACTCAAAAGTGATCGAGATGTTGTTTTGAATGCAGTTAAAAATGCTGGTACTTCACTTCGATTTGCATCAGAAACTTTGAGAAATGACAAAGAAATTGCATTAATGGCTGTTCAACAAAATGGTTGGGCATTAGGATATGTTTCTTCAGATTTGAAAGGAGACAAAGAGGTTGTGTTGGCTGCTGCAAATCAACATGGATATGCTCTTGTATATGCATCAGAAGAGTTGCAGAATGAGCGAGAAGTAGTCTTGAGTGCAGTAACTCAAAATGGAGAGTCATTACGTTATTCTTCCAATGAGATGAAGAAAGACAGACAAGTTGTGTTGACAGCTGTAAAACAAAGGTGTGGAGCCATTGAATTCGCAGATGATGAATTGAAAAAAGACGAAGAAATTGTGATGGAAGCTATCAAACGAGATCTCAGTTGTTTTCATTATATTTCAAGGAAATTATTTTGTGACAAGTCATTCTTGTTGAAAGCTGCAAAGTTTGGAGATAACACACTTCTACAATATACACCCACAGAAATTACAGACGATCCTGAATTTATGGTGAATCTTCGAGAAGAAATCAAAAGATCTGGGTTTGTTTCAGAATACAGTGACGAATTATATTGTGAAAGAATGGAATACTTTTATTATGGAGTTTATTTGGGAACGATGTGTAGAAGGTAAAAAACTCAGAAAACTAGAGAAACGCAAGGAGTGCGTATTTGAGGGCTTTTGTGTCTTGTTTACTAGCTTCAACAACAATTTCTTCATCTTCTTAGAGGGTGCAATTAGGGCCCTTTCAAACCTGCAGCCGCAGCAAACAGCCATTCAGCCAGGATAGTCCTCGCTGCCGAAATTATTTTCAGATACAATCAACAGAATCCTTAGGTTCTTGAAAACGAAGAAAATTCCTCATAATATTGCGTAAAATCTTTAGAAACGTCCATCAATCTGCAATCTGTTTCATTCACCACAAAAGTTTTCATGAAAAATCTAAAAGTATTGAGTTCTCCCATTTTAGTATTTCTTTGGTATTCCTATTTGATAGAATGTAAATAATCTTCTCCTTCACATCCAGGCAAAGGTTTTTTGTTCTTCTCAGTCCTTTTTGTCCACTGTTTGATTTGCTTAATTTGGCAGATGTAGACATGATTGTTTTCATCTAATTGGAGAACATAATCACCAATGCTTAAATATTCGGAATTGAGAGTCTGATTTGCTTTTGGTTTTCAATTTGTTCTTGAGAAGTCAGTTGAGAATAGAGTTGCCACGAGAGGGAGTTTGATTGTTGTGAGATAGTGTTTGGTTTTCTCTTATCGAACCTTCTTTGTCTCGAAACATCACAAGAAGTTTTGTGATTAAATGTTTCTTTGAAGTATGAATTGTTGTTTGTGATAGATAATTCCTCCAATGATGGTGATATGTGTGTTGGATTGTTTGTTTTTGAAATTTTGCAGCATGTTGTGTGGTTGATGTGTTCTGTTTCATTGCTGCTCCAATTAATCAAATTCCACAATGTCATTATTTGAATTTTGTTTCAATTTGAATTCTTTTGTAAGTAAAACTTCATTACCAGGTATATTCAAATTAAACAATAGAGTATGAATGGTTGGAGCTTCATATTCAGCATCTGAAAGGTGGCAAAAGTACTATTGTTTTCAGCGTTCAGATTGGTGTTGGAGCCACAATGACATTGAATTTAAATGTTAACACAGTATCCAAAAGACTGTCACGAAGAGAAATGGCATTGTCATGATACACGATATAGGGCCTTCTTTCTTCCTAGTAACATGAAATTGATGAAGAGTCTTGTCTTGTTATCCTTATCAATGTAGAAGGATTGAAGAGTTGAAAATGGTATTTCTCTCTTGATTACTCCATCTTTGAACACGAGGACAGAATTATGGGCGAATTTGAGAATTCTCTTTTGTCTCTTTCCTGATTTGGTATCGTTCTCAACGACAAACAATACAACCACATGGTCTGAATGACCCCCCCTGCGGAAACAGGGGGGGTTAACAACTGTCAAAATTAATTTTGGCAATACTAGTTCAAATATGTGAATTTTGAAGGTTCAGACTGAACATGCTGGCTTCATTAAGGATGTCATTAATAAATTTTTTATTACATAACACTTATTGACAATTGTTCGTTCAGCATTGTTTCATAATTGTTGAGCCAATCTACTCAGTATTTATTGGAATGTGCAAGCTGTCGATATTCGTGAAGATCAATAAAGAACTGCTTTCGTTGGAAGTTGGATTGTTGTTCCGGCCGCAACTGGAAGCAAAGCGAAGATCAACTCCAGCAAACAATGGAAAATCGTATGAATAAAATGAATCGAAATCCTCTCTCTTTGAATGAATTTACATACGATTTTTCGGGCTTCGAGCGAACTGTCCACGAAGGCGTGCCTTTGATCAATATAACAAAATTAGCAAAAACCAACAAAACCTCCAAAACAAAGACCCACAATGCATACCAACCGACAAAATATGCTCCTGTAGAGCATACTAACCCATCTCACTCAGCAAAATATGTTGATTATTTGTGGGCTGTGAAATTCTTGAGCTCTCGTGATAATGTTCAGCAGGAAGAGTTTTTGCAATGGGTGGCTGTTTGTTTGTTTCAACAATTAGAGTATGGGAGTTGTCAACCTATCACAATTAGTGAAAACAACTCTTCGACCAGTACTATTGATGATTCTAACAACATTGATGTGCATTCTAGTTTTGGATTGTCTTGTTCAAACTGTGGACATTCGCATATAACAGGGAAATCAATCTCTAAGAAGAGAATATGGTCTCTCACTGATTCCACTTACAGAAATTCTAAAGTAATGGCTTACATGAACACAATTCAACAAATGTTTTCCGTCAGTGGTGTTATCATGATTGAAGTGTTGGCATTATATTTTCAAAATTTTCTAGCACACTTTTTGGCTTTGTTGAGTTATGTTGTTCTAAAACCAGGTTCTGAAACTGAACGAGTTGTGTCTCGTTATATTACAATCCGTCAAAATTTTTTTGCTCAAATTCCAAACGTGCGCAATGCTAAAGAAGATATTCTATTGTTAAAAGATTTCATGTTGTTGAGTGATGAACGGTATCAACACTTCGTAGACTATGTTCAGTTGAAGGGATTTTTACCTTGCTCGGAAACATTATATAGATGTAGAAAAGAAATTAATACTGCTATCACTCAAAAATATGAAATACAATATAATGGTGTGCGTCTTAATTGTAATTTCCTTAAGGTATTGCAAGACATGCTAATAATTCATAGAAATGAATGCGAGAGAGCAAATGTTAATCCTCAAATAGGAGTTTTGGAGTTGAAAATGGTTATTGACAAAGGAGCCAATTCATTCCTAATCGGTGCAGTTGGTCCATTAAATTTGATATTGTCTCCCCAAAGCAGACATTCGTATGTATCATGCGTAGCGTTGGATGACGAAGAGAGCAAAGAAAATTCTACATCTATATTTAAGTATATGGTAGAAATATTGAATGCATCTATAATGATTTTACATCCTTTCATATTTGATGTTGCTCAACAATTACCCCTTCCAATAATAGTATATTTGACAAATGATTTAAAAATGGTAGGATTAGTAACAGATTTGAATGATGATGACTGTTTCTGTCCATATTGCAAATGCAAGAAACATGAAAGACATCTCTTTGAAAAAGAATGTGAATATCGTTGCTTAAAGTATCACACTAATCCAAAATTCAATATTGCAACTCTCCCGTGTTCTCTTCACTTGAAAATAAGAGTTGTTTGTAATTTGATGTTACAAATATTCCTAAAACAAAAATCGTTCACAATTTGCAAAACCATCCAACAGAGAATTAGTGAGTTACCACATTGCTCTCAATTTAAATATAGAAATACACAAGTGGAAGATGATGACAATGATGATGTTGTTGGAGCTAGGAGTGACCAATTTTTGCCAGATCTGCCATATTTGAATGGTAACCAAGCAGATCAAATATTGTTAAATTTTGAAACAATTTTCGCTGGGTTTTTAGATTTTAGGGAAATATTTATCTGGCAACTTACTCGAATCATTATTTTCTCATATGTACAAGGACCCAATAGTTTAAAAGGAAATGTAGAAGAGTATTTTAAGCTCAAATTATATTGCAAATGGCTCGGAATGCTATTAATTGATACATATCCAACATCTAAATTTGCGTATTATATTCATATATTAGTTAAGCACGTAGCAAGTTTGATTTTCATGCACGGACCACTCATCAGGTTTGCTAATCAAGGAAGTGAAAATATTCACGCTGGTCATATTCTTGGAGTGGAACGAGCGACAGCAGCAGGAGGAAGGGCAAAAGAAGATAACAAGAAGACTCCTATGGAACAAGTGGTATTCCAAGAGTTCCGAAGAATATATTTAACAGCCCAAAGAGACATTCCTTGGCAATCGAAGTTAAATGATACAGTTTACGTTACAAGTTGGAAATCGGTTTCCAATGAATATGAAATTTTACAGAGATTGGAGCTGGCTCAAGGTGATGCGTGGAAATCTGTGTTGCGCTTGATGATAGGTGTTACTGATGAAAACAACGTACAATCAACAGAAAGGTGGTCACAGCAATCTTGTAATTTTTTTGAAAACGAGTTTTAATAAAATTTAATGTTTCAATGAATTTTATTTGACGATTTCTTGATGATCATGCTGTGTCTTCCCATCTATCTGTGATTGGACAATATGCTTGTGTAACTTGTGAGAAATGTATATGCACTCTGTTGTCATGATTTACAATGAACACTGTTTCATGATAAAACGAACGAATTTCTCGGTTATGAAACATTTCTGTGATGGGATGATCTTTCAAACCCCAATCAAAACCAGCCAATAGATCAGGCATAGACTGCTTGAAATAATAGTAGGTGCGAGTATATTTCTCCCAAACACCATTTTGCTTCACTCTGTATTGAGCTTGCCATGTCAAACAATCTTGCCTAGTGAAGAGGTGAGCCAATAATTCCTTGGGACATGTTCCGAGGAACAACCAATGGCCAAATTTGCTGTAATTAGGTTCCAATCGTCTGTTCAAGATTTGTGCAGATTCGGAGCCAAATTCTCGTAATCTTCTTTGTTGGTAATATCTGTCGAGGATGGCAGGATCAATATCCTTCAATGCCTCTCTCCAATTTATACTGGTATCAACCTCTGTTGGTGTTGGTTTGATTGCTCTTTTAGGAACTCGAACGAGACCCGTATCGTCATGGTTGGTGGTATTGACAACTTTCTTCTTTCTAGCCGCTTTTGATTTCTTGCCAAAAATCTTATCACCAAGTTCTACGGAAAGAGGTTTAGCATTGCTTGTGAAACAATCAGAGTTGTACATGGTTATCTTCAAGACCTTTCTTGGTTTGGGAGTGGGTTGTGTATGGTGGACTCGGGTCATGACGTATCGTTTGATTGCTTTTGTATTGTTGTTATGCTTTTGTTATTGCTGCTTTTGTGCTTTTGTATTGTTGTTATGCTTTTGTTATTGTTGTTATGCTTTTGTTATTGCTGTTTTGCTTTTGTCGTATCACTTGTTGTGATGATTGTGTTGGCGTGTTGCCAATTTATTTTAACTGGTAGGGTACAGGTGTGTGATCATTTTTTTTCGTTATAAAGACTGTCGGAGGTCATTTTCTTGAGAAATTTAAGTGAAGTGGTTGTATTGGGTTTGTTGTTTTTCGAATGAGGTAAATTTTACCAACATCTGCAACGGTTTCAACAAGATTGTCACGTTGTTGATCCGAGACACGATTAAATCTCTTGTTGGAATGAATTTTTATGAAACGAATGGAATCCAAATTTTGATTGGTTCTTTAATGTCACTCAACGACGTCCAATCGTATTTGGTCTTGATGAGTCTCTGTCTTTCATTTTGGATGATATAGAATATCGATTTTTAAGCAAAAAACAACCAACTTGCAACATGAATTCTCAGTCAGCTTTCAACTCATTGGACGCATGTTGAACAGCACATTCGTTGGTCTGAACAGCTGTAACACAATCTCTTTGTTGCGTTTCAATGTTTCTTAGGTTCTAAGGAATTACATGTCCGTTTTGATGACCGTCAGCTAATGCAACATCATGATCATTCTGAATGATCCGAATAACATCAGGTTCTCCAATTAAGGTAAGAGCCATAGATAATTTTCGTTTTATTCTGCCACTCAATTCTTTCACTGCCTTATTTGTGTCTTCTAAAGTAAATTTATATCGTTTGAATGTTCGGCGAATGGTTTCAGTCGAATACTGTCCTCCAATGATAAATCAGTTGTTCCCACTCTGGCAAGGTTTTGGAACTCAAAGTGATGTGACACCGTAATTGATTAAGTAAAGAGAACTCTAAATTGTGTGACACCGTAAAGGTTCGTGTATTTGCTTTTCGTCATCCATTCATTCCACAGTCAGTTCTCACAAAAAAAATGTCCCAACACTGTGAAATGATGACAACACAAATGACAAGTGTTCATATCCTTCTCGTTGATTTTTATCAAGTTTCCACTCACAATCATCCTTTGAACATGCAAGCAGTGTTGAAAAAGAAATTCTCATTACAACAATTGGGAAAGAAGAAATGGCTTTTGAATCGGGAATTGAAATATCAACATTTCTTTCCTGTTGAGTTTATGAATGACCCGAAATTTGTGTTGAATCATATCAAAAAGTATGGATATGGATTGAAATTTGCATCCACACAATTAAAACGAGATCGAGAATTTGTTTTGAAAGTGGTTCAACAAAACGGTTCAGAGTTACCGTTTGCAGATAAACAGTTTCGCAATGATAAAGAAGTGATATTGACAGCCACAAAGGAAAATGGTGTATCATTTAGATATGCTTCAAAAGCGCTTCAAGATGAGAGGGAATTTGTGTTGGAAGTTGTGAGACAGAATGGAATGGCTTATCAGTGGCGCTATAAATTTGGAAATGACAAAGAAGTTGTGCTCACTGCTGTCAAACAAAATGGGAATGCATTGACATCGATCGTCTATAACAGATCAAAAAATTCAAATTGGTATGAAACCATTGCATTGGAGGCAATCAAACAAAATAAGAATGCGCTTCGATATGTTTCCCACAAGTTACTTAAAAATCATGATTTCATGTTACAAGTTCTCAAATTGATATTTCCAGAAGAATTTGAAACCTCATGCTCTTTTGATTATTCATCGAAAGAAATCATGCTAAGAGTAGTTCAAGAATTTGGATTTTTACTTGAATTTGTGTCGAATGAACTCAAATGTGATCGAGATATTGTTTTGAATGCAGTTAAAAATGCTGGTACTTCACTTCGATTTGCATCAGATGATTTGAGAAATGACAAAGAAATTGCATTAATGGCTGTTCAACAAGATGGTTGGGCATTAGGATATGTTTCTTCAGATTTGAAAGGAGACAAAGAGGTTGTATTGGCTGCTGTAAATCAAAATGGATTTGCTCTTGGAAGTGCATCAGAAGAGTTGAAGAATGATCGAGAAGTAGTCTTGAGTGCTGTAACTCAAAATGGAGAGTCATTACGCTTTGCTTCAAATGAGATGAAGAAAGACAGACAAGTTGTGTTGACAGCTGTAAAACAACACAGAGGAGCCATTGAATTCGCAGATGATGAATTGAAAATAGATGTAGAAATTGTGATGGAAGCTATCAAACAAGATCTCAAGTATCTTCAGTATATTTCAAAGAACTTATTTTGTGACAAATCATTCTTGTTGAAAGCAGTAAAGTTTGGAGGTAACACACTTCTACAATATACACCCACAGAAATTACAGATGATCATGAATTTATGGTGAAACTTCGAGAAGAAATCAAAAGATCTGGATTTGCTTCAGAGTACAGTGACGAATTATATCGTGAAAGAATGGAATACTTTTATTATGGAGTTTATTTGGAAACGATGTGTAGAAGGTAAAAAACTCAGAAAACTAGATGTTTCGATAATGTAAACAACAAGAGTTTGGAATTAATTGGAGGAAAACCAATGGGTTTGTAACTCGCCAAACAACCATCCTTTGAAAAGGATTGGTGTTTGAGGGATTTACCACAAAAGTTTTCATGAAAAATCTAAAAGTATTGAGTTCTCTCATTTTAGTATTCTTCTCAGTCCTTTTTGTCTACTGTTTGATTTGCTTAATTTGGCAGATGTAGACATGATTGTTTTCATCTAATTGGAGAACATAATCACCAATGCTTAAATATTCGGAATTGAGAGTCTGATTTGCTTCTGGTTTTCAATTTGTTCTTGAGAAGTCAGTTGAGAATAGAGTTGCCATGAGAGGGAGTTTGATTGTTGTGAGATAGTGTTTGGTTTTCTCTTATCGAACCTTCTTTGTCTCGAAACGAGGGGTGGAAGAAATCGCCCATCCTAGCACACAGCTAATAGCCCGGATGGGGATGATTGCAAAAATACTGCTTAGTTGCAGCAACTCCAGCAACAACAGCCACCAAACAATCCCGAAATTTTTTTATTCCAGTAATTGATTGATTTATTGTTGCTTGAAATACATGCAAGATCTGGCCAAACTTTATTCACAACAAGTGACTTGTGGCAATATCGACCACAATGTTGTTGCGTTCAACATAATATAGTTCTGAATGATCATTGTTGGTGGCTTTAGTTGCATGAACGCATATTCTTCGCATTCAGTATCTTTTGCCCAGATGGAATATTAATGATCATCTACGTTTCGTTATTGTCTTCTAGTGCAAGCTTTGAAATCTTCTTCATTCTCCAATTTTTTCCAATTCTAAGGAGTTTCACAATCTGAATTCAACAATGCATCGAATCCTGCAATTTTCAAATTGTAGATCACAGTGTACAACTATGGAGCCACGAATAAACAACTTTTTCTTGATGTTCTTATTTATCCACTCACGTGTATTATTCGAGGTGTACGTTGATTTTGGAATTAGACGGGCCATCACCGAAAATATTTTCTCCCAATCGTCGTCCAAACCAACTCTCAACTCTTCACAGCAGTCCAAAACTTGGTCCAATCTTTGACATCATCGACCTTCACCTGAGTTTCAAATCCAAAAATTAATCACATTTCGAAAATTAATCAAATTGATATGAACAGTTCTTCGACTTGTGTGAGGTAATGAAATGCCGTGCAGCATGTTTACTATCGCCACGAGTGTTAGTGGCCATGTTGTTGTTGGTGTATGCTTTTCATTTTTTTAAAATAAAAATTTTTTTATTAGCAATCAGCCGCTTCAGCGAGTCCAGCCCGCCCAAGAAATCCTCATTTCCAAAACGCTCTGGAAATTACTATCCAGATGCAATCAAATTATTAGCTGTGTGCTAGGATGGGCGATTTCTTCCACCCCTCCTCGAAACATCATAAGAAGTTTTGTGATTAAATGTATTTATCAAATTCCACAATGTCATTATTCGAATATTGTTTCAATTTGAATTCTTTTGTAAGTAAAACTTTAATACCAGGTATATTCAAATTAAACAATAGAGTATGAATGGTTGGAGCTTCATATTCAGCATCTGAAAGCATGGCAAAAGTACTCTTGTTTTCAGCGTTCAGATTGGTGTTGGAGCCACAATGTTGTCAAGCCACTCCTTAAAAATTCTCGATCATATATTCTTGCAGTTGAAAAGGCAAAAATACTCTAATAAACAATTCCTTTTCGAGATCAACATTGAATTTAAATCTTAATACAGTATCCAAAAAACTGTCACGAAGAGAAATGTCATGATACACGACATAGGGCCTTCTTTCTTCCTAGTAACATGAAATTGATGAAGAGTCTTCTTGTCTTGTTATCCTTATCAATGTAGAAGGATTGAAGAGTTGAAAATGGTATTTCTCTCTTGATTACTCCATCTTTGAACACGAGGACAGAATCATAGGCGAATTTGAGAATTCTCTTTTGTCTCTTTCCTGATTTGGTATCATTCTCAACGACAAAGGTTTGTTGTTTTTATAATGAGGTAAATCTCACCAACATCTGCAATGGTTTCAACAAGATTGTCACGTTGTTGATCCGAGACACAATTAAATCTCTTTTGAACTTCTTGTGAAGTAGGTGTGGTAATGGTCTTGGAATTGTAACCAAGACCATTACCACACCTTTCTTTCAATTGTTGTTCAGTTTCCGATCGATGTCTAATAATAAATTCATTGGTTTGTTTCTTGATTCGAATGTCAATGATCGAACTGAATAGAATTTCATCAAGAACAGTTCGAGTTGTTATATTTTGGCACCTTACACCTTACACTTAGTGTCAGTGCTGTTTGCATTTGACACTTGAGTGCCAAATGAATGAAGTGTGATTTGTATTTGACACTTGAGTGTAAGGTGCTATTTGTATTTGACACTTGAGTGTAAGGTGCGAAATGGATGTTGATTGAAATGGAGGTACTAGTTTGTGAACCTAACCATTCTACTTCGTGTTCATATAAAAAGGTCAATAACGAATCTATCAAACAAAAAAAAAGGCATGATTTAATCTCATGCATCTACTTTCTTACGTATGTTAGCTTGGACCTTCGTATGAAAGGAGTTAGGAGGCACAAAAGATGATATGTTCCTTTCATTCACGATGATAGACTCAGCCGTTAAGAAGTATGACTACGAAACAAAAAGTGATTCCAGTTCCCTTAATTGTACCCTTCTGATTGCTTCAGCTTGACTTTTGCTGTTACCGTCATTCCCAAATCACTCAAATTCGATTACATCAGCCAACAACAGTGTTGAGCACCATTCTCTTGTTCTTCTCACCGTTTTTGTAACAATTGAACAAAAGTACATGTCACTATGAAGAAAAGCTGGCAAGTTTCACTCCCCTGTTGAACCAAATGAAAATGTTTTCCTGTACTGCAAGTGTTTTTCCTCAACATAAATCGTCTCTCAAGTTCATTCAGCAAGCTCTGACATCCTGTTCGACAACTTCATCTCAATCTCTTTCAACGCCGTGTTGTATGGCGCAACATCAACTCAGAAAACAGGTGCTGAACGGTGGAACATTATTTGAACCACTGCCTCACAACGCTTCACCTTAGAAAATGAGCGTGAGTCTATTCTTCCCTCCATAAACTAAATTTCGTAGATGATCATTTGGTATTGTCGTTGTCAGACGAATTGTCCAAAAATTGCGTTCGTGATACTCGATGATGATTGTGTAGTGAAGAGAATTTTGAGGCCCGTTGCTCACAACCGTGAAGACGGAGGTTTGTAATTTCAAAATAATATTTAAATAAATTAAAAAATATACAGGTGCTGATGACACTCGGCACTCAAGTGTCAGGTGCTGTTTGCATTTGGCACTCCAGTGTTAAGTGCTATTTGTATCTCCTTTTTGGGACTACGTGCCATTGCAAACGGCACTAAAGTGTAAGGTGTAAGGTGCTAAAAGGTATGTCCTCGAACAGTTCCCAATTTGGAAGCTAACACAAGGAGAGATTCATAAGTGATTTTCAAAAGACGATCATTTCCAATTCACCTTTTTCTCCTTTCATTTGCATGAGATTGTAAGTTGTTGGAATGAACTTTTTAGAAACGAATGGAATCCAAATTTTGATTGGTTTTATAATGTCACTCAACGATGTCCAATCGTATTTGGTCTTGATGAGTCTCTGTCTTGTTTCATTTAGAATGATGTTCATCGACAGCATTTTTCTTGGTCTTTAAGTTTGAATGCAAGACATGTATGTAGGCTTTGGGACCACTTTTCAATATTGCTTGATTATTGACTTGAGTTGGGCAGAGTTGAAATGAGTTCAAATCTTTTCTTTTGATGGGCATTGCAACATCTTGAATGGCTTGCGATTTATCATTTTCGGGTTGCATTCGGAAAGAAATCACTGCTTTGGTGATGGATTTTGGAAGTGCAAATGACATGATCTCTTCATCATCAAATTTAGAACAGCAATGCTTCTGATAGCATTTTCTTCAAAAATACGAATTAATGAATTGATGTCTGATGGTGTGAATTTTATATCGGTAAGATAGTCATAGAGAAGATGAAGATCAGAATTCGTTTAAATTTTTTTCGATTTTTAAGCAAAAAACAACCAACTTGCAACATGAATTCTCAGTCAGCTTTCAACTCATTGGACGCATATTGAATTGATTCTAAAGTAAATTAATATCGTTCCAATGTTCGGGGAATGGTTTCAGTCGAATACTGTCCTCCAATGACAAATTTTCAATTGTTCCCGCTCTGGCAAGGTTTTGGAACTCAAAGTGATGTGACACCGTAATTGATTAAGTAAAGAGAACTCTAAATTGTGTGACACCGTAAAGGTTCGTGTATTTGCTTTTCGTCATCCATTCATTCCACAGTCAGTTCTCACAAAAAAAATGTCCCAACACTGTGAAATGATGACAACACAAATGACAAGTGTTCATATCCTTCTCGTTGATTTTTATCAAGTTTCCGCTCACAATCATCCTTTGAACATGCAAGCAGTGCTGAAAAAGAAATTCTCATTACAACAATTGGGAAAAACAAAATGGCTTTTGAATCGGGAATTGAAATATCAACATTTCTTTCCTGTTGAGTTTATGAATGATCCTGAATTTGTGTTGAATCACATCAAAAAGTATGGATATGGACTGAAATTTGCATCCACACAATTAAAACAAGATCGAGATTTTGTATTGAAAGTGGTGCAACAAAAAGGTTCAGAGTTACCGTTTGCAGATAAACATTTTCGCAATGATAAAGAAGTGGTATTGACAGCCATAAAGGAAAATGATGTATTATTTAGATATGCTTCAGTAGCGCTTCAACTTGACTGGGAATTTGTGTTAAAAGTTGTGAGACAGAATGGAACGGCTTATCAGTGGACCCATAAACTGGGAGATGACAAAGAAGTTGTGCTCACTGCTGTCAAACAAAATGGAACTGCATTGCAATGTATCAAATATGACAGCTCACAAAATTCAGATTGGTATGAAACAGTTGCATTAGAAGCAATCAAACAAAATAAGAATGCACTTCGATATGTTTCCAAAGTTTTTGTTCAAAATCAAGATTTCATGTTACAAGCTCTCAAATTAATATTTCCAGATGAATTGGAAACCTCATGCTCTTTTGATTATTCATCGAAAGAAATCATGATGAAGATCATTCAAGAATTTGGACTTTTACTTGAATTTGTGTCAAGTGAACTCAAAAGTGATCGTGATATAGTTTTGAGTGCAGTTAGAAATCATGGTCGTTCGTTGGCATTTGCTTCTAACGACTTGCAGAATGACAAAGAAATTGCATTAATGGCTGTTCAACAAGAGGGTAGGGCATTGCAATTTGTCTCTTCAGATTTGAAAGGAGACAAACAAGTGGTGTTGGCTGCTGTGAATCAAAATGGATGTGCTCTTGAATATGCATCAGAAGAGTTGCAGAATGATCGAGAAGTAGTCTTGAGTGCAGTAACTCAAAATGGATATTCTTTGTGTTATGCTTCAAATGAGATGAAGAAAGACAGACAAGTTGTGTTGACAGCTGTAAAACAAAGGTGTGGCGCCATTAGATTCGCAGATGATGAATTGAAAAAAGACGAAGAAATTGTGTTAGAAGCTATCAAACGAGATCTCTCTGGTTTTCTTTTTATTTCAAAGAAATTATTTTGTGACAAACCATTCTTGTTGAAAGCAGCAAAATTCTGTGGTAACACACTTCTACAATATACACCCAAAGAAATTACAGATGATCATGAATTTATGGTGAAACTTCGAGAAGAAATCAAAAGATCTGGATTTGCTTCAGAGTATGATGAGGAATTGTATCATGAAAGAATGGAATACTTTTATTATGGAGTTTATTTGGGAACAATTCGAAATCACTAAGAGCCGCTCCACCACTTGCAATACAATATCTTTTTTATTGAGATGGTCTGAATGTATGAAATGTCTCATGTCGTCATTGATACAAAGTTAAATTCTTCAAATATATTCACTGTTGGCCATACGTTTGACATTTTCTTTGTCGATTTCGTCATTGCTGCCAAGGTTAAGCTTCTTCAAATTCTTGGACTGCGCTCGCTAAAAAAGCAATGAAATCATCAAGCAATATGTTTAACACCTTGTCACTCAAATCTACGGTCGTTTGTGATAGCCTTAGTGTTCTAAATTACTACTGATAAAGTGTTGCAAATTTGCCCCAAAAAGGAGCCATCTACAGGTGAATGAGACTGGAGGTTATTGATAAGTGTCATCACACATTTGGTAAAGAACTGACTCCAGCTCTTTCACTCTTTCTCGTTGGTACTCCTTACTGCTGGGAGGGAGGTGTTGAATCATTTTTTGCGCTTTGCTATTACATTTTGTTGTAAATTATCAAGAGAATGATGGCAAAACAGATTTTTCATTGCCGTGTGTACATACGCCAACCACAAACCACAGATCCAAATTACAAATGCAAAAAAATGGCGAAAAGAGACCTCACCTCGTTCATTGAGTTTCAAACCAATCTCTCATCACGGTCGTCATTTCAAACCAAGAAACAAAAATTAACTCCAACATGGATAAATGATGATGAAAATGTTCGGATGATCCTTGTTGATTTTTCAACTTGTTTATTTCATCATGATGATGAAAATTATGAACACACTCGGAATGTAGAATTGTTATTGAAAAAGAAATTCTCATGGCAACAAGAAGGCAAAAAGAAATGGCTTTTGAACCGGGAATTGCAATATTATAATTTCTTTCCAGTCGAATTTATGAATGATCCTGAATTTGTGTTGAATCATATCATAAATTATGGATATGGATTGAAATTTGCATCCACACAATTAAAACGAGATCGAGATTTTGTTTTGAAAGTGGTTCAACAAAATGGTTTAGAGTTACAATTTGCAGATAAACATTTTCGCTATGATAAAGAAGTGGTGTTGACAGCCATAAAGGAAAATGATGAATCATTTAGATATGCTTCAAAAGCGCTTCAAGATGAGAGGGAATTTGTGTTGGAAGTTGTGAGACAGAATGGAACGGCTTATCAGTGGCACCATAAATTTGGAAATGACAAAGAAGTTGCGCTCACTGCTGTCAAACAAAATGGAACTGCATTGCAATTTATATATTATTTCAGATATACAAATTCAGATTGGTATGAAACCATTGCATTGGAGGCAATCAAACAAAATAAGAATGCACTTCGATATGTTTCCAAAGATTTCCTTCAAAATCAAGATTTCATGTCACAAGCTCTCAAATTAATATTTCCAGATGAGTTTGAAACCTCATGCTCTTTTGATTATTCATCGAAAGAAATCATGCTAAGAGTAGTTTCAGAGTTTGGATTTTTACTTGAATTTGTGTCAAGTGAACTCAAAAGTGATCGAGATATTGTTTTGAGTGCCGTCAGAAATCATGGTTGTTCATTGAAATTTGCATCAGAGACTTTGAGAAATGACAAGGAAATTGCATTAATAGCTGTCAAACAAGATGGTTGGTCATTGAGATATGTCTCTTCAGAGTTGAAAGGAGACAAAGAGGTTGTGTTGGCTGCTGTAAATCAAAATGGACATGCTCTTGAATATGCATCAGAAGAGTTGCAGAATGATCGAGAAGTAGTCTTGAGTGCAGTAACTCAAAATGGATATTCTTTGTGTTATGCTTCAAATGAGATGAAGAAAGACAGACAAGTTGTGTTGACAGCTGTAAAACAAAGGGTTGAACTCATTAGATTCGCAGATGATGAATTGAAAAAAGACGAAGAAATTGTGTTGGAAGCTATCAAACGAGATCTCTCTGGTTTTCTTTTTATTTCAAAGAAATTATTTTGTGACAAACCATTCTTGTTGAAAGCAGCAAAATTCTGTGGTAACACACTTCTACAATATACACCCAAAGAAATTACAGATGATCATGAATTTATGGTGAAACTTCGAGAAGAAATCAAAAGATCTGGATTTGTTTCAGAGTATAATGAGGAATTGTATCATGAAAGAATGGAATACTTTTATTATGGAGTGTATTTGGGAGCAATTCGAAATCGCTAACAGCAATTCCAAGCTGAGCTCTGCGCTACCAACTGGTTTTGTCTCTCTTGCAATACAAAATCTTTCCTGCGTTCGTCTGAACTGCCGAACTTTATTGAGGTTTTGCCTTTTGGATTGAATAAAGTTTTTGAGATGTTAAATAACACGAGTTTGGTTTCTTGGAAACACCTCCCTTCAAGCTTCAAAATTTTCCAATAAAAGCTCCATAATAACATTGCTCCATTCTTTCTTGATACAATTCATCATTATACTCTGAAACAACTCCACTATTTTTGATTTCCTCCATTATTTCCAACATAAAGTCAGCGTCGTCTGTAATTTCTCTGGGTACATGTTCCAGAAACATGTTACCACAGAATTTTGCAATTTGTAACAAGAATTGTTTGTCTTTTAAAAGTTTGTCAGAAGCATATAATACAGCATCTGTATCTTGTTTGACGGCTTCCAACACAATTTCTTTGTCACTTTTCAGTTCGTCGTGTGCATATTCTAGTGCTAAGCCATGTTGTACAAAAAACATATTCCAATGCCAAACCATCCTGCATGACAGCCAGTAATGCAATTTCTTTGTCATTTCTCAAATCTTCTGATGCAAATCGAAGTGAAATACCATCATTTTTAACTGCATTCAAAACTATTTCTCGATCACTTTTGAGTTCACTTGACACAAATTCAAGTAAAAATCCAAATTCTTGAACCACTCTTAGCATGATGTCTTTCGATGAATAATCAAAAGAATGTAACGTCTCAAATTCTGGAACCGTTAATTTGAGAGATTGAAGCATGAAACTACGATCTCGAAGTAAATTCTTATGCACATCGGAGTGCCTTCTTGCTGTGGTTGATTTCTGTAATTTTGTTGTCACATTTGAATCTCTCAATTTCTCAAGCATCTCGCTATTTTGTTTCACGGCAGTTAACACAACTTCCATGTCATTTTTAAATGTATCTGTAAACCAAAGAGCTACTCCGTTCAATCTAACTGCTTTCAACACAAATTCCTTGTCTTTTTGAAGTTCTATCGAAGCAAAATATCTCAATGCATATGGTTCTTGTGTTATAGCTTTCAGTACTACTTCTTGGTCGTTACGAAAATCTTGCGCAAATCGGAAATCAGAATATTGTTGTTGAACCGCTTTCAATACAAAATCTCGATCTTGTCGTAGTTGCTTGGATGCATGACCCAATCCATAACCATGTTGTTTAATATAATTAAAGACAAATTCAGGATCATTCATAAACTCCACTGGAAAGAATTTCTCATATTTCAATTCCCGATTCAATAACCATTTCTTCTTTCCAATTTGCAAATTGGAATGAGAATTTCTTTTTCAATAATATTTCCAATCTCCGAATTTGTTCTAACTGTTCATGAAAAGCATTGTTTGAACAATCAACAAGTATTATCCTCACATTTCTCACTGTTGTTGTTGTTATGAATACATCCATCGATCTCATCGTAATTGATAATATGAAACCGGTTCTTAGAGTTCCGATGGTCAGGATGTTCGTCGTGATCTTGTTTGAACATTTTTTTCAAGGTTACAAAATATCCAGAGCTTGTCCTTCTAATAATCATGTTTAGCACAACACGATATTTTGTACGTTAGAATGTAAAGTTATGTACGATAGCCATGGTTTATTTTATTATGGCTAAGAATTATTTCGTATATTAAAATATTAACAATATTAAATCAAATTAAGAAAAAAATGTCTGGACGAACGTCTGTGCTGAAGAACATCATGCTGTTAATCAAGGATGTACCCAAATCAGTAAAATTCTATTCGGAGGGATTGGGAATGCAAGTAAATCATGTGTCTGAACATTGGGCAGAATTGCAATCGGGACAAATTAAAGTTTGTTTAAACAAAGTAGAAGGGTAAGCATTTCGCTTACTTTTGAGAAAATGTAATCATCAAACTATTTCTTTGGATTTCATGGTTTCGGAAAATGTGGAATTTTTTCATAATAATTATTAATTTAAATCATTTGACAATTTTTTCAATTTCATTATTTCAATCAATTAGTGAAGCTGCATGCACAACTGGATATTCTCCTTTTCTTTGTTTTGACGTTACACAAATGGATAAAACCATTTATAAATTAATTGAAATGGGAGCCGTTCTTGATGGTCCAATTAAATATCCAGCTCATGGAAAAGTTGCTTCACTCCGCTCTCCTGATGGCCACATGGTGGGTCTGTTTGAGCATGCAGAACACTTAAAACAACAGGAATAATCATTCTAAGCCTTAGAATATTTCAGTAACTTGGATTGCCAATTCAATTATTATTATTTATTAAAAAAGTTTTGGATATTATTTGTGTTGGATAATGTAACTTCGATATATTGAAGCTCAACACACGTCTCTACCTAATAATGGTCAGAATGAATCCATGCTCGTGTGTGCTCTACTCAACACTCCTCAATTAGTAGCAATGTCTGCTTTCGTTTATCATTCTAGTGATGGTATCCTACGAATATTTGCGTCCATTATTTTTGTTCAGTACTTGCTTTCGGCACAGATAATAAGGAAGGATTGATGGTTACAGTCTTTGTGACGTCGCTCGTTTTGTAAATACCAACAAGAGTATTTGCTAATTCAAACATATTGTTTCTCAAACTAATAATCAAAAACTGAGCATCGTTTTTTGTTCGCTCCTTCACATAGTTTGCAACAATAGAGACGTTTCTAAAATCCAGAGCTGCATCAATTTCATCCATGACATAAATTGGAGTTGGTTTGTAGTGGTGCAAAGCAAATACTAACGCAAGCGAAGATAGGGTTTTCTCACCTCCAGATAAATTTGAAATGTTCTTCCAGCTCTTTCTTGGAGGTCTAACAGAGAAGACAATTCCTTCTGAAAATGGATCCAAGCTGTCAACAAGTTCCAATTCAGCGTCACCTCCCAAGGTAATGGTCTGATAAATTTCTTTCAGTTTCATTGTGATGGAAGTGAATCCTCTCATAAACTCATCTAAACGTTTTCTTCGTAACTCTTCATACAATTTCTGAGCCTTATTTCTCTCAATAGTAATTTGCTCAAGGTCTTTAACTTTGACCTTATAATCCTCTTCTTTCTTTTTGTAATCTTCAATGGCAGAAAGATTTGGTTTCATTTTCTCCAACTCTGAAACGAGAATGGTAATATCATAATTCAATGTTTGAATGTTCACCTGTTGAATTGCTTGCTTTTTCTTTCGTGCCAGTCGAACGCTAAAGCTTTTACCCATATCATCCTCCTCATCTTGCATCACATTGTCATCTTCTTGGTCGTTGGCCTTTTCATCGTCAGAGGTGTCCATCTCGTCCTCTTGCCCATTGGATGTTTTCTTTACTCTCTTCTTTCCAGATTCTTGTTGTTCAGCGCTTTCCAGTTCGAAAAGAACCTCAAATTCTGAGTCATACGTCTTTTCATGTTTTTCCATCTCCTCTCGCCTTTTAGTGACCAACCTCTCAATCTCTTTGACTTCTTTGATACAGTCATCCAATGAATTTTTAAGTTCAAGTTCTTTTTCTCTGGCCTTGGCAAACTGCTTTCGTACTTGTTCACACTCACTTTCTTTTTGTGTGGTTTCAGTCTCTTTTTCTTTCAGCTGGACTTCAAGCTCAGAAATTTCCATCATGATGGGAGCAGCCTCTTCTTCAATGAGTTTTTTCTTGGCTTCAATATCCTCTATTTTCTTTCCGATATTGTCAAACTCTTCTTGTTCAGATTTTAGCTGCTTCTCAAGCTTTTTAAGACTCTTCTCATGCGACTCTCTTTGAACTTGGACCTTGCTGAGCTTTAAATTGGCCTCGTCAATTTTGTTGTTAAGCTCTTTTACGAGATCCTTTTGCTTTTTAAGTTTACCATCTCCAACGTTCTCAATTTGAAGAACAAGCTTTTCCATGTCAGCCTCTAAGGATTTGAATTTTCTTCGATGATCTTCCAACTCTTTTTTATATTCCTCTAATTCGTTGTTCAAGTCTGTCAATCGGTCTTCATATTCCTTGCTGGGCTCTTTTTTAAGATCTTTTTCCATGTTTTTCATTTGGTTTTGTAGATCAGTAGCTGTTTTTTCAATGGATTCAATGTCAAGAGAAATTTCTTTTAAGCGCATTTCAATGTTAGAATTCTCTGCTTCCAGTCTTTTGAGCTCTTGAGAAATACTTTGTCGTTTGTACTGTTGTTGCAAATAGTCGTGTTCTGCCATTTCTAAATTAGACTTGGCTTCGCTAATCTCCTTTTCTGATATTCTAACAATTTTCTTTGCATTTCCTGAAAGTGTCATGAGCCCCTTAACGATGGTTTTACCACCACCGCTCATTGTACCATATTCTTCGATAAGATCACCCTTAAGTGAGACCACTCTCCATCTCTTTTGCTTGTTGTAAGCAATTCTGGTGGCCTGTTCTAGATCATTTGCTACAAGGGTGTTTTGTACACCATAATAAAAGGCCTTTCTGAATTTTTCTTCGTTTGGAGTAATGAGGTCATAGAGACGGGGTACTTTTTCAGGAATGGAATTTTCAGGAAGTGTTTGAGGAGGACTGATCTTTTCAAGAATAATAAATGTAGCAACACCTAATGAATGCTCTTTCAAATAGTCAACGCATTTTGTTGCTGCATCGGTAGTCTCAACAACAATGCTATTCAAAAAACCACACGCCATAGAAATTGCAATGTCATACTTGGGATCAATGGTTCCCAAATCTCCCAATCTACCGTACACGTCTGCAATGTTAGATTCATTAAGTAAAGCTTGAACAATTCTATTCTGTGAAATGCTGTTTTGTTGATCGGTTTTCAAAGTTGAGTAACGCTGTCTCAGCACAATGACTTGTTTCTCCATATCGCCCATGCCATTTTCGAGACTGGTTAACCGTTCTCTTTCTTCCTTTATCCTATTGATATTGTTAGCTTGTATCTTTTTGTTTTTTGTGATTTCTTCCTTTTTTGTCGTGAGTTGATTGTTGAGCTTTTCAAGCTCTGATTTCTTTCTCTCGTATTCCTTTTTGGTGCTGTCTTTTTTCTCTTGTACCAACTTGATCTCTGACTCAGCCAATGATATTTTCTCCTTAATTTCATTTTCTCTCTGTTTAAACGGAGCAAGTTGCTTGTTTTTCTCCTCTTTCTGTTGTGACAATGTGCTTATTTCTTTTTGGCATTGTTGATATATTTCGTCTACTTTTTGAGTAGCTTTCTCTAGATCTGGTGTGAGCTTTGAAAGTTCGCGCTTGAGACTATCCTCAGTGCTGAGACATTCATCGATCTTGTGCTGCAAGTCATCCTTTTTGCTATCACCTGACTTGAGACTCTTCTCCAACTGTTGTTTTCTATTTTTCGTGATTTTTAAATCCTCTTTCAATTTTTCGTCCTTATTTTCAAACTCGGTAAACTTGCTTTTCTGCTTTTGTAGTTTTTTAGAAATTGTGTCTTGCTCCTTTTTGCAATTCTTATAGAGTTCTTCTTTCTTGGAAATTTCTGCACTGACCTGCGAAAGTTTTTCCTTCTCGAGTTCGTGTTGTGCCTTTAATTTGGTATTCTCGTCTTGTTTTTGTGTCAATCGTTGAGAGGAATCATAAAGTTGCTTCTGAGCAAGCAAGTGATACTTTTCAACAAGGTCCCGTTTCTTCTTCAAATACTTGATTGCTTCATTCATGGGGCCTTCCAAAGCCTCCTTCTCTTTCTTGGCTCCGTTCACTCGATTCAGTTTTTCTTGTCGCTTTTCGTTCAATTGTTCCACCTCCACCAATGATTTTTCAATCTTCTCTACGTATTTGTTTGTTCCAATAATATCCTCAATATATTCAAGTAAACCATCTTCATTTTCTGATGGAGCTTTTGGTTTCATGAGAGAAATTTGCTCAACCTCTCCTTGAAGAATTAAAAATCTATTATTTTCCAAATCAATTCCTTTTGATTTAAGAAGATTTGTTACCTCTGTGTATGAGCTTTTCCCACTATCTATGTAATATGTCGAAACACTATTCCTATTGACCGTTCTTTTTACAATAAATTCTGAATCGGGAACAATTTCATGATTTGAATTATCATTTCTGACAAAAATCTCTGCAAAATGTACCGAAACGCTGGCCTCTTCAAGATTTGGATAATTCTTTGAGCTGTGAATTAATTCTGACAGCTTTTTCAGTCTCAATTTTTTGCCCTTTTTTCCAAATACGAATTGAATGGCATCAATTACATTGGATTTTCCGGATCCGTTTGGTCCAACAACACAAGTGAAGCTCTGAAAGACCAAATATCCAATGAATGGTTCCGTGATCAATCATTTCATCGAATGGTATTAAGTCGTTGTTAGTACTATTTCTTGAACCATCAATTCTCATGGATACATACCTTATCAAAGGGACCAATCTCTCTTTTACCAGCATATGATTTGAAATTCTTGAGAACCATCTTTTGGATGATGAGCCTTTTTCCACTAGAATGGTCAGTGGGCTCATTTGAATTCACATCTGCTTGCGAGGCAGTTGATGTTTCCAAATCTTCATCAACTTCCGAATCGTTATGCTTGTTATTATGCGAAGCTGATGATGATGAACCGGATGTGGACGAAGTATTCAATGTCATGATGATTCAATGGTTCTCCGTATTGTTGTTGCTGTTGATTTTAATAGCAATATGTGAAGTCCAGCAGCTGATTCCGAATTTTTTGAATTTGAATTTGAAAATTTATTTGATGAGCGGGAATATTTTTCTCGTGTGCTTCTAATCCGCATGGGCATGTTCTCCTTCTTCATCCTCTCGAATATCACTCACTTTCGTTCCACTGATTGCTCTTGCTAAAATTTTCAACACCAAATAAAACCAAAAGACGTGAAGAGCTACCAGTAAGCATAGTAAGGAAATAAGGACCCAATACGTGCTCACACAATATCTGAAAAGACAACATCCATAATCACTGACCTCTGCAGGGTAGATTGAATCTGAAACGTATCGAAAGAGGTAATATCTATACGTTTCCAAATTTCATCATGACGAACGATTATAATTTTACAATAATATCATATCCCAAGCATATGGTCAAACATTTCATTATAGAAATTTAAAATATTTTGAATTTGTTGTCTATGATTATACTCACACACTTACCTTGAAGGATCATCCCAACCTTGAAAATTCATGGCAGCCATATAAATAATATAAGGTAAAAACAAGAGTCTCATCAAGAAGAAGGACAATGTAAATGCCACAAACAACATGGTCGATATGGTTTCCATTTTGAGATGATGCATTCCTTTGGCACTGTACAAGAAAATGTCCACAAAATCATGCAAAATTAATACCAAACTTCCAACTCGATGATGATGAGCAGCTAGGCAAAATGTAATTAACATGATGGTTGCAATATGATGTGCGACCATTTCTGCAAAATCGACAATCTCTCATCAATAAACAATACAGTAAATAAAGCTTGTACATAAAAAGCACATCCCAGTAACATGTAAAACCTGAAATGTGGTGTCTCAAATCCAGTATGTCCATGTGGATATTCCAACACACAAAATGATGCATCCACAAACCACGAGGTCTCTTTCAACACAAAATACCCAAATACTGTCATGAACAAGTAATAGGAACAGAACCAAACATTTTCTTTGAAACGAGTTTTTGAAAGTGGAGAAATGTGTTTGAAACGTTCGGTGAGTGTCAATGGATGCAACACGAATTGATACATGAGTTTTCGGAGTATAAATATGACAATGGCCATTACCAACACTGTCAATGAATCATGAGAAGACCAATTAACTCTTCGAAATGGAGCTGGTTCGTCACTTCCGAGAATGAGAGAAAAGGTGTGAGGAGGACCTGTGACATTGTGTGGATGAGCAGTGTAGGCATATTCATTGTTGGAACCGTATAAACCAAACCATTCGTCGATGATGTGATAATAATTTTTCATCTCTTGATCAATGAGTGTTTGAGTGCTGAGTAATGATAATGATAATCGAATGAATGATTTGTGTTTGGATATGAAGAAAAAAATGTAAGTGGTGGAGCGGATGCTTTTTTCAAAATTCCGATGAATGGATAGACCGTTAAGGCAGTAAAATCGGAAACAATGTTTGTTTGCAAGATGCAACGTGATGGTCGTATTCGAGAGGAATGGTTTTGGCACTCTTGTCGCAATTTTTTTGTTGATTGCAAAAGGAAGAGCTCGTCACGTCCAACGTTCGAAATGTTCCTCTCTTGGCATGACCGTTGATGAAGGAATGAGAGTGGAAGGATATTGACTTGCATGACATTTGGCAGTTACTTTTACATGGCAATTACTGGTCGATAACATGCAAAAGCAACAAGGAATAGATCTTCAGAATGGCTGTTCTTTGCAAGTGTGTGTTTGGCCGTCCAAAATGGTCGTGCAATAATTTTTATTTGTCGTTGTAAAAAATCGGTCAACCGAGTTTTTTGGGATTGAAAAAATTTTCGTTGAAAAAAATACGTCGAAATTGGTTCGTATCACTCGCTCATTTTTTTGCTCACCTTCAATCATTTCACTTTCTGAATAACATCAACAACAACAGATTAACAATGGTCGCAACTGGTATCTCCGTCGGAAGACTTGGAAAGAGAGGTTTCCCAACAACAAAGAGACCTAAGGTCCAAAAGACAAAGAAGACCTCCAAGCACAGAGTTGTCAAGGATATTGTTGAAGAGGCTATCGGTATTGCTCCATACGAAGCAAGACTTATTGATCTTATCGAAATGTCCGAAAAGAGAGCTTTGAGATTTGCCAAGAAGAGACTTGGCTCTCTCACTCGTGCTAAGAAGAAGCTCAGAGCTGTCGAAGATCTCAAGAGAAGAATCAAGAGAAGACAACAAGACAGATTGAACGAACAACAAAAACTCCAAGGAGCTACTACTACCACTCAAAAGTAAATTTATTCCTCATAAACAAAAATTCTTAAATTCTCCAAACTTATTGTTCTGCTTTGACAAGCACTCTCCACGCCTCAATCTGCAGAATTACATTATCACCTGCAAAAAAATGTTCACTCCACAATCGTCATCAAGTAACTCGGGCGTCAACATTTTCTCGGCTCACTCGGCCTCTCAAATCCCAAATCTCAATCTTCGTATCACTCTTTCTCCTTTTCAAACACCAACCTATATTTATAATATTTTCTTTTCGACTCCAACAGGTTTTAGAACATTTAGTTTTACTCACTCGGGTCCCGATATTCTCATTCATGAAATACAAGCTCCACAAATTCTTCATACACGCACACTGAGAGGCCACACTAATCAAATCAGTGGGCTATCCTTTTCAAAAACGAATGAAAACATGCTCATTTCGTGTTCTCACGATAGCACAGTTCGGCTATGGGACTTGAGAATGTCTGACCAATCAAGTTGTGTTCAGTCTCTCTCTTTCGAAGGAACTACTCTCGCTCCTCAACTCAATACAGTGGATCTTTCTTTCGGAAGTGGATATTTATATGCTGTCGGAAGTGGACAAGTCATGCAACAAGGCTCCATTGCTGTAGGAGATTTACGTAAAAACACCTCTCCTCTTTCAAATTATTTAGTAATGGACGAAATTCATAGTGATTGCGTGAATCAGGTTTCATTTGGATCTAACAATATGCTTTATTCATGTTCCGATGATGGATTAATACATATTTATGACATTTCAGAGTCTAATCAAAAACAAGCGTACGACGAGTTGGAAGATTCTTTGGATGGAGCTTTAAATGTTGAGGACTCTGTAGAGAGATTTGGATTTTTAGGAACGACTAATTGTTTGTACGCTCTATCGAGTACGAATCACCTTCACTTTTGGCTCTATGATGCTCAGGAAGATGAATATGCAGATTATCGCGTCATGAAACGAGAAGACGAGTGGTACAATTTCAAACAATTTAAAGAGACGAGTACACAACTCTTAGATATGGACGCCCAAGATAATTTACATTTCGTTGAAGTGACAGGCTCTGTAGGAGATGATAGTGTCATGCTACACGCAAGTGCATTAGGATGTGTCTATGTTTTCAAGATGGCAAAGGATTTAAAGTCTCAAGAATTGGTGGCAGTCATGAGAGGAGGTCACTCCAAAGACTCCCTTATCCGTACTGTGAAAGTATTGAATTCAACAACCTTAATGACTGCTGGAGAGGATGGCAAACTTTGTGTCTTTACAGCAGATTAAATCATAGTCAAAATTGAACATTATTCAGTTGATGGAATAAAGCTTATGGAATTGAATTGTTTTTAAATAAATAATTAATAAATTTAAAAGTGCAAAAAATGTCGAAACAAGAGCATGTTCAGTTTCATGCCGACCCGAACACTATTGCACCTCCATCTACACGAAACAACACTCAAAAATTGATTGCAACAACAAGGATGAGAAATGATGACATGGTGAGGATGGTCATTGTTGATTTTTCAAATTCGGCTTTTCACGATGATGAAAATTATGATCAACAACACACCCAAAATTTGGAAAATTTATTGAAAAAGAAATTTACATTGCAACAAGCCGGAAAGAAGAAATGGTTATTGAATCGAGAATTGAAATATGAGAATTTCTTTCCAGTCGAATTTATGAATGATCAAGAATTTGTGTTGAATCACATCGAAAAGTTTGGTTATGGATTAGGCTATACATCACCACATCTAACCGAAGACAGAGATTTTATGTTGAAAGCAGTTCAACTCAATGGAGGGTATGCATTGGGATATGCAAGTGAAAGCATTAGAAATGATAAACAAGTAGTATTGAAAGCCATCAACCAAACGGTGAGGCATTGTGTGATGCCTCAATAGATCTTCAAAATGACACTGAATTTGTGCTAAAAGCTGTTCGACAGAATGGAAATGCTCTACGGGGTGTACACAGCGCAGTCTTGCAGCGAGAAGTAGCGTTAGCTGCTGTACAACAAAATGGAGAAGCATTGCAATTTGTTCAGTCAACAGATTGGATTTATGACAAGGTAATAATTTTTGAAGCAATCAAACAAAACAAAAAGGCACTTCGATGGGTACCTGCAGGTTTTCTACAAGACCCCGATTTTATGTTAAAAGCTCTCAAAATAATATTTCCTGAATTTGGGGCTTTGGAGTCTTTTGACTATGCCAACAAAGCAATCATGATCAAAGTTGTGCAAGAATTTGGATTGTTGTTGGAATTTGCGTCCAATGACTTGAAGCATGATAGAGATATTATTCTGAATGCTGTTAGAAATGATGGTGACGCATTGAAACTTGCTACTTGGTGGAGTCATGACAAAGAAATTGCATTGATCGCCGTTAAAAACAATGGTTACGCATTGGAGCATGTCTCTAACGATCTGAGACGAGACAGAAACGTTGTATTGGAGGCGGTAAAGCAAAATGGAAATGCTCTTCAATTTGCATCAAATGATTTAAGGAACGACTATGAGATTGCACTAGCATCTGTTAGACAAGATAGTTGTGCTCTGGCTTACGTAGGTGAGATGACAACACGTTATCCTGAAATTGTACTTGAAGCAATCAGAAAAAATAGCCATGCCGTGCGATATGTTGCCAAGAGAGTATTATACGACAAACAATTCTTGTTGAAGCTTGTCAAACTTGGATGCAACCATGTTCTACAATATGCAGCAAGACAATTTACTCAGGACAAGGAATTTGTGTTACAAGCTGTGAAACACGACGGCCTTGTTGTATCATGTTACGATTTCGTTTTTTCTTCTGACAAGGAAATCATGTTAGAAGCAGTTAGGAATAATGGATGTGCATTGAAGTATGCAAGTCGTGAATTGAGAAAAGATCCAGAGCTTGTGTGGGAAGCTCTTAAATGTCATGGTTACGTTTTAAAGTATAGTGATGAATTATTTCAAGTGAGAATGGATCATTGTTATTATGGTGCTTATTTAGGCAAAACCGAACAGTGTTCACCAAAAACCAAACCGCAATCAAAACAAGTACATGATGACATGAAAATGATTATGGTCGATGGATGTTCAAATGACACGATGAACGACGATTCTCGTTAGAACTTGTTTGAAAATCTTACATGTGTCATAATGGGTTTGAAGACGAATTCTCTCAAGACCAACGAACATTAGTACTATGGTGCAGATAGTTAATTCTTGTCAAGATTATCAAAATTGAGTACTGGAATTCTTTTGGTACCTTTATGAACTAAGGCTCCTCCACCTTGAATTGATTCCTTTTCCATGAAGGAATTATGAATTCTTTTGGGACCTTTCTATCAGGAAGAGTTGATATCTGTGTTGTACTGGTGAAGTATTGAACACTTGTTTACCACAATAATACTCATGTTTTACAACAAGTTTACGGCTAGAATATTGATCTATAATAATTTCCTTTCAAAAAAAATATTCATATGCCCAGTTTGATGAACACACAAGTCGTGCTGGTATTAAGTTCATTCTTTCAAAGTGATGATCACGATGATGATATTACTAATCCATACAAAATTCGGAGACTGGAAATATTATTGAAAAAGAAATTTTTATTGCAACAAGAAGGAAAATTGAAATGGTTATTGAATCGGGAAGCGAGATATGAGAGATTCTTTCCAGTGGAGTTTATGAATGATCAAGAATTTGTGTTGAACCACATTAAAAAGTATAATTATGGATTGGAATATGCATCGGAGCCATTGAAACGAAGTAGAGATTTTGTATTGAAAGTGGTTCAGCAAAAAGGCTCGGAATTAAAATTTGCAAGTAAAAATATTCTCAATGATCAAGAAGTAGTGCTAACAGCCATCAAACAAGATTTTATTGTATTGTCATATGCTTCAAGAGAACTGCAAGATAACAAGGAATTTGTGTTGGAAGCCATTCGACAGAATGGACTAGCTTTGCACTCTGCTAAAGCAGAATTTAAGGGAGACAGAGAAATAGTTTTGACTGCTGTCCATCAAAATTGTGACGCCTTTTTAAGTGCATCCAAAGATATGTCAAAAGACAAACAAATTATTTTTGAAACAATCAAACAAAATAAGAAGGCACTTCGATGGATATCAAAAGATCTTCTCAAAGATCATGGCTTTATGTTGGAAGTTCTAAAGATTATATTTCCAGAATTTAAAAATTTAGAATCTTTTGATTATTCTCAGAAAGATATAATGCTCAACGTTGTTCGAGAGTTTGGATTTTTGTTGGAATTTGCAAGTGAATCACTCAAGAATGATCGTGATAATGTTTTAAATGCTGTCACCTCGGTTCATTTTGCGTTATATGATAATTCACTTTGTTTTGCTCATGAAGACTTGAGAAACGACAAGGAAATTGTACTTGCGGCTGTAAAACAAGATGGATATGCATTACAGTTTGCATCTGAAGAGCTAAAGAACGACAAGGATGTTGTACTTACTGCTGTCAATCAAAGCCGATGTGGTTTTTGCTATGCATCTGATGCCATGAAGGAGGATAAGGAAGTTGTGTTGACTGCTGTCCATCGACATGTGCATACCTTATCTGGGGCTGAAAAGTTTAGAAACGATAAAGATGTGGTATTAGCAGCTGTACACAAAGATGGGCTTTCTCTATGTTATGCATCCAACGAGATGCAGAATGACAGACAAGTTGTATTAACAGCGATAAGACAAAATGGCTTCGCTCTCAAGTATGCAGGTGAGAAGATGCAAAACGATCCAGAACTTGTTTTGGAAGCTATCCAACAAGTAGGGGGTTATTGGTATTACTCTCAAGTATTGCAATACGCTTCCAGTGAACTATTGAGCGACAAACAATTCTTGTTAAAAGCGATCAAGCTTGGATGTGAAAATATTCTAGAATTTATACCAATGCCAGAACTTGCAGACGACAAGGAATTTGTATTAGCAGCATGCAAACACAATGCTCTTGGTATCATTGGAGACTATTACATTTATTCAGACAAGGAAATCTTGTTACAAGCTGTGAAAAATAATGGATTTGCATTGCGATATGCCAGCGAAGAGTTGCAACAAGATTCAGAACTTGTGATGGAAGCACTCAAATGCAATGGACATGTGTTGGACTACACTGATGAATTATATCAAGAAAGAATGAAACATTGTTATCATGATGCATATTTGGGTACAATTACACGATAAGCATGGACAACAGCAATTGAAATGATGGCGTTTGTTGGTATTAAAGCACAGATGGTTTGTATGCTACTTTATTCAGAAAACAAGTCAACCACCGGTTTGAATAATTCCCTAGCTTGCCTTAATTCGGTCATGGTTTAAGACACTTTCCACTTTGGTGATGTTGTTTATACGTTATTATCATCAAGATATCACACTCTTGTTAGATAAATCAGAGAGTTTTCCAATGAATGAAATTCTTAAATTGGTAGAGCTTAACCTTGGTTTCTGACAGTAGTCAACGCAATGTCTATGTCGTTTTGCAATTCATCTGATGTAAATTTAAGCAAAACTTTAACCACTCGCACCACAACTTCTTTGTCTGCATCATCAAAAATTTTGAGAGAACAATTTTTGGGCTTCGGTGCATCTCTTTCATCAGTTTTACCTTAACAGTCTTTTGTTTCGCAGCAGTTACCATGATTTCTTGATCGCAGAGGTATTCCACAAAATAATTCCATAGATGAGGATCAAAACCAACTTGTTGTTGATAATTAGTGGACGTGTCGCATTAAACATTTTCAAGACCTTTATTCCACAACCATTCCATTGGATTTTTGAGATGTTCAACAGTTAAAACGACCATCAATTTCTATAGGAATTGCTCATTGCTCCCAAATAAGCGTCGCAATAGCAATATTTCATTCTTTCTTGATATAATTCATCACTATACTCTAATACAAAACCATTGCATTTAAGTGCTTCCAAAACAAGATCCGGATCTGTTTGTAACTCTTCAGTTGCAAAAAACAACGATGATCCATCGTTTTTCACAGCATTTAACATGAGTTCCTTATCTGGGCAACTGTAATCGGCTCCAAGCACTCCAAAACAGTTCTGTTGGACTGCTGTCAACATGAATTTCTTATCTTTGACTAATTTCTTTGGAGCAAATTCAAAAATGTTTTCACATCCATGTTGAATCAAGGACATGACAAAATGTTTGTCTTGCAATAAAATCCTGGAAGCAAATTTCAAGGCACTCCTGTTTTGTTGAACGGCTTCCAGCACAATAGTTGGATCCCCTTTCAACATGTTGGATGCATACGCAAGAGACTCCCCATTTTGTTTAAGGGTAGCGAATACCACTTGTCGATCGTTTTGCAACGCTTTGGATGCGTGTTCAAGATCACTTCCATAGTGAGTGACAGCTTCTAACACAACTTCCTTGTCATTCCGCAAGTCTTGAGAAGCATGTTGAAGAATAGACTTATTTCTAGGTTGTTTGACAACTTGTAACACTATATCCTTATCATTCTTAAACTCTTCAGATAGGTATTTGAATGCTCCGTAATATTCTTTGATGGCAAGAAATGCCAACTCTCGATCGTGTTGGAGGGTATCAGATGCAAACTGAATGGAACTTCCGTAATTCATGACTGCATTTTGAACAACCTCTCGATCGTTTTTAAGTTCATCACTCGCAAATTCAAGCAAGTACCCAAATTTTTGAACTACTTGGATCATGCACTCCTTGTTGGAATAATCAAAAGTTTCCAATTCTGGAAATATAAATCGGAAAACTGTTGACATGAACTTGGTATCTTTGAGAAAATCGCTCGAAGCATACTGGAGTGCTTGTTCTTTTTGTTTCACAGCTTCCAAAATAATGTCTTCTTCCAAGTCATCGAGGCATTGCAACACTTCTCCGTTTTGTCGCACAAGTTGCAACACAAACTCATGGTCATCCAGCAATTCTTCAGAGGCATGTTCGAAAGCCAATGATTCGTTCTTTACTGCTGCCAATACCACTTCTTTATCACTGAGAAATGTTTCATCTGCAAATTCAATTTCTGAACCCTTGTGTTGAACCACTTTCAACACAAATTCTCGATCTTGTTTTAGTGGTGTAGATGCAAGTTCCAGTCCATATTCATACTTTTTAATATGATTCAACACAAATTCAGGATCGTTCATGAATTCGACTGGAAGGAATTCTTCATATTTCAACGCTCGATTCAAAAGCCATTTCTTTTTACCTTCTTGTTGTAATGAGAATTTCTTTTGTAGATGTACCATTTCCTTTTGAACAGGAGATTTCGACGATGAATTTGAAAAATCAAGTAGAATCAAATGCACATGATGTTTGTCGTCATTCTTTTCATCCATGCATGTCATACTTGTTGGTTGTACCAATTTTTGTTTCTTGATTTTTGGTGATACATCAAACTCCTCTTGGTTTTCGGTGTTGTTGTCGAGGTTGTTGATGGAAGCCTGGGTGTGGTCATGATCTCGTTTGAACATTTTTTGTGCACAGAAACAACTCGTAGACTTTCAACATCTGACAGGAAGTGGACCTCCTAAAATTCATCAGTCCCGCGGACCCTGTGAGCCTTTACAAAAAAAAGGTGTGTTTCAGGGCCGGGTTCCATTTTGCCACTTTTGTTAGGTTTCGATGAAACTCAATTGAGTTAACTCATCATCTTCTCGTCAAGATCCGTCCAAAAAATAATTAGGAACCATCCATGGATGGCCCAGTTCTCTTTGAAATTTTCAATTTTCAAATATCTCTATTCCAAACATTTGCTCTCTTCCATCGTTCTCGTTTGTCGTGAATGGAATTGCCGAATGTGTCGTGAAACTTGCACCACTATCATTTGACAACTTTCCGAATCAAAAAAAATTTGCTGTTTTCTGAATTACTGCAGGGAACTTGGTTGTGTCACAAAAAATCCATACAATTATATGAATCATGCAAGAACGAAGGAATTTCTTTCTTTACATCGGAAAGAACAATATTCTGTTGGTGACTTTCATCCTTGAATTGAGCAAACTTCATTTTCAATAAAGGTCCTTTGTTTGAGATTTGAATACATTCATTATTGAACTGTGTAAAAATAGTGGTTTTTGCATTCTCTTTCGTACATATCCTCAAAGGAGTCATCATGGAATCAAAAGCACACGCTCTGGGTGTTGTTACCGGTGAAGAAATGGATCCAACAGAGCTAGTGTCCGACCCTGAAGAGTCCTCATTTCCATTCAGTAACATGAATCGCTCAAAGGGAGTCTTTTGAAAAGGTCGTGAAGGAGAAGTATGAGTAGTAATACCGAGCGCATGGGTGTGTTTTGGAGATGATGATTTGTCGTTTTTATCCGACGATATGGAGAATTTTCTTTTTGGTGAGCCACTTATATTGAGGTTTCCGGGCCGGCTGTGATCATTACTCATGCTACTGTTCAATAAACTCTTCTTGTACATTTCTCGAGTTGTATCCGTGGTATTCATTGTGAACGGAGCATCTGATGGTGATAATGTACTTTCAAATTGAGTGGTAATTCGAGAAAGACTCGAAGAAAAAAGCCTTCTCTTTTCTCCCATTTCTGGTGTTCGGAGTGGGAGTGGTGTGGTAGGCATCTGTTGTTGATGAAAATTTTCTTCCATGTTAGATGATTATATATACGATGAGAATTAGAATTTGAGGCGATCTCGAATTTTTTTTCGTTGTAATTTTTGTACCGCCTCAATGCCTTATTTGTTGAACAAATAAATTCATAGATCCATGTAGTAATGAATCAACATATGTCGTCATGAATATTCCAAAACGCATGCACACCAACAAATTACTCCTTCTTTAGAACCAGTTGTCGAGTGACCTCTTCACACAATTCAACCATTCTCTTTGCATGAAGAATATTCACAATCATGGCTATAGAGATACCTCGAGAAGGAACCATGTACAGTATGGAACAACAACCGCAGGCTCCTCCCGTATGATACACGAGTTTTTCTTCTTTACCATTCAACTGAATGGATTTCACAACAAATCCAATTCCATACTGAGTAGGTAGTCCTTCATTGGTTTTTTGAGAAATCCACAAGGTTTGATCAATGAGTGGTCCAGGAAGTAATTTTTGTAAACCATTCGCAAATTTGATAAGATCCTGACATGTGGATAACATGCCACCTCCAGCCCATTTGTAGCTGATAGTTGGATTGGTATTAATACAAATCATAACAATGATCATCATAAATTCGTTGTGAGGTCATACCCAAATTTCAAAGACATATATGTTGGAATACTACATACCTATTGTCTACACTTGGTACATTTAACAATTCATAAGCATTATCTCCAGTATCTCTCATGTAGAATGAACTTCGATTGTAAATGATCTTATTCTTTTCATCGAATGTGGTATTATTCATCTCGAGTGCATCGAAAATATGCTTCTTACAAAATGATTTAAAATCTTTCGCATTTTGAAGGAAAATTTTTGTTTCAAGCGGCAATAAAGGATTCTCTGATTGAGCTTTCAACACCTCTTCCATTACAGCACTCATAAGCGTATAGCCGTATGTGGAATAAGAATACTTGTCGCCTGGTTTGGCCACAAGCTCGTCTCGAATGAACATTTCACATGCATCAATTATAGAAGGATAGTTTTTGCTCCAGCTCATGAATTCCTTCTCGACGTCTTTGTAATCTCTTACACCACTCATATGTGAGGCCAATTGTCGTAGAGTGATGGTATTAAATTTCTCTTCCTTGTACACGAGTTCTGAAGGAATTTTCTTTTTTGATTCTTCTGATAGATATTCAAAGATGGGCCGATCTAAATCCACAAGCCCCTTCTCAATCATTAAAGCAAGTGCCACCGTGGATATGGGTTTAGAAATACTTGCAATTCGAAATTTGGTGGTATCATTGACAAGAACTCGTTGTTCAACGTTGGAAAAGCCAAAACATTGTTGATAAATCAGTGATCCATTTTGAGAAATTGCAACTTGCATACCAGGACTAGAAACTGTTTCTTTAAATGACTGAAATATTAAATCAAGTTGTTTCTTTTGTTCTTGGCTTAGGGTTGATTGGGATGGAATATTCATTGAGTGTTGTTGTTGCTCATCTCCCATGACATGCTGATGATCAAAACCTTCCTGAGCAGTAATTGTGCTGTTGATATTTGGATGAATACTATCTTTCAATAAATACCAAGCCAATCCACTTCCAACAATACAAGCAAGAGCCATTTTCATTAAATTCGTATGATGATTTGTTGTGTTCCGACTCGGAAATTCTGTTTGATCATCATTTCCGATATTGTTGTTCTTATAATTGTGATGGAAATGATACTTTGAAAATCTGTAGCACCATCGTTTTGATCCTCCGAAAAGAAGAAAATTTTGACAACAATTCCGACGAAGTATTCAATCTTTTCCTGCGAGAGAAACTGCAGTATGTGGTTCGAACCAATTTTTTCATTTTGTTCACAAATCAACGTTGTGCTGATCAACCATCGTGGTATAATACAGAATTACCAAGTTCGTGGTAGACATTTTGAATTTCTAAATGTTAAAAGGCAGTACTGTACACCTCTGTTAACAGGTGGTTATTAAGGTAAGAGTAACAATAGTGAACAACCGAGAATTTGAGAATTTCCAAGGATCATCCAGATACTTCTCAGAACTGACGGCACCATTCAGTGAGGTTTGGTACAACTAATGAAGTTACCCAAACTTGATCGTTGACCTGTCAAACACGGGTAATATCTTCTCAAGACACCGTTTTAAGTATTTCAACACCAGCCGTCCGACCGTTTGTTTGTTTCATCGTCCATATGACCATATATGTGAGCACCACTCTGGCAGCGGATAATTATGTCATTTCCACATTCGCTGGTACAACAAGTGTGGTGATGGATACTTGGCCAATACAAGTTGTGTCTATTATCCCAATGGTGTGTATGTGACTTCTCAAAACGAGCTCTACATTGCTGAATATAGTTCACAACGCATTCGAAAGGTAACCATCACTACTGTGGCCATCATGGAAGGAGTTAATCCTACCAGTGTCTTTGTGACTGAATGGAATCAAGACATCTATGTCACTGATAGTAACAAGCATAGAGTTTTTGTCTTTTTCCCAAACCAAACCATTTCCATTGTTGCTGGTAATGGAGTTTCAGGAAATTCTCAGGATGGAGATTCTGCTTTGGGTTCTGTTCTTTTTTCTCCCGATTCTGTTCATGTCACCAAACAAAATGAAATTTTCATAAGTGATACTTCAAATAATCGAATTAAGAAGGTGGTGAATGGTCGAATTTACACCATGGATTGTTTCAAGATACATGTACTTTGGCCACTCAGGTACACTTAGCAAATCCAAGAGGAGTGTTTGTTCATGAATCTACGGAGAGATTTACATTGAAGATACCAATAATTTTTGATTCGAAAAATTGCAACGAATGGTGTCCTTTCAACTTTGGCAGGAGTTAAGGGAGTTGGAGGAGATGCTCTCTCTGGTCCAGCTGTGAATGCTTATTTGAGATCTCCACAACGAGTAAGAGTCCCTCGAACGGGGAAGTCTATTTTGTCGATCGTGCCAATGAAAGAATTAAGAAAATTAATAGTCAAGGAAATATTCAAGTGATGGCAGGAATAGGAAGTGTTGGTTACAATGGAGAGAATCAATTAGCCACGAGAGCCACGTTGACCAATGTTCAAGATGTTTGGGTTGCTCCCTCTTCAGGTGAATAACATACATAACGATTGAACGCTTCATTTTCAAACTTGTTGAGTTTGTTCATGGCTTCCAATGGTGGCATGTACATTGCTGAAATGTCATTAATTCGAAAAGTTTCTCCAAGTCAAAATGGTCTCATTACCACTGTGACCATGATTGACGAATGGGGAAGTCTTTACAATGCTCGTGGACACTTTGTCACTCCACAAGATGAAATTTTCTTTGCTGTTCAATGGGGAAACCAAGTGAAAAAATTCACCACGAGTAGTGGCGTGACAGAATTGATCGCAGGAACAGGGATGATGGGAGATTCGGGAGAAGGAGGTTTGGCAGTGAATGCTCGATTGAGAAAACCCTCGGCAGTATTCCAAAATCCATTTAATACTTCATTGCTCTTCATTGTTGACACTGGAAATCACAAAATCAAAATGGTCAACATGACCGATGGAACAATTTCAACATTATGTGGAACTGGAAGTGCCGGCTATTCGGGAGATAATGATACAGCCTCTCCTTAATGCACCAATGACAGGTTTCTATCATTCCAACACGAATAGTATATATATTGCTGATACTGGAAATAATGTCATTCGAAAAATTCAAGTCAATTCAACAGATTTTGCTTCTTCCATAATAACCACCGTGGCAGGTCAATTTTATCCAAATCCTCCAGGTCCACCCAGTTGTTGTTGTTGTTCATGTTGATGATGATCATGATTTCTTCTAGTGGGTGGGTTCAAGTATTGCTCAATGGTCCTACTTCTGTGGTTGTCAATTCGAAAGGTGACTTGTTCATTGCCGATAATGGAAATCAGAGAATTCGAAAAGTTTCAGTGGAGGAGGGTACCATTACAACCATTGCTGGAACTTCTGAAACCAATGTCGTACCAAACAACGATCCAAGAGGAATCTATCACGCCTTGACGAGTCCCTTCTCACTGACTCTTCATCCCAACGATGACATTATTTACTTTTCGGATAATGGTCAAGTGTTGCAATTGAATCAACCTCAACGTTTTGGAGTGGATGCTTCCAATAGTAGCGTTTGTAGTGGACGTGGAAATTGCACCAATGTACAGGAATGTGAATGCATTCAGGGATGGGGTGGTCCAAATTGTCAATTTCCATTGTGTCAAAATATTCGAGCCGATAGTGTCAATGTATGTGGAGGTCATGGAACTTGTACGAGTCCAGATGTTTGTGTCTGTCATGACTCTACGAAATATGCTGGAGCCAATTGTGAAATTCCAAAATGTTTTGGTCAACTGGCAACAGATCCCAAAGTGTGTACCTTTGGAAATGGAACTTGCAAAGGTCCAGATCAGTGTGTCTGTTCCTCACCATGGATTTCAGGTCCAGAGTGTGATTCTCCAGTGACGTGTTTTGATGTGCCGTATCATAACTCGTCGAGTGTATGCAGTGGAAATGGACAATGTGTTTCGTCAAATAATTGTACTTGCATACCAGCCTTTGTTGGGAAAGCATGTCAATTGCAAACATTGGCCAATGATGCCACTTTGAAATTCAACGTGTCAAGTGTATATGCTCAAGATTTTGTCCGATTGGAATTGAACATTCCATCCTATTACTATTCATTACCGTATGCAAGTCAAAACATGATGGCTGTCTTTAAGGTTTCGTATTATCACACTTTGGTGTTCAATCGAACCATTCCAAAAGGATCATACAGTGTGGCGGAAGATTTAAAGTTCCAAGAGTCGACGACAGTCACAGCGTTTGCAGTGATTGTAGACGTTGATCAACAAGTTCAACTAAATCGATTCCCTTTGCAGACAGCACCATTGTCAGTATTACCTTCGAGGAATGTTCAAGTTTCAAAAGCAACGCTGTCAAATTGGTTTGTCGAAGTGTATTTATGGAAGTGGTTACTTGTAGTGATCATGTTTTGGTTTGGATTCTTGTAACTATGACCATCAGACTCAATAGGCATCAAAACAGCCATGCTTCATATTTAGATTGACGTCAATTTGCAAAGTGTTCACACAATCAATAATTTTCCAAATACACACCATCATAACATTGTTCCATTCTTGCTTGATATAATTCATCACTATACCCCAAAACATAACCATTGCATTTAAGTGCTTCTCGGACAAGCTCTGGATCTTGCTGTAATTCTTTGTTGGCAGCACTCAGTGCAAATCCATCTTTTTTCACTGCTTGTAACACCATGTCTTTGTTTGATGTTTTTATCCCAAAACGCCTGTTATAGGATTTTATGGTAGCAACACTGTTCAATTGGATAGCTATTGACAAAAATTCCTTGTCATGCGCAAATTTATCTGGCGCATAGAAAAAAGCATCTTTACATCCGAACTGAATCAATTGCAACAAGAATTGTTGATCAGCGAAAAGTTCAGAAGAGCCATATTGAAAAGCTTGGTCGGTAGTTCTGACAGCTTCTAATACAATTTCTTGGTCACATGTTAGATGATCGGCCATATATTTGAGAGCATATCCATTTTGCCGAACAGCAGCCAGTGCAACTTGTCTGTCTCTTTTTAACTCTTTGGAGGCGTGGTATAATGCATGTCCACTTTTGGTTACAGCCGCTAATACGATCTCTTTATCACTTTGTAAAGCAACAGACGCACTATCCAGAGAATTTCCATTTTGATTGACCGCTGCTAATACCAAGTTCTTGTCTCCCCTCAACTCATGAGAAACGTGTTGTAAGGCACAGCCATTTTGTGCCACTGCCAGGTATGCAATTTCCATGTCATTCTTTAACTCATTGGAGGCATATTTCAAAGAAAAACCATCATTTCTGACTGCATTTGAAACAACATCTCGATTGTTCTTAAGTTCTGGGGATGCAAATTCCAGTAAAAATCCAAATTCGCTAACTAGTTTGGCCACAATTTCTTTCTTTGAATAATCAAAAGAATCCAAAGTCTCAAATTCTGGAAATATTATTTGTAAACATTTTAACATGAAATCACTAGTTCGAAGTAAATTCTTTGGAACCCATCGAAGAGCCCTCTTGTTTTGTTTGATGGCTTCAAAAAGAATTTCAGTGTCATTGTTCAAATCTTTCTTCGCACAGTCCAACAATTCACCATATTGCCTCACAGCAGTTAACATAATTTCCTTGTCCTGAAGTGAGGGCAAATAAAGCGAAGAGCTTTTCCGTTGTGTCGAACTGCTTCCAACACAAATTCCCTGTTTTTTCGAAGCTCTGTAGCATAATACAATGAGCTTGCTTTTTGTTTAACAGCTGTCAGTACTACTTGTGGATCATTTCGAATAGATCTAGTTGTGAATGATAATTCTGAACGATCTGCTAAAATTGTTGAACCTTTGAGTTGAAAAATTTGTAGAACAAAGTTTGTGTCTTGTTGTAATCGTTTGGACGCATATTCTAAACCATAATCATACTTTTGGATGTGATTCAACACAAATTTCGGATCGTTCATAAACTCAACAGGAAAGAAATTTTGATATTTCAATTCCCGATTAAAAAGCCATTTCAGTTTTCCTTGCTGTTGCAATGAAAATTTATGTTTCAACAAGAGCTCCCATTTCCGATTTTCATCCAAACATTGTTTGCCATCATCAACACGATGCAAAGAATTTGAAAAATCAACAAGGATTATACGCACATTTTCATCCACGTTTGTCCTTGTAAGAATGACTTTTTGCTTCTTCGTAACTCGACTTGCTTCCACGTCGTTGAAATAATACTCTTGTCCATCGTTTTCTGGGCTGCCAATTGAATCTCGCTGAATCATTTTTTATTGCGGATAGTATCAAAGTGTGTCTTTTTTGAAAAACGTGCAAAAAACAACAACTGGCAACACAAATCAACGAACAATAAGAGATCTTCAGTTCACTCGAAGACATTTAAATCTGGTTTCCACGGAGGTTCTTGTAACACACGCAAACAAGGCTTACAATAGAGTTTATTAATATTGACCGAACTCCAGTTGTTTCGTCCAGTATTTCGTTTTATGCATTGTCATGCAAGTATTTGCATCTATTTGAATATTTGAATTCTAGAGTTATCAGTATCACTCACATATAATTCTCCAGTGAGCTCATCAAGACAAAGACCTTGAGGATACCTAAACTGTTGCAGGTTACTTCCCGATGTTCCTATTGATTTTAACAGATCTCCATGTTGTGTGTAGATCTTGATGGAATGGTCATAGCAGTCGCATGCAATAATATTCAAGGACGCTTTATCGACGGTAAGGTACATTGAATAAGACCATGAAGAATTTTTGGATGCAGTACTCTCGACTAACTGTTTCTCGAATTGCCAAACAAATTTTCTTTCAGAATTTTCCGCATTGTCATTTTGAACGTTTTTAAAGACTATTAAGCGATTATAAGGATTGCCTTCTCCCACAATCATCGTATCATGGTCAAAAAAATCAATGCCTGTAACTCGTTTTACATTTACAGGCATTTGAATTACTTGTAATAGTTGACCATTTCTTGTGTTAAACACTTTCACATCCGTGGTATCTGTTACAAATAGTTGACGGCTCTCATGAACCACCATGCTGCTGGGATTTTTCAATTTCTCTGATGTCCATAATGCCATCTGCTCATTAAAATTGTTCGTTAATAATTGATGCAAATCAAATTTCACAATACACAAACTTGAAACTATGAACAAGGCATCTTGATTCTTGTTGTTATAATTTCTCTCCAAACATACTGAGCCAGATTGTTTCGGAAGAACGCGTTTCAATTGTTTGGACGACAATTCCAAAATTACAATTTTTTGATTGTTGAAATCGCTAAAAATCATACATTGATGATTGTATGAAATTTGAATAGCAAGCGGTGCTGCCATGGAATAGGTCGACATGTTGTGTATCATGCTTTTTGTTTCTTCATTGAAAACTTCAAACTGTTTCAAATATCCAATCGCTTGACAATTACAAGAGAAGGCCACCTCTTTTTGGATCTCATCTTTTCTCGGAGTTGATCATACAATCGGATCTGAAGTGGATCATGTATTATTGAACTTGAGAAATCCGAGAGTACTAGATGTGTTTCATAAATTTCAACATGATCACACCAAAATGAAACGGACATTTTTTTGGATTATAAAATTGTTGTTTAATAATCATGGGAATCTTCTTTTGAACAGCAATTGAATGAGGCTTTTAAAAATCAATTCGTTATAGCTCAAGTGAAAGACTATGGAGTTTAAAAAGAACAAAAAAATTCAAAAGAACACTTGCCCGCCAAAAAAATTACATTGAAGAGCATTTGAAACTAAATGAATCATCCGAGTAGCAACAACCACACGAGACGATCACTCGCTAATACCACGAGTTTTCAAAAAAGTAGTGCTCCTCCTTCTGCTGCACATTATTCAAAATCATTACCTCAATTCCCTTTCAATTCTATGGAATCCTCCATATCGAGCAGCTTTTCCAATCTTTCGATGCAACCACCACCTCCTCCTCCGAATACTAATTTGAATGTGAGTTCGATGAGTCATGTATCGTCAATACCACCAAAACCATCCCATTCCGATCATGCCTCTTCTCTTGTTTCTTTAAATGACTTACAGGAACAAGATGTATTTAAGGTTTTATCCTTCTTCTTTCCCAAAGGTTCCCAATTTTCAATGAACAAATGTGAATGTGGCGCTTTGTGCCCCTTGATTTCAATTCCTGCTTCCTATCTGCATCAAGTCGATCCTTCCATGGTGCAACGATCTCTCCAACAACGAAAAGAAAAAAATGCATCAGCACAACAACCAAAAATCATCATTCGAAGAACACCACACCGAGAGGTTTCCATCTTTTTTGACCCGGAAGCTGCTGATAAAAACAAAACAATAATGCATCAAATTGATGAAGGGTTTACAATTAAAAGAAATGAGAGAGCGGTGAACACGAATAATATAACAGCAAATTTAGTATCATTGCTTGGAGCAGATGATATTTTGGGTGCAGCCAGCCACAAAACGGATGGAATTTCATCCATGAACGCAGACACAGAAAATATTAATACCATTGGTTCATCATCCGATGGACGAATGTCACGATCTTCGAATATTCAAATGTTGCTCTCAGAATATGAAAATCAATTGAAATCTCTTCGAGAACAGCTTGATCATGTCATGTCTGAAAAGCAACTCATCCAATCTGCCTCTCATAACATTTCCGAAAAAGCTGGGAAACAATTAGAAGAAATCTCGAGGCTTCAAGATGAAAATGCCTCTCAAAGAGAAAAAATTAACAACCTTCGTAAGGTTGTAAGATCCTATGAGGCAATAATTAACAAGAATGAAAACGACAAATCATTACTGGAGCACAAAACTGAAGAAATTGAAAAATGTAAATCCATAATCAATTCCAAAGATAAAGAAATAGATCGCCTGCAAGAGCAAATAGTGCTGAGTAATGATTCCATTAATCAGGCAGCAGAAATTAAAAATCATGCGTCCAAGAAAGAACAAGAATTATTGCTTCTCAGTGAAGATGTGCAAAATTTGAAATGGGAACTTGCAGAGAAGGAGCGACTATCACAAGAAAAAATTTCAGAATTGCAGAACTCGGCCGACATGTTGTCACAACATTTAAAAGTTGAACAAGAAAAGAACAGGAGCATGAAAACTGAGTATGACCTGTTGATTAGAAACAAAGACGCTGAATTGGTATCTCTGAGACAGCAACTTGAAATGGAGAGAAGTAATCTTTCTATTCTTCATGATAAATACCAAATGCTGGAAACAAAATACAAACAAGAACAAAAATTGATATCACGACTCGAGCAAGATTATAAACATAATGAAATTGCCATGGAATCTCTCAAAAAGAAGTATGACAAGATGATGGAGATCAAGGACGAATGGGAAACGAAATACAATGCTAAATCTCAAGAGTTGAAGCAATATCAAGAGAAAATGAACGAAGAGAGGACACGTCTACAAAACGATTTCGACTCCACTCTCAAGAATTATCAACAAACGAGTCAACAAACTATCTCGAATCTTACGGACCGACTTGAACAGGTTAGAAATGAGAATCGAGCTCACATCACCGCATTGGCAAGCAAGGAAGAAATGATAGTTTCAGCACAAATTAATTCGCAACAAAAGATATCAGAGCATAAGGAAGCAATTGAACAACTGAACTCTCAACTAAGAAATATGTCCGTAGATCTACAACAAAAGGAAAATGAAATTTCAAAACTTCGAAAATCGTTAGATCAAATAGAAAAGGATAAAAGAACTCTCGAGGTTGTGATTTTAGAAAAAACCGATCTAATTGTGAGGCATGAAATGTGCATTTCAAACTTGGAAATTGAAAAGAAAAAGTCCAGTTTTGAAATATCTGAATATTCTAACAGACTTGCAAAACTTGATCACAAAACGAATGAGTTATTGACCGAGGTAACTAAATTACAAGAAGAAAATAGATCTCTCCAAGACAATAACGAGTTGTTAAATCAACAATTACTATCAAAAGATATGGACATGAAACAACTTTTGGAGTTAAAGACAAAAGAAAACGAAAGTATGGTTCATCGAGCAAAATCTGAGCTTGAGAAGCAATTATTAGACCTTCAGCAAGAAAAGGCTACTGTTCAACAGCTTTATGATAACCTTGTTGAAGAATCAAAGTCTCTACAATATAATATTCAACAACAGTCTGAAACAATTCATCGTATTTCTGACGCATTGATGCAATCACAAGATAAAAACAAAACTCTCCAAACAGAGTTGGAAGCTCTCAAAGATAAATTAATTATCAGCGAGAAGGCATACAATGAAAGCCAAGAAATTTCAGAAAAGAAAATTGAAGAGCTTTCAGATCTTATTTTGGTTAAAACAGAATGTATGAACGCACACATACTTGAGATTGACAACCTTAAAGGAGAAAATCAATCTTTGCATACTAAACTCAACGAGATTCAATTACAATTTAAAAAACAGAAAGAAACGATCAAAGATCTTACAGAGAATCTGAGCGTGTTGGACGAAAACCGCACAACGATCCAACGCGAGCTCCAACTCAAAAATGAAGCAATTATTCATTTGAATGCTGAAGTTGAAAAGTTTAGAGACAGCGTTCATGACAAAGAGCAACAACTACAAACACTGAAAAAGCATGCCCTCACTGATTTAGAAAAACAAGTCATTGAAAAATCTGAAGCTCTAGATAACCAAAAGAAAATCTATGAACAAGACATCTACATGGTAAAATCGCACCTTTCTGAAACTAAGAAATTATTTGAAAGTAAGGTTTCTCTAATTGTAGAACTAGAAGCTAAAATCTCTTCATTGAAGAATGAAAGCTTGGACAAGGACAAAGAAATTACACGATGGATTGGCTCTTGTGATGATTTGAAAAACTCTTTCGAGGACGAAAGGAAGCAATTTTCTTACAAGATTGTTCAACTTGAAAAAAGTATTTCTTCAATGAAAGACCAATTGTCACAACTCGAAAAGGAAAAGATGAATCTGGAAGAAGAAATTGCAGCTAAAAACACATCCATTGAACATTATGAAAAGCAAATGGCACAACTTGAGAGATCAATAGAAGAGGCAAGAACAGAAATCAAACAAAAGAATGTCGAATTGGAAGAAGCCAATACACTCTACCAAGAAAAATCTCAAAGTATGGCCACGCTTTTGGAAGAGAAGGAAAAGGAACTCGATACATTGAAAACTCAACTCTTGTTCTCAGAGAGCAACTATCGATTGTTGGAAGGCAGTAAGAATCAGCTCGAGGAAGATCTTTCACAACTTCACGAACGGGCGCATCAGTTGTCCACTACGATCCATGAAAATGAGCAAACGATTCTCGAACTTGAATTGCAAATCGATACACTTCAACATGACTTGACTCAAAAAATTAACACAACGACAGAATTATCGAAAACACTTGCAGAGATGAAAGATACCAATGCAAAGATGGATAGCTTTATCATAACTCTAACCAACGAAACCAAAGACAAATCACTCCTAATTCAACGCCTTGAAAGGAGGATTTTAGAGAATACCAACGAAATTAAGCAATTGACAGAAGATAAGGACCGAATAATATCCAGTTTAGAAAAGAAAGTTGTTCTTTTAGAAAAAGACGCTTCAGATAAACAGGAGGATGTTAATAGACTGGTCGCTCTCAATGAAAAGCAAAAGAAACACTACTCAAAAATAGTTAATGAGCTTGAATCTAACTTGGAAGAAAAAGAAAACAAAGAAAAGCTTCTCTCTGGATCCTTTAATGAGCACAGTGTTAAAATTGCTGAATATTCTCGAAAGATTGAAGCGATGGAATCTCAAAAACGACAATTATTGAATGATATTGAGAAGTTAGAAAATGAAACGCACGAAAAAGGTCAAGAAATTCTTGAATTGACTGAAAAGAACCATTCTCTTCAAGGAAGAGTCGAAGAAATGGATAAGCGAATCATGCAACTCGAAAAACAGCGCAAGCAACAGCAACAAGATTTCTCCAATTTAGAGAACAAGTTGGAGGAAGATTCTGCTAAAATGAAACAACTTTCAAAAGAATGCTTGGATCTCAAGCAACAATTGTCCACAGTGGAAGGTGAATTAACTCTATCAAAACACAAACTTTCAGTTTCAGAAAAATCGAACAATGAAATTTCCCATGATCTTGAAGCATGTCATGAATCTATTTCTCAACTCGAGCAAGAAATTAAATTATTGAAATCCACATCGAAAAAAGAAAAGGAAGAATTGGAAAATCAAACGATCACAGAAATTCAAAGACGTGAAGAAACGATCAAACAGTTAAAATCTCAACTTGCTCTCGAAACTAAATTGAAAGAAGAGTTAGAGCATGCCAAAGATCTCATTCAGAACACCTCGAACCTTATTGACGAACAAAATGATGAAGTACAATCTCTAGAAAAGGAATTAACACAACATTCTTCTCTGATCGATCAAATGAAAGAAGACAATGAACAACGAATTTCTGAAATAACCTTCTCATGCCAGCAATACGCTCAAGAACTTGAATCCAAAGAACGAGAATTATCAGAACTACGACATAATTATCAAAAATTGGAAGGCATGTTCTTCCAAATGGAGAAAGATTATCGCACATTACAAACACAAGATAATATGATTAACAAGCAATTGGAAGAAAAATGTGCAGAGCTTCAAAATCGACTCGAAGAAACCATTGATCCCATTTCAAATCGAGAACAAGAATTAAAATTCTTAATGAAAGAAAACTCAGAATTGAGAGAACAAATTCTCGATCAAAAGAATAGCACCGATCGAATGCAACAAGAAATTGAACGACTTTTAGAACAGCTCACCAACAATTCTAGTATTAGCACGTCACCAACCATGACCATGACAGATACAAGTAGTATTCTTTCAACTTCATTACTATCATCAACAAGTATGCAAGGATCATTTGTGAGTAGTACCATCACTACTGCACCGACGACAACTGCTTCGATAGCATCCACACGTGCTCAAACTCAACAATCAAAAACAAACCCATCTCCAAAGAAAACACAACACATGATACAATCAGCTACTCTTGATTTGAAACATTTATGGAAACAATTAAGAGCCGAAATTATTCGATTGAAACAGAAAAATGTGGAACTAGCGCAACAAATTATGCAAGTTCAAAAATCAAAGGAAGAAGCAATTGTGAAATATGAAAAGCAAATCAAGTCAACATTTATTGATTTGATGCATTACAAAAAAGTGGCTGAAGAGGTTGAACAGTTGAAATTGGAGAATACTCGGATAACATTGGCAAAGAAAGAAGCGGAAGATAACTTATCCAAAGTTGGTTTGAAACTGTCTACTTTGGAAACGGAAAAACAAAATTTATGGAAATTACAAGAACAAACAAGAAAGGAACTCATTAATTTGAAGGAAAACGTGATCAAACTTTCAGAAGAAAACGAAAAACTCTCAAAAATGGAAATTAGGGCATCCAATCAAACGAATATTGAGCTGGAGAAGTTGAAAAAGGAGAAACGAAATCTCGAAGAAAAGTTATCATCTGCCACCGACTCTTCCAAGAGTCAAAAAGAAATTTCCCAGCTCACGAACAAGCTGAAAGAAGCTCGAACGACGAGAGAAAAACTTGAGAAACTTCTCCGAGAACAACGGCATCAAATTGAGGAAATGGATGCAAAGAATAGAGAGCTGAGATTGAAAATCACCTCTCTTGAATCCAATTGTACCACAAATAAATAAGGCTGATGACTCAAAACAGCACATCATTCAAATTTCAAGAAAGCAAATCATGATCAAAATTTATTCACACAAGCTCAGTACTTGACTTTCTTAGAAGGTGGAGCCAGATTGTTGCTTCTTGAAGGAGCGTCATGGTGTGTCGTTATCGATCTTGGATTATTGCCACTATCTGAATAACGATTCGAGTGAGATGAATGACCATGTCCATCACCTTGTTGTGGATGGTAGTGCTGTTGTCCACTACTACTGCCATGATGATATCCGCCACCGCCACCACCACCACCACTCGATCGACCGTCACCATGCGACGAAGAATGATGAGAACGATGGTGATGATACGGCTGTGACGAAGAAGGATGATAAGAATGTCTACTAGTGCTGCCACTTGGATGGTAATGATGTGACGAAGAAGAAGAGGATGAAGAAAATGGAGGTGGTGGACGAGGTGGAGGAGGTGGTTGATAATGATGACCACCAGTAGTAGACGATGATGATGTAACTACTGCTGCCACCGATGAAGAGGTCGATGCAACCTTAGATGCTCCATGGGAGTGGTGATGATGTGACGTTGCAGGAACACCAGAAAGTGGATGCACTGTGGAGGGAATTAAGTGATGGGAGGGAGCATCTGGTCGATGATCATCCTTCTTTCTTGTTGAAAGTTCATTATAGGAACGAGAGGGTAAACCTTTGGGTTTGCAATTCTTGGGATTCTTTCCTCGTTCCCAGAACCAATCATGATTCAAGCTGTCACTTGCTGTAATTCGGTTTGCAGGATTGAGAGTTAATAACTTGTCCAATAAATCGAGTACTTTGGGTGAGCATTTCAAATTTGTAAATCGATCCATAATTCTTCTCTTTTTTGGTTGTTGAGGTTTGAGAGATTTCCAATGAGGTAGTTTTTCAACTTCGGGCCAATCTTCCACAGACGGGGTTCCACACCAATCGAAAATCTTCTCTAATTGATCCGGATCGGATGCTCCTGGAAAGAGAGCCTTAGGTTCCTTTTCACCAGCAAAAGGAAGAAGCATTTCACCCAAAATACAACCCACAGACCACATATCAATGGAGGCGTCATAGGCAGTGGCTCCTAACAGTAATTCTGGAGGTCGATACCAACGAGTGACCACCCGATTGGTATATTCTTGTTGCTTATTTCTGTGAAATACTCTTGAAAGTCCACTAAATGTTGTGTGTGAATGTTGTTTTGCAAAAGCACACATGAAACACATTTCCATCAACGCAAGGATCACACAAAAAAAATTTAAAAAAAATTCACACAATTTCGAATGACCAACCGCAGAGGCAATGAAATTCATGAATGGGATGGTTTCGGTTAATCATCGCGCACACATTCGTGTGTATGTTGGAGAAGCAAATATATATATACAACATTAGCGTGTTAGTGTGTGAATGAATTCAAAATGAACCGCCTACTTACAAATCGGCAAGCTTTAAAGTTCCATCCTTCTTGATGAGTACATTGGATGCTTTCAAATCTCGGTGCATGACGTCCCGAGCATGGCAATAATCAAGAGCAGATAATAATTGATACATGATGCATCGTAATTCATCTTCGTCAAATCTGTGACCCTTTCCATTCAGACCAGCAAGATCATGTTCGACAAATTCAAAAACCAAGTAGAACGTTCCCTTCTGATTCCAAGTAACATCATACAATTTAACAATGTTGACATGGTCTAAATCCTTGAGAGCTCGTATTTCACGAATGGAAGTGATTGGAAAGCCTTCTTTCTCTCTTTGAGGATCAATTCTAATCTTCTTAATGGCCACCATGCTGTTGTCACGCTTGTCAATGCCTTTGTGGACCTCACCGTACGTTCCTTCACCCAACTTTTCTTGCTTTTGGAATGTTTTGCTGATACTGTGTGGTTAGTAAACAATCCGTATGATTCATGATATGACCGTGAATTTATCATTGCCAAAAGGCAGTGGATATATTTGGTGAATATTAGAGTCTACTACTTGAAGAATTGCAAAATCACACACTTACTCTTTTTCAATATGATGGAAACGATCCGAGAGAGGGTTTCCGAAGCGAGGAGATGATTTTGGAGGTCTTGAGATGGGAGTTGTTGGTGTCGATGGAGTGGTAATATGAGAGGGAGGAGCGTTGTGAACGTTAGGTTTGATGTTTTGCACACGTGATGATGATGAAGTCTGCGCATAAGTTGCAGACGTAGAAGCAACAACATGTTGTTGATTAGTGTTGATCTTTATATTATTATTATTATTGGTATTATTAATATTGGTACTTCGTGATGAAGTGGAATTCACCACAGGTTGCTTTGGTCCGTTAGTCGCGACACTCATAGTAGTTGCTCCAGGAGGGTGATGAGAGGAGGAAGATGTTGTTGTTGTTGGGTTGTTATTTGCAATGTTGCTACTCCCGTGACTATGTTGAGGCTTGTAGTTGGATGATGATGAGGAAGGGTTTTGATTCTTGTAGTACCTTCCATTAGTGTTGCTGTTTCTACGAGAGTTGTTGTTGATTGAAGAATTGTTATGGTGTTGTTGATGATGGTCATGTCCTCCTCCAGAAGCGTTTTGATGATCACGTGGTGGCGGTGGGGGTGGCTGTAAATATTGAGAGGTTGAATTCCTTCTATCATTATTATTATTAGCAACCTCTCCACCACCATTCATGTTGTTATTCATATTGTTGGTGTGGTGTAAACCTTCTCCTGATGATGAATGGGGTGGCTTCTTTTGGTGGGTGAGCGTTTCTTCTGTGCCTCTGTTGCTGCCCGATCGGTCGTCCTGCTGCCTTGAAGATTCTGTGGACGACGATGAAAACTTTCTATTGCCTCCCATTGGATTGTTTCCTTCCGTGATGGTGGTAGAAGATGAATTATGGACTGCAGACGTTTCCTTGTTCCTTTGGTGCGCTATTTGGTGTTGTTGGTTGGAAGAACCCTCATTCAGCGTATTCGTCGTCATGGTGTGGCTGGTCAAGGACGAAGGCATAATGGGGTTGCGATATTTTTTTCTAAACATAACCTCCAATCAATTTTATTCCGTTACAATGCTGCGTCGTCATGGTGTGGCACAACAATTTACTTTGCATTTCACTTCGATTTCTAATTGAACTGAATGGATTTGGACGTTTTCATTGAACAAGGAGTGGCCTTGTGGCATTTTCCATTTCAGGTTTTGTTGTACCATTCATCTAAACACAAGTTAGTTAAATTGTGAAATTTCAAATAACTAAGGTAAGAGATTCGTGAAAGATTAATGAGCATCAACAAGTCGGTGATATGTGTAACGACAACAGGTATGAGTTAGCGAGAGAGAGCAGCAAATAACCCATGGTGTTGTATGGTAACAGACAATGGTTCTCCAGTACGACACACGCGTGTTGTATGGAGGTGTATTCAACAGAAGCCTCAAAAAATAGAACAACACCCAACCTACCTCATTACATCATCATCACCACAAATGTCCTCACAAGTCGAGAGCAATGACCCCGAAGTCTATTCCTATCTTTTGAATGCGAGATTTGAATACAACATTTCCTCACATCATCAGCATTATCCACTTCAACATCAAGGTAGTTCTTCCTCATCATTGGGAAGTAGTGGTATCGGAACCACCACCTCCAATAATACAACATCAACAACAACAACAACAACAACATGTACTTCATTGATGGATGCAACCAATACAAATACCACTCCAACATTGTATACCCCTGCATTGAGGGGAGATCTCTCGAGAGGTTTTGTGAGGTTCATTGGAACTCTTCAAGATCAACCCAAGACTCAAATTTTTGTGGGTGTTGAGTGGGATTATGAAGAAAGAGGAAAACATGACGGTGAACTTAATGGAGTGAGATATTTCAAAACCAGCGACGGAAGAAAGAGTGCAAGTTTTATCAAATTAGAAACCTTTTTAAGGTACTCCACATTGGGAGTCGATTTCTTGGAGGCTGTTCATGCCAAATATAAGAATAAGGATTTCAAAGAAGAGGAAATGTATATTTATTCAGCAACAAAGAAGACACAAATTTCAGTGGAACTCGTCGGTCGAAAAGATTTGGAAGAAAAATTAGAAAAACTTGAGAATTTAACAGAGCTAGGTTTACAAGAGTGTAAAGTGTCAAAAATTCAGGAAGGAGTGGGCTCTTGTTTTGGAAATGTGAAATCCATAGATTTAACAGCCAATTTAATCACAACGTGGTCTCAGGTTGAAACCGTCTTGAAAGAATTTCCAAAATTGCAAAACTTGATCCTCTCTTCCAATCGATTCACCTCGCTAGAATTTCACAATAGTCAACCCTACTCGAATGTTAAAACTCTTGTCATGAATGATGTTGCAATGGAATGGAAAACGTTTGCAGAGCGTATTTTACCTCTCTTTCCTCAAGTCGAAGAAGTTCATTTTCGAGACAATAATATCACAGATCAAGATTTGGAAAGCGTTTCACTGCCTTCGCTTCCATCTCTGAGAGCAATGAACATTTCTGGAAACAAAATTTCTTGTTGGAATTCTGTTCGGAAAGCATTTGGTTCCATCCCACAGTTGAGTAGATTACTTCTCAATTATAACTCGATCAAGAGCATTCAATGCACGAGTCAAGAGGAATTTCCTTCGTTGAAAAGTCTCTCTATTACTAATAATAATATTGAGGACTGGGATTCTATCAATGAGCTCAACAAATTTACCTCAACCATTGAAGAATTGCGATTGGACAATAATGCTATTCAAGAAAAGTATGGTGTGACCAATACACGACAAGGAACCATTGCAAGAATTAAATCGCTTCAAATTTTCAATGGAAGCGAAATTAAAAAGAAGGAGCGAGAGGATGCAGAAAAATATTACCTTAAACAAAGTGGAAGAGACAAGATGGCTCAAATGAGTAGCAGCATCAACATGGTTAATTTTCTTGAAATGCATCCACGATACGAAGAGTTAGTATCCATGTATGGAGATCCTTGTGAAAACGAGTCGTCAAGTTCAATCGCCACAAAAGTAAGCAATGAGTTTGTTTCCTTGTACATTAAGAATGTAGCTGCTTCCGTAGCATCTCATGGCCACATTGTCGAGAAGAAGATACCATACGGATTGACCATCAAAAAACTCAAGCTTATGTGTCAACGTTTGTTCAAACTTGATGCTACCAAACAGCGACTTTTCTATGTGGATGTAGGACATTCATTACCTGAGCCATTGTGTGACGATTTCAAAGATATTGACTTTTATGCCGTGAAAGACGGAGGTACAATTCTAATGGAAGAAATCGACGAGATGCAGGAGCAACGAAAATTGGAACTTGCAAAGAAGGAGAAGGAGCGAAGCTTGAAAGAACAGGAGGAGCAAGTGACTAGAGAAATGCGGTGGAAACATTTGTAAACGTTTCATAATAAACGAAAATAGTCCATTTTGAAGCTGTGATAAAACTTCTCCATTTAGTCTCTTGGTTGCTGAGCTTTCTCTCTTTTCGAGGGACCTGTCACAGTTCTGGACTCACGAGGAGGACCATTCGGCTCTGGTCTTCTTTAAAAACAAAGAGAATGTTCTCCTTCTCAACAACCATAACACAAAAAAACAAAATCTCATAATTTCGAAAGATGCTTGCATTTTCCAATACCAATCTTCGAGTTATTATCCAACAGAAGCAGCTTAAAAAAAGCCTTTCATGGACTCTATTATGGTCGTTCTCGTGTCTCTCATTTGCTTCAATCAACCAAATTCGTTCACTCCAAAACATGCCCTTCCCATGCAACGAATCATTCCTCAATCCAAGTCATCTTCCATATTCCTCCACACTCATTCCTTTCATTCAATGCTGCCTATGACCAAATCCTCTCAAGACGTCACTTGTTGCGCGTAGGAAGTCTCGCAGTATATTGTCCCTCCTCTCAAACATGTTGTTACAAAGGTGGTTGGTTTTTTAATTCGAGGAAAGAAGGGAACAAATCCTCAAGTCGCGACATCCAAAGCAGTTGAAACATCGGTTCCAGTTGGAGCAAATGTTGGACATGCCTTAGAAAAGTGATCATCCAACGAACATATTGCCACTCCTTGATCAATTCCATCGGTTTCTGATCTTTTCGGACATTTGACGATTCTTGAAGGATCAGTTTGTGAAATTTCACATTTTTAAAAAAATACAACAACACCAACTTTCATGGCCACAACGATGAACACCACCACCCTTCGCACAGCCATAGTCTTGTTGTTGTTGCTAGTATTGCTTCTCGCAACAACCACAACCTCCATTCAAGCGCTTCTTCCTTCATCATCTTCCTCTTCATCGGAATCAACATTTAAAACAACACAAAAATTCGCAACCAACAACAACTTTGCATGTACCATTTGTAACATCCTCCTCACCATGATTGAAAATGAAATTCACAAAGAACAACCTCATTTAGATCAATTCGCTGAAAAACTTTGTCGTGTCATTCCCTCTCATTATTCTCAATATCAAATGTTGTGTGATTTGTTTCTGCAAAATGGTTTGGATTTGATTGTGAATTTATTGTTGAGAGAGTATACGGCGACGGAAATTTGTGTGGGATTGAAATTTGCGGAATGTCATGGTTGCATGTTGAGGAATGGTTCGAGTTTGGAAAGTAGGACAAGAAATTCCAATTTTGGAAGTGAACAAAGTTTTTGGAAAAACGAAAATATCAATCCATGTTTCAATTGCAACAAGAATTGGCAAATTTGAGAAAAAAACATGACAATGATGAAGGGTATGGAATCTACAAGAAAATGAATGCATGGACGAATTGGAAAGAATTACCAAATATAGTCAAGTCAAAATTTAATGACAATCCTCAACTATTGATCGAAAAACGAGCTCGTATCAAACATTCACTTCAAACCTGGATAGTTTCTCTCGTGATGGCTCGTAGAAAAGAAATGCAACAATCATCCTTCGATCCATTTCACACAAATGGATTTTCCGATTCTGTCACTCCAGCCAGTGACAAGGATCAAGATTTCTTCCCTGCAAATCACTTTTTAGTGAGAAATGCAGATTGGAGAGGAATGGACTGTGACGATTCAATCCAAATATTAAGCCAGGAATTTTCGATCAAAATCTCAACAACAAGGATATGAATTGTAATGGAATTTATGGAACAGAACCCAAAACAGGAAAAAGTTATGAAAGTTTATATTGCAATAATAACAACAACAACAACAGCAGTAGTGCAACACGACAGGTCATTATGTTTGGCGATTCTGCATCGAGTGGTTTTCATATTCCTCCTGAATATTTAGATGTGGATAACATGACCAATGTTGGATTTTTATTGGAAGATGAATTTGATTGGCCACAAAAATGTTGGTCCACTGGATGGGATATGAATAGTATTGGACAAGATGGATCGATTTATTTGAGAATGAGACAACGTGATTTGTGTATGCATCGGCAGTATCAAAATGTTGGACATAATGGAGGTGAGTGTGTGAGTTAGGGAATTTTTTTTTTCCTATTTTTTTTTTCATATTTTTTTTTTAATCAACGATTCATTGGAACTGGAATAATGGAACTGTGAACTTTGTTATTGGAATGAAATTTCATGACTGGTTGAAACTTTAAAAAATTATCATGATCAATATAAATGCTGCGAACAGGTAAAATTGAGAACTTTGCTGGTTATCAATTGGATGGTCTTTCCATGACTCCTCAATCTTTACCATTTATTGGATTTTTAGCTTATATTGGAAATGACGTGTGTAAAGACACTTTACAAGAAATGACCACTCCTCAACAATTTGAAGAACGTCTCATGAAGGGTTTGACTCTCCTCGATGCTCGTTCTCCACCCAACAGCAAATTGTTATTGATTGGACTCGTCGATGGAAGAATTTTATGGAATGAAATGCACAACAGAATTCATCCTCTTGGAGTGACCTATGAAGGTCTGTATCACTTTTTGACATGTTCAGGAGCAAATCCATGTCAAACTTGGTTGACTCCTGATGAAGCCACTCGAAATGCCACTTCTCAACGAGCATCAGAATTATCTCAAGTCGCAAACAAAATTTCACAAACTGTCAAATTGAAAAATATTGAATTGGGTTACATGGATTTCCCACTTCCTCAAATGCTTGAATATTGCAAACAACATCAAATTCCACCTTATTTATTGATTGAACCATTCGATGGTTTTCACACAAGCATTAATTTTGCTGACAAGATTGAGGCAGAAATTATTTGGAATTGGTTGAGTGCCAACAAACCACATTGGATTGTACCTGTGAATGGGTTTAATTCACAAATCCAACAAGTGTTTGGCAATCAAGGAGGTTTTTAAAAGACCTTAATGCTTATTTGTAAAAGGTTGTGCAACAGGTTTTTGATTTATAATATTTTGTTTAATGATCCCCAAAATGATAACTTTGTTGACGTCATGTCGTCATCAATATCGCAACCGTAATGACACATACGAACGAACAGTCATGTCGCCTCCTACGACAGGAATTGAGCAGCAGATGGTTCACGTGCACGTCCTCTTCTTCTCCTGAATACCTCACAGGAATTGGGAGACTTTCTCTTCGAATATTAATGCTTGTAACTTCCAATCGATTCTTGACATGTTCCAAAGACACAGAATCGTAGAGAGCACTCAACACACTATTCATATTGGTCATGGCATCTTGAACAGCCAATTGCAACGATCGATCTCTTGCCTTTTCAATTTCAGTATCATTGGCCACTAAATTCATACTATGGATTTGTGTCACTCCCAATTCCACTAATTTATCCAACACTGCACCAACACTTTCCAACGACTCACACTAAATTCAATGCTATTGGATGAACGAAATCCACTGCGTTGTGTCCTTTCCGTGCTTGCATGATATTCATACACTGGATATAATGTAATGGAAGAAGTTCTCAATTTAAAGACATGTTCCATTTGTTGTAATGTTTCCATAATTCGTGCAGAGGATGTTCCAACTTCTTGTTGAGCTTCAGAAGCAGTGGTCTTTTGTGCTTCAACAGAAATGTAGAAATCTGCTTGGGTGACTGCCACGGAGGTTTTACCAGTTCCTTGGACTACAATGGATGAATTGAATCGCCGAGTTGAGGGATGGAAGGAAAGAAAGGAAGTGACTTGTTGAGAGAAGGTGAAATGACAGAAAAGTAATAAGAGCAGTGCAATAGAGAATGGTAGTTTCATGAATGTTGTTGTTGTTGTTGTGGGTTCAATGGTTTTGTTTTTGTGAACAAATATCATTTTGAAAATTCCAAGTTTGACAAAAATTCAAAACCGTTTGTGGAAATGTTTGGATCAGGAAAACCTAAAATGGAAATTGTACTTGTACAGCCATTTTCACAGGGCTAGATCGAGATCTGTTTCTTCTTGTAAAAGCTGCAACCATCGACATTTCCTTCTTCTTCGAATTTTTGGCCCTTAAACGAAAAATATCATGTCAATATCTGACAATGATTTTTCCTCATAACAATCTGTGAGATGCTTTGTTAATTGCTTCTGGAGTGTCGTACCAGCAATCACAGCTCGTTGTTGAACGTAGCTAATATAACTCATGTGATCACTTCCTGTCACGTCTATTCGTTGTGTATTTGGAGAAATAGATCGAAAGAATTCTTTGTGCATTTCAATGGGAGAAGCATAATTTGATTGTCTTGAAACTGTGAGCAATAAATAATCTGAATGGTTGGAGTCGGTCAATGAAATCATAAATGACTGACTACCAGCTCCAATTGATTTCACAACATTGAATAATGTGCCGTTGTATTGATAAGGGAGTGTAATTTGAGTGAGTGATTTGTTTGATCCTCCTGAGCAAGTCGTAATAAAACCAAATTTTGAGTGTGTTAAGGAATAATAATTGATTGAAGGATTGTAACAATGTACGTATTCATAATGGCCAATATCGTATAACATTGCTTGTATATGAGCGAAAATACTTACCAGAAACAAAAACTGAACCACTTTTTGTCAAAAATATCACTCCATAATAATGACAAGCGACATCAATGGCTGGATCTGAATGTGTAATTTTCGCAAAACCCACACTTTCCTTAATTTCTTTCTGATCTCCAGTGTCTGATATGCCTAATTCACAAGTAGAATTATATCCACATACGTAAATGCGTCCACACTGAGTGAGAGCAACAATGTTATGATCTCCACAGGCAACTTTACAAAATTTTACATGTGGATTTTCTTCACAGAATGGATGGGGACTTGTTGCAGAAAAGGATCTTTTTTCACCGTATCCACATTCTCCAAATCCATTGGATCCTGTTTTTTTACAACATTACGCGTTAAATTGGAGATGATTATTTCATGGTCAAAAATAATATTCCATGATACTTACCTCCAACAATTAATCTTCCATGATTTGTCACCAATACTAAAGTATTAGCAGCACATGCCATATAAGTGATGAATTCATCTTTTCTAAGCGCATTCTCAATACCGCTCAACCAAAATTTTGGATTCTCGTTAGAGCTCAGATTGACCAATTCAGAGCAATAGGTTGACACATCCGTGTTACGTCCGATTTGCAAGCAGACAACAGATGATCGCTTTGGAATTTCGTAGCATTCCCCATTGGGTAGCTCATGAGTGGCATATCCCTCTCTCAACTTGTTCCAAAATTTACGTTACATCAATGGATTCATAAATTACATCCAAAGAACATTGTTTACTGAAGATACTCACATCAGGCATAACAATTCCATCAACAATCCGATCCACCAAAATAAAACATGCATCATACGAGGCTGCAACAAAATATGCTCGCTTCAATCCAATCTCAAGTCCATTACCATTCTTTTCTAACGGATCAAACATTAAACTTGATGAAGTGTTGTTGATCCAGTGTTTGAGTTGAGTGCAATATATTTCATGATCGGGATACGTTATTGCGTAGATATAATCTCTCCGAGCCAAGATTTTAATAAATCCAGATACACTCGGATTTTGTTGTGTTATGAATTCAATGAGTTGATGAGTAGTTTGTTCCCCTGAGGATGCGATGATTTGAGAGGAAGGAACAACTGTGTGTTTTGACATTTTTTAAAGTTGATCTTTCTTTAAATTGACTTTACAACAATTATCACTCGGGGGTTTTTAACTCTAGCAAAGATCTTGCCCCTTGTATGCATATTCTTAAATTTTTGTAAAGATTTACAGCTCCAGTTTAATGGCCTTGCGTTTACAAATATTTCGAATCGAATCTAATTGTTCAAGTGTCCAAACCGATGTGAATTGTTTGAGAATAATCTTGTCGAGTAGAATGGAACCTTCTGTGAGTAAATCTTTGACAGATTCACTCGAAATGACATGTCCATTTCCACTCAAATTGAGAATCTTCAAATGCTTATTATTTTTCAATTGTTGTAACACTCGAGTAAATACAGTGTGATCCATATATTTGGCACAATTTGAGAAATCCAAACATTTAAAGTACCACCTTCAAATTGATCCATAAATTCTTCTTGTTGTTCTCGAGTTTCAAAGAATGATTGTGCATCATCAAAGTAAACACTAAATACAATTTCAGCGCTGTCATAAGCAGATTGGCATAATTTCATTATTTCAATTAGAGATGCCAAACTATCTTCAACTTCAGAATCACCATCATCACCAGAGCTATATGTGGCAGCTGGAGTATTAGGACCATTAAGTGTCGTTGCAAAGACTTGTTGAATGGGACTTGGTGAAAAGAGCCTTCTTGGACTTTCTGTGTTTGATTGAACCAGACTTTGGACTCGTTGGATCCGTAACATTGGAAAGAAGAGGATTTCTTGAACTATTGGTGTTGTGACACATGAAATTCGTCGTGGACTGGCTTCAGTTTCTTGTTGTTGTGGTGGTGAACTGCGAAGAAGGGAACTTGCAAATGAGCCTTTTCGCGGTGGTGCTCGTTTTCGAGAGAAAATCATTTCAGCCACTTCATTTCCAAAGTTTTTTTCATATTTGGAACTCTTTGGAGTTCGTGCAGAGAGAGGAATTGTATTACTGTTCTCCAAATTACCTCCATTTTGTACATGAGGAGCAAGTGAAATTCTTCCTTGTTTTTCTAAATCTGCAGTATTCTTGTCTGTTTTAGAACCGTCATTAGATAGTGGCTCTACGTTTGTCATGGCATCATATTTGTGCGCGTGTAATTGGGTTCTATAATGATTGAATGATAGTTAATAATAACAATAATGGATAAATTGACAATTTATCTACCTTGAAGCTTGCATGGAGGTGTCAAAATGGTTCCTTATAGATCATCCTTTATCAACCTTGGATAGAAGACACACAACCATTTGGTTTCCAAGAAACCAAACTCGTGTTATTTAACACCTCAAAAACTTCATTCAATCCAAAAGGCAAAACCTCAATAAAGTTCGACTGTTCAGACGAACGCAGGAAAGATTTTGTATTTCAAGCCATGCCAGAGAGACAAAACCAGCAGAGCTCAGCTTGGAATTGCTGTTAGTGATTTCGAATTGTTCCCAAATACACTCCATAATAAAAGTATTCCATTCTTTCTTGATACAATTCCTCATCATACTCTGAAACATATCCAGATCTTTTGATTTCTTCTCGAAGTTTCACCATAAATTCGTGATCGTCTGTAATTTCTTTGGGTGTATATTGTAGAAGTGTGTTACCAACAAACTTTGCTGCTTTCAACAAGAATGATTTGTCACAAAATAATTTCTTTGAAATATAACGAAGACAATTGAGATCTCGTTTGATGACTTCCATCACAATTTCTTCGTCTATTTTCAATTCATCATCTGCGAATCTAATGGCGCCACACCTTTGTTTTACGGCTGTCAACACAACTTGTTTGTCTTTCTTCATCTCATTTGAAGCGTAATACAAATAATATCCATCTTGAGTTACTGAAGTCAAGACTATTTCTCGATCATTCCTCAACTCTTCTGATGCATATCCAAGAGCATATCCATTTTGATTCACAGCAGCCAACACCACTTGTTTGTCTCCTTTCAAATCTGAAGAGACAAATTGTAATGCCCTACCCTCTTGTTGAACAGCCATTAATGCAATTTCTTTGTCATTCTGCAAGTCGTTAGAAGCAAATGCCAACGAACGACCATGATTTCTAACTGCACTCAAAACTATATCACGATCACTTTTGAGTTCACTTGACACAAATTCAAGTAAAAGTCCAAATTCTTGAATGATCTTCATAATGATTTCTTTCGATGAATAATCAAAAGAGCATGAGGTTTCCAATTCATCTGGAAATATTAATTTGAGAGCTTGTAACATGAAATCTTGATTTTGAAGGAAATCTTTGGAAACGTATAGAAGTGCATTCTTATTTTGTTTGATTGCTTCTAATGCAACTGTTTCATACCAATCTGAATTTTGTGAGCTGTCATATTCGATACATTGCAATGCAGTTCCATTTTGTTTGACAGCAGTGAGCACAACTTCTTTGTCATTTCCCAGTTTATGGTGCCACTTAAGAGCCATTCCATTCTGTCTCACAACTTTTAACACGAATTCCCTGTCATCTTGAAGCGCTAGTGAAGCATATCTAAATGATACATCATTTTCCTTTGTGGCTGTCAATACCACTTCTTTATCATTGCGAAAATGTTTATCTGCAAACGGTAACTCTGAACCTTTTTGTTGAACCATTTTCAAAACAAAATCTCGATCTCGTTTTAATTGTGTGGATGCAAATTTCAATCCATATCCATACTTTTTGAAATGATTCAACACAAATTCATGATCATTCATAAACTCAACAGGAAAGAAGTTTTAAATTTTAATTCCCGATTCAAAAGCCATTTCTTTTTTCCTTCTTGTTGCCATGAGAATTTCTTTTTCAATAACAATTCTTCATTCCAAGTGTGTTCATAATTTTCATCATCATGATGAAATAAACAAGTTGAAAAATCAACAAGGATCATCCGAACATTTTCATCATCATTTATCCATGTTGGAGTTAATTTTTGTTTCTTGAATGACGACCCTGATGAGAGATTAGTTTGAAACTCGATGAACAGATCGTCTTTTTTCGCCATTTTTTTTGCATGCTTTGTTTTTGGAACTAAAGATGTCCCTGGTTTCACTGCAGTTGTGATAGAATCCGTTGGCTTTGTGCTGTTATTGGCTGTCTTTGAACCATCCATTGTTGTAGTCATTGGCTTGGTCACTCAATTTTTGGCAACAAAGGTTGGCTTGGCGAATGAACCTGAGTGAAAGAGCTATTTGGCTGCTATGTAATAGAAATAATTCCATGAATCTCTTTTAAATTTATCATCAACAGAGCCATAATTTTTTGTAGCTTGATATTTTTCGAGACCAAATTCAAAATGATTAGTTTTATCAGATATTTCGGTCTTTGGGGATCATCATCCTTAGGTTTTTTAACCTCCAACTTTGTAACAGCTCACAAAACTGTTCAAGTTTTTTTCGTCTATAAATCCCTTCATATGCAGTTTAAGGAATTCGATGGTGTGAAAAGGATATCCTCCAATAAGAATTTACTCGAGAAGAGACGAATTGAATTACAGGAGAAGGAACGAACTTGTAAGCTCAACAAAATCTTTCTCTCATCAAATTTATTGCTACCGGTTCGAAAATTAGTGATGAGGAAAAAAAGAAGCTTTTCATGATTCAAAACGATTTGAATATGACCATCTTGAATAATAACCACTCTTCTTTCGATGACTTTTTTAGTACAAACACTACAAGGAGTATATGCACGAGATTTTGTCCTTACTTGAGAAATAAAAAGGATGTGTTGAAAACAATCATTTAAATAATATTAAGAACGTCATTATTGATTTATCGAAAAAATTAATTTAAGGGTCTTCGTTTATTGGAACTATCTACATAAGCTTAATGTTTGTTATTGTTTTTGAGATGATTTTTAAACTTGGCCTTCTCATCCTCGTTCAAGCAGTAAATATTCAAGTTGAAGGTGTGAAGAGAAAAGTTGGTCAAGAGTGAAGAGAGGATATTTCTCGTGCCATCGGCAGAGAAAGATGTGCCCATAAGTTTAAGGCTCTGCAACTTCTTATTTTTCTCAAGCAAGTTACATAATTCTGGAAGTGAGCCGTCACCGATCAACGTATTGTTTGACATGTCTACTGATGTGATACGCTCGTTCTTAGTAAGTGCTGAGAAAATGGTCTTGGCAGACGCATCATCACATCCCTTGTTAGAAATATCCAAGCTCTTCAAGTGAGATGATATCTCAATCACTTCACCAACATCAATCAGCTGCTGACGATCCAGATCTTTAAAGTCACAATACACTGCTGAAAATTCTAGATCTGTTACAGAACCATCCTCAACGCTGTCAAGTAGATCTTCAAGTTCTTGGACAAATACGTACGACTTGGTTGAAGTGACGGACGAGGCTTCGCTCAACGCAGGTGACAATCCTTCCTCAATATTTGCTGTTGCGGAAGTGTGTGGCACAGTTGGTACTGTGTCTACTTGAATAGATGGCGGAGCACTCTTTGGGGTATTCTTGAGCTCTTGTTCGAGAGTATTGATTCGTTTCAAGAGTGTTTGCTTTTCTTGTTCAAAATCTGATTTGAGTTTTGATTCCTTGATGAAGGCATCCTTCAACATGTTTTTCGATTTTTCGTATAGTTCATTCATAGACGCAAGCTTGTTCTTTTCTTCTTCAAGATTCTCGACCTTCGATAACAACTCTTGCTTTTCTTTCTCGAAATTGGTTTTCAGATTGGACTGTGTTGTATATGCTTCCTTTAGCATGCTTTTCACTTTTTCGAGCTTTTCGTTCAATTCAGTCAACTCGATGGATTTTGCGTTGAGATTACCATTGATATTCTTGACCTCCTCTGACAGTTGTTGCTTCTCCTTTGAAAGTTTTTCTTTCGATTCGGTCAAGTGATCCAACTCTTTCTCTAAACGAACAACTTGTTGTTGACAGTGTTCGTGATCCTTCGTTTTAGATATCAATTCTATGGTGGTTGATATTACCTTCTCTTGCAACTGCTTATAAAGAGATTCTTGGTATTTGATTAGCTCTTCTTTTTCATGCAACGTGTGTCTTAATTCATTCATCGCATGTGCTAAGCTGTCCTTCTCTTTGGTCAACTCTTGAATTTGCTGTGTAGCAATGTTTGTGTGTTCCTCTAGCTCTTTGACAGTATCATGATGTTGACAAGTTAATTTCTCGTTTTCGTTTCTCGCACAATTCAATGATTCCTTCACAATTTGGAGTTCTTGAGACAATGATTCAACTTGATGTTCCAACTGGATTTTGGAATTTTCATGAGAGTTGTTTAACACTGTAGCGTGATCAAATTCTGATTCCTTGTTGTGCAAATTTTTCTTCAATGTTTCAATTTCTATCTGTTGTTTCTCAATTTGTGTCAAGAATTCTTGTTGTTGTTTGTGTAAAGTCTTCTCCATATCAACAAGGGCCTGTTCGAGGAGGTTTGATCTTGTTGTGGCTTCGGAGAGCATTTCTGTCAAACTTTCAATCTCTTTCTCTTTCTTCTCTAACTGATCTTTCTGATACCTTTCACTCATGGACAGTAATTGCGGAATCAGGGTAGTTTGTTGGTGAATTTCTTTAAGAAGCGAATCATGTTCCATTTGTTTCATCTTGGACATGTTGAGTAAATGCGGTAACAAAGTTGGTCCTTGTTGTCTTGTCATGACATGTGAAGGAAAAGGTATCGAGCTACTGTTCTGTTGATATTGTGGTTCTTGTGAGGAGTTAATATGTTCTTGCGATGACATGGATAACTGTTTTTGTACCACTTGCTTTGTTGTCAACCAAAGAAAAACATCAAATTCTTGAAGTGGTTTCAACAGCTGTTTCACATAATCCAGATCCAACTTTAATGTCGGATCCTTATTCATTCGATGAATCATTTCATTTAAACATTCTTTACAATATTGCAAAGTACAAGCAAGCATGAAAGAATTTTCATGTTTAGTTGGTGTTGTTGTTGTTGGTACGGATGTCAATGGAGAATTTGTGTTTTCTGCTTGTGTGGAATATACAGAAAGAAAATCAATGTTCTGAGTGTGTGAGAGAAAATTAGTGATCAATGAAATGGCTTCGGTTGAATTTTCAGTATGATGTAATCTTGAAAGAATGAGACAAATAACGTGAGCGTTGAGGTTGGAACGTACGATCATGACGATGGCTCGTTGAGTATTTTTTTTATGGTCTTTGTTCAAATTCTTGTGTTGGTATTCTTTTGACACTTGACAGCAGCTCATTGTTGAATTTCACAGCTTTGAAAAATGAATTAGGGTGACTGTTGTTTGGACGTGTGTTTGTTGCAACACAAGTGAAAATTCCAAACAAATCTTCTCGGTTTGAGATACTTTGAAGTCCTTGTATTCTTTTGGCGAGTTGCATGCATTTTGAAACACAGTTTGTTAATATTGATTGGTGGTTCACGCTCCACCAACCATGGCCACACCAATCAAAACTGCCCTCCAGTTCGGAGTTATCTTTTCATTCTCCACAAATTCTTGGAAGAAAACCTCAACTGAGCTTTCATCATCTTTAAAAAATGCTTGGAGGTGGTTTCTCTCTGTTGGTGAATGGCCAGCCGGTCAAGTTACGAGGTGCGTTCGGAGGTAACCACAATGGCAATCAACCCTATGCTGGAAGGAGACCCTCGTTCCGTGCCATGTGCAATCCTTACGGAAATGTTTATTTCATCATGGTGTTGAGTATTATTATTTGGATCCTTGTTCTTTCTCAAATCATTTGTGAGTTCTTTGTTTATCCCGATGGAGATGTGTTTGTAAAAATCATGCCTAGAGCGTTTATATATCCCATCTTGTTGGTCTGTTTGATTTTCTACATTCCGAGCATATTTATGAGTCCCACTTATAGTTACTTGACCAATTTTAATGTGAATCAAAAGATTCATGAAATTGTACAGAAAACCATTAGAGATAAGCCTATTATTGAATTGCATGTTTCCTGTTATCACTATGAAACGAGGTATGTTTTTTTTATTAGGATTATTACATGTGCATGATCATGTGTATGATGTATGAAAATTATTGCATGAAAATTATTATTTCTGTGAATCTCATTGGACTCTTAACTCTAGAACTCATACCACGACAGATGCTCATGGAAAACTAAAAACTGAAACACGATCTGTGAGAGTAACCACCCATACAGATTCCAAACAAATGCCATTCGAGTTTCATAGAGATTTTTCACCTCCATTTGCGTAAGTTGTTGTTATTCCCATACTCGAGTAGCATTGTATATTTGACACTTTCATGACTTTTTTCAATAACTTTTGGTAATAAATTACCACCAGTGTTAAGGAAACATCAAAATCATTTATTAAATTAGACATGGATCAAAGGGTGTTTGTTACTGATGAAGAAACCAAGAAAATTCTCGATGAAGAACGTGTTGCCATCTATGTTGCAAACAGAAATCGTGACACACACATGGACTATGCAGAATTTTGGGGAACTGGTAGGTTGTTAATGTCACAATTTTCTACAAAATTGAGTAATAATATTATTGAACTATGGTACACTTGTTGCAACGCTTTACGGAATGACAGAGGATTTTGAAAGCTCCCTTCTCACACCCAATCCAAAATCGAAAATTCCAAAAATTGCCACTCCCTTCTGGTATCAATTTTTCTGTCTCTTTTTCCTCGGATGGGCCTATACGTTGTGGTTCAATAATATTTGTGACACTCAAGAATATACATTCATTAAGGAATTGTCCTATTATCCCTTCAGTGATGGTCAAGTGGACAATAATGTTGATCCTAACATGTACATGGGAGGTGCTTACGGATTCCAATCGTTCGGAGGCCCCAACACATTTTGTCGAACGTTTAACACGAGCGATCAGTTGAAAGATTTCCCAACGAATATGTTTACTTCGCCTCAACCAATGCCATCCTTTCAACCCAACAACCTCAACAACCTCAACAACAACCTTCATTTGGTCAACCTTCTACCTCCATGATGACCTCACCTTATTATCAAGCATCGTCGTCGCAACCTTACCATAATAATAATTATTACATCACCAATAACGCCAACACTGCCAATCAAAATCCATTCCTCCCATCCAATCAAAGAACAAGCTTAAATTTACCTCCACATATTGGCGATGTTTCCTTTCATCATGGCTCTGATACTGAACCACTCGTTCCAAATTACAATTCGAGAGGGTACGTGCCACCTCAACTCTGAGGTGTGTTATTGCATTGTTGATGTTCAATAACGAGCCAATTTTTGTCATGATCCCATTCACAAATAAAGAACAAGTCCATCCCGCCTCACAAACACGTTACATGAAAAAGTTTCAGTGAGAAATGTGACATTCCGTTACATTTTTAAAGTTTTTTGTCCTCTTTCGGGATTCTCTCTATTCTTAAAAAAAAACCTCACAACAACAGATACCTTTCCAATCCCTGTGCGTTCCTTGTTGCATTTTGTGTTTCACTAGTCAGCAGTAGTACAATAATCCAACAGATTCACATTATAAAACATACATTCATCATAGAGCTTTTTGTATTTTAATAGCGAGAATCCTCTTCCCAATCCTTCTTGTATTGTCCTTCTTCCGAATCCTTCCCAAATCATCATCATGCCTTCTCAAAAGAATCATCCAGAAGCACCAACCATTACATTACCAGCCTCCTTGTTATTGAATTCATCACTCTCTTCTCGTATTTCATCGAGCTCTACCAACCAAAAACCAAACACTGCCAACTCCTCTACGATGAACACCACCAAATCAACAACAACAACTGTATCATCGTTTGGTTCTTCCAAAGTTTTGGCAGGCACTACTAATACTTCTCCTCAATTCTTTTCATCTTCTACTTCAACAACAACAACAACAACAGCATTGGCTCCATCACGTAAAATTCATCTCGTAACCTTGGAAGAGAAACAACGAGACCAAAAGCAGCAGCAATTCTCTTCTTCTATTCTTCCAACCACCACTCGTTCCGATCTCTCGGAACCAAAAGTACCTTCTTCCTCAATGAATGGCAAGAAAAAGAAGAAGAAACAACAACCAAATTCCGTACAAAAGAATGATCTGCAATTACCTCAAACAACGCCTCCTCCTGTTCCCTCCATTTCTACTTGCCATCTCAATTCCTCAACTCCCCAAAAAAGGAAAACCTCATCTTCATCATCGCCTAATATTCATCCTCAACAACCGCAACAACCCACTCTTTCACCCATGATTGAATTTGAGGAAGATGGAATTTTAGAAGATCGAGCTTCTGTCTTGACCAATAGTGCTCGTTCCAGAGCTCCCAGCCATACATTAACTCTTTCTCCAAGAAGTGCCTCTACTTTGAGTTCGGCATCTTCCGATGATGGAATGATGACACGTGGACATACAATGATTCAGAGCTATGAAGAAGATGGTCACGACGATGAAGATGAATTGATGAATGGATCGAATCGATCAAGTAAGACATTGAAAAAAACAAATCAACGTTTGAAGAAACGAGTTCAAAGTTTAACTGCAGAACATGCTGAGGCTCTTCAAAAATTGACATTGTTACAGGAGGAATTGAATACATTGAAGCAGTCGTATGAAACCGAGTTGAGCAAAACCAAGCACATGTCACAAGTCATTATTGGCGATTTGAAAACTCGAAATGACAATCTGAAAGAAAAACTCAAAAAGCAGAAAGAGGAATTGGAACATTTAGAAAATTCTGTTATTACTCCATTGCGAACTTCTTTTGAGAGCAAGAAATTGGAATTTGAAAATGTGATTGTCACTCTCAAGGATCAATTGCAAAATTTGAGTGCAGCCGAGGAACGAAAATATCAGGAAATACTGACTGAACAGGAAACTGATTTCACGACAAAGATGGAATTGTTAAAGAAGGAACATGAACAAACCCTTCAGCGACAACATCAATTGAAGATTGAGTTGGAAGCCATAGTCACAAGAAGAACGGAAGAAATAATCTCCCTCAAACTCACCATCGAGTCCACTCAACAATTGTTGACTCACACAAGGACCAATTACGAGACTCAGATCGAAAAACTCACAACTCAATTCAAGACAAGAGAGGACGAGTTATTACATCTTCTCAAGCTCAAAGAGGAAGAAAATCAAAGACTGTTACAAGAAAATGCGCTACTTCGAGACAAGCTCAAAGAGAAACCTCAGTTCTCTCATGCAAGCAACAATGATAATGACATGGTTAAGAAGTTTGCAAATCTCATTCCAAAACAATACCCAGGTTCTTCTTTAAAATCTGTGAGGTCGTCACAACCCTCCACTGCAATGGCTAGCTCAATTTTACAATTTTTACAAGGTAAACGATGTGTACAGTTGTAAATAAATGGAAAATGATCAAAATTTAAGTGTATTTAAGCAAGTTTAACTTTAAACAACAGCGCTACTCGTTCTACAAATTGCATAAACCTCTCTCAACTGCAAACTACAACGAATTCAGAATGGAAGGACGAGAAATAAACTCAATAAGTCCTTGTCAGTGCTTACTACAATTTAAAGTAACGCTACTCTTCTGAGATGGCACTTCCCAAACTGGCTCCATTGTAACATTTATCCATTCTTTCTCGATACAATTCATCACTGTATGCCAAAACATATCCATTGCATTTGAGAGCTTCCAAAACAAGTTCTGGGTCTTTCTTCAATTCTTTGCTTGCAAACTGTAATGCATTTCCATTGTTCTTCACCGCTTCTAACATGATTTCCTTATCACAACAAGCATAACTAGATCCCACTATTTCAAGACTGTTGAGTTGGACAATGTTTAACATAAATTCTTTGTCATTGGCAAGTTCTTTTGGTGTGTTTGCTAATCGCAGAATATTTCTACATCCAAGTTTGACAGCATCCAATAAGAATTGTTTGTCACACATAAGTTTCTCAGAAACATATCTCAACGCAAAATTGTCTTGTCGGATAGCTTCCCAAACAATTTCTGGATCGCTTCTCATCACCTCATCAACATGCTGCAGAGCCTGACCGTCTTTTCGTACAGCTGCCAATACCATTTCTTTGTCCATCTTCACATCGTTTGATGCGTATTGAATAGCATCACCATGACATCGTATGGCTTCCATGACCACATCTCTGTCACCTTTCAAATCATTTGATGCATACATTAGTGCGTGTCTCTTTTCATGAACAGCATGTAATATAAAGGTTTTGTCTCGCTTTAGATCGTCAGAAATGTGGGCCATTGCAGATCCATCTCTTTTGATAGCCATTAATGAAATTTCTTGGTCATTCTTCAACTCCTTTGAGGCATAAGCAAATGCCATGCCATTGTTGCTGACTGCCTTTAACAATATCTCGATCGCTCCTCAATGCTTTCGACATGTACTTGAGTAAAAATCCAAATTCTTGAACGATTCGTATCATTATTTCTTTTGTTGAATAATCAAACACCTGCAAATGTTCAAATTCTGGAAATATTAATTTTACAGCTTGCAGCATGAACTCTGGATTTTGGATTAAATCATGTGATACAGCTTCCAATGTATTTTTGTTTTGTTTGATTGCTTCAAAAATCGTTTCCCAATCTGTGTTATGGAATGAAAATAGACTCCAAGCATTAATTAACGACGTATTGTGTTTCAAAGCAGCTAACAAAAGCTCTTTGTCTTTTTTGAGCGTTGGGGAAGCATAGCTCAACACTTCTCCGTTGTGTCCACAGATTGCTTCCAATATAAATTCACGGTCGTCGCGAAGAGCGAATGAGGCAAAACGAAAAGCATGTGGCTGTTTCTTTATCGCTGTCAATACTATTTCTCTATCATTTTGAAGAGTGAAAGGTGTAAACTGCAATTGTGATCCATGACACTGAACTACTTTCAATATAAATTCTCTGTCTTGTTTTAATTGTGTTTGTGCAAAGGCCAATCCATAACCATACTTTTGAATATGATTGAACACAAATTTCGGGTCATTCATAAATTCTACAGGAAAGAAATGTTCAAATCTCAATTCTCGATGTTCAAGCCATTTCTTCTTTCCTTGCTGCTGCAAAGTGAATTTGGTTTTCAATAATAATTCCCATTTACGTAAATGATCATCATGATTATCCGAAAAATCTGCAAGGATCACCTTTTCGTATTCATCATGATGGAATGATCGTGGACATATTTTTTGTTTCTTTGTGTTTGTTGATGATGAATGTGTTATTCCGATCTCTTCCAAAGCATGATCACTAATGAAATCATTCCAAATTTCATTCGTTTTCGTCTTTGGATTGAAATCGGAATGAATGAGACTGTACTCTCGTTTGGACATTTTTTTTCAATAGCTGTTGTAAAATACAAATTACCAATTTGGAATTTTGGATCAACTCATGAATTCCATTTCACAACCATACTTATACTTGTTGCCCAAGTATGCATCATGATAACATTGCTCCATTCTTGCTTGATACCATTCATCACTGTACTCAACACAGAACCATTGCATTTCAACTCTGCATAAACAACTGTTAAATCCTTTTGTAATAGAGGTACCTTAACACATTTACATGATTCTTTACTGCCTCCAACATGATTTCTTTGGTAATTACTGGATTGGCTTTGTGTGCATGTTCAAAAATTATTGTTCCATGATCTTTTCCAATTTCTTACCAGTCCTTTTCTGTAATAAACATTGTTGTCTTAACGTGTTCATTCAATCCATCTCGTACAACTTGTTCATATCTTGTTCCATGAGTTCTAGAGAGGAATTTGTTACTATCTTTCTGTATATGGCCTTAATGAGCTTCGGGATCATAATGATGATCCTTCTCTTACTTCAAACAAATACACACAGCTATAACAACAACCCACACAAATGAAACGAGAAATGACGGTTATGAGGGATGAAGATCATCTTGCTTCATGTACGCCACAACAGCAAGGTTAAAATAATTTTGAAAAGTCCTATTTGGAAGTATTGACCCGCTATTCATTTCTTGTTGAACAGTGTATCATGTTGTACCAATCCTGGACATGGTGTTGTGCAAGATGTTTTGTTTATGTGTTGCACGTTGATAAAAAATGAAGCTTTGCGGATTTCAGCGGTGTGCCACTTGCTCGGGATGGTCTTTGAACAATTTAATTTAATGTGCACAACATGTGATCATCCTATTTAGAAATAGTCCATGATCTTCATGGAAAGGTTTTGGATCTGAATTTAAAGAAGGAAATGAATGTAATCGTGTCGTGGCTGGACATAATGATTTATTTGTAACGTCAAAATAATTGTCTGGAAGCGGCATCTCATCAAAACGCAATCATTGTGCCTAGTACGCAACGACAAACAGCAGCAAATCATGCCTGATCAACAATTAATTTCGACCAAGTGTGATCATCATGGCATGGAACAATCCAATAAGATGGAAAGCAATAACTCTTCTCCGCGAAATACAGTCTACAACATGCAATATGAAGAAAGATTGGCGCTGACAGCCCTTCCTCCCTTCTTTACACCCATCCGACTGCAGGATCACTCATCTTCTATCATTAATTACGACAGAGAAAGATTCATGATAGTCACTTGTAAATATAACCCCCAATATTATTCAGGATGCGCCTCGTTACCACTGGAAGAGAATGTGGTGTATTGCGTCAAAGTATCCTTAAACATGCAGTCAACTAGTCAATTAATGAAAGACGCTGAAGTATCAAAATATTTGAATAATTCTCTTGAAGACAAACAAGTGATTCCAAAGCTGTACGCATACCTCAGTGATTACTTGATACTTGTCAGAGAATTTGTGAACGCAAAAAACCTTAGATTTTTGATCGACAATTCCTTACCGTTATCTGACAAACCATCAACAGAGAATTTGCAACGAATACTCGATTATGCCATCAGGATATGCTATGCAATTGACCAAATTCATGCACAACGAGTGTTTCATGGTGGTATTAGACCCGAAAACATAATCTGTGATGAAAGAAATGTAAAATTAATAGACTTGGGCCATAGCGACTTTCTACCTCTGGATAGTCCGTTTGTGTACACAGATAAACCAATTGGTTCAGGATTGTACATGTCGCCTGAAGCTACTGGGCGTTTACCAAAACCGCTTGGTTTTCATTGTGACATTTACAGTTTTGGTTTTGTATTATTTGAAATGATTGCAGGAGAGCATCCTTTCAATCGCAATAACATGTCCAATGCTGATTTAATGTACTACCATATCACACAACAACCGGAATTATTGTATAATAATTTATTGAGACGAAACATGTTAAGCAGTACCAATTCATTGTGTTCACAAGCCGTTTACGCTATGTCTCTTGTCATTTCCAAAATGATTCGAAAGGCTATTGAGAAAAGGTATGCAAGTATTCAGGGCGTGATGAAAGATTTAGACTATATTTTGAAATGCCTTCACAATAATTCAGAGTCTAGTTTACAAAACTTTGTGCCAGGAGAGCAAGATATCCAAACGTCGATCAACATTCCTTATAAAGTGTTTGGTAGAGATGAATTATTACAACAAATGAATGCGGTATTAACCGAAACTATGGGCTCTAAGTTTCCTAATGTAATTTTATTAAGAGGACACAGTGGGATCGGTAAGTAGAGATGAAAAAGCAAGATTGATTGCTCACATACCCTACTGTTTGCAGGAAAATCATGTTTAGTTCGAGAGTTCAGAATCAGATGCGGGCAAGAATTGGCTTATTATGAAGCAAAATATGACCAACACCATAACGTTCCTTTTGCGTTAAATCAAGTCTGTAGTTCGATGATTAATTCAATTTTAGGAGAACCAGAAGACATAATTTCAAACTTTCGAAAACAATTAACCTCAGTATTGGGATCTATGCAAATTGAAATGCTGTGTGAGTCAATACCCAACATGAACGCAATATTTTCCTCATTCGAAAAAGGGACACATACTCTACAATGCAAGCAGCATGATGAGGCCATGCGAATGTATTGTCAGTCAGGTATGATGTTGTTGTTGAAATTTGTAATGCTATCGATCATGCAATTTTTTTGAATCTATATAGTTATTTACCTGTTACAAGTTTTCAGTCAAAGAAAAAACCAGCTTTTATGTATTTTCTTAGATGACCTGCAATGGACGGATTATGAAAATCTGAAACTATTGAAAGAGATGATTGGATTAGGAAGCTGTGAAACCTTTCCATTTCTATTGATAGGCGCCTTTCGAGATAATGAAGTTTATACGAGTAATAGCATGCATCCCTTACCGTTTTTCATTGAGTCCATACGATCTCAAGCCCACATCATCGAGATTGAGGTTAAAGAGTTAACACCAGATGCATGTAATTTATTAGTGGCAGAGTCACTGAGCAGACCTCAACAAGAAACCAAACGACTGACACAAATATTGCTTTCAAAAACTCAAGGCAATCCTTTCTTCTTGAAACAGTTATTAGTGTCCTTGTTTAAAGAAGGAATAATATTTTTCAGCAGAACTTTGAAAATGATGTCCTGGAAGCTAGGAGAGATTGAAAAGAAATCAGTTACTCAGAATGTACTCGATTATTTATTGCTGAAGCTTGATCAAATTCAACCAATAACAAGAACACTGTTGGGCTATGCATCATGTATTGGAAACAGATTTTCTTTTGCCGAATTAAGAGACTTGTTGAATATCAAAAGAAAAGCACCATATTCTATTTTAGATGTAAAAGAAATGATTGGAGAGGCAATCACAGAAGGATGGGTTGCATATTTGGATTCTAACAATTTGCATTTTACACATGACAGGCTCCAACAAGCAGCAAATAAGATATTTCCACCTGAGGCCAACAACACAGTTCACTACACGTTTGGTAAATATTTGTTGAGAAGAGCAACAGCCAACAATGGAGACATTGCATTGGATGAACATATTTTTGATATTGTTGTTCACTTAAATCACAGATCACATGATGACAAAATTCTAGGACATGTCGACAAGAGAAGACATCTATTGAGTTTAAACAAAACCGCTGCCAAAAAGGCCATCAATAGTGGCGCCGTAGAGCAAGCTCAGAGTTTTGTCGACACTGCATGGACATTGCTACAACAAGAAACAAACATATGGGAAGAGCCTTTTTATAATACCGCTTTCGAACTCTTAATTGAGAAGGGAAATTGTGCTTTTGCAAGCGATATTGAATCTGGTTTGTCCATATTCAACATTGCAATTCTAAAATCCAAAACCAGACTTCATCTCTATGAAGCTTGTTATCATTCCATTCTGGCATATCTTGCACTTGGAAAATATGAATGTGTGTATGAAGTCCTGAAAAACAAGATATTCCCGTCGAACGACGAGCTCAAATTTTTAACTTACACTTCTGAAGTCGACCAATTGAAGAGCTGGATGGACATCAAGATGACAAGGATGACAAATCAGTTACTTCAAAACCTCACTAAACAAGATATTATGCAATTACCAGATTTGAAAGACGAAGAACAGATTTACCTGATCAACATTCTGGTAATGAGCTCCCCAGGTGTATTTAATACAAGAACAAGAAGCAGCAAGTACGTTTATATGGTCCTTTTAATGATTGCTGCAGAAATCATTCTTCAACAGGGTTTATGCCTAACAGCCCCACATGCCCTTGGTTGTTTTGCATGGTATTGCAATACTTTTTGGTTTCTCCCAAGTGTGAACATACTAATTGATGCTGCTATTGAAATATCTCGAAACAGATATAAGAATTCGCAGCAACTAGCTTTATGTTTGGAAAGGAAGTTAGTGAGCTATTTCATATTTCCAAACATTAACGGGATTGAAGCGTGGAATCTTGCTGAGGAAGCATTTCTATTAGCCATCAAATCAAACAAGTACCAAGCCTTATTTTCCATAGTATGGTGCCCATTTTAACATTTCTTTTATGCCGACAGTGATATAACCACCTCTATTCTTTGGAGCAAAAGAGTAGTAGATATTTTCAAGCAAATGGGTAATTTGATGCTTCTAGATGCTAGTAATATGGTATTAGAGATGAAACGAGTAGCATGTGGAGAAAGCGAACACTTTTCCCCAGTTTATACCTGTGATGTAACGAGTTACCATTCCTTTAGGCATGTACATTTTACATGTCAAGGAATTTCCTATTTTCTTCAACAAAACATTTTGGAGGCGTTCAATAGCTTTGAACAATCCAACGAATATCTGGAGGATTCGTTTGGTTTGTGTAGCGCATGGATGAACGCTTTGTTCAAAGGATTGACAGCGTGTGAATACAAAAAACGTCTCTTGAAGCAGGACGAGGCTGTGTCTTCCACCTTGATTGAGCGGTGTGACAAGATGATTGAAGACTCTTTATCTATTTTGAAACGGGTCTCCAAATCAAATCCATTAATATTTCAATGCTCATACGAATTGATTAAGGCAGAGAGTTTGAGCTGCAGACAAAAATGGGATTTACTAACCACCAACAAAATTGTCTCGACATTTAATCGATGCCTCAAGCATGCAATACAAGAACGTAACCAATTCATTGTGAAATTGGCTCATTGGAAAATCGGTGAGCTCTATAAGGAACTTGATATGGAAGACTGGATTTCTGGTAAACACTTCTCAGAAGCTTTTGATCTATTCAATGAAATGGGAGTCACAGTACTTGCAGATTATATTTGGGAAAATTACAAATTGCAGATTGAGGCCTATCATCAACAAACTACCTCTTTCCAAATCAGTCATGAGGTCTCTGCTTGTACAAAGGATCATCTGGCATCATCAAACATATCACCATGCGACAGTGACATTGAAACCATTGCTGAATCGAACGAATTAGATTTCAAGGAAATCTTCATATCGATTCTACCTCTCATTTGTGAACATACAGCTGCCACCAGGTGTTGCTTGTTGTTGAAAAGAAACTCAACACTATTTTTTGATGCCGAATTTAATACTGTTCTTGATTCAGGTGGAAATACTAATCTACAACTCGTTGAAAACACACCACTCAACGGACCAATGTCACATTTTTTACCTGTCAAGATGATTTATCGAACCCTTAGAACCAAGAGGGAACAAATGTTAGATCCACATGAACACCTTACAGAGAACAACTATTATCAAGAGCATGAAATTGCCTCCGCATTGTGTCTTCCAATCATTCGGGATAGAATTGCCGTTGGCTGCATTTATTTAGAACACAAAGAAATGCAAGGCGTGTTTTGTCCTGAAAAAATTAGCGCAGCTAAATTAATTATTTCCATTAGTATCGATAATGCAGCAACTTTCACATCCATTAACAAGTCATATTCTCGGTTTATTCCATCTGAATTTTTATCACTTCTTGGAAAGAGTCATGTCACAAAAGTAAATGCAGGAGATGCTGTCAATCGACCACTTACTGTCGTATTCGCAGGTATTTATGACTTGACAGAATTAATAGAAAGATTGTCTGCAAAGGACATTTTTCAATTTATGAATAAGCTTTTTTTGAAGGTACGTATTATTTTCATGTGAATACACATATGCACATATATACGTCTCATCAGATTGCTCCAATTATATCCAAACATCGAGGATTTATTGACAAAATAGGTATGTTATTCAGTCATGAACATGTTGTTGTCAACGAAACATCACTGAAGGTGATGGAATAATGGCTTTATTTCTAGAACCACAGTTAGCAGTGAACGCTTCGTTAGAAATGATTTCCCAATTGGATAGCTTTAATAGAGATCATCTTTTCAATATCAACATAGGGATTGGAATTTGTAATGGAATGGTGAGTGTTGGAACGGTTGGTTATCAACAAAGATTGGACATTACAGTCATTTCAGATACCGCAAATATTTCTTCACGATTACAGTCTCTAACTCGGTCTTTCAAGTCTCGAATTTTAGTCACAGAGAGCGTCATCAATTCCATTCAGTTGTCATCAGACCATGGTTGTGCCACCTATCTTGGAAAATTTCTGTTAAAAGGAAAACATGTGGCCACTGATGTGTACGACATTAAGGGAACACAATGGCCGAATTATGTTTTTGATGAGAATGTTCAGCATGGCTTGTCCCACATGGTTCTCTCATTTCAACTCAAAGATTTTGAAGAGTGTTCGAAAATAGCCACACAACTCGTACTTTATGGAAATCCAGTAGTCGTTGCCAAAGCTCAGAAATATTTGTGTGCATGTACACTTTATTCAGCAACAACCCTGCCTGAAAATTGGTCAGGAGAAATTCGATTAAGCAAAGAGGGAGAACCATACCCCATGTAAACACGTGATGAGTCACATTATTATATCCTTGCATATCATCCAGAAACCTCATTCAACCTTCGTACGTTGATGATGAATGATATTGCCCTTATCAACAGGTCCCATTTACGTAAATGATCATCATGATTATCCGAAAAATCTGCAAGGATCACCTTTTCGTATTCATCATGATGGAATGATCGTGGACATATTTTTTGTTTCTTTGTGTTTGTTGATGATGAACGTATTATTCCGATCCCTTCCTCACCATGAGCACTTTCATTCCAAATTTCATTCGTTTTCGTCTTTGGATTGAAATTGGAATGAATGAGACTGTACTCTCGTTTGGACATTTTTAAATAATTATTGTAATGCTTCGGTATCTGTATCTTTCTGTAATTCTTGACATGCATAACTCAATTCATATCATCACATGTCACAGCTTTAAGCATAATACGAGGAACTACAGGTTATGATTACTTCCGTTCAGAATTGCATTTAACAGGGCTTCCATATGCTTCCTCAATTGTTGAAATAAAATTGCATCCATGCAAGCTTGTATTTGTCAATTAGACTGTTTAAAGTATTAATTGTTTTACTTTTTCCCATGGGAATTCTTCTCTTCCAAAGTGTCCATATGTGGCTGTTTTCAAATAGATGGGCCTTCTCAAATCCAATTCCTTAATCATGTTATAGGGTGTGAAATCGAAATTTTTCTTAACAATGCTCAAAATATCAGCATCTGACCTTCCATCTTGTGCGGTTCCATAGGTAGTGACATAAATGGAAAGAGGTTCTTTGAGTGAGATGGCAAATGACACCTGAACGAGACATCTCTTTGCCAAACCTGCAGCCACAACTGACTTGGCCACAAATCTTGCATAGTACGAAGCGGATCTATCAACCTTGGTAGGATCTTTACCAGAGAAGGCACCGCCACCATGAGCACCCCATCCTCCATACGTATCGACAATGATCTTTCTTCCTGTCAATCCAGCATCACCCATTGGACCACCAATGACAAATCTTCCTGATGGATTAATGTGATAAATTGTTTTTTCATCCAAATATTGTGCAGGAATGGTTGGCTCAATGACATGCTTTTTGATTTGTTCCACAATTTCATTATTTGTTACTAATTCGTCGTGTTGTGTGGAAAGGACAATTGTGTGAACTCTCTTTGGAATCAGCTCATTGCTGTCAGCAGTCAAAATATATTCGACAGTCACTTGTGTCTTTCCATCTGGACGCAACCATCTGAGAATTCCCTTCTTTCTAACCTCGGCAAGTCGTTCAGCCAATCGACTTGCCAATACGTGTGAAAGTGGCATCAGCTCCCTAGTTTCATTACAAGCAAAACCGAACATCATGCCCTGATCGCCAGCTCCCAAATCCTGATCCTCCTTCAAACATTGGGAAATATCCACAGATTGTTGTTCTATGGCCACCAAAACATTACACGTCTTGTAATCAAAACCTTGAGAACTGTCATCATATCCTATGGATTTAATGGTATTTCGGACAATTTGTTGGTAGTCTGGATTGGCCTTTGTGGTAATCTCTCCAAACACCAAAACCATACCAGTCTTGGTACACGCTTCACAAGCCACTTTGCTCATTGGATCGACTGTCAAACATGCATCGAGTATGGCATCCGAAACTTGGTCGCACAATTTGTCAGGATGACCTTCTGTGACTGATTCTGAAGTGAAAAGGATGCTGTTGGGTTGCATTTTTTGGAGTTGCAGGCTGTTTGCGAGCTCTCTCTAATTATTTGTTTTGGGTTTTAATTTTGTTGCACTTTAAAATTTGACAAATTTGGTCTTCAATGAAAAGTTTGTAAAAAAACAAAGGAGTATCCGTTAAAGGATGAAATGGAAAGTGTTTCTCCGTTACCCTGTCCATGAGTCGAAAGATCGAAACAATCATGCCAGAGAGCAGCACCTTACTTATGCCTTAACATTCAAATTTCAAATTTCTTAATTTTTAATGTGTTTTACGAGTTTTTTGCTAAAGGTGATTTCTGTAATGATGTCAAAATTTGGAATGGGAGGATGCAAAGTGGAAGTGTGTAATGTGTGGATTTATCTTAGTCATGGTGTTAGATGGAATTTGGAAAAATAAAATGTGGAAGCGGGCAAAATTAAACAGTAGTGGTTTGGGTTACGGATGGAGAGGCAGTCTGTTTCTCTTGTTTGGAGTCCTTCTTCTTGTCCTTTTTTTCCTTCTTTTCATCTGAATCATTGAACAAGGGCGATGATGAAAATCCTTCCCCAAACATTGTGTAGTGTTCTTGATTGTCGTCTTGGACATAGGTCAGAATGTATGCTTGTTGGTCCAAGACATGTTGTAAGCTTACAACAGTGACCTTGGTGTCATCAACATGAATCCACTTTCCACATCCGTGTTGGATAAAGGTACTGTAATGACCACCTGAAGCATCCTTTCCATGGTGACATATCACGCTAGCAAGTCTATATCTCAAGTTTGATTTTCCAGTGATGGTCTTAATATTTGGCACAACCTTTTCATCAACAATCAATTCGTAATCAAATCGAATACGCTTGGAAATCTTTTGAATACCCTCAGTAGCTGAGAAATCGAATCTTCTCAAGTGCAAGATGAGAACTTTTGGAAGTTGATAAATGGTAGTCTTTGCATTCTTATCAGAAACATTTTCTTCCTTGGTCATTTCTCTCAATGCGAATTTAATACCCTTAATGTTATCATCCTTGATTGGCAAATGCAAGCTGAAGAATGGCTCAACAACAGCACTTCCTTTTTCGCCTTGTTTTTGAACAAAGCTTTTCATCTTTCCACAGAAAATACGAGAGATGGCGCTGTTATCACCCATTTCATGCTCACGAATGGCATTGGATTTGTTCTTCTTTCCAACCTCTTTCCATTCATCCTCTTCAACGCTGGCCTCGGCAGCAACTTCAGAGTCTTCTTGAAGTCCCTTCTTATTATTCTTGGTTGAAGCTGGGCTCTTTCTTCCCAATGTTGTCTCAGTCTTCTTGAGCTCCTCATGAAGTCTTTCCAACAAATAGGTCAAAAATTCATGAGCATCATGTTGAGTACCCAAGAGGAAAGAGTCTTCCAAGTTTGTTGAAGATTGTTGAATATAGTCCACAATATAAGAAGGAGTTAACTTTTCATAAGAAGCGTTGATAAAATATTTTCTATCTTTTTGCTCACCGTTTTGAGAACGGGAACCTTTCATGACTTGGAATTCATTGACCAAACGTGCCATCTTGTTGGTGAGTGGATATTCGTCATTGTCGAGTGAAATCTTTCCGAGCTTCTTCATTAAATGATAAAATTGAGGAAGACTGACCAAGGTTTGCAACACTGCATTCATATAACAAGAATTGTTAATGTTGGTCATACCTCTTGGTTGAATAAACACACCAACTTCATCTAACAAATTTGAGTCAATTTCAACCTCGGTGGATCTGAGAAGATTCTTTCCGGACTCGAAATCCTTCTGTGGTTTGCTGTTACTAGTGGTTGTTTTGGTTGGACCATTAGTCTCGGAGGATGATGATGATACTGGTTTCTTTGCAACCACAGTCTTCTTGTCTTGCTTCTTCTTGGTTGTGTTGGCAGCAGAATCAGCCCCAGTGGAAGAAGCATCTCGAGATGCACTTGAAGTAGTTGGTTTCAATAAGGAAGCCCAATCAGTGAGGGCAGCACTAGTTGTTGAAGCCTCAGCAGCAGGTGAAGCGAAAACCTTCACTTGCGCAGGTTGAACAATAGCTTCAGTGGTTGTTGGCTTTTCTTCCTTCTTTTCTTCCTTAAAGTTGCTATTGTTGTTATTCTTCTTCTTTTCACCATTGTGTTCGAAATTCTTCTTTGGCTTTCTATGGAATTGTCTTCTTCCTCCGGTTTTTCTCTCCACTGTTTGGAAATCAGGGTCTTCGGTGGCAGCAGCAGAAGAGGAGGCTTGAGCTTTAGGTGTTGTTCCGTTACTTGAAGTGTTGTGTTGTTGTTGATGCTCACCAGTCTTTTTGAAGACCTTCTTCTTTTGTTGAGAAGGAGTTGCTGGCTTCTTCTTGGGCTTTTCTTGTTGTGATGGTTGTTGTTGTTGAGGAATTGCAGAGGTGGCTGATTGTTGTGCTTGTTTCTCTTTTCGTTCAGCAGCCTTTCTTTCCTTTTCGGCTTGCTTCTCTTGTTCGATTTGAAGTTTGCGTTGTTCCCAAAAGTTGTCGGTCATGATGATTGTTGTTGATGATACGGAATGAAAGAATGGAATGTTAATTTTGTTGTTGTGTGATTGGTTTCAAAATATAGATGAGATAATTAGATGATGATATCTTTGTGGAAATAACTTATTCAGCAAAAAGTTCTCATGAAATGAACGGTATCTAGAAGGAGTGATAAATATGCGAGAGAAAGAATGCGCTCTGAAAGGTATAACCGTATTCTAGAGAGAATGTACTACTCTGTAGGTCGGACCTGGTGTTGTTGCGAGGAAATTTTAGGTGTGTTGTGAGGCACCAGCGCTTTGCACACACGGAATTGAGAATTTTTTTTTGCTGTGTTTTTTCAACCCTTTACAAAACTCCACTTCCGTTGGTTTCTGGTTGTGTTTGGGATGACGACCTACATTGTAACACACAAGATCATGTTATCTCACTAACACAAAAAACTTTTTTCACTAAATTACACATTGGTGGTCTTTTGTTGTCTTGGTTCAAATTCCAAGGACAACTTGAACAATTTTTCATCGTCAATACTTGTAATCGCCTTCAAACGTTCTTGCAATTCGGGAACACTTTGTAGAGAGTATGGCGTTTGTTGATAGGTCTGAATGTCTCGAATGAGCAAGGCCAATTTTCTTCTCTTAATAAAATTAATCTTGTCATTGAGAATATTTGGATTTCCATCTTCAATAAAGGTCAAATCAGTCAATGTAACTCCAATATAGGGAATGCAAGGTGGTTTTACATAGAGAATAGCGTGACGAATGGCTCTAAAATTATTATCTCCACTGATGAGTGATAGTAACTCGTCATGATCTCGTTTCGACTCGCTCTTCAATAATTCCCATGTCTTTTTGAGACGATGGACTGCAGAATTTTGTAAACCACTGACAAATTCAAATACTGCATTGAAATTATTCAATTTTCGACACTCGTCAGCAATTTGTATCATTTTGGTCATGATTGCTTTACGATCCTTAATATTGGGTTCGCTCATGATTCTACTTGCGACCCATTTTGACACTCGATTGAACCATGTAATCATTTGATAAATATTGAATGCTTTTTGTTCTCGTGACTCCTTATTCCATGACTGATTGAGACACTCCTTTGGTTTTATGGCCTTAAACATGTTATACTCAATGAGAGTGATTTGACGTGCAATTTCAGAACTGGGCCATTCTAAAATATCAAATTTGGACAAGTCATCTTTTCCAGGTCGATACTTTTTCGGATATTTCACAGCAGTTTCAATCTTGACAAATACTTCTACATTGTTATTGTTGAGTGATTGTTGTCTCTTGATAGAATTCAATAATTGAGTGGCAAAGTGTTTGCCCTGAGTATTCTCCATGATGGTACTCAACTTTTTCACTTTTTCTAACAATTCCGAATCATTCTCAAAATCATGATAATGATTTTCAATCCAAAATTTGACCACTTGTGTGACTCGCAAACGAACTTGTTGCAATACTTCTTCTTGCCACTTGGTAAATTCAGATTTTGTAATGGTCTTGGCATTTGGAGGAGGTAAATTATATCGTGCAATTAATTTGTCCATCAAATCGTGAGGTGTTGTAAAAGATCGATAGGTCAATAAAAACGCATACAAGTATGCATTGTCATAATTCTTGTGATAGGTCACTCGTTCAATGAGTTTGTGAAGTGTGGCACATTTAATTTCCATAGCTTGATCAGATTCTTCATCTGTGGAGTCCATCCATTCGATATTTTCTGGGAGTCCTCGACAAGATCATACGAGGTTTCAGTAAAATCATGATCATAGTAGTTCTTTGGATCTTTTTCTTTGATTGCTTCCTCACTAGGTTGAGGTGCAATGACTGTTGACGCTAAGGAAGAGGTAGGTCTTGAAAATTGAGCTTGCAATTTCACAAAATTGAATATGAAAAATTGGAAATCAATATCCAAATGATGTTTTAAAATTTTTGCTTCTTCCTCTGTGGTGACAATGAACCGAATGTCTAACAAGGTACTTGAAAGACGATTTTCAATACAGTGTTCAAAAGTGGATCTGAAAAAGCATCTTGCTGCTGCTAACCATTGGCTCTTGGTAAGTCCATATTGAGGAATCACTTCTGATTTTGATGTTCGATAGAGGAATGGTGCATACGCAATGGATTGACATTCCAACGTGTCAATACATTCGAGAGCGTTGTGCACAGCATTACTGAGAGAGTTATAAAATTTGGTTTTGGTCAATTCATTGGAGTCTAAATTCGCGCCATCCAACTCATCGTTCGATTTACTGGAAGCTACTTGAGAAGCAGCATTTCCAGTATTGATATGAATTAAATGGAAAGATGAACTTGTTAAATTGGAAAATGAGCCACTCACAGATTGAGGTTTCATAAAAGTACTACAGAATACTTCTCCCTCATTCAATTCTTTTCCTTGTTTTTCGTTTTGAATATACTCTCTACATTGTTGCAAGATGTCTTGTGAAAATCTTTCGACTGCAATTTTTGCAGCAGCGTTTCGATCTCCTTCGCATGAGAGACGAGAATCATTTCCCACAACAAATCCTTGAACTGGCTCTGCAAACATGTCATCAATTTGAATGACAGATACTTTAGCTCCTTTTGTGACACGTTTTCCTCCTGGTGTGGATTGTTGAGATTTGCTGAAAATTGGATTTACAGGATATTCAATAATTAAAGTTCCATTGGTCGTTTTTGCCTTCTCCTTAATTGCTTTGTTTTCAACATTTGGTGTAGTACTTGTGCCCGATGAAGACGATGATGTATTAGCGGCAGCAACACTTGTTTCACTTGTCGTGTTGAAAAGTAACAAATTGCTACTACTCGAGTTATTTGTGCTCAACTTCTTTTCTGAAAATGAGTTTGAAGGTGCTACGGTTGGTTTTCTAAACACAGAAGGTAATCTTGTTTTTCTGTTTTTTGCTTGAACAATAAGGTTATCCATATCACCTAAATGATCATGAGAGGACGTGGAGGAGAGATCATCGGATCGAAAATTAAAGCTTGAATTTGAGGATGAAAGAGTGGTGCTAGAACTGGTGTCATCATCGTCATCGTCTTCGCTGGAGGGATATACAGTTTCTTCTTCATGTTGTTTTTTCTAAAATTGTGTTGGAACAAAGATATCATGTTCAAAAAAATTGTAATGCCCAAAGTTGTGAACAAGAGTCATGCATCATCAACATCGTGTATATAGATGTGTGAATTCAAGCATGTTGAATATGGTCAGGATGTGTGAAATAATCCTACTATTAAGAAAAGAACTGCGTGGTTATATAAAAATTTCACACATACCTTATCGTCTTGAACCAATGAATGCGATTTTGAAATATTGCCACTGCTCGCTTGTCTGGTATACATGGATTCAGAAACTTTCTCAAATTTCGAAATCAAACTTTCAATTTTCTTTTCTTGTTCCGTATTTGTTTTCACAGTGTTCGAGGCTTGTCGTTTCAACAATTGTTGTAACTCTAAATTTTCTTTTTGCAACAATGAGTTCTGATAAGCCAATTGTTGTTTTTCTTTTGTCACCATAAATAATTGAACTTGTAAAACGTTAATTTTTTCTACTAATTGTTTGACTGACATTTGATCGAGAGGAGGTGATGATGCTGATGAATATAATTCGTTCTGAGTGTTGACAGCACTGGTTGGAGTGGACGGAGAGTGTTGTTGGAATGAGAAGTTGTAGCGATGGGAGACGATCCGATCGTCGGAGTGCTGGACGTGGAATTTGATGAGGATTTATTGTTGCCTCCTCCCCCAGTGAGGTTTTTCCAGCCAGATTTTAGGGTGGAAGTGAGTGAAGAGTTGCTGCTCGATGATGACATTTTTTTGATGGAGTTTTTTTAATGACAGTTGGCATGTGACAGGGAAGTGTGAAGAGAATTAACAGACCATACGAGGAAAGAGTGTTTTTGGTGTGATGCATAACGATCCTCTCCATAACCAAAAAACCAAACATGATTCGTCACTCAACAATTTTCTTCTTTCTCTACATTTAAATTCATTTTCCGAAAATTTAATGAGTCACTTGTCACCTTCATTCCATCATCCATATTGCTTTCCAAAAAAAAATGTTCAAATCAACAACCTCACGATCATTCAAATTATCAATTTTCTGTCTGTTATTATTATTACTTTTTACTCTCTCGTTGTGTCTTGCTGAATCCCAAAAACCACAACAAGAAGAAGAAGAAATCATCGATCGAGAAACATCTCTCACTAAAACACCTCCTAACGGAACGATTCAACTCGGTGCATCTACTACTAGTAAATTAGCACCCAATGAACAAATTCTCGCTGATGACGACGATGACATGGAAGATTATGACATGGATGATTTTGCAATTCTCGGAATGAATGGCTATTGAAGGAAATTAAAGAAGTTGATGATCAGATTCAATCCGAAGAAGATGGAAATGCCATGGAAGGTTCTACTGCTGCTTCTTCTTCGTGGGCTGCAACACCTTCGAGTCCAAGTAGTGCTACAGCATAAGTGTTGGGTTTTAATTATATTAAATATTATTATTATAATTAAAGGAGGTGTTGGAACACATTTTTTCAAAATTAATGTGAAAATAAGTGTACTTGCGCCATTCATAGAATAATCATGATTGGAATAAACAACAGTAAAATTCGTATAATTCGAAAACTGTTGTTGTTGAGTGAAATGAATCTTTCTATTGAGTCATGCATTAGAATCCATCTAATTTCATCAGGCAAAAGTAAAAAAAATGAGAAAGGCAACTTTTTGTTCATTTCTGCTCAATGGAACAAAGATGAAATCAAACAGATCAACAATGTCGTTATTAAAATTTAATTGCCAGTTCTCATCTATTAGCCACAAAGTCAAAGATGAATCTCCGAAAATGAAACCCATACATGCAGAGAGCCAAAGTTCTGATCAAGAGCAACCACGATCCGAACCACACAATCATCATGGCTCATCTCTGCGTCATCGTATTGTACACTTCTTCTCTGAATTTATCGGAATGAAGGTGATCAACATAATGGCATTAAGAATTGAAAAACACTCGCAAAGAAAGCTCTCTCCAAAAGATTGCTTTCCAACTCTTCAATGGTGCTTTTGGAACGAGTTGTAAAGAAGAGTGGAAGGAAAATTGCCATCCGAGTGTTGCAACGTATTGGACGTGGATTTGTTCTAAGCATCCCGTTACTAGGAGGATTATTAGCAGTGATTAGTTCTCGAAATGATTATCAAAGATCTTTAAAAGAAAGAAAACAAAATAATCAAAGGGTTGAAGTTCACAAAGAAAACAGCAATGACTCAAAATTGCACCTCCAAAAGATGGCTCCATACAAATACTTTTTAATTTCGAGCATGTTCAATGGTTTGGATGCAGTTTTGAACTGTGGAATGCTTTATTTCATGATACAGCAGCGGAATAAGGCAGTGCGAGCATCAGACGACGATGTGCATGATCACTCGGGATCTATCTTTGACATCGTTCATCAATTGCACAACGCTCTCGTGAGTCATACATTGGAAAATGAAACAATAATTGCCATGTTAGAGGTGGGATCCATTGCTTCTGCTATTACAGCTACGTGTGTGGCAATTTTAGGAGAAGTGGTATCAACACAAACAAAAATTAATGAGAAATTGGAAAAACAATTGTAATGTAAATGTTGACTAGTGCACGCTGAAATCTGATTGATCTCACCTCCTGTTTCACTAACGGGCCATGAGGATTCACTGATTTTGTCCACCAAACAAAATATTTTAACACAGAGTTTCAAATGGGTTGTTCCTCACATCAACAACAACAAAAGGGATGTCATTCCGGCAAAACGCTTGCTTTGATCCTTTTCTCTTTGATATTATTGATACTCTTTGGATGTACATTCAGTACGAGTTCGACCGTAAAATACATCATCACAACTGTTGCCGGTAAAGGTGGTTCTGTTTTTGGTTGTGCAGACGGAACTCTTGCATTGGAATGTGGCATGAAACCTTTTGATGTCTTTGTCACTGCGACAAACGAAATTTATTATTCTGAATATGCAGCTAAAAGAATTATGAAAATTGGACAAGATGGAAGGGTTACAACGATTGCAGGTGGAGGCAATTCTACTGCGGATAATATTCCAGCAGTGCAGTCAGTGATAGCTTGGACAATGGGAGTGACTGTTCATCCCACCACAAATGATGTTTATTTTACAGATGTTTTTGGACACAAAATTCGTAAAGTGTCAGGTACAACTGGAATTATAACAACCTTTGCAGGTATGTAATAGATAGTATCTACAAATATATTATTTATTGTTACAATTGATGATGTTAACTTAACATCATCCACGGCCGATTTGATATTCATTCATGAATAACACAGGAACAGGAGGTGAAAGCTCATCTGGTGATGGAGGCCCTGCCATAAATGCAACTATGAATAGACCTTTCATGCTTTATCTTAATCACACCACGATGGAGATGTTTGTTGCAGAGGCTAATTCTCAAAGGATTAGAAAAATTTTTGCAAATGGAACCATAACAACAATTGCTGGAAATGGTAACTTTGCAAGGGGTACGGAGGGAGGGTTGGCTATTACATCTTCAATGAAAACACCTTCTTGTGTACGAGAGGCTCCAAATGGAGATGTTTTTTATATGGAAATTAATGACAGCGTTCTTAGAAGAATTAATAAGCAAACTGGAATTCTTTCAACAGTTGCTGGAACTTTTTCTATTGGATACAATGGAGATGGAATTCCAGCAAGACAAGCATCTCTTTCTTCTCCATATGGCTTCGTCATTACTGACAATGGAGATATTTACATTGCAGATATGGGAAATAGTAGAATTAGATACATTGATGCAAAAAGTGGAAATATTTCTACAATTGCAGGTATGTTTATCACACACGTGGTTATATACCCTGCTTGCTATATTCAATAATTATTCACTGTGAAATATTTAAACTAATGTGAAATATTTGAATGGCACAAAATATTAAGGCATATCTGTTAGCGGATTTAGTGGTGATGGAGGCATAGCTACTGATGCCTCAATAGATAGACCAAGTTCTTTATTTCGCTTGCCAAGTGGGCACATTTATATCGCAGATTTTGCAAACAACAGAATTCGTTTGTTGACCCCAACATGTGACGAAGGATTTGTGTATATTTCTCAAAATCATTCATGCATTCCATTGGAGTGTTTTGGAATTAACTATAATGATACAAATGTTTGTTCTTCGCATGGAAAGTGTATAGGGATCGACAGGTGCACTTGTCATGAAGATTCCATATTTTATCAAGATTGTTCCTTACTCTTTGTAAATTCTCAAAATATGTTAATGACCTTCTCTGACATAGTTTTGCAAGCTCCAATTAATAGTGTCAATATACAAGTTAGATTTAATCATTCACGCTTTTTGGATTTCTATAATGGAAGAGAAATTACTGTGAAGGTTGAAATTATTTTAAATGGGCAAACAATTACTGTCAAAAATCAAGGAATTAATTTAGCCAATTCAACTGTGACAAATCTGTTAGTTACATTACCAACAACAATTTCTCAACCAGGAAATATCAGTGCGTTTATTGAATTATGGGATGTTAGAACCACGATGAAAATTTCGAATCGAACTCAATCATTGAATTCTTCACAAGTTGTAATTAACAATGGACCTCCAATAGCTGTTTCATCCCCAAGCAATAACAATAATAATCCTCCAATTGATACTGTTGCTATTGCAGTTGGAATTAGTGTTCCATTTGGAATTTTATTGATTATTTTTATGATAATATTGATAATTTTAATTGCTATCCTTGTGTTGAAGAAGAAGAAAGCCAAGAGCAGTTCTACTCAGCATGCAGCCACAGTAAACGATATGGAAATGAGGGAATGAGATAGTTGACAAGGAAACGAGTATTATCGTTCGCTTCTTTCAAAAATTGTGGATTGACTCTTTTTATGAAATGATACAACCCTCTTACGTTCCTTCGATGCAACTTGGATAAAGATGTACAGATTGAATCCACAATGTTTTTGCATTCAACAATAAATGTTCCAAATCCTCTTTCACTTTAACAAACACTTTCACTTGCCAATACATTTACATGAACTTGAACTATTGATGTTAATTTTCTAGATGTTTCCTCTTCTGATAAACATTGTTTTTAAAAGAAAACTCGGAAAGTACAGGAATGTTCTCCCATAAATTCTCGTCGTTCATCTTTATGGACATTGTGATGCTGGCCAGCGACCAACCACTAACACCGTCAGTGGAAATATTGATGCGGAATCGTCCTCTATAAAGTCCCTCTCGGGTATGAAAGGCACCATCATATTCTATTACAGAATGGTGGGATGTTTCCTGGAATCAGATGGAACGCTCGAACAAGAGTTACCACAACTTCCAACAAGACTACAACATGAATCAAAAAGAACAACTCACACGAACTTACGTCATCTATTCATTAATTTTGTCTCGATAACACAAATGGAATATTCCCTATTTAAAAATTTCAACGAGTTCCAAATAAAGTTTAGTGGTTTTTCCAAAGGACATGAACCCCAAAACAAAAAACATAATGAACATGGTCAAACCAAGAAATCTCACTCATACTAGCATTTTGCTTTTCATTCTAGCTTTGGGCATTATGATTCTTGTCATTCATTCGTGTCAGGATCACCTCAATCGTGTTGAGGCACAACGTTATCCTTGTAAACATACATGCACCTTCCATTGTCGATATGGTTACTATCGCGATTTTTATCGGTGTTGTCGATGCAAACCAAAACCATGTAAAATATTCATTTGTCATCGACAATGTAAATATGGCTTCAGTTATGATCGATATGGATGTCAGAATGGATGCAGATGTAGACGAAGACGAGTTCGATGGATTCCATAATAACGTCGTTTTACCAGTGACAACTCATTAAATTTCACCTCATTGGTTGTGTTTTAAATTTATTAATCTTCAAACACAATAATGAATAATTTCTTGTGTCCAATCAAGACCATTACAAAATATATTCAAATGACATTTCTCGCTTCAATCTTGTGTAGCCATAATATCTCCACTTGATGAAATTAACTCCAATCTCCGTCCTCTCTCCAGATATTTCATTATTCAAAACTTTTCGATATTCACTTTCAATTTCCTTAAATGTCAGGCGATAGGGAGTAACGTAATAATCGCCACGAACAAAGTATGGATTTCTTCTTGCCCTTCTGCGATATCTAGAATGGAAATGTCTCCAATAAATGTGACGAGTCTCATTTTCAATTCTAAACCATTGCCACTTGCTATAGCTGCGTGTATAAGGGTTATTCACCCAAATGACAGGAATTTCTCGAATAAAGTTTGGTAAATGATTTTTCTGAATCAAACGTTTGGTAAGTAATTCATGATAAGGTAGATAGGCCTGAAAGCATTTCATTTTCGACATGGTAAAGAAATAATCAAACATGCAAAAGGAATATTAGTGTGACACGATTAACAATTTTTCACACTTGAACTTACATCTTCGTAAAAATTTCTCGCATGAGGATGGAATGACCCAATCATATCTTGCCTTCCAGGATTTTCTGTAACAAACTCAAATCTTATTTTAGTGTTTGACAAGTTCGAATTCAAATCATTCAAATGATAGACAACCTTAAAATCCAATTTAGGATTTTCAGTTCCAAATAGTCTCACATGTTCTCCTTGACGATCATTCATTGCTTTTTCGAATGTCTGGAAATATTTAAATTGTTGAGATGGATGTCTTTGTTTTTGATCAATAAAAACAAAACCAGAGTAATCCGATTCATTTAACCAGCCATCTTTGTGATATTCTTTACCAATTCCAATACGTGTATCGATACAACTATTGAAACGACGTTCTGTATGCATTGTAGTGGCTGTATTGATACTATGACGAAGTCGAATTTCGTTCAACAAGAGTAGGGCCAACCCACGACAATTACTGGCAATCGGTTGTGGGATGCGTTTGATTCTATTGGTAATGGTTTCTTGAATGGGATGCATGAGACCTTCACGTCTGTATTGTGAATGGGGTCGCAATGTCGAGTCATGAACAGTATTGTTATTACAAAAAACCTCTCCTGAAACACAACAACTTACCTTATGAATGTCCTGTTGTGACCTGGAACAAGTATTTTGTATCCTCTCGAAATGTAGTATTTGAATAATCTTTTTTCATAGGTATAAGATTGACGATCAATGTCCACCATATTATAACCTTGTGTGATGGCACGTTTTCCTCTCTGAGTAGTGTAAACTTCTTTACCGTCAAATGCAAAACAACTACTATCCAAATCAAATCCTACCAAAACTTCAGAAATATTCTTGTAGAGTCTTAATACAATTTGAACATCTCTTTTTGAAGTTTTGAAAGTAATGGCATGACCAGATCTACAAATTAACACATCGTCACCAGACACATTTCTTTTGACCACTTCGAAAATGTGTCTTATTTTCCCAATGGCAGCCTTTTCATCTAACGCATAGATAAACAGATCGATATCTGAGTAATGATTGTCCCATTTGTGTCTGTTACTGTGGTAATGAATAGATGCTGCCTTTTCAGGCATATCAATAAGTGAATAAATATCATTTCTTAATTCGTAACGTGTTCTCCTTATTGATCTCAATGAAATGTCTCTAATGGTTGGCATTTTGGTAATCATAGTTGCGACACTACCTCCTGCCATGATGACATTGGACCAATCCAAACCATCCAACATGCCCTCTGTGAAATGATGGTAATTGAATAAAAACTCTTCGATGGACGAAACTACTTGAGGTTCACACAATGGTCCATGTAACGTGTTACTGGGAACATCTTGAAACAATAAAGAGTCTCTGGAGAGTTGCGGAGCCAATTTACATGGCTTAAAATGGGAAAGAGAAGACAGCATTGGAATTAACAGGGAATTGCTCGCTCGTTCCAGTTGTGGAGAGTTTCGATGTGAAACAAAAGCTCTTCGTAACATGTCTTCTTGAATTTTGATGGCCCAATTTTCTTCACCAATGATATTTCTCAAATTTGGAAACGAGCATCTGTTCACGTATGATTGAAATTCTTCAAAATTATAGTATTGACAGGAGAGAGTTGTGATGGATTTGTTCGAGTCGAGCCAAGCAAAATCTTCACTGCTCAACTCTTTCGCGTTTTTCATGTATTTTAACATGAGAGATACTTCCTTACCACCATCTAATAAAATTTGAGAAGCATCATGTTGAGTCTCAGATGCAGTAGTGAGGTGTGAAAGTGCCAACTCAAAAAACAACGTGTCTTTGAAATCACATAATTCTTCAATCGTGAATTTGTATGAGTCCAAATGGGTGGTAAAAACAACTTGTGAGTGCGCAATTTTGGAGTAGTGCTCTTTCAATAATTGAGTGGATTTGTCTTGAGATGGCAAATTTAATTCTGAAGCGAGATCCATTGCCTTATTTTCATCGGTATCATTCACTGAATCATGTTTTCTCGATGTCTCGAGTTGATGGTTTTGAATTTCTTGTAGCATTTCTTGCATGCGTTGATCGAGGGACAATTTTTGTTGAGCTACTACCAAATCAAATGGATTCAACCTAAAATCGATAATAATCAGATTAATACAATCTACAAGAGATGTCAAGGAAAAGAACATGCATTCTTCTTTCAGTTGTATCAGCTCGCCAATGCTCTTTTTTGATAAATATTTTTTGAGAGAGTCTTTTCCTTGATGAGCAATTCTCATACATTGCACCATGTCTTGAAATCGAATGGGATCACGATCCAACAAGATGTTGCCATTCAAATCAACATCAATCGGAAGAGCCTTTTCAGACGACAAAGATGACTTGTTGGAAAGACGAGTGTTGTGATGATCGAACAATAGAGAAAATAAATTCTTATTGTTCTTGCAATTTGATGATGTCAAATTGTTGTCATCTGATGATGATGATGATTCCATCGAATCGCTCTTTCCTTCATGTTCCATGGAGGTCCACAATTGTTCTCCAATCACAAAATTCATTCCTCTAATATTTAATTTGAGAGTTTTTTCATCATTCAATCCGACGATTGATTGGTTATTATGGGCAGCTTCCACTGGTTGATGTTGTTCGGAATCATCAAAGATTTTCAGCTGCGAAAGAAGAAATTCTAAATCCCGTTGCTCCTTCAGAATTTGTTGGAAGGAGGCCGAAACATCAGCAGGCTTGGTGTCAAACATTTTTTTCCAGTTTTTACTAAAAGTTTGTGTCAACGACATGATTTACAAAAGACGAGAAAGCAAACCAACAAGAAGAAGGAGGACTAATAATTGGTATTTATTGAAGAGAAACAACAACCCCAACAAACACATACATTCAAAAAAATTGGCTCAATTTCACATGCACGATTATTTGTGAAAATCCGAATAGTTTTGATTTTTGTAATAATTATTTCCAATCTATTTTCCAACAACTGATCTCTCATTCATTGATATTGCATTTGGATTATATTCACACCTCAACCTTTCAATCTCAATATTTCATTATCGGAACTTCATCCCAAAGGTCATCATGAAAAAGTTTCTACTTCTCAATGGAAGATGTACCACTCTTACCAATAATAATATTTATTATTGGAAAGCAGTGAAATCATCAGTAATACAAGTGGCTCAATTACAACATGATGGTGCTGAATGGCACCAAACGAGTCCGTCATCATTTTCGAATCGCTGCTTCCATCATCAAATTCCAACATGCACTTCCGATGATTTCTCTAATACAACAAACAATTGGGATTCAAGCCAAGATAATAATATCAACCAATCAAAGAACCACTTGTTGTTGTTGCCAAACCACCCATCTTTCATTCCTTCTTCAACCTCCACTTTCGGTCTTTCTTTGTCATCACCCAAAAAAAATTCGCTAAATTTCCCGAGAGAGCCTTGTAGCTTGTATTCAAAGAGACACTTTTCTCGCAGAATAATCATCTCATCTCCTTTTATTGATCAAGACAGCAAGAACATCAAGTGGAATCCACCCATGTCAAATACAAACTACATTAACCCTTCCACTGGAAAGGAGTGGACTTCAAAGGAAATTCGTAAAACATTTGTTGAATTCTTTGAGAAGAAATATGCACATACTTTTGTGCCAAGTAATTCTGTAATTCCCCATGAAGATCCTACATTGCTCTTTACCAATGCCGGGTATGTATTCGCAATTCGTTTTTTACAATCTCCTTTCTAATCGATAATATATGATATTATTTATGAAACTTTGTCCACACGATGGCAATGTGATTCAACAATACATTGCTCTTCAAAATATATTTAATTTCAATCCCTGTCTTGCCATGATGGCTCTCCAACCTACTAATGAATTGTTACTTAATATCATCATGACATTTTCTTTGACATCATCAATGGTACACCTTGTCTTCATCATCATCATGATGTTCCCGTTGATCAAATATCACTACTACTGCCGAACACTATCAATACTCACACTACAAAACTCTTCATCAACAAACATAGTATGAATCAATTCAAGGCAATCTTTCTCGGACAAGTTAATCCAGAGTCCAGTTTGGCTAAATTAAAGCGTGCTGTAAACTCACAAAAATGTATCCGTGCTGGTGGTAAACATAATGACCTTGATGATGTCGGTAAAGATACCTATCACCATACATTCTTTGAAATGCTCGGTAACTGGTCATTCGGTGATTATTTCAAGAAGGAAGCTATTGCTTGGGCTTGGGAATTGCTCACTGACGTCTATGGACTTGAAAAGGATAGATTATATGTGACATACTTTGGAGGAAATGAAAAACTTGGCTTGCAACCAGACAATGAAGCCAAAGAGTTATGGAAACAATTTGTTCCTGAGAGTCATATTTTACCTGGTAGTATGAAGGATAACTTTTGGGAAATGGGTGATACTGGCCCATGTGGACCTTGCAGTGAAATTCACTATGATCGTATTGGTGGACGTGATGCTGCTCATCTTGTCAATATGGACGATCCAAACGTGATAGAAATTTGGAATAACGTCTTTATGGAATTCAACAGAAAGCCAGATCAATCTTTGGAATATTTACCAGCTCAACATGTGGATACTGGTATGGGTCTTGAAAGATTGGTATCCATCTTGCAAAACAAGATGAGTAATTATGATACCGATGTTTTCATGCCAATTTTTGATGCTATTCAAAAAGAAACTGGAGCAAGATCTTACACTGGAAAGTTGGGCAAGGAAGATGTTGACCACATTGACACTGCATATCGTGTGATTGCAGATCACATTCGTACATTGGTCATTGCCTTATCCGATGGTGGTTATCCTGACAGTACAGGAAGAGGTTACGTTCTTCGTCGTATTGTTCGTCGTGCAGTTAGATTTGGAGAATTTATGAATGCCAAGAAAGGATTCCTTTCTAGATTGGCTTACATTGTTGTTGAGAATATGGGTGACTTCTTCCCTGAATTACGTAAGAATCCAGAGAAAATAGAACAATTGATTGAATCTGAAGAAGATTCCTTTGCCAAGACGCTTCGAGTTGGATTGAAATTCTTTGAAAAAATTACTGGAAAGATGAAGCAAGAAGGAAAGAATGTTGTATCTGGTCTAGATGCTTTCAAATTGTACGCTACCTATGGTTTCCCTGCTGACTTGACATTAATTATGGCTCAAGAACAAAATATGACCGTTGACATGATGGCCTATAATGAAGAAATGGAAAAGCACAGACTTCTTTCCGAAGGTGGTAAAGAAGAAGCTAATGCATTGAGGCTTGGTGTTGTTGAGACTGCCAAGTTACAAAATGAACTCAAAGTTGAACCTACCCAAGACGAGTTGAAATATGTTTGGGAAAATACTACTGCTAAAATTGTTGCTATTTACAGCAACGAATCTGGATTTATCAATAAGCTTGATTCCGAATGTGATGAAGTCAACATTGGTATCATTTTGGATAGAACAAACTTTTATGCTGAGGGAGGTGGTCAAGCTGCCGATACTGGTGCTTTGGTTTTAGGAGATTCAGTTTTGAATGTTACCGATGTTCAAAAATTCGCTGGATACATTTTACATATTGTAAATGTTTCAGAATCGAAATTGTCGAACAATATTACTGTTGGTGCTGACATTTCTTGCCAAGTCGATTTTGAAAGAAGAAAACCAATTGCTGCTAATCACACCACCACTCACATGCTCAATTTTGCTTTGAGAAAAGTATTTGGAAAAGATTGTGACCAACAAGGTTCAGTTGTCAAGCCAGAAGAATTAAGCTTTGACTACTCTTATTCTCAACCAAAGGCTCCAACAGATGAGCAATACAAAGAGATTGAATCAATTGTCAACCGTCTCATTACTGAAAATCATCCAGTATATTCCAAGACTCATCACCGTGATACTGCCTATGAAATTTCTGGCCTCAGAGCCATGTTTGGAGCAGCTTATGGAGAACAAGTTCGTGTGGTTTCTATTGGTGAAGATGTTGATGAAATCATTAAGGACAGAACAAACGAGAGATGGCATACTATTTCCGTTGAGTTCTGTGGTGGTACTCACTTGACTCAAACAAACCAAGCTCAGGAATTTGTGATTGTTACTGATAAAAGTATTGCTGCTGGTAAGAGACGTATTATTGGTTTGACTAGAGATGCTGCCAAGAAGTCAAAAGATATTGCAAAACAATTCTCACAAAAGATTGACGAATTGGAAAAGTTACCAGACGAAACTTATTGTGCTCGTTACTATGAACTCAACTCTGAATTGGATAAACTTGTAGGAGTTCCATTACTTGAAAAGAAGCATTTGACAAAGAGATTGGAAGAGGCTTATTTGAAGGTGAAAAAGATCCAACAATCACAAAAGAAGGATGATTTGGAAAAGGCTAACCAACTTATCAAGTCACTCAAAGAAACCATCGACCAAAAATCATTGAAATATCTCGTTTATCAATTGGAGGACGGAAGTGATCAAAAGTTTGTCAAGAAAGTTTGCGAAGCTCTTACTACTATTCCAGTTTTACTCATTTCTAAGGCTGACGACAAGAACGTAATCGTTATGGCCAACGTTCCAGACCAATTTACTCAAAAACTTTCTGCTAATACATGGGTCCAAGAGACGTGCAAGGTTGTGAATGGTAAGGGTGGTGGTAAGCCAACTTTCGCACAAGGACGTGGATCAGATTTGTCCAAAGTTGCTGATGCTGTGAAATTGGGTGAGGAAATGGCTACTAAATTCAATTAAAAACAGTTGTCCAAAGTTGTTGCATTGAATGAACCTGCATGATGTTGTTTGAAACGATTTACAACCGTCAGATGTCGTGAATACAACCCGCCATACTATTCCAACTCAAATCAAGCAACTACAATTGAGTTGGTTCTTCCTTAATACATCGCTCATAAATACAACAACAGTAAAAAAACATCTCGATACAACACAGGCGAAATGTTACCGAATCGTACTAGTAAATGGACAAGATTTTACCTTGTAGTAGCTCTTCTTCTCTGCATGTGCATGGTAATGGTTGCAGCTGCCCCACGTCGTGCAGCAAGAGCCAGTGGAGGTGGGGCAAGGCCACGTGCAACTCCAAGTGCAAGAAGGAGCAGTGGCGGTGCTGCTGTACGTGGAGGAGGTTCTCGTGGAGCTGCTGCCAAACCACGAGGAGGTGGAGCAGGCACTGCTAAACCAGCTTCCAATGGAGCTCGTGCTGCGGCTCGTGGAGGAAGAAAGGGAAGAGCTGCTTCTGCTGGATCTTCCCAACAAAGAGCTCAGGGAGCACTGAATCGTCTCGGAGCTGCCAAAAACAAGCTCAATCAATTGAACAATATGAAGAATCAAGCTTTACAAAAGAGACAACAAGCTTTGGATATGTTAAACAAAGCAAAGGAACAAGCTGGAGCATTAACAGGTGAAAAGAATGGAGGTGAAGCAGCAAATGGAGAGCAACAACAAGAAGGAGCTGGTGCAGAGAATAAGGACCCATCGGCAGCTGCTTCCAACAATGCTGAACAACCACAACAACAAGCCAATGAAACTCCCCAACAAGAACCATCCAAAGGTGAGACCCAAAATGGTGCTTCTGAAAATCAGAGTTCCGAAGGAAATTCCCAACAAGGAGCTTCTTCTTCATCGATCTCTGGACCTCAAGAGAATGGAGCTAGTAATAGCAATGGAAATATCGCTATTAACAACAATCATCATACACCAGCAGCTTCTTCGCCTCAACAACAAGGTGCTGGCTCTTCATCGAGTGGTGGTTGGTCATCGTCTGCTTCAAGTCCAGCCAGTGCAAGTTCTGAAAATTCTTCCTCAGCTCCATACAGCGTTGATTTGGGAGCTGCTTCCAAACATCATGCCGTCGTTAAGAAGGTCAGAAAATTGAGAGGAGGTGGTATCGAGTTGGTCATTAATGTAAATGTAAAATAAATGACGACTGACAACAGTTTTGCTTTGAGAAAAACCTTATTTGTCTCTCATGGTGTGATTAACTATTCATTTCAGCAGCAGTTGGAAAACTGTAAATAGATTCAATTGTATAACGACATCTATGGAATGCACTAGTGATCCAGAAAAGTCATGATCAGTTACAAGTTGTACAACTTCTACATTGCACCTTCAACGTTGGCCCACATGGAGATGAAAGAGGTCGCTGTTGTTCTGAATTGGTGTCTTCCAAGCTTTGAAAAAGAAGTGTTTTACCTGCGCAATTTTTCAACCCAGAAAGATGATGACTTGACTTGCGACAGGCTCTATTAGAGTTCTCATGCGCCGTATCCTTTTATCACATTTTAAAAAAATTCAAAGAACGCACTTGTTCCTTTCTTCGGTTGTTATCTGCCAGTGTTCAAAACATAACAACAAGAGATGCCAGAACAAATCACTCTTGGCAGCACTACTGGTATGTAACCAACGAATTTAAATAATTCTCATCGTCGTCGTATCCATGTGATGAAATATTTGATTTTTATGGTTTTTGGATCACGTGCTCCAACGGACATGTGTGTCGTTCATGTACGACTTTCTGTTGAAATGAACAGCCGCAAGAGAGGTTATTGGTTTCAACCTTTCCTTGTTGAAAGGAGGAACCATTACTCAAACAATAGGTACGTATTGTGAGCGTCCCACAACGAGAGCAGTTGTTGTTTCTAATGAATGATCTCACCTGTTATTGATGACACATGTCATCTCAAAATGACGAACTTGTGATCAGTGGGTGGAATTATCACTGCTCTCGTGATAGCGTCGACCGTTGCTACCATCATTCTCGTGAGCGTGGGAGTTGGATATTCTCCTCCAACTGCAAAGAATGACTTGGCCACTACTTACAAGCGTGTGCCAATTACAAGTAAGTACTACTCGTAAATTCTCCTCATAGGTGCGAATGTCATTCTCATTCTTGAATGTACGAACTATAATTATTGGTCGTTTGTGTTCGCATGGTTTCTTTCTTCTTCTTCTTGAATACAGTCAATGTCTTGTTGAACGATGTGGACCCTCGTGGTGGTAATTTAACCTTGTCTGACATTGCCGTCCAACCTCAATATGGTACTGTCAAGATTGTTTCTCGTACCTCTGTATTGTATCAATCCTTGGGTGCATTTACTGGTAATGATACTTTTTCATATGTGGTCTCAAATGTAAGTTTTTGAAAAGTCAACTATTGGGAATTCTAATTGTCTATCTTTTCAACTCAATAACTAATTGTCTTTCAACTCTATAACAGTCCTATCTTACTGCAAATGCAACCGTCACTGTTCAAGTCTTGAATCGAGCTCCACAAGCGGTTCCAATTGCCAAGACTGTTCCAAAGAATGCTCGCAGATACGTTGTTGATATTTTCTCATACATTGGCGACAATGGAGAACGTATCTCTGATGTGGACAATGACATTCTCTATGTCAATGGTTTTTCTGACAACACCATTGTCTCTGGTGGAGACTCTTCCAAATTGGGACTTGTTGAAGTTGACAAGTATACTGGTTTTTATTATACTCCTACTCCAAATTTCAATGGTGTTGAACTATTCACTTACACCATTAGTGATGGTAATGACACTTCATCTTCGACAGTTACTTTGACCATTGCCAACAATCCACCTGTTGCTGTGGATGATGTTTACAAAGTACCCAAGTATAGATCTGCTGTGTTGAATGTCTTGTCCAATGATTATGACATCAATGGTGATAATATTACTCTTACTCGTGCTTTAGGTGCCAGTTATGGAGCTGTCTATGTTGCCAGTGATAAGACGACAGTGAAATATATTACCTCCAGTACCCTTACTACAAATATGGTGATTCCTTTGAATATTCCATTACTGATGGTACTTCTGATGAGAGTTCTGCTGTTGTGTTTGTTCAAGTGTACAACAGTCCACCTCAAGTTTTTGGACAAACTGTCAATGTTGCCAAGTCATCTGTCAACAACAATATTCCAATTGTTTACTATGATCCTGATGAAAAAGATTTAGTGACCTTAACCAAAGTCTCTCCATCCTTGCCACAAGGTGCTATCAAAGCTACCAAGACCTATGCTGTCAAGTACTTTGAATGTTGTGACTATATCAATGTTGAAATCAACAATTATACCATGGTCTTTACTCCAACTCCAAATACTGTCTACTCAACAACATTTGACATTACCATGAACGATGGTGAATCTGATGGTTTTGGTAAAATCACTGTAAACGTTGTCAATACTCCTCCAGTAGCTGTTGACGACAATGCAAGCTGTGGAAAGAATTTACAAACTCTCATCAATGTTCTCGCCAATGATTATGACACTGATGCAGGTGACAGTGCTCTTCTCAAATTGACCACTGACTCTTGGACTTCTACCACTCAATTAGGTGGTACTGTTTCCATTTACAATGACACTCATGTCTTGTATGTTGCTCCAACTGGTGTGGTTGGTCAAACTGATGTTGCTACTTATAGAATTACGGATCAAAGTAAGACCAACTCTGGTGCTGCTGATCCAACAAGTTTTGCAACTGGTAAAATTTATGTCAATCTTGTGAATAATCCTCCAACTCCAGTGGACGATGTGTTTACTATTCCAAAGGGTAAATCATCTGTTTTGAATGTGTTGGCCAATGATGTTGATCCAAATGATGGACCATCCTCTGTGAGAGTCATTAACTCTGTGGATGCTTCATCCAAGAAGAATATCTTGTCATCCATTTTGAGAAACCAAATTGGTGGAAATACTGATGCCTTGTCATATGCTGCTGTCAATGAAGAGTATACTGATTCCTTCACTTATGATGTCACTGATCAAAATGGATTGTCATCCACTTTTAAGGCTACTGTGACTTTGAACGTTGTCAACACTGCTCCTGTTGCTACTGATGACTCCTATGTCACTTTGTGGAATAGAAATGTAGATTGTAATGTTAAGGCCAACGATCAAGATGAAAATGGTGATTTACCAAGTTCAACCATTCAAGTCACGACTAATCCTTCACACGGTACCGTAGTTGTTGTTGGTGATAATGTGAGATATACTCCAACCAATGGTTATGTTGGTTCTGATTCATTCCAATATCGATTGAACGATGGTTCATCCTCAAATGCACTCTCCAACATTGCAACTGTGACCATTGATGTGAGAAATAATGCACCTGTCACTGTTTCTGATTCTGTCACTACTCACTGGAATAACCCAACTGGTATTGTCGTTTCCCCTCTTGTCAATGACAATGATCCAGACGGAGATGCTCTTGTTGTTTCTGCTGTGAACTCTGATACTGCTACTGTTGGTACTGCAACACTTGTCGATTCTCAAACTGTTCGATTTGTTCCAAGTACTGCCAAGCCAATTACTATTGGATCCAATGTTAAACAATTCACTTATACTGCTTCTGATAGCAACAAGCAAACGAGTGGTACTGTTTTGGTCACCATTACAAATACTAAACCAGTTCCATCAGATGATACTTTCACATTGCACTGGGCTGCTTCTGCCACTGTGTTGGATGTTTTGAAGAATGATGTCGATGCCAATGGTGATTCATTAACTGTTGCAAGTGTTGATACGACAAGTTTGACAACTAAGGGATCAGCTTCTGTGACTTCTGGTTCAGGATCTGTCACTTACACTCCAAATAAGAGTTATACTGGTGCTAGTGATCAATTCAAATATACTGTCAATGATGGTGCTGAAGATTCTAGTGTTCAAGGAACTGTCACCATTCAACTTACCAACAATGACAAACCAACTGCTTCTGATGCTTCTTATTCCGTTCATTGGAGAGTTTTACAAAGTGCTGGTGGATATCACGATTTTGATGTTCTTTCTGGAAAGACCACTGACAATGATGGTGACTCTCTCTCCGTTTCCGTTGTTTCCTCAAGTTCTTGCTCTGTTGTGAGCAATAAGGTTCGTGTGACTGTTTCAAGTGGATTCACTGGAACTACTCCATGCTCATTCACCATTTCTGATGGTCATGATAGTGTCACCAAGACTGCTAGTGTCATTACTTTCAACACTGCTCCAACATGTTCTGCCATTTCAGTTTCATTTGATCCAAGCAATTTCGATGCAGGACAAAAATTGCCATTACCAGTTTTGTGAATGATTTGGATGCTGCTGATGTTAGTTTCTTACTTCCAACTGATCCTGCAGGAGTACAAGCTGGAGATTCTCTCACAGTCAACACAGCTGACAGATCTCTTCTCTTTAAGCCAGCCAAGACTGTTGGAACTCGTGTCATGTCTTACAAGGTCACTGATGGTGTTGCTACTTCTTCAGCTTGTTCATTGACAGTTGCTGTTTCATCGACTAGTCCATCTGATTATTCCAAGTCCGTGACTGTTCATTGGAATTCAGCCAATAACGAAATTGATGTCTTTTCTGCCATTCCAACTTCAACCTTCTCAGAAATTTATCCAGGATATTCTGCAGTCTCAATTTCCTATAACTCTGGTAATAAGATGATTTACTACACACCAAAGAAGGCTGTTGGTTTTGATCAATTCATTGTTGGTGTTAAGGATCAACTCAACAATCCTAAAAATGTCACTGTTTCTGTCACCATTTACAACAATGCTCCAAGCGCTTCAGTTCCACAAGCTTCAGTTGTTTGGAGCTCAACTGGTATTGATATTGATTTACTTGTTGCATATTCTGATGCTGACATGACTGCTGGTTTTGAAACATTGGGAACAATTACCAACATTGATTCCACTGGTTGTTCAGGAAGTGTTTCTCTAAAGGCTGATAACAGAAATGCCAGATTTGTTCCACAAGGAACTTTCACTGGATTGACTCAATTCAAAGCAACTGCCACTGATGGTGTTGCCACAACTACTTTCACTGTTGCAGTTCTTGTGACCAATCAAGCTCCAGTCACTCAAGCTAAAACTGTCAGTATTACTTGGTCTCAACACAAGGCAGGTTATAGCATCAATGTCTTGAACTTTGGTGGTAAGGTCGATAGTGATCCAGATGGAAATGCTTTAACTGCTTCTCTCACTAGTGGAGTTTCTCCATCTACTGCTGGTTCAGTTGCTCTTTCTGCATCACCAAATGCTGTGGTCACTGCTTCAAGTGTTTATTTGGGATCTTTCTCATTCTCTTATGCTGCTTCTGACACTGTTACTTCCACACCAGGAAGTGTGACTGTGACTGTCACTAATACTTTACCATCACCAACTCCTGTCAATACCAATGTTCACTGGAGATCTAAGAATATTGCTCTGGATCCAGTGGTCACTTATGCTCCAACTCGAAAGGATTCTGATGGAGATTCATTGACTATTACTGCTGCTTCTGCTTCAAAGGGTACTGCTGTTGCTAATACCAATACCATCACTTATACTGCTCCTGCTGTTCTTGGTTTGGACGTTGTTTCTTATACTCTCACTGATGGTGCTCAATCCGTGTCAAATGCCAACACTGTTGTCAATGTCAATGTGTTCAATACCAATCCAACTGCTGCTGCATTGACAGCATCTGGAAAATGGAAGGATGTCATCACCAAGGATTTGACCACTGGTGCATGTACTGACAGTGACTCTTTGGATTCTTCCTTTGTTAAATTCAGTGGTGCAGTTTCTAATGCTGTAGGTGGTACAACTTCTGTTTCTGGAAATGTTGTGTCATTCACTCCAAATATTGCTGCTTCTTCATATGTCTTATCTGGAAATGTTTACACTGGAAGTGGTACCTATCAATACACTTGTACTGATGGTATGGGTACTTCACAAGGATCAGTAGCAGTTACTGTTACCAATAATGCTCCAACTGGAACTGGAAACTCAATCGTCATTGCAAGAGATTATACCAAGACTACTTATGATTTCACATGGGCTCAAATGGGTACATTCTCTGATGCTGACTCTGACACCATCTCTGTGATTAAGGTTGCTACTACTTCTGACGTTACTGTGACCACGACTGGATCTGGTATCCGATTGACCACTTCACAAACCGTCGTTGGTGCAAAGGCCATTACTTTCAAATTGTTCGATGGTCTCCATGAAAGTGTCAATACCTTGACATTTACTGTTACTTTCACCAATGCTGCTCCAACTTGTGTGGCTACAACCTTCAATGTCAATAAGGGACAAAGTGTTGACTTGTTACCAACACTCAAACTCCAAACATCTGATGCCAATAATGACTTGCTCTCCATTTCCTTATCTGGAACTGTTTCATCTACTTTGGGTACGTTGAGTGGAACTACTTTCACTGCTTCTTCCACAAAGAGCGGAACGAGCACTGCTCTCTCATTCACAGTTTCTGATTCTCAACTCGGCAATTCATGTGGAATTACTCTCAATGTCATTAACACTGCTCCAGTGGCTCAAAATGATGTATTTGCTGTAGCTGTCACCTCTCAATTGACTTACACCTACTCGTATACCAAGTTCTCTGATGCTGACACTGCAGATACACTCACTGTCAGCAAGGTTTCTGATACTTGTAGTTCCATTGCTACTTCAGTGACCATTTCTACCTCTGGTTTGATTACATTCACTAGACAAAGCTCTGTCACTACAGGATCCTGTGTTTTGAACGTCAAAGTTACTGATAGCGATAATAATCCACTCTCAGCAACTGCTGCTATCACTATTGGTCTTTCATCTCAAACACCAGTAGCAAGAAATGACAGATTCTCCATCAATCAAGGACAAACCATCAGAATCTTTGTTTCACAAATTTTAGCAAACGATACTGATGAATTTGGTTCCAGCAGTAGTCTCACCTTTGTTGGATTCAGTTGTCCAGATTCTACCTACTGTCACAGAACTCCAAGACAAATTACTGTGAATGGTGAAGTTGCCATTGAGGTTGACAGCGATTCTGCCACCTGTCAAGCTGACAAGTTCAGATATACCATGCAAACATCGTTTGGCACCCAAAAGAGTGCAGATGTTTTCATTGAATTCAAGAATTGTTATTGTACTGCCAAGATTGACTTTGTTTTCCTAGTCGATGCTTCTGGTTCCATTGGTAGTGACAACTTTAACAGCATGAGAACATTCTTGAAGGGAATTACAGGTCGATTCAAACTTGGTACTGATGCCATTCAAGTTGGTATTGTGAAATTCCATGATGACAATACGATTGCATTGGGCTTATCCACCGATGGTGTTGCTATTAACAATACTTTAACAAATATGGCCTATGACGCTGGAAGTACTGCCCAAATTTCTGGATTGAGAGGAGCCATGCAAGTATTAAGACAAGGAAGAACAGATGCTGCCAAGGTCATTTATATTTTAACAGACGGTATGGCCAATGTTCCATGTAGTTGTGGAGAATGTGTTTCTGAGTGGTCCAGTGCTCCAACTGTCTATCAATACAGTGTTGACACATTAATTACCAATTCAGGAATGGGTTCCAGTGCCAAGAGAACTGCATATAGAAATTTGTGTAAATATCAATTCAGTGACACTGCATGGTCTTTCTCTGGAAAGGATTGTAACTTCTGCAGTTGGTGGGATAGTAATTCGTATTGTTTGCCTTGCTCTGATGCTGTTCCTATTGCTCAAAAGATTAATTCTTGGAAGAAGGATTCCAATGGAAACATGCCCAATGATCCAGACAATCCATTCAATGGAAATTCAAACGTTCAATGGAAGATTGTTGCGATGGCTGTAGGACCTGCCATGTCATTGCCTGTAGGAGCTCGTCAAATTCAAGGAATGAACTACGACCCATCTCGTGCCATGACTGTTTCTTGGGATGATTTGCAATCCACATTGTCAGAAATTGTCGATCAATCCTGTAACCTTGTTTCCGTTCAAGTAGGTCAATAAATTTATGTAATTTCTTGCACAAAGAAGAATATTGCAACATAGCAATTTTATTGACAGGTTAAAAATTTGGAATTTCTAAGCCCCAAATCAAAGGAGAGAATACACTAATGACCACCCAATATATAATAGTTATGGGCAATCCGGCTTTAACGAAATCCGATACTCGATATCCTGCACTACCAAGGACAAGAAGGTTTCCACTAAAGCCAATTGGAAATGCAAAACTTGACTGGGATGCGTAAACAACACACATCACCAAACATCGAGTGTTTAGGTGGTAGGCCTCAGCAACAGAAATCGCTATTGGAATGCAAATGGCAACACAGGCGCTGCTTGTAATGACATTTGTGACGATCAAGGTAATTGCTGTGATAAATGCAGGTAAAATAATGGGAGGAATGTTTGCAATTTTCAACACTTCAGTGATTCCCTGCCCAAGGCCGCTTTGGACGATAGCAGTTCCAATTCCAAAAGATGCTCCAACTAATACAACCAAACTCCAGTCCACAAAATCAATAGCAGCCGAGGGAGAAATTAATCCAAATGCAATCACAACGCAAAAACAAATAAAACTGCATTGCACCGTTGGAAATCCTGCAATAGTACAAGCAATCATTGCAAAAAAGAAAACGAAAATCCAATGTTCCCACCACCATAAATCTAAAATTCTCTTTGAAAAAGGTACCTTAACAAGAAAAGGTTTTGATTTGAATGCGTCAAATGAAGGATCTACTTCACTGAAACGTGAAATCATGTAGAATTCTCTATGGGAGTCATGGAAATTGTAATAAAAGTTTGTCTTGCCAACCACTAGTATGGTGTCCCCAATATTGACAGTCATTTTCTTCAAGTCTTGCTCGCTCTTTTCAGAAGTAAAATATAAATTTCTGATGGCCAATACTGTCACTCTATATCTCTTTTCAAATTCGAGATATTCTTCTCCAACACACGAATTGGAAGGTCCAATAACCACCTCAAAGAATTCCAATGATGTTTTGGAATCAATTTTCTCCTCATCCTTCTTCTTATTCATTTCCAATGTTTTGCTAAGGATGTCTGGTGGCAAAGACTTTTTCAAGTTGTGGTGTAATTGATCAAGCACATAATTTTCTCTAAAAGATGGAGTGCCAACCAGGCGATCATTAGAGGATCCAGAGTGAACACTTGTGTTGCTTTGTGATATTAAATCTTCATCTGAAGCGATTGAAGAACATGAATGTAAGGTGCCCCTTCGCTCTCTAATTACAACTTGTGGCGTCTCGTTGCATTCTACTCCGCTTGCAATTAAACTTGATCGATGAACATCACTACTGTTCACATTGGGTGCTTCTATACTTTCCTCATTATGTATTGATGTATCTTGATCAAAGGTCATTGCCTGTAATAAGAGAATGGATTTTGGTGATCCTTTAAATATTAAGATATCATCTTTCTCTATTGCTATACTTTGCGGAATTGGTATTCGTATTCTAATTTGTGAAGTCTCCTTTGGATGAATGGTTGTTGTGGGTTCTGTGTCTTTTGAAATCTCAATGACAACAGACTCTACATCTTCCGAAGATGTTGAATCGTTCTTACTGTGGCTTGATTGTCTGTTGGGTGTTTGAGGATGGTATGAGCTCTCAACAGAATTGGAGGTGGTAAATTCCTTGTCTCTATATCCGCCCTCTGTCATACATGTAGTTGATGGAATCTCTTTGTTTGCAGCTGGATTTTTTCTTATTATTTCTACAAGCTCAATTCCTTCCAAGCCAAGTACTTTCATGACTTGGTCTTCATTCTTTCCCAACAAGTTAATGTACAATTTGAAAGGTTTGGTATGTTTTTCTTGATTCGCAAGGTGTGACATTTTTACAACCGTCACAAATTGTTCATGCCTATCCTTCATTTGAGGCCTTAGTGAAGAGAACCGATTGGCAAACCGTATAGAAGCTCGTTGTGCACTTTTAGCACCTCTTACTTCATCAGGTACAATCCATAAACCATAGGTCATCAAATAAATGATCGTTATTATACACAGCACACTTCCGAGATAGAAAAATTCATAAAATGTCAATGGATAAAATCCGTATGTAGTATAGATTCCATTTGCAACAATATTTGACGAATTTCCAATTAGTGTCAAAAATCCACTCCCAGAGGTAATGTATGTTAATGCCATCAGAAACTTTGAGGGTGAAACCTTGTTTTGTTTGGCCCATTCTAAAACAATTGGCAATCCTAACACTACGACTGGAGTATTGTTTACAAATGCTCCTATGGTGGCAAATACGAGACACATCCGCAATGTTGGTACCATGTATGAAACATGTTGGAGAAGTCTATTGCTTTTCTTGAAAGGAATTGGTGATCCAAAGAGCAGTTTGGCAAACTTTTTCACCAACGTATTTTGGGTCAATGGTTTCACAATGGGAAATAAGAGAGCAATCACCAACGTTCCACTGTTGGCAAATCCGTTCACAGTTTGATCCAACGTAAGAATACCAGCAATGTTGAAAACAATCACTGTGCAAATGATAACCACATATGGTCTCCATACAGATAATATTAATAGAACGATCATAACAATAAGGCATATCAGTACAAACCACAACTTCCAAGAACTCCAAGCAAATGCTATCACTGGAGAGGCAGAGGAACAAATATTTGTCACAGGATCTGAGCTCGTAGTAATGTTCTCAATCACTAGCGCATGTTTGATCACTTTCAGTGTGGAAAATGTGTATGATGGGTTGGATGCGCTTTGAAATAGAGAATAAATTGATGATGTAATATTATCAATGTTGCTGTCATTGAATTGCATTCTGTAGGTATAGTTCGAAATCAACATTTGCTCAAATTTCGACGTGTTAAATCGTATTGAAAACCACTGAAGGTAGTATTTGTTCTTATACAATTCTGGTATATCGAGTAGGTCAGAAGCGCTTTTCAAGAGACCTTGGGTCAACCCATTCAAATCTATTTTCATTTTCGAAGAATCAATACGTATTCCATCCGTGTTCGTTAGGGTTGTTGACTAATAAGTTCTTCAGGCAAAAATAATGAGTTAATGTACTCTGTGTTCTTGAATAAATTTTGATGGATGAGTCTAAAGTACTGAAAGAAGTAGGTGTTGTTGGTGCTGGTAGTCGTTAGTGAATGGCTGTTGGAAAATATAAAGTCCCAATTAAGGATGTTTGACGCTGACGAATAGGAGAATGTTGTCAACGCTAATCGTTCAGTTTTGTTATCGGCTTTCACGTGTGTGAATTGTGTGGAAAATTGGAACGCATGTACAAAGATGACACATGGCTGTGCAGTCCAGTGAGTAAACGTGTCCAGGAGACATGACAAAGCTAACAGCACAATGAGCACACGAGTTAGTGTGTTCACGTTATGGAGGTGCCCATATGAAACCATGTTTTCTTCTTTTTCGTTTGTTATTGTACTGAATCATCGCCAACGTGTGTTCGTCTAAGTCTAGCACGATGATATCACGGCACTTGACAATGTTAACAACGAGAACAAGAAAATTCCTTATTTCTCGATGCAAAAACCTAACATGGCTAACCTTGCTCGGCCCTTGTAACACTACATCACCCTAGTTGAGTCAATTCAGCGCCGCCAACAGAAACATCGTGCTTTTGTAAGTGACATAGGGAGTTCTTATGAGAAACGCTTGAAGTGTCATCACCGAAATAAAAGTAGCTAATCGACATTTAAGTGTAGAAACTCCGCGCTAGAGTTGCCTCGTTGGAATAATTAATAAACCCTGTTTTGATTTCGTCGTCACAACCAACAACATCTGAATTCAGCCTATTTCGCTAGTTGCAAATTCACAATTGTTGCGTATTTAGCTCGGTGTAGAGGTCACAGCCGTTGCGCAGTGGTCAGTATGGTTGTATTCTATGCACAAGCAACAAGAAATGAGTTTGTCAACATCAACAAGAATGGTATTGGATGCAGTAACAGTGATATCACAGTATTCCAAAAATTTTTGCAAACATGAGATTAACGATATCAACTAAACTATTCACTTCTTATTTGTAGTATCTTTGCGCTTTTCAAAATAATGATCCTGACACTCGGAACAAGGCTTGATGAGATACAAGTGAACAATGATGTACACGATCAACCCGATGGATTATTATGAATTAGAACAGGGAAATATCATCTCAACATTTTTTTTGAGAAATTCAACTACCAGAGGTTCCAGCACAAGGATGTCCTTTGGAATGGTTTCAAAAACCACCTCACTAAGAAATGAAAACAACATCCACACACTTTCAAATAGTAACTTGTTAACGGTGTCGAGAAAAAGCTGCAGGGCCTGTCTGGCTTAATATCATTGCGTCGCGGTTGTTACGGAACGTCCATGGTGCACCGATTTTATTGAAACAAGAAAATACATTGTTATACTTGCACGTTCTATCAGTTAACGCGCATGTATGGAGGTGCTGTTGGTTGCATCTCATGTTGGTTTGGACGTTGTTGGCATGGTGACGTTAGCGGTAATATTGAGGTTGAATAATTAGAAACCTCTTTCTCCTTTAATTCTTTTTCCTTGAGTTGACGAATCACTCGTCTTCTGTCTAAAATAGCAACAATCACCATAACACCTGTACAAATTAGCATTGCCATTGAAGGGCCTGCAAAAGCCCACGTATGCCAATACATTTCACTAGTCTTGTACATTACAATAGCACGGCAAACAGTATACTAAGGACAGCTGGAAAAACTACGATACAAATAGTACCAGCTAACCGAGCCGTGAGCTTGTTCGTTGACTGATTCATTGTATTAATGGCAGACTGTGTGAATTCATGAATAGTCTGATAAATCTTCATTTTTTTTCGAGTGCTTGCTCTAAAACTTTCGACTTCCCATACTGAAAGATGAGATCTCCTTGTTTCCATTTCATCTTTCACGTTGGAAAGTTACGAGATTTGTTTTCGTGTTGCTTCGGGTGTTATTAGACTGTGGGAGCTCAATACGTTCAGTCATGTCAATACTTTTCATGGGATAGGTGGAGTTGGTGGTAACGATGGCGTATAATTGCTTGTAAATCCTCCGTCATGTAATAGTACAACAAGAGAATCCATGTCCACAGCATGAATCGCTAATAAAAATGCTTTATGATCTTGATCGAATATCTAGAGCAACATAGATTGCACAAGCGTCATGCAAGCATTGAGAGAAATCTCCACACGCGTTTTCCAATCCTTAAACGTTAACATAATATTGTAATTTTAGCTTCAAATAAAAACCTTGGCATGCAATCCTTTCTCAGCATGCGAATACCTTCTTGATAGGAGAAAGAATCGCCATTTCGATGGGTCATATTTTCGAACAGTCGAATACATTCCAGTAATTCTTCTGAGAAGGATTCCAAGTGATTGGCTGAATCAATTTCTCCGTTAGTAGAAAATCCTTCAGTGGCAATATGAACTTCCGAATTCCTGTGATAAATGACGGAGACCAACACTTGTGCAATAGACAACTATGATCAACACAGTGACAGCAACCATCCATTTATTGTTACTTGGCTGGTGCGTTTGGGCATAATGTGTTCCAAATTTGAATCCTTAATAAATGGCCTGGAGAATTTCTATTTTTCTCCAAGCATGCCAAAATCTCTGACGCACCAATTACCAACAGTGTATGATTCTTGTTAAACGCAGAGAATACATCATCCAATGACCTTGTGTGTCCGATAGTGGAATAATTTTGCTTCATGAATTGTAAATCTAGTTTTGATGTGTCCATGTTTGGACAAAATAATATTCTCAAGCACGGCATATCTTCCATGTTAAGATGTTTTAGATTGTCTTGTGTATCGATTTTTAACCCTTCCAAAAAGGTGTCTCCTTTTTTTGTTGTTCCAATATTTTTGGGATCTGTTATCATGAAGCTATGAATGGCTTTGTTTGGTTGTGTTACATCTGAAACAGGATCTGCAACTAATGTGCATGCATAGAGTGAGCAAATTGAGTGCTTACTTAATTCACCTCTTTTTAAAAAAAATATTCCATCTGGTCTCATTTGATTGTCTGGTTTAACAATAGCATTTGATAGCCAATTGCTACTCAAATATTCTTCATGAAATAAAGAAAACCACACTCCAGGTATACCGTTGTCTTGGGCTAAAGAACTTTGTTTCAGTACGTTGTCCTTAATGAATGTCTTTAGGTCAAGATAGTAATTATCGAAATCTCCAATTCCCTTTAGCTTTGAAAATAGTGGACTTTGTGTCATTGGTAGCTTGGACTTATCTAATCTCTCGCTTTCTTCAAGTAATAACAACACAATAAATGTTTCAAATCCATCTCCAAGGGCAGGTCTGCCATTTTGTACGCAAATCATTTCTTTAACAAAATTCCAAACTTGTTGTCTATTATTCTCAAAAATATGAGTGAAATATGTTGCAAAAGCAATTGGATCAATAATTTCAAATATTTGCTTTTTCTGTCCAACCTTGACAACAGGAGCAATAGTTTTTTCAATAAGGGCAGAGACTAATTTACCATTACTCTGAACATTTTCAGACTGGAAAACCAATTCCTGTCCAAAAATTAATGTCAGTAATACATCAAATCTATCGACAAGAGACGAATCATCTAAAAATGTTGTCACACGGTCTTTCATCAGATTCTTGTAACTCGTAACAACCTGATCTAAGCTGTCCATTAATTTTTCAGTTACAGACTCTTTGTTGGATTCGAGTAAATGTCTATGAAATAATGAAACCTTGTAAGGAGATCCTGCCAATAAATAGCATATTATATCAAAGAGTTTGGGATATTGTTTCGCCCAAGTTTGTAAATTGAATTTGTGAAGCAATATTTCCTTGACATTCCCGAAAAACCATGGATCTAAAGTACCAACAACAGTTCTAACAAACGCTCTTCCATCACCTGTGATGTTAATAGATGCCTTTGTAAAGTTGTAGGTTGTCCCTAAAAAGACCACGTTATTGAATTTGTGAATTGTCTTGTAAACAGCATGGAATAAGCTTCCCTTATTGCCATCACTTAAAGGCACAGTGTTTGGTGCAATTTCCAATAGCGTACTCGCTTCATCAAAAGCAAAAACAACCTTAATTCCAAGGTCCCGTAGTTCGTCTGTGTATTTTACGTTTTGTCTTTGAGAATCAAATTTTGGTTTTGTCTGAAGTAATACATTAAAAATATCAACAATCAATTCTTCTCCTCCATCTCTTATAAATCTTCGAGTTTGAGTGTTAAATTAATATTGTTATAATTAAATATTTGAACTGAAATACATACTGTAGAAATTCTAAGGACGTAATGTTCGGATGACGTGTTGCAAGGTGTTTCATTACTATATGACTCGCTAAGGCTAGTAAAGAAACAGCTGTTTCTGGTGAGCATGAATGATTATGTTGAGTTTGAGTGTTCGCCAATGCTTGGAATATCCTTGAATTATAAGTCACGTACAACACAAAAAACTTTTGATATATCTTTCCAGTTGGCGTTGAATTAGCCAAATTGAAAATTGTATAAGTTTTACCTGATGTTGTCAAATCCAAAAAGCAAAGAAGAGAGTAACCATAGTCATGACCTCGCTCAATCGATGCGTCTGTTGATAGCAATTTTCTGAGTTCTTCTCCTTTGTTTTCTGGAATTCGTTTAGAGTCCCAATGTGAAGTCCATTTCTTAAAATCATGTTCTTGGAACCCGTTAAGGTGGTCTGGAAGGAGAGGAGATTTATACAAGTCTTGTAAAATTTCTTTTTGACGTTTCTCTTCTTTCAGTGTCTTATTTTTCCATGTAGCAATAGAATGTTCGAAAATGGAAGAAATTTTGTTAATATAATCAGCGAGAACGTCGAAATTCCGAAGTTCAATTTGAATTATATTGTTTTGTAGTAGAAATTGTTTGACCCACTTGACAACTTTTTTTTCCAAAGTCAAGTCAATGGCCACAGATTCACCTTTGGACCCAAAGACTACATCTTTTGCAATGCTATAGAGAGTTTTGCTATCTAATGAAGAAACTTGATCAAGACTCAAATCAGCACCTCCTTTTGCAATTGGTTCGCCCAATTTTTGTATGATTTGTTTACTCACTGGCTCCAATTGCCATAGTGAATATTGTCTGGTCATTAATTGATCGAGCACCCAAAATACAACAGTTTGACAAGTATTTTCGGAGACTTGAGTAAAGTCTTTGCTGCCAGACATGGCTTTGAGGGCAAAATATTCATCCTTCTTCTTGATATTCTCAACAATGTTGTGGAGAGATGAGCCTTTAAAACCAGCCTCATACAAAGGCTTTACATCATCAACCGACAAACCAGCACCACCCAAAGATTTAGGAGAAATTAATACTGAAGCTACTTGTTGCGCGTTCCAACTCTCGTAGTCCATCAAATTGAGAGTGATTGGTTCGGAGGATGAAGGTGCTGAAGTATTTGTACCATCACTATCATTTGTTGATGCTTCTTTCTCCCTCCACCAATTTGTGGTGGTGTAAGACCGTATTTGGCCAAATGTGGTTGTTGTTGGATAATACAATTTGTTGTTCGGAACAATTAAATTTGGCTTGTTCGACAAAGCATAATTGAAAACACAATTTCTGTGGCAAAAATATTGTCTTGTTGTTTTGGTGAGGCTCGATGTGTGGCTGTTGTTGTTGTGGGTAATTAACCGTTGAACGATGCTATTGGAGCCAGTTCTCTTCATTTTGGTGCAGAAAGACAGCGGTTGGGTTTGGATAGGTGACCCGCTTGACTTTTAATCTTAATTTTTCGACATGCTTAATGATGGGATTTTTAATTTTTTTTTAAAGATCGTGTATGGAGGTATATCTATGTGTTGATATGACTTTCATCCATTAATTAAGGGTAGTTATTGAACTGTATTCGCTTAAAGTAGACCTCTTTTGCATGGTCGGGGTTTTCGTCATCTTTGATGTTGAGCATGATCCAAGCTCATCATTCGATAGATTTTGAAGAGTAGTACATTCGTGCTAGCGACATCATTGGATAGTGAGCTAAGCTGGTTGAGTCGTTCAACAAATGGTAACAGGTGTCAAATTTTTGATAGAATTTAAGCGACACCTTTTTTGTAGATCTCACGAAAATAATGGGGGTCATGATAGAGCATTCGATCAGGTTTAGGGTAGTTTTCGAGAAAATCAAGTTTGAAGGAGTTTCATTGAGGTCAAAAATGACATGAAAATTTTTCAAAAAAAAATTAAAAAAAAATGAAGCCAAAACTCCCTGCATTTTTGAGGTGATCATCATCAACATCGGGTCATGTTTCCATTCATCATCATGTCATATTTATATTGATCACATCGAATGTGCACATCATGATCAACATTTATCAGGAATATTTTGTGTGTATGAATACACATGGAAATGATAATCATCAAATAGTAATGGTTGGAATTGTTGTGAACTGCTCCCGTTGGATGTGATGATCATGGAATGAATCTGATGATCGGAATGTTGTTACAGTGATCAGAAACCATAGAATTGATCGTTGGTTCAATTCAAAATGATGGTCATTTCATGACTTTGTGTGATGTGAAGTGTGGTGGTGGCTCTATGGTAGAGCTGAAAAGTACGATCGAGACAAGCACTTCACAGAACTTCATGAAATTGTTGTAGATGGATGTTCTGATCATTCAAACAACAAATCATCAGTTTTATTCATTGACATGATTGTTTCATGGAATGGGAGCACTTCGCTTTTCTCGGAAAACATCATTTCTTGAGGAAGGGTACAACTCTCCTCTCTTATTCATGTCATTCATTCTATCATCATGATACGTTATGATCATCATTGTGGAAGTGTTTCATGTGATTGTGAGTGTTTGAAAGTGATCATGATGAATTGTTGTTGGTATGTATTGTTGTATGATTGAATGAATATTTTATAACAATTGACTGATTCAGTTTTTCGATAAACCAATGATTGCAATGTTGTATAATACATTGTGAGGAGTATTTCTATGACTATTGATGATGGATGTGATCATTATTGGTGGAGTATCATGATGAATGTTGTAGTGGTGTGATACCATGTTTTTCCGAGAGTAAGTGTGCCCTGAACACTACATATCAACATGTTCGTCATGATGAGTGTAACACATCCATGTTGGTTTCACTCACTGATTCATCAATTTGTGGAAGTGGTGTCTCACTCTTTCAGTTCATTTTTCTTTTTCACATGATATTACGATAATGAATAATTTCAAGAATATCACAGTGATTTTTTATGATTATACACACTAGGATATTGTTATTTTGAAATTTGTGGAATTTATCTATATGAGTTGATTTTGTTATGAGACACCTGAGAAGTGTGGAAAATGATTATTAATTAATTTTTGAAGAGTTGTCAGGAGAGTGATGTAGATAGTTTTTCATGGTAGATGAGATGATGTACAACACATTGACATTAATTCTTGTACTTGTTCATGTCTAGAATGTATTGTTGATGAGCACCTGAGAAGATTTCGTCATGAAGTGCATTACAGTGTGAGACATGGTTTTTTTTATTGAATAGTTGCAATCATCCATGTGTTGATCTTGTTCCATTGTGTTATTGTTGATGTTGTGGATTGTTGTGATTCATTGTGTGATGAAGGAATTCACTCATGTCATGTTTGACACTTTTTCGTGGAGAGCCTTTGTTGATTTATGATGGCTGCATTGAAAATAAAGAATTAATTCAGTGATTTTCATGATCAGTGCATGTGAAATGTATGGTGTATGTGGTTGATATGCGTCAATGTTCATGTCATCTTGATTTTGAATTTTGTCTGGATTTACTGACCCTATACTTCCGCATTTAGAATTTATCCAAAAACATGTTGTTGTTACTGATCAGTGTTGTTTGGTGTTGTGATGACGGAATCATGATCGAAACCATATGTAGTGATTGTAGATGTGTCTTTCGACCGTATTGGATACGTCTACCATGTTCGTTGTTATCACCAAACGGATGAGTGTTCAAATTTGTTTATGAAGAGTGATGAAATGAAACATGGTTGTTTGAATGTTCATTCAAGTTGATAAACATGCTTGTCATGATGACGTGATCACGTGATAGTGATTGTGTTGATCCATCAGTTGTATTTGTCGAGTAATGCTTTAATCATTTGAATACAGTTTGATGTTGTGATGGATGACATCTTTGTTATGAATGTTTAATATTCTGTCATTATCATGTAGTAGTTATGTCATAGTGTGAGTCCTATCATTTTGAAGTGTTTTGTAATGTTGTGTGCTTGGTGTGATATGAAACTTTGAAAAAGTTGTGACATTTTCTTTATATATTGTGATGATGTTCACTACTCTTTATGAGATTGATATAACAAGTTTATCATGTATATGACAACATATCTATGAAGTATTATTGAATGTATATTGATACTTGATGAGATAATTGATAAATGTTAACTTTGGAGTGTTTGGAAAAATATGGTCTTAGTCTCTTTGCATGGGTTTGATAAAAATTCTACTCTTTGGGTTTGGATTCCTCTCAGTAGGATTTTTAAAAAGATTCAATATAACAATATTTAACTTGTTTTTAATATCAATTAGTCCCACGCAGAGAGGAAGGAGATATTAAGCGAAAGATTTCTTGTTGTTATAGTGGATATCGAGATAGCCTCTATATTTGTACCAAAAAAATCAGGTCCTGTGGTGGTTGACCATCCTCTAAAATTATCGTTGAATGATCAAAACTTGAATATTTCCATCAATTAAGATGTAAGGAAGTA